CTTCAGTCCGTGTCCTCCTCATTGGGTGACAGAACCCTTGCACCATCTCCACGTCTGAGTCCCTCTCCGTCATTCTGGCCTTCGGCTGGTCTGGGTGTCTGCCCGGTTGCTCCGGGTGGCCCACCCGCCCATCGCTGCTTACTCGGGATTCCGACAGGTCATGGTCCTGTGTTCTGCGCCGGGAACCTTGCCCCATTGTTTCCCACGAAGGGGGAGGGGGGCGGGGGGCTTCGCCCACTTCCTATCGGTTCATGTTTGCTTTCGGTAGTCTCTCGTAATTCATCATCATGTAGATGGCCTCTCGCTTTCCCACTCGCTAATACTGTCACTCCCTGACTCATCGATCCTTATGGACTACTTCCCAACATCTGACCCATGCCGTTAATACATCACTGTTGATCACGGCATTGGTGCGTGCGAACGCAAGACATAGAGCGAGAGATCGGAGCACAGTCGTCTTAGCCCTAGAGTGTCCGCATGATAGACTGCGTAGGTTGTAACACCATTCCTGCCCGCTACCCGTCATCACTGAGACTTGCGGGCGGCCTCGGTGAATGGGGCGTCAGAGCTACTAGAGGCCTTCTCCACAGACCTCGTAGCCTGCTCGTGAACGCCTGTCTGCGTGGTTGGCAGCAACGTAGCTGCCGAGCCGTCAGGCAGGCAAGGTGCTTGGAAGAGTGAGCCGTCGATGAACGCAGGGATGCTCCGCAAGAAGATCGCGCTCCACAATAGGAACACGAGAGCTGCAGCGTTCGAGAGAAAGATCAGACAGGTATTCGTCGCGCCATTGAAGGAATGACATACCTGACCAAAGAGACCCTGCTACCCTGAAAAATCCACTGTTGAGCACCTTCGAGAGCTCGACAGTCAACAGCGCAAACACGCCGTTGGGGAAAATGAGACCCCAGTATCCCAAGCTGAAATGAAGCCTCGCGCCACGGGCGACGACGACATGGTATATCGAACACAGCGCAACAACAATCCACGCGATACCGATGGACCATAGTGCGTATGCGCTGCAGAAGCATGTCGCGAAGATCATCTGCCCCGCAAGCGTGGACTGTGGGAAGTCGGCGCCGCTAGCAGCGAGATGCAACGGGAGGAGCTCTGAGATTGCGGAACCATTCACGAGAAGCGAGAATCCGCCCTGTCCGAGCGGACCGAGGACGATGAATGCGGAAAGTACCAGCCCCGCGTCGGGCACACCGCGAATGATGAGGCGCAGGAGGTAGATGGTGATCATCATGAGAGCAAAGCCAAGCCCCATGGCGAGCATGCTGAAGGAGATGCTGATGGTGACGAGGGAAAGTGTATGCGAATACTCCTTGAGCGCGGTAGCGAGTAGACCGCCTGTTGAGGATGCGACAACCAGCGGTACGACGGGCAACAGCCAAACAGCTGCCATGTCTGAGATTGAGTGCTCATGACGTACGGACCTGCAACTGGACGTGAGTAGTGCTTCATCAGATGGTCAACGAAATTGATCTTGCATGGTGTAGATCATGCCATATGCCACAAGACAGGACAATCCTGCGTCTAGCCACCAGAATGCCCACATTGCACGGAGGAAATGCTCGCCGCCAAATCCCCAATTTTGATTTAAAGCCTGACAGCAGCGGGGGGGGGATCCCAGCGTCAGTCGACTTTGTCAATTTCAGAGAAGCAGCCACCTACCAAAGCGGAATTTATCAAGGTAGCCATGCCCATTGGGAAACACCCAATGAAGAGACTTTGAGCAGGATGGCCAAGCATGAGCCAGAAAATCTGCGAGGGAATCATGAGCAGATGTCTGGCAGAACAGCAAGCCACACTGACGTCGGGGTACAGGACATATCTCAGAACCGAGCAGACACAAACGAAGACAAAAAGGACGAGGTTGAGTATGAAGAATGCACAACCAGCAATTTTGAGATGATTGTTGTCTTGTCCGTATGGGAAGTCTGTAAGGAGGGCAGAAGTTGCACCCGTCCCCATTACGACTGCATGCCATGCGGGCGTGAAATGTCTAAGCAAGTTGGACAGACGATGAACAAATGTAACTTCACAATGACTAAAAGGGGCTGCACCGTATTCTGTCTGGCCAGCTCTTCCATTGAGCGTACGGAAGTATGAGGGGGGGATTCGTCTGGTGTTTATTGCACTGCATCGTAAGTGCGAGGCAGAAGTTCAGCCCGAGCAATAAGGGGCGAATGGGAGAGGACTCGGAACGTCTGGGCCAACACACAGGACATGGATGCGATTTATATTACTCGGCGATGGACGGGTATCGGAATTGCTGTCGTCGGACCAAGAACGAAAGGAGAGCGTCATCATCACTCTTCAGCTTCAATTCGGAATTCGTTTTTGCTTGAGATCCGGATCGGCGTTTCTTTGATCCTCACTTCGGCGGCTTCCACCACAGCCCTTTGCATCCATCTCCGTCACCAGCTTGCATCTTCTCGTTCATACTAGCACCAATGGTTTCACCCTCAGACCTCTTGAAGCACACGCAGATACCTGGATGTCGTGACAAGAAATTTTCGGACTAGATCCGTCATTCGGAATTCCTGCAACCATGCGATTGATCTTGATGGATTGCTCCGCCATTGGGCGTTGGAGCATGCTACTTGTATGATAAAATTGGAATACTGCAGGTCTGGACACGGGCCCATCGTTCTCTTTCTCTTGATTGCCTCGCAAGGTAAGGATTACAGACGAACTACCTATACAGCTAAGTGCGAGAACCCTATGCCCACATAGGTTTGAGCAGTGAAGGTCAGCTTGAAACCTGTTGGTGCTTACTATCGCGTCTGAAACAATACAGGGGGATGTGCAACGGGCAGGTCCTGAGGCACGGCCCGTGATCCTGGTCCGATCGGACTCTGCAGCAGTTTGAGTGACTTGCCAGTGATGTGCCGGTCACTGATAGTCACTGACTCGCAGTGTCGATGACTTTCCCCACGATCTAAGGACTGTCCCACACAGCGAGCGAAGCGCCGGCATCCCACCGTCCACAAGGGAAGAGGTGGCTAGGTAGCCTTGTCACCCTCGCATGACATTTTTGCAGGTAGTGGCAAAACAACGAAAGTCATTCACCGTACATCATTGCCTGATGAATATCGAAGCTTGATATGTACAATCATGATACTGCTTATGAACCGCTACGTATTGTCGTTGGGCACTCTCTGCCAACTGCGGAAAATAAAGACCTGGCATTCATGTATCGTCTTTCACTCGCATTTGCGTTAGGCGTTTAGGAGACTTAGGGAATATGAGCTTTTCCAATAGGTTTAGTGGCATATCCTCTGCTGACGTCTATTCGTGTTCGTTGTGGCTGCGTCATTCGTGAGCGAACACCGTGTCATCCTTCCCTTCCTGCTCTCCTATAGCGACAGCTGTCAGCCCTGTCGCATGACTTCCAAGCATATCCCGCTCACAATTGAGGTCACTGCACCTACGTTACACCCGGTCGACATGATTTATTCGTTGAGGTGAGTCAGGTCACCACCCTCTGCAGGACTGCTCACATCACATGTTAGCCATTCCGCGTACTCTCAGAATCAGCGGTGTCCTCCCTATGAATTCTTGCATCTTCAAGTCCGCTCTGCTCCCGCTTCAAGAAATCCCTCGCGCCATCGATCTTTTCCAGATCCGGTGAGTTGAAGATGACACCGCTCCAGACGAGCGGCAGCGTTTGCATGAAGACGACGAGCCAGAGCGCTATCGTCGCGGCACCGTAGATGGCACCCCACACTCGGAAGAATTTGGAGTCGAGTGCGCTATACAGCGAGATCGTCAGGTCTGCATACACGCCCTGCCATTATGTTGTTCGTCAGGCAAGTAACAAGCACAAGGGCAGCTACGGCACGTACGTTTGGGAAGATCAACCCCCAGAAGGGCAAGCTGAAGGGAAACCGCGTCTTACGCACGCCGTGCTGCACGGCGAGCACGGCGTAAAAGAACCACATTGTCGTGATCGCCCACATGATGAACGCGAGGACCATGCATATCGCGTTGATGGTGCCGCCCGTGCTGTTGTCTCGCAGGAAGCTCGAGGTGCCGTATTGCAGTGGCAGCGCGGCCGCGAAACCTTTGCCGATCTGCATGATGGAGAAGCCGCCCTGTCCGGTCGGCCCCAGCGCGATGAACGAGCTGAGGACGTTCGTGCGCTCGGGCAGGCCGTGTACGAGCAGTCGCAGGAAGTAGAGCGTATAGAGCATGAAGTCAATCAGGAGTCCGGTGGTGACCATGAACGCGGAGACAGTGAGTGTGAGGAGCGCGCGCGAGGGGTGGATGGCCTGCAGGGCCTCGGCGATGATGCCGCCAGTGGACGATGCGACGACGAGGGCGGCCGGCGGGAGGATCCAGACGGTGGTTAATGTCTCTATTCTGTGAGGCTGTCTTGTCATCCTGCCCAGTGTGACGATGTGTCAGTTTATGTAGCCCGGATCATCATGGCGATGACTGACATTATATGCACCAACACGAAACCGCACAAAAAGGACAAAACAACGTCGTACCACCAGCACGCCCAAAGAAAATATAAGAAAGCTGGACCTCCGAACTTGTACTCCTCATAGATTAGCTGGACGCCGACATTAATGATGGTCGAAAACCCCATGGCGTAGGTTCCGAGATACAGGCTTTGGACGGGGTGGCAAAGCATGTCGGACCATACCTGCGGGTATCTCAAATATCGGTAGAGGCTTAGGATGTTGAAAATGATGAACAGGGATAGGTTTAAGAAAAACAAGATGGCGGAGAATATCTTCAGCGTTGCCGAGTGAGTCGCGTACGGGAAGTTGTTGAACACCATGGACACCGCTCCCGTTCCTGTGCGATCGTCCAAAGTGCTTCAGTTCCTCCCAACGCTCCGTTGCTAGGATGTGCTTACCCATTATAACTGTGAACCATGCCGGCGAGAAATGACTGCCGAAACGTCAGCAAGGCTTAGTGAACTCGTTAGTCTACGTACCGAGCGATATCGTCTACGGTTCGCGGTGGGTTCTTGGAAGCCATTGAACGTACCGCTGGAGGAGACCTCCCAGAGTTCTGCTGGTTGTAGCCAGCTCATATAAATCTCAGGCCAAGCCACGGGAGAGGTCAAAAACGTAATTGCACAATTGACTAACTTGACAACGTGAGTACTCGGTGAGACTCGGCCATGCTTACTTAGCCCTCATCGTACGGCGACGCCACCTTCGTGGCGTTCGAAATATTTCTAGAGAGCACCCTTGCTCGCGATCCTAAAATTTGAGACAAATATCAAATTCAACAAGCGCGAGCTGCACAAGGGTTGACAACCATGCAGACGGTCAAAGTCGTGCATATTAGGCTAGGAGGACTACAGAAACGGAGTCCTTCGGGGACAAACACGACCAAACAGCTTTGAAGACCGAGGCGGCAGCACGCAGCGGGGAGTTTCGTTTAAGCAGATCTGCTGATACTTCCAGCTACTTCTGCCGATCATGACATGCGATAGACCCAAAGAGGCAAGCGGCCTCCTCTATCTGGAAGGTACAACGTGTCCGCGCTTCTCGCCCGACTTCTTCGGGGGTCGCCGCTTCTTTTCCTATACACCACCATGGCAGCCCAATCTGGGCCAGACTGGGACTTGCTTTCCTCGTATGTGGGCCTGTTGACTCTTGCTACTGCCTCCGTCTACATCGGTTCGCATGGCTCCGTGGTCGTGAGTCTTGTCTTTCTGGTCCTATGGTTGGTGGGCTGAGGGGCACGACTCATAGATTCGCAAAGGCGCTGCTGCGAAGGGAAAGATTGCAGAGACAGACGAGGAAGATGAGGAAGACATTCCCGATCGCTTGTCCGCAAACGATGCATATATGTTCCCTGTGGTACGTCCTTTCAGTTTCAATAGCCTGTAATGTGTGCTGGTTTGAACATTTTCGTCCTGGAGATCGGGTCCGGGGTGCTTTTTGGACTGTACCTTGTGATGAAGTATCTTGGTACAGAATGGATCAACTGGCTACTGCAGTGGTACTTTACTCTTACGGGAGTCGGTAGTGTCAGCAAAGTACGCCTCGTGTTTGTGCCTCAAGTTTCCCGATGCTGACGATGACCCATGTAGTCCTTGATATCATTGGCGAGATGGACAGTTGGCAGCTCCCGCTGGAGAAACTTCGAGAAGACGCAGATACTGTTCCGGAAAGGGCCAAGAGGTGTGTCTCAACAGATTGGACCTGTTCGTCTGCGTCTTACATTCGGGCAGAAATTGCCTCCATCTCAATGAGGACCCCTTCCTGGTTTCTCCTCGTGGTCGCTACTCTGCCGTCCATCTTGTACACTTTCGGGCCCAGTACCACGCGCAGGTCCGCCGTGTTGACGGATATCCTCGCAATGTCATTCTCCCATAACGCGCTCTCGCTGCTCAAAATCGACTCATTCAAGACGGGCTGCGTTTTGCTTTCTGGTCTCTTCCTCTATGACATCTGGTGGGTCTTCGGAACGGAGGTGGTAGGTGCTACCTTAGCGACTCCTGGGACGAACTGTGTTCATGGCCGTGCTGCCAGATGGTGAAGGTTGCGACGAATCTCGACGTACCCATCAAGATCGTTTGGGCTAAATCGCTCACGTTCTCCACTGAACGTGGCTTCACGATGCTAGGCTTAGGCGACATCGTCGTTCCCGGCATGTTTATCGCACTAGCACTGCGCTATGACCATCACCGCTCGTCTCAAAAAGCGCCAGGCAGCGCATATGCGAAGCCTTACTTCACAGCCGCTGTGTTCGCATATGTCCTGGGGCTGGGAACTACCATGTTCGTGATGCACTACTTCAAGAAGGCACAGCCAGCGCTTCTTTACCTCAGGTGGGCGACTCGACTTCAAGAAGCTTGCTGTGCTGATGGTGTCTACTAGTCCTGCATGCATTTTGTCTTTCTTGCTCACGTCGGCGATCCGAGGCGAGTTCTCTGAAGCGTGGGCATGGAGTGACGATCCCGAGCAGAAACCCGAAGATGCGATCATCAAAGTGCATGGAAATGGCACTGGCGAAGCGCCCTCTACAGCACAAAAGGGATTTTCAACGCCCAAGCAAGTGCCTGCCGATGCGTCGCAGGAAGAACACCTTCCCCAACCACTTCATACTAACACCGAAGACGGCGAGGGTGATGAGCAGGATGACAAGGGGAGAATGACACGCCGGAAGAAACACTAAAATGGATGTGGCTATTCTATGTTTATTTATTTGAATATACCCTCCCAGGGAGGACTGCTACAGTGATTGCTATTTGACTAACCTACGGGATTCTTCACAAGCGCTACCATAGCTCACTGGCAAGGTCCTCACTGCGAAGGTGCCAGAGGCATATACATATAATACGCGAAATCGTGAGTGTAAGAACATTGCTGTTCAGACCATATGTGAGCAGCGGAAATACCGTCGGAGCGCTCCTCTAGCTCAGCAAATGTTACCGTGGTTCATTGTCTAGATGGACCAGTGGTCCCATTTCTTGAGCTAAGGGCGAGCTCCTCGTCGGGTAACACCATACACACATTGTATGCACTGTGACTTCAAAACTGACTTGCCTATCCGGACATTGGCAGGACTTTTGCTTTCATTTGTCACAAGTCGAGGGTTCTGAATTCACTTGATGACACAAGTCTCATTCATTGCTCTTTGTCTCCAGAGCCGCACTATCTGCACGACAGATCCTATGCATGTCTAACTCCTGTGCGGCATGTCTTCCGCGTGTGGCGTTGCGTCTCGGACTGGTTTCACGCGTTGAGCGCGCGTATATGATCGGCGGGCGCGATCGAAACACGATCACAGTGTCGCGTTCCTGGTTGGGCGGTGGTCCGGAGTCTGCTTCCGCTGCCATATCCGACGGCCAGGTTCATGCGTGAGCAGCCTTCCGCCCCAATCCGCATCTTACGCCATAATACCGTCTGCGTCGGCTATTTTCCCCACGACTGGGCTCTTTTCCGTCATTGCGGACGGCCGCTCTCAAGTTAGGCCGTTCTCTTGACAGCGGCAGACGCGACTAGACATGGCAACATTCCTGAGCAGTCCTTGCCGTTGTATGCATGACTAACTTTCTATGTCGACAGACAAACACCGCTACTGACAACATAGCGCCAACAGCTGACTATTGCATGCGGACATCTGGCTTGTCAGAATTCGATATCTGCCCAACGATCGGACCCCGCTTTCTCTTCCCTTGGCATGGAACGGATGTGGACATGTTCCATATCCGTTGTATCCGCATGTCCGGCGGCCCATACCTGTCCGTTGATACCCTGTATCCGCCAGTGCCGTTGAGGCGTTTCCCTGCTCATCATGGAGGCTCTCAAGGAGATTCCGCACTTAGTCATTGCAGCGGCATGCGATGGCGAGTTTTGCATAAATACCCCCGCCTTTCTGCTGCAAAGTTCATCATTGCATCGCATTCCATTCTCACTTCATTCGCTATCTCATTCATCACTCACTTTGCATCGTATTCAACATGTTCTGCAAAGCTACGCTTGTCGCTGTCGCTCTTGCGCTCATCAGCTCTGCCTCCCCTGTTGTGCAGGAGGAAGGTCACCGGGTGACTTCGTACAAACGGAGCATTCTGACCAACCCGGATGGCACGTTCGACCACGAGCGTGCTATTCACCAGGCGGTGCGCACTCACAAGTCAGTTCTTTGTCGCCTGGAGGTATCCCTTGTGCTTATACTCTCCTAGCAAACATCGCCAGAACTTGGTGAATCTCGCCGCCAATGAAGGCCACGAGGCATTCAACGAGGGCGCTGAAATCCAGCCGCCAAGGACCTACCAGGTCCATGAGAAGCGTCAGAAGGAGCCCACCATCGACGAGGACAATGACCTCGAGTGGGCCGGCACGATCTCCATCGGTACCCCTGCCCAGAACTTCCTGATCGACTTTGACAGTAAGTACTCGTTCAACGCTTCCGATTTAACAGGATATTGACGTACCATACAACAGCCGGTTCATCAGATCTCTGGGTGCCCTCTATCAACTGCACGAGCTCGACGTGCACAAAGAAGAACCGCTACTCCGCTGCGAAGTCGTCCACCGACGCACTTAAGTCGGGCAGCTTCTCCATCGAGTACGGTGACGGCTCGACGGTGTCCGGGCCCCTTTACACCGACACCGTCAACGTTGCGGGCATCAAGGTCACCAACCAGTACTTCTCGCCCGTCACGACGCTCTCGAGCTCGTTCGCCAGCGACCCCGAGGACGGCATCCTCGGCCTCGCGTTCCCGTCGATCTCGAACGAGAAGCAGAGCCCGTACTTCAACACCGCAAAGACGCAGGGCGCCGTCAAGAGCGGCGTCTTCGGGATGAAGCTCGCGTCGTCGGGCTCCGAGCTCTACCTCGGCGGCACGGACACATCGCTGTACACGGGCGCGATCGAGTACCACGCCGTGACCGGCTCCGGCTTCTGGCAGGCGAGCGGCGCGAAGGTCTACGCGAACAACAACCTCGGCGGCTCGGGCTTCCAGACGGTCATCGACTCGGGCACGACCATCATGTACGGCCCGCCGAGCGCGGTCAAAGCCTTCTACGCGCAGGTGCCCGGCTCGCAGGTGTACGACTCATCGAACGGCTTCTACTCGTTCCCGTGCAACTCGGTGCCGAAGGTCGCCTTCAACTGGGGTGGCAAGAACTGGACTGTCTCTGCTGCGAAGTACGTGACTCCTCCTTCTTGCGCGCGGGCGGCGACTGACTGACTTATCGCATGCAGCTTCAACCTCGGCCAGACGTCTCCGACCTCAAACCAGTGCGTTGGCGCGTTGGCTGGGGAAAACCTCGGCCTGGGCAACAACGTGTGGCTGCTCGGCGACAGCTTTATGAAGAACGTGTACTCCGTGTTCTCGTTCGACAAGAACTCCGTCGGCTTTGCAACGCTCTCATAAGGACTTCCACGTTCTCCGCCGCCCTTTTTACTGTATTGAACACGGAATTCATTGTAAATAAATACCCCAGAATATAACACAGATACAAAGTTATGCATGCCTCTGACCAAGCTACATGCCTATGACCAAGCTACCTTTAAATCACTCTGAAAAGTTCAGATTTGCATGATGTTTACTTGCGAGTATGCAAGATATTCGACAACCGCATTCCACGATTCGGTGCTCAATCTCGATAATGCTTACTTGACTGGTAGTGGCAAGCCTCGGGAATTGGTGGTCGCCTTGCCAATATGAATCCCAGCATACGTATGTGCCGATGGCAGTTAACAACTTCGATTTGGGGCCCGGGGTACACATGTCGCGAGCAAGCGGTGGATGGTGGTTATGGCGTGCAGATGTGAGGTGCAATGCAGGCAGGGAAGTAAAGTGCACACGGCATCCTTCGCAGCGCTTTGTTATGACATTGGCCCAGGGCATTCAGTGCGGGCACTCGCATTCTCCCCAGACGGAGCTTCGTGGACGCGTCACTGTCGGATTGTTTCGCGCGCTGAGGAAGCCCGCACCGCGCCACACAGCGCCACACACCATTGAACATCGCCGCGACTACTAAAGTCCCCAGATGTCTGGGGAGCTTCTCACTGCGCCGGATCTCTCGCAAGCCCGCTGTAGATGTATCCCACTACCAAGGACACAACAGTCTACAGGAGGGGAGGGTAAGTAGGGGGGAAGCCGGGAATCTCAGAGTCCGCGTTGTCGGCCCGACGACCTGCGCCGGGAGTGGTGTGTGGCGAGGTGCTGTACGGGGTTGAGGGAACAGCGTCGCACAGTACGTGGAAGCCTGGCTGGTCGGTGGGCGGGGATAAGAAGGGTCGTCATGTGCCGGCGTCGCGACTGCATCCGCGACGCGCGGTGGCCGACGTGCACAGTTGAGTGACGTCATGAGAGGCAGACACAAGTTGACTACTCAACACATACAGACTACGACTACACACAGACTAAGTACTAAACAACAAGAATCGACGCATGCAACAGGGCTGAGGGGCGCGTGGAGCGGAATCTGATCGCGTTACCATTGACTACAGATCCAGGAAATAGAGCGGCGCAACGCCTCCGTGCAATACTCTGTCGACAGCGGCTGCTCGACGGGTGGTATATGCATAAACAGCACGGGGGTCTCCTTCTTGCCCTGCGCAGCCGCCCGCTCTGCCTCCGCGAGCGAGCCGTACGTTATGAACTCACATAGATACAGACCAGCGTTAGACGACGGAACGACGTCCTGCAACGGCGTGGCGATCAGGGCGGTCTCGTACTCATGCGTGGTCTGTCTGTACGCACCGAGATGCCCATGTCCTTCAGGTATTCGATGAGCTTCGCGCAGTCCACCGGCGTGTACATCTCGTCCGGGAACTCCTCGTAGCCCTTGCCGAAGCCGCGCACGGGCGGCGCCCCGTCCAGCGCGACGGGGCACAGCTCGTCGTCCGCGTCGGGCGAGTTGTACCCGTGCTTGCGCCCGCGCTGCTCGACGCGCATCGCACCGGGGCCCGCGACGCCGACGTGCAGCACGAGGTCGTACCCGCCGCGCGGCGGGGGCGCCGGCACGCACGACGGGTCGAGCGACTTGGGGAGCGCGGGCGGGCGGGCGTGGATCCCGGGCGCGGCAGCGAGCACGGCGGCGTAGGACGTGGGGAGCTGCAGCGCGGTGATGTGGACGGGGCGCGGGTGCGCGTTGAGGGAGTGGATGGTGCGGTTGTGCAGGGGCTTGACGGCGAGCCAGGAGGGGTTGACGGGGAACCCGCGGAACGGCTGGGAATGGGCGTGCGGCCGCGATTAGCTGGGAGGAATAGGCGGGACTTTACTCGCAGAGACGCACGCCGTAGCCTGTGATAAGGACCCGGAGGGCGCTGGGGTCAATGAGGTCTCTTTGCTTTGTGGGGACGGGCATGCTTGATGGATGCGCGGTGGAGGCTATAGACGAAGCAGCGCGGTGGCCGATAGAGCAGCCCTGAAGGATATGGTTTCGCGGGCTGTGCCGATAGTAAGGTTACGAGCTCTCGTAACACCTTATCAACGGAGGTTGTCCTCGATTGGCCTATAGCGCATCGAACGCCCTGCGGATGATAAAGCTGCAGGAAGGAATCTCACTCGAAAACGTCCGGGTTCCGAGCCCGAGGCACAGCATCCTTAAGTCAACGAGCAATAACAGGACCATTGACCTTATGATAGCGTACTAAGGCATACCATGCCGCCCATATACAGGCGGGCTGCACATGGACGCTGGCAGGACCGACGGAGGGGCGCACTGGCAGAGTGCTGGACGATCGGGTGGTGTCAGCGATCGATCTGATGGCATCCCAAATATAGATCCGTGCAGCAAATCCTGTCACAGGCGCGTGACGCAGGGTGACGACCAGCAGCGCCGTGCCAATATAGTCCTCGTAGCTGCCTCCCAGTAGCTGCCTGCCACCGCCCTGCTCTCCAGTCCTCGCCATGTCCGCCACAGCGACTGAGCCCATCGATCCCCACGCCATCCGCGTGCTGGTCACCGGTTTCGGCGTACGTCTCTCTCTCTTCCTCCTTCCTCCCATCGTTCATCACCATCGCGTCCTCCCAGCCGTTCTACAAGTTCAACGAAAACCCATCATGGCTCGCCGCAAGGCCCCTCCACAACACCACGCTCTACACCGACCCGCCCTTTGATCTCGCCGCGGACGGCGAGACCATCATCACAGACGAAATGGAGCAGATGGCCCCCAAGCCCCAGCTCATCCACATCACCGCCATCCAGATCCCCGTCTCCTACCAGGCCGTCCTCGCCGTCACCCCCGGCCTCTACGCCCGCCCGCCCGCGCTGCCCAAGCCGACCGACCCCACCATAGTCATGCCCCCGCCCCCGCCCAACGGCTACGACTTCATGTTCCACATCGGCGTGGCCGGCCGCGGGCCCCTCCGCATAGAGAAGCTCTCCCACAAGTTTGGCTACCGCATGAAGGACGCCGAGGGCCACTACGCCCCCACCGTCCATCTCCCCAAGGAGGGCCCGCGCGATCCTGCCGAGGCATCCGAGGTCGAGCGCATGGAGCAGTACCTCGGGCTCGTCTCCTCGCCCTCCGCACACGGCCCCTCCGGCGATCATGTGGTCACCGAAAGCCCGGAGGTTCCGCCCAACCGCGGGTTTGGAAAGGGCTACGAGACGTTCCCGGAAGAGTTGCACACCGACATCGACGTCCCGAAGCTCATCGTCCACCTCAAGGAGGGCGGCATCGAGGTAAGCATCGCCCTCCTCCCGGTAGCGGCCGCTCGCTCGCTCACTAATGTTCAATGTGCTTGCAGCAAGTGTACTCGTCCATGGACGCGGGACACTACATCTGCGACTTTATATTCTACTGCTCGCTCGCAGAGGCGAAGCGCGTGTCGTCGCGGCAGGAGAAGTTCAAGGACAGAGGGTCGCCGACGAAGAGCACGCCGGTCCTCTTCATGCACTGCCCTCCGGTCGGCCAGCCACTCGCTACGGAAGAGGTGACGGAGGCGATCAGAAGAGTGATTTCGTATGTGTGCAGCCGGCTCAGCCAGTAGGTGGCTGTAGATTGGTCTTAGTCTTTTCGGGGTTTCCACATCGTGCTTGGTGTCTGTCCCTCGTATCCCTCTCGTTATGTTACGCCGAGCTAATCAGGTCTGTCCCGGTGACCCATTTTGTCATAGTCTTGCCACACCTACCATTGTACATCACATGTCCACAAACACGACTTTCTTGCATTGATTGCAGTAACTCCAATTTGTTTGGCTATTACCCCGTTGCTGTACCGCTGTTAAGCAGGCGAGCACGTGCTACGAGCCGCCGCCGATCGATCGGCTCATGATGGCGCAAGGATGCGCTCAAAACACATCCGCCGCCTTAAAATTTCGCCATGTTGCGAATGCCCCTCAGACGCAGACCCCGTCCCTCTGTCGGACCCGAGCTCGATGGCGACCAACATTGTCTTTCATGAAGGTAGGCACACACCCGAACCATGTATAACTCGCCAAGCCGTGACACCGTCCTCGCAGGCTCCGTCGATATCGCCGGCCGCGCCGAACTGCTGAAGCAGAAGGGCGTCACCATCTGGCTCACCGGCCTCAGCGCCAGCGGGAAGGTGCGTCTCGTCCCCTCCCGCGCGGTCCCCAGGCCTGACCGCGCCGCCCGCAGTCCACCATCGCGTGCGCGCTCGAGCAGCACCTGCTGCACCAGCACCGCTTCTGCTACCGCCTCGACGGCGACAACGTGCGCTTCGGGCTGAACAAGGACCTCGGCTTCGACGAGCGCTCGCGCAACGAGAACATCCGCCGCATCGGCGAGGTCGCGAAGCTCTTCGCGGACGCGTGCTGCGTCGCCGTGACCGCGTTCATCTCGCCGTACCGCGCGGACCGCGCGCTCGCGCGCGCACTGCACGCGGAGGCGGGCCTCGGCTTCGTGGAGGTCTTCGTCGACGCGCCCCTGGAGGTCGTCGAGCAGCGCGACCCCAAGGGCCTGTACAAGAAGGCGCGTGCCGGCGAGATCAGAGGTGCGCGCTTGTGTGTGCGCTGAGGCGACGCCGCCGGCTGACCTCCTGCAGAGTTCACTGGTATCTCCGCCCCGTACGAGGCACCTGTCGAGCCCGAAATCCACATCCGGACAGACCAGAGCGACGTTGTCGAGTCTGTCCGAGTCATCACGGAATATCTCACACAGCGCGGATTCATCTAGCGGCCATTCGTTTGTACATTCAGCGGGTTCTCACAGGGACTGCAGGCGTGTGCCATGTACTAGATTATTTGCTACAGATAGCATTAGAGTGTCCAACCAGAGCACGATGCAGCGCAATGTATGAATGGAAATGCATGATAGTCGTGAAAGCAGAGTCTACGGCGGGTCTCCGGCGACCAGCGCCGCGTGCGCGTACGCAGACACGGAGACGTCGTCCTCGGGACCGTCGAGCTCCTGCTCCTCCTCGATCGTGTCCTGCGTCGAGCGGTCGAGCATGTGCGTCAGCCCCACCTCGACGACGGCGAGCCACTGCGCGAGCTCGTCGACGGTGTGCGCGAGCTCCGCGTGCGTCGTGTCGTGCGACTGCATAAGCGCGCCAAAGTCGAGCGGGCGCAGCGCGGGCCCCGCGAGGTCGTGCGGTAGGAACGACTGCGAGCCGCCGTGCGACATGGACCGCGAGTGGGACTGCGTGAAAGACGTGGAGGAGTCGCTCGTGCCGACGCGGCCGTCGCTGAAGGAGTGGTTCATCTGCGAGGAGAGCGAGCTGAGCGAGGTCGTCGACGAAGAGGCGGCGGAGCTGGTGTGCGGCCATGGACGGGGATGCGGCTGTCCCGTGTCGATCGGGGTGAAGTTAAATGGGCTCGGTGACGCTGGCGCCCGAGGTGCTTGTGGTATTGAAGGTGACGGAGGGAGTAAATCAGACATGCCGAGTCTGTGTTCCGAGGTGAGAGTGGGGACCTAGGACAGTATCGCTCAACACTTCCAACTGCCATGAGCACGCGCTCGAAACATACCTTCAGTATATCCTTGAGGCCCGGAAGGGGCCCGTTCGGGCCATGGAATGCGGAACTCTCAGTGAGACTGCCGCCTCTGCTATCACGATTCCGCATCCAAGGCCTGCTTGGAGGCTTGTAAACGTTCTCCATGACAGCTACAGACGCCAGCCGATTAAGACTAGGCTTCCGAGGGATATTCCGCGAATCTACTGTGGACGAGCTGGCCTGTTCGTCCGGCGTCGCCGCGGCGGAGTAAGCGCGGGCCAGCGGTGGAGGCGTGGGCAATGACCCCGCGGGAGAAGGCATCCGCCTCGGCGGAACCGACACGTCTAGAGAATGGGTAGCCTGGTGAGACCCAGGGGAGATCGTAGAATCTGTTGACGTCGTGGAACCATATGTACGGGTCGGCGATGAGCGCTTATAGCCTGTCTGACCGTCCGAGATGGACAGTGAAGATGGGCTTGCCCTCGCTGCCTCGGTGGACAAGCTGGAAGGGGGAGGAAAGCGGAAGCCTGACGTGGGCGTAGGACTAGGATAGTCTCGACGTCCGGCCAACAGAGAAGATGGCATCCCTCCCGTCGCGCTGCTCTTCGAGCGTTTGCGAGAGATCGTGGGACGCTCGGGGACGACTGGGCGTTCTGGAGATGACGAAGAAAGGATAATAGGTGGAGTAGACACTTCTGTCCGTATGTCAAACGAGTCAGTATCCGGCCGTCCTGGGATCTCAATGTCAGCGAGCCCACGCGATGCGCGGACTTCCCGGTAGCTAGGGGTGGATCTGGCTGCGCCGTTGGACGACGAAACAGGGGTGCTAGGCGCTCCTAGAGGTAAGGATGATTTTCCCGATGGGATACCAGGGCCTAGTGGCGGTAACCTTTCCCTTTCATTGTCACCATCGTCGGATGTCTGTCTAGATAGCTTAGACTTGGCTCGTGGTGTTGATGTACGAGGAGGGAAGACAAAATCAGATTGTCTTGCTGTCTCCGGAACCTCACCTAGGATGTCTGGAGCAGGTGACTTCAGCGCACTCCTTCCCCGGACGGGGGAATGTGACATAGATGAGAGGACGGGAGAGGGTGGAGGTTTCGTGTCAAGTAGGGGCAGGTCGAACCCAGGTATCCGGAATGGATCTGGGGTACCGGTTTCATCCTCGAATAACATCCGCAAAGTAGGGGGAACCTTCGACGACGGAGGGGGTCGAACGGTGGTGGACGAAGCGAGCCCATCATCCTCCACATCGACTGATAGCGACAAACTACCCTCTGGGTACCCAAGATCAAGGGAGGGGCGAGCTCGGACAGTGTCAAACTCCCAAGGATTATCTTCAACCTCTGCTGGTGGATGGGAACTACGGCAATTTGAATACGTTGATCGGCGGACAATATACGCAGGTATAGAGCTTAGGCTTACTCTCTCTCTTCATCCTCTTCCCAAGGCAGCGCACCTGCCATGCTGGCTCTCGTTCCGCCACCCTTTGTCCACGCATCATAGCGAAGAATCAGATCCTTCAAGGTTGTGACAGGTACCTTCGCGACGGACTTGATCCACTTTGTCCTTGATAGCTCATCTGCTGTTAGTCGCTGATGACCTCGTTAGTAACAAGTCGCAATGGAAAGAACGACCGTAGTACATCGTTAGGTAATTCCCGCAAGCAATTTGAGACAAACTCCCGCAACTCCTTGCTCCCTTCTCCCTCAATCAATCGGGGAGGCTTCATCCTAGGGATCATTTGAACGAGCTTCACTTGGTCCACAATGTGCGAGTTAGGCGCACTCCCTTTGATCATCTCGTATATCAAGATACCCAAGCTCCATATGTCTGCCTTCGTATCATACGAGGAAGCATGTGCGACTTCGGGAGCCATCCAGTGAGGCGTGCCTACAAGTGTGTTTCGCTTGCTGGACGCAGTGACGAGTAGAGCAGAAACACCGAAGTCACATATCATGACTTTACCAGCAGCGGTGACAAGGATATTGGCGGCCTTCAGGTCGCGATGGATAATGTTCGACTTGTGCAGATAACCCAAGGCCATGAGAACCTCGCGCGTGATGACCGACACATACTTCTCCTCGAGGACGCCGTCCATGCTGGCCTTCATGAGGGTGCGTACGCTTCCACCTTGAGCATACTCCATGACAATCCAGACCCGGGGGCCATCAAGATAACAACCAAAGTACTGGGTGACATTGGGGGCATCGCGGAGCTGTGTGAGCAGGGCTACTTCACGTTGTATGTCGCCGACATCATCATCTTCTGTGTCGAGGTTGATGATTTTTAAAGCTACGACGTTACCGGTGGAGATGTGCACTCCTTTATGCACAGATCCGTAGGCGCCTTTGCCAATTGTCTCGAGACGTCTGTAGAGTTGGTGGACGGAAGGTTGAGACATGATGCTGCAGATGATGGCTAGTCCCGACAGCAGATGAGAGCGCAACAGAGGAGGTTAGACCAGCCAAGCACCCAGGTTTGGTCGGCATGGAAAATGTTCAGCGAGGAAGATGAGGCCAGGAGAGAAAAGGAGGAGGATGAGACATGGCCGAGCCCTGTGCTCGCTCGCGCCTTCACGCTATAACACGGGGATTTATCTTATCTTATCGTCTCAAAACCCGATCGCACGCGGTGGCTGAAGACTGACTCGTACTTAACCATGGACTTCGACTACTCAACCACAAAGCTCATCCCGCAGGAATTTCTCGCTATAGTCCTAGCAGGCTTTGGCAATGAGTTAGTGCTGAACGCAAGACGTCTCTATCTATGAAAATTAACCGTGTCGTAGGCTAGTACCTCTCACGGGAAATTATGGGGACGAGCCGAGCCCAAAAGCTCTTTTGCCCATCGCAAATAAACCTATGCTAGAGTATCCTCTCGTTTGGATTGAGCAATCTGGAATAAAAAGTACGCATATATACTTGCTATCACTCTGTTGTTGATCTCTCGGTAGATGTGCTTCTCGTCTGTCCTACTCCGCACAGGTCTGCCCTTTCGAATTACATCCAGTCCGATTCGTCTTCATCATTTCCTTCACTGCGAATTGACCTCCAAACATATGACGAGACGCAAGATCTTAATGTCGGGACATGCGCGATCCTCAGGCATTTCGCGCACAAGATTCAGCAGGACTTCGTTCTACTCCCTTGCGACTTCGTGCCCCCGTCCTCGTTCTCGCTCACGCAGTTATTGAACAAGTTCAGAACAGAGACGATGTATGATGGTGCGATTGCGACCGCGTGCTTCTATGAGGGTCGCAAACCAGAGAAAGGGAGTCACACAGATGAATGGGGCTTGCTGCCTTCTCCTGTGCCAATAGTATGGGACGAACGATCGGGGACGCTTCTACATATCGAAACGCCAGACGATGTAGATCGTAATGGCGAAGAGATCGAACTCAGGATGAGCTTGCTTTCTCGGTAAGCTGAATCCGTAAAGCTCCCTCTCTGCGTGTATTCCGACACGCGTCCTCTCAGATATCCCAGAGCAAGGTTGTCTGCGAGCCTGCTTGATTCACACGTCTATGTTTGTCGGAGACAAGTCCTTGATGCCCTGCAGCAGAAATCGCGGTTTGACTCTATCCGAGAAGAGTTCATCCCCTGGCTTTGCAAGCCGCAGTATCAGCGCACGAAGCGACAGAAATATGGCCATGGTATACACGACTCTCTTTTCTGCATCAACGCTCCTCTAAATCACGCATTCAGTGCTCAGCCCTAGTGCCAATACCATTAATCAGAGCCTTGCGCTGAAGCATTCAACCGTGCATACTGCGCCCGTTCAACAGCGTTCGCGGGAAGAAAGCCTACCTCAAAGCCCCCCTTCAGACGGCCAGAATGAAGAGCAACCAAGATCTTTGATTCCATTCCTCGCAGATGACGATGAGGAAGAGTCCATGCTAGCCAGCTTGCGTGTAGGCCTTGTGGTCCAGCGAGCCGACGGCGGCTACGCTGCCCGCGCCAACAATCTCCACAGCTACCTGGAACTCAATCGGCATGTTAGTAGACCCGCCTAAGGCAGCGGATGTCCTACTTATATTTTCACTTTGTCCTGCAGTTCCTCTCTCAAACAACATATTTTCTGCCCACCGACCAGGAGAGTCGATCGCTCATCGACCACAAAGCCCAGATATCCTCAGACTCGATGATTGGTCATTCTACGCGGGTGGAGGAAAGGACCACTGTCAAGAAGTCAATCATTGGCCAGCACTGTGTCATCGGCAAAATGGCCCGGATAGTCGGCTGTGTCGTTCAGGACCACTGTGTAATAGCGGACGGGTGAGATTTCATTCGTAGTGTCCCCATTGAACGATCGTCAATTTGTCATTCAGAGCGAAGCTTGACGGATGCGTTTTGGGCAAGGGCACGAAGGTGGGGGCGAAGGCAGAACTTTCACGATGCGTCACGCAATGCGGATACGAAGTCAGCGCTGGTGGTGAGTATTGCTTACGGTCATCATGCTGCATATATACTAATGCATTGGATTGCAGAAACGGTCAAGAATGAGAAACTCGACGTCTCTGATTGGACGGCAACACCAGGGTCTAGCGAGGAGGATGAAGAGGATGAAGAGACGAGTTCCGAAGAAGAAAGCGACTGACCGTTGCATTTGACCAACTAATTTGTAGTGTGATAGACCTCGCTGCCAGATGATCTTACATGAAGAACATACAGCCGTGTTCGCATACACTTTCTCAGACATCATGACATGGATACAGAAAAACAGAACCGTGACAAAACGTAAATAGCAAAAATACGGAAGCGATCACCGAGTCCTCTGAGTGCCCGCCATCTGATTCCCAAGACCCTGGGCAAACCTTGACCCACGGCCTCGCGAGCCACCTGTGCAGAATGAGTTAGAACGACATCCCAAAGAGCGTTCGAAAAAAGTAATACTGACCACGAGCACCACCCCTCCGGTCACCACCGCGTCGCCGCTCTGCCGTCTGTTCGCCACGCTTCTCGCCCTTGCCACCGTCAGCCCGGTCGTTCCACGACGCGGTCGGGCCAAGCTTGACATCAAGCGCCTTTTCATTCTGCTCGACCAGACTGTTCACCTTGTCGGCGAGCACTTGGGCGAGCTGTTGTGTGCGCGACAGCTCGATACGGTAGAAGATGAGAACGCCCGCCTGCTGGTCGAGCGACGCGGATAGCTCCTCGCTCCAGATCATCTTCGAGACGATGGAGGTCACGGCGCGCAAGGGCAGCGAGAACGTCCGCGAGAGAAGAGAAAGGGACAGTGTGGTGTAATGGGGCGCATACGTGAAAAGATACGTGCGCAGGCCCTCCTCCTGTATCCGCCTGGAAGTAAGGTCAGTCCAGCGATTCCGATCACCATATGCAGGAAGACATACTTGGCGAGCATCTCCTTGACCGAGGTGCACTCCGGCATCAAGCTCCAGATCTTGATGCTCTGGATGAGGTCGCGGCACTTCTCCCACTCACCGTTCTGCAGCGCCTTGCTCGCCTGCATGATGTGGTCGCGCGTGCTCTCGGGCGGGCCCGTGAACACCTGGCGGTCGGCAAAGTCGAGCAGGCGCCTGAACGGCTTTGAGATCGCCTTGCGCTTCTGCTCCTCGTTGTCGATGCTCGCAAGGAGGGGGATCTCGACGAGCATGCTTGATACGAGGAATGCTGCCTCAAGCAACTCCGTGTTGATGTGCATGTGGAATGGCAGCTGACGCTGGCGCTCCGCCTTCTCTTGCTCTGGCGAGAGAACCTGGTAGCGCTGCTGGTGCACGCCCTGCGCCAGGAGCTCCTTCACCCGCTGTGTGGCAAAGATGTCCTGTAACGTCGCCTGTGCCTCCTTGATCAGACCGCATCGGAAAGCGCTCAGACCGAGCTGTACAACGGTGCGGTTGTAGAGGATCTGTGTCGCAACATCAGCAGAGTAAATCGACTCTTGAAGATGCGACATCAGGAGCATGTCCCGCGCGGTGTGGAAGTCGTTGTGGAGGGCATAGTGATATATATGGGAGAGCATGGCACGCGTACGGAGGAACGAGTTGCTGGACTTGTAGAGGTGGACACAGAGGGAGTGGATGAGGGACGACGTCTCGCCGTCACTAGAGACGACAATGGACGGCTTGATGTCTGACACCGCGACAGTAGATTCGAGTGCATGAACAACGGGATCAGGCTACGGCACAATCAGTGACCTTGCAAGCACATATAGTAATCTCAGCCCACCTTCGAGTAGATGTGCTCCAACCGGCGCATGATTACACGACCGAGCGGGTCCTCCTGCTTCAGCTGCTCATACAGCGCCTGCGAGCGGCAGATCGTGCAGTACAGATCCTTCTCGTCCTTCAGCCGGTCGACATACTCCGTCCCGTGCGGATCGATGTTCTGCAAGCTCTTTGTGAACTCGTCGTCTAGGCGGTCGACGAAGCTGATGATGCTCCCGCGGATGCGCACGACGCCGTCCTTCTCCGTCTCTGGCGAGCGCTCCGCAAGCTCGTCGTAGTCCTCCGTTATCTCCTGAATAGAGTATCCCGGCTCCTTCAACACGATAGCGATGAGCTGATCCACCTCGCGCTGGGCGGATACCCACAGGTCGGCCGGCATGTGAGTCGAGACGGACGAGTTGTAGTCGAAGCGCGCAGATACGAGTGTGAGCAGCACACGGATGCGTTGGTACGCCGTGACTGCAACGTCCAGAAGCTTTTCCAGAATGCGGATTTGCTCCTGCCTGTCGGTGTTCTACAAAGAAATGACTTTAGTCACTACTGTACATCAATAAGATCGGCGTACACACCTTTTTTCCACGGGCCTCCTGCACCATCTGCAGGTTCTTGAAGATGCTATCCGCCGTGAATTGCATGGTCTTGCCGCCCTTGCCCACGGTCGTAAATGCATCCACATCCTCCTCTTCGTCACTCTCCGCCGTGGGCTTCTTCGCCTTTTTCGCTTTCGGCGCGGCTGCAGCCTCGGCAGGAGCGACCGCTGCTTGATACTCGCGCTCAAATGCATCCGGATCCTAATTCAGCAACAGCGGTCATCAGCAAGTTAGGAGAAGCAGAGGAGGGACGAACGGACCGACTGTAAGCGCTTGATCTCGGTCTCATACTCCTTCATTACTTTCTTCACCTTCTGCTTCATGCCGTTGAGTCCGCGCGCGTTGGTCGCATTCATCTTCTTCTTCGACTCCTTCTCCTTCGCGACCGCATTGTTGAGTGAGCTCTCCAGATTTATGAGCGTGCGTATGTAGAACGGAGGGACGGGCTCCGCGACGTTCTGCTGCCGCTGCACCATGCGCACGAGCTTGTCGAATTCTACACCACACCATCACCAATAAGCATTCCATCTCACTCTTCACGACACACGAGGGCCGGTGGACAGCGAGGATAGACAAAAGGCTACGCACCATTCGAGATTGCCACCCAGTCGTTGATCTTGAGCGCATTGTCCATCGTCTTCCCGCACGCCTCCATCTCGTCGAGCCGCTTATCGCGCGCGCTCTTCACCACCCTCTTCACGTCCTCGTCGCTCTCCTCATCGTCGCTCTCCGTGCGCAGGAAGCGCGAGCGCTTTTTCGTCGCGCCGGCCTGCTCCTCCTCACTGTTCTCGCTCTCATCCTCGCTCGCGTCCTCATCCGAATCTGAATCTGAGTCCGAGCCACTACCCGCAGTGCGTGTGGTGCGAGTCTTTGGGGGCTTCGCAGCGGCGGCACCCTCGTCGTCGCTGGACATGAGCTCCTCCTCAGAGGACTCACTCTCGCTGTCGCTGTCGCCTGCTTGACGGAAGAAGCGAGACATGATGGCTGTTAGATGTTGCGGTTGGTATAGGTCCGCTGCGATGAGATGGCAAGGATATGAAGAAGCCTGGGATGACTAGAGGCGGAACCGAGCGCAGGAGCCTGAGTGAGCCGACGTCTTGAGTGGACTTGGGAAAATTTGAGTTTCGGCCCCTGCCGCTGGGGTTGCCAAATCGAGACTGCTTCCCCAGATTGCATCCTGCTCAACTCCAATGTGATGCACTGTATTGGTTCCAGCTCAATGCTCTCTCTTCTTTGCTAACACTTCTGGGAGCCAATAACCATTCACCGCTTACAGCGTGTATGCGTCCATCCAGAGTACAACAATGTATTGAAGGGGGGAACAGACATATACTGTATGCATGATCCACAAAGGAGGTGGGTAGTACAATACGCGGACCAGATTAAGTACGTCATGGGCGCACTAAAGTGAGCGTCCTTCAAATTCAAGAATAATCCCGCTTAGCGACGGGTTGCACGTTCTGCCACATATCTACGAGAGATAGCATGGCTCAGCACGATACTTGATGAATCGAGAGAACAACTCGTACCCTTCACCAGACCACAACGTTAACAGGCCAACAGAGATGGCGGACACAATTCGCCTGTCCCATTGGGGACGATCCCATTCCTTGTATGCGAAGTAACCAACGGTACCAAGGACACCCGCGTTCACTGTGCAGGCCGCTCGATCAACCTGCGAAGCGCGGGATTAAAGTGATTACTCACGGACGCCGAGAAGACCACCAAGGACACCAGGACGCAGAAGATGTTCCTTGGCGCAGCGGTATACGGCTGCACCTTCCTCCTTTGCCTTGCGCTCCTCGGCCTGGCCTCTGGGAGTCTGGCGGTACTTTTCAGCTGCGTAGGACTCTCCAGAGAGGAGGACAAATGCGGCAGCCGCCGTGGATGCGAGGGCGCGGTTTTCACGGCGTAGGTATGGCTTAGTGTAGAACGCGTACCCTGCGGCAGAGATGAGGCCGACATTTACTACACCTGTGTTAGCACCAGACCGTAGCATCACCAAAAGTAAAACACACCGAGGCCAAGGAGACCGCCTGCAACACCCGGGCGTAGGAGATATTGTTTCGCTACTTCCCAGACGTAGAAGCCCTCTTTCTCTGCCTCGTGGAGATACCGCTTGGCCTTGCCCCTCGCGTTATGGGATACAGGAGTACCTGTCGCATGCCCTGCAGGCGCGTTGACAGAGGTTTCGGTGGCGGGGTTGGAGCGGAAGTCGGAGGAAACGATGTTGACCTTGGCCGCGTCGTCTGTGATATTGTTTGCAGAGGGGGGTTCTGTGGTGAGCAGCGCGGGGTCGGGGCGAGGCTGAGAGAAGAGGTCAGAGTGGTCATGGTCGCGTAAGGGTACAAAGTGAGCCCATGTATGCACCTGCTGGGAAGGGGGCGGGGCGTTCTGGGCAGCAACGGACGCGTAGGACATGGCGACGATGAGGGTGGATGCAGATGAGCGGGCAAAGTTGGAACACAAGAGAGTGCCCCCTCGAGAATATATAAGAGGAGGGATGACATCACAGTACGTCATAGACACTGGTGCGCATCAGGCAGGCGCGATCACCCCAGCCCCCGCCAGGCCGTCCCCGGTCTCCGCCACAAACGCGTGTGCGCCCGTGTAGAACGCCCGCCCGCTCACCTCCACCCTCACCGCGTCCCACTGCCGCCCGCCATCACCGCCGTCGGCCATCACCGCCGTCTCTACCGCCGCCCCAGTGAACGCGCTCCCCGCGTCCGCCATGCTCACCAGCGAGTGGAACTCGGCCGGCTCGCCGACGCTCAGCTTCCCCGCCGCGACGGCCAGGGCAACGCGCGCGCTCACGCCGGAGCCCGTCGGCGACCGGTCCAGCTGCTGGTCCGCGAAGAAGCACGCGCTCAGGCCCCCGTCTGTCGCCGGGTCATCCGCCGGGCCCTCCGTCACGATTACGCCGTAAAGGTACTCCAGCGCACGCTCACTCGGGTGTGCGACCACCCCGGGCAGCGCCGCTACCGCCCGCTTCACCGCAGCGGTGGCCGCGTCCAGCTCGCGTACTGTGGTTCCCCGCAGGCCATTGGTAAAACCCAACTCCGCCGCACTCACGAACGCGTAGAACGCCCCGCCGTACGCGACGTCCACGCGCACGCCCGTCCTCCCCGCTGCCCTCAGCGCCGTCCAGCGTGCCTCCTCCGGGATCTCGACCAGCACGTCGCGTGCGGACACGAAGCTCGGCACGCTCACGAACCGTACCCGGCACGTCGGGTCCGACCGCAGACCACGTCCCTCTGCTGCCATTACTGGTACGCCTAGACGTACGACACCGCAAGGCGCGTGCAGCCGCAGCTCCACGTCCCCCCTCTCGTCTTTGATGAGTTGCCCTCGTTGCGGAAAGATTCGCTCGTCGTGTGTATCAACCAGGAACCGCCCCAGCGCGATCGTCGCATGTCCGCACATTGTGGAGTATCCCTCTGCGACTATATTCCAGTCGACTGCTCATATGCACACAATTTGGACTGACCGTTATGCATGAAGAGCACGCCGATGTCTGCCTCCCCATTCTCCGTCAGTTCCGTGTGTCGCACCAGTAGTGCTCCGTACATCTCCGCATGCCCTCGTGGCTCCATCATCAGACTGGATACGGTCTCAGTGCGCTTCTGCCTCACTAGCTACGTGCGTCTCACCGCTTTCGGAGGTGGTCCATTTTCTCTCTTGCAAATGCCCGCTTCTCCAGTAGTGTCCGCCCCTTCAGCTCGGGACAACCTGAGATGACAATCCGAGTGGGCTGTTACCAAGCACACAAACACTACTTAGTATTATGATCATATCCGGGAGGACAGGCTGCTGTAAGCTCGGCGTACCTCCCCGGATGTATGCATGTCGATCGTCTTGATCGTCTGCAGTTCGATACCATCGCCTGACGATAGGTGCTCCCAGATATCCATGGCTAAGATGTGCGTTCACGATCGAACATTGAGAAACGGTGCAACTAGCACGTCTATCTTATCCTATCTTATCCCGTTCTCCTGGATGAGTCGCGCCGCAGGCCGGCAGCCTTTGCATCAGACATAGCTCAGTGCATTATCTCCATCTGTATCATGTGTATCTACGTATGCCAGTATTTTAATAATGTTAACCAAGCGCAAAGAACGAGAGTATCAGGACAGCATGGTCAGAATACATCCGCGTGCGCGACGTGCAGGGGTATATCGCGAGCGGGCCGATTAATGGAGCGGTGAGAGGGCTTGGGTGAACGGTGAACGGTGAACGGTGGACGGTGAACGGTGAACAGGGCGATGAGTGAGACAGAGACTGGTATAAGGTGTGCAAATGAGTGAGGAGCAGTGTCCAGGGCGCCCAGGCGCCCAGCACCAAACAACAAGCCAACTCAGAAAACGTCCAGCGAGTGCGGGCAGTTCTCCGCGGTGTGCCCGCGCCCCTCGCAGTCCTCGCAGAACAGCTCCTCGTCCGCGTCTCCCCCCATCGACATGGACGACATGGACGACATGGACATGGACGTCGACATCGCGGGCGCGGACATGGGCATCGGGGCGACGTCGTCCTTGAGCAGGTCGCACGTGAAGATGTCGTGCCCCGGCCGCTCGCAGATCTCGCAGACCTCCTGCGTGCCCGCGGAGACGGGCTCCGTGGATATTTTCTTCGCGCCCGAGCCCACAGGTCGCTCGTCCGGCGGTGCGGCTGGCGGCTCGGTCGATAGTTTCGACGATTTCTTCTGGGAGCGCGCAACTTTCTCCCGGAGGCGTTCAAGCTCGCGCTCGAGCTCATCCTGCAGCCGTTTTACTCAACAACATGTAGCTGTATACATAGCGCGCGAACACTTACTTCACGGTAGATCTAGAGAAAGACATACACCCGTCAATTCAATGACACACTAAAAACAAGGAGGGCAGCAACATACCTTTGACTCAACGAGCGTCTCCAGCTCACCGATCTCTTTGTTAAGCTGTAGAGGAATCGTTAGCGAGCAGGCAACACGTTATGGTCCTGGTGTACATACGTCATGGATCGTCCGTGCACTTTTCATTTCTGCCTCTGCAAGCCTCCTGCGAACTTGCTCCAGCTCGGCCTGTGTCGACAATGATCAGTAACCTACCAGAGGACAGAAGCGATCGCATATACCTCATATTTCTTGTGAAGCACCGCGACGTCCCCCGCCGCAGATGTCGGAACACTACCGTCGCTGGACTCCAGAGCCTCCTCGCGGAGAATGCTCTGTTCTATGTTCTCCTCGAGAACCTTCAGATCCTACATCACATAATTAATTTCACGATGCAACAACATCTTCGTTTGTCCTCACCTCCCGGAGCTGCTCTGTCTCTGATAGAAGTAATCTGTTCTCGGATTCCAAGACCTTGTTCCGCTGTGCAGCAGCCGAATTCTCCTTCTGCAGCTCTTGGACGATGTGTCTGCGCTATATTGGTTGGACAGCACTTAAATAGTAACGGAGATACTCACTTGAGGCCAGTGATCTCGTCGCGGGCCGCAGCGAGATCGTGCTTGGAGGGTGTCTTCCCGGATTCCACGGCATTGACGGGCACATCGCGATTCGATTTCTTGCGGATATTCTCCAGCTCTGCGGCATGCTCTTCGCACATTTGTTGCAGCTATCCTCGGAAAGTGAGCTCCATAAACCGAACACACTTCAGTGACACACTTACCGAATCTCTCTCGGCTTGTAGGTTTGCAACAAGTTCGCGCAGGTCCTGAACAATATGGTCCGAGCTCGCACTTGCTGAAACGTGCGATGACTGCGCGTCAGACTCAGCAAGCCGCTGCTTGAGGTGGGCGATCTCCTCCGTCAAGCGAGTGGTAGACCGTTGTACCAGATCAGCCACCTTCTCTGACGAGTTGGAATCCGTGATGCCAGACGTGATACTCTCCAGAGCCTGCAAAATGAGAGCAATAAGCATAGACCTCATGCCCACATGTGGTAGAGCACTTACGGCGATCTCGCTCCTGAGAATCTCAATCTCCGCCCGTGCGTTCTCCAGAGCGTGCTTGTTCTCTCTCAGTGCATCGTCCATCTCCTCGATACGCTGACGAGCACTCTCTTCCGTCTTTAGGAGACGTTCGACTTCCTTCTTGCCGTCGTTCACCTCCTGCTGCAGCGCGTCCTCCCTCTCCTTGTATCGCTTGGCGCGTTCGCGCACGGCAGCCTCCTCTCTATCGAACGTCGCATGCGCCTCCTCGAGCTGGTCTTCCAATACCGCAATTCGCTTCTGCAGATGCTGTACCTGCTCTCGGAGTGACTCATTGTCGATTTCGACGGCAGAGGTGGCTTGCCTCTGAGCGGTGACAGGGGACAGTGGTTCCAGCTTAGCACGGAGCTGCTCGTCGAGCGATGCGATAAGATCCTCAAGCTCATATCGTTGTGTGTCTGCCGCACTGAGGCGCTCCTCGTACAACGCAATAGTTTCCTGCGGTCAAAATTAGCCCTTTGATTCTACGGAGTACTGATTGCACGCGAACCTGCCCTGCTTTCCGCAGCTCCTCGACCTGGGCGCCCAGCTCTTGCCTCTCATCCTCCAGCTCCGCGTACGCTTTCTGCACGCGCGCCTCCAGGAGCGTAATTTCGGCATTCTTTGCCTGTAGGACCGCATCGTTCTCTGTCTGCAGGCCCTCCTTCGCCTCGATCAGCTCCTTGAGGTTGTCCACGAGCGCCTCCTTGTCATCCAACTTGCTCTGGATGTCCCTGAGACGCGCATCCGCATCGCTCTTGATCTTCTCGATGTCCGCCTCTTTCTCCTTCGCCGCTCGTTCGACCGCCTCAATGGCCGTCTCCCGCTCGTTCAACAGACGCTCGTTGGCGCGGACGGTTGACTCCAACTCCGTGATCCGCGTCGCGCTCTGCTTCTGCTCCGCGGCGAGCTTCTCAGCGCGCTGAACGGCCCCGTTCTGTGCGTCTGTGCTTTCTCGAAGCCGCCGATTCTCGTCTTCTGCAGCGGTCAGGCGTGCATGCAGTCTTTCGATCTCCTGTTGCAGCTCTTCAGAATGTCCGGAAGAACCGCCTGATGCGGACGAGCCTGGCCGGGGGACGCGACCGGCCATGAGCTGGGCGATCTTGTCTTGAAGGGCCTTCCCATTGCTCTCTAAGTCGGTGAGTGAATTGGCGCCCCGGTGGCTGAAGCCTTGATCGCTCATCGTCACCGAGATAGAGCGTCCCGATTTTATTGACGGTGAGGCAGGCGGAGGCATGGCGATACCGCTTGGCACGCGAGCACGCGGGGTGTTACGCCTCGAGGGACTACCGGGTGGTACCCCCACGCCGATGCCCGACGTACGGCTACCATAGGACGCTTTGGGTGTGTTGAATGGTGAGGGTAAGGAGCGTGGTGGAGAAGAGAAATGCGCCGGTGACGATTTCCCAGCAGTCCGTGTCGGGCTGTTCAGTCCCGAAGAGACTCGCGATGGACTGGCCGTCCCCGATCCGCGTGAGCTGAGCTGCCGAGCTGTCACCCCGACATACTTCGATGCTCGCGAGCCGGGCGTGATGATGTTTTGAGCAGCAGCGGGGCGCACAGGCGTGATAGCATCGACGGCCGCACGAGCATTTCCGGTGACCGAGCGTGCTCGTGTCGCAGGAACAGGGCCGCCGGGAGTCTTGCGACCTGCAGATGGAGTAACGCGACCATTTGGAAGAGAAGGGGTGGCACGGCCGTTGGAGAAGGACGGCGTTTTACGACCAGTAGACGTAGAAGTGGAAGCAGACGGGGTGATCCTGCCAGACAAGGAAAACGAGGGCGTGATCCGCCCGTTGCGGGAGGAAGCAACGGACGATGGTCGCGACGAGCCTACAGTGGGCGCAGATAGCTTCGTCGAGGCAACAAACACACCACAGTTTGGAGGGCACACAAAGTATTGCTTCCTTCATGAATGTGCATGAGCATCATGGCTGCAAGATATAACGCGGGAGAGGTTATTGAAATAGCAACCTTAAGCTTAATCCTTGCTCCGCTTAGTCTCCAAGGTACCTTCGCAGAGCAAAGATGAAGTTGCAGATGCGCGACGCGTCATGAACCGAAAGCCTTTGCTATCGTGCGCTTGATGTATCGAGGATCTCCATTCACGTACGTGGGTATCGCGATGGAGTGAAGCCGTTGTACAGATTTCACGCAGGATAGACGCAGCACGAAGCAAGGCACGGCCGCAGTATGACCGGGAGGCGTATCGACAGAGAAACGAGATAGATGGCTTACCCATTGACAGCGCCATTATTTTTGCCCTTCCCAGCAAAGCCTCCGCTTAACTCGACCCCAGCCCAGTGACCAGGCTTCCCGTCGATCTCCCCAAGGTACTTTAACGTACCTTCATAACCGAGGGACTCAATTCTGACGTTATCGCCTTCCTCGAATGACCTCCCTGCGCGACTGGCGCTTCGCGTGAAGACATCAGACTGACGACTGGCAGGACGTGGACCCGGGACCTTTGGGGTAGCTCCAGGCGTGCGAGACGCAGCAGCACTGATGGCTGAGGAAGATGACGCGACGGAGGATGGACGACCAGCAACAGAGCGCCTGCCGCTCTGGGAAGCAGGAAAGGTAATAGATGTAGATGGCGAGAGAGACACATTTGAGACATCACTAGAGCGTCCCGGGCGGTGCAGCGCGGGATCGTTGGCCTTGATAGCATCGGCAAAGGCCCTGGCGGCATACTCATCGTCCTGTGGCTGCGGAGGGTATTGATTTGCGCTCGATGTTGAACGTACTCGCGCGGCGCCAGGGGTTGGAAGCCCGCTCGGTTTGCCAGGCGTTGGGATGCCTGACTGGCGAGTCTTAGCAGATACAGGAGTCGCCATGATAGATCATAAAAATGAAGGCAGAAGGAAAGAATGAGGCGGCGAAGAGGAGAACGGGGCTCAGCAGACGGAGGGAGACCAGTACACGAACATCGTTCTCTGCCCAAGTGATCGACCACTCGAGCGTCAACCTCGACCAGCCAGCGAGCGCGCCTCTGCATCTTGGACTCGACAAGCCACTATGCCGCGCATTCCTTTCCAGCTCTCGCGGCTGCTTGCCAGGCCACCGACGCTGCCAGTTGCGATGCGCGCGGTATCTACTCGCTTGCCCACGGCAACTGCGTCCACATCAACTTTCCTGCGTCCTGCAGCATCTACATTGCTCTCCAGTGCTCTGAGTGGCCCATTCTCCCTTCTCAAACTCACCACAACGTCACCCATCTTGTCTGTCGTTCAGCAAGTACGATTTCGCTCTCGGGGTACCGAGTACCAGCCTTCGCAGCGAAAGAGGAAACGCAAGCACGGATTCCTTGCCAGGAAGAGGAGTGTCTCGGGTCAGAAAATCCTCGTCAGACGGAGAGCCAAGGGCAGACGCTTCCTGTCCCATTAGGGCCATGTTAGCGTTAGGGACTGCACTGTGAGTATGGAACACTTGTGCATATGCCTCATTGACACTGATTGGTTGTGCATTTAAGTTCCATAGCCGAGACGAGTTCCGTTTCCTCCAAATCAAAGGTCCTTTAAGAGGACAAAGAGATGCTAGTAGCGTCCTTTCTAGACCGGCGGGGTACGGATGCTACATTATAGCAAGGCTCCATGGGTCATTGCCGAGCAACATAGTAGGACGTGTGCACGCTGCGATTATGGTATTTCAATGTGGTTGTAATCTTTCACAAATTGTGGTGAGTGATCAGCACGAAAGACTCTGAAGCTTCAGCACGAGCAACAAGTCAATCCAACGACGCAAATGATTACTCGATCTCGACGCAGTAAGTGGAAAGCTATGTGAAAGCATGACATCAATCCGACAGCGGTACCCGACTACGACAACCTACGAACTACAGCTCCGTCAGTTCGGGCTGTCAGGTTCGTCACGGCCAGTGTTCAGCGCGCTCAAATTCAGCCCTCTCAGCGGTGGGCATGGCGGTATACCCGCACCAGCGCGAGGGGCTGGTGTGAAAGGCGTGAAGGGCGTGAAGAGGAACCCGCGCTGAATGTCCGCGACGAGGGCAGATATCGGGGTTTGCTCTACCGCCAAAGGTGCGAGGTGCCCAAGTGTGCGTTTCGGTGTGACGGGCCTGGGTATCTCCACTACAGGAGCAGGTGGAATGGGGGGCGAGGGCGGGGGTGAGGGAGGTAGCGGGACCAGCGCCGGTATCTCTAATTCTCTCAAGTCCGGGCTCGGGGGCAGGGGTACCAGTGCAGGAGCATCCCCCGGGCCAGGACTCGGAGGTAGCGGGACCTGTACTGGCACAAGAGCGGGAGTTTTCGAGCGCGCTCGCGCATGCGTCTGGCGACTGGGCCGCGACTCCACAGAGGCCACGGCTGCCTTTGCTACCTTTGCGTCGCCTTTACTCTTGACCGTCTTTGCATGGGCGGACGACTTCTGGTCCGCAGAGCCACTAGCGGTCTTCGCGTTCGAGCTCTTTGTGCCTGCAGTCACCGAGGACTTTGTCCGTGAGGGTACAGGCTTCGGCTTCTCACTCGGCTGTGGAGGTGCGGGCTTCGGCTTCTCGTTCAGTAGTACAATCACGGTCTTCAACTTCTCGCTCGCCTGGACAGGCACAGGCTTCTCGTTCGCTTTAGTCACGGGCTTGGCTTGCTTCGACCCAGCCGTCGCCTTGGGGGGAGGCGCAGGCTTCGTCCCAGTAGACCTCGATAGAGCAGACCTGCCCGTAGACGCCGCTACAGGATCTGTGAGCGCGATATCGCGTGCCGGCTCCGGAGGCGCAGGAGCACTTGGAACCTCTTCCGTGGGCGTCATCCTCAAGACACGCCGTGCGCCACCCACAACGCGTTCCTTCCGCTCGGTGGGCTGGCCGCCGGGGGCACCCATTGTCCCTGGTCTGATTGGACCGCTACGAACGCCCCTCGGAGGCTCCTGAGGAATGGGCTGTCGCATTGGTCCCCTTGCATTCAATGTCCCTGTTGAGCTTGGTGGTCGTTGTGGCTGCGACTGTGAGATTGTCCGCGGCCGCTCTGGCATTGTACTCGACGAGCCTGGTACGGACGCGGCGACCCTCGGTTCACTCTTGAATAATACATCGTCGTCGTGTTCGTGGTTGCTGGTTGTGGTGGCCGCCGAGTCTGGACGCTTGGGGATAAAGACGGGAGGCGCCATATCGCTCTTGACTTTCCCGCCGAGGCGATGCGGTGGCTGCGTAGGTCTGCGGGTCTGCAATGGCAGATCTCGCAATGCAGCGTTAGAGGCGATCGCATGTCGCTCCGCCTCTGCTTCAGACGCTATGACAGCTGCTGAAGAGGATTGAGACCGTCCGTGATCGGGACGCACCGGGAAGGTCCCGGAATTGGAGCGGATAGCAGATGTGGAAGATGAGAACTGTTGTTTGGGTGGCCGCTCTTGCACGAGGTTCAGCGACTGTGAGGATGGGGGTCGGCTAGGTGGATTCGAATTGCTACTTGGCGCAGCTGATGCTTTGATATTGAGATACTTCTTGACCGTGGGTGTGAGTGGCTGTGTGAAGCTGCAGAAAAATGAGTGCATGGGCGGTACGGTGTCCAAGAGCGACATACCTCTCCACTCGCCTCGGTAGAAGCTGCTTGTACGCCTCAAATATTTTCTTCGCGATCTTCCGCACGTCAGCACTGGCGTCTGTCGCCGTCAGACGGATCGTGCCCTCGATCTCGCGCGCCCGTGGCTCTCTCTCCAGGTCTGGCGGATTGAAGCCGTTGAGACAAGCTAGTGTAGCTTCGGCAGCGGCTAAGCGCAGAGATACTGACTTGTCCTTGGTTGACTCAGCCAGGTAGGGCAGAATCGACGGCGATCGTGTGTGCTCGATGATGGCTAAGACGCAACTCCGAGCCCGAGAGATGAAGACCTTGTTCGACCGCGTGCATATTGTGAGCAGTCCGGGCAAGAAGAGGGGGATGAGGGGGTCGAAAGAACTATCCAGAACACGCGCGAGCTCACTCAAGAGTTCTATGGCAACGCCTGACAGCCGTGTCCGCTCAGAGCTCGCTGCACTGTTGAGTGGTCGTGACACGGGTCGGACATTCGCCACAGTCTCAAGAGGATAGTCAGCCGCGTTTCCTCGCACAAGCGCAGTCATACGAATCATTGCGTTGGCTATGCGATCCCAAGTCTCCTCGGTTTCGGGGATGAGGATGGGGTCTCTCAGAGAAGTCATCTGGTACTCGTAGTCTGCGAGCGATGAGCACTGATTGACGAAATGTGAGTCATTCTCATGGTCAAAGCAGCACGCAGGCCTACGTGAATTATAGTCGGCGGCGGAGGCGCCATGATGAGCGGGAAGAGAGATGAAGAAAAGGATTGGAATGTGCAAACAGTGTTCAGAAACTTGAACCAACGCGTCGCGAACGCATGGTGCGGCACGTGATCGCGCCATGCCGCGCCGCGTCCTGCCGTTCCTCACTGGTTCCTCACGCTCGCAGCAATTGAACGCGTTCTCGTCCTGCTACCATCTTGCCTGGTCCAGCGAGCTCGACAGTAGCGGCTGCGATGAACAAAGCGCTGCCAAGCTACTCGGGCCCGTCCCCTGAGAGGTTGAGGCGACGAAAAGATGTGGGAGTCGTGACAGCCTGTATACTATCCATCCTCTTCTTCCTCTGTATCCGGGGCACGGCATATTTCAACCTGTTCAACTCAACACCGTCTCATGCGGCTTCTGCTGTCTCTCGCTGTCTATCTCTTGAGCTTGCACCAGGCCCATCTGCCGATTTCCACAAGCGCAAGCAATCCGACCGTTATGTGCCTGGGACCAAGCCATACCTTTTGAAGAATGCGAGGATATGGACTGGGGCGGAGAATGGCACGGAAGTCGTCGACGCAGACATCTTGCTCGACAAGGGCCTGATCAAGGGCATCGGTCACGTTCGTCAGTCGACGCTGCAGGCGTACAAGGATGACCTCGTAGTCATAGACGTCAGAGGCTCCTGGGTGACGCCTGGGTTCGTTTCGCAGTCTATATTTGTACAATTGAACTGACGTACGCTATGTATGCCTTGCGCGGACATGTAGAATTGTTGACCTGCATTCCCACCTTGGGGATGCTTCTAGTCCTGAGCTTGACGGCGCGAGCGGAGACGATAACTCCTTGAAGGGGCCCATTCAGCCGTGGCTTCGAGCTCTAGACGGATTAAACACTCATGACGCGTCGTACGAACTCTCTATCTCTGGCGGTGTTACCACTGCACTCGTCCTGCCGGGCTCTGCGAATGCCATTGGTCTGTATGAGTTGGGCAGTAAATTGTGAGAATGGATGCTGAACGGCGATATCGTAGGGGGGCAAGGGTTCACAATCAAGTTACGCAAGACACCTGAGCGCTCACCCACCTCAATGCTCTTGGAACCTCCGTACCAAATCAATTCGTCCTTCCTGGAGACAGCAGAGCATCCCAGATGGCGCCAAATGAAGTAGGTGCAGACGTTTCCAACATATGTCAAAACTGCTCACATCGTCGCCATTTTTGATAGACATGCTTGCGGTACGGATCGTTACGGGCCACTTCGTGATTTCTGATTAACTGATTATTATTTATTACATTTATTACAGGGGAGAACCCTAGTACGTGCGCATGAATCATATTTAAGAAAGATTGTCTAATAGAAACCGTAGGTCGGGTGTATGGCTTCACTCGCATGGATACAATTTGGGCCTTCCGTGAAGCGTGAGGCTCGTCACTATATAGTTGTTGCGCGTTCTTGAACGACTGCATGCAGTTACAACAAGGCCAAGCAGATCAAGGAAGCGCAGGATGCGTACTGCGTCGATGTTCGTGCCAAGAATTGGGATGCCCTCAAGGATAAGTCCTACCCCGAAGATTTGCAATGGGAAGCACTCGTCGATGTATTGAGGGGGAGAGTCAAGGTGCGCATAGACTCACTAAACTAGCGTTTTAGTCGGCTAGACCGCATCCAGGTTCAAGTCCATTGCTACGAGACCGTAGACCTCGATGACATTGTACGGGTACGTCATCGCATTTTTTACTTCGTCATCAGTGTGCCAAGAAAGATCTTTCAGCTTTCGAATGAATTCCAATTCCCTATTGCGGCGTTCCACCACGCCCATGAGGCATACTTGGTTCCTGACACACTGAAGAAGACTTACGGTGAGCATATTGTAGGCATGTATGTAAATACAGCAATTGACCACCTTTCTTCTGTGACATCAGGACAACCACCAGGCGTTGCCATGTTTGCCACGAACGCAAGGTCGACACATCGACTGAGGGCCTTAGTCCATGACTAATGATTTCACTATCACAGGTATAAACGCGAGGCTTACCGTGGGTCTGAGTTTGCTCCTCGCATCCTTGCAGAGAATGGACTCAGAGTCGTCATGAAAGTCTGTCATCCTCTGCATGACTTATTCGATCAACTTACTCTGATCTTTGCATAGAGCGATCATCCAGTCCTAGATTCTAGGTATCTGCTCTATGAGGCTCAGCAGGCATACGTGTACGGTCTTCCAGACAACCTGGCCATTGCTGCGGTTACCAGCACGCCAGCTGAGATCATGGGAATGGGACACCGTGTTGGCTATGTGAAGGAGGGTACGTAATGTATTTGAACATGCGTAGTTCGTGTGCTGAAGGATACTCTGTCGTCTAGGTTGGGATGCTGGTACGTTCGTTCATCTCAACCGTCCAAATTCGAGGACATGAACTCGGAGTCAGATCTCGTCATTTGGGACAGCCACCCGCTCGCTCTCGGTGCAACCCCAAAGCAGGTATTCATTGACGGCATTCCGCAGCTGGAGACCCCACACGTTGTGAATAAGCCGGCGGCCTGGCAGCAGAGGCCGAGAGTGCCGAACTTCGACAAGGAGGCTGCGGACGCTGTGAAGTACGAAGGTCTCCCACCGTTGACCCCAGCAAAGTCAGACTCCGGTGTCGTCTTGTTTACAAACGTCAAGAGCGTTTACAAGCGCGCAGGTGGTGATGTGCAAGTAGCCTATACTTCCGGAGATGCCGACCTTGGGGTGGTAGTTGTCCACAACGGCGTCATCGCATGCTCGGGGGGATACAAGTCTTGCGTTACTCCGGCCCTTTTGGGTAGCGCCGAAGTTGTGAACCTGCAAGGCGGTTCCATCGCACCTGGACTGGCTACCTATGGCTCCCAACTCGGCCTACAAGAGATCAGCGCAGAATCATCGACCATCGACGGCTACGTGTATGATCCGCTCCTTCAGAAAGTCCCCGCTGTCCTGGGTGGAGACGGTGCCCTTGTTCGTGCCGCTGACGGGTTGCAGTTTGGAAGCCGCGATGCCCTGTGAGTATAGATCAGTTGACTTCAATACTCCATGCTTCATTGGTGTCTCGGTCATGTAGTTTGGCATATCGTGGAGGCGTTACGACCGGAATCGTCGCCCCAACTCACCGACGTTTCTACGCGGGCCTGAGCACATCATTCTTCACCGGCGCACCACACAAGCTTGAGGAAGGTGCAGTGATACAGGACGTGAATGCTCTTCACGTCACCGTGCGCCACTTCGGAAGCATTCCAAGTATCAGCACACAGATTGCCGTGCTCCGTAAGCTGCTCCTTGAGCCAGGTGAAGGGGAAGCTGGCGAGTGGTTCGAGGAAGTCAGAGAGGTAAGCAATGTCAGCCTCAGGCTTTTCTGGCTTAAGAGCTGAGACATCACCCAATCCGCAGGGTCGAGCGACATTGGTCGTCGAGGCAGACAGCGCAGATGTGATTGCAACTCTGATTCTTCTCAAGAGAGAGGTGGAGGACGAATTCGGCAGTACTGTGAAGATGACTATCACTAGCGCTCTCGAGGCACATATCCTCGCCAAGGAAATTGCTGAGGCCAACATTGGCATTGTTCAGGTGCCAGCACGACCATTCCCCACGACTTGGGAGAGACTGAGAATGTACGACTTTACCGACAAATGGATTCTGACCATTGCTGACAATACTCTTACCAGCCTTCCCGGACACCCTCTCACGGAATATAGTTCACTTGCTGTCCTGCTATCTCATAATGTCACTGTCGGCATTGGCATTGAGGAAGCATGGAGTGCTCGCAATACTCGCTTCGATATCGGCTGGGTGAGTTGACATCGTAATCCTTCATGCCATCCATTTCCTGATGTGCTACTAGGCTGCAGTCGAGGCCGGTGGATTCATCACCAAAGAGCAAGCGATCGCTCTTGGCTCTACTAACGTCGAGAAACTGCTCGGCGGCGATATCGATAGTGAAGATGTACATGACATGGTGGTCACAGAAGGCGGCGACTTGCTGGACTTTGAGAGCAAAGTTGTCGGCGTCATCTCACCAAGACGCAGAACTGTAGATCTGTTTTGAGCTTTACTGTGTGTATTCGTTTTGAGCTCGTCGATGTTTATATATATTGGAAACCGTGCTTCTTCGAATATTTCTTGGACCCATCTCTTGGGCACAGAAGAACTTCGCGTTGTCATCCATGCATAACACAGGTGGAAAATGAATTAGTCTGCGTATACAACATCTTGTCCCGCATGTCTAATGTGCGACTCCTCATACCGATTCTGACGTGTACACGATGAGGCCTGAGTTTACTTGTGACATTCCAATTCCAAAAAGACTCACGCTGGAGAAGGCTGTTCAACTTTGTGACGCGAGATGCAACACTAAGGTCCAGGGTCTTGTCTCCGAAGTCAACAACGATACCGCCCAGCACTGCAGGGTTGACCTACCAGGGCAAAACATGAGGAAATCATACACAAGGCAAGGCTGAGACAACGCACCTTGTTTGCCACCTTCAACGACTTGGATTGTTGTGCTGCCTGCGAGTTCTTCAGTGCCGTCTCGAGTCGCGTCTGGACGTCCCTAGGGAGCGGCGCGGCAGACGTGATCGTGACCGTCAGCTCGCCCTTGTAGCCTGCGACGAGCTCATTGAAGCCATCAATGACGCCCTGCATCTCCGCAAGGCGGCCGTTCTCCGAGAGGACTACGAAGATGTTTTTCGTGATCTCCGACACGGGCTCCTTCTTCGCGCCCGTACCCTCTGCCGCGGCGTACAGCACGGAGAGGCCTGCGATGCGGTCCTTCATGGAGAGCGTCGGGTTCGAGACGAACGAGCTCAACTGGGGCGCGTCCTTGACGGCCGTGGCGATGGTGTTCAGCTCAGTCTGCACTTTGTTGATCGTCTGCGGCGACTTGGCAAGGGCGGCGTTGAAGATGGCATGGGAGTACTTAAGCGCGAGGGCGCTCGCAGCTCGTCGTCCGAGGCCGGTCGAGGCGGTGGCTGCACGGACGGAGGTGGAGAGCAACATGGTGCTGAATGGGAGGGAGGGCGTCGAGAGCGTTGGCCTGTTCGTGGGCGAGCCCGTCACGTAGCCCGCTCTCTGCCCGCGGGAATTTCCGGCTTCGTCCTGCCGGTGTATTCAGCGCTCAATCGGAGACTGCATCTGACAGACGATCGACCTCTGATTGGTTTGCATACCACTCAGAGAATATATATATACAGCATTCAGATCGCAAGAAAGGCCCGTATATGCTAACATTTGAATACGAGCAATAGCTTAACTTCTTCATACATCAGAGATGACCGTATGATATTCAGAACAAATCAACCTTCCCTCGTCTAGACGAGATAACCGCTACCACCTTGCCCTCGAATCCAAGTAAGTCACCCCCTGCGGTCGCGACAAGGTCCTCGGTGCCCGCAGGTATGTCAATTCCGAGAAGCTCCTCGATATTCGTCGAAGCCAGGGCATACGCAGAAGCCTTATCCAAGACATCCTGGGCAGAATGCAGCGCCTCGTAATCGAGATGAGCTTTTGATCTTAGAGAGTTCGCGCGAGAACCTACCCATCCGGCGTCAAACCTGAGGTTCCGCACTGCCCAGGTGCTCATGTCCGGGGCAGCATTCACGCCCTGTGGACCGAGACCAACCTTAACACCGTGTCTTATCAGATAGGCGACAGCCCCTTCCTCTGTAAGAGGAGGACCGCCAAGGCTTGGGTCTGCGTGAGACTAACGACGGACTGCTCAAGGAATGACGCTCACATGCGTTTGCGGTCCCAATCGTACGGCTGGGATAAATCTTAGCTAGCACGCGAATGCATGTATAAGGAGAACACGTACATAAGACCTAGGTGGTGTCAGTATCACGCCGATATTCGCTCTAGCGAGTTCTTTTGCGAGAAGATGCGCCTCTGCACCGCCAACAATGGTGAGTTTTATGATACTCCCTATTTTGGCTTCGACCTCTTTCTTGAGACCGATGAGGGTTGCTATGATATCTGCACTGTTCACTTCCACCACAAGGGGTACGGTACCCTGTTGCGAGCAGAGTCAGTTCCGAAGTGGGCAACGGCCAATCAATACTTACATCCGCCACCTTCTCGAGCCATTTTCCGCTCTCGCCGGAGGGGTGCAGCAAGTATCGTCTGAGCGTCGCGATCTGCGTGCTGACACTCGGAAGACCCATCGACCGGCCGATCGTCACATGCACCGCAGCCACATCCTGGACGACGGCCCCCTTCTCGAGTTTATGCCGTGCGCCTAGGGAGAATGCGACACTGAGCCCTCCCAAGAAAGCCGCATGGTTGGGAGCCGCGATGCCTACAGTGACGCCATGGCGGTATGCGAGCCTGCAAGATTTATTCTGGTCAGTTTCAGCAATCATGTGTACGTCGCAAATAGCATACATCGCATCCCGCGTGCCATATTGCAGCCCATCGACGGCTCTTGTCAAGTACCCCGCGCCTCCGGTGATAGCAGGCACCTCTGCTAGGAGAGGATCCAAGGCCACACCATCAACTGTAGACTCCTCCATGGATATCTCCTGCAGTCCGATCGTGGAACCGAACGAGACAAGGCCGGGTTGCAGAGCACCTCCGTGAAGGTTGACCATGACCGCTTCCGGATGCACGGTATACTGCGAGCATGCCGCAGAGGCGCCAGAGCAGACCACCTTGCCCCCCTTAACGACAACGATGGGCTCTCGGATACCCGAGCCCTCGCCTGGCTCGAGCAGGCTCACGATGCCTGTGCCATCCATGCTCTTGGCCCACACATTTGTAATGTTGGTGAAAATCACGATGCCGTCGGTAGACTCGGTGGGTTCCAGAGGCGGGAGGCCATCGTACTTCAGTGTCTTTTGCGCCTCCTCAGAAAAGTCTGGTGTCTGGGGCGCATGCTGCTGTGCCACCAATTTCGCAAAGGCACGAGTCTCGTCAAATTGGGGGATCCCGTCCACAATGACTTGACTCGGCGTCGCGCCCAATGCGAGCGGATGGCTATCCCAAATAACCACATCTACGACCAACGACGTCATGACACTGGGAACGTCGATGTATATGTTACGCAGAACATACCAGCGTCGTATCCTATTCAGAAAGTTGTCAGCTGACCGTGCCATAGAGAAAGGTCAAACAAACGCGGACGTACCCGTCTTGAGGAACCCAATACGATGATCAAGCCCCAGCAGCGTAGCCGGGGTGCTGATCACCGATGCGAGCGCAATATTTTCATCAAGCCCATAGTAGTGTGCTTGCGCAGCCTCGTTGACCAAAAACCTGGACAGGATGCCAGGATGGTCTGACTGGCAATTGAACTCACGGTTCAGGGCCATTGATACATGTCAGTATGCAGGCCTCCGGCGTACCTTCATAATCACAGGAATGTCATTCTCTGCGAGAATCCGAGGCGCGTACTCGGAATGCCGGAACGCCTCCCGCTTGTATCTGTGTCGGATCGTCACGCCAGCTCTAGCATGCCCGGCGTCAATGCTCACCTAGAGAATGTCGCGAACATTGCGATGGCCGGCGTGTTCCCTATGCATACGGAGTCAACTGGATGCATTATTGAGAATGTGGCCGCGCTGACCGTATGCGCGCTTCAGGACGTCTGGGACGAGGTACGCTTCGTGCGCATGGTGGAACGCTGCGACGGAGAACCGGAACTCGTTCGACAGCTAGAGATTCCCGGCATCGTCAAGGCTGAACATGATCTCAAAACGTGAAGCGCACCCTGACGAAGTCATCAAAGTCGACAGCCTCATAGCAGTGCGTTTGGACCTGTTGGCCGCCTGAATACGGTGCACGGTTTCAGAGACTAGGAGCCGTGCATGCCTTAACCCTCCCACGGAGCACGTCGACGAGAGACTCCCACTGCAGATCTTCAGGGAATGCCTGTCCCTCTAGCGCCTTCCAGTCCCCCGCGAGCGCCTTCGCGCAGTATTGGTCCTGGGCGTCCCTGATTTCGCGCGCTTTGTTATAGCTGCGGTCATTCGGTTGCAGGCAAAATACACGCGGTCAATGACAAAATTAGCAGTGGGAGACGGCTGCTGACGTACGCCTGACGGTATCCCCACACCGTGTCCATCCGCGTGCCCGAATACACGCGTGCTGCGCGGATAGCATGATCGGTGGTGAGACAATGTGCGTTTGCAAATGCACAGCCACACGGCGTCGCTTACCTGGGTTCTCTCCTGGAAGTATCGTGCATCGCGCATTCGTCAGCAGGATCAGCAGTGCTGTCAGCGTGATGGGACTGACCGCACGCGTGTCTAATGCACGAATGTCAGAGCATTGACGCAGGGCCGCGCTACGTGAAAGAAACGCACTTCATATGTCTCCATCTCGGCGGCACAGACGTGTCCACTGCCGAACCGTTGAGGTAGAACGGCGGCTCGAGCAGCATAGACGTCGGCGTGCGCTCCGTCGTGGGTCGCAGCTTGATGACGAAGGCCTGGCCGCCTGGAACGGTTGCATCTAACATCTGTCACACGTACAGAAAGCAGACGGACATACCGATGGCGTCAGCAGAGCCTGGAAGGATCAGTGAGGTGGTTACACCGCCCGCCATGGTGTGCTTGAACCCTGAATGATAGTATGCATCAAATCCGTCACACGACCGAGATGGCGGGGTAAGAGGAGCTGACCATCGTCGTGGGTGTTGAGCGCGTCGAGCGAGCGGAGCCATGGCAGGACAAGCCCATTGAAGGAGTTGCCGTCCGAGCTGCCCCTCAGCGACGGCGACGACTCGACAGCGAGATGCGAGTGCAAGTCAACGACTCTGTATCATGCATCCAGCCGCAGCACTCATGAGCCTTAACAAACGAGCGCACCCAGGCGTGACCCATGCTCTGCAGGCAATTGCTCGACTCGATGTATGCGCGCGGTATTCCATGGCTGAAGACGCACCCATGCACATCCACCGTTTCGACGTCACTCAGCGTACTCAACATCCCCTCGCCGATGTCCCCTACAGCCTTGATAAGTCCATGGGCAAGCAGCAGGTCCCCCTGGAGGACTTCAAAGCCCTGGACGCGCCCCGTCCAGATAGTCGCATTGCGGATGAAGATCGGGCGCGTCCCCTCTTGGTACCTGTCCGACACCACACGCTGACTGAAGGTCTCCGGCGGGCCAGGCTTGACCGAGAGATGCGCGCACTGCCCAACGATCGCGTCCTTGTCTAGTTGCACCGCGGAGCTGTGAGTATCGAAGAACCAGCCAAACCTAACGCAGTACGCGACGAGGAACGCGCAGAAGAGGAGCCCCCACTGGATTCGATGCCGCGCCGACCTAGGGGGCGGTGCACCACGAGGAGAAAATGCGAATGACTTCTCCATGGCGGGAGCAGCGTTTGGGGAAACGCAAGGGAAACGATCTCATGACGCGAGCGCGACGCGACGCGCAGGCACCAGCCTCGGCAGCACGCTTCGAAGTCTCGGCCGTCCGTCCCGAGCAAGATCCTCTGAAATTGAATGATTCCGAGAAGGACCGGACGTAGAACGATTGCTCACGAGAGTGCTTACTAGGCCTTACCAACCATCGTGCGTTTACAATCTCTCAAGCATGCATGACGCGGTAATCTTTTCTCCTGTGTGCTAATACGGAAGATGCATACAGTCAAGACAATTGCCTGCATGCCAGGCCAAAATGCATGTTTGGAACACGATCATGATCGGTGATGTTGTTGGCAACGGGCACTCGAGGCGGCGGCGCATTGTGGGGTGAGTACAGCCTCGGGATAAATCAGTCGCAGAGAGCCGAAGAATGGAGGATCAAAATAGAACGTTGTTATCTCAGGGTGTTGTTCGCAGCGCCTGGAGGCATTTTTGGCAGTGCAAAAGTGCCTGGAAGCGACGATGCATGCGTCGAACACGGGACGAAGTGAATGGTTAATATGCGTGAGCGCAGGCGGTGGAGAAGGCGGCAATGCTATCGGACAGAGTTGCTGCTAGAACAGGCTGCGGATCGAAGCAGCTATAGCCGGGCTCAATAATCCGGCACCGGGTCCGCCTGGCACTCCGTCACGGATGGACCTAATTTGGAAAGAGACCTTCCCGATTCTGACCAAGCGCCGAGACCCCAGAAGCAACGGACATGGTCGGCGTTCTCCGGGAGATGCCGTGGGCGGCCGAGGGGGCGTGTAGCGGATGGATCGGAGTAATATAATATCTCTCAGCAAACACGCCTGGCTGTTGCCTGTCTTTTCTCTGGAGTCGTCTGTGGTGTCTGCTGTGGATCCATGCCCTGTCCATGAGTTGCCTTCATCCTACTTAACCCTTACACTCTCCGTACTGCCAGTATAGACCGCAGCACAGCAGCCCAGCCGCCGACAACAAGAACAATAGATCCCTTAGGTAACTACCTCGCTTTGTTCCTTCTTGGTCAATAGCCAAACTCGTCGTCCCGTCTAGGCACATAAGTACCTGGCCCACCTCCCAAGGCTTCATTGCTTGCCATGTTCTTTTCCGTCGCCCGGCTGCGACTTTCCATCGCTTCTGCTCTCATCGTCTTCTCTTCTCTTTCTCGGGCCCATCAGGATGTCCTCTGTAAGTCTCTTTCCTATTCTTCCATGGCCACCGCTCACGACCCGTTTATGGCAGTCACTTCATCCGTTTCTTACTGTGCGCCGCCCGAGGAGATCCTCGTACAGCAGCTCGACCTCATCTACTTCAAGGCAAACAACTCAATCTCGTTTAATGTCTCCGCAGCGAGTGTGGTACGTTAAGACAGTTCGTATTGTGCCGGTCAGTGCCAGTCGCGACGACTTCAACCAACTGTGGCCGTAAGCAGATGAACACCGGAGGTGAGAGATGCAGCAGCATGTGAACGCCTTGTGGCCTGTCCTACTTCGTTTGGGCAGCGTGACTGTGGGGCAAGACATGCGGTTCAGTCGTCGTTACTGGCAAATGACTGGCACAGCAAACCCTCACTGCTCTTTATGTACTTACCGTTTCGCTCGCAGCTCTCCGATGTCAATGTTACCGCCAATATCTATCTCAACATTTACGGCATGCAGCCCGTTAATGAGACCATAGACCTCTGCAAACTTTTTGGCGGCATCATCTGCCCGCTCCCACAGTACAACTTCACAGGCGCAGATTCTCTCACCCTCCCCTCATCTTTCTCCATTACGTCCCACCTCCCTGGCATCGCATACGTGATTCCCGATCTTGAGGCGTTTATGCAGCTCACGCTCATCGAGGTGGGTACGAACAACGTCAAGGCATGTGTGCAAGCGACTATCTCGAACGGCTGGTCTATGCGCCAGTATGCTGTGGAGTGGGCGACTGCCGCTATCGCATTCCTCGCGCTCGCATTAGCACTGTGGCAGTCTGTGACAACTGGCGCGCTCGCGCTCGCGCCAATACGCCTGCTCGATCTACTCGGGCTGTATCAGACAATCGCCATCTCTGGGCTTCTCGGGCTCGACTATCCGTCTGCCTACACCGCGTTCGCGCTCAATTTCTCGTGGGCGCTCGGGCTGTTCGCGCAATCTGCGACCTCGCCCATGCAGACATCCATCAATAACATGCGGCGTCTCACCGGGGGTAATTCAGACGACGCTAGCAGCGCCGGTGCGACTCAGTTCGTGAACCGCAAGCTGAGTCCGTACAACATCCCGCAAGGCGGAGCCAGTTCCACCAGTTCGCTCTCCTCTATCTCGCTCGCGAAAATCGCAGCCGAAATGCCGACGAACGTCACCGGCTCGTACACGCTGCTCAGGTCTCCTGTCGAGAACGCAACATCGCTCATCTCGGACGGAGGCGTGGCCGTCGTGACCGCCCAGTCATCAAACGTCCTCCAGGCGGGGATCCCTATCTATGTGAACTCAATCGGCATTGCAACCGCCGACGCGTTCATGACCATCTTCCTGGTTGGCCTTATTTACCTGGCCGTAGTGTTGGCCGCACTAGCCCTCGGGTTCGCGCTGTACCACGGTGCGCGGCGCACCGCGTGGGGACAGCGGAACCTGCCCAAGCTTCCCGGGCTCGAGGCGGGGTACCTCCCGTTCGCGCACGCATGGGGCCTCCGGGCGGCGCTGGTGGCAGTAATACCGATTCTAGTGTTCACGTTTTACCAATGGACGCTCAAGGACTCATGGCTGTCTGACCTCCTGTCCGTCTTTACACTCATCGCCATCATGGTGTTCGTGCTGCCTGCGTTCTACCTCACGCTTCGCCCACATCTGCCTCGCGTTCTCGCCCGAACCGCGAATGCCACCGTTCCGGCATCAATATCCCTCTCCCCTCTCACCGCACCGTTCCTGTCCGAGCGCATCTATTACCTCATCCCGCTTCTTCTCTCAGTCGTCGTCAAGGCGCTTGTGACCGCATTCGGGCATGCGCATGGGTTTGCACAAAGCATCATCATTACCGTCATCGACGGATTCCTGCTACTCTCCTTGTGCGTGCTAAAGCCGCACCGCACACGCCATGCAGACGTCCTGCATGGCTACCTCGCCATCGTGCGCTTTGTATGCTCAGGCTTGCTCATCGCCTTCGCGGAGAGCATCCAGCTCATGGCCATCCCGCGCACGGCCATCGGCATCGTCGTCGCAGTCATCTTCGCGATCGCCGTCATCGTCATGTTCTTCAACATCCTCGTGAACATGGGCCTGTGGAAGCTCGTCAAGTTCGTCGTGTGCTGCGGCCGCCGGAGCCGCCGCACGGGCGACCATTCGCTGTCGAGTAACCCCAACGACAGCGACTCCGCGATGCTCGAGAAGGTGAACGGGGAGCACGATCCTGAGAAGCAAGGGCACGACGCTAACACGACCCCGGGCTCGTCCCAATTCCACCTCATTCGCCCCGGCAACCCGACGCCGCCTGCGACGGACGTGGGCTCACATCATACACCGACCAGCGCGGGCAGTCACTATCCCAGCATCGTGTCCACAAACACCGCCTCAACAACGCTCGGGGATCCGCTCCCACGACGGTGGTCATTCCAGCACTCGCGGCCGCCATCCACGTCGGAGGCGTCGCCGTCTGCGGGGTCGTTCGCGTCCTCGCCGCCAACGCCTGTGTCGCGGCTGCCGTCGCAGCGGCATAGCAGGAACCCGTCGAGCTCCGCGCCGGCACCGATCGAGGAGCGGTATTCTCACGAACAGATTCCAGTGTAGATTTGCGTGGACGTTTGTAAGTTAAATGTTATCTGGGTCTGTTCTGTTCTTCCGACAACTGCCGCTGTCTCTTGCATACCATTTAATTATCCCCCTCGTCGCATTACCCACTGACCCACAGCCTACATGCATTCCACGTTCTCACTGCATCTCCGCATCATACAATACCTGCGCACCCACATTCATTGCTTGACTTAGAGTACCGTAAGCCGAAAATCGTAATGCATCCGTTACCCTCTTATGACTGGTCATGACATGACATCTGTAGCACACATTGTACTAGAGGTTCGCAAAATGTTTATATTTGGCCTCGCCACCAGACGAGTAGGGCGATCGGAGATTGAGCGCTGTTGACAGTGACGCGCCGCGTGGGACCGTCGTTGATCGCGTTTAGCTCTTCTGCTCGCATCGCCATGTCTGACGCGACCGCAGCCGACAACTCAGCCCAGCAGCAGGCGGCTGGTCCAGCTCCAGCTAAGCCTCCCGTCGTCGTGCCAAATACCGGGAGTAGTATCATTGTGAGCAAAACTCAGGTGCGAACGCGTCCGCTGGTGGCTGTAGGACGGTGTACCGAACCTACTGCGTCTGTAGCGCGGCAATCCCGTGCTTGAACACATCCGGAATGTGGGCAAGGAGGTCCGTGAGATCGTCGCCGACTACCAGGTAGGGCGGACGACGGGTGTCCTGTTCCTTAGGTGCGATGTGAATTTGCTATGTTGCGCTGTGGTAGCAGGTGTTCACTCCGCTCAGCTTGCGGTACCACCGACTTCACCCAGAATACATCCACAAGCGCATAGAGGAACTGGGGAACTCGTACAACCTCAGGATCTTATTGTTAATGTGCGATGTAGTGCGTGATTGTATCTACATTCGTCTCGACGTGACTTACATTCTCAGAGCGAGCACCAAGAGCCTATCAGAGAATTGACGAAGGTCGGCGTAGAACACACTCCCTTCTCTTCATGCACTCAGAGCTGCACTTCAGATTTGTCTCATCAACAACATCACAATCATGGTGGCTTGGACGTATGTGACCCAGTCCTCGTATAGCTCGCATACTCACCTACGGCGTTTAGCCCGGAGGAGGCAGGGTTCTACCTCTCGACGTACAAGCAGTTCGAGCACAAGCCACCGGATCTCATCAAGGAACGGGTTGACAAGAGCTACCATGCAATGCTCCGCACAGCCCTAACAAGTATCAGCAAAGTTAACAAAACCGACGTCGAGACCCTGCGGACCTCGTTCGGCGTAGGTGTCAAGCACAAGCGACTGACCTGTTTTCATTGATTCTGCTCGACAGAGTTTCGCAGCTATCTCACGAGCCACCACTGAGCAGCTACAAAACTTGCCCGGCTTCGGGCAAGTCAAGGCGAAGCGCGTGGTAGACGCGCTCGAGAAACCGTTCAGACATAATGTGACCGGGAGCACTCAGCCGCTGCGACAAGCCCAGCTCTCACAGCCAATTTACTCCGATAAAGGCAAGGGCAGAGCACGGGAGACTGAACCTCAAGCCTCCACAGGACCTACCAACGCGGTGCAAAGGCCTAGGGCACCGAGTCCAGTCTGGGACATGGAGTTGGATCTCAATGACTCGCCTTCTCCCTCGCCAACACCTGAGACAGGACCAGCTCGTGAACGCTCACACCCGCCGCCTGAGCACCCAGCAGTGACCGCAGCTCCATCGGTCGAAGCATCACGGCGGAAACGGCCACCCAGTCCAGTCTGGGATATAGAACTGGACTTGAATGAATCCGACCTTGAAGAGGGCGCCCCAGCCCCGAGCAAGAAGCCGCGGATGGATGGTCCGGCGAGGCGACATTCTCTTTCTAAGCTCGGCTAGTCTACAGTTCTCTACGGATAATTACACTCTTATAACGATATGGCGCTACGAATTACGATCTTCGTTATAAGCAGGTATCAAACTCATGCAATGTAGGGTATCAGGATGATGAGCAGGGCTGCGCTTGTCTACTAATATAGGATGTATTGAAGCGTGTGCATTATTCCTATTTCCTGGGCTGTCCAAAGTAGCCGTGTAGATTCCGCGGCTTGCCAGTGCCAGGACCGGACCGCTGGCTAGCCATGCGTTGGTACCAAATACGTAGGGAGAGGCGTTGTAGAGTCGCCTTCGCCCGAGAGCGGTCTAGATGTGCCGCACGCGTATCCACTGAGAGGAAGGCCGCATTGAGTATCTCATAAATGACTTAGGTGTCGCAAGACATACCAATCTTCCCGTGCAAGACATCAAGCACAGTTTTGACTTGTTCTAGCGGAGTTGCCGTTTCTCTCCCAGCTTTCTTCCCGGACTCGGAGGACTGGCTTGAAGGTGGGGATGCTGCAGCTTCTGACCTAGCGGCCTCTTTTTCCAGAGCCACATACTCGTCGATGCCGGTGAGTGCTTTGCTGAGCACCTCAACGTGGCATGCGAGGTTATCGTAGTAGTCGTCCTTGTCGGAATTACCTTGGATGTCGAAAAGCGCTTCGGAACCGGTGGGTGGGGAGAGCAGGTCTATGATAGGCGCAAGGGGAGGTAGTTGCATGTACGATTCCTACAAAGGATTAACATGGTGCACGGTGCGTGCACGGATTGCGTGGGATCGACTTACTACTGAGGGCGGATCCTCGTCAAGCAATAGACAACGAGCGATACACCGCGCTATGCGGATTGTCCGCTGGCTTCCACCCACAATGAAGGATAAGAGATGGGCACGATTGAGAGGGGAAAGGTCCCTCGCATACCGGACTACCTTCGAACAGATCGCAACATCCTGTATGGCAGTCAGCACCAGAGATGAACCTGGTATATGGACGGCTCACGATGTGCTGAGCGTTCGAGGGCACAGATTGTCCAAGGCTCTCGACCGCTACCATGCAGTCTCGCTTCAGATCAGACGGTACGGACGGTTCCAACGCAACAAGGAGCATGAAGAGCACGAAGTCGGGAATTTCTTCCACATCAAGTGCACTGCGACTAGAATTTCACAATAAGTCTCGAACCCAACGGGGAAAATGAGTGAGTATAACACTGACCGAGCAAAAGCCGTAACGAGCGAGACAAGGCGATGCACAATCTCATATTTGTCACACGCCTGAATTGTCGAATGCGATGATTGATGCACAACCCACTCGGCGGCCTCGATGACCTCGGGTTTTGCGCCAAGACGTACCAAGCAGTCTATGACAAGACCCAAAGGTAGATTTGGCCGCTGCTCCAAAGTGTGTTCACATATGTGAAGTAAGGTGCGCCATGCTGGTTCTCCGTACGCAGCACCAGATGGTGCCATTGCTATAAGAAATTAATAAGTTTAGGCGACTGAATTGAGCGTGATACCAGCGTACATAACGTGAACAGCCACGGAACTAGGGCAGCAGATTGCTCAGGCTCTAGGTGATGGACAAGCAGGTTTGCATTGAGCAATGTGACTAGCTGCAAAGTATCTACATAACAAGGATCTCAGTTGCATTCCGTTTTGAAAGAGTGCTAACTGCTCACCTCCGCTGTCCACGGTATTCTGCAACAAATGAAGGACAGGATGCGCATCGATCTCATGCAAGCCTTGCGGCAACGGGGGTAGACCGTCCACCTGCATCTCGTCACTTATTTTCGCGTCCATGTCCCACAGCGGGACGCCCAAGGGACGTTCCTCGCGCCCATGTCGTTTCGTCTCCCGGCTACCGCGGTCTTTCGCCAGGATCTTCCCTACTGCCTTCCCGTCTTTCTCCCCGAGAATCTTCTCGCAATCCTCCTCCTGCAGCGCATCCTCCACCTCGCTTTCGTCTTCCTCATCGATGGCCAGCGCAGCGGAACTCGCCGCGCCCGCGTGCACAACGCACATCGCGGCCGCCTCATCGCCCCATGCACTGTCCGCATCCGCGTCCTCGTTGTTGAGCTCGTCACGCAGGTTCTTGCGCGCTCGCGAGGACGATGAGATCACTTCCGCGGCGCGCAGTGCGTCCATGCCCTTCCCGCGCTTGTCCGCGAGCGCCTTCTCCTTGAGCAGCGCGTCGAGGGGGTTCGCCTTGCGCGATGTGCGACGCTGCGACGCGTCGGCGGTAGCGAAAAGTGCAGGCAGTCGCGACGCGACGGACGGTGACTGGCGGCGCAGGTTGTATCGGCTTAAGACGCGCCTGTCTTGCGGCGAGCTCTCGAGATTTGATAGTGGCGAGCCAAACGGCCCCGACTTTATGCCAAGCGGCTTCGCCACGCTGAATAATGGGATGTCAGAGCACACGCCGTGCCAGAGGGTACCGACTCACGCCTTTCCCTTGCCTTTGTCTGGCTTGGCGAGTTGTGCCATGAACTCATCTTCCGACTCGTTATCACTGCTGCTCGCCAGCGACTGGAGCTCGAGGGGAGATCCCTCCGGACTTGAGGGAGCGCGAGCGTACACTTGCGCCTTGATCTCGTCGGCAATCTGTCTGGCCTTGGTACGCGGAGTGATCCGTTGGGGAGTCGGCGGGTGTGGAACGGGGTCGCTCGATGGCGGTGGCGTGAGTGAGCTAAACGCGTTGGGCGAGGAGAATGTCAGCGGGGACTCGGATCTAGGCGGTGTAGTAGAGCGGTCGGCAGCAGCCGCAAAAATACTCGGTCCTGCGTAACTCGACAGCGTCGACACTGAGCTGCGGGCACGCAGCTCTAAACTGACCTCGACCTCGGATTGGGGAGTGAGGCGAGCTGCATCTGACACTCGAGAAGGAGCTGGCGACCGGACCTTCATTGACACATCGACATCCATGGGAATGTCCGTGGGGGGCGGTATATCGTCCTCCGCATTCTCGATGGGCTCAGGAGGCACGATGCCGTCGCTGGGCGGCAGTGTGTGCGCGGGACTGGGAGGCTCCGTCACAGTCTCCTTTCTCCACTTGTCGACATGCTGTTTCACTTGGACAGGATCCTTCCTGTTATCCTTGGGCAGGGTCAGTTCATGCTCGTCAGATTGACTGCTAGGCACGAGCTCCTCGATGTCTGCTTCGTTCCCTGAGCTCGGGGCGCGCATGGCAGGTTCCTCAGGCGAGAGACGCGCCCGCTTGGGTGTGCTAGGCCGCCTACTGGCTTTGCTTTCAACGGGAGACGGTAGTATGTTGTCCTTGGGTGTGAGAGGTTTGCTACGTGAAGATCCCTTGGCCGCATCTTTGAACCACCCGGGCGGCTTGCGAGGCACCTTGAATTCTTTGATATCGGGCTCACCATCAGTGTCATCGTCTAACGCACGCTTCAAAGGTGTCTTGGGCTTGACGACTGACCGCCTACGCGGGGTCGGGGGAAGCGGTGGTAAAGGAGCAATGCGAGGGGGTGGCCTCGACGCGCTTGTACTCGCTGTAAGAGGTTTCTGCGATGCCTTCTGGGCTGCAGAGGCAGCTTTGTTAGCCGCAGATCGCGTCTGGCGCATCGGGGCTGGTGAGTCACTCGAGATGCAGATGACAGAAGGAGAATCGGAGATGGAGATATGTGTGGCTTCAGTAGAACTAGAGATAGTGGCGACCTCCTGGTCGGGACGCGGGGGAGCGTTGTTTTTCCTTGCTTTCTCTGCAGGTGCGGGCTTGGCCGGCGGGAGTTTCGGCCTGAATCCTGGCCTGGACTGAGACGAGGAAGGGTCTGGGGGTGAGGACGGAATAGTCTGGCGAGCAAAAAGAGCAGGAAGAGTAACACGGCTCTGGGGGCGAGGGGGATCTTCCGCCTTGCGCGGGGGTTGGGTGGCGGGTTTTCTGAGACTCCTGCTCATCGTCGCAGGCATTCTCGAGCTCTGAGGGTGGCACGGCGGGCGCGTTACTCGTCATTGTGACAGCACGCGTAACGCGACGCGACGCGACGTGCAGACCCCGGGCACCATACCGGCAGACCCCGCATCGTCGCTGCAATTACGATCAGTGAATGCCGGTTGGGGTCACAGCACTCACCGACGGCGGCCCCTACCAAGCACCGCCTGCGTCCTCCTCAATCTACAGCGTGAACTGCCTGATGATATGCATAGATATGAAGGCCAGCGGAAGCATATCATACAGTCCGTGAGTCAACTTGCCATTGTCAACGTGTTCTGGTGCGCTCACATCCGCCACGCCCAGCTCGAGTCCGTCCTTTACCAGCTGCACGCCCTCTCCTTCATCCTCTCGCCTTCAATATGGATCTACCTCGCGCGCGTCACCTCACAATTCCAGTTCGCCCGACCACGAAGCATTGACCCAAAGGGGTCCCTGCGCTTCTGGTTCTTCCTCATCTTTCTCTTCCAGTTCGGCGCCGTATGGTCGCACGCGCAGGAGGGTTCCACGCATAGCAGACCCCTCGTACTTGACTTCGTGGGCATGGGTACGTCTGTTGTGCCATTGGCCCGTGTTCTTGGTCAATTCATATACCGTGACATATGATCAGGCACAGCGCCCTCAAAGCTGCACCTCCTGCTCCTCGACTTTCTCATCATCTTCCTTGAGGTGTTGCTCACTACCACCGCTTGGGAGACATCCTACCTGGATGCAATGCCACCTAGCACGCCGGACGCTCTCTTGCCAGCATCCCCGACGCACCCGGCGTCCATATCATCCACCTCCGATCAGCCATTCAAACACGTCGAGGCCCGCGAGCACGAGTACGAACCACCGTATGTCATTGACCTCCGTCTGTCTACTATTATAGACCGCCTGCGGAACCCCCCGCTGCCTCCGACCCGTGAGACGTCCACCTACGACCTCATCCCCCTGCCAAATACCACATCGTTGCCTATCTCCGGCGGCCTGCGGATGTTGCTCCGTGCGAGGCAGCAATTGCAAGAACGTGCGCGTTCTGCGGAGCGGAGACGGGGGCGCGATAATACCAGCGCAGAGCGGCGGGAGGAGGACACCGACAGTAGGCAGACTGTTCCTGGAGGGTTTGATACGGAGGACGACGCATGAGAAAACCTGCGGTCGTATTGTGTATATTATCGCACTATTGGGTATAGGTCATGGATTTGGCAGCGTGTTCTTCGAAGTTGTGAGGTTCAAGGTTCGATGTCTGTCCAAAACGTTCGTCCCGCGTATCACCACTTGCGCTTCATCTGGTGCGCCGACTCAGAACGAAAACGCCAACATCTTTAACATTAAAATGGGATGCGTACCGCCTCACGCAGACACGCGCCGAACTTGGCGAACTCTTCCTTGCACGCGTCCTTCTTGACATCCGTGTACGTGCTCAGGATGCACTTCCCGTATGCGGAAGCCTGCGCGGAACAGGTGCTTGTCGAATGCAGCGCGAGTCGACGAAGGGGCGTGACGATGGGCGATGTCTGCGGCTGCATCGCAGCGATGTCTTTTGGTGGACCGAAGAGAGGATGCGTCAAGTAAAAGCTAAATGAGACTGCAGCGAATGAAATGGGCTTGCTTTAGCCGAGGTTAATGAACGCATACAAGCACGTGCGACATGCACAGAATCAGGTCTGTCCCCGTCCACCTTCGCGCACTCCGAGGCGTCCGATTATTCTGTCTCTGCGTTGACCTCTGTGATCAATTGGGCTGTGTGTGGACATAGAAAACAAGCCAAAGTGACAGCACTTCCCCCCGTCTGAGTAGGGCGTGGAGGCGGCCTCCTTGCTGCGACCGAGCGGTATTCTATATTACTACCCTGCATGCATACAGGAGCTTAGCCACTCACGATGCTGAACATCGTCCTCCTCGTCACCTCCATATGCATCGTCGTCGTACTCATCCTCTACCTCTTCTTCTGGAACCGTCTCGTCGCGTTCCTCCTCGGACTCATCCTCCGGCTCAGCTTTTGGAACCAGGGCGAAGGTAGCATATGGGTTGACATCGGTATGTAACCTGCTTCTGAATTATCATCCTGTGTCTGAACATAGACTTCACACAGGGTCGATACACTTCTCTATTCTCACTGGGAGGGTCCTCTTCAAGGACCTCCGCTACCACTCGAGCAACCAGACTATTCGAGTCGTCAAGGGCCAGGTCAGCTGGCGGTACTGGATCCGCCGCCCCGCCGCCGAGGAAGACCTCAGCCATGCGCAGGTCGTCGGCGAGGACCCGAAGCGTACGTCTTCGCATCCCTGCTGAGAGTGATGTCTTCTCACCCTTGTGCGCAGATCAAGACCACCCGCCGCTGGCGTGCCGAGTGCACATGGCACTGCAGGGCTTGGAGTGGTTCATCTACAATCGCACAGCGGGATATGACAATATTGTCGCGCAGATGCAGGATGACCTGCCGCCGACGCCCGCACCGACGCCCGCGGGCGCACGCACGAGCTTTGACGCACGCGATGCAGTACGCAAGATGTTTAGCAGGACGTCTACACACCCCGAGGGTGAGCTTACGGCTCCGGTAATAAGAAATAGTGAACTGATACTCATTCAACCTCTGACTTAGTGCCGATGTCGCTTGTGTCATCTTTATATCAGAAATCGCCCGGGTTTCTGAAGCGCGCCCTTGTTTGGCTTAAACTCCAGTTGCCAAACTTTGATCCGAAGAACCTGCTACCCATGGGCATCGAAGCTACGAAGGGTGCCATCATCTGCGGTAATGCCTCTACCCCTAGCCTTCTTGTCGCGGAGTTCAGCAAGGTAGAGGGGACGTATGGTATTGTACAGGTCGGTTCTCACCAATTCTCACCATGAGAATGATCGCCTTATGCTGCTTTTAGTCACGGTCGAAATATGACTTGTACAAACAACTGGTGAACTTGAAGTTTCGCAATGCTTCCTTATGCTACGTGGAGAACAATGACTATCATGATCGCATGAGCGACATCGGGCAGAAAGTGCACGACCACATCAAGGACGCTCGGCAACCGCCCATCCGGCAGTCCACCTACCTCTCCTTCACGTCCTTCGAAAAGCTATGGACCCGCCTCAAGCTGTGGTCGGTCGCATCTGCCCGGCCCTCACGCCTGCGTGCGCTCTTCGGCTACCCGTCCGTGCCCGTTCCGCACCCGCCCGCGTCTTGGGGCTGGCGGAAGGCGCCCAAGAGCATGGATGATGAGACGCCCGTGGGAGTCGACTTCTCCAGTCACGACTACGCCATCGAGCGGAAGATCTTGGAGGCACCGCTTTTAGAGCTGTTGTACTATGCAGATGCCGTCGGCGTGGTGCCGTGTGATCTGCCGCGTCCAACCAACGAAGGTACTGAGGACATGGATCCCTTCGATATCGGCAACGGTGACCTGCCTCCGGAGTGGGGCATGGATTTCGTGGTTAGAGGGGGCTTCTTACGTTATGGGCCCTGGGCAGATCGTCAACGGTAAGTGATTTTATGTGGTGTATTTTACGGAGCGACTCATCTCTGTATTACTAGGGTCATTCTTCAGCAGTGTTTCTTTCCGCAGGTATTTCACGACATGGTGCCCACCACCCGCCTGAAGTCTGGTGACGACCGTATGTGGACGGCACTCAAGGTGTTCATAGAACTTCAGGATGGCGTTACATTGCACATACCGTTTCGCGAGGCTTCAAAGGTCAGTACATAGTACCAGGTAGTACATGCAATGGTTGTAGGTCATTCCGGTCGCTCACGAACGTTGACTTTGACGTCCTGCATGTAGGATTGGCAATGGGACGGCAAAGTTAATGTACTAAATCGACCGCGCAAGCGAGAGGCGGCTTCGATTCATGTCAAGGCTGGGGACAACTCGACAATCAGCTATGTTTTGCCCATGGTCGTTCAGCCTACGGGATACCAGCCCAGTCTGGAGGTACATCTGGACACTGTTACCGTCACTTCAAGTCTGAATGATATTCGGCTGGTTACGGCCGAGTCCTGTAGGGTGAGCGCCGCTCGCAATACCTCTTTCATTGTGCAAATCGGTCTGATGGTTCACTGCGTAGCTTCGCGGTCAACTCCCTGCCCCGCTGAAGTGGAATGGCGAACGACAGTGGACGTTTACCGTCTCTCTGCGACAGGCTGCTCTTTTCCTTCTCAGGGACCACATCACCATGCTCACTGACGTGGGGAAGGACTGGAGCTCCGGGCCTCCAACTGACTATCATCGTCACGTCCCCATGCTGTACGCGGTCGATTTGGATATGCAGTATTACGAAATCAACATGTACGTGAACGACCATAATATTATCGACAAGCCGCTCATCAAGGAGGACAACGGTAGGTTCATATGCTATGTCGATGTCGACGCGCTTTCGTGCGATAAATTGACTCACTGTGTCATCAGCGTTGGTGACCTTGCGTGGCATGTATTTGAAGCATGGTGTTCGCATACCACTCCTGCAGTACCGACCTGAGGCCTCAGCAGTCTCGTTCTGGATCGACGCGCCGGATGTTGCGGTGAACCTAACGTTACCCCGCTGGAATACTCACAGCCTGTATCCGAAGCCGGACCGAAATAACATCGGACGTATAGGTTTCCTTGGACTTAATGGCTCTTATCGGTACCATTCAGACGTACACGAACACAACATCGATCTGCTTAAGATGGATTTCACTGTAAGTCCTCATCCTAGTATCCCACATAAATACTGATACAAATTCTCGATCAGGCCCGCGACGTCATTTACAAGGCGTTTGGCTGGACCGTCCGGCATTTCATGGTTCTGCGAGACAACTACTTCGGATCGTTTACTCATTTCTGCACATTATTTGAATATTTGGAGAAGCGGCGGAAGGGCCAACAGGTCGGCGATCCGATCGAGTTGCAGTACAGACCTGGAAAGGTCGGTACCTTCGATGAGGCGTGTTATCTCGCGGTCTCACATCGGTCTGTCTCAGTCAAACCCGATGGAAGTTGAAGTTGGCGTTGATGTCACGCGCGGGATGCTCGTGCTACCCGCAGGACTCCCGGGCTACGAGGTGTACAGCGCAGGAGGGACAACAGCCAACCAAGCCGAGGATCTCGGCTCTTCTCTTCTTCTGACTATACCTGGCTTGCAACTACAGCTGCGTACCAACGATTACTACATGGGTAGGGCATTCATACTTGTGTTCAGTCTTGTTCTCTGACATCAAGGCAGAAATGACTCTCAACATCGACAACATCTTCGGCCGATTCGAGGAACATTGCTATGATGACGTCCTTAAATCCCGCAGGATTTCCCCTCACACTGATAGCGTCATCATTCTAGATGGTTTGTGTTGAAGTTATGGACTCTATGACTTATCGTTGACTGAGGAGCCAGGACTCGATATCACTGCGAATAGGTTATTTGGTCCTCAGCCTCGCAATTCAACCTACGTGTGCATTTGGGAAATCCATTTTGGCGGCCTGAAAGCTAGTTTGTCGCCTTATCAAACGAAGCTCCTCTCGGCTGTCAGTACTGCGTTTGGCTTCAATTTCTCTGACCCCTTGAATGCTCCTGCCAAGGACTTTGCCGTCCCATCGGATCCAGATGGTGCGCGTGTTCTAGCATTGATGAAATAGCGATTAATCCCTCATTGGACTCAGTGACTTTCCTCAAGTTGACATTGGACAGGGTGGAGTTGGTCTGGCTAGCTGGAAACTCTGCTGTAGAGATATCGTTGCCGAAGGGTCTGAGGATCGATAGCAACGATCTCGCTGGTGACTTTCATCGCAAAGTCACGAGTATTCGATTGCCGTCTGCCTTGCTCAGACTGCTGCTTACGTCGGAACAGTGCCCCGGCTCCTGGTATGAAGCTTCAAGAGTGACTATGGATGCCGATGTAGACATATATTCAGCACCGCCTGGATGGCAAGAGAGCGCACATGCACAGACAGAGTTTATATGTTCGCAGGACAAGCACACGGGTCGGGCTCAAGCCCTATATTCCACCAAAGTACCCCATGACCAAGGTCTATGTTTAGGCAAGCACCCTTGTTGTTGTTGTCCAAGAGCGACACCTCTTGCTAACAGTTATATGTAAGGTCGTGGGCTGCTCGACAGTGATGTCTACACCCCTCAGCTCAAAGTGCCATCCCGAACAACGCCGCCACCTGCTAAACACAACCCTTCTAGCAGAACCAAAATCGCACAGTTACATGCGCAAATGTTCTCTTCTGCAGTAACACTGCAATCGGAATCAGAAGGAGACGAAGGTATATCCGAAGCAGACCGGGATGCACGCTTGGCGTAAGAGTTAAGGTCTCGTCACGCAACCAAGTTGATATTGACTACACGATTCAGCAATTCGCGACCAAATGGCATGCCAAAAGACACCTTGAACAATCAGGATATCGACAACGACAGCGTAATCAGTAGTGATGAATCTGACGATGACGATCTCACGGATCCTCACGATTGGGAGAGTGAGGCTTCTGAATTTGGATCTGAAGATGGTAAACCTGATGTAGACTGGCTGTGGCTTCATACTGATTTAATCTGCAGGCACGACATCAAATTCTGCATGGTCTTTGATCTCACAGCATCGAAATCTGACTGAACACTTGAAACCAGTGTTTTTGACGCGACCTTTCATGTGGAATGAGTCACCGTTCGTCATGGTACGGCGAAATCCCAATGCTTTGTGAGCTAGGAAGTTCTCTCTTTCGTCCATGCACTTAGAGTGGGTCGTTAGTCAGGAGCAGGAGGATCAAAGTCAGAAACGGATCAACAAAGAGGGCGAAAAACATGAGCAGTCGATTGCTGACGACATCAAGTCACTCTTCCCTATGGATTATGACTTGACTGTGATACGTTTGGTCTCTGAACACGGAGTTGTAGTACAGTGTACACCCCTCGTGCTGCCGGTTGTCACTGAGTTGCTGGAGGCTCTGTCCTATACTGTAGGCTCAGCCTTCTCCTTTGATAGTTGACGCAGCTGATGTTGTTGCAGCGATTGACCCCGGAACTTCGAGTTGATGCACTTCTCGCCGAACTACCGCCGTCTTCGACTTCTGCACAATCCCAACTGCAGCAGCGAGTAACGATTGTTGACGGTGCTTTATCCTCTGTCTTCGTCAGCTCGACGCAAACTGTGTCCATTGGTCGAGGCGTCGCTTCGAGATTAGGAAACGCTCCTACAGACGACCTTCCTCCTAGCAGGACGAGCCCCACTACCATGCACTTTCGTCTCGACACCTTGCGGCTCCGCGTCAACTATTCTGAGTCGCATCAAGATGCTGATTCGTGCTCTGGAACCCTCATGGTGGAGCGAATGCTGCTCGAGTCGAAGCCTGCACGAGCCAGCCTCGCTTCCGGCCTAAACGGTAGCGAGTCTACCTCCTGTCGTCTCCGAATAGATGGTGTTGTCGCTAGTTACGTTCATCGCGAAGTCAAACTCTCTGTTGGCAGTTTCAAGATCGACCTCTGCCACACGTCACTGGATCCTCTTTTTTCGACATCACTAGTTATTCGTGATTGCGTTGAAGAGGTCATGAATGTCTGGAATGTCTCGGATCTAGAGACATCTACATTGGATCAAAAGGTCATTTTTAACGTACTGAAGTACTCACAACAAAGGACCATCATTGATCCCCTTTCGACAATTCAACCTTCCTACCTAGTGCAAAAAGGGGAGCCAGACCAGATTCGTCGAAATAGCTGCTTCAAATTTCTCATATATCTTCGTGCTTGCCTGCGCTACCTCGAGGCATCCGAGCGCCGTGCCGTTCTTGAGCTCACACCGGCGCCCGCTTCGGACACTACCTTGCAAGACATCATACCACTCTTGGAACACCAGTATCTCAGCCAGGGACTTGACGATGACATTTCAAATCTACCGCAGCAGCCTCTCCTGCGAAAACTCTTCCGCGATCACTTTGTCCCTCCTGAGCCCAGTGTACAACAAGGACCATCCGTCGATGCGGCGAGAATAGAGCTGCAGGAGCTGCAGCTCGTCATCCACCACCCGTCAGACGGGGCGCGAAGTGAGATTTCCCTTGGATCAGTCGCGCTACTTGGTCACATGCATCCCACGACGCTTCAGCCAAATTCGCTACCGACGATGGGAAAGAGCCACCACAGTTTATCCCTACGCGATCGCAGCCTTCCTGCTCTGCGCCGTGTTGCATTATCCGTTCACTTGGGCAACGTCGGCGTAGTCATTGTGCCGCAACTCATGGATTTCCTACACATCGCACTTCGTGTCACGAGGTCCCATGTCTCATCGCTATCTGGTACCAAGGTGAAGAATTCTAGACCACTTGTCCCGCCGATGTCGCAGTCAGAGACGAGACATGGCATCTACTTGGACACTGTAATATCAATTGGTTCCCTGCACTTCACGGCGGCGGCGGACAAACTGGTGGTTGCATTCGGTCTAACCAACTGTGTTTCCATTACTACCCTCCTCGCGAAAGAGTCCATGGAACCGCGAGGCTCGATCTATTCGATAAACCAATCTCTTTTACTCGAGGAAGTAGCAATTCGCCTGTCTTCCACTGTGGCTTCCAATAAGTCCGCGTCGCCCCGATTACTTGCGTCTCTGGTCGCAAGCAAGAACAAGGTGAACTGCGTGTCCTTGCAAGAGCCGGGATCACCTTCCACCATTCGCGGGACCCTGTATACGGCCGGCATTCGATTCGATGTTCCGCGCAGTGCTTTGCGCCTATATCGCTTCCTTGAAGACTGGAGGAAGGACTACCTTCCCGGACTTGAGGCAGCATTGCAAACCCTCCTATCCGAGATCCATCCTGCACGGTCCATCGCTTCAGAATCTGCAGCGTCTACGAACGCATCCTCTCTGCCAATTGTTGAACTAAATGTGTCGCTGTTGTCACTCTCCATAAACCTACAGGTCATGCTGGGGACTTGGCTTTCGTGGGATATCCGACAGATCCTCCTCTACCTGTCGTCAGATCGTGATCCACGCAGGCTTGGCGCCCATGCATTTGGACTGCAGGTTGGGCCACATACCGTGCAGATCTCCACACTGTCGCAGGAGGATGACTCGGCGATCCCTTCCAACGCCAACATCGTTTTGAGACTACCGGTCCTCACGTTCAAGGGCCATTATCAGGGCGAGTCATTGCAGTGTATCGCAATGGTGGAATTCCTTGATATTCTGGTCAAACCGTCTGATTGGGATATTTTACTCTCCGTCCGTCAGAAGTCGGGTCAGGATTACAACGACTTGCTTCATTTGATACAAGAGACACGCTCTGGCAAGACCATGCCCTCGGGGCCCGAAGCAATTTCTGGCGGGATGCCACTCAAGATCAGCGGGACCGTCAGAATGAAGGGCTTCCGTATAGGCGTTGGGGGTCGAAATTCCACTGTATATCTTGAATGCGACGATATCAGCGGCAGCATCGAGAACAACGTCGACTTAGCATGGCAAATCCAACTGTCAGACCTCGGATTATCTCTTGCGTCAGCGTCTCCAACACATGTTGCCCATGACGTGGGACATCGGTCTGCGTTCGTGATCATTGACTTCCAGGCTGACATGAAACGTCACGCAGCTGCGTCTCGAGGACATTTACTGCGCGTCTCGGTCACTCAAGTTCATGCAGTGATGAAGCCAACATCCGTCGGTGAACTGGGCGACTTTGTTGACCATTTACGGGTAAGATCTTGTCACCATGAGGTGGTCTTCGATATCTCACAAATCTCCACAGGCGGTCGTGCTGGTGCGGCAAGGTGCTCGTGAAGACGAACTTGCCCAATTCAAAGAGAAGACAAGGAGCATCATGCGTTCGTTTGACGTCAAGATTGGGGAGTCTCAGGATGTAGAAACCTCGTGGATGGACGAGTACTCTATTACCGTGTCAATCCTCAACATCGGCGTTGCATTTCCCCTGGCAGGCCACTCTGACTTGCAGATGTCTCGGTCGAGTACTCAAAACGAGACGATAGCTGTCCGCGCGTTCTTGTTTTCCATCAAGTCTCTGGTGTTTGGTACCGAGCATGGAGAAAGTGGACAGGCCGCAATGAAGGGATTTTCTTTTCAGTTTGTCCAGAGGTACATTTGACGCAGCATTGCCGTATGACGTTCACTAACGTTTGGTTTACAGGTTCAGACAATCCGTGCCCTCGGATTTTTCAGGAGACAACCATCGCACAAAGAACCGGCTCTTGTACCCAGAGATGACGGCAAACGTGCGCGTGGAGCGTATCTCCGGTTTCCGTCGCGTATGCGTTAGCGCGGACGTCAGCGGTTTCATACTGGATCTCGATTCCTCCATCCCAGACTATGTCTTCGCTCTCATGGATGTCTACCGACAAGGCAAAGAACGTATCGATCGCTTTGCTATCAATATATCGCGGCCTTCAACTCATACGGACCCGGGCACACAGAGTCCGAGAACTGTTACCGAGATGCCGCACAATGCTCTACCGACGTCGAACATTGTGCTATCGTCTACGTTTGCTAGCGGTAGGGTCCGCATGTACAGCATCCGCAGAAGAGAGAACTCCTCCAGACACCGCTCCAATCCTTCACACTACGAATTTCCCTCGACGACATATGTCGACTCTGAAGTTGAAATCTTCGACTTGCCAGTCGTAACTGTTTGGGGAGAATACCGAGCTTCACCTTCACCTAGAAGATTATCGGGACCAGCGCGTCCTCTTGAGCCGTCGATACTTATGTTCAAGAGCACAATACATTCGAGCGAGAACATCCTCAGGCCTACTCTGTTGCCCTTCATAACGGATCTCGTAGCTCGCGTTGAAGAACGCATGCGGCAGACGAGCCGTCCGAGCTCTCAAGTTTCTCCAATGCAGGCTCATGATCGCCTTCCCGTCTTACCCACAGAACAACTGTTGGAGCAGACTGCGGATCCCGTCTCTGGATTGAAGATCAGTCTGAGCCTGCGAATTGACCAATCTAAGCTTGAATTGACTTGTCAACCAGATGTCAATGTTATCGCCGGCTTGCACTGGGATAGTGGCGGGTTCATGCTGAACATTGCCCCTGGCGCTCGTCGTGTAACATTCACTGGCGCCGTAGGTGGACTTACGGTCGGACTCAGACATGGTTTTCTGAGCGATGATTGCGTGAGACTCGACGCACGCAATCTTGCTTTGAACATCACTTTCTCAAAGATGGAGTCTGACCTGGAGAAATCTATCAGCTCCATCTCCGTGGTCGTTGACACCGAATTCTCCGGCGGTGTCCGGTTCTCGCGCTTGCAAGATGTTCTGTGCTTCAAAGCCGTATGGTTGGACCGCATTCCTATATTCAGTGGCCAGCATGCCGAAGCCGCTACGCCATCGTCGCGCTCCGCCGATAAGATAGCCACTCGATCTTCTTCACAGGAACTGGCAACCGCAATCCTCTTACGATTCCGCGCTATCAAATTGAATGCAGATCTCGGGCAAAGTATTAGCATTGTAACGGTCGACATGCGTGACGTATTATTACGCTCAAGGCTAGATGACTTCGTATCAGAGCTAGCTTTCTCTATTTCCCAGCTCGCTGTCCTGGCTACTGGGAACATATCCGGTCACCTCACCCTCCCTGATTTCCTGTTCCGAACGACACGAAACCACAATGACCATGGTCATTACGTATCAGGCAGCAAGATGCTAGATGTTACATTCACCGTCGGTGTTTTCAGTTTGGAGCTGGATTCAGAATACCAAAAACTCCTACAATATCGGTGAGATCCAAGTTATTGTTGCTTGAGTGCGTCCAATGTTGAGCGAATTGAAGGGCCGAACCTGTAGAGGTGAAGATATTCGACGATTGGTCCAACATTACATCTGGCATTGCCTCAGACGAACGACAGGTAGACGTGGCGTTTACTGTGTCAGGGACAGAGGTCGTTGTCATCATGAACGTTGGCACGATTCCCAAGCTGGTTTCTTATGTGGACAAATTCAAGCTCACTCTGGACAACCAAAGGGAAGGTGCCAGTCGTGAATCGAAGGCTTTCCGGATAGCCAGCTCCCCCAAACCAGACAACCCGTTATCTGCCGTCGCTAACGCCATGATCAAGTCGACGCGTAGTCGATTGAACAGTGAAGGCAGCATAGCGTATATCATCGGCCAGCGTATGAGCCTGAAGCTCGATTGTCTTCAACTTGTCGTCTTCCCTCGCTCAATGCGGGACCCAGAGATCGCCCGATTCATTGGACGCGGTGTTCACGCTCGTCTGGATCGGCTGGTGGGGACCGACAACTCGCGTTCCACGCGCGATTTACAGCTCTTCTTCTCATCCATTACAACATCCCGACTCAGCCAGCTTAATCATACCGGTCTTGCCAAAGAGCAGGTCGAGGGCACCAAAGAATGGCTTACGCTATTGGTCAAGGATGCGCATGAGGCGATCATTTTCGGGCTTCCATCTATGGATATCCGTATGCGCAGCGAAGAGCTGGAGAACGAGGGCCGTAGACTCCTCCGATATGACTTCAGCAGTAAGTTTGCGGTCAAGCAAGGTGCAGCGAACTCGGAAGACATCTACATCACGCTGAACATGTCCTTATACTCCTGGCTCACGGCCCTGCGCAAGACGTTCGCTAGAGAAATGGAGCAGGTTCAAGCTACGGGCGACGTACGGGGGGCAATCGGGAGTTTGGTGCAGCAGACAGCCGCGGCGAAGAAGCGTTCTAACGACCCCGTTGCCAACCGCCCGGAGAGAGAGTCAGAAGACAACGTAAGAACTCGATCGGGACCTGCACATGCTAGCCGCGAGTCGGTGGTGGACGTGATGGGCGGGGAACGCGTAGCATCGCCAACCTCTCCTATATTCCCACTCAAGTCGCCGATCAGCCCAACCTCTCCATCTAGACTGTCCTTGCCTCCGCCTCTCAGTGTGGCTGTCGACAGTCAGACTGCTGCCCCTACAAGCAAACCAGTGGCCTTAACATACGAACCTCACGAACGGCACATCGAGCGTCTCACTATGCGGCAGCTGGGAGAGGCAACCCCAGATGTCATGCATCCTTTTTTCATGAAGAAGGCTGGTTTTAGCCTCGAGGACTCGTTGCCACAATATGTGCACGAGTACGCGACGATGCCCACAGAGGAGATCATGAAGGCATTGTTGGAGATATACAGCAAACAGCTTGGCGCAAAGCATCGGACAACCGAAGGTTCTATATAGTTTATATGGTTTCGCTCTTGATTTTGGCGAGGACTGGACATTCTTCTGAATTACTTAACGAGGCTCACAACATACCTTAGACATGCCCCTAGTCTAGCAACGTCTTGTCACCGGGATATATAATGCGTATGATATAGCTCACCCGAATATTTAAACTTACACCGTCAGAAAATGACATGCTGGAATTGATCACCTGGAGCCAGATCCTCCAGCGTTAAATACACTGAGCAATGCGAAACATCCGTACAACAAACCAACAGGGTATGCTACGAGGAATCGTTGATCGGACATACGAAGCACGGCAACGAAAATGCCGGAAGCGGCGTATGTGCACCACAGGATTGACAGCATAGATAGGACGTAACCCAGCGACCCACTTGCATTGCAATAGACATCAGCTCTCGGACCACGGGGATATGACTACAAACTTACTCGAGAGTGACCATGACGCTCAGCGCACCCACCACAACCATGGGTAATAGACAGTAACCAAGCACGGATACGACGCGGTATGCATCTATGCCTTTCTCAGACATCAGGTTGAGTAGCGTGTAGATGGATGCCGAGCCTAGCAGGCCGACGCCGTAGATATATCCAAATTGCGGCTTTCCGGACTATAGACCGACGTTAGAGACATTAGAAATGTACAGAGCAAGCATCTGCTCACTAGTAGAAGAAATGTGCCGAAACATAAGATGAACAGCAGGGGTCCCGCCAAGTCCGCATCGTCCATGATGCGCTCGTCCACTTTGCGGAGGGGATTAAGCACGGCAAGTGACTTGGTCCGTATGTGCCAGAAGTTAATCCCCAGCTCTGGTTCACATTTTAGCTTACATTGCTGATCCCATGCATTTAGTCACCGACCTTCTAGCAGTGGTGGCTCGCCTTCAAAGCCACCTGTTCCGAAGGCCGTCCACCAACCACCCGCGGGTTGTATGTTGCCACCATAGCCTGGTGGTACAGCCTGCTGGGATATTGCTCCTTGCGCGCCAACGTTTCCGTCGAGACTCGTTCGCGAGCCGTAGAAACTGCTGCTCACTGGACTCGGTGCGTAGAACTGGAGGGGAACGCCGTGCGGGGCAGGTGGTGCTCCGGCGTAGTACTGATTTTGCGATGAGGACGCGCCGTACGCGTTTCCACTATCTTGCCACATGCTGCAGAGACGAGCGTAAGCAGAAGAGATGCGGTGAGAGGGTGAGCAGTGAGTGTAACGTGGAAGGTCAGGCTGTACCACAACCTGCTGCGTTGCTCAACAAGCGCGCGCTTAACCTATGCCCATTATGTTCCCAATCGGGCAAGTCGTCTTTTAGCTTCTTCCACTCACCATGGTAAGTCCTCGGTCCCCTGTCTTTGCTATTCGGATGCTGATATTCAGATCTGTATCATAGCCTCAGGTACGCTTTATATCTTGCTCTTCTTGACCGGAGCTTTCTAAAAGACTGGCACAGAACGAGTACATTGAGGAGCACATCAAGAGACATGGTCGGCGGTTAGACTACTATGAGCGGAAGTACGTCTTCTTCAGCCCCGTCCTCCCTCCATTTGCTGACAGCATGCTTTCCAAAGGCGGAAACGCGAGGCTCGCTCTGCTCACCGCGACTCTGCTACCGCTCAAAAAGCCTTCGGATTGAAGGCGAAACTGCTGCATGCCAAGCGCCATGCTGAGAAGGTGCAGATGAAGAAGACCCTCAAGGCACACGACGAGCGCAACATAAAGCAGAAGGACTCTGGATCTGTACCAGACGGTGCCCTGCCGACATACCTGCTCGATCGTGAGAGCGAGAAGAATGCAAAAGCGCTTTCGACCGCAATCAAGGAGAAGCGGAAAGACAAGGCAGCGAAGTATGCCGTGCCATTGCCGAAGGTCAGGGGTATTGCGGAGGACGAGATGTTCAAGGTCATGCGAACGGGCAAGAGCAAAAAGAAGGCATGGAAGCGCATGGTGACGAAGGCGACGTTCGTTGGAGAGGGGTTCACGAGGAAACCGGTCAAGATGGAGAGATTTATCCGGCCGATGGCATTGCGATACAAGAAAGCGAATGTTACACATCGTACGTTGACCGAGCGCCGTTGTTCTCTGCAGTGTACTCACAGCCTGCAACAGCCGACCTCAAGGCGACGTTCCAGCTCCAGATTCTCGGTGTCAAGAAAAACCCTCAGTCGCCAATGTATACCCAGCTCGGTGTACTCACCAAAGGAACAGTCGTTGAGGTGAACGTTTCAGAGTTGGGTATGGTCACCGCCGGCGGAAAGGTCGTATTCGGAAAATACGCTCAGATCACCAACAACCCAGAAAACGACGGTTGCATCAACGCTGTACTCCGTATGTGTGCTCTCTCTTCGGTTTTGTGTAACTCGCTAATTATTGTATTTCAGTTGTGTAATATTTGCTCATCTGCTTATTCCACCTGTATCTTAGACGCATCTTCGGTCTTACTGCTTTTGTCATGCATTGACCGAATATTCATGTTGCATGTAGTTACTGTCATAGAATATATGCTTTCCGGATCTCTGGCTTATGCTAGCCTTGAGTAAGCTCCTCGAGAGTGCTCGTCGTATTCCTTGGGTGCAACTGGCTGCAATGGCAGTCTCAAACGTATGTAGTCCACATGAAGTCGGCCACTTGTATTGTGTCTTACTATAGTACTACTTATGAGTTCGAACGCCAAGTAATCAATCTTTTTTCGATAGCGGTATCGATTCGTGTTTACACAAGGATTATTTTGCAAGTATGATCGCCGATCGTGTCGAAGCAGTCATCGAGGGCGGTGAATGATGAGTGTTGTGGCTTGTTTGATTCCATATTCCCTACCGCCATGTCCGCTTCACCTGCCCCTGCTTCCCAGCCAGTCACAGCCCCTGCTAGCCGCCATGCCGCCGAACCCATCGACCGCCAGCGCATGCAGCTGGAGAAGCTGCTCAAGGATCCCGCCAAACCCGCCTATATTCCGCCGCCACCGAAGGAGAAGACCATTCGGCCGGCGCGAGAGATGATGAAGAATGTGCAGGGCTCGAGTGCAGGAGCTGGCAGCGGAGAGTTCCACGTCTATAAGGCTAGCAGGCGGAGAGAATACGAGCGACTCAAGTTGATGGAGGAGGAGGCGCAGCAGGTGAGTATCGATTGACCTTGCTCGACTCCCTGCGTCTTACGCCGCAATGTCATAAAGGAAGCCGTCATGGGCGAATTTGAGCGCAAAAGAAAAGAACGGGAAGAACAGGCGGAAGCCAAGACCGCGAAGAACCGCGCGAAAAGACAGAAGAAGAAGGTACGGGGAAAGGGCAAGGGCCCGGAGAAAGATGGCGGGCAGGGTGATGGCTCGTCGGCAGGGGCACCGGACGTCCCATTAAAGAAGCGTCGCTTGGTGAACGGCAAGGAGCTTGTCTTTAAGCGGCCAGGCGAGGACAGTGACGACGACGAAGACGATGAGGACGTTGGTCCTGGTCCTGCAGAGTCTGATGGTAGAAACGACACCTCTGCTCTAGATCCGACACCTGTCCGGATTATAGACACACCCAGGATCATTATCCATGAGGAGGATAATATGTGACGACGAAAATGTCACCGCGTCTGTTCTGCTGTATCGCGCCCTCTAGTATATATTGACTTCTCTTTTACTGTTGCTATCCCACTGATTCCTGACATAGCTGGATATTTTCTGTCTTCCATGGACTGATACGCCTGGACTGTATCCTATGGTCAGCTTATGGGTTCGATGCCCCGTTCCCTGTTTGGTTATGCCACTGGACGAGCAAAACCTTTACCAATAATGAACCCCAGAAGGTAAGTTCACCATTTACGGGACATGTCGCAGCTCCATAGTTGTAGCATAAGTGCAACTTCGTTTGTTCGGATGCCTATATGACGCAGTGCTCTAACAGTTTGGGAGAGCGACATTTTGGTGTATTGTTATTGACTTGAATAGGCGCGACACAGACAGGATGGGGACATTGTCACTGCAGTTTCATATGACTGCTGTACAATGAGCTGAACAGCCACATCCAACGCACAATACTTGCCTTTCGCGGACTCGAGTTTGCAACATGCCAACCACAGGCCTCCGAAATATTGGCACAGACTCTTTGTCTAGATCAAACTACCTTGGTTCCGCTTTCACGCGGAATTCATTATTTAATCATCGTAAAGCAATTAATCATCCTGCATGGGTTGCGCGCGCACTTACCTGAGTGTTGCGCATGATGTAGCCTAGACGAAGCTCAGAAGGCACAGGTGAGAGTTGTTTGAACGTTATGGCCAACGGCGCCATAATCGACTCCCCATCGGGGAAAAAATGCACAAAGGGAATACTGTCGTTCCAAGTTGCTTGTGCAAGGAGGCCCCCGGTGAGGTGGCCCATATGTTGGTGTGATGTGGATTTATCATTGCACGAACGAGCTTTGGTTTACGACGCATGTTCTGTGGGGCTCGCAATTTCCGCAGCTTTTAACACTAAAAAGAGTCAAGGAATTTCGCCAAACAGGTCCGGAATTTCAAGTTCACAACCAAAGAGATGTTGTACCAGCTGCAGAAAGACATAGCAGGCCTGGTAGATGTGGTTGTCAAATATATTGTTTAATAACATATATAAGGCTCACAGCCAAGATCCAAAATCAACGCTGTCTGGCTCCGGGTTAAAGGAGTCGGCAACTCCAAAGTACATCGTGTCGACCTGGTTTTTTTATTGCGTTTCTGCAATGACACTGACCGAGTTGCAGGCTGGGAGCCGGCAGACCTGTGGTACGGAACCGCCTGTATCTTCTCTTGACGGTTTATCTGCGAAGTAGTGCAAGTTGCTTGCAATTGCCAGCTCGACACCTGGGCTCGCTGCTCAGCCGGAAGTTTGACCCGCCTCTCGTGCTAGCGTCCTCCACAATACCTCCACCTCGATATCTTGGACGCCGGCCGATGTTTACGAGCCCAGTACATACCATATATATGGGAAGTAAAATGTAGTTAGTGTCTTAAAATCCAGACATTCCGTCCGTAAGGTACTGCGAAAAGATGCAATCAGCGTCTCTCTGTCCGTCAGGACTCCATTCTTGTGGCGAAGGGAAACCACAATACGGCCATCGGCCCTGTTGTCATGTCGATCCGTCTTGTCCGGCCCCCATCTTCAACACGATTGCTTGAAGCAATTGCTCCATTCGCGAAAGCCGCTCGTCGACCTGCCGAAGCCTCGTGTCCACCTCCTCGAACTGACCGTCGACCTTTGCAAATTTGCTCGTGACCATCGACTCCAACTTCTCCTCCGCGGGAACCTCCGCCTCCTCGACGATCTCCTCTTGACACCTCACAAGCCCATGTGTTTTCGCGTGCTTGCCCTCCGACACGCCCCCTCCGGCATCGCACTTCATGCACACGAAGACAGCATCTGTACCACTCAGATCAGCCCAATGTTTACGCCCAGAAACACGTCACGAGACACGCCGTACCTTCGCAGACGATGCAGTACCAGCATGGCTGAGTGACGCGTTCCTTGCACTTTATGCACGTCAAGTCCTCCTCAACAATCTTGGTCAAGCGATCCTCCGCCTCTCCCGTACCATCCTCCTCAGTCCGGTCATGCGCCACGTCCTGCGCGTCCTTGAAGGCCGTCCGCGCCCTCTCCAGCGCGTTGCGCGCCATGAGTACAATCGAGCGAAACTCACGCTGATGTACCAACGAGCGCAGCTTGTACAAGTCGTGTGTCGGGAGATGCGGCGCGGCCAGATCGGGCCGCTTCGTACGGTCCACCTCTGTGACGATGCAGTCCTCGCACAGGTCGATCGACTCACCGCCATCCCTGTCGCAGGTGAGGCAGACGATGCGCCCGCCCGTTATCTCCTGATCGTGCGCATCGCACGAGTCGCAGAATATCCCTCTGGATGGACAGTCAGAAATACAACGACGATGCACGAGCCGGGCCACTTTACTTGTGGATGCATATCGTGCGCTTGCGCAGTTCCATAACGTGGTGACAGATGAGTGCGTCTAGCGGGGTCAGGGCGCGCATGCATTTCCGCCCTTCTTCGTCTTCTGCTTCGTTGAGCGGGCGCCCGAGCTGTGTCCGTAACGCCAGATCCATGTAGCGATGACGGACATCTCGGCGTGTCGCCAGGAACTTCCATGTGAACCGACGCCGCGCAACCTGCTCCTGCACTGCCGTCAGCGCAAAACGCCAAAGCGCTCGAATCCTGTCGGTTTGCAGTTCCATTGGCGAGGGCCGACAAATTAACACTTCCGCAGGCATTCTCGAGAGGAAGAACGATGCATCACGAACAGCGTTAGAGCCCCATTTTCCGGACAGCATGCTACCGTCTTCGTTGAGTGTTCCATCATACTCTACCAACATTCCATGGATGGGTATGATGAGGCGGAATTGATATGTCACTTTGCCGTCTGCCTCTGGGACGATGTCCCCGGCCAGCTTGAACTCGACTTTGGAGTCTGGGACATGGACGAGGGCTTCGTATTGAGTGCTCTCCGCATTCAGCGTGTGAATGAATACGGTGAACATGACTGAGAACGGATATTCGGTGTTCGTGTAGTTGTAACCGGTCCAGCGGCCAAGACTGCTGGCGTTATGAGTATTTATCAAGCGGTATCGGGCAGATGCACAAACATATTCTTAAGATTTCCGGTGGCTTTCCGATCCTCGTCAGTCGCAGTATCTTCCATTGCGTTTGCCCCTGCGTTCAACTGAGATTGGTCATATGCATAGAAGAGCACGGTCTCCGCTGTCGGAACGTCCTTGTCCTCCTCAGTATCGTCATAGGTAACGGCTTTGTAAGGAAATGCTTGAATCGCCTTGAGCGGCACAGGAGAATCCGAGTCTTCCATCGACAAGTATATTAAATGATACTGTTGGACAGTAAAGATCCTGATTCGGGAGCTGTGGGAGCCCCCGCGACGTACCAAATCACTGTAAGCATGCTCGAAGTGATGTGCGAGGTCCAGCCTCTGGTGCTTGAGAGACGCTAAAGAACTCATCAGCGATTTGTCGCATCTGGCCAATTTCCGCCCATCACCTTTCAGGTCGTCAATACGATTACGGACAGCCTGGTTAATGGTCCATTGACTATCGAAGGCATCTATACTGTGACGATCATTGACAATTTCCTTTCGCCCTATGCAGAAGACCGCGTAGTCGTGCTTCAGTAGGAGATAAATGAGCGGGAACAAGTACTATATACGGTCTCAGTCGTCGGCAAGGGCGAGGGTATATAAGATGACGCACTTTTTCGATCCGCCCAGGACCCGTGACAAGCGCAAGAGTGGTCGAGTCGTCGATATGATATTTGATGGCCTCGAGATTCTTCTTGAGACGTTCTTCCTCCGCGTCAATGTAGCTCTGGAATCGTTCCAGCAGCTGCGGAGTTGCATAAAAGGGTTCAAGAGAGGTGGTTATGCCGCAGATGTCCGTCCAGACAGCGCTGAGATAACTGTCGACCATCAACACATTAGCTTCGTGGAGGTGTTGCCGCATCGCAAACATCTTCTCGAAGATTTCGTGTATCTTGTCCCGGTAGATTGTTGCTGAGATCTGCCAGCCTTTGAACTATCATGAGACCACGGAGGAAGCCGTCTACGACCTGTCCGTACCTATTGCCCAGTATGCCAGCCATTGAGGCAGGCTTCAGCATGATGTGAGCAACCTTCACGAGGATTGTGATAGATCTTACCTCCAATCCGCAGGTCTCGAGCTGGTAAAGTTGTTGGCCTCTGTCACGGTAATGAAGCCTGAGGCATCGTCATCTAGAGCCTCCGTAATCGCCTGCAGCCGTTTCACCGTGATCCAATCGAAAGCCCAAGCGTCAGGATCGAAAGTAGGTGCAACTTGAAATGTAGCTTCTTTCCTCATCTTCTCTTCTCTTCTCTCCTGCTCATAGTCCCTCAACGCCAACACAAAATGCCGCGCTTTGACACTTCCGCGCCACCCCTGCAGGTGCCCCATGAGATGGGTGGTACCCAAGCGAAGTACTAATGGCATACCATATCTTTCCATATCTGATGCAAATCCTGGGATGTGTGTCAGATGTTAGTGGCCATTTTACCACATGCAATCATGATCACCGTACTTTGTCCAAAATTCTGTCATGTGGGCCTGAAGTGACTGTTTCGATGACACGATCGCTCTCGCGGTGTACAATCTCGCCCACGCCTTCGAGGATCTGTCTCTGCTGCATCTCGAACTTCCTGTTGAAGAACTGGGTATTCTTCTGAATTTGGAACGCAGGATCGATCAACTGGCTCTCCAGTTCATGTTTCGCATTCCGTGCAAGCGCGGTGGCTTGATTGCTGGATCTGCTTGAGTTGGTTTCTAACCGAGTGGATACGAGTTCCTGCAACGCATCGTCGTTCTTGAGGACAGCTTCGCGACCCCCTCTGCGATCGATTTGCTTGCACACGTCCATGTGTTCTGGGGGAGTATAGTTCTTCAAGAACTCCATGATCATGTCTGTCCTGAACAAAGTTCAAAGTCAGCATATTCCGCCCCGCGCATTCGAGATACCAGAGCGCACTTTCGCTCGACGATCTGTGCTAGATCGTCCACCTTGTCATGCAGCCCGTCAACTTTACCAGCGATATGGATGGACAACGCAAATTCAATGTCATCCCGCCGCTGCGAGAACTTGGAGACGAAGCTTGCAAATGTTCCCTCCCAGAGAGGTCCTTTGAGCACTTTCGCAAGCAGCGACATCTTCGAGTACGCATCACACACGTTCCCGCAGGACCGGATATCGCTCGCTGTCTGTTTCATGAGCCCTTGCAACCTGGCCTCAATGGTAACGCCTTTAGGCCCAGTGATCGCTTCATCTTTGATGTTTTTGAGCCTAGCACAGCTAGCAATTAGAGATACTTGACGGAAGAAGCAAGGACGCCATACTGAAGTAGCACCCCGATCATGTCCCGCATCTCCACAAACAGAGCGATGACCTTCGCGTCATTGTTCCGTCGTTTCGTTTCGAGAGTGTAGACAGCCTTAAAGGCAAGTACAGCAACTGACCATACAGTCAGCGCACCCACCCGATGCTTCATGGGCGAGAATCGAACCTTGAATAACAGGATGAATTTTGCCAATATCGTCCAAGGCTTTCATGAGCACAGGAAGAGTCTCGGCAAACCCGCTAACAGCATTCTTTATCGCCGTGGTCGCGCCACTCTCATCCATGATTGCCTTCGTAGGAGCAGTGAGGGTTGTGATTAGGCTCTCCTGACTTGCCACGGCGGAACCCATATCCTCTGGTACATGCTCAATCAGGGCTTACGATCTCGGAACTTATGGCAATGGCACTCGCCTAACTTGCTCAATCGTTTCGGTAACTTGTGATCCGGCACTCGTTGCTGCAGCTCAACAAAAGCTGCCCCTAGGGCCACCGAGATTTCCCTGTCATCGTTATCTTCAGAGCTTGACACAGTAGGCTTTGCAACTATGTGCGGATTTGGAGGCGTATCTTGCGGGCCAGAGGCGTCAGGCCCATGCAGATCTTTGACATCACGAGTAGGCGGTGAAGAGTCAGACTCGAACGTCGCGCTCGAGTTAGCTCGCTGAAGAGGGAGTGGTGGCACAGATTCCGTATGGGTAGAGTTCGACATTTTTAAGCTCTTGTGACTGTGCCTTCTGAATATGCGTGGCAAAGTGGGCATCGTAGAGCACAAGACCGACAGCGGCGAGAGTAGCTCGAGGGAGGGCGTAAGTATTTGGAGGACACTTGTCCATTCATCTCATACATATTATATGGCCTGAGACTGGACCCTCGAAGCGTTCTCGGGATTTCAGCAGCCTGGCGACACCAGTTCATCGCCATCAATATGAACGCCCGTTGTCAGATCTGCCTGTGAACTAACACAATATGACAGCGCCAAACAGCGTCAATCAAACCACAATGTCGATGGCAATCCATGAAAAAGCAAAGGCGCATCAGAACAGTGCAAAGAATGACGCCAAACGACCGCAAGGGACAAACGTTTTACGTGGTGTCGTGATGGTCTCCTTATACAGCAATACAGTACACGTCAGTTGCCCACGACACTGCCACCAGTACACATCAAAAACCTTGCAAGAGGTTTCACTCGTGAGTATACGTTGCAGAGCCTGTTGAGCAAAAGTTGCGGCTGACCATGACTCCGGTGAGCACGACGCCCGCGGTCCAGTGTCATATTATTGAAGGGATCATAGACATGAATGCGATTTATTGTCTGAGAAGGCAGCAATACATGCAGGTCTGGTGGCTGTCCTAGAGAGGGACGAGTTGATAACTTTGTACATATGATCCGAGCAACTGGCGCTCTCTGTCCGCAGATGTCATGTCGATCGCGTCATCCACGTGATCGTGATGTATCTGAACCGACTTTGTTTTTTGATCTTCCAAGTCCGTGATCCGTCTCCTACTAAGCACCGTCTGTGTTCTTCTGTTCCGTGCTGAGGATGGTGTTTTCGCCGGCCCCCGATGTCTTAGACGAAGACGTAGAAGTGGAGGCGCTGGTGGGCCTCGGAGAAGCCTTGATCAGTGCCATCCTAGAGCGCGCCCCGCTCGAGGCAATCAAGAGCATGATCGCGGACGGCGCACCGCTCTGGTACCAGGACGAGGAGGGCACCTCGCCTCTGCATGCGGCGGCGTATGTCGAAAACGAGGAGCTGATCAGGCTACTGATCGAGGGTGGTGCGGTGTGGAATGCAGGTAGGCAGTCAAAGACTACCCTTTCTGCATCGTATTCACGCGCCATCCGTTTCGCAGTGGACAACACGCATAACACCGCGGGGGATATAGCACTGTCGTTCAACAACGAGGCGTGCTATAATCTCGTCCGCGATGCCGGCATCCGCTCAGGTAGGCTAGCGGGATCCTGCCTCGGCGTCCGATTCTGACGTAGTGAACGTGATGTTCAGAGCTGCTCCTGGCTCTGCTTTCGTCGCGGTCCCTGCCTGCAGACTCTCCACTCTCTCTTGTTTTCAAGGCGACAGATACAACCGCCGCCGGCTCCACTGACGCGTTCATGTCCTCGCGTCTGCGCTTCACGACGGACGAGCACGGACAAGAGGTCTGCCTCGTCAAAGTGAACGAAAAAGAGGAAGTCGGGGTCATGATGGGCTGGGAGCGCGGCATAAGTGAGTGGTGGGCGTTTCCTGTTACGCAGAATCCCAAACCAAGTACGCTAGTCTGAAGTGCAGGCAACGGTCGAGAAGCTGTGCGCTGGTCACGAACAGCTGCAGGAGGGATTGAAGGTGCTGAACATCGGCTTCGGACTTGGCATCGTGAGGCGTTCTGCGTCCGCTTCTCGTCCGGGCTTCCGATGTTCACAAGGATCTTTAGATTGACAGCATGTTCCAGGCGCTTTCGACGCCGCCAGCGCTGCACGTCATCGTTGAGCCGCATCCGGACGTACGACAGCACATGCGAGAACGCGGCTGGTACGACAAGCCAGGTGTGAGGATTCTGGAAGGGAAGTGGCAAGACTTTGTCGAGAACGAGCTCCTGGCCGTGGGGGGATTCGACGCGATATACACAGACACGTTCTCTGAGGAGTACAAAGGTTGGTCTCCGGACGTCTATTCTGTCAGGCATCCCAAACTCATATGTGCGCCTGGCAGATCTGCAGCAGTTCTTCGAACATTTACCTGACTTGCTTGCTGGCCCGGAATCCCGGTTTGGGTTTTTCAACGGTCTGGGCGCAACCAGTGCGAAGTTTCCGGTCCTATATGATTGCCGTTACTCATTTTACCTACAGACGCGCTATTTTACGACGTGTACACCCGCGTCTCGGACCTGCATCTATCTGAGGTCGGCATAGATGTTGAGTGGAGTGATGTGGATGTCTTCGCGGAAGACGATGCACGGTGGGGTCGAACACGGCAGTACTTCACGCAGAGGCTGTATCGGTTGCCAGTGGGACGGATGAGAGCCATTGGATAGCCTTCCACGCCATGATTGGCCGAAATTGAATTTGATGTGGGCTGTATTGACGACCGTGCGTGCGGTCTTCCTTTGATGTATCAATCTGTTGTGTTGTGTGCCATACGACTATAGCACTTGTAAAATGCGAACGACTGCCTTGCAGCTGAGCTGCGGCACTGACTGGAGGCGGTCGACTGTGCCCAGACCGCCGTGTGCGCTTGATCGAGGACGTTCCTAGAGACCTTCCTAAAAGAGCGCGGGGGAAGAACCCGATCACAATAAGGTAATTGATCAGATCTCCGTCGCGACGATGTCAAGACGACCGAGACGGGCAGTGCTCCTCTTACGCTCTCTCCCTCCCTCCTCCATATAACGCCTTTCTCTTCTCCCCTTACCGACATCAGGCAGGACCGTTGTCAATTCTTTCCAAAGCGTCGACCGGTTCGACCTATTTCTCTTATTTCTTCACTACTGTCCAACTCAGTCACCACACTTCGGCTCGCGAGACGAGATTCATTTTGCTTCGGACACGATGGCCGCTGACTTGCTCGAACTGGTGAGTCGACCATGTGGTTACGAGGGGCCGAGACTCGATATTGAGGACATGTGCAGCGTCTTCCCGTCGACCTTGCTCCGCCAGAGCAGGTTCCGCACCAGCTGCAGAACTACGTGAGTACCCCGTCTGTCCATGCCCTGGCTGGGTCTCAACCAGTCCACACCGTCAGATTTCTCCCGAAGCATGGCAGGCCCGCGTACGAGCTGTGATACGCAAAGGCGGTCGCTACATCAAGCCAGGCTTCGATATGGTCTGGGGGATCATTGCCTTCATGTACGTCCCCCCATGGTGCTACTGCTACTCGACATGACCCGCTCAACGCGCGCACTAGAATGGTCCTAGCTTTGCCTATCGCGATGTACTTCGTTGCCCTCCGCGTCCTGCCCCACGAGGCCGACGACAACGTCACGTTCGAAGTTGGGCCAAACTTCGTCGTGACAGACGACGCGAACAGAATCTGGAAGGCGCGCGGTATCAGCATAGGCACGTTCTTCGGTGTCATCCTCCTCATGTGGGGTCCCCTCTTCCTGTGGAAGCTCCATGTCAGTCAACTCATAATGCCCCCCCCCCCCCCCCCCCCCTGAGCAATACTCATACTTGAGCTGCAGGGGAAATCGCAAGTCAACAAGATGCTCGAGCGGTTCGAAAACGAGGACCGCGCTGTCAGGCCTGGTGCCCCCGTCCCCATTTATAGGATATCCAGGCCCACGATCGGTGCCACCGCGCTTGTACGTATTCCCTGCACTGCATGTGTCATGGAGCATCTACTCATTCCCTGTCTGCAGCAACTGAACATCAGCGTTCCCGGGACGTCCGCGCCTACCTCATTCCAAACTGGCTCGCAGCCGCCCTCTGTAAGCAGTGCTCCCTTCTCCTTCTTCCTCCCGCTCACAACATGCTGAAATGACCACAGTACATCGTCAACGCCCCGCCTGACCCCGCCACCGCCTATGGGACTAGGTTCGGCCAGGCACCCCTTGTTTCAGGCCAGGGGGTGCCGCTCTACAACCAGTACGATGAAAAGGTCCCTGACTACAGCGGCCCGCCGCCGGGTGTCTACATGCCTTACGACGAGAAGCGCGAGTTCGAAAGCTTGCCCGTTTGAGTGCCATTGCCGTTATATGCCTGCCTGCCTGCCGTCGTGCTTTGTGTCCAAGAGACTTTTGCGTCGTCCGCTCTGTATCCTAGCTGGACTGCTTTCTGCTGGCGACTTGTGGTGCCCAAGCTCGAGATGGACAGCATTCATTTTTCTTTTGCTTCCCTTTTCTTCGACTTGTACTGTACCCCGTTGTAGAATCGCACACAAACTAGCTTTGGCTTGTTCCTCCTCTGGCAGAGGCATGTCATCCTGTATTCTAGCAATGCAGTCAGTCTCAACGGACCCGCCCTCGACATTCTTGATGCGTGCCGGTTGTGATCGAGCGATTGGTGAGATCTGATCACCAAGTCCATCAAGCGAGCATGTATTATATAGATCCTGCTCACAGCGTCCCCGCGCCTGGTGATTGCCCTTGCGTTCAGACCAGGCCAGAGTCAATACAGTTTGCCGGAACGACGACTTTATCCTGGTGATCTCAGCATCTGTGCCAGACCTCAGCCTGCACCATGACGATCTTCAGCCTGTACATATACGACCGGTACGACCGCATCCCTCACATAGCGCGCCCCCCGCATTCTTAACAGACCGCCTGCCCCAGACACTGCAACTGCGTGTACTACCAGGACTGGCACCGCACCAAACGGCCCCGCATCGCGGTCGAGGGCGGGCTGCTCCCCGCCGTGTCCGCCGCCGTGTACCCCCGCCCCGAGGAGGACACCACCGACGGCACCCTCAGCATCAGCACCCCGCGGAACACGCTCTCGTCCGCCTCTGGCGTGCTGATCGCCGTGAACGACGATGCGCCGCGCACGCCGCTGCCCCCCGCGCGCTCGCAGTCGCCGACCCCGCAGCACCCGCAGCAGCTCGCCAGCGCGGCCCTGACGTTCGACGAGGAGGCGAAGCTGGTGTACGGCGTCGTGCTGTCGCTGCGCAACCTGGTCAAGAAGCTGTCTGGACGGTGAGTCACCCGGGGACGCTGCTGCCGCACTTCAGCCTTGAAGACTTGACCTTGACTTGACCCATGATGGGTTCCTCCCGCGTTTGCAGGGACGAGCAGTTCGTGAACTACAAGACGTCGACGTACAAGCTCCACTTCTACGAGACGCCCTCGGGCTACAAGTTCGTGATGCTGAGCGACCCAAGCGTCGATTCGTTACGATTCGTTCTGCGCCAGATATATTCGGGCCCGTTCGTAGAGTACGTCGTACGGAATCCCTTGGCCCAAATGGACTCGAGGGAGCGTGGCATAGACAACGAGTACTTCCGCACCAGCACAGACAGAATGGTTCGAGGTCTCACTGTATTCGAATGACAACACGGCAGATGATGGCTTCGTGTTTGCTACTACAACTGGACAAGACGACAGCAAATGCAAGCGAGAAAACAAATACTCCATCCGGGGCACTGTGGTAATAAGATAGCGATTATAGATACAGCGGCTTGCGTTAGTGAATAAGTGTATGCTCGGATGTCCACCTCGTGCTGTACTCCGTTAGTTATCGTCCAAATCGCTCAAAGGACTGCCGGGATCGATTGCAGCTCCCGCATCGGCGGCAGGGACCGCATCCTCCGGCTTTTCCTCCAGCTTCTTGCGCACAACATTCATCAAGGATGTCTTGATCTCTCTCTCTACTCTCTCATCCCCTTCCTCACCCGCGACGGCTTCGTCTAGTGCCAATTTCGTCTGGCCCAGCGCGAGCATATCTTCCTCGATAGATCCTTTCGTGATGAGCTTGACAACATCAACGTCTTGTTTTTGACCTATCCGATAGGCCCGGTCCTGCGCCTGCTTGTCATTATGAGGGTTGAAATCCTGGTCGAACCTGACAACATATGTGTTAGAGGAACCAAGGCATAGTAGGACAAAGACATACATGATGACGACACTGGCTGCCGTGAGATTGATGCCCATACCGCCTGCCTTGGTAGAGAGGAGGAAGACAGAAATGCTCTCGTCATCAGTAAACTCGTCGACTAGAGATTGCCTTGCATCGACAGGAGTGGCCCCAGTGAGTAGTGAAAACCGGATACCCTCCTTCTCTAGCACCTTCTGCAGGATATCCAGGATTTGGGTGAACTGTGGTATGGCGATGACATTAGTTGAGAAAACACGTCACGAGCTTAGTAGTAGTACATACCTGCGAGAAGATGAGGACTCGTCGGCCCTCCGCATGATAGCGTTCTAGCAACTGCAAGAGTACTTTGACCTTGCCGGCTTGAAGGTAGCAATCGTCGGGTTGCAAGTACTTCCTAGTAGACTGTAGCCGAATGAGAGCGGATCTGAGAGCGTTGAAATGACTGTCACATACCTTGTACGTCGCACAGAACAATTGCAACTCCGCGTCCGTCATAACTTCCATGTCTTCTTTGACGAAGCGGAACACGGCACCTCTCCTCTTGAAGTCCGGTTCCTTCAGCAGCAACTTCGTGATCGAGGCGAGCGTGTCGTCGGTGAAGCGTCGCCTGAAGAGCATAGGATGTGAAGCCGCCTTACGGAGGTCCATCAGAACATTGGAACTATTCTCAAGGTACACCTTGTCCTTCTGTTTTCCGTTAGCACGGCCTTTCTTCGGGGCCTTGCCATTGGCGATCGTCTCTCCTGTTGCTTGAGCTTCTGCCTCGGCGTCAAAGATGGTTTTGCGAGACCGCTGCAGTGTCTCATTGTAGATAGTTTTCTGCAGTGGTGTCATTTCACACCATTCGATACGTTCACTCTTCTTTGGCAAGTCTTTGAGGACCTGGAAATTATGTAAGGCCAATGTGAAGGATTGTATGCTATAGTCTCACCTGATCCTTCCGCCTTCGAAGGACGAACGGTGTCATCATCTTTTTCGCTCGCGAGACACGTTCTTGAGCCAGTAAGGTGACCTTGGAATCACCCTTGGTCTTGAAGACCGCACGCAATGAGTCAAGGTCGTCTTGAAATTTCTCCGGAAGGATAAAGTTCATTAGGGACTGCGAACAAAATGACATTAGCGGTGGAACGGAAACTGTCATGATAACTAGACCCATACCACTAATTCCTGCAGGTTGTTCTGCAGAGGCGTTCCTGTCAACAGAAGGCGCCATTTCGACTCATAGCGCAGCAACGTTTGGTAACGCTGAGATTGGAAGTTCTTCAGGACGTGTCCTTCGTCAAACACAGAGACCTGTCGGTCGACCATTAGCGGCTGCTCGGTATAATGATGACCTGTGCTCACATCCCACTGAATGCGTCTGAAGAATTTACGATCCTTATCGTCGCCTTGTGCAAGATTGTAGGTCGTGATGAGGACCTCCCACCCGTCCTCTTGCCGACTTCGCTGAGTGTCCAACAGAGTCTGTCGGAGTTCCACTCGCTCCTCCTTGCCAGCGTAATAGCTCGTGACAGAAATGCTCGGTGCAAAGCGGTCGAATTCACGGAGCCAATTCTCTAAGGTCGATGATCTAGTAGTTGCTGTGAGCGCGAGACCAAATGTCCTGCAGAATTGAGCTCGCTTACGGTACGACGATGAGATGGGGGCCCTGGCTGCCCTGCTCCTTGAGATGCGCCAAGAAGCTGATGACCTGGCAAGTCTTTCCAAGACCTACCTCGCCAGTGAGCAGAACCCTACCGGCAGAAGTTCAAGTCGCCACTCACCCATCTCGTCGGCGAGGATACAACTCAGCCCCTTGTTGTACAAGAGATTCAGCCAGTTGATCCCCACCATCTGGTACTCTTTCAGCTGAACCTCAGGCGATACCAACGCTGGCTGTGACGTGAAGTAATAGCTTGGCCTGTTGTCCACTACAAGTGCCTGTGACCGCAAGGTCAACGCCCCGTCGGCGGCGAATTCATCGTCGGACGGTGTGCCTCGAGGCGACACGACACTGCCTCTGCTGTTCGACTTGTGACGTGCACTCTCCGTCCAACTCGCTATTTCGGCCTTGAGTTCTGCTCCGGTCTGCTCACAATCTTCAAGGATGCTATCGACCCTACCGTACCCCTCGAAGATGGTGGCACAATCATCGAACATGCGGGAACTTATACCTGCGGGTCCTGCCTTCTTCTTGCCTTGACCGAGCTTGGTCCGCAACTCGTCGACGTCCGAGAAGGGCCGCAATTCAATTATTTTCCGCGCCTGCGGTGCCGTGCAACCTGCAGAAGCCATGGTCAATGATTGACAGTATACTACTTAAGACACCCATGACTCACCAGTAAGTTCTTGGAGAGCCTCTGCCGCAGCCGAATTCATGTATTTCAAGGCACGAGTTTCATGGTTGGACTCTTCTTTCAGTCTTTTAGCTAGAGATGCATCATCTCGCCCACCCACAAACTCGTCCTCCGAATCAGAATCAATGATCTTCCTCTTGACACGCTTCGTGCGAGGCTGTGTTACCACAGGACTAGCTGGAGTGTGCGCGAATGGTGGCAATGCTGCTTTCTGTGTGACAGAAGCAGGCTTCGACGGAGGCTTGCCCTCCCCTGCCGGTCGCGCCATGTAGATCATAGACTTCTTACCCTTCTCACGAATTGCCATCCGCTCCGCTTGCTTCGCATCGTCAATCTCCTTGACACGACCAACCTCCTGGGACCGCGACTTCTGCGCCGCATGGCTCGATGGGCTCGACGAAGGTGGCTTCCAGTTGGGATCGTTCAGCAAGTCGGAGGCCTTGCGAACATCCCCACCCGCCTGGGTCCATGCAGCACGCACTTCTTCCGTAGTGAACTGTGGCTGTGTGAACCTGAAATGTGTATACTTCGCGTCATCCGTTTCAGATTGAGATTGCTCGGGAGTCGTCTGCGGCGGTGGCGGCGAGCGCGTGCCGCGGAGGATGCGCGGCTTCGAGGGACCAGCGATCCCGTTCTTCAGGTCCGAGGCCGAGTCATCAGAAGGAACGGGCGAGCCTGCGGCGGCACCGTTAAACATCCGCCGCTGGCCGGGCCGTTGGACGTCTGGGGAGTCGGGAACGGAGAAGAGATCGAGTGGGTCCTTGGAGGACTCTCCACGATTGATCCGCTTCCGGGGAGGTTCACCGTCCCGCTCTTCACTCTCTGACCTCCTTCTACTACTGGAACCGGAAGGACGCGTAATTGACGCGTGAGGAACGCCATTATTCGTCATGAACCCGCTCGGAGCGGTGAGAGGGTCGTATCGTGTTGGTGCAGTGTTGAGACGAGGGTTGGAATGGATGAGTCCCGGGATGCCATCACCAACGGTGTCGTTCTCCCAAGGGGTGGTTTGTAAACGGATTGCTTGATCTTGCCTTGGAGGGCTTGAGCTGGGAACCAGGATGTTGCCCGGTGAGGTCGGGGTGGCTGGAAAGAACCGCGATGGCATTGTCGCGTCGCGCGACTGTGTTGGTGGCGACGCAACGTACTGAGGCACTGAGGTACTCGACGCTAAGGTTTCTGTCGTAGTCGTGGGCTTAGGAGACATTTTATCCCGGTTCTTCTTGAATTTAAGTTGTTCTAAGGCTGCCTTCTGGAGTGAGGAAGATGCGTGCGGCGCAACCACAATGAGGACGCGCCCGAACAAAATACAGATATATGAAAATACTAACTCTATTGGCAGCAGGATCCTGTCCTGGGGACATAATGCAAAATGCAGGTATAGGTTGTGCAGAATTGCCGATTGAGGGGGGCAGGATCGACGACCGACCTGGGGGTGTGATACGACACGGACAAGCCAGGAGAAACTCTAATCGGTGGCCGTGGGCGGAGAATCAAACAACTGTGGCTGCTAAGGCTGGGTAGCCTTGTTTTACATATATAACAGTGAATATGCGCCTCTACATGGCGATGGAGATGAAGGTATATACTATAATACAGGTCGAGGAGCAGGGAAGTAGTGTATCGTTGTCTCGTCAGACTGCTGGTGGCATAACAGACTCAGACACGCAGGACATAGAGTGCAAGATGACATATTTATTATTTGAAGAACGGTGAGTAAAATACATAGCATCAATGTATAGTAGCAAGTACTGCACAACGCATGAGCTAATGTTTGACCAGCCCACCACCAGCACAAATTGTATGAGCCTTCTTCGTCAGACGGAGTACGGACATATGCAGACACGAGCATCAAGTCTGCCGGAAACAACTAGGATCACACTCTTCAGTCGAATAGACAAGGTGCGATACACAGTGAAGACTTACGTATTCGATGACCTCTCCGGTGAACTTCTATGCTAATGGTCGGCGTCCAAATGGAAACGTACAACGCCGTACGATGAACTAGACATATGGACTGCACTATGACAACACTCACCGACAGCGCCAGCGGGTAGCCAAAAACAAATAGACCAGCGTGTGTAAGGCCTTGCCTGCGTTTGGCTTCTTGCACTCCATGTCTAGTGACTTGGTAGTAATCTCAGCCGACGGCATAGCATGACGGTCGTTTCTTGCAGACTTGCGACACGAAAACTGTACACAACAATCCTTTCAAAGTGGAATGTGGACAACCCCAAGCGATTGGTGGACTAACATACTTCCTGCTTTGAGCGAGAGATAGGCTTGCGCATCCAAGATACACTGAGTGGATTCCCATGGTGCACTGGGGAAGCGCAAGCCGCAGTTCGTTTTGATACTGTGTCTCCACCACACGATGAAGCTCGCAAAGGCAATGACAATGATAATGGACCACGGAGGACATGATTGTGAATCCTCATTGTAGCGCGTGATTGAGGTCTGAGAGCTGTAATCGCACGGGTTGTCCGCAGGAGCAGGTATTGTTGGTTCGTGCTAACCTTAAAAGCGCTCTGCATATTATTCTATGCAGCGTGCATACAAGCTCTGATACGCACTGAGACCTGCGAAAGAGTCAGTTGCCATTCGGTTGGAGATGAAATAATCGCGCACCCATTTTACAGTTTGCGTTACTAACTGAGGATCAATCGATAACAATTTTCTCGTACATTTAGTTCTCGAGAACATCGAAAAACCGTTGCCGTACTTTCAAGCACCGTAAGGCCTCACCTATTGCGGGAGACATCGCTGCCAAAAGAAAAAGGAGGACTAAAACGGAGGAACCAGATTGCGGATGGATGTGCCAACACGTCCAGGGGACGTCGCGAGCGCCACGACATATCCCGATGGCCTCGTCGAAGTATTGCGATAGCTATTCGTCATCTCATAACGACTGAAAGGAATCGCAAACGACGACACGAGGAGGGAGGAGGTGATTGAGGAGAGGGAACGAGGAAAGGAGGGGGACGGAGAGACGAGGGACGATAAGGGGAGATGGTGGTTGAGAAGAGAACTGTTGAGCGCTCGCATTGTGCCGACGGCGCAGCCTCACGCATAGTCACGCACCGCCGCAGCTGTGGCGCTGCTCCGCTTAGGGAGGCTCTCAGCTCGTCCTTGCTCTCCACCTCCCATTCCATCCTACTCAGCAGTTCGCTCGACGACATCATGGGTGACCTTAATGTCTTCGCGTTGTTTGCAATCGTAGGCTTTTCTATGGCCGTTTCTATTCTCATCACGGTTCCGTTGACTGGGGCCCTTGTGCGATTGCGCGGTGAGTGCGTCTCCGCCGACCGGTGGTATTGCACGACTAACAAGCACTCATATTCAGCGAATTACAACCCGCGTGGCTTACGCCTGGACCCGGAGGGCAACTTTGAGCCGCACACTGGGCCTGTGGTCACTTCGTTCTTTGGCATGTTGAAGCGAGTAAAGCGCATCGAGGTGAGAAGACGTTCTAGGCCATTCCTTGGTGATTCAATAGCTCACACAGCCTTGAAAGGGTTGGGGCGGATTGTACAAGGGGCTCAGTACGTGCAGGGTTGCCATGTTGATCCACAGAGTTATCCATACAACGCGTTTCAGTGCCCACGTTGTTGTTCAGTCTTGTATTGTCCGTGTTCGCGGTCACTGTTCTTGACGCAGACAGAGCCAGCACGCCAGGCAGGATCGACCCTCCGATTGCCGGGCCGTTCGGCACCTTGGCGTATGGTCTCCTCTCGATGCTCTTATCCCTGCCCGCTGCGGTCATCACCTATCGGTGAGTGTCCCGATTGGTTAGCACAATCTGCGCAGCAGTACTGACTGTTCCCAGTTCGATCACCACTCCATACAAGCTCCCTTACCTCCGTCCAATGTACTCTATTCGTATCCTCCTGACGCCCACGGAGCGCAAGAAGCCATGGATGTTGTACATGACGCCGGGTCTCCTTGCGGCACAGGTGCTCAACGTCGCGTATACTGCATTCTTCCTCACTGCAATCCGAGCTTTCCTGTTGCCCCGCCCTAGTGCTGATGAGCTCAGCTTGAATACCGTCAAGTTCGGCATCTATCTATTTATAGAACTGCTGAGTACAGTGGTGCTGTGCCCTCTGGAAGTTATCAGTACGAAGCTGGCGATCCAGCGTAACCACGCTGCGCCGGAATACAATTCAGTGGAGCAAGAAGCCGAAGATGACACTCTGGACGGCGAAGAATACACGGAGTATTCCGGCGCTGAAGAGGATGTCATTGGGTTAGTAGCTTGTCCCTTAGTCCGATTGTCGAATGGACGCTCATTTCCTGCTGATTCATCAATCTTGTAGGTTGCGTCATGAAAAGGACCCGTACCTGGGCCTTGTCGACTGCGCGAAGAAGATTGTTGACGAAGAGGGCTGGAAGGCTTTGTATCGTGCATGGTGGATCACGCTGCTGGCGGCCGTTGCCAGTGCGTTTGCATGGGTCGCGCCGTACTTTGCGCCGTGAGCGATGAGGAGCATGTCATCTTGGTTGTATGTGGTTGTGCGTGAAATTGTACCTATACATTGCGTCTACTCACGTATGCCATGATATATTCCTTTCAAAGGTTGATTTTTGTCAGAAATATTCGAGCATCTCAAAGTCCAATGAAAAACGTGTTTTCTTGCATAGCTCTTATCTGCTACCCCCAGCAAAGCGTCGACTTTGACGCAACTGACGGATTCATGGGTACCCATGGTGAGATAAGTCTGATTTATGTGCCACAATACCTTCTGCTTCGATAAACTCGCCAAGCAAATGATACAAAAATTCCCTGGAAGCGACAACAACCCTACATACGTAAGCAGCAATAGCGTTTCAATTAGCTCTCGCTTTGCGTTAGCTCTCACTTTGACATGACAGCACGCAGATTATTCGACTGCAACACATAACGAAAATATTGGAGGTGCATCCATAACATTCCGTCATATTTTGACATGCACGCCTGTGGATCACCGTTTGCATCGTGCTGTCATTTCTTTCTTTTCCGTGCGTCCTTTGTTCAATATCATCGTTAGTATCACGGAGTCTCTCAGCGAGGTGCAGAAGCGTATCACGCATGAAGCTTGACTTAGAGTTCGTGAAACCGGGGCGACCAGGGCATATCAGGGGTCGTATCCTTCCGCGATCCACGCACGATGCAGTCAGCTAGATTTTGTGATCGCGGCCCCTTGCCATCCCCAGACCATCCCCGAGCTCCAACAACCCTTCGCGGCCAAAACGTCCACGGCATTCGCCTGTTGTGTGCGACTGCAACCGAGTACATGCATGCCACCCGCTGCATTCGAAGGACTTTCCCCGCAACGTCTGCGCCCCAGGTGACATAATGCCAAGACATTTCGCGCACATCAGCTATATTTATCGACACTGGCGCTTTTGCAGATACGAGAGTCGGCGCCTACGTGTGACCGCACTACTTTGACCGGAACCGATGCTCTTGCCTCTTTGAGGGGGTGGGGTAGCCGTAAGATCAGCCGCGCCGCCCCTCATGATCCAATCATCGATTCCTATCAGGCGTCCGCGACGCTAACGACCTGCGCGCACTTTGTCGTTAATGTTGTGGGAAGGCAGACGCGCCGGCGTGTGGCGTCCGGGGGTCTTCACTGAATGGCGACGGGCAGTACGACACATCTGTCAATTCTCCGTGGTAGATTAATACTGTGAGAATCTAAGGTGAGGCATAACGGTCACGGTCGTCGAGTGCATCGCAGCAGCCGGAGACGTTGTCAAATTCAGGACACTGGTAGGAGTAAGACAATCCCGTTCAATGAGCTCACGCGACATTGCCAGGTCGCAGACTCCATGAACATAGCTGCGTAAAACCAACGGGGATCTAGCTTCTAGATCCTGTTAGATCCACGGTGGGTTTACCGTTGCCCTCGGATGGCAGCTTGCGAAGGACGAAAGTGCCGCACTCCTATCGCTCGTGTGGTCTATATTTAACACTAACGGCCGCCTACAACAGAATAGGTCCAATGTTTCTCTCGAGAACAAGGAGAGGCTTCGAGTAACGCCGGACGTGTCCGCCACTGACGCCATTAACCCATTAAGCATCGTGCTACTTCGGAACATACTCGTTTCTCCCAGGTGAGTAACGTTCTGACCTATATTTGCCCTAACAGCTAACGACGAGCGCGGGTCATGAGTCGGGGCGTTGGGCTGTAATGAAATGGGCGGGACGGCAAATTCCATGCGTACACGCAATATTCCGGAGGGCAGTATCACAGATCAGTCCGGAAACGAGCGTTTGCAAGCTTCGGGGACTTGAAACACATAACCGCGCCTGCAAACCCAAGCAACACACAACTTATCGAGTCTGAAATGAATGACTGTTCAGTCGCGGTGCGCTACAAATTCACTTCGGTGTTTACCTCCTGTATGTGCTGGTATGGTCGTCAGAACGGTGTTACCTCCTTATAGCAATGGCTCTGATGTGGCCCATGGAGAACGATGCGGGGCTGGCGTCACCGTCGCAGGTATTCTCGTCGGATCCAACCCTTCAAATGTATGCGGCACCCCAATTCTGCTATTCGGAACAATCTATCGTCCGATAACTATTTCGACAGTGTCCAGAGCGATGCATCGCTCGTTCTCTGCCCTACGGTCGAGATCCGCCCTATAAGGTGCGCGCGCCTCAGCTATTCGAACTGACGCTGAGAACCCGCGTCTACAATGTGCAGCAGTCGTCATGGACTGATCGAACATGGTGCGTGTCGTTTCCTTATTTGGACATTGGCCATGTTGTGGCACCATATGCGGCCGATCTCACTCATAGTCCCGCGGCCAAAGAGGCGCACTCTGTGAACGGCGGGTCGATACGGCGGAGATTCTCTTGGTATCCCGATGCCCCTCAAATGTTATACTGACCGGTGAGATCCATCTATCGCCGGCAGTCCCTCAGCTGACAGACCGATAGGACAACGCTCGCAGACGCTCGCAGTTGGCCGACGAAGTCAGCATCGCCGCTTGGACAGACTCCCCATCAAAAGCAACCTTACTTTGCGTGCCAAGACCCCGATCGCCCTTGGGCAGACATCCTTGCCAAGCCGCAGAATTTTGTGGAGCGTTGGCGACTGCCATTGGCGTGTGTCGCGGTGGCTGCTCACGCGCAGGCCTGATTACACGTTTGAGAACCGCATAGGTTGTTGGACAGGTTCATCACGCATCCATGTCGTGCAGCGTATCACAGTACAGGCCTGGGGCGGTTGCCAGCGTCACCTGTGCCAGTGATCAATATCATGTCAAGCGTGACAATGAAATCTGCGACCATGCTGTTATCCCGCCCCCACCAATCACGAGCATGGGTGCAATGCAGTTCCGGCACATCGATACCATCGGACTGGACGGTCGCTAAGATCACGAGAAGAGTCACCGAGAATGGGCTACCGGGACCGGCGGCTACGACAGTATGCACTATTTTCGGTGAATGCCTCGTTAAAAGTGCGTGCACCGTGCGCATGTGTCATTGCTGAGGAGGCGCCTCATTGTATCTAGGCGCGCACACGCACTACAGGATCGCAAAAGGAGCAAGGGTCTCACCAACGAAGATCTATTCCATGAAGGTCCAGACGGTGATTTGCCCCACGTCCTGGCGCCGCTTGTGGCTATTTATGGCGCACCCAACGTGAACGGACAAGACCCTATCAACATTGCTCTATGGCGCGCCACTCCAGCACAATAGTTGATTTGCGCTGGTACATCTCGTCCCGCGAAGAACCAACGCCTAGCCCCTGGCAGCGTTGTTTTGACACCAATGGACGGCCTTGTAAGGCAAGACGCCCGTCTGTGATTGGTTCACACTGTCAAGTAGAGACGCGTTCCATAGGATCGCGACATCCAGTCACCAACAGGCTCCCCGGTAGGTCATAGATCGCAATCGCAACGAGCATCCCCATTTGTGCAGTGGCCCTGGCTCCCAATCACCAGTAAAGCATTTTCGAACGTCCTATCTCTTCGATACCCTCCTGCACAAAGTATCTGTTCCCCAAAGGCCTGAACACAAGAGGCCAGTCAGGGTCTACCAGAGATCCGCATGCTGCCATTGCCTTCAAATCTTCCGAGCGCGTGCAGGGCCAAGCGTGGGTGACCCGGCATGCCTTCTCTCCGACTCCGTTTTCCGTTTTAAGGTCGCTCAATAGCTCATGCTTAAGTGGCGCTTGTACTGCTACCGACGTCGGTCGCATACCGTATCGATAGCAGCCCGCGCGTCCGTGTGGGCTCGGATACACGGTTCGTACGACTAGGGACAACAGCTAGTCTGTCAGGGCAGCCGCCCGGCCCAACACCATCCGCGGCACCAGGAGCACTAGGGCGCGCATTGACAGAACCTAGGGGTGAGGGGCCGAAGAGCGCAGAGGCGTCAAGGCGCGACAGCGCCGCTAGCGACGATCTCCTATTTTTGTAACTCACTTGGCTGCGAACCTTAGCATCCCTATGCTACCCCGATGCGCCGGGACGAGCTTGACGCGGCGATCTTCGCGTGAACACCACGAGAGTAAGAGAACTGGCGAACATGTCGAGCGGGCTGCGTCGAGACCGCCCGTGACCCGATGGGCGTCGGTACGCCGCTCGCTAAGACCCGAGTCGAGTGTGCGGCAATCGGCGGGGGAGTCGTGTAGAGGACCAAATCGAGGAGAGCCATTGTGCAGTTCTACTTCTGTGCCTCGAGGGCTTACGAGCGTCCGCTGTGACGGGCCGCCCAGCACTTGCCAAGGGCCAAGTGCCAAGCGGATTCATTTGATAAGGTTCGGCATCAGACCGGATATTGAAAGCCCAACTCGGGGGCAGCTCGATCGGGCGATTGGAGTCTATGTCTGGTGGACGGGCGGTCGCAGCGACGTCGCAGAGCCCCACGGGCGCACGGTGTGCGGTGGGCGAGGGAGACCCTTTGGCGTCGGTTGCGGTTTCTCCATATGTTGGGGGCTATGCGCAGGAAGACAGACGGGCTTGTGCATGTGGGGGGGGAGGATTGCCCGGCGGAGAGTGTCCTGGGTCCGGGGAAGAATGCGGAGGAGCCTCGACCGCAGCGCGAACCGACTTTCGGGCATGCCGTGAGCACGCCGAGCAGGCTCGGCTCGTGTCTTGGCGTCTAGTCTTGGCGCTCTGCGCTTCCCGTGGCATGGAGGAGGAAGTCTCCGGGCTTCTGCACGCCCATCAATTCTCGGTTTCCAGCGGCGCACCAGAACATTGGCAGCGGCCACACTGATTGTCGAGCTCTAGCGCGCGCGATCCATCACGCTCTCACGTACTGATCCTGTTCTATTCTCTGTCTTCCCACATCGCATTCATTTGTTTGGGCGCCCACTCCATCTACTGTCATAGATGACCCCGTTCCTGCAACCATCGTAATTTCCAAGATCCTCCTTCCATATTCCGCACATCCATGCTTCTTTCGACATTGCGCATGCATGCCAAGATATAAGCGGCCGTGCACATCAGCGCTCCCCGCCCTCCCGTCGCACTATATCTCTTGGCCATCCGCCCCGCACCACCACACTATACCATGTCTGACCACTCCGCCGCCGCAGTCGCCGCCTCTCCAGCGTCTGCCACTGTCACTAAGAAGAGGCGCAACACTACCGAGTCCAAGCGCGTCACCCCCGAGGACGACCACCGACGTAAGCACTACTCACATTCCATGCCCGCCATGCCCGTTACTGACGTTCCACCCTAGGCAAGCGTCGTAACCGTACAACTCAGTCATGTCTGAACTGCCATACATCTAAGCGAATGGTGGGTGCAATATTGGAGAATTCGAACCGTAACTCACCGAGCTGTTATAGTGCGACCGCAAACGTCCATGCGGCAGATGCACCCAGCTCGGTCTGGTGGGTCCCGTCCACTGTTGACTGTGCCATATAATGCTGACTGTGCCCTGCAGACCGGCCTCTGTGTCTACGAAGTAGACGACCCCAGCAGAAAGTGAGTACAATCGCAACAAATGCCTATCGCTCTACTCACCTAACTTCAGGGGCCCTAGCAATGATACCCAAGACGAGAAAGATCGTCTCCAGAAACGCGTCGCAGAGCTCGAGAGCGTCATTCGCGAGCTGAAAAACAAGCCGCACCCCCGTTGGGTCTCTGGCGCGGGCAGCACTGATGCTGTTCAACGAGCCGACCATCGCAACGCAGCGCTGACAGCTTCAATGGATATGCGCTCGGCACCACCTTCACCCCGAAACTCGCAACAAGCTAGCACACTTGCCGATTGCATCTCACCTATATCCCCAATGAGCACTACATTCAGTCTCCCGACGGCATCCTCACACACCTCCTCCCGCAACTCGCCCTTCATCGGCGCAATGTCGTCTCGTGTCCCCTCCAGTCCCTCTATCGCAGATAGCTCTCCCATGGATACACCTTCTCCAATGACGCTCTCGCCCACAGAGAGCCAGATGGCCGGGGGTTCATCCCTGCCATCGGAATACGACATCGCAGCACTACTATCTTCATATCCGCCAGAGAAGGCGGGGCTCGAAGACAATCTCTTTAACGAAATCTGGGATCGCCTTATCCGCCCAGACGGCACGTGCGAAGTCAATCGCTTAGGGGAACACTGCGGCTGTCTGCACGATCCCGCAAATTACAACGTCGTCCTTGAGCTATCTCTCCGCCTGCGCAAGGCAGCGGACGCACTCAGCCGCTCCTCACAACACGCCTCGGGCTCCTGCGCTATCAGCCAGAACATCGCCGAGCTAGATAGGTTTACATCGTGAGTCGCTGTGCCTTTCTCGGTCGATGGTGGCTTAACATTACGAATCCCCCAGAAATGCCTTGGGAAACATCAGCGCCCCTCCGGAGCTTTTTGGTGGCTACCGCGATAGGGCGACGGTGCCTGCTGTCCCGCCAACCAATCCGCCTCTGCCGTACAGCGCATATGGCGTCGCTCGTCCGAATCCGCCCGCATCAGGTCCCACGGTATCTCCGCCGTCACTGCAGACCCTCCAGCCTTGGGACGGCAAGCCCGCGGGCTCATATCCCAGCCCGCCATGGGATGACTCGTTCATGTCCTGGGTGCCGCAGCGGCGGTGAGGGGACGCTGGGGCTGACAGTAGACGCGGATGCGATTTCATCGAACTTTGGGCTAGACGCCGTATATTGGGCATTTAGAGGGGATCTTCGGACGGACACATGCCGCGATGTACACTAACGCTGTATATACCAAGAGAAGCAGCCAATTCATGCTGCCGTGCCATGATAGGGACCCGCGCGAGAGGTGGCGACGGCGCGCCCTGCCATCGAATTGCCGGCTCAGAGTTGCGAATGGACTGGCGCGATGCTGGGATTGGGATTGGGATTGTAAGATGGCGTCAGCGATGATATGAGATAAGATGGAAGCGCATCAAGATCCGTGGCCAGATGCCTCCGCTGATCTCGATAACGGACTCGACCTCAATGGTCGATCCCAGACTGTATGTTTCGTTCATCCGTCAGACACCCTGCCTAATTGCGCACGTCCGTCGTCTGCATCCTTGCAGCGCGTGCGCACCCTACTGCTGCGGCGACTGCGCATTCGAAATTGTGGTTTGTCAAGCTCAAGCCGGTGCGTGACGCGTCAGAAAGACCATCATTTCCACGCCGGATTGCTCGGGCTCGATGGGGATTTCGCTGTGCGCAAGAAATGCAATTCTGATATACATGTTCTGTGTCGAGGGATGATGAAATCTACGCGAGCAGCGCCACATCAAATTTTCGGTATTATCGTCTTCATTCAACATGTCTCAGCCAAGAAAGGGACACAGAAGGACACAGTGGTCAGCAAGAAAGGAGTGCATGCATGCGACCGGCCCGCCCCGCTGTTCAGCTGAATCCGCGGCGAACAGCATTGAATATTGCACGTGTAGAGAGGACACAAGGAGGAAATGGGACTAGCGCGTGCGGCTGCGGGGCTCACTCGGTGTGCACACGAGGTCATTACACGGCGGACCGGCGGGACGGGTACTCAGTGCCAGGGCACAGCACAAAGGCTTGTGGGCATTATGGGTCCCTCAGCAGATCGCCAAGCGCACTTGAGTTAATCAAGATCGAATGCCGGATCTGAGCTATGTATGCAATGCCCAGCGACCGCATTCATTTCACAATCAGCCAAGGCAATGCAGTATTTCTACGCGCGTCGCGACCCCGAAGCAGCATTGTGTCCAGTGTCCTGCCTTGCACGGAGGATGTGGCTTTCTAAACTCAAAAGGGGGCATTTGTAACTATAAGAAGGAGCCCTTACCAAGCTTACCGCGGCAGGAACGTGACCGGGGCGGCAAACAGAAGCTCGAGATCGGGCAGATCGAGTCCCTGTTCGCCAAGACCTGCCAAGACCTCTCGGCCCTCTGGGCATTCCTGAACAAGATCGGGCGCAAAGCTTGACTATCATATGCCGGAACTCTCTCGGCTCCGCAGACGCCTTCCTCCTGCACTCTCCGTTCTCATGAACGGAGCATTTACTCAAACCTTGACCAAATTGCTCTGACACGAGACACATTGGGTATTAATAACAATGTGTCCTAAAATACGGTGGTCGCCCACTAAGATAGCAGTGTCGACCATTCATCGAGTCGCATTAGCGAGCCGAGCAAACAGCAAGCGGTGCTTTTAGATGCGGTGAAATGCTCGACGGTGATCCGTCGTCGGCATACTCATATGTTACACACGGGTGTCTGGTTTACTGTATGAATGGAATGGAACGGGCATCCTCAGGTGCGCCACTGCACAGCCAACGGCGGCCAGTATGCTCGGCGTACTTGGCAAGAATGTCGTGAACGTTCGCCACAGAAGGACGAATTTTCGGGGAAGGACCACGGTGGCCGCTTTGCACAGGATTACGGGAACAAGCACACTAGTAAAGCCGACAGGGGCCACGGAAGATGACGCACAAGACCAAAGGGCTCAGTGCGTCCCAGCCCAAGGATGTCGCTCAATGAATTAATCACGCAGGGTCCGATTATCAAATTGTATATTCTCTAAATGCGAAGGAATGTCAGCAAGAGGACCACGGTAGCAGAGGGGGAACACCTTCGCACTGCCCAGCCTTCTCACTTACAAAGCCGGTAAGGATATAGTAGGGCGGGAGAAGCTTGGCCTTGACCTGCTGGCTGACCGAGAGAAGTAGGATGCCGCTCGGCTTAGGCAACTTCTGTTGTAGATAGCAGAGGGCGCCCAAAGCAAACTAGGCAGGATGGTAGTCTATCCCGTCCATTGATTACTATTCAGCACTGTCTCCGTGGTCATTGAAGTAGAGCGGTCTTCTCTATACTGCTGGTATGGCTGACCTGAGGTCGGCTACCACCGATAGGACGGGCAAATGATCGTCTTCTTCAGACCCTGAAGGGGCCGTCAAGCTGGGCAGCGATGCCCCATAGCTGGAGTAAATCGCGGTGACGAATGAGCACAGGCACAATATTTGAAGCAAGAATAAGCACCCTTAGGTGCCTTCTTTGTGAAGGTACAATTATTTCCAAAGAGCACATGCCAAGATTTGTAAACACAGCAGGGGATTCGAGAATCTATCCTGTGTTCTGCTTACCTGCGCTACACATTAGCCGGAGGGCCATATGGAACAGATTACTGACCCTGCATTCCCCGTGAAGATGGACTGTACCGGTGCCAACTTCATGGATGTTGTACAGCTCGCAAAGCAGTCCTAAAACATATAGGTATGAGCGCTATCACCGCGTCCATGCATGGAGCCAAGATTTACCTATCGCTAGTAAGTTGGTCAATATCTATGTCAATCTATCCGCTATAGGTCTTTTGTGAGAGTTGTCTTGCCTGACCGACACAATGGCTCTCTTCAGGGGGCTGGTTTTGTGTCGATAGCGCACTAATGTGGCTAGCACGCGTTGACTCAGCTTGCGCATCGCCCTGTGTACCCACGACATTAATTGCAATAGTGAATTTTCGCATACAGAACCGCAGACGAATGAACATTTCCAACGCTTATTCAATATGAGTCTCTTGCCAAGTCCGATCAGAATATTCCTGCTTGCTCTCATGAGGCCGGTCAGCAATTAGCTGCGATGGGTTCTTTGCTTGGCTAATGAGCACCTTACGCTTACCCATTTTTTCTCATAGGCATGTCGGCGAACGTTGGCTTGTTGCCCGGCTACTATGTTCTTGAATGCGCCGCCTCCGTGGGGGAACTGGAAGACGCGAGAATATTCCACGGAAAGTAAGTTACTAAATGCGGTGAACATCCGCACGCGTGCACATCGCTCCGACACATTAGTCAGCATTTTCAGCCACCTATATAAGCGCCGCGCGCTTCGCCCGACGACTCCCAAGTCTATCGATTTACTCGCGACCAAAACATGGCCTCTCATTTGGTGAGCCGCTCAGTGTTCTACAATGCTTACCGCAAAGGTGCTGACATGCTGTGTGTAGGCGAATATCTTCGGTACTGAGCAGGATCGTGTCAACTGCTCGTTTTATTACAAGGTATGTTGTTCGGATTCCCACTTCGCTAAAGACTTTGGACTAACGCTCTACAGATCGGTGCGTGCAGGCACGGTGACCGTTGCTCGCGAAAGCATATCAAGCCCGCCTTCTCGCAGACAATCCTCCTGCCGAATGTCTATCACAACCCCGCGCACGACCCTGTTTGCAAGCTAACCGAGAAGGAGCTGCAGGAGGGCTTTGACGCAGTCTACGAGGACTTGTATTGCGAGCTGGCGAAGTTCGGGCATCTTCTCGAGCTGCACGTAAGTGGCACACGTTCATTTGTGGCCGAGCTCTCGATTTGACCGGTATTACGTTCGACAGGTCTGCGACAATGTCGGAGATCACCTTATCGGCAACGTGTACGCGCGGTATGAGTGGGAAACTGAGGCACAGACGGCGGTGGATAATCTGAACGATCGCTGGTATGCAGGTAAGCTTGACAGGTCTCCTTATCCTTTAGCTGTTCACCCTTGACATTTTCTCAGGCCGCCCGCTCTATGCCGAGCTATCCCCCGTCACTGACTTCCGGGAGGCATGTTGCCGTCAAAACGAGAACGGTGAATGCAACCGTGGTGGCTTCTGCAACTTTATGCATCTCCGATTAGCATCAAAGGATCTTGTTTCGTCCCTCCGTCATGGTCAACGGCTAGAGAGGCGAATGCACCCTCCAAAGGTTGAAGGTGGAGGAGGATGGGAACCATCGAGAAAAGAGAGTGTCAAGGGTCGCAGCGCTAGTCCCTCGAAGCGAGGAGGACGTAACGAGGGAGAAGATCGGTGGACCCGCAAGTGAGACCGATAATCATGCTGCTTTCTTGCTGTCAGATTGTGGCTGTAGGCGATGGCGCTGTGGCGTTTTGTCATGATATGGAACCGCGATTCTGACATATACCCGATGCGTGCGATGTGTCATGGATAACAGTGTACAAAATCACGCATAGGTGTGTCGTAAGTGCACGTCCCATGTCATTTATTAAACCGAGCTATGAGGTGTGCATGCCAAACCGCCGCCAATCGCGATGGAAGCCAACTCAGCTTCTATGATGTGAGCCGGCGGCGATGAGGATACCTGTCAGCGTAACCAGGCCTTACTGAATATTAGCAATGTGCTGTGCTGGACGCCAATCTGCATCAGGTATTATTGTGATAGTGTGTGGAGCCCGTCGACAGTGATCGTACATCGCAAAGTAACATCAGACCAGCCATCCTCGATAATCGCCTCTCTTGTCCCTTTGCAGGAGAGTCTCCCACTGTACGACAAACCTAGCGAAAAGGTCCCGGATCAATGAGCTGACAGGAAGAAATCACGCGGCTCACCTATCGACAAAGGGTCTGAGAAGCTTGCCTGAGAGCGATAGCGAGCGGACACGTGCAAACGATTCAATGTAAATTAACCTAGGCGACGGAAGACCCAGTAACTGCATGGTATTATCAGGAGGGGATCATCAGCTCCAGAGGCCCGCCGATTACTAGATGACATGGAAGATGGAAGCTCACTCGGTTGAAGTACGTTGCGACACAGAGCACAAAGCAGGTACCTGGACCATTAAGGAGCAAGACCTCCGCCAAAGGCGCACTAGTCCAGATCGGACATAAGGTAACATGATAGAGGCACGCGAGGAGCGAGCAGGCGGCGGTCAGAGGAGTTGTGAGGAGTGTCTGGTGCACCCTACGCGCCCGTGGGATTGTCAAGATTCTATATGGTGCATCTGATACACGCTTCTTTCAAGAATCAGTGGAATTTCATGCAATTCAGACGGAAGATGCCATGTGAGTCAGAAGAGAAAATGTACGGACAGAATATGGAGGAGAAACCGCGGCTTTCACCCGCTCGAGCGCGGCTGCTTTGCGAGCGCTGAGTATGTCACCTTCACTAACAATATATGTCCGGGGAAAGTAGCGGGTAAAATCAAGCGACGACACCAGCGTCAAGGCCTCGCTGGTATGTCCCCCTTTGTCGCCCTGTTCAAAACGCTATCGGCGCATCAGTCTGTGATATGTGCTTACCTGACCCCAGAAATACGGCTAGACTGCATGACTGCGTCCCTGGCCGGATCCGAGCCTTATGAATTGTCCCTTTGGGCAGGAGGGAATAGAGGCGCAGAACGACACAAGCGATCAGCGCCGCGGCGCACAGCAGCCATGCAACCATTTTCGTAGAGTTCCGTTTCGTGGCTGAGCAGGGTCAGCGGCGTCACAATTGGATCCGAACAGTCGCGGGATGGAGCCGCTGGTCTGTACGCTGTGCACGAGGGTCGCAGGTATGGAAAGCAAACAATTCAAGAGCTGGTCCGGGTGGAGGGCGCTAGGGCAAGCCGTGTGAGCGGCCAAGATAATTGTCGCTCGAGCGGACATTGCTCTCGGAGCGCCTATTGTACCGCGTCATGAAGTTCAGAATTTGCCAGATTTGGATAGGCGCTGGACCGGCGGTCCAGTGGGTCGCGTCGCGCGCGTCCGTGGTCCGCCACAACGCGTCTTGTTCTTCTCCTGCTCCTTGAGACTGCCTGACTGCCCATTCGCGCCTGGGTGTTACGTTTCTTCCCCCTTGGCATCACATTCCAGCTGCACCGTGAGACTGCTCGCCAACATGGCGCTCTCGACTGTTGATGCCGAGACCGCGACCGCCCTGAGAAACGCCGTGCGCGATTGTAGCGAGAGGGGGTTGCTTTCCGCGTCCAAATGGTCAGTTTTAGGCTGCTATGATCAAAACTTGATTATGACTCGTTGTCTCGCTGGTCAGGGCATCCGAGCTACTTCTTTCCTTGCCAGCCTCCAAAAGACAGCCATCGGCCTCAACGCAGACTTCAGTACCGCATGCGGGTTCTCCTCCTCGGCCACCACCAGTCACGCATGCTGGCGCCTCTACAGTATCAGCTTCACATCCCCCAGCTCCGGTCATTCAGCCGAGACACCCCCATGCACCTCCATTGAGCCCACTTCCGGACAAGACTCGCCTGCAGGAGCTCGAGTGGGAGGCGCAGGATGCTGACCACATTGCTGCAGCCAGGGCCATGATTGATGCTAAGGATTTGGTCAGAGCTGTGCACTGGCTAAAGCCATGTAAGAGTTCCAAAGGCCGCTTTCTCAGTGTTTACAGTCAATATCTGGTAATTATCTATCGCTGTACTTCCCTCCAACTCTGTTGTGATTTTCAACTCCAAGGCTGGCGAGAAGCAAGCACTGAAGGACTGGTACAAGCTCGACAGTGAGTGATGGGTCTTCAGTCATGTAAGCTTCAGCCTTCTTGAGTCTATGTCTGCAGAGACACGATTTCAATCACCAGTACCTATCAACACGTCACTACTGGACCTCTTGGAGATGGTGAAGAATGCGACGGACCCGTTCTTGCTATTCTTGTAGGGTTCAACAACTACTCTGCTACACCCGCCGACATATAATGAAGTTGAGCATTCTACAGAAAGGCTTTATTCCTACGTCGACTATCACGGCGCGAGGAAGCCATTGAGAGCGCCCTCCTATCAATCGCCGCATATCCTTGGAACTGGTCAGCTTGGACTGTCCTTGGAGAATGCCTCGGAGACGGAGAAGAGGTAATCGCCAGCACCTTATCAGGGCATGCGCTGACATGACCTGTAGCTGTCTTCCATCTTGCCGTTGCTTCCAATCCCACCAACACATCCTTTGGTGCAGATGTTCCAAGTCAAGACTCTGAACACACTGCATAGTCCCACTGACAATGAGCTGGGTCTTTGTGACCGCTTACTGAGCGAAGACTTCTTCCCCCGAAGTCTATGGGTCATGTCACTTCGCGCCTGTGTTCTGTACCACATGCATGGTCCGTGTGGTCCGTACATACATCAGTATGTGCGGCAACTAACAATTGCATTCCAGATTTCCAGGAGGCAGCAGATCAGTTCACAAAAGTTTTAGCCATCGATCCGTACAGGATAGATGATATTGACATTTATTCTAATATCCTATATGTGACTGAGGACCATCGCGCGTTGTCAAGGATTGCCCACGAGTTCACCGTTATCGACAAGGATCGACCAGAGGTGTGCTGTCTCATCGGTACGATCTATGGCGGTGATCTCCTGCAACCAATCGCATCATAATGATGGCTCTCCCTTTGCAGGCAACTACTACTCGTTGCGCAACGAGCATGAAAAGGCCATCAAGTACTTCAAACGTGCCACTCAGCTAGATCGGACATATCTTTCCGCATGGACGCTCATGGGCCATGAATATGTGGAGACGAAAAATTCACATGCAGCTATCGAAGCCTATAGAAAAGCTGTTGGTAAGTTCAGGCACCCTATCACAAGCTCCACCCAAATTATACAGTCGCTGTCCACGTTCGTTGATTTCTGATACTTCAGACGTAAGCCGGAAGGATTACAGAGCTTGGTATGGTCTGGGTCAGGCCTATGAGCTGCTGAGTATGCATCAATACGCCCTGCACTACTATCAGCACGCCACAGCGTTACGGTATGTCCGATCATGTTCTGTGCTCCCTTATCACTTCCTCCGCTCCGTTATCGACCCTGCATGCTCATTGTTTGCATCCGACCGCTGTATTCATAGCCCTTATGATGTCCGCATTTGGCAAGCACAGGGCATATGCTACGAAGAGATGGGGCGGTAAGTGCGACCGCTCCTGGCTCGATTGTCGGACCCTGAGGCGTTAAGCCACACAAAACCTTGACAGACCTCGAGAAGCCATCGAATGTCTCAAGCGCGCGCTCATCGGCGCCGATCCACAGGAGACGGTAATCCACCTCAAGCTAGCCAAACTGCATAACGATCTCGACGAGTTCGCCGAGGCTGCGGCATACCATCACCGTGTGGCAGAGGTCTGCCGAGCTGCCAGTACGTCTCTCTTCTTACTTCACCCGCCTTGATGCCTTCTCTTTTGGCCGCATTGTACCTTTACGATTGCCGCCCGCCGCTTCTTGTGTTTTGCTGCTCCAATCTACCTTCGTATGCTGACCTGATCACTCTCGTGACTTCCGCTCCTGGATTCCCGTGTCAGATAAAGCTGTCGCCGAGTATGCCAAGTCAGGAGTCTACGTCGCGCGCTACCATCTAATCCACGGAGGAGGGGATATTGCCTTGGCGAAGGAGTACCTGGAAGCGATTGCCTCAAGCAATGCGGAGGAAGTGGGTCAGGCGACAGAGATGCTGAGGAGAGCAAAACTGTTGCAGGTCAAGTTGTTGGAGGCAGGCCTGGCCCAGGGGCAAACTCAAGCTCATACTAATGCTGCTGCGGGTTCTAGTCAGGCGGGAGGAGCATTGCCGTGACCCGGACAGCTGCTTCTGACGTACAAGCCAAATACCTTGCGGTGATTACTGGGTGTACTGTATCTTTTGCTGGAGAAAGTTCAGTTGCGGTCGTACAATACTGCTGGCGCTGCAATTTCGATACATGAACCCGACCGGGACCGTAGTCTCGTAACCAGACGTTAAGGGGGAGAAGGGATCACGTGGAGTGTTACTATATCTGGATACGGAGTTCTAAAAAACCCTGCACGACTCCCCCCCTTAACGTCTGGTGCATTTTGCAGGGAGGGAGGGGGGTATCCGTCACGCCCTGGCGCTTAACGCGCCTGTCTTGCGACGCATAGTATGGCTCCCGCTATGTCCACTCTTGCCGAGTTCTCGTAGGGTCTTTCGACGCTCTCGGCATCCATCCTCAAGAAAGCCTGTGAGGAAGCAGCAAAAACGCACCAGTACTCATCTGCAGAGACAGAAGCCCCGAGTGGTCGTCAAAGATATCGCTGCCCAAGTCCGAAGCTGGCGGGGAGTCCAGGTCGGAGTCAGAATCGTCAACGACACTGCGTAGCGAGCTCAGCCAAAGGCTCAGATGAATAGACGACATTATGATTATGTAGGTTGGCTACCGTAGCATACATGCGCATACATTGTCTAGCGACTGAGTTTTGGGGTGCGCGGCGCGTCGGACGCAGTCACGTACGCAAGCAGACGCGAGAGGTAACGGCGTCGTCACCAGTGACTTTGGTGACGCGTGATGGATACCCCCCTCCCTCCCTGCAAAATTCACCAGACCTTATAGGCGAGAGTGTGCAGGGGTTTTTAGATCTCCGCCACCCAATTGGGTAATAGCACACGTGATCCGCCTATAAGGTCTGGAAACGAGACTACCGGGACCGGTGGCGGGGCTTCATAAGCGCCTGTCCTTAAGGCGATCAAATCTGGATATGATGGGCCACCATTCACACGGTCACGCGGTCACGGGTGCACGTACAGCGGTAAACGCAACAAAACAAACAAATCCGCCACGCCTGAGATGTCGAAAATTCAGGCCACTTCACGCTCTTCATCGCCTTCAACCGCGTCTGCGCCGCTTTCGGCGACGACTAACGATATACGATCTGGCTCGTACATCAATGGGACCCAATCCGCCGTTACTACCCCGGCACCAGAGCCACAAATCCCTACGGTCGCGTCCACTTCGAATCTGGACGCAGAACACATAGTTGTAGATGACGATCCGCCCGCCGCTGCCGTCAATGGGTCGAAGAAACGAGATTCTCGTGCTCTGGACGACGATTACGGTGCCCTGAGGCGGAGATTCAAGAGGAAATTCGAAGCACACACCCCTGCAACATACGCAACACACGACGAGAAAGAGATAGGGAGAGCGACAAGGTGAGATATCCACACTCAAGCATGTCGTTTGGTACTCTTCAAGTGACCATCCGTCCTCGTAGCTTTGCGCAGTGGTTGGCGTATCACCAATACGCTGCTCTTTACCCCGATACAGAGACACCGTTCGCCGATGCACCGGACGCCGTTAACCGTCTGCTTCCCTACCACATCTTTCAGCATCCGCGAGAAGACTTGGATGGCCTGGTGACACGCCCAGTGTTCTCCAAGAAAGGCAAAGGCAAGGCCTCAAAGGCCGATCTTTTACGAGAAGAGGTTGCTGGTGGGTTTTCCCCACCATCATGTACACACTCCCACTCAGGTGGGATCATGGCACAGAGACGCGATTCGCGCTAGACTGCTGGCGCCGCAAAACGGCTCTCGAGAAGCGTTTCAGGCGCGCCCTGATACACTCTGGAGAGGTTTGTCCTCAATGTGGCTGTAAGGAAGAACAGCACCAACTGATTCTTCTGGCACGTAGCGGTCGTCTCCAGATGATCAGTCGTATTTCCTGGAGCAATCGCTCCTGGAAGATGAGCGGCAAGAAACAGTCGCTACGCAGGCGGAGCTTCGAACTGCCCGCACCGAGCTGGAGAAATTGGAACGCGAGCGCCGCGCAGCTGCTCCTCCTACTCCTGCCCCCCGACAGACCCGGCCATACTATTCAGTTTCTACAACAACGCCTTCATCTGGGTATTCTGCACAGTATCGGTACTCATATCCTTATGCACAAGGATATGGCACCTCACAGTACACATTCTCCCCTGCTTTTCAAACCGCCCCTGCATACCCGACGACACCTGTGGCTAGCGCCGGCGCTTATCGCAGCTACACCCCGGCAACGCCGACGTCGTCTGCACCATACGCATCCCCTTACTCAACTACTACTACATCCACTGCGCCACCTGCGACACCAACACCGAGTCATTATCGCACAACGACATCCGCCATCCCTGTGCAGTTGCCAGAGAGTTCGCTTGCCGCGCTCAGGGCAATTGGATTGGAACCCCTTGCCCCAGCCCCGGCAGGGCAGCCTCAGCCGGCAGCGGTCCTGAAGAGCCGGTCGGGCACGACGATGCAGTTGGAGATCAACGTCGGATCTCTGCAGCCGGCACAGATGAGCGGACTTGCGCTAATTCTAAACGCGCTGACGTCAAAGGGCGTCACTGTGGACGGCAATGCCAGCGCCAACTCGAGCGCCACCTCTGGAATGTTGTCGACCTCGACGTCGGCGTCGTCGCAGAGCGCGACGTCCTGAGCTCTGGCGTTGTTATTCAGCGTATCATTATTGGCGTATGGGTAATTTGTCGAGCATAGCACGGTCTCTGGAGCTGTAATTCGAAGGCAGAAGTAATGGAACTCTATAAAGTTTATATTGAGTTTGCACACCAGATCAAGGCACGTGTGAGCTTGGCTCACGGGCGGCGATGTGGGAGGTTTCCTTTCTCGTCTAACCGCCTCAAAGGACGGAAGTAAACCGCCAGGAAAGGCAATTGTCGGCGTTCGAGAGCCTTTCCCTCCACCGTCCAGAACGGCGAGCAGACCTCTCATCTCTGCCTCCTCGTTGCCATGCTCATCCTTGCTCGACGCGGCTCGGGTGCCCGCCCGCCTTCACATTCAAGTAAGGCCTTTCTGTCCCCCCTCTCGTCGCGCTGCCGCCCAATGCAGACTGCTCTCCGCGCCACCAGGATGGGGTGAAGATTGTCTCTGATTTTCTCGTGCCGAAGCACCCCAAAACCGTTGCGCGTTGGAGCGCGACCCGAAGGCAACGGTGGATCCGGGCCACCCCCCTCTATATAAGAGTCCACCGCATACATGGGTGAGCATCCTACACGCCCCGCGCTGCTCATTATAGCATCGACACGACTTCACACGAGCGTACAACCCTATACCACCCAAGGAGAGCACATATACCCTCACAGCAATCATACCCTTGTATATCCACAAATGGCGTCCACCGACATTGCTCCTCTCGTCTTCTCTAATCTCCCGACTGAGCTCGTTCGGGACATTTTCGAACACGCCGCCGTCTCGGACAAAGCCACGGCGCGCGCTCTGACTCTTGTCTCGTCCGCCGTGCGCCACTGGACTGAGCCCATCCTGTACCACACCGTTGTCCTTTCGACGTCTCGGGGCTTGCGCTCATTCCTCGCCTCGATATCGAACAAGCCCGCAGGATTCGTCAGCACGCGCGTCGAACACCTGGGTATATTCGCGCTTGGCCCCGTGCAGAGCATCGACCGCGTGCTCAACGCGTGTCGCGGTGTACGCAGCCTCGCCTGCGGCTTCCATATGCCCGGCTATAAACAAATGCTGGGCTGCGACGCGCTGCAGGCAATGAAGGGCTCGCGCGAGCAACATCTTCTCGGCCTCTCGTGTCGTGATGGGTGGGACACTGGTCTTGTCGCCCCGTCCGTCACCCACCTCCGCATACACCTTACCTCGTTCGATACCGGTGCCCCAAACGCGCCATTCGGGTTCGCATTCGGGACCGGCAATCCCACCGAGTCTGACTGGGAGCGACTCGCCACCCTGTCGTCGCTCACGCACCTTGCCATCGTGTACCGCTCTTCTGCCACCCCTCCGGCAGCTGTCCTCCCTGCACTGCAACGGCTGTTGTCATTAAAAGACAATGCTCCCCCCGCTATCAACCCGCCGCAACTGAAGCTCATTCTCGTTCAAGTGTTGGGCGGCGCCACAGGGGACAAACAGCCAGAAGCGCCTGTCGATGTTATCAACAGTGCGGCTGTAGAAGAGGGCGGCTCTGCACTTCGTATCGTCGCCGAGAATGCACCGTCCTCCGTCGTGCGCCAGTGGGAAAGTGCGGTGAGGGGCGGGCCAGGAATATGGGATGGCGCCGAGGATGTGGTGAGGAAGAGGCTGGCTTCTATCAAGCAGTCATTATGATACATATGATCTTCTGTGGTTACAGCGACTAGTGATTGTGATACATACGATCTTCTGTGGTCAAAGCGACTATTCTATACTATCTACGTCTCCCGCGCTATAATGTTATTTCGTTTGTTGAGCTTGTTTTTTGGGGGGGTTCAGACACACATACGGAGCCGGCGGAGATTTGAAAAGGGTCTGCTCTGCTCTTAGGAGACGCGCTATGGATTGTACTTCGGTGGTCAGCTGCTTTACCTGTATATCGAAGCATTTTCAAAGTGATAGTCTTCGTCTCTCACGTCAGCGGGTTGGTGGAAGTCGCAGTACCACAAACACATCAAGGATGTCGAAGCTGTTACGACCATCCTTATAATTACGTGCCCACTTAGATAGTCTCACTGACCCTGAGTTCCAACAAACTGAATCTGAACAGGAGCATACACTCACCAGAGATGGTCAAGATTGTGTCCTCGTGTGTGCCGTAAATTGTGGCGTCAATATAATTAGGTTCAAAGCTGAGTTGGGCGATATAATGACCACACATCAGATACGATGCGGAGAACTCCAAGTCGCGTAAGACACGCCCAAGATGCGCCGACGTTACGAAGCAGCGCTCGCGGGCACGAGGGGTAGCGGGTGCTGTGCTTGTAGCGGACGATGTCAGACCAGTGAGGAAAACGCAAAGTGACGCACTCAGCGCACGCTTGCCGAGTATCATGATGGCGCTCTTGGGATGAGCGCCGCCGCCTCAAGTGCTTCCATTCGGAAGATTGAACGTGCAGCCTCAAGAGCGCGACGCCCATAGGTCTTCGTATCTGCGGCTCAATCGTTACGGCGACACAAGTAGCGCACGCAATAAGGTAATGCGTCAATTGGAGGAACTGATGTATTGCACACAAGGTGAGTTGTAAGTAAGTCTCACAGGACGAGTGCTAACAAGGATTTACAGGTCGTCAGCTGGACCTCCCGAGTAGTCGCATACTTCGAGGCATCATCGATACGATTGCTGAGACTATCAACATAGTGTCCCTCTTTGAGCCTGAGTGTCCTAACTTGGAGCCTGAGTGTCCTAACTTCGTGGCAGACGCGTCCAATCCTGGTTCATGGTGTCCATCCGGATAGCACGGGGCTTTGGCAGCAGAGGATGTACATGTATGCTGACTTCGCTTGCATTCAAGAGCAACACGTCCGGTTCGTGACACAGCCCAGGCCCACTGTAAATCGGAGCAATTCACCATCTGCAAGCATTGAACAATCAACATCATACCACGTGCTCCCGACGCCCGCCCTGTTTCCAAACTTGGCAAACTACTTGAACATCGGTTGGCGCGGTTTCGAAAGTCACCTAGGTCACCGCGAAGAAATACGCTGAGATGTTCCCAATGCGCGCGGTCAGGCGAAGGTTATTATCACTTTTCAAGCTCAACGTGAACACTGCCGGTTTCCTCTTGAGGCTGCCTCGGCTTTCCATTTCGCCGAAAACTAGAGGTGAGCATAACACCAGTCTATAAGTGACCATTGGCCGCCTTCTTGAAGACGCTACTCTGCTTATGGTCTATCCAATCTCTGTTCACAGCGATTCAGCGACCACTTTGTCTGCTTTGTAGGAAGGTCGCCGGGAAGTCAACTTGAAGCTTGATGATACAGGATATCAATGTTGGAAGGTACCCACTTCATCTCAGACATTCCCGGGGGTATCTTCTCTAAATATAGCCACCTGGAAGCAACTCGGGTTCAAGTTGAATAGACACATGGAGAACCTTATCCAGCAAGCTGAGATGAACCCCAAGTTACGGTCCAAGGTCGGCCTGGCAATGGCCGTGGACTCTTCGGGATGTTTCCATGGTTAATACCAATAGAGATGGTCCCTGAACGCAAACCTCCGTGAGATCTTGCTCTAGTAGGCTTAGTGCGTGAGTTGATTCTGAACTCAACAGCATATCTAGAATCCAAGATTTTATCACCGAACCTCGTGCTAGCCTCGCTGGGGCCGTTATGCATTTGGAGCTACTCAGCGGCCCCTTCCTCGCCGATGCTTCTGCCTCGTATAAGGTTGATATCTGACTTTTTACTCTCAGGAACGTCTCATGCGCTCGCAAGCGCAAACCACCAACACCGAAGCGCTACGATATGATATCGCACCCGTGCCTCACATCAGAAGAGCACGGACAAGGTGATAAATTACTACGAAGAGCCTCTCATGGAGGTCTCGGCATGCGCCACATTCTTCCCCGGAAGTTGCCACCTTGGGGATCTTTCAGGTGTGTCCGCCGACGTTATGCGATGCAGACTGTATGTTGCTTCCAAATGCACGTAACGTTGTTGGCCTACCAGATCATCATGTCAGAATCCGATAGCGGTCTCTATAACGTCATTCACGCGGGTCCATGTACGCGCGGTTTGACGTACTGAACGATCTCGCGGGAGAATGAGCACAATGGGCGGCAAGCTGCCAGGTATGTCACGCAATCTCCTTCCAGTAAATTCCCCTAACGCTCAAGATGACAGCGCGTCGAGAAGGACACCTCGCGTATCTGTCGTTTGCTGGTGCGTGGCCTTCGGATGTCCTCGCATATCCGGACGTGGGTCTCGGGGCTAGATAGCCGGCCTTCTAATCTCGTGTTGGCTGTAAGATATGTATCAATGGGTGACACGCAGCGTCTTCGTCTGGTGATTGTTCTTTGACAAGATAACCGACCTTTGTTAAGTTAAACAATTAGACCTCACCGCCAGTTTCGGTTGAGTGCATGTCCGACTCGGTATAGTTCCCTCGTACCGGATCCTACATTTGCTGATAGGAGAGCGCAAACTTCTTGCCACTCACATGTCCATCGTTGCAGAAAGGACATTGGCTTGGCATTTACGGCGCCAATAGCATGTGATAGTATGGTAAGCAGTTACAGTACGTTATACAATGTGACGACACTACGATACATACTATGGCAGTATACCCGAAGGATAATATGACTGAGCAACAATGATGTCGGTGACAAACAGTATGAGTTCTATGAGAAGAGCTAAAACGTTACGAGAAGAGCTAAAGAGTGGTGTTGACGATGTAGGGAGGCTTGGACATGCCAGCCTGGATGCCCCGGAATCCTAGAGCATCCGCTTCTCAGGCAACATGGTCGCGGTTGCTAAGACCCGATAGGAACTCAAGAGCTACAAGGGCGTATCAATTATGCCAATGACCGTACCTAGGGAACATTCCCCAGGAAGGATCAGTATTCATGAGTGACCGAGGAGAACATAAGTAACACACCGGTACGTATTCACCGCATGGAGTCCTAGATCGTCCTCCTCGGTCTGGACGTTGGGTGCTGTTACAGCTGAACGATCCTCGTGAGGTATGTATGAGAATGGAGTCCCGAAATAATAACTGAGCGAGCCTTCGTCTACCCCCTCATGTTTGATGTGAGGTTGCGGTCCGGATGTGTTGGCCTTCCCAGAGCCAAGACCATCCAATGCCGAAGGCAAAGTTGGACCATTGTAGTGGGCCTGCAGTCCGTACGATTGGCTCGCAATAGGTGTATCATATGGCACGACGGCCCGCCGTCGGCGCATGGGCACTTGTGGTTCAGTGAACCATGGTTCATTGTAGAATAGAGGGTCAGCACGACTGGTAGAAAGCTCATGCTGCGCGGCCCAAGACGTTGACGGTTGAACGTATGTTTGTTCGCGACGAGCGTGGTAGTTCGATGCTGAGGACCGGGAATGGGATGATGGGGTATCAACAGGATACAGTAGATCAGGCTGACGACTCGGACCAGATGACGGGTAGTAGAACCGCGGAGCGGGAGCCGGTACATTAACGTGTGTCCTTTGTCGCTCCGCCTCATGCAGGGTTTCTTCCCTTGCGTTTAGACGATGAGATGCCGCTGGTCTTTGTTCCTCTGACAGGATAAAGGTTGGAAAGGCATCCAAAACACAGTCGCTGAGGCAATGCATGTAGTCAGATATCGTTCCCCAACGTAAGCCCAAACTCTACCTACCAAGCTTCCCTAGCCAATTCCCATCTAGGTCTCATGCTGTCAAGCATGGCTACAACCTTCAGGAGTTCGTCTATCTGTTTTCCATGTGGTTTTGGCTTATCGTCCTCATCCTCCTGGACCGATCGCTTCCAATGCGCAGCCTCTTTAGCGATCTGCGTCCAAAGACTGACGAGCATGACACCGGCATACAGGAATGCGTAATGGACTAGCACAGTATGCCGTGAGTGCCCGCGTTGAAGCAGGACCTCCAGGATTAGTGTACCCGCTTTGGCAGCGCTCGCGCATATTGACAGTGCCGTAGTGGAGATGTCAGGCTTGTCCCCTAGAGGAAGGCAAGGTGGTTGTGTGTGAGGGGCATTCGGCCCTCGCACAATGGGGATGAACGGTCGATAGACAGTGATCTGTACAATGTAGTACGACAGATGCAACATTGCTGATTGAGAGGCGAAGACATCATCAGCCATATTGGGCTTCCACCTGACTAGTAATGCTATATTCAGCCTTTCGCAAGCAAGGAGCTGTATACAACATACGATGCTGCGGCAAGCTCTCAATCCAGTGGAGCATTGCGGAATTGAGTTGTGCAACCGTGTCCTCTCGCCAACGGGGGCCAACTAGTCCTAAAGGTTGCTTTGATCTACCTATAGCGTACTGTGCAAACATTAGTGTTACGATGCAGTATTGATCTTCACCTACTCACCAAAGTCCTCAAGGCAAACGCTGCGATCCGGCTCAACTTGGCCCAGCACACGAACGCCGAAATTACGGCAGGCTTGCCAGGAGGTTGTTGAAAAGCGAGCTGTTCGTCCTCGTTCTCCCAATACTCGTCGTCGACCTCTAGGGGCAGATCAAGGTCAAAACTGTCGGCGGAATGTTATCGACGCGTCATTAGTGATTGGACAAAACAGAAGCGTACTCCTCGTCTCGAGAGCAACACGGTCGGCCGATGAGCATACTTCCGAGCCGGTCTATGGCAATCAAATGCCATATTGTCCGCTTCCACAGTTCCTCTTCTACTGTCGGCTTCCGTCCATAGACTTTCCGGCGATGTGCGCCGACATCTTGCGCTTTGCGGAGCCCGATGCTTATAAGAGTCCACGACTCGGCATGAGCGACTGTGCCGCGAAAGTACATGGCCATGAGCTACGTGCACGATGATATAAACAAATGGATGTAGGCATCGGGGTGAGACGGACTTGCCACAAGAGTCTGTACTTCAAAAAGGTTTGGCGGGAGGAACAAGCTGCGACGTCGACGATGACAATCTAATTGCGGCAAAGGTAAGTCTTACCATTCAATAGATGGAGCACATTCGAGACATACCCAACGCCACGTCTACGTATTTCCACCCCGCTAGTGCCCACACCCCATCATCTGACTCTTCTAGGGAATGATGCATCACTTCGTCAGGGAGTACCCTCGGGTCGGCGCACCATCGGCTCGCGACAGCGAACATGGCCATACAGACGCAGGCAAACCACAGGTCGCTTTCGTACAACTTATCCCGCCATTGTGTGTCGAAGGTGGGCCTATGAAGAAGCGGGAACAAGCTGTTATTGCGCTTGAAGTAGAGGTCAATCAAACTATCCGCCAGGTCCAGTGGTGGGAATTTCGCCATCACAAAAGAAGGCGTGGTCGTGGATCGATCCAGGCCCTCGAACGAAATCTCCCACTATATGCGTCATATTAGCGACCCACGGCGAATTCCACACAGAGCCAGACACACCGGAAGCGAGGACCAATACGGTTGTCTCCTAGGCGCATGCGCGACATACGATGTACTAGTAGAGGAAGAATCGGGAGAGTCGGCTCCTGTTGCCGCATCAATATGCCGCTGTTTGAGTTCTCGTGCTGTGTTGATAAGCTTGAATGAGCTGCTTTTGCCGTGGAACCTCCACTGCCCGTCGGTGGCGTGCTTGGTGGGCAGGTGAGCAGGACGTAGACCGCGCAAAGTCAGATGCGTCATCCCCTGTACCAGGCTGAGCTCAACAGCGGAGTCCTCGTTGTCAGAGCCAGACACCGAAGAGTCAGAAGAAGACTGGTCGGCGTTGTGTAAAGATTCCGTCGATGTGGTGGCTGGTATAGGGGTATCCTTTTGTCGCCGAGAGCGTTTAGGTTTCGAAATAGATGGGGAACCAACTCCAAACGTGCCGTGACGTAACGATTTGAATGCAGAGCCGGGAGGAGGGACAGTGGTAGCAAAGGGAAGCAAGGATCGACCTGTGGACGTCGAGGGGACATTGCTGTCGTTTGCAGAAGTAACAGATGGTTGTGTGATTGCATGTCCTGCAGGGGGCTCACTCTTCCAAGAGTCACGGACCACTGGCGGCCCAAGTTCGACGGTGAAGTCTGCCTCGGGTCGAAGCTATGTTGGATATTGGTCAACGACGATCAATGACCGCGATATAGGACAGCGACGAATGGGTCCCCCAATGCTCCATAATCATCTACAGCAGCACTTGGCAGTCTGCCTGCAAATGCTTGCAACGTTTGGCACGTCCTCGGAGGTAATCCCACTCTAGTGAACTCACAAAACTAAATAACAAGACTCACCCTTTTCAACAACGCCTCCATCTTCTCCACGCGATCCTCTAGTGCTGTTACATACCTACGTGCGCAGACAGGTACTCAGCCCTTCTGTCAGCTAGCGAACAAGCGCACTCACGCCTTGGGCGGGCCTCTGGGCTTCGAACTCTCACTACATCACGTAAACCCATTTGAATAACCAGTCTAGCACATCGAGCCGGATAGCTGGTCTGAACGTACATGTAAGTGCACTGACGACCCGTCTGCAAACAGTTGGTGCAGACGTTGTCGAGCATTTTGGGACCATCGCATTTTGTCTTCCTCCTGCGACAAAAGTCACAGGCGCGCTCGATCTTACGTCTCTTGGACTGGTGTTCGTCCGAGGAGACGTCGATCGCGTAAGAACCTTGCGATGAATGCAAGGCGGCCGCCGGAGGACGATGCGGATCTGAAGGTGAGCGTTCCTCTAGGTCAATGATAGTCGCGGCTCTGTCGTCAGAACGTGCTTCCTGCATGAAATGGGCGAGAGCGAGTGCAGAAGAGGTCCTTGAGGCCTTGGAAGATGGAGATGGTAATGAGACGGCGATTCCAAGATGGCAGCGGCACACAGACAGCGACGAGGAGCGGTTCTACATACGTCGCCAGCTTATTTACTCCGAGACCCCATCCAAACTGCGGTACTCCCGCCGATCTCTCACCCTCGCATCTCTGGCGTGATGGCTGGTCATGAATTGACCGTCCACGAAATATAGGGGCATTCTATCTAGGCTCTTCGTTCTGCTCGGTGCAACTCATATTTGGTGAGGCTGAGAGTGCATCGAAATGTGCTTTGTACAACATGTGCAGTGCCCTCCAATGTCACCTGGCGGGGGCAATATATGACACTTTCCTCCAGATGTTTCGCTTTATGGAATGCCCAAATGAGGACTAAGAAGCAACTCTGCCCCTCAGAACATTCATGTTCCTCCGTAGTCTTGCCGAAGACATCGTATGACCATTGCGAGGTCAACGAATGGGCGAGGATACGCGCAACATCGATACAGACAAATAAGGGAGGGCGGTGTTCCGCCGGCAGTTGGCCCGCCAGGGGCCATCCCTCCGGTGAATAAGGCTGCCAAGCCAATCCACGTGCTCGAGACATTCAGCAGACCGGCATTACGTCAGCGCAGCACGTGCTGATTGAACTCCGAGGATGGCGGCTATCGCCATATTAGCAAGTCGCGGCTTTGCACTCGACCAGTGCGTCCCCGTGTTGCCCTTTTCTGGAGTGCAAACACTCACCAGTACCGAAGCCATTTCAGAATTATTTAACAGTTTCTCAAATGTCTGCCCCGATAATCTTCCGTTCTTGTCGACTGGGTATGCGCGCGACCATGCAAGTACGCCACTACTCTTCGCGCAACCCACTAGAACGACCGTCTCCCCCACCTCTTCCACGTGCCGACCAGCGCGAGTTTGAAGAGATGGTCCGGGCCGCTCAAGCTCCTTTAAGCCAGCGCAGCGCAGTTGCAGATGCAGAGGCCGAGTTGGCGCTTCATCCTGATGCTCGCGAGCCTCTGGCGCCGGAATTCGAGGGTGATACGAACCCTGCAACAGGAGAGAAGGACGGGCCGAAGAGAGAACCTGTAAGGAAGTGGGTGGAAAGCGAAGGCGACTGGAGCTTCAAGGGAAGGGTCTCTGATTTCTGACGATGTTTTACAAGCGTCAAGGTTTGTCATACGCTCACTGCTACGGCACTCCTGTCCCAACTTGCTCATCTTCCGTTTCTCATAGTCAATACCATTTCGATATTATCGGGTCTCCGTCTGCGCTCTATGCAGCTCGTCATGCTCTGTCAGCATAGGCGCTTCTTTATTCCCGTAAGGTACAACGCAATCTAGACAACATTGGACATGTTGACTGAATATAGTACGGGTGTTTTGCATCACAACTCAGCGTCAAATCCTCATCACTGCCGTCGGATCGTGGTGAGTTATTTTTGTGGTCTGGAATATTTCATCACATATGTCAACCGCAATTTCATGTCAGTATGTCCGGTCTTGTTCTGATATCGTCAGGGTCCGACCCTATAATTCTATAATCTGACGCCTGGAAGGCAGGGACAGCGGTCCTTGTTTTCAGACGCCCACGCTTGAGAGAGAGAGTCGGCCACCCTGGAGGAATGACCTGAATGACGTCATTTGCCTTGGTACCCTCGAATTTGGTGAATTTGACGAGTCCAGGCAGCTTCATATGACGACAGACCTCGATTTGTTGTTAACGGACATGATTTAGCGCCAGGGCTTAAGCCATGCATTGGTCATCGCTTCTACGCATGGACAGATATTGACCTCATTGTACATGCCGGATCAGATTCTGAGACGACGATCGACCAGCGGTGAATCGCATATCGAGAATGTACCAGAATGCTTCTACCTGTCGAACACCAGCGTGCAGGTTGGCTGTTGGTCTCTAGGTGTGTACATGCAGCGCTCTACGCAGGATTCCGCAGAAGCTCGCGTAGCGAGCGCCCCACAGGACCTGGGGCCCATGGGCAGGCCAGCACGGTCCCGTCATGCAGCTGGTAAGTCTTCTACAGCATCCCAGCATTTGCGGGCGCATCGTATGCAATATGCTGGGGAGCCAAAATAGCTCACTGGGCGTCCAGTGTACGGGGAAGCAGAAGCAGCACATTGTCCCTTCTGTGAACGCGCCAAGAGCGTTGCCCCGGATGGGCACGGAGTAGACCAGCAGGACCTGGGGCACCGCGACACAAATTACAACCCGTTGCTGTCGGTCGCAATCCTTGCCATAGACCAACTCCGTCGGATCTATCCTGTGAGCGTCTCCTCCCAGCTTACCGGTCATTAAACGCCCCGTGTGCACATACAATGTCTTCTTGTGCTATTAATGTCTCAGTAGGGCTTCGTTCGCTTAAGCTGGCATTCTCCGTATGTATGTTCGTGGGCGCTCTCAGAAGATCGTCAGGAGTGCACGACTGTCCTCATGTAGATCAGGCATCAGGACAAGATACGCCACAAACCCATCATCGCACAGGCCGAGCGCCGATGACCGACGTGCTGTTCGTTGTTCGGTATGTGTTCGGAGTTTTTTGTGCATGTCCAGAGCGCAGCTGAAATCACACAATGCGTGATAGCTGTCACGTTGATACTCCTCTTCTCATAGTGCTTGTGCGTCTATGAGTTCCTGAGTCGGGATCATGGTAAGTATGTCACAGGCAGCCGTAACTCGCTCACAAGACCCGATTGCGACTTGACTTCAGAGGCGGTCTGTGGAGTACTGCTATGTTGGACAAGCCATATTCTCTGCCGCGATTGTGTGATAGGATCCTGGTCAATCAGCTTTCTCGCTGACCGATGCCAGAAACACTGGTCATCACAATAGCTAGTCTACGTGAGTCTCTACGGAAAGTCGCGGGCTTGCTTATACATTGTAACGCAAACATGGTGTACGATGATTCAGACTACTCTTGAAGTCGTTAGCAGTTATGGATGACGCGTTGATGAGTCGTGCTGGACGGCGCAGCCGCACGACTTAGTGAGTGGTATGCATAGGCGATGACTGAGTAGCGTAATGAGGCATGCGTATTGATTTGCGCGCCTAATCCGCTCTTGAGCGCTTGAGCTCCTGAACGGCATCATGAACTTGAGTGGCAAAAGCATACTCTACTGAGCCAAGTTGCCCACTCGTTACAGATCTGGCATAGCGGCAATTGCACTGGTAAAGAATGAACCGGGCAATGTCTGTTGCACGCCAAGCTGCAAAATGGAACAGCGTAAGGCGATGCGACCAAGTCTCTGTTGTTAACTTTACTGCATGTTGATTGACGTCCTGGCTTGGTAGGTTGCCGATAATATGCGCCAATTCCACGACCATTTTAAGCTCGAGTGTACGTGTTCGTCGCACACTCTCGATTATTCTGCAGGCTCGTCATCATAGGGTTGCTCTTCAAGTCCACAATGTGTATAAGGTTAGTGACACCAGGACGCCCGAATTCGGCCCTAGAAGCAGCGTTTTGACAATCTATAGCTAGCAGATGGCTCCTTCGACAGGTCTGGGATGTCCCTTCGGATGTATCTACGAGTGGCGAATGACCTAGTAAGACGTCAGTAAGCCCTGCTGACCATAAACCCTTGTCGGTGGACTCATCACTCCTACGCCTCTTGTAGATCTGAACACACACCATACCATCGAGGAACGTTACATTTTCCCCGTGCTTGGTCGCCGGATGCCTTCCTTCCAAGAGCACGATATGCACGTGAAATCGCATGAGGCTATTCATGAAGGTCGGTCATGCGCCTTTTTCAGTAGCACGAGCTGCGTTCAGTGCAAGGGAAGGAGTGCCATTCTAAACACATCATTATCCCAGGTCTTGACAGGCTGAGTGCGCTCATCAAGAAGTGGATCGCGGAGCCATCGACATACAGTCCGACAGAGATGAGAGGGTGTCTTGACAGCTGGAGAGAGGTGCTGTTTACCCACCTCGACCAAGAGGTGATTATTTCCTTATTCGTGGATTTCGACAGGCCCGCTGAAGCCAGTGCAATGGTCAATTAGGTAGAAGATCTCTCTGGAGAGAACATGAAGAAATACTGGAAGCTGGAAGAATTGGATACGATCCCCATGTAGCTAGCGCGTATAGTAGAATATAGAAAATTATCTAGTGACGATAGAAACAGGCGTCAGATTTAAAATAAGTAGGAGTGAATTAACTCAAAGTTCAAATAGCTTGCCGCGCGAGTTGAAGTCAGCCCGGCGATGGATCGGGCATGTGTTCGATCGTGATCGACGGCCCAAGATTTTGAGGCGTCTATAGATGCGCTTGCTCAGTCGCTGCAAGCAGCAAGACCAACACCACCCTTCCTTGCACTATAGCATGGTCTCCAGCAAAAGAAAACACGTCTCGCTCTCTGATAGCGAGGAGGCAAGCGATTGGGCTGTGAACGAGCCCAACGGACAGTCCTCCGAAGATGACGACGTCGACATTTCCTCTGCATTACTTGGTCGCAGAGAGAAAGCACACCGGCCGGAAGTCGACATGGACGACGACGATGATCAACTTCAAGAGTTGATTCGAAATTCAATTGCCAAGCGGAATGTCAAAGGAGGTACTGAATTGTTGAAGAAGACAAAAGGAAAGGCGAAAATCATGAAAGGAGAAGTCGGTGGGGGCAGTTTTCAGAGCATGGGTACGTTGCGACCTCGACGCTGCATAACTATATGCCTCAGGCTTTTTGTTTTCAAGGTCTTCATCCGTGGATTCTGCGCTCCCTGACTCTTCAGGGCTTCCGCATCCCGACACCAATCCAACGTCTGGCTATACCTGCCCTGCTCAGCAACCCTCCGCGCGACCTTGTCGGTATGGCCCGGACAGGTTCAGGAAAATCACTTGCATATATGGTCCCTCTTGTACAGCGTCTCGGAGGACGGCACTCTTCTACATTCGGTGCCCGAGCACTAATCCTCCTCCCGTCGCGAGAGCTTGCCTTGCAAATCCTCAAGGTAGGGAAGGAGCTGGCTCGTGGTTGGCACGCAGGTGAAGGGGACCATGCTGGGGACGGAAGGGATGTCGACGACGGTAAGAAAGGACAGAGTCTCCGATGGAGCTTGATCGTCGGAGGTGAAGGCTTGGACGAGCAGTTCGAGATGATCACCCAAAACCCGGACATGTGCGTATTCCATACTTCATTTCTGTTGCATTGCTCACGTCTATACAGTATCATTGCCACACCTGGTCGGCTGCTGCATCTTATTGTCGAGATGAATCTCGACCTCAAGTCAATACAGTATGTCGTCTTCGACGAGGCTGATCGCCTCTTCGAGATGGGCTTCGAGACAGCCCTGACTGAAATCCTTCATCGACTCCCTGCTACCCGCCAGACTCTCCTATTTTCTGCTACTCTACCCAAGAGCCTTGTCGAGTTCGCAAAAGCTGGCCTCCAAAATCCGAAGCTCGTGCGACTAGATGCGGAGTCCAAAATCAGCCCAGATCTTAAGATGGCCTTCTTCTCTGTAAAACAAGCTGATAAGGATGCCGCTCTTCTGGTCCTTCTCCGCGACGTCATTGGTGTCCCGCTTGGCCCAAACAAGCCCAAGGAGGAGCAAGACGAAGCACAGGACAAGAAGGGCAAGGGCAAAGCGAAGGCCAAGTATCACGAGCAGATTACCGCCCCTCACCAGACTCTCGTTTTTGCAGCGACAAAACATCACGTCGAATACCTTACTAACTTGCTGGCAGGTGCCGGTTATGCCGTCTCGCACATCTACGGCTCGCTGGACCAAACCGCGCGCTCGCAGCAGATGGAGCAGTTCCGTCGCGGGCACACCAACATCCTGGTCGTGACAGACGTGGCCGCGCGGGGTATCGATATTCCAGTTCTGGAAAATGTCGTAAACTACGATTTTCCCCAGGGCGCGCGCGTTTTTGTCCACCGTGTCGGGCGTACGGCGCGTGCGGGGCGTCAAGGCTGGGCGTGGTCGTTCGTCCCGAACTCGGAACTTCCATACCTGCTCGACCTGCAGCTCTTCCTGGGGCGGCCGATTCGTAGCGACGTGTCAGAGGGCGGCGACCGAGTGTACACCGAGGCGCTTGTACTTGGCCCGTTCGACCGCGACACGCTCGACGCGGAGGTCGAGTATGTCAGGAGGCTCGATACAGAGAATCACAACCTGCCGACGATGCGCGACACCATGCGTAAAGGTCATGGTATGTATGAGCGCAGCAAGGGAAAGGCGAGCCAGGCAAGTTACAAGCGCGCAAAGGAGATGACGAAAGAGGGAAAATGGGGTCTCGTTAGTACCGATGCTGGCATACACCCGGTCTTCTTCCGGAACAAGGATGGCAGCAGCGCGGTGGCGAAGCTGGCGGAAGAGGGGAAACGCAAAGCGCTCCTTAAGGCGGTGAATTCCTTCCGGCCGGCGGAGACGGTGCTCGAGATCGGCTCAAGAGGCAACACGGAGACCGCTGCGCTGATGAATAAGAGGCGGAAGGCGCTGAGTAAAGCTGCGCAGAGGATTGCACTGGCTTCTACGTCTGCCGCCGCAGCGACGTCAGATCATTCAGATGACGAAGATGGTGCAGTATCCGAGGTTGATCATGAGGGAATGGAAATGGCAGATGAAACAGAGATTGCGGTATGTCCACCGGCGACGATGTGGTTGCTCGTGCTGACGTCTCTCACAGGCGGTCTTTGATTCGTATGACAAGAAAGGTTCAGGCGACGGCAAGAACCAATACCGAGACTCCGAATTCTACATGTCCCATTATCAGAAGGATGCCGATACGGAAAAGGGGTTAGTAAGCCCTGGTCGCAACAAGCTCGTCTGACTAACTTGCGACATAGATACTCTCTTCGCGATGGCGCTACCTTCGCCGAGCAAGCCCAGAATGTTGCGTTTGATCTGGCAGGCGATGAGGGCGTGCTGGACAAAAGACGCCGTGAGATGCATTGGGATAAGAAGAAAAAGAAATTCGTCAAGGGCATGGGCGAGGGCGCAGACAACGTTAAGATGGTGCGCACGGAGAGCGGTGTGAAGCTCCCTGCGACGTATCGCAGTGGCCGCTTCGACGAGTGGAAGGCGAAGACGCGCACCAGCCTACCCAGGGTTGGCGAGGCCGAGACTGAGGGTCCACGGCGCGCCAGAATGTCTGCTGGTGGACGAAATTTCAAGCACAAGCAAGTTGTCGAGGCAAAGCCTCTTGACAAATTCAGCACGGACTACGAGCGGAAGATGCGGCAGAAAAAGAAGAAAGTTGAGCATGGAGGGGACAGTCAAGATGCTGGGACTTCTTCCAGGCCTTCTTCCAGGCCCCCACCTGGGAAGAAAGGCAAAACCCTCGGTCGACGAGGCAAGCCTGCTGGGAAGGTCAAGAACGAACTCAAGACCGTGGACCAGATCCGGAAGCAGAGGAAGGTCACGGAGAACCGGAGGGCGAAGAATGCGCGTCCGAGCAACAGGAAGGGCAGGCGATGAGAAGATCTATCATACACTAGCGATGCCATGTAACCTGTGTAGCCTGACCCATGTCTTCATCCCGTAGTCTCATTGTGTTTCCCGTGCTCATGACACTGTTCATTTCTTTGTTTGGAATACAGTCCAAGAGCTGTGGCCTGCACACTCAGCAGCTCGAAACTTCCGTTAGGCTCTGTCTGAATACTCCCACACGGTGCCATCGCCAGAAATCACCTTTGTGTCCGGCCTGTCTTCCAGGAGGTCGACACCGACGCTTCTCAACGCATTCACACACCACTCCGGGTACCCCGCATCCCCAAAGTAGTTCGCGAAGAACGTCTTCAGGTAGTCCGGGAAATTGCCGTTCATGATCGCCTCCCGCGCACCGCCCATCACGCGCGCCTCGAAAACGATGTTGTGCTGTGTGAGCGCTGCAGGCGGCGATGCAGATCAGTCAATATTAATTTCATTGATGTGCATGTGTGCGGCACCGCATGCATACCGTGTGCGCCCGCCGTCTCCAGCGTGATGATGTGATGGAGCATCGCGCGAGAGGTGCCATCCGAGCAGGTCGGGCACGGGCATGTCCCGTCTATCGGCTGCAAATCCGCAGCGTGCTTGCCTAAGCCTGTGCGAGCGACATGTCAGAGATGTTGACCGGAATGTGAGACGTCTTACGCAGATTGATAGGTCCGCTGAACGTCAGCGCGACGCCGAAACGCGCTGTCCGGGTGGGAAACACACAGTCGGCCTGTGACAAGGACCCGTTTGGTCATACTGCGATGCGTGCTGATGGATACATACCATGTCAACGCCGAGGGCGACGCAAACAAGTAGGTCTGTAGTCAGGCATGAACTTGATTCATGCTGTCATGGTAGCTATGACGCCAACCTTCAGCAAAACCAATACCCATAGAATACCGGGGGCCTGTCGCATCCGGTCAGATGTATACATTGAGACACACAAGCCACCCATCAAAGACACTGACGGTCTGCAGGCAGTCTGTCTGCACATTGTTTGATTCTACGTGAAATGTCCTCAACAACGGATGACGCTCGGGATCTGAAAAGCCGTACATCCTCCAGAAAACATCTACCATTGGTAGGATGGTCAGACGGCGCAAAAGTGATGCTTACAGGGCACTGACCTTTCTCTTCGCCCCCGCTGAGACCGCCGATGGCATACCCGGCGACACGATCTTTCCTTTTGATCATCTCATTCAGGCACTGATCTCGCAGTACGGAGTCAATGCCTCCTTGGACGATTGCGAATAGGTTTTGGTGCGATCTGCCGGATTTCTCGTGGAACTCAATGCATCTGTCAAGCCACCTGATTGTGCGCCACATTGCTTCGCCCACTCGTGGGCCCGTCGTTAGAGTGTGTACTGCAGGTCAAAGCCGTGAGCCGACTTCGCACATAAAGAATGGGAGAACTTGCCCACGTCGTCCAACTGCATCATGATGTCAGAGCCTATAGCATGTTGGATAGAGATACTTTCCTCTGGCTGCAAAGGTCACGATTGCACGGTAAATAGCGGGACCAAACCAAGGACGAGTGTTCCAACCGTCAGCATTGTTGGCTCTCCGGTGAAGGGACTTTCAAACAGAGCGCCTTCCTCTGTGATTTTTGTGAACTTGTTGAGAGACACTAGCTGGAAGCCTCCACTGTCCTGTATCACTTACTTGATCAGATGGGATGCATACGGAAGGGGTTTTCACTCGTACAGTGAGTAGATTGCGTCTCCATCCCTGGAATTGATGGGCGCCGCCAGCTTCCTTCAGTACCTCTGTACCAGGCCGAAGATTGAGATGATATGTGTTATTCAATATGAGGGTAATGCCTAAGGCTTCGACTTGCTGCGCGGTCAATCCCTTGATTGCAGCCTGAGTAGCGACAGGCATGAATGTCGGCAACATGGTCACGCCGTCTGCATCAACATGTAAGGGAATTTTGAAATCAAAGCTAGAGTCGCTTACGGGCCAACTTCATTCTTGATACCCGTGCTCGTGTGGTATGACATCGTGCAAGCACTTCGAATTCCATTCCCAGATAGTGGGGTTGCGTTTGAAGCAGCCTGCGCGGAAGTGTGGTATTGTTATGGGGGATAGAACAATGAAATCCTGTGATAGAATGTACGCAGAACGCCCGGCACCCACTCTTGTGAAGCTGGGGAGGAAGAAAGCTTGAAGTAAGTTCGAAGAGGCTATTGGCCTCCCGATGCGGTCTTGCTCGATCCCAAACTGGTCGCCGAGTCATTCGGCGAACGATCCTTGCCACGGAATCCAGTCTCCTTCGTCTCCGTACGCCCACTCAGCGAGGCATGCTGTCTTGTCGACATGCCACTCGCCACCTCACTCATCTGAAACAAAGGCCTTTGCGCCGGCAAAAGTGTCGCCACTTTTACTTCAATGCCGAGTTGTTGGAGGACCTGCAGTCGCGAGGACTGGTCTCCGACATCACCAGGTGAGTCGTCTTCCACGTCACATTTTAACATAATACTAATTTTGCTACTTGTTTGAGACCTGATCAGTTAAAGTCAGAGCTCAGTAAAGATCGGCAGGTTGCATATGCAGGGGTCGACCCAACCGCGAAGTACCTCCACGTCGGCCATTTACTGCCGCTCCTCTGTCTCCTCCACTTCCAGTTGCGCGGTCACCAAATCATACCGCTGGTACGTGTTTTATCTTCCATACATTCGCTTGGTTATGTATGGCAGCCAGATAGGAGGCGCAACCGGTCTTATAGGAGACCCGTCGGGGCGTTCGACAGAGAGACCGCTCTCCGAGCAATCCATCGTCGAGGGCAATGTCAAGGCTCTCACCGCTGGGATACAGCAGTTCTTCTCTCGAGCCATGGAGTATGCAAAAGGTAGACTGCAGCCTTCAGACACGCCGATCACAGAGCCAGATGTCCGCAACAACTTGCATTGGCTCAAGGGCTTAGGTCTCCTTGAGTTCCTCAGGGCAGTTGGTATTCACGCGCGAATCAATACCATGATGGCAAGGGACAGGTGCGTCTTAAGGTACACATGTCATTCCATTCTCTGAATTGCATATAGTGTCCGCACACGCCTGGAAACACAGCAGGGTATCTCCTTCACAGAATTCACCTATCAACTCCTGCAGTCGTACGACTTCCTCACCCTGTACCGAACCGCAAACTGTAATATCCAAATTGGCGGCTCTGACCAGTGGGGGAACATCGTTGCCGGCATTGACCTCATCAACCGCGTGAACGCGCTTTCTAGTGGCGAGAAGTCGGAGAAGGGGTTCGGCATCGTTACTCCTTTACTCACCACGGCTTCAGGAGAGAAGTTCGGCAAGAGTACCGGAAATGCCGTTTCCCTCGACGAGAGCGTAACAAACGTCTTCGACTTCTACCAGGTGCGCACAGCAACGTACATAACTAGATACCTCGCTTATCATACAGCGCAACAGTTCTTCCTCAGGACCGCCGATACTGATGTCGGAAGATACATGAAGATGTTCACTTTGTTGCCACTCCCTGAGATTGACGCTGTATTAGAGAAGCACATTGTAAGTTTTCATCGTGCCATACGCTGCCACAGCCATCCAAATGCGTATTCTGCAGCAAAATCCAGAGAGAAGGCACGCGCAGCGGCTTCTAGCAGCAGAGGTTACCGAACTTGTCCACGGCAGTGCGTCCCAGCGCGCTGTATCTAGATATGTCAGACTAATCTCACGCTAGAAATCGGTGTCCGCCGAGCTCGCACCGCAACTTCAGTGCTGTATGACAACGACATCGCATCCGTGAAAGCCGACGAGCTCATTGACGCGGTACGCGGGCTCCCGCTTTTCCACACATGCACTGCGGACGACCTCTTCGGCGTCTCGGTCGCCAAGCTGGCTGTACGCTTCCATGTGGCATCTTCAAACAGTGAGTCTTAGTCCAGTGCTTCACACAGCTTGCAGTTACTGAGCATTGGGCATCCACTCAGGCGCTGCTCGGCAGCTTATCTCTGCGAAGGGACTATATGCCAACAATCAACCAGTCACTGAGCCGCAGCATAAACTTGTGCCGAGTGATCTCATTGAGGGCAGGGTGGCTATCATCCGTGCAGGGAAGCAGAAGAATGCTGTAGTATCACTGCAGATCCCCTGACCATCGGAACCCGTGGTCGACACGAGACTGCCGTAAAAGGAGATACGTCGATAACCTATCATGTCCCAGAAAAATGCTCTAGTCCTAGTACTTTTGGCAATGCATGAGGAAGGGAAGGAACCCACTAGTCGATTCTAATAGCGCTGTACAGCCTTCGGACAGCCCAATACGCCGCAAGAAAGCCGATGGTTCCTTCAAGTGCGCGTAATCAGCGTTTCGAACAGTGTTGATCCGCCGAGTGGTACATACCGGTAACAAGGAAATCCAGGAGGGCCAGAAGGAGCAGGTATCCCATGTATAGCACGACACTAGAGAAAGAATCCAGGGACAGGCGAGACACCCAATAGAAAATACCGTATCCCAAAAGCCAGAAGGCGCTTCCGCCTCCTGTAAGGAACGCTCGCCAGTGCCACCTGTCAAAAAAAGGGAGATAAGCGGGTGTACGGGTGTACGGCTTGCACAGAATGGAAGCTGACGTACCGGTATTCCTCTGCACAGAGGAGGAAATACGTGAATAGGATGGTCACGGTGGCCGTGGTCAGCGCGACCACCCCTGCGGTCAGCGCAAGGAAGCCGAAGGCGTAATATGCCCTAGATGCGAACAGGCTGGACAGCACGAAGTACAACTCCACAAACGCAGCACCTAGGGACCCGAATAAGCACAAATCGTGCTACGCGAGATATCATTACACGGACCAAACGGAAGAATGCCAGCGAGCAGTGTTGCAGCCTGTCCGCCTCGTCAGCACAGCCGCTATAAAGCTTTGGCACTGACGTACCCATGGCTGCAGATATCTAGGCACCTGTGGGATTTGTCGTGGGATTTGGTTCACCCTGACAGGGTTGGAGACGCCCTGTCGGTGCCGTCAGCTCACTCAAGTAGGCGTGGATCCATATAGTACAACAGCGTACCCCATGTCTGGCCCCAATGTATGATCCAATCAACGACAAAGGCGCCGAGATGCCGAACCAGAGCACAATGATGAGCAGCATAGTCCCTGTAGTCGCACGTCAGCTGCGGTGCGGTAGTGACATCTGCCTTGACATACCGAATGGCACGGCACCAGAAGAGCCGGCTGATAGCAGGAAGATGTTCAGCAGGAACACGATTGCAAACACGAGCCTAGATACACAATGATGAGCGCGTGAGTGGGTCCTCGGTGATACACTTACGCAGGGAGGGCCGTGGCTGTCAAGAAAGAGTTGCGTCTATTGTTAGTGCCGTTGAGCGACGCATATACTCGACTCGAAACATATCCGCCGATGCTACAAAATGACAGCAGCAATTAGCCGACGAGCTCGGGGAGCAAAGATGTACTGACCCCCCAAACAACGTCCAGCACACCATCATGACCGTCGCGAGCGAGCCCCGATTTGACGGAGAAAGAAACCCTAGAAGTGCAAAGACTGCGATTGACCAGGTAAGCTGCATCTAAGTGTGACATAGTGAATTCGATTTTCACCTAGAGTCACGCCAGCCATTGCGCACAACTGAGAACCGTTTCCTGAGAGGATCGACAAGATCATAGGGTTTCGTGGGGTTCGGAATACCTCGCCATGAACCAACTTCCATCCCCAATCTTCTTGGACGTCTTCCTGTGCAGACCTCGAATATAGTTACGTCAGACCCATATATAGAAGACTGGCTTACGCTGAGGTCCATTGCGTTATAGCGTGAGATCTAGACATAGGCATGATCCATGCCGGCTCGGAAGCGGACAGAAATGCATTGCTTACATCTCGAGAAACCGTGCGCAGCAAGATCATGGCTACCATGACGCAAAGGAACACACTGATGACAAGCGAGTTAATAAGACTGAACCAGTGTATGCGCTGTTGTATGTCCCATACTTAGTCAGAGTCATGCCCGACAACAATAGCACCACATACGGGATCAAAGATGTGTAGGTAGTTGTCCCAGCGTGTCGCCCAGGGGGTGTCGGATTCCTGTCAATGCTGTGTCAGGGTATAGCGATACGGCAGCGCTCTCGGAACTTGCATTCCACATCACTCGATATGTATATCGAACTAGATTCGGCTGGTCCTCTCGTAAAATGAGCGGCGTATCACTAGTCGAGCAATCTGTAGAAGGGTCCTGAGATCCACCCCGACTTCACATGGAATGTGTCAATGATCCGAAAGAGAGCAGTCTACGCTCGACATCACCTTGTGGGCCACACGAGCACTCCAACTATGCGGTGCACCCCGGGTTTGGGTGTGTGGTACCTAGAGCGTCCAGCCATTTAAGCATTCAGTCAGTGTCACCGAGTACCGTGCCGCTGACCTGAGCACGATTTCGTAGTGATTGTTGAGCGCGGGAGTCTCTGTGTACTCCGCCTCGTCGTTCCCGAGGTTGAATCCCATGTCAAAGAACAGATCTCCGGTCTTAATGTCCACTTTCATTTCAGCTGCGGGAAGTCCGTCAACCAGCCAATTAAGGGCATAGTCTTCCTTTATGCGCTCGTTGATGAATTTTGCATCTTCCGGTGGGATTGTTGTTGTGCATAGCGTTTTACAGGTTGCGTTGTCCTCGAGCATTCTGACCTGCTACACGTGAGGTTTCGGTGCGCGAGATGACAGCGCTGGCTTACATCGTACGGCGAATTGAAGATTCGGTCGCCGAAGAGGATTGATCCTAACGACTCCGGTTCTTTGTGGGGGCCCCCTTCTGGCTCACAGAAATGAAATCTCGAGTCATAGTAGTCGTCTAGCTCCGTGTGAATCAGCCAATACAAATGGCCTCGATGGGTGGAGACCCACAGTTTATGAGCGACTTCTGGACTCAGGAAGGCGCATTAAGGTGAGCGGAGCTACGTATACGGCTCGAGAACGTACGAGTTTCGCGTTGTCGCTCCCTGCGAGCATGGGCGTGAGCGCGTTGACATAGAGGTCGACGGCTTCGCCTTCGGTGTAGTCGTGAGGGGCAGCGCCAGGGAGATAGAAAGCAGATGCGGTTGACAGCAAGGAGATGGCCACAGTGCCGAGGACCCACGGCGGACGTCGGCTGTAATACATGGCGGGCGAGGGGACAACGCCGGACGAGGATGGCCGTCACCAGGGAGTTGAGGACTTTGCACGCGGTGTGTAGCAGGCGGGCGGCAGACGGTGAATGATAGAGCAAGGAGGCGGCAGACACTGTCCGAGGCGCGGTGACAGGCTGGCGCTGCGAGACACAGCAGACGACAGCCACCGCGAGTTGCGACTACCACGGCCCACAGGCGCCTCCCCGCAGCCGAGATCGGTGAACGAGCTTCCTGCCTATTCCGGCACCCGGCGTCTGTCCCGTCTCTCCTGACGGCCCACAGAGGTGCTGTGAAACATTTCGGAATCTGACTGTTTCAAGCTGTGCACTGACATATGCTGCCCCAGTGATATCCCATCGCCTGCCCGCGGCTCGTAGTCACGCACCAGAACAACCCATGTCCACCCGAACGCCCGTCTCCCGACACCCCTCACCAAGTACGTTGCTCAGAAGTCTGCATTTCTGAACTCTCCGGACTGTCGGCTGGATGTACATCTGCTGCGGCCCCGTACCGGGACATCACCCCTGTCTACTGCTACCGCGCGCGTCCGCCCATCCTTGTGCTTGCAGCGGCGCTTCGTGCTACTTGTGGCGTATTTAAGAGATGGATTGCGGTCGTATGTCGTCTTCAGCCTCTCTCTGACATATCACCCATGGCGGCCCTCGGTCCAGCTCTCCCACCCCTTCCCGTCGATATTTTGCGCAATGTTCTCAGTTATCTGGACAAACGAAAATATATCAACGCCGCAATGCTCGTACACCCCACATGGTACTCCCTCGCAGAGGCGATGCAATATCATGATCTTGTCCTTTCCGCCAGGGCGCTGAGTGGAGAGTTCAGCCCACCGTCTCTCCGGTGCTTACAGACAATACAAAGCTGCAATCCGGCCGCGAGAGCCGTACACCATCTCACAGTTGCCGGAGTTACCAGCGGTTCCGACCGCGTGACACTCCTTGAGGCATTGGCCGGCACCACCGATCTACTGTCCCTCGATCTGCGGGAAAGTGCTCTCCAGGATGACCCGCTCCTACCAGGAGATCCTGTGTTTTCCCCATCGGGTGGATTCCTTCCGAATTTGACCGCCCTATGCACGAACGACGCCAGGCTTGTCAGCAGCCTAGCAGCAGGGCGGCCCTTGTTCTCGGTCGCCATTCTGCGGCGTCTAGATATGCAGAATTACACATCGATTGTAAACTCGCTGCAACACTCTACCTCGAGAATATCGCAGCTGAGACTTCACCTCAACGTAGACAGCATGGTGTCTTCTATTGGCATCATCAAGTCGCTAGCTGAGATGTTCCCAGCCCTAGCAGTTCTTGCCCTTCAATTCGAGCTGCCCACTAACATCCCCCGCCCAGTGGCGTGGACCGATGTGGCGGTAAGGCATCATGTACGATTAACTTGGCGCATCTCATCACCTTCTGCAGGACGTCATAGGCGAAATGAGCCCATCGCTCTGCAACCTGTATTCCTTGGACATACTCAGTCTTGTGTGGGTGCCTGAGCCTCTCACCGAGGGCGGGAATCTTGAGTACGAGAGGAAAACGAGGGAGCTTAGGGATATTTTAGCATTCAATGTCCCTCATCTTCGCCACATCGAGATTCGCTGGCATGGCTGGACGAAGACGAGAGGGGCTTGGTCGCCCGTGGAGCGGCACGATCTGCTTCGGAACCCCGCGGTCTGGTACTACACAAGAACACGCCGCAAGTGCGAATTCTCGCGGTGAGTGCTGTTCCGCATAGTGTCATTGGCTGCTGAACGCGAAAGCAGGAATGCTATCAGCTGAAGAACTAGACGAGCTAGACGATAGCAAAGTGTATGGGTCTACGTAGCTGTGGACCGGTCCTTTTGGCAATGCTTCTAAATACCGTACACACAAGGCGGCATATAGTATTTGAATTCCGCGTTCAGTGTCTCCTGAGATTTGAAGTGGATACTATGTATAGCGCGAGCGACTATCGACTGAGCAGTACATATGAATGTCATATGTATGTACTCTTGCTAGATACAAGCTACCCTTATATACCTGCTAAAATGCACAGCCGCTTTGACCAAAGGCTGTAAGTAATGCTCGACGTTCTAACTTGTTATTGCACTTCTATCCAATCGATCGCGCTTGGTGATGGCGGCCATCGCCGAAGGGCGAGACACTGCGCATATATACCCGCCACCGACGGTATTTTCTGGCCCGGCTCCTTTCAAGATCGCCCCCTTCGCGCAAACCCAAAGTCCGAGACAAAATCGCAGGAGCATCGTAGCCAGTAATTTCAATCGGCAAGACTTGACTTCACACCGCCAGTAACCAGTGAGTCCTGGGATCATCACACCGGCAGTCTGTGATTGGACGTTGATCCCGCCCCTCGAGACCCAGCTTCATTTCGGACCGTATACACAATTCCCCAGACGAAGCGCAGCTCGATCTGCGCCATTCACCACGATGCTACTGAACGCTCAGAAGCAGCCTGGGACACCTTTGCACGTCCAGCCAGCGGCGGCTTCGCCGTCGCCAACAAGCCCCTTGTCTAATTTTATGTTCAACACTATAGGTCAAGAACCCGCTCTGCTCAAACGTATGAGCTCTGTGGAGGAGAGCTTACAGTATCCTCCGTCACCGTCATCCACGACTTCCGATCATCCCATACCAGATGCGGCATCCCTATCTAGACCGACACTGTACGAGCTTCTTGTGGGGAAGAATGCAGGAGGATCACTTCCCGTTGCAGCTGAAGCGACCACCGATTCCTCATCTAACTTTTTACCAACCGCTACCGAGACCATCACGCGGGTTAATCCTCTCGATGAGTCAGGATTCGTTTCCAATTTTGCGGCGAAGAATGGCCTTGGTGCTGGACCATCCGCTTCTTCGAGTAATCCTTCCGGCAGATCTATATACCCCTCAAGCTCCTCCATCGCTGGCGGCAATGCACCTGCGCCTTATGCGGCGTCGTCATCTCGGCATTCATCAATAGGGGCGTCTGTGACTCGCGCCGATTCCGTTCTTTCCTACATCGAGTCCCCCGTTTCACTTGATACCTCACACGCCGCAGTGTCTGCTCGCCCCGAGTCCAACGGAGACCGCCCCCGCGTTCCTTCGCAGCCCCACTCCAGCGCCACCCCATCTGCGTCTCCTTCAGATCTGGTCTTGATCATATCGCAAGTCGCCATCGAGCGCGCTGATTGGAATGAACTCAAAGCGATGACAGAACGCTTCCAGGAAGAACACGCTGAGTATATGCGCCGCAACGAGGAAGCTGTGCTTGCGCTTCAGCGCGAGAAGGAGCAGCTGACGAAGGTTCTTGCCACCGTTACGAGCGCCTTCGCGAAGCTGGACCCCCTGCGCGTCAAGCAGGAGAAGCGATTTGACGCAGAGCAGCAGAAGGCCGAACGCGCGTTCGCTCATCGCTTGAGCGAGGAGAAGAGGCGCGAGGAAGCTGCCGAGCTAGATCGTAGGGAAGTGGAGGCTGCAGAGTCTCGCAAACTCGCTGCTGAGAGGGCTCGCCAGCTTGAGCTGGAAGAAGCCGCGCGTCTCGCTCGTGAAGAGGAGGATAAACGTCGGGCCGCCGACGTAGAGAACAGGCGCAAGGCTGCTGAAGAGGCAAATCGCAAAGCTGATGCCGAAGAGGAGAGGCTTCAAGCTGCTGCTGCAGCCGCCGCCAAACGCGCGGAAGATGATCGCAGATCAGCTCAAGAAGCCGCAAAACGCGCTCAAGTCGAAGAGGCAGAGAGACGTCAACTTCTTGACGAGCAGCGCAAAACCGACAAACTCAAGCAGGAGCTTGCCATTGCCAAGGCCAAAGAGGAGTCACTAGCCGCTAGCGAGAAGGCTGCTAAAGATGCAGCTGACGCACGCCGTCTGGCTGAGTATGAAGCGCAGAAAGCTGCTGTGCAAGAGATGAAGCGCAAGGCCACCGAAGCCAACGCGTTCGCGGCACAAGAAGAGAAGAAGGCACGGCTGGCGAAGGAGGAGCTTCAAGCGAGACTAGAGAAGGAGCGGAAGGAGGCGCAGTCTCGCACCTTGGACGTGCCTGCTCCTAATGCGTTGAACGAAAGTCCTGCCGCCCAACCGACGACGCGTGGATCTACCTCGACCGTTCCGGCGATTCATCAGCCGTTCTCTAGTGGTGTTCGAGTACCTAGTGGTCTGCCGTCCATTCCCACTCCGCCGCCATCAATATCTCCTGAGACTCCTGAGAATGCGCGAGAGAACGCGCCTTTGATTTTCCAACCCATGCCCCCTCAGAAACCGACAGGTTCCTCTGGATCGATCCAGGCAGTCCCAGGAGTCGACAAGGCTAAAGCACAGCGGTCCAAATCCCAAGCCCAGAAGAATCGTAGTGCGCACGCCTCGGATATTCAGAAGGCGCCGATTCAAGCCGCGCTGAGTCAGATCAAGCCTGAGCCGCAGACTCCCAGATGTGTTTCTGACATCTCCGTGAAGCCCGAGAGTTTCACGCCGATTCTTCCTAAGACCCTGAAGATGGCAGATAAGCTAGGGTGGTCTAATGGACAGACTGATGACGCCGAGCCACTCATGATCAAACGGGAGGAATCTGTTGAACTCCCGATGTCTCAGAGTAGCGCATTTCCTGTGCCTTCGCAACGGAGCACAATCGGCGGCGATGACGCCCGTGTGCCTGCACAGGGCCAGTCAGTACCCCCACCCCCTGCCACAAGGAAGGGGAGGAAGCAAGCGGCGCTCCAGTCCGCAGTCGTACCTCGGCCTGGCTCCAATATCGCTTTAGCTGCAAGCCCGTCTTATGAGCAGGCAGACGCTTCGCGCATCGGCCCTTCCGACGGTCCTCAACTACTTCAGCGTGTGCCTAGGGATCAAGCTGAGAGTCACACAACCCATATTGATCCAATGACAAATGTGGGTCCTTGGACAAGTGCCCCGAGGACGTCAGAGGAGGATGAGCTGCGGGACTATGCACGAACTCCTCCTATCGATGATCTTCCGGGGCGGCCTGCTTACGATCATTATTCTCCTACTCCGCCTCCATATGCAGCGCCGGCGAGGCGGGAGTATGATTATTATTCGCCCACCCCTAACAGGCCAATGCGCAGTCGGGAGAAATCCCCGGCGCCTGGTCGCAAGCGGGTGCGAGACTACGATTCGGCCTTAGGATCAAACGAGGAGCCCTTGGTGCGTCGAGCTAGATTTTCACCACCGCGCGACTACCCGGAGTACGGTGGGACAACCCCACCGCGTGGGCGCTCGCCCATACCTCCGTACCAGCGGACATACAACGTCAGGACGCCATCGCCTGATGTGGACCAGTATCGAAACGACCCGTACCGCCGTGGGTACGCTGAGCCCATACCCCAGGTCCATTCCCATTATCAAGACCGACGCACCGCTCATGCCTATCCAAATGCTTACGACCGACACCAGGAGTCTTTTCCTCCAGTAGATTATCCCGACGATCGCCGCCGCGTTGTATCCGGCCCACCGGCGACTACCGAAGCCGCACGTCATCCTGTCCACCGGAATCGCGAACAAGCGACCCAGAATACCCCAGGTACCCAACGTACCGCAGATGATGGGCAGCAATCAACGTTGTTGTGGCGAATCAGCGACGCCCCCCAATCGCGCGGTGGTGCACCCGCTCGGGGTAACCGAAATGCCAACGCTAGCAAGGGTACGACGCAACGTGGTCGTGGTGCTGCATCCTCGGGAAGGGCGCGAGGTGGCAATGCGTCTTCCCGGGGTGGATCCAGGCAACAGCGGTCTTTAGTAGACCGCCTTGGCAACGGACTCGATCTTGGAGCCCGTTTGTCGTAGAAAGAACAAATCTGTACATCATTTCGACGTACACCTACTCAGTTTGCCGACCTCCGCTTTCGTCGGCTTGTTCAGCATTGCTCTTGCAAGCTGCAACCATTCAGCCTATGTCGTCGTTCATGCTTCGCTTGTGAGTCCATCAGCATGCTTTCGAGAAAGCCGCTGCTTATATACCATCAATCAATGTCGTAAACTATCCGTCGAATTCCAAATGGCGCATTCCGCATATCGTACGTCCTGAGAGAAAGCTGAGAACTCCACGAAAGAGTAGAACTACACAGCTTGTTATACAAGCATCTAGACTCGTTTAACTGGCTCCGCAGATTGTTAGCTCCCTCATCTCTTGGAGAACGCCCTCGACCTGATGAAATAATTTGTAAACAGCGCTCGCGATGCGCCAGTAAAGGGTACGTACTTGTGCATCCAGCTGGCCGGCTGCGTAGTCGTCTCGTACATTGTCCGCAAAGTACCTATTCGAACGGTTATCAGAGCACCATGAGCCAAGCCACAAGGCATCGAACCTCTGAACACCACTAAGTTTCTCGTATCCTTCCTCCGCGAATTTGCATTGCATGCGGATCATCGCTTCGAAACTCGGGTCAAAAAAGGGCACTCGGAGGTCGAGCAGCTGGGGAAGTTCCGCAATGAGCTGCTCGTTCAGCATGTCGAACACCTCCTTTGTGTCGTCAAATTCCTGCTGAGCCTGTCCAGGTGATGGCGGTCAGCGAGGGCTGACTACTGACTTAGATAGCCATTTTGTGCGTACCCTTGGCAGCTTTGTCGGGTCCTCGCTGGGCTTCGCAATGAGTTTGTTCATCTTGCTCCTGGCAGAGTCGTAGTCCAGTAGCTACGAAATTGCAATGGGTCCAATGTCCCACGATACAGCAGTGATGTCATACCTTCTTGTTCCGCTTGGAAATATGCTCGTTGACAACGGGGAAGTATGCACACATCTTGCCCAAGGGTTCCATGACAGTTGTACGGTAGGGCGCGTCCTACACCACCCGGGATGAGCCAAACCAAATTAGGGCCAAAGGCGCAGTTCAATTACCATTTCTCGTCCGAGACCAGAATCAAGGTCGTCTACCGCACGCTTGTATGCATGGGCTGCCATCGCACCTTCAGACGTCTTGTCGGCCGCGTCGTAGAAGACACCGATTGTGTCCGCGAGGCGGCCCTGCGCCGAAGTCATCGCTGCGCAGTCATACGTCAAGTCGACAGCCACATCGTACGAGGGACACCGCACGTACCCCGCATGGCATCCAGATATCCCTTCGCATCCTTCTGCAGCTGCTGGCACTCCTTCTCATACCTGAGAACAAGGCTTAGAAAGGGGTACTAGGAATAGGGTGATCTCATGGGCTACGACGCACGTCTTGTATTTCGCCTCCTCTTCGGCGAAGTCTCTGTCGACTGTTCGTTCAATCTGGCCCGTCTTCTGCAGGAGCTGTGGGTGAGAGTAGTATAAGAATTATGCAGAATAGAAGAGGCGATATAGTCGGGTCCGATGCGAAGATGTGAACGCACAGTGGTTCCCGCTCGGTTCACGGACTTCTTGAATCTGTATGGAGCATAGAGTTGAAAGGGGAATGTATGCACGGATGAGGGGAATCGTACCCTGCCCAGCTCATGTTGCGCTTCAGAAAAGCAATACAAGTAGTGTGTGTCAGAACAGGTAATGTAAAGAGACCGTCACAATGTGGCCAGTAGCAAGGAGCCTCTCAGAGTCAATGCGGCTTATACCCTAACGTCACGTGACTGTACATTCCGGAGTCGAGTACACAACAAACACAAGTAATTTCATTACAATGCTATCAATTAAGGTCACGTAACGCTGGCTATAGAGACCATAGCTATAGCGAAAGATCGCATCACGAGAGTGCTCTCTACGCTGACGATGGCAAAAAGGTCAGACATGATACCCAGATCCGATCTCTCAGCCGGAGTCGAAGACAAAGGTCTGCGGTCAGTATTCGTGGGCATCGACATGTCGACCGAAATTAATTCGAACTCCTACGCTCCTACGTTGATACATAGGCTCAAATCACGACCGTTTGAATATATCGTACAGCTTAGAGGTCACAGCAGCCGCTAGGCGCTAAGTGGCAAGCATGACTGGAACGAACGAAACGAGCTATTGTGAGATACACCCAAGGACATTTGTGGATTTCTACGGTATATGCCCTGGTGAGATCAGCAACATATATCGAATAGTGCATGCTTTGGAAGAGCTAACAGATCATGGGCACGCAGAGAGTGGTTCTCGCCACCGCGATCAACTGTGAAACCGATATACGATCCGCTGGCAACTGCATAGAGCGTACTGTGCCACATACAGCAACTGGCACGCGACGCGCGGCGGATTCTCGGCTGCAACATTGTAAATGACTGCTCCTGCCTTTACTGGATGCAGGTTCTTTTGTGCGGATGCCACAATAATCAAAATGCGTCTCCAGACCGATACTATGCACGGAAAAGGATCGTTCTTTGTCGGCAAGCGTGTCTTTCCGTGAGGCGCTTTAACGGGCCGGTTTGCAGCGGTGCATGCTGGTGATCGTTACACAGCAGTGGGCATGACAGCGCCTGCGGGCTGTTGCGCAGACACGCGAGCGGGACGATGACACAGTCGGTGACGGGCTGGTTGTGATTTTGGCTGATGCGGCGAAGGGGAAGCAGAGGGAAACGCAGAGGAACATGCGGAGACGCCTGCGAGATAGGCGTTTGAGATTGGCGACAGCCACCCAGCCGGGAACTTGCCAACTGCCATATCGGGCACAAGGGCGGGCCCACGTGCCTGCCGTCGCTCATACGCCTGCAGCCATTGTTCTCTTCTCATGTTTTCTTTCGCCCTCTGCGTCCCACCTCCACATCCTCCATCTGTCGCCGCCGCCCTCCATGTTTCATTTTGAACGCGACTCTCAGCCGTCCACGTCCATCTCGTCCCAGAAACCCTTCGCATCTATCGCCTACCGCCGCGACAGCGTACCCCAGATCAGCACCTACCCCGAGCCCTCCGCGTCGCTCATACTCAATTTTTCAAATATGCACCGGGCACCCCTCGCACCTCTAGACCCACAGGCAACCCACAATCTACCTAATGCCGTTGACAATCAAATGTCTATTCCCTCGTCATCACCACTCCATGGTTACGCTCCATTTGACACAGCACAGGGTCGCGACCGCCAGCACTCTGGTGATCTCCTGCGCTATAACCTAGGTCGTCCAACTATACCGGTGCGTGCAGCCTCTGATAGCACCGAGGGAGGCCTTGGCTCGGCTAGACGGAGATCAATCCCAAACCAGTGCGTGGTTGATTGCCCTCTTCTCATAGTCGTACTTGCCAATCTTTCCTCCGGCATATATCAGCGTTACGAGCACCGCGCGTTCCTCGCTCTTAAACGGTCGCCCTTTATCCCGGCGCCCTAGTCATACCGCCTCGTCCTCCGTATACTCTAGTAGGCGACCCTCTCTTCCGACGATCCTCTTACAGCCGTCCTCGTCCACGACATCTCCCTCTACAGCTGGTGGGTACCCCGCCGCTGACTCCCATGCTGACACAAATACCGGCATTGGTGCCGAAGACCTTTATTCCAACCTCTCTTCCTATACATTCGGTTCTGCACGCCCTAGTCGCACGGAATTTCTGGAAATGATCAGCCCCTTTTCGGCTCCTGGTCCTAGTAGCTCGGACCCCACTCCCCGTCCTTCAGTCTCGGGTCCGAGCTCAGATGGCAGTGCCCCACCCACGCGGCATACCAACCGATCACGAACGCCCCGTACCCGTCCTAGAGATATCGAGGATGACGGCTCGACAGCAGATCGAGAAGACGACGGCGACGAAGAGGGCCATATGCGCACCAAAATGCGCGCTATGAATGATGGCACACGCAGACCATCACTGCCGATGATCTCTTACCCTTCAGAGAGGTCTCAGTCGCCTCCAATTTCTCCTACGACTTCTCGTTCACGACCACATCCTCAGCGCAAATCCGACAGTCCAGGTGAGCGACATTCGTCCTCAGAGGCAGAGTCAGAATCCGGCACGAGCTACGTCGACGGCGATGAAGGAGACGCAGATATTGGAGATTTCGACACTGACATTGAGCTTGATTTTCATCATAACTCCGTCGCTCCTGCTACGCATGATGTTGATATGTCCGACGCGGTGTTGCAACATACATTTAGGGGAGGCTATGGTCAGTACGTGTACAAGTCCGGCTCACATTCAAACGATGGAGGTCAGGGCGATGACCACGGCGATGACGGTCATGATGGCCGAAAAGTCGCGTCGCGTATCCTCGTTACAGATGCAGATCTAGCGGCGCATGCGATCGAAAGCTCGCAAGTACGAAGAGGTAGCCTCCCTTGGAATATTACCGAGGATCCTGCTGCTGGTAGTTCTGGCATAGGGAGAGGTCGCGAAGACAGCTTGGCGACCGTGACCGCTATGCAGGTGAGCTATGATGTGCAGAGCCAGTCTGCTGGCCTCGCAGACATGTCAAACGTGCCGGCGATCAACCCTTCCGAGAACGGAACGGGTGGCACGAGCGTCCAGCCTCCTCCACGCGACCTGTTCTCTACGGCAGCTGTCGACCTTGGTGCGGGGGTGCCAGCGCAGAGCGATTCGAATGCACTTGCGGACTTCGATCTCGGCTACATTTTGGGGGGCACAGCCGAACGTGACCGCCGCAAGTCGTGGCAATCTACCGCTCCGTCATGGATGCAGGTGCCGCCGCACACCTCATCCGATCCGCAAGCAGCCGGTTTCGAGAACTTTGAGTTCCCTGGCTGGGGCGCTCCGGTCACAGGTCCTGGCGGGCGGAGACCGAGCACCATCACCGTCGGCAGTTTTGAGGATGCCTTCACGCGCCATGTTCAGCGGTTCGATCCAGTATCCAATGAGCGAGCAGTGGAGTGGAGCTTCAAGCGCGAGACTGTGGATGGGCTAGGCCCGGACATCCCAATCAACGCTCGGTGGGTGTTGACAGCGAGTTCGCGCGCCTTGGCACCTGGCCAGCAGGAACTATGGCGACATGCACACGTCGGTCGCTTCAAGATAGAAAAACTGCTCTTACGACGTGAGTGCGACATGGTATTTCCTGTTTGTCGTGCGGAAGCTCATTTGTCTGGAATGATGCAGTGGATGACCCCAATAAGCCGCCTTCACAACGTATTAACGTCCGGCACATTCCAGATCCGTACTCGAGAGGCAACACTCTTGGTGGGCCAGTGTCAGTAGTGCACAAGCACTCGCGCGCCATTGCGTTCTCGCTCTTCCGAAAGCACAACCTCTTCAACCGCTCGCGATCTGGAGCAACGTCCATGCCGACAAGCGGCAGTATCCTGCTTGCCACGCGGAGGATCCAGGAGCAATACACGAGCACACGATCGACCAACCAGCTGAAGTCACATGGCCTGCTGAAGGATGGCAAACCACGCAGTCGTGAAACCAGCGGCCAGAGCACCACTCTGAACGGCAGTGGGTTATCATCCCGTGAACGTAGTCATTCAAGGGACGCGCGGGACAAGCAAAAGGCAAAGGGCAAAGGCAAGGAATACACCACAGGCACATCCAGCCAAACAGCGAGCGCTGGCAGCGTCACCAGCCGGACCGCTGGCAGCGAGGATGAGTCTGTCGTCTTTGCTAGGCCGCATAGTACTTCGACTGCTTCCGGAGGCCGCTCAGTTCCTGTCTCGCCGACCGTCGTCGAGTCTCAGTTTGCCTATTCAACGGCATCGGCGTCAGAAAGAGCGCTCACACTTCGATCGGCGGGCGATGGTCCGTCAACGTCGAAATACGGCTCCCCTCCTTCTACCGCCTCATCAGATCGTGCATCAGCTCGTGCGGATTCTATGATCATCGACGAAGATGACGAGCAGGTTTTGCCGCGTACCTCGCATGCAGAGGCCTTCGCGACGCTCGATCAGAACAGCATCGAGTATCTCCGCGGGAGGTCAGAGCTGATCGTTCCCGACCATGACGGGACACATGCGCGGAGTATTACGGAACGGTTGCGGCGGAGGCTACTTGGGCAGAATCCTGTCAAGGCCATCTCCCGACCTCCAGCGGGCCCGCCAGTGGCTGCATTGGAGGGGCATTACACGCCGCCATGGATGACAATGGCGCCCCGGTCTCGCGTTGAGGAGCGCGATCGTGTCATTCAAAATCTAAACGAGTCCTTTAAGGATGTCGGCTTGCTACCCTCGTTCCGGACGAAAGGCAGTGGGAAGCCCAGACGCCGCAATACCGACACGGTCAACATCTTCTCGCACGTCCCCGACGACTCGCTGTACATGCTCCTCCCGCTGTGGCCCGGTGACACTAACGCGCAGTCTAAGAACGCTGTTGATGACACCAACGTGTATTCTGTACCTCTCGAGGAGCGACAGTACCTCCTCGTGTACTACGTACCCCTGGCCGAGCGCCGCGACAACAAGAAGGACGGGAACAAAAAGCGTTCGCGGTCGAACTCACGCGCGGGTTCGTCCGTATCTACCGACAAATCCAAGCTGATCCAGCTCTCGTCCTTCTCCGTCTGCGCGCGGCTGATCTCCTACCACGACCTGCTCGGCACCGGCGTCCGGCTCCCACTGGACGGGCTGTCTATCACCGGTCCCATGGCGGAGGCTATGGACACGCTCCCGTCGGCCGCTGTGCGCGAGTCACGTTTGGAAACGCCATGCGCTATCATTGGCATCTGTTACGGCCTCGAGAAAGGGATCGAATTCCTCCCGGACGGTCTAGCGAAAGTCGGGCTCGCTGTCGTGCTGCCCTCCGAAAACCCTGTTGTCTCGAAATCTGTTGAGGCGGAGGCAGAAGAGCTTAACTATGAAATGACACCAATCGGGCGCGCGGCCGTTGAAATGGCGTGGCTGGGCTGCCTGGCGATGACCAAGTTCGGACCCGAGCCGCAGTTGTCGAAGTGAATGACTCCACCACGCCTCGGCTAGTCACGATTACGACAGGGTGAAGACTTATGAATGTATTATGACCCAATATCTCTTCGTGTTTCTATAGTCCAATTACCTTTACCTAGCGTCGCACGTCTCCGTCCCATACAACTTGAGCTGTCTCATCACTCAATACCCTTGACATCTGTATTCATTGTTTACCGTCTCAACTATTGCCCTAGTGCCATGGCTTGGATAGAACCTGTATATGTATTTACTTTAAAATGATATATCTCGCTTGCGCATACCTAGCAGACCTGGACGGGGTCATTCTTGGAACGATCGAGTGCCACATAGATATGCATGCGTGATGTACTAATCCATTACAACCGGGGAGGGAAGATCTAATACATAACACAACGAGCGTATGATTTACTAATACAGTGGGCACAGATGTCTATATGAGATCCTACAATAGCAGCCATAGATCATGCGAGCATGCCCACGCAACATTGTGAATGGCACAAGGAAACGATATACACTCATCCACAGAAGCCGTCGTCCATCACCGCGCCGCAGCGTTCGCATGTCGTCCTGCGGTCCAAGAGACAGCAGCCGATACCCCAGGGAAACCAAAAGACAGCCGCGAGTATACCTGAAGCAGCAGTCAGCGCATGAATTAGCTGCGGCTGCGGATTGCCTACTCACCAAGTACACCGTAATGTGTGCGAGGTACGTGTCCTCCTTGTTGCAGACAAATCATCTGTGGGTGGTCTGGGGGCAGCAGAGACACAATCTGCTCTTGCGTGATCGGGTTGACATAATTATACACTGTGGTGGCAGGCATAGAGGGGACCTGCGGTGAGGGACCCTGTGCGGGCGTACCCTCGGGTAGTGGGACCTTGACGCTGTCGGCGGTGCTGGTGCCATTGGTGACAAAGGGGCCCGACGCTGCACATCCGGTTGAGTCAGCACGAGTATCTTTCTGAGATGGACTTTGAGGCTCACAGGTAATGTCCTTCATAGCCGCGTCGTAAGAGGGCGGTGCCTGCATGTCTTGGTTCGGAGTCTGCGTTGAAAATGAGTTCATGAGTGCAGTCCAGCGGTACTTTGCGACTTTGAGCTCACCATCTTTGTGGTGTTGGGGTCAATGATCATGGTGGACGTGTCAAGCGGTGTGGGGTGTATAAGTAGTGGCGGGTGGAGAGGGCGGTTCCCGTGTGTCGGATACTGCGGGCTCGGACTCGGAGCTGCGGGCACAGCACACTATTTGGGCGGAAGCGCCCAGCATGCTCCTGCGAGGTACACGTGATATTCAAATTCGTATCTGATCGGGCCACGTGCTCGGAGATTTTCTTTTTCGTCAAGTTGGCCTTCTGCGCCGTCCCTGCAGTCCAGGCGCCATTCCTTGCTTTCCCCTACCCTCCCTCTCACTTTTCAAAAACTAGTTCTGCTTGCACGATGGATAGCGCAGGACCATCCTCCTCTACTCCGATGCCTGATGTCTCGGCGGATAACATGACATCTAGAGACTAGTGCGTTCACTCTTCACCATTGTAGCCACTCGGCCGTAGCATATTGATCGTTTCGCTTCACCAGCTATGCCGACTCTTATGCTCACTTTGGTGTGTTTCGGCTTCCCTACGCCGCACAAGGGTTGCAGCGTGCTAACCCTACCTCAATTCCTCTCCATTCATCAGGTATTCACGAGGAGATGTTGAAAGACACTGTACGAACCGGCTCGTACCGCAACGCGATCATCAACAACCCCCACCTATTCAAGGGCAAGACAGTGCTCGATGTCGGCTGCGGAACAGGCATTCTGAGCATGTTTGCCGCGAAGGCTGGTGCTCAGCACGTCGTCGGCGTATGCACTTCTTCTATGAGCCGAGTGGCATCGTCTAAATTCGTATTGCATAGATTGACATGTCCAACATCATTGATCAAGCGGAAAAAATCGTCGAAGCCAACGGCTTCAAGGACAGTACGTATTTGCGTTCCACGCCTTGCGGCATACACGCAAACGACGCATTCCGCAGCCATCACCCTTGTCAAGGGGAAACTTGAAGACGTACCGCTCCCGATTGAACAGTTTGACATCATCATCTCTGAGTGGATGGGCTACTTCCTTCTATACGAGTCCATGCTGGACACCGTGCTGCTCGCACGCGACCGCTACTTGAAGCCCGGAGGTCTGATCTTCCCAGACAATGCGACCCTCTACCTTGCTGCAATCGAGGACTCCGAGTACAAGGAGGAAAAAATCAACTGTGCGCTCTTTCATGTCCTTTGGAACGCGTAAACTGACAGTTGCACCAGTCTGGGACAACGTGTACGGGTTTGACTATTCGTGCATCAAGGATATTGCTCTCCGCGAGCCACTGGTTGATACTGTCGACTTGAAGGCCGTCGTGACAGACCCTTGTATGATCAAGGTATGCCTATCGTCCCTGAAATCTGGTTTAGACTCAACTCACACGACTGCGCAGCATATTGATCTTCGCACCGCCAAGAAGGAGGATCTGACCTTCACTGCGCCATTCGCTCTTAAGGGCACCCGAAATGACTGTATGTGGGCCCGAGTCCTTCGCCTTTATTCATCTTGATAAATATCAACAGACGTCCATGCATTCCTTGCATGGTTCGACATTGCATTCGAGTGCACTCACACAAAAGTCAAATTCTCGACAGGTCCTCATGCCAAGTATACCCATTGGAAGTGAGTTTTGCGTGTCTCGCTTGTAGTTGTTCACCGTTCTCATCGATCTCCTAGACAAACTGTTTTCTACACACCTGATACCATCACAGTGTCTGAAGAACAGCAGATCAAGGGGCGGCTGTCCTGTGCACCCAACGCAAGAAACCCCCGCGACCTCGACATCATAATCGCTTACCAGTCGGAAGGCGAGCCTGAGGCTGAGATACACTACAAAATGTGCGTCTTTCCTTCCATTCGTCCACTTTTTTAGCCCAGATTCTGCATCAATGGAACGCTGACCGGTTGTCAGGTCCTAATTCATATACAATACCCAATCTGTATCGATTCTGCATTAATTTTGCTGTCTCTATCCACGCAATGCAGGTATTAGAATGATGTATTACGACACTGGGCCGCGGTCGGCTGTACCGCATTGCTCTACTCATATCTGTGCGCGATATGCAATAGATATGGATGTATGCTATGCTTTGGTGGACTTCAAGAGATTGATGTTGTATAACCCTTGCTGTGGTTGCGCGCATCTAGGGGTATATTCGGCGATGCTATCTGAGTTGTGCATAAGATACCGTGAGGACGCGTAGGCTACATTGCTTAACCTTGCGCTAGTGGGAAGCGACGTTACTTGATAGAGACGGCAGTTGTCGTCGATGCTTCGGATGATGATCCCGCAAGCCATTGGGCGCACCTGAACCTTGAACTCGTACCACTATGCACCATGCCCTCACTCTCCTGAACCCAGCTCACCGACTCCTCAGCTGGACGCAGCGCCCCGGAACCTCATGCCTCCATACGTTGCCGGCGGATGTGCTGCTAGAGATCGCGTCCTATCTGAACACGTTGTCTGATATCCTGCATCTAGGCTTGACAGTGAGATCCCTTTGCGGTTAGTCCGGAGCCGCTGTATTAATGCGCTGCCACAATAGTCCTATAAGGTCTATCTCAAGGTCATTCCCGCTGTCTATGCATTCGTCGAGCTCCAGGGTCCTTCACAATGCGAGGCGACACTGGCAATGCTGCAGCGACGCCCGGATGTCGCGCGGCATGTCCGCAAGCTCGTGCTTCGCCCGGAAGATCAACTCACCGGCCGCAAGCAGCAGGTGCGAGCCTGGGACAACGCGGGCATGATCTCGCGGATGGTCAGCGATGCGGCGAAGTATCTGGATGCATTACAGGAGTTTGAATGGGATGGCGAGGACATGTTGCCCGACGACCGCATGTGGTCCGGTCTGCGATCGTGGTGAGTAGTATGTCGTGCAAGTACTGTGTAACAGCAACTTCATGCGATTTCCTCTGGAGCTGTCCATACTTGCAGCGCGTTGGGATGACGTTTGGGTGCTTCCTACCGCACCCAGGCAGCAATGTAAGTGCCTATATGCGCGTATTTGATGTCCCTTTCTCAACCGCAGTGCTTCAAATTTCAGCTTTTCAAGTTCAGCGACCTTGCAGGCTTCTCCCTGACCTTCAAAGACGGTTTCTACGCCCAGCAGCTCCATGTACCTTCGCGAGGTGAGTGCGCTCCGCTTCTGGGCGGCACGTCGGCTCACATCGAACTTCAGAGAGTGAACCAGTGTTTGCGCGTCTATGGGACATGCTCGTTCGTCGCTGCCCCAATCTCGAGACCCTGTCCATCGCGGGGACCTCTACGGAGCCATCGGATGCGGCGCGTCTTGGGACCGCGTATTGGCCCAAGTTACGTGTGCTGACCATTGGTGATGTGGTATTCGGACTCTCTGTGCCGCTGGATGCGCCGCCCGCACACCCTTTCCTCGGTTTCCTCGAACGCCATCCGACTCTGACGGGTTTGCACATACTGGGTCATCCACATGTCAACCCATTGGACTTAGCTGAACTCAGCGAAGACGCTCTCCCCCAGCTCACAGAGTTCAGCGGATCGTTGGACCACCTCCGTGCATTAATGACCCGGGGCCAGCCTAATGCTGGCAACGGAAACCCGAATCTCCAATGGAACGTGCCACAGGGACAAGATGAACCATCGTCTCCGCTCTCGAAGACGTTGCGACATATATGCCTACCGGATCCCATGCAGCTTCGGGAGCTGACTCCCCTGGCGATCTCGCGCGTGCTCCTAGATCTCCACGCGTTGACTTCCCTGAAAATGACGTTCACTCTACATAGCGGATATGACTGCAATGGTGTGTTTCGCACCGTCATTGCTTCCTGTCCCCAACTCTTGCATCTTGACTTGACGTGCACTTCGAGGCCGTCTTTCTACCTTGTAAGTTTTTCCGCACGGCACGCGTCTCGTAGTGGTATCTGATTCATCCCATGATCTGTAGGAGTCGTTTTCTCGATCCCTCAAGAAACTGGTCCGACTTCGCACATTGCGGCTGTCCATAGTTCAGTTTCCAGGCGAAGAGCCAATGCATGCGGGCGCCGCTCGCATTGCACTGGCCAATCCCCGGCTTACTCAATTCTTCCTCTCGTACATACCCCCGCATACCCCCGCTCTTCCTATCCCTCGCCCGTTGGAGACCGGCTCCTTCGAACTCATCTGTGACATCCACGGTATCCCCATTAACCTCTTCGTGTCGGAATGGCGCGTGACGCTCGCTGGTGGAGGCGGCGGCGGCATGATCTGGCGCGGCATGGTCAGTCTCGCCATGATCCTCGGCATCGGCGTCGGTACGGGGTGGCGCGCTGGTCCTACCGGTTGGACGCGGCGCTGGAAGTGCGAGTTGCGCCCTAGTGGCCACCCTGACGTACCGAGGAGCGGACTTGATCAGCTGATTGTCGAACGCAGCCCGGCCGGAGAAGAGGCACGGCTACTGCTCCTCTGCATGTGCCTACTCATCTTGGCAGCGTGGGGCGTTGTCTGGAGGGCGTCGTAAAGTTCTGGGAGTTGTACGTTATACCGAGAATACCCAGATCATAGACTGTAGCTCATTGCATGGTAATCATTCGTACCAGCCGATTGTAATAGATTGCATGTATACCAGCCACTTTTCACGGCCTGTAATAAGTGTATAGTGTTTATGACTGGATAGTGTTATAATACTTTCAGAGCATGGGGAGACGCGGTCTCGTCCGGGATGGAGAAGACAAACTGTTGATGAGCCCGAATAGCCGTCGCATAACCTCCCTGACTGACCACCCCATCGGAGTACTCGCCATTCTGTCGCAAATATCAGCCATATAGAATACAGTAGTCATAGAGAAGCAACATACGTGAGTTGGGATGCCGTTGACACAATAGTTTTCGTAGGCGCTCTTACACACACTGCAACTCATGCAGCTGCCGATGTGCGCGCCGACACCGACGGGGTCTCCTACTTTAATGTCTTTGACGTTGTCCCCGACGCGCGTTACCTTCCCTACAATCTCGTGGCCTAAGATGAGGGGGAGCTTGCTCTCTCCCCACCCCTGAGTGAGTGTATGCATGTCGGCGCCACATACACCACAGTGTGTGATGGTGATCTCAACGTCATCTGACTTGAAGGCCTTCGGTTTGAGCGATATGACCTCGAGGTTGCCCCACCTCTTAGAATCTGTGCGCATCGTTCCCAGAACGCGATTCGGTTCTACAGTTGAGAAGCGTACCTGTGAGAGCGTAGCCCTTGAATTCAACTAGAGTCGACATGGCGTGGCCTGAAGTGGTGGTAGTGGAAGAGAGAATGCGCTCGTTCCGATGCCTTCAACATCTTACACCGTCTACGCTGGCAGGACGACTTCGAGGATGACGTCGATGAATGTCGGACGTCGACGAAGATGACGCGCTGCCAGCCGCCAACCGAATCAGGAAGTATCCCTTCTTTCGGACATCAGCCACAACGCCACACTTGTGAAATCTAGATTGACTCAGCTCTTCTCGGCCTGGCTGACGCACGCTATGGATGAGCACACGTGTTGAGAACAATAGCTGCTCTTGCGGGGCCTTGTGCCTCTGCAGTGGCAAGTGGCTCATTCGATCAAAGCGATCTGCTCGCCACTTGCCGGAAAGGGATTCTGCCGCCGCTTGTTTACAGAAAAGGGTGTATTGTTCAAAGCGTCAGTGCCACTTGTGTGTAAAGCCACCTTCAAAGCGCGGGCCCATCGCCTGGATACAGTGGCCCATCAGGCGTCCGGACCAAGCACTCGTACACAGCCGCAGAGGTATAAAGGCAGGTCCCCAGGCTCTGCAGTCCTTCAGCACCCTCTTCTCCCATCTCCTCTCCTCTCCGCCTTCTTCTCTCTGTAAGGGTCGCAGACTCATCAGTGGCCTCGAGTTTGCTCCGCGCACTCTCACAGGATCTCCTCGCCACCTCTACCTGACGATTGAATCAGGAAGGGACCTTCCTGATTACGTCGTCCGGAGAAGTGTGCGATGACGTCTGAGACACCAGCTCAATATATGCCAGTGAGCCGCACCGCCAGCCTTCCCTGACGATTGAATCAGGAAGGGACCTTCCTGATTACATCGTGCGGGAAAGCTATTCGGTAACGGAACATTAGTGCATGGCAAACTTGGTACCACACGCCTTTCAAAGTTACCTTGTTGTGTACAAATGGTTAGTACGCCTTATCACCGTGTTATATGCTGAAAATATCTTCGCCGGTAGTGTTCCATAAACCCGAATCGGTGGCACTTAAATCGCAATCTTGGTGAACGAGATAGAAGACATGTCGTTTGTAATTTCCGAAGATATCACACGCGTGGCCTGTCCTGACGATTGAATCAGGAAGGGAGCCTTCCTGATCAAATCGTCAGGTGAGTTCGCGCTTTTGTGGTGTATCGGAGATTCGTCCTGCGTTTAAAGACACGCAAGGTAAGTTCTTGGTGCTAGGATGACTGTATGCGCTAAGAACACACCGACTCCGTCGTATCTATGACGTGGTCGGCACCCATCTCTTTGATATCATCGATCTTGCTCTTGTCGTGAGTGAACGCGTACACCTCCGCGCCCATGGCCTTGGCGAACAAGACAGCATAGTGACCGAGGCCACCGATGCCGATAACGCCAACCTTCTTGCCTGGACCAGCCCCATGCGTCCTCAATGGCGAGTAGACTGTCAGGCCTGCACATAGCATAGATGAGGCGTGCGCGGACTCGATCCCCTTAGGAATTGGGAATACAAAACGCTCATGCGCACGGATTGCAGTTGAGTACCCGCCTTGGGTGACAACGCCATCATCATACTCGCCATTCTGTGGAATATACACGACGATCAGCTCTTGATTTGTAGCATATAGCATGGGTTGCCTACGTAGGTTTCGATGCTCTTCGGGCAGTAATTCTCATAGTCGGTCTTGCAAGCGCGGCATTGAAGGCAGGAGCCAATTTGCGCGCCAACTCCAACACGGTCTCCAGGCTTGAATTCAGTCACTTTGTCACCCACGCGGGTAACGTGGCCGACAATTTCGTGACCAGCAACGAGGGGAAACTTGGACTCGCCCCAGCCTTGAGTCAAAGTGTGCACGTCCGAGCCGCATACACCGCAGTGAGTGATAGCGATCTCAACGTCCTCTGGTTGGAATGTTTTGGGCTGGAATGATATGAGCTTCAGATCGTTCCATTCACACCGTTCTAAGGCATGGCGAATAGGTTAGAGACCCTCAAAGCGATATACTGCCACGAAGACATACCGGTGAGAGCGTAACCTTTGAATTCGATTTCGGGCGACATGGTTCAGCTGGAGGGTGTCGAAATTCGAGAGAGGGTGAAAGCTCGTAGCTGTGGGTTGGATGTCTTATATAAACGCTTTCTGTGACAGCGATGACAAGCAGGAGAGATGACCTATGACGAGGGGATTCCTGACACTCATCCAGCGAGAAGCATCCCGCTCGGTGGCCGGCACACCGTATCAAGTGGAGCAGCTCTGGGAGACAGCTCGGCCGGCATCTGGGTCTGGATATCCAGTGTCCTGGTTTGCGGGAGCAAAGAGCAATAGTGATCACGCGTCGCGCATTCCTAACGAAAGCGCATGCAAAGGGGACACTGATGATATGCGATTTGAGAGCCCTGACAATTTGGCTGTGAGTATGCCAGAGGATACGGTGTTTGGCCGAGGACGTGCAGTCAAGCCACGGTGGTAGAATGATGGGTGACGCGCTGCAAACCTGGAATAGTGGGTTTGACCACAATGGCGGGTGTACACGTGTACGAACAGCGCGCGTATGACCACAGCCCTCCCAGCTCTCCGGAAAAACGGAGATCGAGGTGTGAGCGCGAGATTGAATCGCGCCGATCGAGACGCGAAACATCACGTGCTCTCTATTCAGCACCGCGACTGTGGCACCTTGGAACTTCGGCCCTTTACCTTTCGATACTAAGTGTTTACTTGGATTCACGCTACTCTGCCTTCTCTCTCTTGCGCTTGCGCTGTTTTCTATGCCACCGCGACGAATCGAGAACATTGATGGAGACTCAGACTCAGACGTTTCCATCTTTGATGACTTTGACGATGGAGGCCGTCGCAAGGGCAAGGGAAAAGGAAAGGCCATTGACAGGCGGACAAAAGACAAAGCAAAGGCAAAGTTGAACGAGGTAGGTGAACAAGCCTTGTACTTTACGAGTCAAACAATCACAAAACATCGTAAATAGCAACCATATGCATGGGAGGCTTCGTACACGAGATCATGGGATACAGTTCAAGAGGACGAGGGGGGAAGTATACAGGGCGCAGTAGAAGAGCTCATAGCCCGCGGGCGGCGTAGACGGTGAGATATACCTGTGGCTGCTACATCCACAGCATCCTCACATATGATGACGCTTGTCAAGGCTGCTCGCCCCTGCTTCTGCAATCCGAAGAACGATCATCCGCCACCTTATATTGCTCCTGGATCTGTCATCGGCTATGATGGACCGCGACATGCGACCCACACGCTTTGACCTAATGCTGCAGTATGCGCGAGAGTTCGTTACGGAATGGTTTGACCAGAATCCACTGGGCCAGATCGGCGTCGTAGGCATGCGCGGCGGCATTGGGGAGAGAGTCGGAGAAATGACTGGTATGATGCCTTTAGTGAGAAGTGATGATTATTGATGCATCCACCGTGACAGGTAACCCTCAGGAGGTTCTCAAGGCCATATCTGAACGCCATAAATTGGAGCCAAATGGAGAACCAAGCCTACAAAATGCTATTGAGATGGCGCGAGCTAGCATGAGGTAAGAAAGAGCATGAGTTGCAAGGGACGCCCGTCTCATCTTTCCAGTCATCTTCCTACCCACTCCTCCCGCGAGATCATCATCGTATTCGGGTCACTAACGACATGCGACCCGGGCAACATCCATGACACGCTCAATGACTGCGTCAAAGACCGCATCCGCATTTCCGTTGTCGCGCTTGCCGCCGAGATGAAGATCTGCCGTGAGCTCTGTGATAAAACCGGCGGTGCGTCCTGTGTGCCCCTACCCGCACCTGTCTCACTTTGCCCCAAGACAGGTCAGTTCGGCGTAGCACTAAATGAAGGGCACTTCAAGGATTTGCTCTTCGAGCTCATCCCGCCGCCTGCGCAACGCGCCGTCGCACACACCGCAGGCGGGGCGCCTGCAAATCCGGCCGCTGACCTGATGTTGATGGGCTTCCCGACGCGCCTGCCAGATACTTCACCGCCAAGCCTGTGTGTGTGCCATTCGCAGCTAAAGAGCGAAGGCTTCCTGTGCCCGCGGTGCCTCGCGAAGGTGTGCGACGTGCCGACGGACTGCGACATCTGTGGGCTTATGATCGTGAGCTCGCCACACCTCGCGCGGAGCTACCACCATCTGTTCCCGGTCAAACCGTACCAGGCTGTGTGCGTGGTGGCCCTTCGTCCCTTGGCATACTGACTCTGACACTCTAGGCCTGTGTAGGATGTCACTCGATGATGCTGCAAGCGCAGCTCCGAGCTGCCATGGCTGTGCGACCCTTTTCAAGGAGACTCCATCGGCTACGGCTAGTGAGGGTATGAGCCCCTTAGGTCGTTATCGTTGTCCGGAGTGCCAGCATGACTTCTGTGCAGACTGCGATGTTTTCGTCCACGACGTCGTGCATTGTTGTCCTGGCTGTGGGAAGTGAATAGGACCGACCACGGGCCGCATGAATCGCCTCGAGGTTCGTCTCGTGAGAGAGCACAAGTGTGACTTCATATCTATGAAGCACGGAAGTGTCCACCACGGCGCATCGTGCACAAGACCATCAGTTTCCGAGCCCGATCATATCGCGGAGGTGTTGACGCCGGTCAAGGGAATCCCTCATGCTGCGTGTGTGTACGCCTCGAGGCCGACGATAAATCCGCTGAGATTACGCGTATCCGCTGTATCTGGTATATGGATGGTGTCCCTGGTATGGTGCATAGATACTACGTAGAGCAGAACACAGATTCGTCACACAATATCGCGAGCTGCGTCCGAGAACATGCTACACTGTAACGCTCCGATTAGCGATGTGAAAACATAATTGAAGGAGTGTCGAAAGCGTGATGTCCGATACGATGCAGATCATTCGAGCGGGTTTGTACGAGCCGCCTGCCAGGGATGCAGTCAGTACTTACAACACCGCACGAGAAACCAACGAGCGCACCTGGTGGTCGCCTCCCCGGTCTGGGCCCTCACTGCAGCCGCACAACCACTCCGTCCACCATCGCGTTTGTGCCGGCGGCTCCTCCTCTTGCTGCGGTGGAGCCACGGTGGGTGGCGGTATTGGCTCCGGGGGCCGGTTCGCGTGGGGAGTCTCAGTGCGGGGCGGAGGGGTACGCGGCCTGGGTAGGTCTAATGGCTCGGGTGGAGGCGGATGTTTCGAGGAAGAAGACGACGCCTCGAGCGTCGACCGTTTCGCCGTGGGAGTGGTTGGCGATGCATCGTCGCCATTGCCGTGGGGCTCAAAAGGGTTCATAGAGGAGGAGGCAGTCATGATGGCGGGTCGAAGATTATTGTTGAGGGAGAGGGTGGAGGCGGCAGGAGTGGCGAACGGGTTATCACCAGGTTCGGGGGATGGAGCGGGGGTAATGGCGGGGCTGCCCTCAATGTCATCTAGGGGAACGCCGTCCTCTGCTGTCCGCACTCTGTGGTGTGCACCGACGCCGCCCATGGATGCTTGTTTGGCCCGACCGGATGGCCACAAGAGGCTCGCTCTACGTGTGATATCACTGACGAGTGTGCTCCCACCGCTGGAAGTCATAGTAGACTGACGGGCTGCCTTCCGCCGTTCTCTCTCTGCGGTTTCCCATTTTTGTAGATTCTGTTAATGCAGAGGACGCCGTAGGAGAGCGGGAAGTGGGGTTAGAACAGAAGCTCAATACGGCGGGCTAAAATCAAAAGCCACTCACCTCTTCAATCCTCCGTGATTCAGCTTCCTCCTCTTTTGTTGGGGGATATCCGTCGGCCCCAGAGAACTCCTCTCCCTCCGCCTCGTCGCCCTCCTCTTCACTGTGCAATGTCTCCTGGTCGCTATCCTTCTCCTTGCCCTTTCTCAGGCCACTGCTACTCTCGCCGGACGAGCTCGCTTCGATCCATGCCCCAGTGCGAGAGAGATCTTCCTCATGCGGTGAAGAGGGTAAAGGAGGCAGAGTTGCCGTCGACCCCATAGCCCGGTAATGCGACAGACACAGTGGTTGCGGGGTTGTTGAGGCCAAGCGTGTAGATCAGACACAACTGAACAGGGCCGCGGGATCAATTCCTTGTTATAGAAATATGCTATATCTCCGATCGTATCTCGAACATGCACTTGAGATTTCGAAAGGCCCCCTTTGTATCTGCCGCCGCCTCACGGATGTGTCTCCTCGCAGCGGCCGGCCGCTGAGTGATAGTCACTTCATTATACTTTTCATTCAACGTAGCGGTAATCTATGATAACTACTTACAACGCGACAGTATTACAGGATAGGGAAAAGTTGAACCGACAAGATAATGCTGTGTGATTGGCAAGAGAAGAAAGCCAAACCTGCGCTAGTGAACACAGAGATTATCCAGAGTAGCGCTTCCCACCCCGTTGCATGACGGGAATGTCGCTACTGCCTCCCGACACATCCTCCGAGTCTATTGCGTTGAATCGCAGGGCACTAGACCTTGTCATACCGCCCCCAAGCATGGACGTTTGCGAATCGGCATACGAGGAGTACCTGAACGGCGATTGACCCGGCTGGCTTCTTGACGACCCGATTGCGAACGATGGGAGAGAATCCTGCGCAGTCTTCTGCATATCTATGAAATTTTGTCGCAGTGCGTGCTGTAGAGCAATAGTCAGGACATGGATGCCATACACGAAGACACGTAAGACAGACCTGCTCCTGCCAGTACAACATGCGCCTCTCGCGCTCTGCCTCGCGCTCCTTTTTATGGAACAAGAATAAAGCTATTAGTGTCGCGAGTATCCCTGCCACAATGTCAGCAGTTTCATCTCGGCAGAGGTGAACGCACGCACCGCCGCAGGAGCCCGCACCGACGAGAGCGTATACCCAAGTTGCAACATGAGTCGGGGTGTCTGTCCTTGGGCCACACATACCGGAAGCGAGACAATTGTACGTCGAACACCTTGTGTCATACTATTGGCTTCATATTACTAACCGTGCACTGCTTGACTTACTCTTTGTCCGCATTACAAGTCACACCAATGACCTTGGTTTGCAAGCAATGCAATTTCTGCGAGTCGCAATACAGCCCCACTTGACAATTATCACTGGACCCAGTTCTCAGTTTCCTCCTCACGCAGCCTTTACAACCTACAGACTCACCGTGACACTATATCCGCAAATTCCTTGCCATTGTGCCCAAACGCAGCGAAGGCGGTATTCTGCACAACGCATGTGTCACCTAAGGAAGCATTGGCCCACCTGAGGTTATTGTGGATTTAGTGACCCCAGCTGGCATACTGCTCAGGCATACATGCATGAGTTATTCAGGCACACGGAGCCGTTCACGTTTAGACCAAACCCGGTATGATCAGCGAGTTCTTTGTGATTCGGCGGCCCTTCGCATTGATCTGTAGGCGTTGCGTTCCCCGTCTTTCAGGTGCCGTACAGCGATAACCTAAAGATTATCTCACCATCTCTATTGAATTGACATGGGCTTCCAACAGGCGCCACAGACAGACACATGCTGCCCTCATCAGGACAGAATCTGCCAGACCCACAGAGCGGAGGGAGCGAGCTGCCAGACGCATATCCGAAAGGAAAGACGTCCTTTCTGCAGCCTTTCAGTTCGCAGATGCTGGCAGGAGAACAGTAGGTCACAGCGTCGCACTCCGAGTAGAACTGATAGGTTCCAGAGTCTAGACGTTGGTTGCTGACGGAGCAATTCCCCCCATGCTTGACTGTTCCAGCAGAAGCGGTGCTGAGACCGTACGAGAAAGCGAAGAAGAGACACGTTATCGGAAGCATCTTCGTACCACGTCTGCCGCAGGACCACAAGCCACACAACGCGGAACTCCAGAGATATGGTTCCTCAAAGTGGGGGATACCAACACAAGACTTCTGAGACGCTAGATATCTAGAACTGTGGCGAGGGTGTCGTCCATCCATGAACCAACATTGGGTGTAACAACCACGTGCGGGGGCGGCACAGTGACAAACCCTGTCAATAGGCACCCCGGCCAACGAAAGCAAGGCCCAAGTCAAGGGCTACTACATTCGACAGGAACTGCGCTACGATCGTCCGTCGATCGACACGTTGTGGTGACTTGCCGGAGCGTTCTTTGACCAGGCTGGACTTACACAGACTCAAGGAAGCTGTAGCATTTCGACGCGATGCGCGAAGAATATCTTTAATACGAGTGTATGCACGTATCATATTGTGTCTGACAGGGGCCACTGCAGGGACGTACCTCGCTCGGAAAGTTTGAAGGAAAGTGGGCATAAGGGTGAGCAGATTGCATCATATCATGAGCACAAGAGGACATGCGTAGACGGGCATGTAACAGCATCTTGGCTTGAGCATCCACGAAGCGCTATGATGAAGGCCGTGAAACCATGCGCAGTATTAGCGACGTAGGCATCTGCACTCGATGGCAAGGCAACACTTCTCTTGCAGACCTGGGAGCTACAAGAACTGCCACATGAGATCAGACCTTCCGTGGTATACCACGAGCGCTGCCAACTGATCGAGTGGAGGCCGATGATGTTGATCTTGCAGTCGTTCCTCGTACTCCTCGTGTGCCGATGGTACTCCCACTCGCAGCTGGAGCTTATGATACAGAAGGTCGACCGGGTCACATGCAACCGCGTCATTGTATAGCGAGACTCACCAGCACGAGGCACTCCCCGCATTCCGCGCATGAATGCCCTGGTACCTCTCACTCCTCTGACACCACTGCCTCTTCCCGCCTGCTTAACCGCTTCATTCCGTTCTCGCTCGAGTCGTTCGCGCTCTTCGCGCTCCTCGTGCTCTTTGCGTTCTTGCTCCTTCCGCTCTCGTTCTCGTTGCTCGGATAGTCTGCGCTCCTCCTCTTCGCGACGCGCACGCTCGATTGCCTCTTGACGTTCTTGCTCGATGATCTCCTCGTCCTTGCACTCGAATTAGCGAGACAAAAATGCCGTGCAGTATGGTGGCTCACCGCTTCTGCCCCTTGCCAACGCTCGTCCATGATCAGCCGAGTGACATCTTCCGACTTCGATAGAATCCTGACATATTTGTCCAAGAGTGAATACGTATGATCCAATTGTATCGCCACGCGCTGTGGGGTTATCTCAATCCACTCTCCGTTGTAGGGCATGCAGATCGAAACTAACCTCTGTACTGGACTTGGTCTCCCTCAAGGCTTCTTTGTACACATCAAACGCTGAATTGAGCTTCTTGAGAATAAACAGATCGTGCTGCAGTTTCTCCTCGCGCGTCCTGGATGCCAGTTTCCTCGCTTTCTCTACGTCCTCCTGAGTCATTGTCTCATCAAGCTGTTCTGTTGCATCTGGATCGTAGTCCCCATCGGCAACAGCGCTGTCGTCTGAAAGGTCGTCTTGGTGAAGCGGTTGTGCGAGGAGACTAAATTTCGGCTTGCGCGATGGGCCGGGCTGCGGTCGGTCGGAAAGCGATAGTTCGGAGAGCGAGAGGTCGTTCCCGCCTGGACCAGTACCTGATAGGCCAGAGCTGGAATCGTGAGATAAGGAGGGTTCTGATAGCAGGCGGGAGCCGCTGTGGAAGTCGTTGAGCTCGGAGATGTTAGGCGAGTCCATGCTGCAGTGATCGACGGAATACAAGTTCTGTGGTGAGGGCGAATCCGCCCCCGCGCCGCGGAGTTTGACGCGTGACCACGTGCATTCCTTCTTGAGCAATCGGAGCTTCAACAATTCGACTCCCTTGCTGACCACGCTCTGGTCTGATTCTTTCAAGTTCACCTTCACCATTGCCACATTATAAGCTGTGCAGTCCTTTGGTCTCTTATCATGTCGGAAACGAAGAAGCGACCTCATGCTGCTGACGACGACGAACAATTACGGCCGAAGAAGCGGGCTGCCAGTGATGACCACCGTTCATCCAGTCGGCCAAATGGTGTCGCTGCGCATGGTGATGAACCAACTGACAGCGACAATCTTGAGGTATGGTCGCTCGCATTTGATGGCGTGGACCGGCCAATCTGAGCGCTCGACTTTAGACATTCAGGAAAGATGCCATATTCAGGAGGATGAAGCATTATGCACGAGAATACGAGAGAAGTGAAGCGAGAGTTGCTGAGCTGGAGCGAAGACGAACTACATGCGAAGCTGGTTTGGCAGCACTTGAGGCCTCCTGGACACAGGTACATATACTAGTTTTGCTTCTATCACTATCCTGATGTCCGCAAGTTTCTTGGTACAATTCGTCTCCTGATGAAGCCGGACGACCTCAAGCCTCCTGATGTCGATACTGAAGGTTTGTACTGTCATTTCAAGCAGGCCAATCCTCCCTAACTTCACATACCTATAGATTTGATCGACTTGGTATCGCACGTCTCGGCAGACCCAGACCAACGATATGTGGACGCCCTACGAAAGAAGATGCAGGAAACTTCAGAGCTTGTAGCCGGCTTTGTACGGTTGGCTAGCGAAGTGCATATAGCGGCAGTCGATAAGGAGGCGTACAAGGGATGTCAAAAGGCGCAGACAGAGGTACGTTCTTTGATGTCTATCATGTTGCTTTCGCTCATCACCATAACATGAAGAGCGCAGCCTTGCGGTCTGAATTGTCTTTCACGCGGACCAGGCTGCGGGACGTGCAACAGGAACGCGACGAATTTCATGAAGACCTTGTTGTGGCGGAGAAGAGGTTGGATCGGTTGCAGAGCAAAATCGTAGCGGTTGTGGAACGCAAGGAGACACAAGCAGAGACGGAGGCGGAACCATCCGTCGAGTCGCCGCCCTCCCCAGCAGTGAGTGGTCCGGTCAACTGGTGGGAGTTTGAGCACTTCTGATTTCAATGCTTTCCCTGACATTGAAACGGCAACAGCCACAGCCGCAACAACCGGCTTTGAACGGTCACGCCGACGATACTGGTGAATGGCGCGCGATCGCCGAGGTTCGCGAGAAGCATATCGGGGCATTGACGAAAGAGGTGTCAGACCTCAAACGTCAAGTTCTGGACCTGAGAGCAGACGTCAGTCACCTGCCTTTGCCACATCTAGAGTAGAGTACTGAGTATTGCTTTCAGTTGCAATACCCGTCAGAGGAGGTGATCGCATCAACTGCCTACTGCAAGACCTTGCTTGTCGAGGCTGAGGTTTTGAGGAAGCGGCATCAAGCTGACGAGGGCGAACTGCAAGTCCTTCAAAAGGAATGCGATTCGTTACAGAAGAGTCGACAGGAACTGCAAGATTCTGCTGCAGTAAGTCATGTTGTTCATGCGTGCTCGTGTCGATCCGACACCGTTATAGGCAGCCTCACATCAAGGTTTGCAAGAGCTCAGGTCAATGCTATCAAAGAGGAACGACGAGAACGCACGACTACGTGAACAGCGAGATCAACAACAAGCTGAGCTCAGCGAGCGCAAGCACAGGGACCAGGTCAAGTTGAACTCGCTTCACGAGTACAAGCACCTTGCAGAATCACGCGCAGTATGTGCATAGCCTAGCTTCCGAGTTTTACATCAACATTTCATGGCATAGCGTAGGAGCGTATCAAAAGCCTCCTGTCAGAGAATACAAGGCTGAAAACGCGTCTTGCCGCAAACTCTGGCGACGAAGACGTGTTCTCATTCTTCCTGCAGCTGGATTCTCAGATTCTGTCGGTGGACGACGAACACATACCCTCATATTTCGCCGAACTGAAGCAGAGGGCTGCGTGAGTTGTCTATTCCATCACTTTACACCAAGCTAATACACAAATCATCATCTCCAGCGTCGCTGAAAGTCGAGTGGCTGCCCTGGAAGCTTCCCTGGCCCAGTTGGATCAGAAGCATCCCGATGTCGGTCGACATCTGAAGCTTGAGGCAGAAGTGCGAGAGCAGCTTGCGCAAACTCAGCAACAACTGCAAAGGTACCAAAGAGTGTACGGCGTGACATCATCAGGCCTCCCTCCTGACGCGCAAGATCTGGCTGAGCGTTTACGGACGAAGGAAGATGAGTTGAGGAGATTACAGCTATCAGAACAACAGCGCGAGAAGGTTAGTGTCAATCTGGCTAAGTCATAGTTTTTTGTTAATTCGTAGACATATAGGCCGAGTCGGCGCTATATAACGAGTTGGCACAGCTTTCTGCTGCTTGGGAAGGCCTAGATCGACAGGTCAAGAGTAAACTTCTCGACCTTAGTGGTATGGAGGAGCGATTGACAAAGAGCAACCTCGAAGTTTGTACCTCTTCTCATGCAGTCGAGTTTGCTGTGCTCATCAAGTTGCAGAAAGTGAAGTCCGACAACAAATTCTACTCGGCTATGCGGGACAAGGAGTCGGTGGAGACGGAACGCAAAAACTTGTCGCGTACCATGGAAAAACAAGCGAAGGTCATTGAACGCTCTGTTGAGATCGAGAAGGCTCTGAAAAAACAACTTGTGAGCATCCAGCGAGTGTCATCATGGCTGTGACCTGATCCCGTGTGCAGCACGCCATGACTTCGGAACGGGACAATTGGCAGAAGAGAGCCTTGCTGGAGTACAGGGAGAGTCATGCAGGAACCCGCACCATCGATGACTTGCAAAAGCAAGTGAGCACTATGCAGCAACGCTTGGAAGCTGTGAGTGATTGCCAGCCATTGTTAGTCTGCCGCACGAGTTCTGAACCAAACGATAGCTGAAGGACAATGCATGGGCCAAGGACAAGACTGTGGAGGACAGGGCTGCCGCACTACGCAAAATGGAGGAGGACGTAGCACGTTCCAAGGCAGAAACAGAGCGTTTGCAGGCGAAGTTAAAAGCGCAAGTATCATATCAGAGCGCTAGTTCGGGCACGAGAGAAGCGCAACTGCAGAGTGAGATCGATAAATGCATGGTCAGTCATTTTCTCGATTCATTCCTTACAACAACACGCGTTAACGGTCTCATGACAGAGCATTCTGAAGTGCTCTACGTGCAAGCAGAACATGCGGAATACTGTGATCACGAAGTGTATGCACTGTGCGTCCAATTTATCGAGTTTCCTTCGAGTTACTTCTAACCGGTACATCACAGCGTTCTGCAAGTCATGTGTGGAGTCGCGGATAGCCACGCGTCAACGCAAGTGTCCTGCTTGCAACTTAGCATTCTCTCAAGGAGAGGTCCAGCAACTTTATTTCCAATGATTGACTCTTGTAGATGTCCTTTTGCATATGTTATTAACTTCGTGTTTCGCTTTGGCCGATCCAGTGTACATGGATTTTGCATACATTCACTTCTCCTTCCTTCGCTGCTGAGTACTCTTCCTCCTCTGGGTTCCTTACGCTATGAGCACACTACTGTTAAGTGTACATTCAGTGATTTTGCTGGTTGTGATCTATGTGGCATTAATGTGTGGCAAGTCCTTTGGTCTTGTGGCGAGCTGGACTTGTTGATTGACCAATCACTACGCGTGAGAGACATGTTAGGCGCTCCCATCGGTCCGTATAAATTTCCGCTGAAATTCTTTCTCTTCACCATCTCCTGTTCGTCGCGTTCATTGTGTTCCTTACCTTGCTTCCCTGTAGTCTAGTCCGTTGGGGTCGTTCTACACAAGTTCCCGACCATTCATTTAGGTGAGTATCAAGCTCTTACCCATGGATTTTCGTTCTCTTCGTTCTCGCGTACCATGATGAACATCTATCACATTATCAAGCTCAACAGTCTAATGGCTTCTATAGCCAGTTGATGACCCAACTACTTCTGCAATGCTGACTTTCATATTCCACTTCACTTCCGTTTGTTAGTCCTATGTTACTGACATGTCGATTTCTGCCCAGTTCCGCCAAACTATGCAAGTCACCCGTATGGATATCAACTTACCAATGTTGCGATATTTAGTCTTTATCTTTTGTATTTTTTATGGCGTGCAGAGTATAATATCAATGTCCAACGTTCTCTTCTGTCCTACGAATATGCATCGGAGGTGTCGCTATCTCATGTGTGATCAGGGTAACACGCGTCGTAAGAGACCCGACGCGTCGTAAGGGATTCAACATGTTGTAGGAGATCCAGCGTCGGGCACTATAAATCACTGTTACTGCTGGGAACAGTCTTAACCTCAAGGTCAATGCAGAATACAGGCACTGTAGACAACATGTACACGATGGCTCCGAAGGGATCAACGCTTGACCCAAGTGTACTGTCGCGGGTGATGAATGGGTATTTCGAAAAGACGATGCGAAATACCGGACGTACCGCTTTCCGAGCCTTGGGTCTTCCAGTCTTTTTTCTCTCGACCATGCGCGGGTCGCGCCGCATGAGCTTCGCTGTGAACGGAGTTTATGGAGTAAGAAGAGACCCCACTGCGAGATTCGGTGCATTCACCTCTGCGGAGGAGAGGTTCTACCTCTGGTGCGTGTGCCGAGAGAGCCTTCGCTATGCCCAGGCTGACAGCGCCGCTCTGGCCCGAGGTACCCCCTCCGCGCACCAATGCGAAGACATTGTAAGCACCAACCAACCCAGCGATTTTGAACGGCCGTACGACACGCTCGCGGTCGGCGGGGATGGGGCTATGTGAATTGAAGGTTATTGCCGCACAGCTTGAGGAGTGAAGCATGCTTACAAGTATTGAGAGAGCGGTGTATTATTAATGAGGATATTCGTAGTTGTAACTGTTATGGGCTTGAGCGGGCTGTCACTCATTGCCGATGTAATGGTTGGCGTCAACTGTGGCAAAACATCCTCTGCTGCTGCCTTCTGCGACGTCGTGCTAGAAGTCGACACGTCCGTGGACGTCTCGGGCTTCTGCACAGGGATAACCCATACACGAGCCGCACTCTCCTTTCTCCGACCTACGGTGTAGCTGCGGCCATGTTCGTCGAACTCTACAGGCTTTCTCTTCCCGCGAGCGAGCACGGCCTCCTTGTTCTCTCGCTCGAAGACTTCGAGCACGCCGGCAACTCGATCGGCCAGCATTCCCACCCCGGCAACGTCCGCTATGCGTCGATAGCTGTCCAGTTGATTCAGAAGACCCAGTAAGCGGCGGTAGCGAGACGTGGTCAGAGGAGCGTTCAGCATCTCGGTCAGCCCGTCCTTCGTGATCCATACATGATGACCAGGCGGGATCGAGTGGCGAGCAAATGAAGGGAGAGGCAGGAGCTGAAGTTTCTGGAGCGCAGAGCGAGTGTGCTGAATAGCAGTCTCAAGACCATTGATCTGGTCGTAGTACGCAGCACGGCCGGTGTAGAAATTGGGTGACTCCGGGATAGGCTTCAGCTGTACACGGCGCCGTGGAAGGACATTTTCGAGGGAGGCGGGAGGGACATACGTAGTCGCGGTCGAGTAGGTACGAGTACGAAGAGCAGTCCTGGCGACGCTCCTGGCGACGTTCATGGCGACGAGGACAGGAGGGGCGGAATAGCGGTGGTGTCACCGCAAGGCCAGCGAGCTCTTCCAGAGGGTCGGCGACAAACTCGGTCAATTGGCGGTCGAGCACAATGGGAAACACCTTCCTATTATGGTCGGCACTGTATTGCACGCCGTCATACACGCAGCTATTCGCACTTTACAGTAACGCTCGCATTCTCGCTGGTCGACCTGTCTCCTTCCTAAGGATCCTCGAGCTTCTATTTGTAGGAGTTCCAAGAGCTTTACATACTATCTGCGTCTGCAGCACTCTTGTCGCGCTCTCTGAGCCAATAGCAAGCCGTATACCACTGCTAGCATGGCTGGAGCTGAACAGAACTTCTCTGGTGCGCTAGCGACATGGAGGGGTGAGTATTGCAGAGACACTACTGTTACACCTAGAGCTCAGCAGGTTTATTGTTATTAAGACATTAACTTGTCCGAACTTCAAAAGACGCTGGATGACCAAGGCATCGAGCTAGTTGAGAACCAGAAGGAGAGCGTGGTTGGCCGCAAGGCTCTCGCAGACCGTACGAAGGGTAAGATTATCAGCGCGAGCCTTCTCAGCGGGACTTAACCACCCTGTTTGAAGAGTTCAAGAAGACACCGGATGAGGAGAAACTCACGGTATTCAAGGGTCTGTTGAAAGGTGCGCATAATCATTACCTCGTTCCCTACTAGACATATCCATGCAGGCTTGCTTCTTGAATCCAGCCTATCAGACCGAGATTGATAGTCTCACGAAACGATCTAAATCCGCCGAGAACGCGTTCTTGAATGTCTACAAAGTCCTTGCAGAGGCCCCGGATCCATACCCCCTTCTCGAAGTGGCCGTTGTATGTTTATCAAATTGCTGTGCAGATATATATGAGCCCACGCTAAACATCGTGATCGTTCTCAACTAGGACCAAACCGTGAAGGTGGCCGAGGCTCGCGAGCTTGAGGTGGAGCTCCAGAAAACGCGGGATGAGAATGCTGAGTTGCGCAGGCGCGTTAACGAAGCCGCGTCACTGGAAACGGCCAAGAGGAAGGCTGATGCGCGGATTGAACAGCTCGAACAGAAGGTTGGCTCTACTGATGGCACTAGATGTACATACTCACGCACCCCACCGGTAGATGGAGGAGATGATTCAGGAGAAGGTCACCCAAAAAGAGAACGAGTTGAATGCCACGTACGACGAGAAAATGCGGAACTACGAGGAACGGTGGGTCATGTCGGTTGTGCACACCCGAGCAAGTCTCAGGCTGCCTTAATGGGGTCATAGGGAGCAGGACCTCCAACGACAGCTGGTTTTGACGAAGAGCCAACTTCGGGATCTCCGTATGTCTAACGAATCCAACCAAGCCAAGCTGTTTGATCACTCGCAACGACAAGGTAGGGAGCGTCGCCACGATATTGCAATTTACTTACACGTTTGCTGATCCTTTACGTAGACCAAGAGGTCGTCTCTAAACTTGCTGAGCTTGACATGATGGTTGCCGACCTCGAGCAAGCCAACAGCCGTGTTGCTACTGTTGAACGCCGGAACGTGCGTACACCCCCCCGGGCAGCGCCACCGCTAACCTGACGTCACGGATATGCAGGAGCTTCTACGAGCTGAGATTGAGGCGATCAAGAGCGGCAATGACCATGCTGATCGGTGAGTTTGTGTGGTTCTCACGTTTGTGTCTACCTGCCGACCGCCCTGTGTCGTACAGAGTCAAGGGCCTTGAGTCAAAGATCACGGACCTTGAATCAGAGACAGACCGATTATCGCGTGCATTGGAAGTGCAGAAGTCAGCCACATTGGACGCCCAGGCCGCGGCTACTCGCAAGGTCGAAGAGTCTGCACGAGAATTACAGAAGAAGGTTGGTCTTTAAATTGTATGGATCCGGCGTGAATAGCACAGCTCATGCGCATTCCCAGTCTGGCGAGATTGATCAGCTCAGACAGAAACTCAAGCAGTACAACGACTATGACGAGATCAAGCGAGAGCTCGAGATCATGAAAGTATGGAACCCTCTTATAATTAGCATCATGGTATACCGATGCTCGCTTCGTAGTATGTCGAGTTCGCCGGATTGGAGGAGGAAGATGACACTGAGGGTGCCAGCTTGAACGGCAACGGTGATGCTTTGGGCCTACAGCTCCATCTTCCAAATCCAAATGCAGACAAGGCTAATGCACAACGCGGGAAGTCTCTTGAAGTCCTCCTGGCCACGAAGAACAAGCGCATTCTGGAGGAATTGGCGAAGTTCAGGGTATGTTTCCATCTAACGGATGGGACCATATCCGCTGAGCAAAGTGTGATTAGATCTTGCATGGAGAGCTGGAAGCATCCCTCCAGGCAACACGAGCAGAGCTTGAGGCGACTCATTCAGAGCTTCAGAAGCAGAAGGCGCTCAATGATAAACTCGAGAACGATCTCCTCCAGATGGACCATCGCAAGTCCAATGGAGAACCGAACGGTATCCCAAGTACCTCCGAGTCCACGACTGCCGGCTCCGCCGATCCTCTATCTGGTCTCGAGTTGGGGAAGAAAGGCAGCGTGCGTAACATTCCGACCCTCACAGATCCCGACTGACGTATAGATTATATAGGAGACATCTGCGAGAACGACGCCAATACCTTTCGGATCCTCTGCTGATACCTCAATATTGCCCATTGTCACCAGCCAACGCGATCGATTCCGGCAACGAAATGCTGAATTGGAGGAGGTAAGACTTCCTGCGCATTGGGGTCGATGCATATACTGATGAAAGTAGGAGCTGCGCAAGCAATTTAATATCATATCCGAACTTCGTTCTGAGGTAGTGCCCGTTCTTCCGCGGTGCTATGAGCAATCTGACATGGAAGGCAAATTTGTAGATCAAGAGTCTGCAGGCAGACAATCTTAAGCTATACGAGAAAGTTCGGTATATGCAGAGCTATCGCGAAGATGCCGCTGTCAGACCGTCGACTTTGGACCCACTGCCGTCCAGTGCGACACGCCCAGACGACATGAGCAGATATCGTGCTCGATAGTCAGTGATATTTATCGACATCGTTGGTCCTTCTGATGACTAATGGACTGTCCTGCTACCAGCGAGGAAGCCATGAACCCTTTCCAAGCCTTCCGTGGAAGAGTAAGTAACACATCCGTGTACAATGATTTACGAGGAGCTCCACATAACTTACGCATGCTACAACGAGCAGGAAGCAACGCGAGCTTATGAGTCCCTCAATCCATTGGAAAGAGGTGTGCTGGTCTTGACTCGGGCCATCCTTGGCAACCGACGAACACGGACTGTCTTCATTTGCTATGCTATTGCCCTTCATGTGCTTGTAATGATCACTACCTATGAGTGCACCATGTCGTCTGGGTCACAAGCACAACGACAGCCCAGTCCATACAGTTCATGATGTGCTTCCCTGACCCATATACATCTGCCTTTATTTCGGATTCCGGACTTGTATGGCATGCTATTAGCTTGTGGGACTCCTAAATAGTGTACCGATATATGCGGTAGTCTTGGAATAGCAGCATCCGACTTCACATGTTATAGTCGTATACACTGCGTCATAGCGACTGAAAAGTACAGTAAGTCCCAAAATATCCGCAATAGAACCATCATGTATGCGTGGCCAATCCCACACGATCCGTCAAGGAATGCAACAGCAATCACTATATACCACCGTGGGACGCCGCCCAGTGGGATCGTCGTTCGCGTAGCACCGCGAGGAGTCGAGGCTTGAAGGAGGGAGGTGTTGTATTACACAGAGGAAGAGGGAAGCTTGAAGGCCATGGATTCTTGTCGATGAACGGAGGGGGTGGTTGCCATTGGCTTCCCTCCATGCATCTTCCGCATGATGTTTTCCCATCGAGGCCTGTTCTTCTCGGGGTCGCGTCTGAAGAGGAAGATGGCGGACAATAGAACCGACTGCAACGGAGACTGCGTGAGCGATGACCCACGCGTTCGGATGCATATGGGGAGCTCACGGAGAACGTCAGGAGTGCCAAGCAAGGGAGGATGCCGACAAAGTCTATGATCCGGCGTGAGCACAGCTTGTACGGAAGGCAGAACGTCTCTGGAACGTACCTATGTCTGCGCCTGGGAATGATGGAATCAAATCATCGTCAGCAGGCTGTGCGCGATCAGGCGCGGCAGGAACGCACCAAATCCAGATGGTGCTCCGGGCATTGTGCCGCGCAAGGACGTGAAAGCGAACAGAGTGGCGACCGGCACGACGAGGATGTCTGGCTTGATACCCTTTCCAAAGAAAATGACGACGATGCACGTCATGATAAATGCAAGGGTGACCATCCCTATGGGACGTTCAGTGGCGGAGTGACCCTCGGCAAAGAGTGCACACGTACAGATGGCTACAACGATGAGCACCGCATACATGCGTATCACTTGCCCTCGCGTCACTTCCAGATTCTTGATGAGCACGCCGTTGGATGCTAGACCAGAAATCGAGGTCTCAAGCGCAGCGTTGAAACCACTGCAACACGGTCAACCTAAGTTGACCCGGACGGAGAGCACAGCAGACTTACACGGCGATACCCTCGGTAAGGTCAATGCCTATGGCCACAGTGCTGTTATCCAGTGCCTCTGCGAAAAATACTAGCGTCGCCGAATATCTTCGGCGTGTCAGCACGGTGCTCATGTAAGGTGATATATATAGACGTACTTGTCGAATGGATATGACTGCGCGGAACGTCCGCCGTAGAAATTGGTAATGGCTACCTGGGTCCTGAACTCGGGGGAGCTGGTCCGAAAGTCGGAGTTGTTCCAGGTAATGTAGTCGGTGCCATTGAGGAAAAAAATAGGCGGGGGCTTCGCGTTGTTCGCGACAGAACTTAGGCTCTGAGCACGCAATAAGTTCCTGTAGCACGGGTTCAGAAGTTTTATGGCGCACGAGCTATCAGACAGTACGTACTGGTCGAAGTAGATGTTGACGTCCGGGCAGTTTTGCGGATTACAATTATATCCAATGAACCAGTCCAAAGTCATCGACTGGGAGTCTGAGTCGATAGAAATCAGGTTTGCTTGTAATATGACCTGCAACACGTCTCAGCACCCACATGGCTGCAAATTCATCAGGTATACTCACTGAGGTGCTCGCTTCAGCTATGTTCTCATCGAGGACTTGCGCGGCGTCAAAGCTACCGAGCCTCAGTGCGAAACCGACCGCGAAGCTAGTCGCCACGATGGACAGGATAAATAAGGTTGAACAAATGATCCAGTGGCTCTCGATGAACCCAAGAGTCTTCTGGCCGGCGTCGCCCAGCCAACTGCGTGCCTTCGACAGCTCCAGGTGCATGAACACGGATCTCCGGGCAGTAGCTTCCACCTGCGGCGGACCCTCGTAATCTGAGTGCTGTGCTTTGAGTAGAGATTCTCCCGGAGTAGGCAACGGGGTATCGCTTGGTAGGTAAGCAGCTAGGGAGGGCAGCTCGGCTGGTAGCGTCCTGGATCGGTTCGCGGAAACCGCCTGGAGAATCTCCTTCTCCCGGAATACATCCGGGGAGGTGGCTGCTCTGTGAGGCGGGTTGTCTGTCTTGCGAGCAGCTTGGTAGTCCAGTGTCGTCATCTGCTCCAGATTGTTCTCCGCCGGTGCCGGATTGCTGGACATCTTCGGCCGCTAGTATCGCAAAGAGGATCCTGGGGCTAGTAAGGAGAAGAACCGTCGCAGACGGCAGACGAAAACGAACGAATGTGTAGAAATGCTATCCCTTCCACTCTTTATGTATGGCGCTCATGGCATACAAAAGAGGATAGTTCTGGGTCAACAACAACGCACAGCTTTGTGCCTACGTTTGAGCACGTTTGAGGTGCGATGACAGCGGCTCCGTAGTATCGACCACACATCTGATCCCGCGTAGTACTGTTGTAGGTAGGCACGCTATCTTTGGGTTCCACAAGCGCAACATTGAGGACCAACTGATAACCAATCGTGGGCGTTTCCTTGATGGCATATAGTGCCTCTGCTGCCGTGCCACACCTACGTCAAGAAACGGGCTACGTGAAGTCCTCTGGCTACAGCGGCCTAGCCCTCCTTGGCACGGTGATCTGACATCAAGGTCCGAAGGGACATTCAGAGAATCTGGACGCGCTCGTTCGGCTTGGAGGCTTGCTTGGACACGGGACAATGCATGATGGCCAGCCGCAGAAGGGTCTCCTCGGATTGACGTGGGCGCTGATGGTTGTACGTTGAAGAGCGGTAAGACGTAAGCGCATTCAATTGACAGGGGCAGGCGATATCAATACGAGCAGCGCACATTGCGGCGGCGGGCGGGAGGCTGCAGTTACAGCAAGTTGTATGATCGCCGAGGCAAACAGACGATCATGCAAATACCGATTAGCGCCAACACGGCACGATCTCGCTTGGCAATAGTCATGCTGGATCCATCATGACATAATACCGCAACATCTTAGTATATCGCAGTGTTAACAGCGAAATTGGCCGACCTTGAGCTCGCGGAATACTGCACGGTGGATCATGACATTGTAAGTATCATATATCCCCGCTGATGTCTGGTGCTCAAAACATATTAAATCGAAGGGAACCACATGGTTCACAGCTACCGAAGTGGAGGCTGGTAAATGGCGTTACATCGGGAATCGCGATCCTTTTAAACCTCCTGACTCACAGGTACTTCTGGATCGTCCTCACAAGCAGTCGCGAAGGGAGGAACGAATGGTCTGATACAATACTCGTCACGACTTGAATCCATCTGGTGGTTGCTTATCACGTATACTGTGGCATACTGGGTAGTCGGCAGACCCCCTCCCCAAGTCGGCAGGCGTGACCTACCGCCAATCAGAGAGCAGGATTCCCCGGAATCTCTCGGGATGTTCGCAATCCGATCAATGAATTTGGCTCCTGGGCCAATCAGGCAAGAGGTGCTGACTTGGGGGGTCTGCCGACTACCCAGTATGCTACAGTACAGGAGGATCGTACAATCGGCTATCTGGGATCGTTGACGGCGGAGGACCATGGACGATCCCGCAACTCGAACACACTACGACGAAACCTATCATTAGTAACATTGGACAACGACAACTGCGATTATAAGCCAAGCATAGGATAGTAGGAAAGTAAAGTAGAATATGAGCTTGGAGTACGCTCCCGGTACAGGGCTTCATTCCCAATATGAGATGTTCACTATGTCAAACTCCTGCGGTATCCAACTCTGTTGCCTAATATTGTTGGTGATGTCGTCCGACCGCATCTCGTGATCAGCAGGTGGAGGACCAAGGTCGCCAGGAGGTCTGGATGGAGGGCCGTAGTGTGAATTGTACTCGCCGTCTTCTATAAACTGAGACGTTGACTGAAGAGACTCGTCGAAGAAGTCCCTCAACATGCTCATGGGTATATTGCCCGAATTAAGGAAGAGAGAGCTGAGCGGAAGCTGCGTAGTTAGTTACTCTCGTTACAGGAACGGGGGAGAGGCTTACGGTGTGATCTCCACATTCGTTGTGAACTGTCCGTTACGTTTGCCCGTAGAACTCATGTCGGTCAGCTCTTGACGTTCCTCCTGCCTCTCGCTGAGATCACCAGCAAGCGAGGCATCGACATCAACTAACCCTTACTTACAACAGCCAAGACCATAATGTACGTACCCGAAGTTGTCTTCCTTCAGGCTCATGAGAGATATAAAGGCTGCAGACGATACTATGACACTAAACTTTCTTAGGCTTGGCATGCATCGATAGGTCAGACAAACCGACCTGATCGTCGTGGCTGAATAGGTAGAAAGTCAGATCCGATAGGAAGAAGCTGGATGTTGCACACCTGGGATTGTAAAGAACACATCCATGATAGCTATCTCAATTGTTTAGTACCACGCGTGATGGCGAACACATTGGATACGCGGTGCACATACGATTTAGCGCAGCATGGGCAAACACCTATTCGAGGATCAGATGAACTAAGCTGTGACCGAGACTGATAGACGTACTAAGGAGGGAACGTTGACGACGACAGTCATGACTAAATACAAAATGCCCTGCCTGTGTATGATGGCCCATAATCGTTTGTTACCCAGGCGGGGTTTTGATCTTAAGCCAAAGAGCGTTGAACATAGGATGACGAAGTCAAAGAAGATAGCTGCGGTCAATGGCTTAGCTCCCAAGATATGAAAAGCGGGGGCGACACGACATACTATAGGCCACGAATATGGCAACTTCATGATGGCTATTCGAAGTCACTGCACCGCACAACGTGTCATTATCTACAGTCGGCTTGACATTCATAACACCGACTATACAGATATCTCAATTTTCATCGTACCACTGGAGCTTAAGTTTCCACTCACCGATGAAACAAATGATGATGTGGGCAATGCAGAGCACCAAGAGAGTATATTGAACCCAGTGTTTGTGCGTCCACAGTGCCCATCTTGAGTTCTTGCAAGTTAGCATCGTGAGATAAGTAAAGTGAATATAGCGTACGACCGCATCAACAAGTTGGCACTGGCGCAGGCATCCGCTATATTGCCTATCGTCTGTGCATGCGTTTCATGATGGTCAAATAACACAGTTTCCATTGTCAGTCACCTACAGAAAGGCATTTCATTCCAACTGCCAGTAGAATCAGCTGCGAGCTACTAGTCATACGAGAAGATATGCCCACTGACTGCCGCAGTCAACTTTAAAAGGCTCTGGGACTTGAGTGATGATAACTCTGATAGGAGTTGAGTTATACAATACGCATGTATGATAGGCACAGAATAACTCACAGAGCCAATAATACGGATAGCAGACAATAGCGACCTAACAGATAAGGTACCTGCCAGTCGTGGAGCGGAAATCATCATAATGCCCTAGATGCGTGATTCGCCACTTACATATACTAGCTTGAAATTCATTTTACGCGTAAGTAGCGGCCATTCGACGTAGTGGAAGGTTCGGAGAAGCTGCCAGCTAAATAGGACAAGTCAAAGCTCTGATATTGATCTATTGATCTACTGCAGTACCGCGGAATACGCACCCGTAGAGACCGAGCGTATATACCAGCATTTGGCTGAAAATGAAGGCGACAAGTAGTACAACATCGGGGTCTTGCCAATGGATCATAGCGGAAATATGCGCCAATGTCTTATGCGGGACACTCGCAGGGATGAGAAGTTAGTTGGTCTCTGTAACACGTCGCAGTGCCTACGGTCGTGTTAGCGCAGAGTTAATGAATGTCACTGAAGCCCATAGCTTGAGCGAAGGCACGGAATGTATTCATATTTCATAGTGACATCGCAATATAACCAAAAGGCCGACAGGCTGCGGGACGCGTCGCACCATCACGGAGATCAGAAGTCGCTAGTCTCGGGCGTGAGCCGAGCCCCTTTCTTGAGCGGGTCTGATACTCAGGATTCGTGAGCGTCTCAATAACCAAAACGTGCATAAGATGAATCCGATTCAGTCGAGCTTGACCAGAATCATGGAACGCGAAACCTTACATGACCACAGAGATCCTTGAAAGATTGGAAGGGCGGCATCATAACATACTCTCTCGCCGTTTCTTGCAAAGGAATGGGCTAGCCGAGACTTGCCTTATGTGGCATAAACCTGCCGGCGATGCTGCGTATTAGGGAAGGCTCTTCTCAGCAATTCCAATAATAATAGATGTCCCTTCACAGATTTCATCTTGGTTATCTCGACTAGACAAAATGCCAACATCGCTGCAAATAACCATCAGCGTACAGTGTCTAAACCGTATAGGTTGTTTTCACAGCGGCGACTGGCGGAATGGCTGTCATGTTATTCCAATCGTTCCAGTGCCATCAATGCTCGTATTCGTCAATCTTCACTTAACCGTCGTCAACTACGGAGGTGATGGTCTCACCAAGCATTCGGCCTACGAATGGAGTCCTACCATAAATACTAGCGACCGCGTGCGACAGGTGCGTTAACAGTCTTTGCGTTGCGATCCCGCCAGAACGTAAGCGCCTTGTCAACAGCGTCTAGAATGGGTTTCATCGCCTGCGAAACCAGGTCTCAGGAGCTAACGACCGCAGAATAGGTGTGGCCTTACCACCTGTACGCGTGCAGGGTCCACACCCTCTTCACGGGCAGCATGGATCAGAGCAGCTACCTTTTCGGGCGTCTTGCCTAGATATCCCACCATCTTTGCTGCCTTCGCCGCTTTCTGTGCAGACGTCGCGGAGGCCAATGTCTGCACCTCGGTCAATGGTGGGTATATCGACAGCCAGAACTGTCGCAGAAACTCGTTTGCGGCGGTCTGGCACGTAGTCATCTGTCGGAACAGCGCGTCGGGTATATCATCTACGCAGAGATCTTGAGACTAACGATCAAGAGGTTTGAGAGAAGAACCGCACTTTTTTGGGTCTTTACCTCAAGTCGCCCGGAAACGTTCCTTGTCATCTCTTGGAGAGCAGCTTCTCCGGCTTTCCGCTCGATTCTCAGCTACAGGATAACCTATCGGTGTGCTGTACTTTGCTGATCTTGTCTCAGGATACGCACCGACTTCAAATTGCCAAACCAGCCTTGCAGACTGTGCTTGACTTCATTTAACACGGCGTTCGCGTCGACAGTCTGTATTACATCGTATCAGAGCCACCTCGGGTATCATGTAGAGCCTTACTTCGCCCACTGGTGCTTGCGCTGTCGAACTCGAGGTCCCACTCTCAAAGTAGCGCTGTCGGTCTTGCATATCTAGAAGGATACCAGCCGTGGCCTGGTTGTCACGGAGGTCTTCAAGATCCAATTGTAACAGATGCTACAACACAGGTCGTGAGATCATCGAAACAACGAGGGTCAGACGTCACCGACATCTGAAGCTTCTCCATTATCTGTTCGTCTTCGTTTTGCTGCGGGTTCGCCACTAACGGCATGCCAACATGAGTACAGAGAAGCTGGTAAGATCCTTGTACGCTTACAGAGAACTCTGGAGCAGCCGTCCAGAGTGCTCGTTGAATTTCCGGATCAGTGGCAGCACCGCTCTCTGCTTTCCTGGCTGCATGGTGACATCTCTGATATTACCGGTCTGATCAAGTGACGCGTTGAGAATGTAATAGTAAGGAAGTGATGTTGAGTGTACCTCTTCGTGGTCTTCTTGAGTGGCGCCAAGGTCAATAAAAATATCAACCCCTTCCTCTCTCAGTCGTTGTGGCTCCAGCTCTTGAACCAAATTATCAAAGCACAAACCCCGCTCAATCAGCAGGACCTACCGTCGTCTTCTCTCTCTAAATATTTGTCAAGAATTGGGTCATCTTTCACGACATGTTGAGCTGCTGAGGATCGAATGGATGCACGATGGGCATTAAACAGTCTTGACTGAAAATATCGCTTCCAAAATTCGGCTTCAGAGAGCTGAGCGTTCCACATGAGTTACGATGGATCGTCGTGAAAGGCACAAGCAGGTTCGTTACCTTCCTTGGAACATTATCGCTATATGCTTTTGCGACGACAGGAAATTCCTCGAAGATGTCATGAACCAATTGAGGAGTGATGACAATTTTCACTTCCCCGTCTACGGTTTGAGGGCGAGGGTCCACGAGCTGACCAGGCTTGCCACGTCTCTGGATCTCCGCAGCAGCTTGCGCGAGGATTAAATGCTGTCACTACATGTGTGAGCAAATGACACCACGTGCAATAAAAAGCGACTACTTCACGGCCCTCCCAGAATTCATTCTCCGTGATGTGACCTCCCATGACAAGCTCGCGATGCAATGCCGCAAGCTCTGGATTGCCTAATAGCACCTTCTTACGAAGGCGGAACTCGCTCGTCGGGTCACTGACGGGCGTCGCGGACGCCCGACCGTCACCTGCAACGGAAGCAGCCCTTGAATGCGGCGTTCTCGCAGCTGTGACAGGTATCTTTGAAGAGGCTGCATTGATAGAAGTTGGCACAGTTGGTGTCCCGGGCGCGTGTAGAGTAGGTGTAGATACACCACTTCGATTCCGGCTTATGATATTGGTCAACTCAGCTTTGAACTTCTCGCGTTCTACCAGGGCGACTGGCTGCGGTGACGTGAAGGTGAAGTTGTGACCTGCGTCGTCACCAACTAATCCGAGCTTAAGTCGCACTTGGCTAGCGCCTTCTTTGCTACAGAACAACGCTGAAAACATAGTATCGCAAGTTCAAACGTCGGCATTGCAGCATGTAGAACTCTGACAGACTGACATGCAGCTTCTGCATGAGGCACTCTGACAGTAGGTGCTTTCTTTCCGTCTTGTGTCCATTGGAGATGTGTGCTGGTGAGTTCAAGAAGACCAAGAGCTTTCTTGTAAGAGACTTTGGCAGTACAGAGAGGAGGCATCTGTGGCGGACAGTCGCGTCGCGCGGAGGGGTTAGGTAAGCAATCCCTTGTCCCGACCCACGTGCCTCGCGTCAAATCTCGCGTCGCGATCACCTTGAGCGCGTCTCGAGTCAGTCTGCCATTTTGCACAACGCGTTTCTGGGGCTCTGGCTTTCCCGCTTTCTCGTGTGTTGGAATCTCACAGGTGTATATCCATGTCTGCGCCCATATCGCGACAGCTCGTCGTCTTCGACTTTGACTGGTGAGCCCTATTGATGTACCACCGATCCCTGTCATTCATACTGTGTGCAGGTCTTTAGCAGATCAGGACTCAGACCGATGGATATTCGAAGTGCTCGCTCCTGAATTGCGCAGAAAAATGAAGATTCTGAAGAAAGATGTGCAATGGACCGATCTCGTGTAGGAGGATGTTCTACGTCTGCAGTCACACGTGTGCCCAATCAGCAAATTCCAGTGCATCTACTCTGCGGGAACTCCATAAGAAGGGCGGTACACGAGAAGACATTGAAGGGGCACTGCGAAAGATGCCATTCGTCGGTATCTCCTCGCTCGTGCATTGGATTCGGCTAATCTCTCCGTTCAGCACCCGGCCATGGCCCGTGGGGTGACAGACCTCAAAGCTAGGTCTAGCCCGCAAACGACGTTTCTCTGTCTATCAAACGCGAACGTTGTTTTTATTACTACCATTCTCAAGGTGTGGCATCGTCGGATATGCCGTGAAGACATATCTCATTCCCTCGTTTCCATAGGCCCAGGGCTTGGATTCTCTCTTCGAAGAAATCATAACAAACCCCGCTGAGTGGGACCCGTCCGGTTTGCTCAAGCTACGGAGAAGGATTGATCCAGACGGTCCTCAGCACCAGTGCAAAGTGGGTTGCAGCCCTAACATGTGCAAAGGTACCGTGTGCTTTGTTTTCTGCACGGAATTCCAATCTGATATCTATCCAGGGGATGAGCTGGAAGCCTTTTTGGAAAGACATAAGCCCGCATTTGATCGCGTCATATACGTCGGAGATGGATCCAACGACTTCTGTCCGGTGTTACGTTTGAGAAGGTGCGTGCTGTCAATGTCACCCCCTTCTCACCCATTCATTAACTCAATTTTGTCCAGCCAAGACATAGTACTTTGCAGGCGGCACCGGGGCTTGGAGAAGCTCATAACCCCCTTTGAACAAGAGGGTCGGCTCAACTGCCAAGTCCGATATTGGGCCGGTGCTTGGGAAGTGGAGGAGATCTTCAAGCAATTTTGACCGACTATAGGAACGTCTCCATCTCGACCGCACACCGCTCAGTCATGCTGCTCACGGGACTTTGCGTTATCAGTCGCGCTGAGAGATGCATTGTCTGTCTGTTGCTAGGTACAGCCGATTGGAGTATACATCATGAAGGCAGAAAGTTACATGGCGAGTCGAGTCCGCAGACGACCGACGCACGAGAACACCGATAGGTGACGCGTACGGTCATGAGCAATAGTGACAACACGCCCGGTGTGGTCAGTTATAGTGCGGGACGAAATTGGATGCAAGTGGGAACAGACGTCAGTGATATCGGGGGCCCTTTTGGCTGAACGGAAAGCAAAGAACAAGGATACGAGTCAAGAACAAGATATATGCAGCGTACGCGAAGTCGCTTATTGTGGCCACAAGTCCATGCCACTCTTCCTACGACTGTCCTTTACGCTCGCTTGTCCCTGAGAGTTGGGTAGCGAGTCTGTCGCGAACGGATTGCGCTGCTGACTGTTGTTGTTGTTGGGCGGCACGGCGCCGTAGAACGACGGTGGAACGGCGTGCGCCGGAGGCGCCGGCTGACGAGTTGCGTTTCCGTGTTGTGTGGGGGCTGCTGTCTGGTTGTATGGGCCGAACTGGTCAGGTTGCATGGGGACGTAGAGGGTACCGATGTCTGTCCGCCGATCGAGTGAGTCAAATGGCGACGTAGGGGTTTGTTGCTGCTGTTGCTGCTGAGAGTACGTTGCGGCGAAGCGGTTACCCGTCGTTGTGGAGTTACTCGCGTAGGTTTGCGGTGGACTCGGAATGACGTTTGACGTCGCACTAAACAGGTTGTTTGAGGGATCTGCTCGCGCCGCGGACCGTACGTTGGACAAGATGGCCTCTCGCCTGTCCTCGTCGACAACCATGGAGTTCGACGGATAGTGTGAGTGCGCAAGGCTGGACGTTGGCTGCTGTTGCTGATAGCGCGCCGACGGACCCGAGTGTCCCCAGCTGGTATAGCCCTGCGCAGCCGCCAGCTCCGCCTGCTGTTGCAAAAATTCCAACTGAGGATAGGGTTGCGCGGCCGCCGGCTTACCCGCTTGTCGGCGCTCCCACTCTCGCATCGCGTCATCCCGCTTGAGGACAGGTGTCAGTGCCTTCCGCCCGCCGATAACGTCCTGATTCATGTGCTGCAGTCGCGCCAACGCCGGAGGTATATTGTCCATCATAGGGTTGATCGTGTTGGAACGGTTGCGGGTGCCAGAGTAGTACGAGTTAGCCGGAGCGGTGGGGCTCATGTGCGCTTGGCTGCCAAAGCCCCCGCCGCCGGCCACCGCGTACGCGACGTTGGTGTTGACATTCAGCTGCCCGTGCGAGCTTTGGTGAGTAAGGCTCCGGTGGGATGTCTGCTGCGAAGACGACGGGGCGAGCTGCTGCTGGGAGGGGAAGCTCGCATGTGCGGTCGCATTCGCGCTGGCATTCTCCGGCGGACTCGTGTAAGTCGAGTTTGTTTGCGAATTCGTGGGCGTGATGTAGGGATTACGGTACACATTCTGTGCCGCCTGTGAAGCGGCCTGGGCCTGCGCGGTATATGCCTGATGCTGTGCGAGATGCTGATTGTACGAGGCCGCATCCTGATACGCTCTGGTGCCTTTCGGCTGGGACGGTACCAGACCCCCGTACGGTCGCTTCGGATCTGGGCCTGTACTCGCCGGCGGGCTCATTTGCTGCGAGGGCTGCCCGGCAGGCTGCAGAAGATAGTGCACTGCTCAGAGCATTGGCGCGGATAATCCGAGAATCACCCACCGTCCACGGCTTTGACCATTTTTCTCCGGTGATGAACGGATGCATTCTTGCCTGCTGCGGCGACCACCTTTCGATTGGGTTCATATTGAGAAGCCCTTGGCAGAAGTCTATGAAGGAAGCTCGGTTGTTCATTTCTATCCAGCGACACTTCAGCGACCCAACCAGATGTGGTATAAATGACCGGGCTGCCCACCTTTCTCAATTTCGTGGGCTTGCCGCGGTGAAGATTTGAACGAAGGCATCGGGGCTTGCTGGATGATCTCCGGCAACGAGTTCGCCTTGAAGTATTGCTTACCCGGTTGCTCGTTCGTACTGTGCTCCCTCGAGTACTGCTCAAGACTCTTCAGCTTGTACTGCTTTTGCCCATAAACATCCACAGTGCAGTTGAAGAATTGACTCGTCTGTTTGCCCATGTCCAACATGTACTGCGGTGGATTGCTGGATAATTGTTCAGCGGGAGAAGACAAAGAAGTGAAAGCGGCGGTGATCGCACTCACCCAAGCATCTCTACTATTCGTGTGATTTGATTGTATTCGCTCGTTCCAGGGAATAGCGGCAGACCCAAGAATAACTCGACAGCGATGCAACCTAACGACCACATGTCGATGGAGGCGTTATACGGGATCCCAAGCAGAACCTCCGGTGACCGGTAGAACCGCGATTGAATGTACGTGTAGACAGTTTGCCGTTCGTGACACGCCGAGCCAAAGTCAATGACTTTGATTTGCGGAGACTGAAGCCTGTCCACGCGGCGTTAAGTGCCCGGGGGAAAGAAAATATAGATCGAAAATCCACTGACGATTTTAGGAGAATATTCTCCGGCTTCAGATCGCAATGAATAAGACGTGCATCTTTCAGGACAGTCATGGCGTCCAGCAACTGTGCGGTGAACACCTTTACCAGCTGAGTGCTGAGACCTTGGAATTGATTCTGCTTGATGAGCTCGTAGAGGTTGGAGGACAGCAGCTCGAACACCAGACATAGGTGGTTCTTGTGTATAAAAGAATCTCGCAATCGTAGGATATGGTGCTCATCGTGAGGGTCGCATTGGTTGTTGAGCTATACGGTATTTTTATATAATGCATATGGCATGCATGAAGAGGCAAATGAGAGGGATTGGTGCTCACCAGCTCAAGAATTGTAACCTCCATCATACTCTGATTGAAGTATGCTGGCTTGTTTTTGACAACCTTAACCGCAACAATTTCATGCGTTTTCATGTTCTGACACTTGACTACTTGACCGAACGTCCCTTGCCCTAGAATGTCCAGAATGAGATACCTACTACAAAGGACATTAGCTGACGACCTTCAGAAGGACGTTGTTTATGCTCACTTGTGACTATCATCCGTGCCCAGCCAGTCATTGACATAGAGGATATAGTCGTAGTCCTCATTATCGAACCCTTCATTGTGCACAGGCTTGCTCGGTTTTGTCAGGACACGCCGCGGGTTGTGGGTCGACTCGTATCTGAATTGCGGGTTGCATATGCGATACGTTTCGATAATGTTCGTCGTGAGCTGCCTGATTGGCTGTGGGAATGATACGCCACGGCCGACGACGATTAGCAATCGCACAAGCAGATGCCACGGAACTCACAGAAAGATACACGCCAGTGGCGTCCATGCGTCGCCCGGCCGGCTGCGGATCGACGTGTGGTCGCAACTCACGGTGGTCCTTGATGCGCCGGAGGCCGGAGGCACGACGCTTGGGAGGGGGCGCCTCGACCACCATCGGCTGGTGTTCCTGCGCGAAGAATTGGGGGCTCTGCGAGGTATGGCCATAAGACAATGGTGTTGCCGGCTGTGACACCGACGTTTGGCGCGCAGAGCGATGCGCCAAGAGATTCTGGGACGAGGATGGAGCAGGGCTCGTCGTGTCCATGGGGTACGGATGCGAGTACGACGACTGGGTGTTCGGCGAGTACGTCAACGGCGGGGGGGTCAACGCCTCGCTCTTCACTTGTGAATGCGAGCGCGAGTGTGTCTGGGACTGAGATTGGTAACCACCGGGGACGTATGTTCGCTGCTGCTCAGATGAGGGCGAGTACGGATAGGGCGTGCTGTTCGTGGACGAGGGGTACTGGTTCTGCTGAGGCGCGTACGGATCAAGCAGAGAATTGTTCCCTGCGGCGCCCCGGTGCGGGGACCGCTGCGCACGGGAAGACGTACTTGCATCGTGCTGAGTGTGAGCCCGTTTGGGTGTGCCGCCGGCGTTCTGGTAGTAGGAACCGCTGTACTGCTGGCCAGTCCCGGGGGAGGCGCTGTCGTCAACAGGGGTGTAAGAGCCCTGCACTGCGTGTCTAGGATTAGAGTCTCCGTCAACATGGAATGCGCCTTCCAAGTCGTCCTGGAGATGGCGCCGTCCCCGTGAAGCCGGTGTGCTGCCGCCAAGCGAGAGACTACGACCAAGCTGGCTATTGGAGGAGTACGGAAGAGAACTCATTGCGTACTGCTGCTCCTCGCCCACCAACTGTGAGATGCGTGGCTGTCTGGACGACCCGCTAGATGAATGCTGGATGGGCGGTAAACGGTTCGCGCCGGCTTGAGGTGGTCCCTGCGCATACAAATACGATGCCTGGGCAGCAGTTTGAGCGGCCTGGGCAGAAGAAGAGAGGCCGTCGTGGAGAGTCTGGGTGCTCCAGCGAGGGAGATCGAAATCGTCGTTCGTGCCGGTCATGTATGCTAGCGTCTCGGGCTCCGACATATGATATGACAAAAGCGGTGTTGCAGCGAGCTCTGGAGGGCAGAGAGCGCGAGAGACGGCGACGACGATGAGGACGAGAGGGTCGAGGGGCGTGTGGACGGAGACGTAGAAGACGTAGAGGACGAAGACGGCTGTGCGGGAGGGCCTGGTGGATGTGGCCCCCGATCATGGAAGGGGCGAACGCCGAGCTCACGCCGCGCACGAGCGCACAGTCGATTTGAGGGCAGTGGCTCCGCTATCGATATCCTACATCCATCATTTCGTTTCTGCTACCACTACTTATCGTACTCAAATCGTAGCACAGCTTGGCGACCAGCTACAACATCTACTCTGCATTGTCACTGCAAGATTATATCGCTTCCAAGCCCGTTCATCTGCGGAATGACAGACAAGCGCCGCCGTCGCGGTCATTGGGTTTGGGGTTGCTCCATCTCCTTCAGTGTTTCAAGCAGCGCCTTCTCTACCGCGAGAAGCAGCCGAGCACCCTGGCCTATAGAATCGAAAGCTGGTGGAAGGTCGAGGGACAGGTATATCTGCTTTCCAAAGCGCCTGGCTGCATGGCACGCGCGTAGCGGTGGATCAGCAGACCGGATGCATGGTTGACCAGCAGCATGGCGACAAGTTCAACAACCGCAGTCAGCGTACATCACTGACAGACGACCAAGCGAATGCATCACCCAGACGCTGCGCCATTGGCAGTGCGGCGTCAGAACTTGATGACCGGAAGAGCGACGTCGCAGCAGGTGGTATACCACTGTTCGACTTGTTTGATGAGTTAGTGCCACTGTCCGGCTAATACAAGACATGGAACAGCGGCCGAGTGCGTGTTCGACTGTGTGCACGGTGTACTCACATCTTTAGTGGGCATGGCGCAAGCCCAGTCCTTCGCAAGACGGCCCTGCAACGGTGCCTTCCGCACATCCTCGGCAGCTACGTCGGTGGTGCCTACCCAGAGCATGTAAGAGCCGACAAGGCGCGTGACCTGGACAGAAATAGCAGGCAACGAGAGATCCGATGGTGGAATATATTTCGTCTCGACTTGAATATGAGGGGCGGAAGACATGACTGGCAGAGATGTGTGATCGCTGCACCGAGCAAGGAGACCACTGCGGATCCTGCCGGGCCGCGCCTGGTTTGCCATATCAGGGCATCCCCCGACGCTTCATGCCGAAACATTAATTTATTTCACGACCACCATCCTCCGTCCCAATGCATCAACAATCCTATACGCATAACATAGACCCACGAGATCCAGATGGGAATGTGAGATGCTATGCCCACGACGTCATCGTTCCCAAGCTTGTGAGCCACACAATTTTGAATCCGAATCGGTGAGCCCAATTCTTTCTGTATAGCAGGCCATGAGCACGTACTTACCACGTTATGAGAAGAGAATTCTACCGCTGTAAAGCGCCTGGCTGCAGATTCTTCAGTTGAGTCGCAATCTCTGCTACACGCGGGCCTTCTCCTAATCGAATCGCAGAATGGGCGGACGACCCTATTTTCAGGCAACCATTGCCTCCTGCCGCTGGGTCGTCAGGCACACCATATGCCCATGTCGTGCAACCTGCGCCGGAAACGCCCAAGCGACCCTCGCAGAAGGAGCGTGCTGCTTTAGCTCGAAAACCTTCTACCCAAGCTTCGCCTGCCAAACGCCCTCGAACGATCACCCCTCCACCCACAGACGGACCTCATACATCATCCGCTCAGGGTTACTCATCCCGCACTCCGATTGGACAGCTCCGAGAGCGACTTCCGATGACACTTTCCAGCGCGTTCACTCCCTCGCAGAAGCAGCGGCGTAATGACGCCATTACAGCTGCTCTTGAGGGGCCCACTGGCAATGGTCATTGTTCCTGTCTCGCGGACAAAGACATCGCCCAAGGCACGCCGCAGAGGATCTTTCAGTCTAGCTCACAGGAACATAGCTACGTTCCTCGCGAGCGATGTCCGGGTGCTGAAACTAACACCGGCCAGGCACATCACGGAGACTTCAATTTCGCGGCAGCACACCCTCCTTTACGAAATTGCACTCGAGCGGATGACTACGATTTCAGCCCAGAGCCTGAGTCGCCACAGCCGTCCTTATACAGCACGGGCATACAGACGTCTCCCGTTGCGAGCACCTGCGACATTGCGTCACAGTATTCACAATACGATCCCGACTATCCTCCGCAGGAAGTGCTTGACGACGAGCATGAAGTTGCGCACGAGTTGCTATCCTCGCGGGCCGACGCGAGTGTTTATGGGACCCCTTCTTCCACCCCTGTTGTTCTCGAGGAAGACTTCTCACTGTCGCCGACTCCACGGACACCAGTCTTGGGCGTCGGTCGTCAGGCACATCCGCACGGCACGCAGAGTACACACAGCCACGGTCTGCCGACACCGCCGCAGAGTAGCCCGCTAGGTCTCGACATACTCCAGGCACCGTCCAATCAGCCCAGCGAATGGATGCCTATGTCGCCGGCCCGTGACAAAGGTAAGGGCAGGGATAACGGCATACCCTCGAACCAGTGGCGAATGGTCGTCGATGATCCAGTATGTGTATCTCATCGCACCTTGTAACGACGATATGAATAGGCGTGCAACAGGAGAACCCTTTTCAGGAGCATGCTCCTAATCTCCAGCCTTCACGTTGGGATTCGCAGTCCTCATCACTATCACAACAGTCTGAGAGGCCGACGGCCACTACAGCCGCCGGGTCTCCTTCGGCTGATACGGTTGCGTTGCATCTAAGGGACCTTGCAGGCGTGCCAAATGTCATGCGTAAATATGAACGGAAGCAAGCAGCTATGCAGAACAGTCTCGATATTAAGGATAAAACGATCGACGACTTGCGAACACAAGTAGCCCAGTGCGTCATCATTCCGCAAGGTTCGGCATTGTCTACTGACCTCATTCGTCCGACAGGTTGCAGGAAAAGAACAGGCGGCTGGAACTTGACCTGGAGACCTTGAGAACGAGGCGATAACATCCCCATCCCATCCCCTGTCTGAACATCGTGCTTCATTGTATGCGTTTCTTGCACCGTGTGCGCCAGTTGTTTCAAATGTTAGCATTTGTATCTTGGATCCCATGCCGTACTTCACGAGCCTGTTGCCTGTTGTTTGTATTATCTTGTACGACCCACTACCCCACTACCACCTCATGCTCGATCCTACGCCATTTCCCTAGCGAGTCACTACCGTTGCGAGTTCACGGTTCATGGTCCGTGTTATCGTCGCGCCCCCCACGCGTTCCCTCCCAATAGATGCTTCCCCCTGCTGGTCATATCACTGCATCAAGAATGCAATGAATGCCTCCCTACAACAGCCGCAAGGACAGGGAAGCAGGCCTGCCAACCAGATTGAGTAGCGGCGTCCCCTTCTGTATGCTATCGCAGAAGCATGGTTGCAGCTTCGGAGAACACATAAGCATCACAAGACGTGCTGACAGAATACTGCAGAATCGTACGGTAAACGTGGCAGATGGCCTCATTGCCGCAACAGAGAATACCTTACGTGATTGATAGAGGCAGCACTCCGACTGCCATTTGTCCTAAGTATAAAATGAGAGCGTACTAGGAGGTGTCCAGGCCTCCAGCTGCCATCCGAATTTGAACGATGGACGTCCGATGGAATGCGGTATTCGCCGTACCCTGAGGGCGTTTGTATAAGCGACTGACGTGAACCTGTACCACAAGGCCGGTCATCATCTGTGAAATGATGAGGATCAATGTACCGCTCGGCGGCACTGCGATCAAACGGGGAGTCGGACGAGCTATTTCCAGGTACGAAAAATCCCGCAAGTCAATTAGCATATGCACACAATGATGGGCAAGACCCGGATGACGATCAAACCGCATGTAGTACATGTAACAGGCAACCTCCCGCGCCACATCTGCCTTGGTCAGCGGCCACTTAACAGACAGTGCCTCGAAGTGGGACGACTCAACGAACTCTCTAGATCGAAGACAGGTCTACATTTCAACTTGCCTGTGGACGCCGTTGTGGTCCGTGCCGCATGTTGTCGCGGGTAACAGTAGTCAAGCACAGTTCGGCTACAATATGTATTTGGCACCAAGTCAGACAAATAGCGGACAATTCCAGTAAACAGGCTACATGCCGCGTGAAGTGTTTGTGCCCGACACGAGCGGTGAGCACGTATGACGTATGACTGTAGGTGAGATGGGTCAAGAAGCATTCTGCTGACGCTGCGAGAGCGGCCCTCGATACTGCCCCCCCCTCAATTATCTGTTGCACAGCAATTAGCCAGGCTCATTGTGTGCCCTTCTCGTTGCTTTCCATTTCACTACGTCGCAAACGTCATTTACGAGATGAACACCGATGTCAAATAATGGCGACGTCTGGTGGGCAGGTATGTCTGATATGGGTTGAAATTCAGGGTACAAGAACGAGCCACAACATTTACGCCACCGGAGTAAAGACATACTCTAGTCCTTTTGGCAAATTCTTCCTGGAACCAGTAGATTAGAGACCCGTGCTATGTACTGAAAATTATTTTGCACGCCGTTGAATACAAATTGTTCGGCTATCTGAAAGTTTGTTGTCTAATGGGTCAATGTCTTCCTGCGGTAGTGACGCGATGATAGAGGCTAACGGCGAACGAAACACCGATCAGTAAGCGGGCCGAGCAAGTCGGCTGGCAAGACATACCAGGGAAATGGTTCGTGCTTACTGAGCGCTCCCGCAGTGTCAATCCTAGCAACTGGTCACTGTGACGCAGTGGTGCCAAAACTGCCACAGTTGCTAAGTGCTGAATAGCGCATGTTGACGGGTTTGTCGAACTCAGCTACAAAGCTACCAATGTTGGTAGACAATCGGGCCTCATGGCATAATATAGCCACAATCAGTGCGTCATCAGACCCTGGAAGGCGCACCTCGGCGCAGTACTTGTGTTGATTTGAGTCCGCTCTCTGCCTTGCAAATGCAGACAATGCGTTGGCGGATCTGTGAATGGGCAGACCGTTACTGCCGGGAAGTACTTCTACAGTACCCAGGTATCACAGCCTTGAGTTTAGCGATTTCACGAAGCCAAGTTGGCAGCTACAGGAAAATGAGTCAGAGTGAATCGGTACTTAGTATGTTAACATATGGGATGATCACGGAAATAAGTTGCGATCTGAAAGCGAGTAATTGCATGATTGCAGTGAAGATGCCTCACATCTGGGCGGGGTTTGTAGGCATCGAACACGAAATTCGCATGTCTTTGGGCATGATTCTAGGGATGGCAAATAAAATTCTGTGGTGACTGCCTCTTACAAACGCGACAGAGTATCATTAGCACCAATACAAGGGTATGTGCCGTGTGAACGGGTGACGTTGTGCATTTGCATCACAGATATGAGTACATCGCTGTGGATTGGTGGTCAGAAGGAAGCGGCGGCGGCGCGGAGCTGTCCGTAAATTGTCCGAGCCAATGTCCGAAATAGTTCAAAATGAGCCAATTGACGGGCAAGTCGGAGTAGGACAGGAGATGCAGTGGATAGCTTCGACGTCCGACGCGCGCACCAGGGAAAGGGCGTGCTGTAGATAAGAGAGAGATGCCGTTACCAATGAGATTAAACAGCAGGCTGATCGGGTAACGCCGAACCATGAACTAGCAGAAGATTCTCTGCAGCCAGAGCTTGAGGCGTGTCCACCAGCCACCTTGCCAACCGTCCTTGCGACGCTTGGAGCTAATCCACATTGTCCCTGTACCGACCTTGATCCGTCTGTCCTCCTCTGGCAGTCCCCCTTCCTCGAGGTCGTCGGTTCGCCTGGAAGCTTCCTTCGCGGTGAATCGCGGTAGTGTGCTACGCGTAATGAATGGAGGGAAGACGGATAGCAAGGAGATGAGCTCCTGATTGGGCAGATCCGGCGCTGTCCATGTACGCATGTATTCGTCTGAGTCGGAAAATTCCATGCCGGAAGACGACAGGGCATTGAAGCGCTCACTGTTCAGCCTTGGTGTGACGGGTGTGACGGGCTCATCAGCAAGGGTGGAACCGGAAGTCGATGATTGAGCCGTGGTGTTGACGGAGGAGTATGATTTCGACAAGACCGGCGTGTCCACGAAAGGATCGCTTGGAGCTCGTGGTCGCTGCTTCTGTGTCGTGGACGTGATTGGCGGGAGTTTCTGTGAAAGTCCTGTGGATATGTCCGTAGGAAGGGGTTGGGATTGCGATCGAGAGTGGATTGTGGCGAGCGGTGAAAACGGCGCATAAGGAGCGGGGCTTGAAAGCGAGGACGATCGTTTGCTGGAGGAGACTTCCTCGAACGCAAGCACCTGCCAGATGCGACATTAGGTTAAGGCGAGCTACGCGAGAAAATATATTTCCGTACTCCTTTGAGAACGTCGATTGCTTCGAGCATGAAATCTTTCCCGCTGCGTGACGGGGAAAGCCGAGAGAGCATAAGTGTGGCTGATACGAAAGTGAATCTGTGCACTCACGCGGCTTCCTTGTACACCGCGTCATCAATTTCCCATTCGATTCTATTCCCTCCAGCTCCTCCAAGGTGTTCTGGGATCGCTTGAAGTCGCAATACCGCCCAGAGGCCTTGGAAGAAAGGCGTCGTGCCAGGCATGCCCATGGTGCACCATGTTCTGATAAAGCGCTCCAGCCTATCATAGCGCTCCTTCTTGGCCAGGTTGCCACCAGGATCGGATCGAGAATGTGGCATCAATGAGCCCCCGGGTTGCGTGGCACTGAGGTGCGCCTGGAACTCAGCGTTTCGACGCGCATTGACGCTGGCGTGATAAGCGGAGCGGATCGACGCCTGAAGTCTCGCAAATGGTGCCCTTTGCGACGGCGGAAGAGTGGCCAGCGTATGCGTCATTGCACGGCCGGCGTGATCATTCTGTTCAAAATACCTGGGGGCCAACATTAGGTCCGTACAGGACTGGTATAAGATGCACCTTACCATGCTCTGCAATGCTCCGCAAACGCCTCTAGCTCGCCTTGGACAGGGTGCGAAGGCGTCGCCGAGCGAGCGTGGCCAGAGGGGGGAGGGGTTATGCCCCTGCTTCTCGCCCTCGAGCGGCCATTGAGGGTGGGTGATTTAGGTGATGTGATTATGGATGGGGATACAGCTCGAGCCGTAGAGACCACATATGCCGAAGATCCATTGTCAAAGAGTGACTCAGTGGTTTCATTCTTACTCGAAGGAGATGAGGATCTGAGATTGTGAGTGCGGATTGGGAGAGGGGGTGGGCGCGAACGCGGCGTTTCCAGTCGGTAAGAGGGCGCTGACATAGTTTAACGGGGCTTCAGAGCATGGAGTCGCTATGCAAGAAGTACGGAATACCCAGCGATATCGTGTGGTCGTGCTCGAGGTTCACCGAAGTGGCGTATAATTTCTGCCTCTTGTGTTCGCACGTACAGCACACTTAGCAGGATGTACGCAATTCGAGTCTGCACAAACAACGTCCAGCGTTGTGAGTGTAGCGAATTTCCGGGTGTAACGAGAGCAGGTGGCGGGGAGGCAGAGGTTCTGGCTGCAGCACTCGGCAGTGTGCAGCTGAGAGGCGTCGCCAAACCACAAGCTCAATTGATGTTCACGTGATCCGTACTCCAAAAATGGTCACCGGTGGCAACTTCGTCAAGTCTCGCACTCGACGCCCGGTAGACCATCGACCTGGAGTACCTCGAGTCTACTTCAGTATACGAAATGACGACGGAAAGGCGTCCAGCACTTCTGCTCACGACTTCCCTGAGCCCTCCACTGGCCATGTGAGTTTTGTTGTCACGGTACTTGCTGACTGTAGGAGCACTTCTTGCTCCAATCGGGCCAGAGATGGGGGTGGCACCGCGGCCGCCATTCAGCTCGAGTGGGATGAACCTGCGAGCGAAATATCGAGGTAGAGCTGATCTTGGTATGCGCAAGTTCTGCCGAAGATGTCTACTCAGCCTCGGCAATTTGCGCGAGTGCTCGGTTCAGAGAATGCAGGTCAAGCATGTCAGCTGGAGCATGGCAGTAAGCGTCCCGTCTATCCCTTTTTCGAACCGAATGGGGATCTACGGCGTGAACGCTACGATGGTATGTTGCACGTTCTTTTGATATCGCCGATGACTTCCGTACACCTGGCCCTTCTGCCCGGGGAAACATGACCTCAGATTCAGCACCTATGACCTTCAATAATACTATGTGGTGTCCAAATCATGGCGAGTTTCTGTCAGACTCCCGAATTTGGTCCGTCTGAGGAATCACTTACCGCCATTCTCCCCGCCCTATTGCATACAGAAGAGCCTTCTCGGCGCTGCGGTGGAATGCAACTCTCCTCCAGTGGGACTCGTCGGCAATTTTTCGAGGCAGAGGATTTGTCTTCTAGCACCGGCATCCGCCTGCCCGAATTTTGTCCGACACCGCCTTGGGCCGTGACAGAACGCCGATAGTGTCGGCCAATGGAACCCACCTTGCCGTGGGCATACATTTACGCGCGCCTGCAAGATAGACTCCGTGTTGATATACCATATTTACGGACACCTGTAAGTATCGTACACCACTTCGGTGGATGACTTTGCGGTTTCAAGGTATCCTCTCGCGTTTGGGGGTTGCGTCGCATTAGCTGCTGCTGCTCGAACCTACATTTGGTTGGTAATGCCCCTCGTACAGCCGTAACTTTCATCAGTTTATTGTCATTATTTCTAGGTTTGCTTGTACGCTTCTACGGGTGTACGAAACTCAGCACTGTTCCCGCACATGGCAATTGTACATTCGTCCAGGGGCTCACCAACATCAGCTTATGTGACAACCGTTCAGCCGCAAGATCTCTTATATCCGACGGTAACTCTCTTTGGTAATGATTTTCTTCGAGCTGAGGGTTTCCTGTCATCACTTCGAGATTCGAATCGACCCGTGATGCGTGAGGTACGACTTTGTCATGTGCCACGCCGTTATGGTGCGGTGAAACCTAGATCACCCCTGGTCAGCCAGACCACGCCTCAAACTCTCTCGACAGCGGTGGAATCGAAGGCCATGATCACATTCTTCTATTTGATACGCAGTGGTCACCAAAACGTTCGGACGTTTTGCCGTCGCATCCCCCGTTATTGAACGCTGGTTTGCCTGCCCCATGCCTTGCAACACTATTGTGCAGAGCTCAGGAGGGAGTCGAGCCTACCACGGAAAGGTAGTTCCTCCAGTCGCGTCCGAGGTGACACGTCTAGGTAGGCCCTGTCAGCATCGTGGTGGATGCAGAGCCTATCGTACGTCTGGCTCGCCCGTCCGCACCAATCAATCTAATGCAGTGCTATCAATTGTAGATATTCGACATGTCCATTCCGGCCACTCCGTGTATGTCTACCCCTGATTTAGCGGAGCGCTAGCTGCGAATTCGCTGGACACATGAACCGCCATGATGTTACTCTCCTTTGCGCAAACCAACTGTGCCAGCCATCACTTACATTACAGCCTTTCTACAGCCAATCTGGTATACCGGCGGCACTGTCTTCCATGTCTTCACAGACGTTTCATTTCTGGTTGACAAAAATAAGTTTTCGATTTATTAATGTGTGTGGCTATATCGGGACGGTCAAACACCATATCCATGCAAGTGATTGGGTTTGGACTGTGGGTAGTCCGCCGCTAACTTTGGCAGTATGAAAACAGAACAACCATCAATCCCCTATGCGACGAGGTTGGTCAACATTATATGAGGTGGTTGGCAGGTACACCGTTGAGCTTTCTGCTCTCATCCCCGTCCACCCGACGGGCCTAGTTCTCGGAAACTCTTAATGTTCTGTGACAGCCGCCTGGTGCAGATAGTAAGCTCCTTTTGATATAAGGTTATAAAGTGCACATTTGTCCACGGTGCACGGAAGAGGATGGCGTCTTGTCTATACGAATTGTCTCTGACGGTTATACACGGAGGATGCATGGGCAGTCTTGGATGGACGGGTCACAACGGCTGTTCCTGGGCGCCTGGGCAGGCCGCATGGAGTTTGTCGTGAATCCTGTTGGAGATCTCAGGAATCCCAGCCACTGACGCCAATTGGCTCCACTATGTCCAACTCCGGATTGTCCCCCCCATGTCTTCCGTTTTTCATTTCACGTTGATCAAGCTCTAGGTTACTGCATGTTATGGTACCGTCACCCGCCGACGTCTAGATCCGACTCATCGTATGTGTTCTTCAGACGACATGCAGCCCGGCCGCAGACCTGAAGCACCCGCCTGACCAATGAGGACAAAGAAGGAAAAACGTTTCTTCCACTTTGCAGCTTCTTATGGCGGTACTTATATGGAAAATCTGATGGAACCCCGCACCCCATACCGGGAAAGATTCGCGGAAGCAAATGTGTGTGTGTAACCGCGGCGAGCACCAATCACGCTGAGTTTGAATTATACTTGCGGAATCCGGTAACCACGATTATCGTGCCTTGACTTACTCGACTAAGCGGCGCAGTACCCCATGCTGTGAGCTCATCGAGGCAAGTGTTCCTGCATCGATAGAACCACAATGGCACAAAACCGCGACAACCCTCCAAGCGCGCACGCCATACGCCACGATATGTATTGCGAAGCCCGCCTAGTGACAAGAATGGGAAGAAATCCTACCGGCACCGGCGAACCAGACGAGGACCGTGTCGACACTCGAATGTGCTCGAGGATGAGTATGGACTAGCGCGTTCGTCGGCGAGGACGAGGGTCCTAATCAGCACGCTAGCAGACAGGATCTACAGCACCTCGACTGTTCCAACGGGGCACTGACACACGCATGACCATATGTACGACATCGCACTACCTCTGTCGTCCCTCGAGCACACACTACAGCGCATGGTGTTTCGATGGAGCATAGCGGCGGCAGTAGGTCGATAGAGATTGCAGCGAGAACATTGCTGCATGCGGTCTGCTGCAGAGATAGCGACGTGAACGCTGTCCGGGGCCATATGCACGATGCCGTACCTACGATGATTTTCCTCACCTCTCGATTCCGGCAGCCTCTACTGCCCCAGGGGGCTGTCAAATAACCGCGATTGTCAAGAGCCGTGTGGACCTATCGGGCGCAGCTTCTCCAGGCACAACACTAGAAGTGTGGCGTGGTGAGTTTGCGATATGGCCTGACTGAGGTCGAGGTCGAGGTCGGACTCGGACTCGGACTCGGACTCAGACTCGAGCTCGAGCTCGAGAGGTATATGCTCGAGCTTAACTCCGACTGAGCAGCGCCAAGATCGTGGACGCTGATCTGAGTGCCGAGTCGGGGTAATAAGGTCTCGAGGACAGATTGGATGACGAAGCTGAAAGGCCGCGCACGCTCAGATTGGCCGGCTAGATCATCTCATGGGAAGGGGGCTCGGGGACTTACTGGCAACTTATTGAGCTGTCGATTTCATATATCAGGTGCCACTGAGCAATTTCATGGCTGTGAACATCTCGAACTGCACGGGTAGCGACGGGTCGTTAGACAACCACCACCCCAGGACCAGCTTATTCATCTCAAGCACCTACTGCGCAAGGCAGGAAGTGATACGCAAAATCACCGGCGAAGGACAGGGCCATATGGGTCATAGACACCGATGCCGTACGTCTTCTCGGGCGGCCACCCGGCGCCCTCCGTGGCACTCCCTGCCCTGCGAAGTATCGGTCGCTTCTGTGGGGAATATCAGGAGGAAACCCGAGCTTCGAGTTCGGAAAAACACAGGTCGCAAGAAGCTTCAGCGACCAGACCTTCGTCCGGTGGTGAGGGCCACATGTGACGACAGGGAATTCTGTAGGTTTCCAACAGGCGGACGGATCGGTCGGGCGACTGAATAGGTTGGGAAGTCGTCGATCAGGCAGAGGGCACTGACGGCCTCCTGCCGCGCGCCTGAACGGATGAAGCGGAGGCATGGCAGCGGCTGCAGTTGGCCACAATTGGTTGTGTCTACACTACAGCATAGCAGCCCACCGCATATGTCGATGTGGTTGCCTCTATTTTGGGGCCGTACTAGCCATCGGCAGGTGCCGCGCAATACGGCCGTGCAGGTGTACGCGCAAGTGGCTGTTGCAGAGCGACTGTCGGACACAGCTTGAGTTTGATTTGGTGATGCGGCACGAGATTGTAACGAGTGTGCCCCGGGGTGAATTGGAGATTCGTGGAGCGCTCCAGATGCAGCCGGTCAAATAGAAGGAGAAAGGCCGCGGATACGATAACGTCAATACGGGGGATTCTAACCAGGCGTGAGCGACCAATCGGGTCAGGCAGCTGAAAGCTCGGAGCGGAGCCAGTGAAGAGCAGAGAGAAGCAGGAATCGTGCCCAGTGGTGGAGGCGGGAAGAATCGTACCGAACGAATCTGTCAAGGGGGGCCGTGAGTAGACAGCCCGGTGATTGAGCTGCTGATGGAAAGACGCTGAGATTGAGTACGAGAAGGGACAGATGGAATCGTCGCGGGACGACAGACCTGATTGATATGTTGGCAGCACGTTCCGGGAAGCACGGCTCACATAGAGAGGTGTTGTCGGAAGTTGAAGTGAATAACCAACAAAGTCACGGCCCCATCTGTGTGATTACAGATCTGGGCAACCGAAGGGCGCCATATAAGAGGGGTATGATGAGGGTGGTCCGGGATCTAGACACTCACTCTGCCCGGCCGCTGCTTTACATTGCCCGAGACCTTGTCGGATAACCACCGACATATTTTTACATTTACATTGCACGCGACGTGATCCTCGACGGGCGCTGACTAGCTGGATCTGTCAAGTAGTGCTGTCACCGACGGTAAGCACACTGCGCCAACCGCGCGAGGTGAGCCGCAAGGATTGAATAGCACGACGCTGGCTGAGCACAAGGACGCACAGGCAGCCGACGTTTGATCTCGGCCAGTTCTTGATTGGACCCCGCGCTTCGATGGCCTCCACTGCCTGGCTGGCGATGCACTCGGCAACCCCCGACCGCCGATCAGAATTTGGTATGTAATGGAAAAATAACACAAAACCATGATCGCGTCAAGAGCGCGTCTGCTGCCCGCGACGCCGCTCTCCCTCCCCTCCTCTCCCCTCTCATCCCCGCCCACGCTGACCCCGCCGTCCTGCAGACCTACTCAAGAACCCCCCCGCCCACCACTACGCCCGCGAGCGTAAGATGTCCATGGACTTCTCGCCGTCGGGCACACCCCAGGGCATCTACGCCCAACCCGACCTCGACCATTCCTTCGGCTCTCTCCAGTCCCCCGCCGACATGTCCGCCCCGCAGCAGAATGCACACAACGGCGGGCACATGCACATGAGCGCGCACTCGCTCGATCGCGTAGATGCCCTCGACGTCCCCGACCAGTCTGCGTACGATATATTCGCCGGCTCTCCATCCGGCTCTCTGGCTAGCCAGCGGTTCCGGTCAGGTGCCTCGTCGTCCTCGTACGGCCTGCCCACAGACAATATGTACTCGCAAGGGGGCTTCCCTGACGGGCTCCCTTCATTCCAGGGCTCTAGCTCGAGTCCATACGACATGATGAATGGCATATCGTCCTCCTACAGCAGCGGTAAGCCATCCCCCCTCACCCCCAATGACGGCATGGGCGGCTTCCAGGCCCCTTCTGGTTTCTCCTTCTCCAACGGCCAGGCCAAGGACTTCCATCCTCATGCTCCGTTCCAAGACGTCGACCGTCGCCCAGGCAGCTATCAGTCGGAATTCAGCGACGACTATGGAGGCATGACTGGCATGCCAATTGGATTCTCCCCATCTCAGTTGCAATCATTCCAGGACCCCATAAGCCGCATGCAAGCTAGTGGGCGATATCCTTCCATTGTCTCCCCTCTATCTGTGCCGCCTCATGTGCACCAGAGTTCTGGTCCGGATATGCTGCGAGGAGTAAATCCTCATGCGACACACGGGTTCAGGTCGGAGGGTGGGGTGCCGTCATATGATGACATGCCGCAATTTCTGGCGCCCAACCCTCAGGTAGACTTTCCGCTTCGAATTCCGGGAATGCGCATGCCACAAACGTCCGCCTCCGCGACGGATCTACAAACTTTCATACGGTAGGCAAATGTGATCTTTCGTCCTGTCACATTGATATGGACGCGCCGTCGGTAGTCCATATTTGGATCAGTACGTGCGGTCTGGAAACCGCCTAGCGTTCGGCGAGAGAACGGTCATCGTTATGTCCAGCAAGGTTGCGCAGAAATCTTACGGTACAGAGAAGCGGTGAGCACGTCGGGCTGTTGTCTCGCCGAAATGTACCTGAACTCTAATATTAGGTTCCTCTGTCCGCCGCCAACCGCCATTATGATTGGTAACTCGTGGTGGTCAGATGTCGTGCGTCGCGGAGAAGAACCGAAACTATGTCCCCCTCGCGTCGTTGTTTCCATCTCCGGCGAGCCCGCACCACAAGAAAGTTCGATCGAATGGACTGGCGCTACGGGTAAAGCATTTGATGTCTCCGACCCGCCCACAGGCACGACCTATCTTGGCCGCTGTGTCGGTAAGCAGCTGTACATCTCCGACGTCGACGAAAAGAAGAAAAAGGTGGAGGCCCTCGTCAAGATTATGGCTCCGGCCGCAGAGGACGAGCCAGAGCGGGTGATCGGGACGTTCCCCAGCCGCCCGATCAAGGTCATCAGCAAGCCCAGTAAAAAGCGACAGAGCGCCAAGAACCTCGAACGTACGTGGGCGTTCCATGCCGCCTGGTCCGTCACGTAAGCTGGAATTTGTTCTGACGAGCGGCGTTTTACAGTGTGCATCAATCATGGTTCTACCATCTCGTTGTTCCACCGGCTGCGGTCGCAGACGGTCTCAACAAAATACCTTTGTGTATCAGGATCAGGCTCGTCATTCAAGGGTTCCGACGGGATGCCGCTCATGGGGTTGGATCAGCGCGTTCGCACCCAGACCCCATCCTTCATCGCGAGGACGGCTAGCTGGGGTACGTACGGTGTGATATGATGTGGTAATTTGAAAACCTGATTTTTGGACATTTAGATCCGTTCATCATGTACATTGTCGACGTCAACAAGCCGGCCGGCGGCGTCGATTCGCCTCCGCCTCCGCCAATCCAGCCCGACTACCCCTCTCCCCCTCCCAACGCGATCCCGTTCACAAATAACGGGTCGCAAATACCCATATATTACAACCAAACAGTTGTCCTGCAATGTTTGGTTTCTGGGGTCGTCAGCCCGGTCCTAATCATCCGTAAGGTCGATCATCAGACCATCGTAGTCGGCGGCGGTCTGCAGGAAGGTGCCAAGGGCATCGCAGACCACTACTGTGCGCCAGGAGAGGTGTGCGGGGACCCTGTATCGCAATTGCACAAAATTGCGTTCGAGGTGTACGACCCGAGCCGTGGAGTCCCAGAGCCGGGCACTCCTGGCCCAAGTGGCGCCTTTCTCTCTTGTATGGGCGAGAAGGTCAATACGTACCGCCCCGTCGACGGCCGTGTCTGGAATGCAGTGCCTGGCGCGCAATCCCGCGAGAGCAATTCGCCCATTGCGACTCCTGCTTCGCCCACGGATGATGGTACTCCGACTTCGACAACGGGCTCGGTGGACTACTTCGGCTCGGGGAGCATGAGCAGCACGCCGACATCTCCTGCTGCGGATTTCCCTTCTAACGACGGTGGCCGCGTGAAGAAGGCCAAGCGGGGCTCGTCGAGTGCGGGCACCGCGTCGAAGTCGACGTCAGCGAAGGGGCGGCGCAGGCCGACCTCCGCAGGGTCAGCTGGCTCTGGTCGCCGCGCTTCTGCGAGCGACTCGTCTGCATCGTCAGGCGCTCTATGGCAGGTGGACATCGGCGAGACGAGCGTGTGGACCATTGTCGGGACCGGTGAGCATCGATCTTCGTCCTTCTCTTCGCTTCCCTTCCGGCGCGCCGTGCTGATCCCATTCATAGATCAAGTCCGGTACAACTTCTACGTCCCGCCGGTGCTCTTCGACAATCAGAATGCACCGCAGACAGGGTCCTTCCCCATCACTTCGAAGCCTGTCACCCCCTTCCCGGGCGTGGTGAAGTACCTGCCCCCCGATCGGGCTGCTGAGGTGCCCAAACATCACGCGTCCGCACGTGCGGCCCTCACGAAGCCCAACCCGCACACGTCCAAGATGCTCACCATCTACGGCGAGAACTTCTCCAAGACGGACCCGGTCACGGTGTTCTTTGGCTCGGAGCCCTCCCCGTACGTCGAGGTGCGCTGCGCGGAGGTGCTCGGGTGCCTGCCGCCGGAGAGCCAGAGCGCGAAGCGTCGGCCAGTCGTCCTGGTGCGGTACGACGGCGTTGTGTTTCCCTCGAACGTGTACTATCCTTGATCATCGTCGTTGTCATTGTCCGCTCTATGCCTTTGCTTTCTTTTTGTGTTTGGCGTTGGATTATCTGTGCGCATCTCCTTTGCATCTCGCTATCCCATATCTATACTTTGTCTGCAGTAGAGCTTTTCTGTTACGCACTCGTTAGTTACTACCAGGAATATGGAGCCGCGGACTGGCCTGTACTTGTATTGTAGACAAACTATGGAAGCATGGCTACTTTTACTAGGCAACTTGAAGATCCTGCTTCGTCGTCTATCTACAACGAGCGTGCCTGAGCCACTGACACGGGCGACCCTTCTGTTCGGTACAGTAATATTGGCGGGTGACGGATTAAGCAGCGCTAGCATCCGCAGGGTTCCCTATTCAACGCCTTGCCTCTGAATCCCAGCACACATGCCGCCATGACCTTATTGTCTGTTCCAAGCTTTCTGTGGAACCTCTACGTTCAAAATCTCTGGTACTACCAGCGAGGATCTTGGATAGACAGCGCTGCTTATACCTTTCGGTTCCTGGCATTTGTCGTCATAGCGCCGTTTGTTCTGCTGACACTCCTAGTATGTATCTCACACGATCTACGCCGCCCTTCGCAGCTGATCCCGGTGAGCCAGGACGTAACATCCTATGTGATAGCCCGCACATTGGGTGTCATCGATGATACCAAGGCCTCCACCAGCGAGACGGGGCCGCCCACCGATGGACCGGGCACGCCATCCATAGTGATACAGAGCGAGTCTACATCAGGTTCGTCTCAGCCGGCAACGACACCCCCGTCGACATTCTTCCGCAACCCGCTCGAGGAAGAGGGCAACCTGCGGCTGTCCGGCGTGGGCATGTTCTCGCCTGCCCCTTCCCAGCCGCCCTCGCCAACCATGTCGCGTCGCGAACTCGATTCTCATATGCACAACGTGCCGGAAGAATACCGCGACGAGATGAAAAGCGGATTTGACAGTGGACGGGATCTATCGCGGGAACCTAGAAGTGGAGACTCGAGCAGTGGGGAGTCGTCGTATGCGATGTTGGAGCAGGAGTCGGGCACGGAGGATGCTCAAGTGACCTTGCGAAGGAGAATTACGAACCTCGGAAGCGAGCACAAATCATAGCGCAGACACGCTGTACTACGATGCTTGTATTTATAATGGACGACTGCTAGAACTACATCATACACAAGAGGTTATACAACAAGATATAATGTCCGGTCCAAACTCGAAGCACCCTACCACCCAAACCTGAGCTGATCCCTAGTGAATGTCGGCGGCTTCCACTGCAGACATTCCGGGTGTATGCGCCGCTTGCGCTTCTCAAGTGCCTTGCGGTACCGCTCCTGATGGGCTTCGGGAATGCAGATGACGTGCTGTCCCTTATAGTGCTTGAACAACTGCAGGGTCTGACAGCTAGGGAGATAGAGCGGAGAGATCAGTAGAGAAGTCAACACAACCCCTGACAATCAGCTAGACGTACGTGTTCATCACATCCGCGTGTGTGATGGAGGTCTTCTGTGCGATGTCGTCAATGCTGATATCGTCGGTCATGCGGAGCAAGAGGTCTATAATTGTCTCTGCCCAATACGCGCGATACCCAAGGAGTCCCAAGTCACTGAGTGGTTTCTCCGGACTACCAAGCTTCCCCTCCTTTTTGCTCAATTCGTACGAGAATTCAATCAGGAGCTTCCCGTATCCGTGCCTCTGGTGCTGGGGCAGCGTGAGAATACAGGCAACGTTGTAGTTGTCTGCAGACTCCTTCTCCTTCGAGAAGTAGCCAATAAGATGGCACCCAGAGTCATCCCGGTGACACTGAACGGAGGGAACATTTCAAAGAATAGAAGACAATAGACCCTGAGACACGTACCATGACATAGTATAGGAACGGTGTTACATCGTAGTAAAGGGTTTTACTGAAGGCGAAGCATTAGCGCGACTGCGGTGATAATGACATGCAGGGATGCGGGAACTAGACTTACTGGTCGAGGAAACATTTAGACAAGAGACTAAGATTACGACACCAGGTCAACTGTCGCTTCCCGTCTAGTTCAAAGACAGAAATATCTTCATGTCGGTATATTTCGTTCCCAGGGGGATGTAACAGGTTGCACCGCTTGCGGTGCCGCGACAACATGAAAGAAGAACCGAAGTAGCACAGACAAAATTCGCAGAGGTAGAGCACTGGGAGATGCGCGTACTCTTTGGGATACGGGCTGAAGTACCACGCATCGACTTCATGCCGTCCCATCTGCAGCCGGTTCAGATTCTTCACGCGAGCAATCTCGGAGATAGACTGGGTCATGGACCCCGATGTGCGCAGCTTTTCGATCTCCTGCTCTTTGCTGAACGCAGTGACGGGCGGGGGTTGGGGTGGTGACTCTGTTGCATCGAGGTCGAGCATTTCACCCTCTGCGTCCACATCCATCTCCCCGTCTGCATCGGCGTCGAGGTCTTCATCCTCCTCTTCCTCCTCATCATGCGGGGCCTTCCGTTTGAACGGAAAACTGGGCGCTGGGGAGGGACTGGGAGCACCAGACGGAGTAGGAGTAGTAGGCACTGGGGTCCCAACCTCAGATTTAATAGACACAGTGGCCTGGAGTGCATTTGTGGTCGCCGCCCTCTTCAAGAGAGACTGCGAACGGCCCTTGGCAGGTACCTTCTTCCCAAAAGATTTCTTGCTTGCTGGGGTTGGCTTTGGCCGGGGCCACTCGAGGTCCCGGCTGAGGACGAGACGCGAGCCGGGCACCCAATCATCTAGGCGCTTGTTGAACTGATCCCAGTGGACAAAAAATTCAAGTCTGTCTGCAGGATTTTGCGGTTCCTCCTGTTTGACGATACTCGCCCTCCCGTACTGATTTGTGGGCTTGTCACGGATAGAAAGGACCTCGGCGAGTCGTTCTTCGGTTTCGCCATCTGGATTTTGGCGGCGGATGTAGATTTTGCACCCCACGGAAACCGTCTGCGGGGACGCGTCAGCAAATGTGGCGGTGAAAACCGGCAACGTGTCGCCTCGCAATTTCGAAACATACTCACCTGGATACTGTACGTTCCTCCTGGAGAGACTGGAGCCGGCTCTTGAATGCCTTCCTCCTTCACATTCGTGTGGGGTGCCATGAAAAGTAGAGAAAGATGCTCAGAGTGCACAGGGGCGATTCCCTTTGTAGTATGTTCGAGATTTATGACACATGACTAAGCGGTCTCCGCTTGTGAGAGAAAAGGAAAGGAAATAATCCAACTACACTACAAAGCGATAGCTACATTGTGATTGCGTATGACAAAAAGCCTCATGTCCGAGCAGTTTGTACGAGCTTCTCCAAATCGTATCCTCCAGCGATTTGGAACTCGGATGCGCCAGAGCTGACCATTTTGCCGCCCTTTTTGGTCAGTCTGCCTTGTGCACGCACGACCTTCTCCATTCGCCTTTCAGCGTCGATAACACCGAGGTCATCGTCGGAATCCATGGCCTTGTTGCCTTTGCCATTGCCATTCCCTTTAGACTTTGTCCTTGTCGGCGGCGTCCTATATGACGGCGCCTTGCCTCTTTTCGAGCTGTTACCGGCGTTCCTTACAGCGGTCGGCGCGTCCCGAAGTGCGAATGCCTTCGCAAGATGTCCGAGATGGAGATGACGGATATGGAATATGTGCTTCTCATCCGAGGGATGCGTGGCGTACGCCCTCATGTGTGAGAGGTAGGCCTTGCGTGCCAACTCGGCATTCTGAGGGAACGGATGTGAGATATAGATCATCCCAGAGAATGGCCAGGCACGTACATGCTTGTCCTTGAGGACCCATCGCTCGAACGAAAGCTGCACGTCGGTTGCGCGCTCCTCATATTCACCGCCCTTGCCTCCAAAGCCCTCCCTCAACACGTCCTCCATCGATACACCCACAAGTGTGATATTCTTGCCCTTCGCTGCGCCGTCGCCCTGCATCTTTTCCGAGACCCACTTCACCCAGTTGGCTTCACTTGGCGCGAGGATACTCCATGCCTCGCCTCCCTTTCCGACACGCGCGGTACGCCCGACTCGATGCACATACTCGGTCGCGCCTCCTTCGGTCGGCAAGTCGTACTGAATGACAGCACGAACGAGGGGGAGATCCAGACCACGCGATGCAACTGACGTGCACAGCAAGACAGACGAGGATGCGGCTGCATCTTGCGACTTGCCCTTCGGAACAGCGGAGAACCCGCGCAGAGATGCTAGACGAGTCCGCAATGGGAGGGAACCATGGAGTCGGAAGATGGACGTGTCCGGGAGTAAGGCGGACTTTGCCCCTACCTTGTCAGCAGCTGACGGGATACCTGCTTTGGGTGAGTCGGACTTCTTCTCTGATTCAGACTCTTCGTCCACCGGCTCTTCATCAGTGTCTGCGGTAGGCGTGTCCTGATCTTCCCCCATGGACGTACCACCGAGAAGATGCCAATGGAAGTCTACAGAGTCTGTACAGCTGAGGAAGACGATGACTTTAGTCCCCCGCCTATTCCGAGACTGTGCCAACAAAGACCGGAGCGTGGCAACGAGCGTCACCAAGCGCAACTTGAGCGGTACAATCACGTACTTCTGCGAGAGCTGTGACGGTGGCGTGAAGTTCTGATCGCCGACTGTGCGGAGCGATGCGTCTCCCTTGGACAGTGTCGCATCGCTGTCTGTGGACGGCGTATCAATCTCCACAGCCTTGATCACAACGGGATCTTCGAGCGTGGTTCCGGCCAACTTTTGCACGTCTTCTCGGATTGTTGCAGAACAGAGCACAGTCCGCCTTCGTCGTTCCCAGTCCCATCCGCCCACCTCCATGCTCTTGCCTTCCTGTACCGCCTGCGCAGCAAGTTTCCGACGGCCATCCAGACCCTTTAGGATTCCTTGAATGGTCTCCTCAAAGCCTAGCTCCATGAGCCTATCCGCCTCGTCGAGCACGAGCCAACGGCACTTCCCAACATTGAATGAGGCAGTGTTCTGCAGGTGGTCGAGTAGACGGCCAGGCGTGGAGACAAGTATGGGCACACCCTTGCGCAGACGGGCCTTCTCGTGGGTGCGAGTAGCCCCACCTGTGAGAAGACCAGAAACGAGCCAGCGGGTCAGGCGTGGTGCTGAGTCCATAGATTCCTCGTCCGAAGGTCGCAGGCGGAGCTGGAGGAGTGCCTCTAAGACATCAGAGATCTGCTTCGCCAGTTCCCTCGTAGGTGCAATGATGATAGCCAATGTGCCAATAGTCCGATCAATGTATGATAGGGAGCTCATGGGTAGGAGGTCTTCAATGATCGGGAGGAGGAATGAAAGGGTCTTGCCTGAACCCGTCTGAGACTGGATGAATACATCCCGCAAAGACGTGTCTTCGGACGGTTTCGCGAGCAATATCGGCAGTGCTGCTTGTTGAATCGAAGTGGGCTTGGAAATGCTCATTTTTGTCGTTAGATGAGTTACAATGAGCGGGTCGAGCCCGAGGCCCAAGAATGTAGACGAGTCGACCAAGGGCGCATTGCTCGGCAATGATAGTGTCTTCAGGTGTATGGACTGCGCAGGCTGTTGCACCTTCGGGTTGGAGGTAAACAAGGAGGAAATAACGTGTGTAGGGGGACGAGCGGCGGTCGCAGTACGCTCTTCAGTATGTCTCCCTGCAGGCTGATTCGACGAAGGCTTCTCCTTACGTGGTCGCTTTGCAGGCCGTTGTTCTTCTGCACCATGCGCCTGACCCGGTGTATGATCTACTGGTCGGACTTTGCGTTTTGTGACCCGTTTTGCTTTCAATCTATGTTCCAAATGAGATAATGCGAAAATGCGAGCAAAAGGCACGCACCTGTCCGTCCATCTTCCACCCTTCTTTGCTGCCCCTGCGCTCCTGAGCGCTGTAGGCTGGTCGTCAACAGCGAGATTGAGTACGAGGCCGTCGTCCATCTCGGTGAGCACAAACCTCGAAATTTCACGGACGTGATCAGAGTCCTCTCGATCATTTCGATCACGTTGGCCGGCAAGTTCCCCGCAAGAGCCACGTCGCGTCGCTCACAGGAGCGCGTCTCACAATTCGTTACCACTCTCATTCCCTACTACCATGTTCCGCCGGCTTGTACTCGGGGTTGTCTTCGTCACGATTGCGGCATTCTTTTGCGCGCAGTCGGTCGAGGCCGCCAAGGGCCCCAAGATCACTAACAAAGTCTATTTCGACATCAAGCATGGTGACAAGGACATGGGTCGGGGTACGTGTCATATCCCCCTTCTTCTAGCGTGCCGAATCTCATGTGTGCCCGCAGTCGTAATAGGTCTCTACGGTGGTGTGAGTGCCGCTCAGCCGTGTGGTCCTGGATACGACTAAGCTTCTCTCTCCAGTCTGTCCCCAAAACCGTTGAGAACTTCCGTGCACTGTCCACCGGCGTAAGGAAGGATGGCACACCCCTCGAGCCTGGATTCGGATACAAAAGCTCTAAGTTCCACCGTGTCATCAAGAACTTCATGATCCAGGGTGGTGATTTTAGTGCGTATTCGTTATGCCGTCCGTCATCAAGGGACGCCTTCATATGAGTCCACTCCTAGCCAAGGGTGACGGCACTGGCGGCAAGGTGTGTACGCCAATTGTATTTCATCGGGTAAATTCTGATGCATGAAACTCTTCCAGTCTATCTACGGTGACAAATTCCCTGATGAGAACTTGTAAGTAATGTCATTTTACATGCATGGATGCCGTACCACCCTTCATATCAGCAAACTTCGCCACACCCGCCCCGGCATTGTCTCTATGGCCAATGCAGGGAAGAACACAAACGGTAATAATTCCCTGTCATGTGGCTGCCTGTTTATCGCTAATTCGCCGAATTGTATCCTTTCAGGCTCTCAATTTGTATGTCTTCCTGCTTCCGGTGTTCAGAACGTATGATATAACAAATGTGTGACAGTTCATCACAACTGTCAAGACGCAATGGCTTGATGGCAAGCATGTGCGTATTTGCTTGAGTTTGAGAAGCGAGTCGCGTACTTACCGATGGTCGCATCAGGTAGTCTTTGGTGAGGTATTGGAGGGTATGGACATCGTAATGGCTATCCGTGGGTTACGATTGGTTGCAATATGCCGGTATATTTTGACTGATACGCTGTTTAACAGAGGAAGTTCCGAAGGGCAAAAGCGACCGCCCTTTGGAAGATGTCGTCATCGTCGATTGTGGCGAGGTATGGCTTCCTCCTACCCGTCTTACTCATTTATCACTAACTCGAGCATGTGACTATGAACAGTTGCCAGTCGAAGCGGATGTGGACTCAGACGGGAATGAGGTGCCTCTTCGTGCTGAGCTCTAAGCCTCGGCATTATCTGTGCAGTAAAATGTGATATGAATCCATTGTGTTTGTTACCAACAGGACCTTGCAACTATCATCACGGCTGTGCAGCCGTCTCCCTTGGGTATTGCGGCTACCGGCCTTACAACCGCAGCCCCTGTCACTGTGTCTGAGCAACCCGCGAGCAAGGCATCCGCTGTCACTGGTGTCAAGCCTGTAGAGGAGGTCACTGAGCCAACGGGCTCCGCATCTACCCCCGCTACGGGCGAAGACGAGCACGGTTGGGGCTTGGCCTCGTACTTGCTCGCCCTTTTGTTCCTTGCGGTCATTGCCGGAGGCTTCTGGTGGATGGGCGGTCTTCGCTTCGCCAAGCGGCTGTTTAACAAACGAGAATGGGCGTACTACCGCAAGATGGATGTTGACCGCGATCTGGAGAAGTAGACCGGTTCATTTTCATTTCTAGGGGACATCCTTTAATTGTTGTTTGCGTTTTGGTATTTGCGATGTACAAATTCTATACGCTCGTTTCTCATAGATTCCTGTCGTTCAGATCTGATGCTTGAGGGCGCAAGACCGCCGTCTAAATCTCGTTCTTCAGTGCGGAAGCCCTCGATGTCTACTCATTCGATCACGTTCTGTGCAACTGCCCTGATCTTCCGGCACATACCTTGCTTCTGGTGTGCTCCTGCCGTGCCCCGGGCTTCTACGACTTTATGTCGGGACAGTGTGCCTATCGTTTAGTTCCTGGGGGCGTATGCATCTATCGACCCATGTGCAGATCAAATCGAGCATGCGTAAATCGTGGGCATTTTTGGACTGTGTGAATGCGCAGATACAACAAATCATGAATATGACGGCTTGTGAATTGGTTGTCAAATTCCTCCTCGTGGACCTGGGATGATCTCAACCGTGATCCTGAGGTCGATGTGATGTCCGGCTGACGGCTTCATACGATCCCTACAGGCGTATTTTACTGAATAATCCAGCATAGCATGAAGCACATAATCGTGTTGAATGATTAGCGGGCCGCAGTGTCAGACTGTTGTATTACTGGCGTGCAATCTAAAATCATGATGTCCTTTCCGCGTGCAGCTCAATAAATCAGCCAATCCTTGGTCTTTCCGATAACGTCGTCCCAGCTCTCGCCCTCGTTCCTAGCCCATGTCCCGACGCTCTCCACCTCCCCGCTTCCCAGCTTGAGGTCGTTATAGAGATGCGGGAAGAGCCCCTCGCCGCCGCGCGGTCCGCACACCTCTGCCTTGGGGTCCTCCCACCGTATCTTGGCGTCGAGCGGGTCGTAGGGGATGCGCAAGACGTACACCTGTGTTTCGTCGGTGAAGAAGAACTTGAGCGTGTTTGGGATCTGCGCCGCGGTCGAGAGATGGATGAAGCCTGATGATCGATCGAGCTCGCTTACGGGGAGGATGGGCGGGAGCGGATTGGGGGGCGGGGCGCTGGATGGGATGAGTTTGTAGATGTAGCTCGGCTTCAGTGATTCTGAGGTGGCCATTATATTGGAGCTTCCGAGAACAAGGTGCACAAGTGCGGTATGTCAGTATGTTGGCTCAAAGCTGAATGAGGGTTAGGCTGGTGGTGGGTTTGAGGTAGGGCATTGGGACATCTCGATTCAATCTACCAGATGCGGCAGCACGTCCGTGATTATCTCACCGATTCACACCTGAGTAACTTCGTGAGTAGTGTTACAATCGCATTGAGGAGCTCCAGAAACAATGCAGAACAATCTCTGAGGACCAGCCACGAGAGGTCTGTCAATAGCCGAGCCTACGTAAGAGACGATACACCTCTACCCATACAGACAACCCAGAATACTAGATAATAAATATAGCCAGTGCACAACAGCGTTCACAAAATCCAAGACAGTAGAGATCCAGCAAGTACACATGTCATAAATAGATAGGAACAGGGTATTGATAGAGCGAGCTCTGCGCCTGTATTGGTAGTATCCGGTGGAATACCGTTCGCATCAGAATACGAGGGGCAAGTCTCGTTGCCCTGGAACAACGGTGTCAGGAGTGGATACATCCGGCGCTCCTCGAAGCTTTTGACATGACTCACAAATGGGGTGGGATTGGCTGGACAGCACACGCTTCCGATATCTGCAGCGCTCCCGAGCGCATCGGATGCCTGTCCGCCCTCCCAATCTTGTAGACAGTTGACACTCTCGTAGCTCACATTCCACACGCCGAAGTCCTGTATTATGGTGAATTTTGCCGTTCACTGTAAAGCCATAATAGCTTCCGATGCTGACTTACAGTATACCCTTCAGAATCCTCAGTAAATTATTTCCTAGGTCAAGAGACACCACTTACCATATAGTGTGATGTTGGAAGGGAAGAAATCCGAAGGTATGGAGCTCGAGGGCCATGCTAGGTCAAAGTTCAAGTATGCCCCGCCTCTTCATCCTTTGTCAATAGGTCCATCTGGTGCACATAAAATGCACGACATACGCGTTTGGCTTGTTCGCCGTCGCTGAACACCAACCATTCCCGCCCAGCGGGCACAGGTCTGTGACTTTGATTATAACACTATTCTTGACTTGGGGATAGAACGGCGGATCGGACGTAAAAGTGTTGAGCAAAGTGAGATTGAAGCAGCGTCCGCAAGAAGGGCCATACGCTGTACTACTCCCATATGCCATTTGGCTCATAGCAGCTGTTGGATAGTGGGTGCTATCTGGAGTGCAGCCGCATGCTGCAACAAAGTCCTCTGGAAGAGTATAGTGTGTCATCGTCGCAAAACCATTGGTAGGATAGTCTATCCAGTCTGTAGCCAGTGCCGTATAGGCTAGGAGGAATACCAAGGAGCACAGTGTGATCATGGCTGGTATCATCAGTACAACGCAGGGTATAGCATGAGACTGTTCTCGAAGATCTATGCGCGAGGCGATAGCATAGGGTAGACAGAGGAACAACGGGAGCAAAGTGATCACAAAGAAAGGCCCGCAGGGCGCCTGAAGTTTTCGACCATGCTTCTCATGCGCGCAAACTTGGAGAACCGTTATTTATATGCCGCGTAAAGATACGTGGACCGTCAGAGAATTCACAGAGCACGCCGATTAACGCTGCTGAAGGAGCAATGCAGTAGTCATTCATGTAGAGTTTGACGATGAGACGCAGCCGGGACCAACAACGTATGTGGTCTGCAGATCATCCAAGTCAAACCATACTGCAGTGTCCGGGGGCCCTGTGCATACGCCTCATCCGCTGTGCTCTACGACGTCGAAGACATCGCGCCAGCCCGATTCTTGCTTCAACTGTGCTTTAAGATGACGAAAGTCCTATACCCTGCTTCCCATGATATACCAAGTCTGTCTGACGAGCTCTTGGCCGTCAAAATTGCGCGTTACTCGAGCTGTTCCGTGTGCTCCTCGTGTCGCGGACTCCGACCACCACCTAGCGTAGAAGTCGTACTTGACTCACAACAAGACGCGCTAGAAGACATTACCGGCGGCCCTTCAGAGTACCTTCAGGAATGCTCTTGTGGTCACTCCACTGTCGAGCATGGTGCCGATGCGGCCGCAATTGGTGCGGGGGAATTCGCGCGCAGGGGCCGTGTTGCTGTCCGGCTTGATGAATTCCTCGAGGTGAGTACTTAACTCAAATAAATCACGAGCAAATTATATTCAGTTTCACGGAACATTATAGGTACGCCACGCCACACTTCTCGTCGCTTCCTGAATCAATTGTGTTTCAAGGATGTTGACAAGCTACTTGATTTCGACTACACTGACGAGGACGTAGAAGGCCTACGCCCGCAAATGCAGCTACGGGCTTCCCCAGCAAGCTCGATATCGGACGCGTTGGGCTCATTAGGCAAGTACAACGGTTGATTGCGGAAACGCGCGATAAACAATGCGTCTTGCATAGTCCCCTCCTCGCCTGAAAAGCAACCATACTCCCCTGCTTCATCCTTCCTTAGTGACGCCGCCGACGCGACAGAGCCTCCGACAAAGAAGCGAAGAGTCTCATTCTCGTCGCTTAGTGAGAATGAGAATGATGATGATGACGATGATGAAGAGGACGAAGACCGGCCTCTTGCCGCGCGGAAGACGGGGCCTGGTGGCCCATCCACTAGTATAAAAACGCGTGACCCCGCCACAGCTATAAAGGGCCAGCAGCGTAGTGGCAAGCAGCCTGTCAACAAGAAGTCAAAAACTCAAGCGCGTACGGCTCCGACATCAGTCGCACCTCTTAACGACGCACAGTTAGCGGAGATGAACCGACCTACAGACAGTGCTCAGGATGAGCCAAAAGTCAAAGTGGAGGAGAAGATGGATGAGGGACAGCTGATGCGTCTGGCCACTGGCGTTACTGTCGATGCCGGAAGGGCAGCGCTCTCTGCAGTAAGTTGTCCACGCACCACGCCACATACTTATTAGACGAATGATTGGAATATCAGCCTCCAGGGAAACCAGAGAAAGTCGCACAAATCGAGTTGCGAAAGGGAGTCATCAGAATTGTGGCGGTTGCGAATGACCATGATCCGCGCTCGTTGGTCATTCTGACGGGCTTGAAGACGTTGTTCCAAAAGCAACTACCCAAGATGCCTCGAGAATATATCGCGCGGCTAGTATACGATTCTAATTCCAAGTGTCTCGCTATCATCAAGAGAGGCTTCAAGGTTGTTGGTGGAATTTGCTACCGGCCATTCCCTCACCGCGGCTTTGCAGAGATCGTGTTCTTTGCAACAACGTCCGTTGATCAAGTCAAGGTCGGCCGAGTGCTCAATTTCATCTGATTGTTGACTTACCACATGTTGGCGATAGGGGTATGGATCAATGTTGATGGACCATTTCAAGACGCACATTCGCGATACATACCCTGATATGTGGCACTTCCTCACATACGCCGACAATTACGCTGTTGGGTATTTTCGGAAACAGGGGTTTTCCAAGGAGATCACCCTGGATAGGTCGGTATGGGCTGGCTACATCAAGGACTACGAGGGCGGTACGATCATGCAGTGCACGATGCTCCCCAACGTCGACTATCTGAGGACTAGGGAGATCGTTGCACAGCAACGCGAGGCGATCCTCAGCAAGATTCGGGAGATGTCGAGAAGTCACATTGTGTATGAAGGATTACCACAATTCCAAGAAGGCGCGCCCGGAGGGGTTACCGTAGATCCCAAGGATGTCCCTGGCTTACGTAGGTCGTTTGTGCGATCATGATACGCACCAATTCACGTCGTTCCGCCCATGTAGGAGAGAGCGGGTGGACCCCTTCAATGGCTACCAGGCAGGTCCTTTGATTTATACATCTACTGCACTCAACTCACTCAGTCCGGATCAGCGCACCACGCCTTACAGGCAAGGGAGCGGAGCATGCCTTAATGACAAAGCTGCTATCAGACCTGCAAGGACACACGCTCGCCTGGCCGTTCCAGCAGCCAGTGAATGCTGAAGAGGTCGCGGACTATTATGAGGTCATCAAGCAGCCAATGGGTGCGTCGTAACAGTTTTGCATGAGGACAGACCGTCAACCTTTTGTGATCTTCAGACTTCAGTACGATGGAGCATAAGCTCGACACGAATCAGTATCCGAATCTCGATGCATTCCTTGCGGATGCTCAGTTGGTGTTTGACAACTGTCGAACATATAATCCTGAGGGGACGATATATTACAAGAACTCAGGGAAGCTTGAACGATTCCTGAAGGAGCAGCTAGCAATGTATCAGGTGAAAAGGGAGGAGTACTGATTCAAAGGACCTACTTGTGTCTTGTATACCTACCTGTCACCCTAGCATCTCGTACTGTAGCTCAGCGCGTCGCACTATCCCCCATCACTGTGTCACTGTATATTTATAAGCCGACATTATGAACAGGAAGCAAGACTACTCGTAGTACGCATTGCATGAGACATGGGCGTCAGTGTTTGGGTCCCAAGTACTGACACGCATCACGAGATGCGACGCGGGCGCGTCCTGCGGCGCAACTGAAACGTGCCTGCACATTAACGACTTGTACAGCTTCGACCTCAACGGCCACGTCGACAACATCATTGACGAAACTCTGGCAGGGGAAATTAGTCGACTCGTCGTCTGCTCCAGTCCCCCTCTTCTCTGGGCTTGGTAGTCGTGTCTTCTGACTGTTACAAGTGATACCAGGCCCGCCCGAGATGGCAGACATCCCCGTTGAGCTACTCTTCTCAGCAACCTTCCCTCTCCCTTACCGCGTTCTCAGTCTCGTCAGCCTGGGCATCATTGGTTGGGCGACAAACGTACATGGGCTTCATGCTGCGGGCCACGACGCTCGCGCAGCACTCGACCTTGATCATTACGACCCACGTCTTGGTCGACGCGCCATCTCCCCACTACCTCTCAATGACCGTACGGGGTCGGGCTGGAGATACCACCAGGGCCCTGCTGCTGTATACAAACCCATATACTGGCTATTCCTAGCGTACGCAGTATGGACTCTTACAAATTGGCTTGTATTCAAGCATGCAACCTACGGGGACTTGTATCGCGTGGATGTGCTCAAGTTTGTGCCCGCTGTCGCCATGCTCGTCGCCGTCATGCTCCTCATAGCACCCTTCAATGTTTTTGCAAAAACAGAGCGAGATCGCTTTCTCCAGTGCGTTGTATCTCTGTCTGCTATGAAGACCCACCAGCCGCTCACATTCTGCTTCGCGTCCTCGGGACATAGTGCGCTGCATAGATGTCTGTTTCCGCCACATCGGCGTGTTTACTTCGCGGATGTCGTATTTGCGGATGTATTCACGTCGTTCGCCAAGGTGCTCGGCGACGTATGGCTCTCTTTCTGCATGCTCATGCCTGGTGGTAGTCTCCTGACACAGCCAGCACAAGTAGGCTTAGCGCGATGGATATTGCCTACGTTGATGAGGTGCGAGACATGTCTGCAGTTTTGCAACGAATGTCAATTGAAGTCGACTTAATCCTTTAGCCTGCCATATGCCGTTCGCTTCAGGCAGTGTCTCCTAGAGTACAGAGCGACGAATGAAAGCCGGCGGCAACTATACAACGCCCTGAAATACGCGACCTCGTTCCCGGTGATCTATCTCTCGGCTGCCATCAAACCTGCCGGCACGTCCCCGTCCGGAGGATTGATAGGAGAGCGGTCACTCTTCCGGCTATGGTGAGCTCATTTTTTGAGTATATTTTTGTACTGGGCTTTGACCTTTTGTATCTATGGTGTAGGCTATTTGCCGCCGCTGTGAATTCATTGTACTCATTCTGGTGGGACGTCACTCATGATTGGGGATTTGATCTCCTCGTTCGTCGTTCGGCTGCGAACAAGCCTGTTCCCCCCGACTTACACCGCTTAACGTCGCCTCCCCGCCCGCTCGTTTTGCCGCGCTTACACTCCCGCTCCACTCTCCTTGCGGATCAATCTGGGACCAAGGAAAGTACAGATGCCTCGAAAGACGCACGGTCAGATATCGAAAATAAACCTTCGACACCCACGAATACTGCGTATCCAATATGGTATCCATTCGGCCTACGGCCAATCTTGCTCTTTCCGCTGCCTATATACCCATTTATAATCGTCGCAGACCTCGTACTGCGTCTTACGTGGAGCGCGAAGCTGTCAAGCCATTTGCATTCGTATGCAGACGGCGACATGTTGATTTTCTGCTTCGAGCTGGCGGAGGTGGTCCGTCGCTGGATGTGGGTCTTCATCCGCGTGGAATGGGAGCTAGTGAAGGAGAACGGAGAGGTCTATAAACGCAATCCGCGATCAAACAACCAGACAGTCGATTCAGGAGAGGATGAGTACGAGATGGTACCTTCAAATCATAGTGGTCGTGCGTCGCCAGGCGGGTAATCTTCATTAGGTTCTTCTTGAATCGCTTACAGAATTAGTCGTGGAGGTGAGTAACCACATGTTCAGCCTTCGCGAAGTGTTAGCTTCATCTCATACGAAAAACCAAGGTGTCCTTACTCATATCGAAGGCAACGAAGTGCAATAATAGCTCAGATTTTCCGTGGTGCCTCGCGAGTTAGCGAGTCCGGTGAAAGTACTTGTACCGCTCCGTGTGATCACGGGCCACCACTAGCCAGATGTTGTTGGAGTTGTCGGGCGCCGACGCGGATGTCCTCGGATGCGCACACTTACGAGGATAGAGCCAAGACGGAGCAACTGCTTGGTATGTGGCACATAACTCAGCTCCATGTCAACGTCCACCGAGGAGATGGTACGTGGTAATGATAAAGACCCTGAACTCATGTTAGTGTGTCAGGTGTGCGTGTTATGCAAGGCTTAGGAGGGCAGACATAACAGAGGCGTATGCGGATCCTGGCGCTCTGTGTGTGCCGTTTGATAGACTCGGGAGATATCGTGACTCTCTGCTCGGCGTGAATGCCGTCTGACAGAGCACGCGGGACGCTTGCGCGAGACGTTCTCAGAAAACCATTCAGCCGGGTCGCTCACAGTCAGCCGCTACATCGAATGTAGCAGGTGAGAGGTGCGTGTGCCTCAGCGTTCTGTTGTGAATGACAAGGCTCTGGGAGATTATCGCAATCAGATGACCAGACCAACTTGAAATGGGAGGTGAATAACGTTCATCACGAGCTGATGGGCGGGCCTCACCGATACCCACCCGGCGAGCCCGACGATAGCATCGACATTGCACGTCGTTGCGCGCGCAAGGCTTGTAAGGGACCGGAATTGAACGGGCAATTCAGCCGTCCTTGTCGGTCGTCGCTGTTAGCGCCGGGCGCAGGAAGGAGCAACTCGGCGCCGTCCTCACGTGCTATCACCATTTCAGGCCGCTGTGGCTGGGAGTTCCACATGCCCCTCGTTAGTACGCTCATGAGTTCCCTCACGAAGAATACCGTAGCGTCGCAGGATCATCAGACCGGGTACCAATTAGGCGCAGCTGACATCCCTAAATCGTCCTGAATTGTTTACTCCCACCCGCTCCAATATATAAGCTATGTGCTCGCCCCCCATGTTTCTCCATCTGGTCTCGGCCCAATCCTGCTCCTCCGCCCTCATCCCCCTCATCCGCTACCGCTCAATTCAAAATGAAGGTTAGGGCTACGTCTTGCTCACAGCACAAGCTGGATCCTGATAGTTGATTGCGTCTCAGATTTTAGCTATCCTCTACAAGGGCGGTGACGCCGCTCAAGAAGAGCCTCGTCTCTTGGGTACGATTGAGAACCAGGTAGGAAGACCATCGCTGCCTGATGCTACCAGTGCTCACACTTAGGCAGCTTGGCATACGCCCGTGGCTTGAGTCTCTCGGTCACGAGCTAGTCGTAAGTGGCCGTTTGGATTGACTTGGAGCCAAGTCTGAGGTCATGTGTCAGGTCAGTGACGATAAGGAGGGCCCCGACAGCGTTTTCCAGAAGAACATTGTCGATGTAAGCACGTCAAATTCGAGGTCCCTTTCAGCAATAGCTGACTGTTGTCTCTCAGGCTGAGGTTCTGATCACCACTCCTTTCCACCCTGGCTACTTGACCCGTGACCTGGTCGACAAGGCTAGTGTTCAGCAGTCCGTCATTGAGCCTTTAGGTCTTGATATTGACTGTGTAATCCTCTTCTTAGGCCAAGAACCTCAAGATCTGTATCACCGCTGGTGTCGGATCTGACCATGTCGACCTCAACGCTTGCGTCGAGCGCAAGATTCAGGTGCTCGAGGTATCCGGCTCAAATGTTGTCTCCGTCGCAGAGCACGTCGTCATGAGCATCCTCCTGCTCGTCCGTAACTTTGTCCCCGCCCACGAGATGATCGAGCGCGGCGACTGGGCCGTGTCTGACATCGCCCGCAATGCATTCGATCTCGAGGGCAAGGTCGTCGGCACCATTGGCTGTGGTCGCATCGGCTACCGTGTGCTCCAGCGTCTCATGCCCTTCGACTGTAAGGAGCTTTTGTACTTTGACTACGCTGATCTCCCTGAGCGTGCGTCCTACCACTTCTATTATTTGCAACATGCATTGATTATAATACTATTGAACAGAAGCTGCCAAGGCGATCAAGGCTCGCCGTGTTGCGGACCTGAAAGAGATGGTGGCGCAATGCGACATTGTCACTGTCAACGCCCCTCTTCACGAGGGTACCCGTGGACTCGTCAACGCTGAACTACTCAAGCACTTCAAGAAGGTATGCCTTAAATGATCAGAAGGAGTTGAGACAGGTGTCTGACAATGCTTCTCCCAGGGTGCTTGGCTCGTCAACACCGCCCGTGGTGCGATTTGCGACAAGGATGCCGTGGCTGCAGCGCTCGCGAGCGGTCAGCTTACCGGCTATGCTGGTGATGTATGGAATGTCCAGCCCGCACCCCGCGACCACGCCTGGCGCACAATGAAGAATCCCCTTGGTGGCGGAAACGGCATGGTTCCGCACTACTCCGGCACCACACTTGACGCGCAGGCTCGCTACGCGAACGGCACTCGCCAGATCCTCGAGAACTATCTCACTGGCAAGCCACAGGAGCCGCAGAACGTTATCGTCGGCATCGGGAAGTACGAATCGAAAGCATACGGCCAGCGCTAGGTGCCGCGTAGTGGGTTTGAGGCAAGGGATGTACAATACTGTATGTAGAATATGTTTGATATCGACATGAAGGATCACCCGTCTGTATTTATACCATTTTCGCAAATCATTGAGCCTTCTGAGGTTCAATGGGTGCCATCTGCATGGCCCCCAGTTCAACAATCTATCTGATGAATATAAGCACAAAGTCACGAACAATCGACCTGCCATATCCGGCGCAGCATTTCAATCATGATCCCGCCTTCAAGCCTTCACGTTGGTGCACTCGTCTCGCGCTCACTGGCACTCCGCGCGGAGGCCTCGACTGCGTTGGATTCCTATGGTGTCCATCGCGGAGAATAGCATTGGTAGCATATTCAATATGCATTCGTCGACGCGGGGGCCACACACACCGCAAGCAAGCGATAGATGGTAGCCATGGTATGCAGGTGTGACGAGTGGGTGCAATGCAGATCGATTCTAAGCATGTAGGTTGGGAAATGTGAATGGCGGACGTGCGTGCAGCATTCTTTGCGATGTTATGACATTGCTTTATTCACATATGTGATTAGTGCCATAAGTGGAGCGACCCATGCCATTTACGGTTACAGCCGGTTACAATATTGTGGTACGCCGTAGTTTGGGTCCGCGGCGCGACCACGTCTCAGGGCGATCTGGATTTCTTGGGATGCTGCCGCCACTAGCACCACCCACAATCACCCACCGTCAGTAGGACTCCCTGTGTCTTACCGTATCGTACTTGATGCTGTGAGCTTTTACCTTGAGATATCATGAAGGCATAGGTCGTCGCATTCTCACGGCCCTATAGAAGAACGTGCGCGGCAGCGCTATCTCAGTCAATTAATGGTAGCGAGGTCAGATGAGTGTGATCTCAGTGTCGTGGGAGGCTTCCAGCTGATTCTATCCACAGTGACCAGCGGATGACGACTTACAGAGCCAGTCCGCCAGTCAATCTATATGTCCTACCTCTTGCCGATTATCTGCGTGTCAACTTCAACCGTTTGCCGAATTGCGCGGGACCCCTTTCTGACGACTGACGACAGAGTAGCTGAGGCTTCTAGTTCTCATCTAGTTCGGACGGCCGATGTCCACTTTCCCCAAACTCGAACAATATCTTAGCTGAGCGGACAAGTTCGTGACCAGGACATGTTTTTGGGGGGCTTCTGCGCCGTTCTTGGCACAGCTACGATGGCGCAACTGACTTGAAGTAGATCGCAAATGCCTCCGTATTCTCTTCTCTCCTTCGCTTGCAAGTAGGGCCGATGAGTAGATCACGGCAAAGGCATGATAGCTATGCGTCTTTTCGGTGGAACCGGGGCCCAGCCGAGGTGCCGATTCGCGATATATACCGCGTCCTGCATGACTGGACATACCGCGTAATCCTCCCACCCGCATCCACATCTCGTCAATCCTGCAACTATCCCCAAATATGTCTGTTGCAGAGAAGGCGGCACAGCTTCGCGCTCTTGTTCGCATGATCTCCGATTCAGCGGAAGCTGTAATTCAGGAATGGGAGGCTGAAGGTCGCACACCTCACGACGTTACTTCCGTACCTCGGCTTCCGTCAAGGGAATTATTTGAGGCTCGCCGACTCTTCGTTGGCGCGTGCGGTATGGGAGTGGACCTTGTCCATGATCCTTTCACCCGCATGACGGAATTGGCTACATCGTTCTTCAACTCGGTATCGCTGCGCATTGCTGCCGACACTCGAATTGCTGACGTCCTCAGGGACGCGGATCGAGAGAAAGGTATATCGATCCAAGAGATCAGTCGGCAAGTTCGTATCGCGCCGGAAGATCTGTGTACGTGCAAATTTGCTGACCGAGACAGACCTCCTGATGTAATTGATTTTATAGCAAGGGTGCTTCGTACTCTGACGAGCCTGCACATCTTCAAAGAGGTTAAGGATGACTTCTATGCCAACACGGATACTAGCAGGCTTCTCGTCGACAACGAGCCATTAAGATGCTGGCTCCTATCTCAGTGAGTACCCACCCAGGAACGCTACATAATAGAAGTGTACTCACTAAGATCCCAGGTCTACAGAAGTCTTCACTGCTTCTAATAAGCTGCCCGATATTCTCTATGGCTCACTTGACAAGCCGAGCTCTGAACGCAAAAGCGGGTTCCAGACAGCATACGGGAACACGGGAAGCTTCTGGGAATGGATCGAAGAAACCGTAGTCAGATCGGACGGCACACTTGGTCCGAGACCGGAACTGGACATCTGGCTCAATGGGATGTGGAAATTCGGGCTGGAGCACGTCCAAGCTCCAGCTGTATGCTTCGGTATGTCTTGTCAGCATTCTCGATAAAGTCTGGCGTGCCGACTAACGCGAGACGAACAGATTTTCCTTGGGAAGCGGTGGGCTCAAAGACGATCGTTGATGTAGGGGCTGGAGTTGGTATGTCGGCTGTTGGATGTGGAATATCTGTTTCTGACTCTATGCAGGTGGGATGAGTTTCGAACTAGCAACGAGGTATCCCAAACTGCAATTTATTGTTGAAGACCGCCCTGTCATCTTGCAGCAAGCCGAGGCATTCTGGTCCTCATCACTGCCTGACGCGGTGCAGAACAATCGAGTAAGATTCGTGCCTCACGACTTCTTCTCGGAACAGCCAATTAAGGGCGCAGACATGTACATATTGCGGCACATCATGTAAGTACCCTCCCTGAGGCTCTGGTAACCACACTGCATCTTATAAAAATATTTCCACGCGTATAGGCACGATTGGGCGGACGATGAATGTGTTACCATTCTCAAGAGCCTTCGCGGAGCCATGGCGTCCGAGTCTCTGGTGCTCATCGCGGATAATGTCATGCAGACTACGGCGGGTTCGCCGCATCTCAAGGCAGCACCCCCGCCACTACCTGCCAACTACGGTCTTGCTCATTCATTCGCTAACTTGCATGATCTCTTCATGTTCGTCATGTTCAAGGGCGGCGAGCGGACTGCCGGAGAGTTCGTGGCTCTCGCAGCGCGTGCTGGATTGAAACTGACCAGGGTGTGGGAATGTCGCGGTCTCACATCGCTCACGGAGCTGAGACGAGACGACTATGTTGCGTAGTTGCGCAGGGATTACTGTAATAATTTCTCGCGAGATCACGGCTGGGAGTTCACTTGATAGAATTAATCAGCGATGACAGCTTGTCCCCTCAAGCAATGTTTCGTAGAGTTGTTATCTCATCTCTGAAGTACAACCCCGCAACGCTACAGTCAATAAATCTGTCAAAGGTTTGTGATTGAAGATCCGATTGCGTCGTGCGCGACAAGTTAAAGTGCTAGTCTAACCAGCTCAGGCTAGTCTGCATCGTGGGGCGCACAATTGATTCTGTGGCCGCATCGAACTCACATCTGCCGCACGCAAAGCAAGATCAAAACGCGCGTCTGCAGCCCAGATTAATCATCATAAGGTTCAGCCATTCCAGAAGAAGACTGCTAAAACGTCTGGCAGAGAGAGATCCGCCGTGCCGGAGCCCAGCGGCTACATGTCGCGGAATTTGTAGATGCAATGGGAGATCACTGAAATACGCGACTGTTCGTCGTCCAGCTGAGCCGCACAAACTTGAATTGAGTTTGGTGGTTGATACGCCCCCGCATCTTGACTGAAATGTCATATTCTGTGAGCGAGTTTAACTATTTCCAAATGAGGTAGGAACTGGCACCCAGATCAGCGAATGCAGATCAGTGGTGATTCCAAGGCGCTTTACCTATGCCCGTCCGAGCTCTGCGTTCCATTAACACCAAGCCGCGTACCTCGGGCTGGACCCTTGACTGCGGAAGTATAATCGGCGGCTGCACACGTCTAAACAGAACAGGAAGATACACCTTTTGATTAAGAGAGACCTCCAAATGATGTCGTTCGAGGCCATGAGGCATCTGCGGCGACACAGCAATGCGACCTGCCGGGAAGTCAGGCACACAGGAGCATAGATGGCGCTGTATCGCCGCAATTCACCGTGTATCAGATCGGCCCTCAATTTTCGTTCGTGAAACCTGCCAGGAGCAGGCGTCAGGCTGCATGTGCGTCAAATACGCATCAAGGATGTGTGTGAGCCCCACCCCACACTGGTAAGCCGGAGATTGCGCAAAGAAAGAAGGCTTGGCTGCTGAGTCATTGCCCATGCACGATGGACCACCGGTCAATGAAAGAGAAGGAGAGGATACTCCTTCCACCGGGAGATAGCCACTGAGCAACAGCAAAGATTTCTCGAGGTCGCGCGATCGAACGTATACCGAGCAGAGTAGCCCAGATACAGAAAAGTGTTCAGATACCCTAGTCTAAGCAGACATCGACGCCTCCGTTGCCAGCACAGTTTGGATTGGAGAGCCACCCAGCGCGGGAACGGAGTCACTCGCTGATGATCCTGACGTCTCGCTACCAACATTCAACGTGACACAGATGAAGCCTATGCACAGCGCGCGGTTGTTCGTCCCCCGCTGCCGTAGTGCTGCTGTTGCCAGCGGGGCTGCCGTCGGCACTGGCAACTGAGTTGGCGGTACTAGAGACAATGCCTGCGACGCCGCTGCTTGAGACCGGACTTGCGCTGGCATCATTGCCGCCGTCCGAATCGGCAGCGCCATTTTCCAGAAGCACCGTTGTCCGCGCTTGAGTGGCCAACGTCGGATGGTTGCACGAGCAAGCGCGCTGTTCCACCTCTGCGGGCGCCACGGACACAGGGGTGTCGCCAGCACCCACATCAACTGAACCGTGCTACCACCGTTGCCTTGCCTGCATCGTCGCTAGAGCCCGTTCCGTCGGCGGCAGCGTCAGAAGCATTCTGGCGACCGCTAGTCGCGGAGACGGGCCCGCTATCCGCTGTGCACGCTTGCGGTAAGTTCGCCGGTCGAACCGCCAGAAGAGTCGTTCTGAGACACTTCCTGCGCTGTTAGAACTAGCTACATCGTTGCTGTGGATAGTCCTGTCATTCGAGCCGCTCGGATATGCACTGAAGGCGACGAAAGAACCGCTTGAATATGCATTGACGGCGACAATAGAGCCACTGCACACCCCCGACGCCGCCGGAATTAGCAGACGCGGTCTCGTCGCTCGAAACGTTGCCGGCAGCAGCATGAGTATACGTGGAGAGAGCCAGACTCGTTGGCGGACCCGTCGGGAGTATTACCAGAGGTGTCGTCGTCTTCCGACGCGTTTGGCACGTCGACGCTCGCTGCGCTGCCGTCAGAGGCGTCCGTTGGAACCGCCAGAGCTTAGTACAGCAGCATAGCCGCTGTCTCCCGCATACCCGATGGAACCGCTAGGAGCTGCGTCGTTGCGCAGAGCACCGTCCGCCGCGGCCGCAGGGCTCGTATTCACCTCCACACCAGAGTGGCACCCGGACGCAGACGCATCATCGGATCCGTCGGTGCCAGGGCCGGACGCATCACAGCGGGTAGGAGAGGCGTTCCGCGCATTGACCGATATGCCCAGACAGTGTTGTCGCCATTCCCCGAAGTACCCGTGTCGTCGTTGTCCGGAAAGCCGTTTGTGTCAGGTTCAGGTTCAAGCGCAGCGGTGACCGCAATACTGAGACCAAGAGTCATAACAGGAAGGACTATCTGCCCGCACCGGCTGGATGGATTGGACGCATTATTGCCGTCGCAGCCCGCAGCCACACCGACAGGGGACGCGGATGCCGAGCGGGCCCGGGGTGTCGTACGGACGTGTGTCGCCGAGGGTGCTGCCTGAAACAGCGTTTCGCGTTGCCAGAGCCGCTGACTGCCCCGACAGCGGGTCCCGAGACAGTCCCAGCGCCAGAAGAGGGAGGGGACGGAGCCGCTACAGTCAGTCATTGCGCGGACGGTGACCGCAGAGCCGGAGCCGGAGCCAAAGTCTGCAGGAGGGGAGCCGATAGACGGAGACGCAGCCAGGATCATCGTCGACAGCAGAGCCAGAGCCAGAGCCAGAACCAGAGCCAGGAGACCCGCCCAGGCTGGCGACATTGCCCGCACCGGAAGCTCGCGCCCAAGGACGCTCCCAGAGCCCGCAGCAAGCCCTGGGTTACCTCCATAATTAATACCAGTGCCCCAGAGCCTGGGGCCACATCGGAGCCGGCAGCACCGATTACCAGGGAGGACGAGCTACCTACGTCGGCGCTCGCTACCTGAAACATCATCTGTGCTGCCGCCGTTGGCGACAGCAACACCATTCGTTCGACGGACCAACTTGTTCCTCGCTGCTGTTGCCGTTTGGAGCGACGGTGTCCGCAGTGGAGGCGGCAGTGGTGCCAACGCTCAGCGCCCGCGGGGGGACACTGCGTCGGCAGGGTAACCGCTGCAGCCCCCATAGCCGGGCCCGCTGTCGGCGGCGGTGTCCCCAGCACACGCACCAGGCTCGCCGCCCGCTACGCGACCATCGCCGCCATCGCCACCGCCCCCTGCTGCCGGCCTGCGCATTATCGGCGTCTATGGCAGCCGCGCGAGCGGGATCGGCGCGATCCAGGACGCCTGCAGTGTTGTTCAAAGTTGCTGGGTCGCCGGGGTACTTCTGGCGCAGCTGCCTCGCGCGCAGGCGGCTTATCTGCGCGGCGACCGCCCGCTGGGCGTTGTGTGGTGGCGAGCGTCGCGTCGGGGCTCGCCATCTTCCGCATGGCCGTGTCGGAGGTGATTTAGACGACGGGCTGAGACGCGCGGATGTTCGGCGAGTGCTGGCGAGGCAGTATAGAGTTGCGACTGCATATCGCTGCCGGGTAGGCCGCGCACGACGACCGCGGAGATGTCATGAGAGCCGAGGACCGCATTGTGGACGCGTCTGCGAGCTGCGTGCCGTGAAGGTGTCGTGGGCCGACAAGGACGGCGGCGGCATGCTGTGCACAGGCGAGCGGACAAACAAGGAGCGCATCAAGCAGGAGCGTGATAGAGTTAATGAGCGTATGAACGGTGTGGCGAGGGCGGCTTGGCGAGGGCGAGAGCAGGTCATATACAACGACGAGGCCGGACTAGACACGAATGCGCTCGGTACTGGCCGCATCCCGACGCGGGGGGGGGAGGCGTTGGGCCGACGCCGACGCCCGCCCGCGCTGTGAAGGGCCAATGATGACGCGAGCGCGCCAAAGACAAAAACGAAATAAAGCGGACAAATTGGCGTGGTCGGCACGATCAGGGGGCGAGATCAGGGAACAAAGCAACATCCGTTAGTCCGGCCCCAGCTGTCGACCGCGGAAGCAAAGTGTTTGAAGGTGATCAAGATGCAACAGGATCACCGCCATCAGCCAATTTGCCACCCTTCAGGCTCTGGCTGATGGGCAGCGCGAGCCCTGTGCCCTTGGCGGCAGGTGCACAGCGCTGGGCGTAGTGTAGTATGCGGAGCCGCGTGCGGCCATCCGAGCCCGAAATGAAAGCCCAGGGCGGGGCGGTGCACGGCAGGGGAAATCGCGGGTGAGGGGGGGAATTTGTCTGGAATGAAAATGAAACTGTTGTCGATTGATGGGGCGTCCGATGTCGGATCCGGGCGAGTCAACGCGGCCGGCGCAGCGCACGCGTCTGTCTGTTGTCTCTCCGCCTCCTTGTAGCGCCGCGCTTTCTCGACCCCGCCTTTATATCCCCGGCCCTCCCTGGCCCCCACAGCCACCCGCCCTCTCTCTCTCTCTCAACGCATCCACCCTGCCGTACCTCCACGCCCCCCACCACACCATGACCCGCGGCCGCAGAAAAGACCTCTCCATCCCGCCCTCCCGCGCCCTCCTCCAGCAGCGCGACTACCGCGCACGCAAGGCACGCTACGTGGCAGACCTCGAGGACCGCGCCCGCGCCGCAGAGGAGGAGAACGCCCGCCTCAAGGACGAGGTCGACGCCCTCCGCGCACGCCTCAACACCCCCGGCCATCCGGGGTACAGGCCCAGCCCGGGTCCCGAAGTAGTGCGTCCACCCCGCCTCTGCCGCGCAGCACGCGTCCTGCTCCTGCTCCCGCTTACTGACCCGCCCGCGCCGCGCGCACAGGCCGCAGCGACGAACGAGCTCATGCAGAGCCTCTCCGTCGCCGCCAGCTCCATCGCGCGCTTCCAGCGCGTCGCCTTCGACCCCGCCCCGGAGCCCGCGTCCAGCTCCATGCTCCAGCTCCCGCCGATCCACTCCCACACCCCCAGCTCGCTCGCCACGCCCGCGTTCACGCCGTCCCCGATCCCCCAGCCCCCGCGCCGCCTCCCGTCCCCGCGCGCCCGCATCGAGCTCCCCCCGCTGCACTCCCTGCACCGCGACCTCTTCCGCGGCGAGCCCGCGCCTCAGCAACCGCACTACGCGCACGCGCCGCCACACGCCCAGGGCCCGCCGCCGCCGCACGGCAAGGGCGTCGACCGCGGCCCGCCCTCGGGCTCGTACACTTCGGAGGGGGAGTGCTGTGGGGGGTACGTGGACTGCGACGGGCTGGCGGAGGACGAGGACGACGATTACGACGAGTCGATAGCGGACGAGGGCGCACACGACCCGCGCACACACCTCGCGCAGCGCATGTCGGACATGCGCTCGACGACCTCGTCCACGTCGACAGGACCGGATGAAAATCATATGCCGAGTAACAGGATACCCCGTTAACCACGTCTGCTCCGTGCTCATGCCCACATCCTATCCGATGCGCGCGACTTATTCCACAGCGTATCTCCGGATCGTCCATCGTACCGCTACCTATCCTTATATTGTCGTGTCACCTTACTTGCTATGTTGTACAGCGTCGGTGTAATGGTGTGTACTCTACCCTAATGAATAATCACGTACGTGATGACTGCACGCATTCCTCTCGCGCGGATCCCGATGCCACCGCTGAATTCCCTTTTCTTCCGCCCAACGCGGAACGCACGAATCCCAGGGAGACGCCCATGTCCGTCAAGCTTCCGGCGCAGAAGCGGTTTCAGGATGCGCCGTGGTGGCGCCGGACAATGCACAGCCCTGGGCAGCCAATCTGTTTGTCATCTTGGCAGCACCGGAGCGACATCGCAAGGGGCAAGCCGTCAGTTCGCCGGCCGCATGGCCTCCTCCATGTTCCGCACTCGCTCCTCGTAGTCCCACCGGTCCAGCCCTCCAAAATCGATGGTCATCGCCCCAGTGGCAAGGTTCACCTGCAGCTCGCAGACGTGGCTGACGCGCGCGCGCCAGCTGTCCGCCCTGGCGCAGAAGCCCGGTTAGCCACGGTAGGGACTATAAACGGCAGGCACACATGGCCCGGGATTAAAACGCCAGATGAAGGGGCACTCACGTCGCGGTGCCGTATGGGCCGCTCTGCTGGCCCACAAGCCGCACGCACTGGTCTGCGTTCGACCGGGCGTCGTATATCCAGACCGTCTTCCCCGCGTACACCTCCTGCCAGCCGTCGTGGTCCACCAGCCGGTTCGGCGGCCTAATGCGCTTCGCGCCTGGGTCCGGCCGCGGCGCGCGGCGCACGTCCACGTCGTTCAGCAGCCGCAGCGCCGCGAGGTTCGAGAGCCCCGTCCACCGGGGCCTGTCTGCGGGCGAGGGGTCGATGACGGAGAAGATAGCGGGGGGCCCTTCGTCCTCTTCGTCGTCGTCATCGTCCGCATTCATCGCGTCGTCATCGGCCGTGGGAGCGGGGGTATTCCCGCTGGCGGAGCCTGCTGCGTCTTCTTCCATGGCGTCCCCCGCGGGTGCCCGCGCGGGGGCGAACTCCGCCTCGCCCTCCTGGAGCCTGCTGCGAAACGCGTGCCACGCCTGGTCGTTCGAGAAGTCGGTGCGGACGAGGATCCCGAGACCCGGCGCGTCTGTGGAGGCGGCGTCGAGCGGGTCGTCGTCACAGACGAACTCTGCGTCCTCGTCCGCGTCGGCGGCGCCTGCCTGCTGCAGTAGAGAAATAGTGGGAATGGTGCGTTGTCAGTCGGAGCGCAGACAGCGGAGGCATCAGGGGATCCGCGCGCACCGAGAGGGAGGCGGTCTTCGCGTCAGGGGGGAGGGCCCAGAATGCGTCCGCGGCTCGCAGCCGCCACTTCCGCCTGCCCTCGCCTGGGTGTTGTGCCTTCACGGCAGGATATCTGTCCTGGACGAACCTCGGTCATCGAAGTCGAAGTATGCGGACTGAATGGCGCGGCGCGACTGACCCGAAGAAACGGAGCGAGGCCGGCGTGTTGCGCCTGTTGTGCAGGGGACGGCTCAGCCTGCATGCCTGCGCGCGACTAGACCGTTCTGCGTAAAATTTGCGAATGGCACGCAGGTTCCGAGCAGGACCTGGGTGTGTTGTGGGCTGACTTTGTCCTCGTCGGTGCGGGGAAAGTCAAATTGAGCGAGCATCACGAGATCAGTTGCGATCAAAGCACCTCCGTCCAAATCAGGCATAGATCTAAGTAGGTTCACCCCGTGAGTGCACAACCGCGCGTCTTTGGCAACACACAAACAACGTCTGGTGGTGGTCCTGCCGCCCTCTCACCACCAGGCTGTATTGGAGGCATCACAGGATCTATTCGTTATCGTTCACCCGTAATGCGGGGTCGCAGATGCGGGCTTCGCTTGAGCCCGCGGACCGTCGAGGGCATCACGCGGGGCCGTCGAGCTGTTCTCTCTTGGCCGCATCCTGCTCCGCAATAATATGGGGCCCCACACGTAACTATATATATGACGGATCGTTTGTGCGTGGGAGCTCTGCTGCCTCGCTGCCATGCCTGCCTCGACGACTGGTAAGCTCTCACAACGACAACTCGAACAGGATATTCTCTGACTGGCTTGTCGCCGCTCTGCAGGAGCCGATCTCACGCGGAGAGAATGGGTGTTCGCCTTCTCTCTGGTGACGTCGCTCTTCTTCACATGGGGTTTTGCCTACGGTGTACGCACACACGTCGATCAGCATGTCCGACTAGCGCGCAACTGACCGGCAATCTTTTGTGTAGCTCCTCGATGTCCTCAATTCCCATTTCCAGACCGTATTTGGTATCTCTAAGCTGCAGAGTACAATGCTTCAATTGGCATATTTTGTGGGTCGCTTGGGCACACTGGCGTCTGTTATGAGCTGACTTGTGTAGGGAGCGTACTTGGTCTATGCACCCATAGCGGGCATGTTCGTGAGTGACGTCTGCGCTGAACATCAAGTCTTCGTGTTGACACAATGATGTTTATAGATGCGGAAGTATGGGTACAAGGTCTGTAGCCGCTTCTGACCTGGATGAGGTATACAGGCGCTCAATCTACATTCCATGGGCAGAAAGGTATCCATATGGGCTTAACATATTACTCGCTGGGTATGGTCTTGCCTCGATCACTGGATTGTCAAAACGCACGCTGATGCATTGCCGCTAGGTGCCATATTCTTCTGGCCCTCAGCGAGATACGAAAAATACGGCGGGTTTGTAGGAAGCACGTTTGTTATTGGTACGTAGGCTCCGACCATCTCTCCATAACACACTCATCAGGCTGTGTTCAGGATGTGGACTCTCGTGCCTTGAGGTCGCCGCAAATTCTTACATTTCCGTACTTGGCTCGCCCAAGTATGCAGCCGCGCGACTGAACTTCAGTCAAGGATTCCAGGGTGTCGCTTCCTTTGCGGGGCCCATGATTGCGTCAAAGTGGTTCTTCACAGGGAAGAACGCAACATCTCTGTATACGGTTCAGTGGTGAGTCTCACGATACGTTTTCATACATCTGCTACTAGAATTCCAACGATTTTGTTACACAGGGTGTACGTCGCTGTCGCAGGGCTTGGCGTCGTCCTCAACATCCTGTTTTAGTGAGTAGAACTCATCTGCAATACGTTCATTACATAATCCGACTCTATTGCACAGCTTCTGCCCCCTACCAGAGATCTCGGAGGACGCGATATCAGAAGAAATGGAAAACTCAGGACTTACGGTCGATCAAGAACCATTCTGGAAGCAATATCATTGCATATTTGGCTGGTACGTCAGAGTTCGGTCGACTCGGGGGATCTTGAACTCATCTCGGCTATCAGGGTGGCGCAGACGACATACGTGTAGGTAGCTTCGAATTGACGCTGTCAGTTTCCACGTTGATGGCTGATTTGGTATAGCGGTGCACAAGTGGGCGTCGCCGCTATGGCGGTGAACTTTTTCGTGGGTCAGAATGTCGGAATCAGCAAACCCGAGGCCAGCCAGTTGTTTTCCTATTGTCAGATCACGTTCACCGTAGGAAGGTACGTGCATAGGCACCGTTCAGGTGGCTGAGGTGCTGAATGAATTGGATCTCTAGATTCGTCGGTGTCGCGATCCTCAACTTCATAGATCCTGCGCTGATGTTGAGCATATACGGAGTGGCGTGTGCAGCCTTCGCTCTTGCAACAGCCTACGCACCCGGTAAGGGAGGCGTAGGCTGTCTGTTCGGGCTCTTTTTCTTCGAGTCTATATGCTATCCCGTAAGCATTGTGGCCAATGCTCACCTCCTACAACGTGCTGACACTCGATCTGACAGGTGATCTTCACGTTGGCCACGAAGAATCTGGGCCGTCATACCAAGAAAGGATCCGGGTTGGTCGTCATGGTGAGTCCCTTGAGACCCGCCTCGTGGCAGAAGTATTGACAGCAAACTAGGGTGTCGGAGGCGGTGCGTGGTACCCGCCTGCCCAAGGAGCCATAGCAGATTACAACACTGCGCACTCCTACGTCGTTCCTTTCACGGGCTACGTGGCGATGACTGTCTACGCTGTGTACGTGCTTTGACCGTTCATTTCCATTGGCTGCATACTCACTCTCCTGATTTCATGCGCAGTGGTATGATGATATCCCAGGCGAAGACCGGTGGCTTCCGCTTCCGCACGGTCGACGAGATCCAGGCCACGACAAAGCCCAAGGTGACAGACTCGGAATCCTTCTGTGACAATGATCGCAAGTCGACGACACCGATTGAAGACAAGAAGGTCGTGGAGGAGTTTGTAGAGAGTATATGATGGGTGCCCGTGCTTAGCACATGTTGTGTGCTCTTGCGCCTAGACTCATATCATGAGATACATGTTTCTGGTGGCCGATGATCCTATTGTGTATTGTATCTTGTATATCAAATTCTAGTCTCTGCAGTCGATGACTCTACTTGGGCGCGTGGCGTCAGTCTCAAGCGATGGTCATCACAGCTTACCTGGCAGGTAGATTGCACGCTTAAGCTCTACATCAAGCTTCTGAATCAATACCCCATATTCTCTCCAACATGAGCTTCACTAAAGCCGCGGGACCTGGTGTCTCGTAGACACACGCTACTCCTGTAGCCTGGTCCGGGAGCGCCCGCGCCTGGCTCTGTCCTTCAACTTCAACTTGCGCGGGCAGAGCAGTGGACTCGAAGTTGCCCGCATGTGCGAACTTGTGTTTCTCGAGTTCTGCTTGGACTTCCGCGCGGTTTGATCCTGGAGCGTAGGCTCCTTCATCGTCGCGCCGATCCACCACAAGCATACCTCGCGTCAGTTCGCCAATGCTGTTCGAGATACGAATTTCAGAAAATATGCTCTAACGTTTCCGCACATGAATAATATGCCTACCGTTCAATTTGAAATACACGCTTGACGGCCTTCCATCCTCGCTGTAAAGTGGGAACTGCCACCTCCGGTTCTCCATGCACTGGCGGATTTTCGATGGCGCACCATACCGCTACAATGTCATGTAGCTCCATGGCGTCCTTCCCAAACTCGATCATGATCTCGCGGGTGCGCTCCAGGAAAGAACTCGTGAAGTGAACGAGAGGTGACTTGCCTTCCGCCTGTGATGGCTTTGCCGCTGACTCGAAGACGGGGTCAACCTTGGCCTTGTAGAGTGGAAAGGGAAGTTCGTGAGGCGTCGTGATGTCTAGGGGAAGGAGGAGGAACCTGTTCAGAGGGATGCCGAGTTGTGGAGTGCCCGGCGTGAGCAACTCTCTGACTGCAAATGGATCGGCAAAGAAGTTGACTGTGGCTGAGTCAGCAAGCAATCTGAAAACCCGAGAGGCAACTTTGGCCTACATTCTGAGACGGGGTTCGTGTTTCCGGGTACATCAAGGGCACCACCCATACAGACTACGCGGCCAATGCGAGTCCGCACGACTTCGCCATCAAGACGCATCAGCTGTGCAAGGTTCGTGAGGGGACCCAATGCCAGGTAAGTAACTGCTCGTTCAGGCTGGGAACGTATAACGTCTAGTGCGACCTCTATTCCTGGTCGGTCGGTAAGTTGTAATTGGGGATGCTCCGATCCAGGTTTGACATTCAGGTCGGGGTGTCGATGTGTTATATCCCCAAGGCCGTCTCTAAAGGTGGCACAGCGTGATCAGATAGGATTACATACCTCTGTAGGGATATATTACCGGCCGTGAAAGTATTCAGCGCTGTGCAGATCGCCTTCAAGGGGCCCATTAGCACCTTGAGCAAGTATTACTTTTGCCTCAAGACCAGGATACCGAGTTCTTGCCCCCGAAGCTGAGGTAATTTCTCGGGATAATGCATTATACAATTTGAGAATGTTCCCACTGCGTGAATGGTGAATGTGCTGCATAACAATTATATTACAGCGAACCCACTGTGAGGACTCCGCGTCCGTGTTTCCTGCGATGTGCATGAGCATCGCGCTGCGTTAGATAATGCGTAGATTACCGTAAGAGATGACGATGGCAAGGACCTCCAACTCTGGTGAGGCAAGTGCGAGCAAGCTGATATAGACTTCTAATCATCTTTGAGCATCAACGCTGATAGACATAACACGCACATTGCGAGAGTATCATCGACGCCCGGATCTGTGTCGACTGAACAAAACGAAGGAACATCGGTGGCTTATCGGAGCTTCATCATTCAACGGATTCTCACTTATGACAGGAGTCTTCGCCATCTGGATATTGTGGCAGATGCGGGACTACGCAAGCAGATACACAAGACAGATGAGAAGGAGCGATAAGGCAGGGGATTAATATTGTTGAGACGCGCGATTCCGATTGCTCGTCAGACTCGGAGACTCAGCGGATGCCCGTAACACTCAACACGTGACCGCGTCATGCGCGTTGTACGTTATCCAGTGTCGCGTCGCGCGCGGATAGCACAAATTTCGCCAAGCTTGCAAACTATGGCATGCAGAAAGTCCAGACCGACAAGACAAAGTCAAGACGCGCACGGTGGAACGCAATACGACACGCTTTAGGTCCGTGCAGGTTGATATACTCGGAGGCATCGGAAATAATTTTACTGGAATTCATGGCATTGATTGAAGCCAGATGGTATAAGGCGCAGCTAATGACTGCTATCGAAATGTCCATTCGGATATACTTATGGAGCAAGCTGGCTCACTACGCGTTCTCATCTATGTCCTATACCTGCCGTATCCCGCTTGAACGAACCGCTGAATACAAGAGTGAGGTTAGCAAGCGTCAACGATAGCGGATGGTTGAAGTCAGAGATCTTGGTGGAAATGTTGTCTCATAGGGTGTCATCCCTCTGAAGTAGCAAATATATAGTAGAAACATCACACGAACACGATCCAGGTCAGGAAGACTCAACTCACCTGACATAATCCGTACACTGTCAGAAGTAGATGTTCACCAACCGCAAGTTGACCGCTCCTGCAAAATTGAGCAAAGCTTGACACACATAGTCGTGAAAATAGTAACGTGTATAATGGACAGTCAGATAGGAGCCACCCAGTGATATAGCGCGCGCCTTACAGGCCTCATATAGCTCGGCAGATACCGCGGCTATACAGTACCAGTCACTGTGGCTGTCACGGGCGCCTCGCGTCGACCACCGAAATTCGCGACAGTGACGAGCTGCTCGAGACCGACGCCGCCATCCTTCACGAGCCTCCTCGCCCATCCTCCATCATGGAATCACTTCGTTACCTCGGCTCTATGCCCGGACACAAGGGCTGGATCACTGCCATTGCAACATCGTCGGAGAACCCGGACATGATCTTGACCGCATCTCGCGGTATGTCTACCCCCATGCATGCACCAGCACCGTCTGACCAGGTGTTGCACAGACAAGACCATCATTGTCTGGCAGCTGACCCGCGAGGAGGACCAGTACGGTTACCCCAAGCGCATCCTTCACGGGCACAACCACTTCGTCTCGGACGTTGTTATTTCTTCTGACGGCCAGTTCGCGCTCTCGTCGTCCTGGGACCACACCTTGCGGTTGTGGGATCTGAACACTGGCGTCACTACCCGCCGCTTCGTCGGCCACACCTCGGACGTCCTGTCTGTCAGCTTCAGTGCTGACAACAGGCAGATTGTCTCCGGCTCGCGCGATCGAACAATCAAGCTCTGGAACACGCTCGGAGAGTGCAAATACGACATCAAGGAGGACGGCCACACTGAGTGGTGAGTCAGGAACGTCTTTTGAGGGAGAGATGAACTCAACGAGTCGACGGAATGCAGGGTGTCATGCGTGCGTTTCAGCCCGAACGTCCTTAACCCTGTGATTGTCTCGTGCGGTTGGGACAAGGTTGTCAAGGTGAGTCTCGTCTGCTTTCTTTTAGCACTTTTCCTTGTTCGGTATGATGTCACAAAATATTTGCTACTTCAGAGGGGTGTATCACCTCAGTGAGACTACTTTAATCACCAAGATCTCTGACCATTCTTCTTTGATCCCATGTACCTCTTGACTACATGCTCATTCCATTATCCCCTAGGTTTGGGAGCTCTCGAAGTTCAAGCTGAAGACCAACCACTATGGCCACACCGGTTACATTAACACCATCTCCGTTTCGCCCGACGGCTCGCTGGCGGCCTCCGGCGGCAAAGACGGCATCACCATGTTGTGGGACCTCAACGAGGGCAAGCACCTATACTCATTGGAGGCGGGTGACATCATCAACGCACTTGTCTTCTCTCCCAACCGGTACTGGCTGTGCGCGGCGACCGCAACATGCATCAAGATCTTCGACTTGGAGAGCAAGTGCGTCCCCCCGTTATTATTCATTTGGTGTCGTTGTTCAGACACGTTTGTAGACAGATCGTGGACGAGCTCAAGCCTGACTTCGCGCAGAGCGCGAACTCGCGGGAACCCGAGTGTGTCTCCATCGCATGGTCTGCGGATGGCCAGACGTTGTTCGGTGGCTTCACGGATGACCTCGTCCGTGTCTGGTCCGTCGTCTCGTAAGAGCCTGTATCGTCACACAAAAGTGGTGTCCAGGTTTGCGGGTCCTCAGCGGGAGGAGTGTGGGCAGTTGTGTTACCTATGTCGATTATTGCTTGTAGCTTACAAAATGCATTTCTTTGCACTCAGCTCTTCCGTTCCACTAGCCCTGGCCATGATGCAAGGCGAGCGGAATAATTGTTTTCTCTTTGTACAGATGAATGATGTTGGAATCTATTTGCATGTAGGTGCTAGTTTCTACGATATGTTATACTATGTCCATGCTCTGTGTCCTATCATCTCGGTGTTGCTATCTCGGTGTGCGAAGACCTACTGCTCTGTCTCTATTACGGCTTGCTTTGGTCCCAAGGCAGCAGAGAATCTTCGCCCAACTTCTCTTTCACAATTTGCTCGCTCAGCCTCCACAAGTTTGCCCCTAGTTCTGGATCGCGAGCCATATCGCTCTCCTTGCTTGCTTCCCCGGGGTCCGTGATGTAGCGGCCGTTCCACTTGGGGCTATGTTCCTCTACCTCCGGGCATGTCGCCGCCCACAGGGCGCTCAAGCTGCCTTGGTCGGGCGAACGCATGAACGGAGTGACGACATGCTTCATGATGGTTCCTGGAACTTCGCCGTACGCCTCCTTGAATTGGTCCTGTTGTCCGGTGTGGACAGCGCCCGGGTGCGTCGCAAGCGCGAGGATTCGATCGTTTGCCGGGTCCAATACACGCTCGATGAGGCCGTATTTGACATACAGTATGTTCGCGAGCTTGCTCCGAGCGTACAGCTGCATAGACCCCAGGTCCGTGTTGATCTCGTCCACGGACTCGAAGCGCACGGAAGACGGCGCGGACGTGTGCAGCGACGACGACATGCAGATGACACGCGGTGCTGGCGCCCCCGGCAAAGTAGAGGTGTGCCGCATGAGCGGCAGGAGACGATTGGTGAGAAGAAAGTGCCCGAGATGGTTCACTGCGAAATGGCGGTCGATGCCGTCCGAGGAGACGTCGTACTTGTTGACACCAACGCCGGCGATGCAGAAAAGCTGCGAGGTATATCAGCGTGATCTATGCGCATATAGCCAGCGCTATGATCTGGCTGGCAACGTACAAGGTCGAGGCGCTCCTCCTGTTTCCGGAGCTGGTCCCCAATTTTCCGCACTTGCGTTAGGCTGCCGAGATCGCACGAGACCCAGGTGACGTCTACTAATCCTCCACTCGCGCTCTGCGACGCCTTGATATTGGAGATAGCTTCTTCTGCATTGTCTTGTCCGCGGGAGAGAAGGATGACGCGCGCTTTGGCAAAAGCAAGGGCTTTGGCAACTTCAAATCCAATACCAACGGTACCCCCAGTAACCACAGCGACCTGTTCATACGTTTCGTTTCATTTCAGGTCAGGGCTGTTCCGATTTACCGCGAACAGACTCACTCTGCCTTGCATGTCAGGCACGTCCGACTGGCTGTACTCGGACTTCCCGGCGAGCTTGTTGTAGATCGATTGCATGGCGAAAGTACGTGCTGTGACTCCGTATTGCGTTGTGCGGTAGAGAATAGAGAGATTTAAGGCCGTCCTGAAGACGAAGAACATGAACCAACAGGAAGACCCATCGACGTCATACCTGGTTGCCTTATATAGCGTCACACCGATCTACAGATTTACCTCCGTTGGGTTGCGTAAACTAGCTCAAGTACCTCCCTTGCTAGTCCCGAACTTGCAACATCGTCGAATATCTCTGTACAATATCTCGTACAGCCACAGATTTTATGGACAACATCACCGGCACTAAGGCTACATATCGTTACAAGTCCCGTGAGGGTCACAAACTCAGCAGCTGTGTTCGTGCTTCAGTCCGCTTTACTCTTCCCAGACCTCCGCATCGACAATTCCGGGAAAATGCTGCCATCATAGACGCGCCTAACATCCTCTTTTCTGACGGCGCCATCATCAGGCCAAAGTAGGATGTACAACGAAAGCCCTTCAAAGATTTGGTGAGTCGCTCTCGCAGTCGCCTCGTAACCAGGCCCTAACGCTCACATTCGAAGAATGCACCGAACCAGCCAATGGGATCGAGGAGGACACGCTGCCCCTTGAGTATGTTCCAGATTTCCCACTTGTTCAAACTTTTTCCATCAGCGGCATACTTGGAGAAGATGTCTTCAAACCTGCGTCGAACCTATTGATTAGGAACAGTCTTAAATGGAAGAGGTGCACATACTTCTGCGGGAGAAAGCGACCCTCGTTGTCGTAGGCGCCCGTGTCGCTGCCGTGCTTCGCCTTATGAATGTCAGCCACCCGCACGCGGAAGAATGGGTCTGGTAATAGACTTGGAGATGTTGGGTAGGAGAAGTTAGCGTGGATGATGAATACGGCAAGTAGGCTGAGAATGATGTTGAACCCGAGGTTGTGGAAGCCGCGGTATGTGTCAAGCGGCCAGACTACCCCGTCTCCGTCCGGATCGAAGTAATTGACATGCTGTTGCAGAACTGTTTCGCGACGATGCTTTGCGGCCCATCCGCCAGACTGAGTCCTTTGGGGCGCTTCAACTGTAGGTGCAAAATTGGCACGCGCGGTGCCTGTCACAGGACATGTTCAACATGTCAACTCCGATCGTCGGTGAAGGTATGCATACCAGGATTGACGAGCTCTTTCTCCTCGGACGAGATATATGGGATTCTTTCGCAAGTCACGGGGACTTCGCGGACGTATGTCTGGAGTGGCTTGTTGCTATCGGTCTGCAACATCTTCCTGTATTGACGCGACGCGGCTTGCGCTAGTGCAGATTATAGTGGTATCGATAGAACGCGGGTTGAGAATATGAACATCGCAACGACGACAAGAGGGTTTCTTCTAGCATTCGTCACATGACCGATGGTGATCAGGCAAAAGGTGTATCAGTGGTGTCATGGACGGCGTCATCTCCACTCCTTCACGAGCGAGCAGATCGCTTTGAACGAATAAGCCACCTTCCATTGCAATTGCAGAGGCGGAAGGCCCCGCAGAGCGACTATCGTTCTCAACACGTGTATTCATCCGCGGCATACATTATCCAGGCCTAGGAGAGCTTGGTCAATGTGGATTTCACCGCTGTGGCGTTGTGGCTGATATCCAAACGAGGAAGGAGTATTTCCTGATTCGGATAGTGGCGGCGATCGCGTTATGGCAGCGCGTCGTCTTCGTCGACGTCATCCTCGAAATCGTCCTGCCAGCGCAGACGGTATAAGATGCTTGAAGGCGTCGAAACAAGCACCTCCTCTCTTCCACTACCTCCATCTCACGCCACGCAATGTCGACTCAAGTTGAATTCAAGGGCTACGCTCTCACAGGTAGGCTACTCTACTATAGAACCGAATCGCGTCCTGTAACGATGCGCACAGACCCTAAAAGGTGGAGTGATCTCGAGGTTGTATCGTTCAAACCGAAGACCTTCAAATCAGATGACGTTGAGATCGCCATCACACACTGTGGTGTATGTGGCTCCGACGTGCATACACTCACTCAGGGATGGGGAGAGAGCAAGCTCCCCCTCGTCGTAGGCCACGAGATTGTAGGGAAGGCAACCCGCGTTGGGGACAACGTCAAAGACATCAAAGTAGGAGACCGCGTGGGTGTCGGCGCGCAAATTGGCAGCTGCATGAGCTGCAGAGAGTGTAAAAGCGACTACGAGAACTATTGTGCCAACGGCATCCCGACTTACGTATATTGCTTTTTCCTGACTACTGGATTCTATATGGCTGACATTTGCGACAGAATGGCGAGTACCCCGACGGAGTGGTCAGTCAGGGAGGCTATGCGACGGCTATTCGGGCTCATCAACAGTTTGTCTTCCCCATTCCGGACGAGATCGAATCTCGTCATGCTGCGTCGATGCTGTGTGCTGGCCTTACGGTATATTCTCCCCTGAGGACGCACGGCGCTGGACCAGGCAAGAGGGTTGGTGTTATTGGCATCGGCGGTCTCGGGCATTATGCAATCTTATGGGCCAAAGCGATGGGTGCTGAGGTCTATGCTTTCACGCATGACCACGGCAAAATGGAAGATATCAAGAAGATGGGTGCAGACCATGTCGTGAACACCGAAGACAAAGCGAGTGCGCATCGAACGTCCAGGTTTGTGCCTGCTGACGCCATTTTGGCAGGACTACCACAAGCCTCTGGCACGTACGCTGGACTTGCTCGTCTCCACCCGAGATGTTTTCAATCCCGAGATGTCTCTCGATGCCTACCTGTCGATGCTCTACGTGCATGGCAAGTTCATCACCGTCGGAATACCAGATGCCAACAATCCGCTGCCAGCTATTCACCCATTCAGCTTGGCACCCAATGGTTGCATGATCGGAGGCAGTGCCATTGGCAGTAAGAAGGAATGTCTCGAGATGTTGGAGCTTGCGAGGTCGAAGGGGGTGCAACCCTGGATTGAGGAGATACCAATGCACGACGTCAAGAAGGCGTTGGAAGGGCTGAAGCAGAACAAGGTTCGCTACCGTTACGTCCTGACGCAGGACATCAACAAGGTGTAGCCTTAGCATCGCATTATGTCTCAATTCGGCCACAAATGTGAGCCCAACTCGTACTTGGCGGCTGTTAACGTGAAATCTGCGGATGCGTGTTTTGTTCGAAATAGGAGCTCAGAATATTCGGCATAGGACTCGCTGTTTGGTGAGGGTCCAGGAAATCAGCGTTCCTTGGGGCAGAAGGAACTATACACGTAACAATGACAGGGAACGATCCCTCTGGCTAAATATAGTCGCCTGTTCAGAACGTATTGATGTGAGACCGCATACACTCATCCTTCCAATGTTCACAGCCATGAATTGTTCGATCAGTGAACTGTATCAGTCATATTCCTACAAACCTACAGCCAACTATTCAGTCTTACTTCGCGCCAATAGCCTTCATACCAATGACCCAAGACGCTCACGCCAGAGCACCCTGAATTGACCAATTTCAGAATGAATGATGTTATAATGATACAACGTGAGCCGTACCATAGGGTCCCAGAGGGGCAGAAGTGTCTTCTCGCCGCCTTCGAACACCTTGACGAGCTCCTTTGGCGCAAGACCCTTGGGCACGACCACCTGGTAGACAAACCTACAAGCGCAACATATTCAACACCATGCAAGCGGCAGACACAGAAACTGAAGTACGCACTGCTCGAACCATTCGTCGGTCATGAGGTAGTAACCCTTGTCGCCAGTCGAGTCGCCCCACGAGTTTTCGATCTTGTAGCGCAGAGGCTTGCCCGCGGGGTCGAGGTGCACGCCGGAGATGACCATCGCGTGCGTCATCGCGGACTCGCTCGTGCGCAGACGGTCTGCCTTGGAGAGGCCGAACTTGATGTCGAACGCATTCTACGGCACAGACCGAGGGTAAGAATGGTGGGCAAGCAAGACAGACGGGCCGGGCAGCGCACCTCGAAGTCAAAGAGCTTCGTGTCCATGATGCCGGCCTCGCGCTCAAGGAACTGGCCGACGTCGCAGCCGAAGAAGACGGGCTGGCCTGCCTTGATCATCTTCACGACGGCGTTCTTCAGGTTGTCGATCTCGGTGTTCACGTCTGGTAAACAAATGTGAGAATTGGACGTCAGGAGCGAGTCACACGACAGAACTGACAAAGCACGTCGCGGCCGCCCCATACGTTCCCGAGCTTCTCGACCGAGTACAGCTTGCCGTACTCGTTGCGCGGGTCGTTGATGAGCGAGAAGGACTCGGATGGCTGGAGGCCCCATAAGTCGGACGGCCCAGCGCACAATGCGGGCCTGAAGACGCACCGAATACTTGTCACTCGCGAATGTCTTGTAGAACTCGCGCGCCGTGCCCTCCCAGTGGCCCGCCTTGCCGTCCTTGTCGTAGTAGTCCCACGTGAACTTCTCGTTCGCCATCGGCGGCACGCCGAGAGTCGCGGTCATGATCGTGTACACCTCCTTCATGAGCTCCTCCTTCTTTGCGCGGAGCGCTGAGAGCACCTCCGCCTCTGTGTGCACCTGCGAGGCGCGCAGCGAGGAGGCGAGGCTGCGGAGGATGAGCGCGTGCTCGCGCAGCTTACGCTTGAGGACGGTGTTGAGAGGGCTGGAGAGGGACGAGTGGAGCGACTCGGGGTAGACGGGCTGGGGAACAATGCCGTAGTGCTCGAGGATGTTCACAACCATGTCCCATTGCCCGCCGTCGCTGATGAGATCCTGCGAGGTGTGGAAGACAATGCGGTCATCGATTGGGAGGTCGGCGTGCTGGATGGAGAGCTCGAGGTAGTAGTTGGACTTGTTCAGCTTGTCCCAGAAGAACAGATATGACTGGATGTGATCGTCAGAAGACGGGTCCTACCGATCTGTTGCCATGATGTGCACTCGCCTGGGACAGCTGGAAGTCATCGAGATTGAGCTTCTTCATGATGTTGTATCGGAGGACATTGGTTGTCGCGAACAGCCAGCAGCGGCCAGACGACTTCTGGTTCGTGACGGGGCCGGTCTTGAAGTCCAGCTGCGTGTTGAAGATGTGCGCATCTGCGATCTTCGCTGAACGCGAGAGGAAGGCGGTCTGGATGTTGTTGTGGTGCAGGACGGTGCGGGTCAGCTGCAGCTTCGAGCTGGAGGAGACCTCTTCCTCCCACGACTCGATGTTTGTCATGGGCAGAGAGCCATCCTCAGACGCTGCCGGGCGCAGGTGCAGCGAGGACAGGGACGCGGCGACCTGGTCAACGGCGGCGCGCTTCTCGTCGAGTGCGCAGACCGCAGGGCGGGCAGAGGAGGAGGCAGGCTTGGAAGGAACAGCACCCATGTCGACGAGGAGGACGGAAGTATGTCGGTGGGATTTCGCAGTGAATGCTTACATGTTATAAGAGGTCCCAGGTGATAGAGCCTGGGAAGGAACGAGATAAAGGATCGTTGCCCCATTGGCCTCTTCCATCAGCCGCAGGCCCGCAGGCGCAGAGATGTGCGAGTCAATGAGTAGTCAATGACTTGCCATAGTCATTGACTATTGATGGGAAATGACTTGCATGACCGTGACTCTACCCACGGTCCGTTGACTTTACCCACGGTCTCGTGCCTTCGCCACTTTGGGTAACGGGCAGTGACCTCAGTGTCTGTACACCGCCAATTGGCGCTCGAGTGGTGTCCCGTCGTCGGGCTGTGTTTGACCACAATACGCGATATATAGATACATTTTAGTAATTCTGCACAATCATAAGCCATAAACATGCCTGTATATGATGTTAAAGCATGTGTAAGAGGGCCTGATAGCGGCACACATTATGGACGAGATTAAGCGCTGTTAGATACTATAGTGCAGAGTGCGCGGGATATAGTTATGTATCAAGTATTGTTTCTAAAGTCTCGTCTATACTACTGAAATTAGTGTCGTCCTCCTCGCCTTCGGCATCCAGGTCTATCAGCTCATAGAACTCAAGCTCATCTTCGAGACTATGGTGTGCATTCCTCTCATACCTTTCCACCCAGCTACTCATCGTGAAGTCGAAAAGCTCTATGATACTGATTGAGATTTTACTTGGAAATCGCACCGGCTCTGCATCCTCGTCGTTACTGACCATTTGCGCGAAAGAGTTGTTGAAATGCGCTGACCCGCGTGGTCAGAAACGAGCTCGAAAGCTCGGGCGCGCGAGTAGCCGGGGGCTGGAGGCCCCTATCGTAGTATATAACGACCGCGCGCGATGTATGTACCGCACGCGATTGTCCCTTACGGGCATCGCTACGCCCATGGACAAACGCGCCCCGCGCCGTTCGCACCGTTGTTCCAACAAACCTGCTGTGCGTCGAGCCTTTTCTCTTCTTCTACTCGAATAGCATAGCATAGCACAGTTTGCACCATACCTTCGCCTTGTCAGCGACATTGTTGTTATTATATGCAGTGGGGTCTTTCTGCTATAGTGATGGGTGGTCATAAAAGAATGCGCGATACCATTTGCAATTTGCTGAGGAGCGCAACATTGGGGCAGCAAGGGGGGATTAAGGCAAATGTGGTGTATAGATTCATTGAAACAACTATAAATACACAAGGTAGCTAGGCTAGGGGCAACATTTCTTGGCACATGAGCATTGTGCGAGGCAGACAGAATATGAGATCCATGAGCTCACTGCCTGTACTAAATGAAAGCTTAAGTATCATGAGGCATGGGCACCGGGCATGCAGCATAACGATCTTCCGACAATACCACAAAAGGAAGTGTGACCTCGACCACCACTATGCCCGAGGACCCCGGGCTTACCTCGGAGTCATGACTGTCCCAGGGTCATTGACGGTCAATGGCAAGTCAACGATCAATGACTATGACCATTGACCACGGTCATTGACCGCACACCACTGCGCAGGCGTGCGCAGGAGGACAGCGGGTACCATTCGACGACCGTGCTGAGCGATCTCAGTCGTCGTGACATGTGCTGCCAACCCTATGGCGGTTTAAATCAACCATTCTTAGCACAGCTTCTTATCTTGTCCCTCAATCGCAGCCAGGTCGCAGCGCTTCACCCCGGCGCCTTTTGCACGCCTTCAATGAAACCAACGATGTTGCTTATATCATCATTTGAAACGCAGGTCCTGGAACATGTTATACTGCCCTCAAGCTAGAACTCGCCAGCAATGGATGTCACCATCTATACTTTAATTGAAAGGTCCTCTCATGCACATATTATGTGCCTTTTGTTGCGCAGAAGTGAACCTGATTTTGCATGGGGAATCTTATGAAGGACTACAAGGTTCATGTTATTACGGAGGGGCATGAGCGATTGACAGCTGTACCCAATTCTTTTTCATTTTTCGATTTTGTGCATGATAAAGTCTGTAATGCAAACACGGTTGTACTCGATCAAGCTACGGATACGCTCCGAATCCCGATGGATCGGGTCTTTATCATCGCAGCCACTTCGCTTGCTATCTGTATCATATCCCTCAGTGACGCTCGTCTCGCCGTTCACAAAACATAAGAATCGCTGGCTACTCCGCAACGACCACAGGCTGTATCCGTTAACTTAATTCAGAGCTCTCGAGGTTCACGATACTGCTGCTGTTTCCCGATACACACTTCGCTTTATCTTTACTTCCGCCGGCTCTCAGGCCGAACCACAGTAGTCCGCCGATATGTCTGAGCACCTCCATACCTATCACGAGGACGAGGAGGACGCAGCCCGCACACCAACACCCTTCACCGGTGCAGGCGCGACCTCGCCAACTCTGGACGCGCTGCTCTCACCCAAAAACCCTGAAGCCCATTTCCCCGCGCGCGCATCGGTCGCGGCGTCAGACGTGACTGATGACGAGACGCGCTTTTCGACCGTCGCGCTCAGCAGTGCCCGCCAGAGCTGGGACTCCGCGCGACTCTCCTTGGGTTCGGCGGACTCGAACTTTACCAAGGACGACCGCCGGAATACCGTCGCGTTGGATACGGCGGGGGTATCTACGCCAGTGAAGGCTCTCGGGCACAAGAAGACGCCGTCGACGTCAACCATACTCTCGGCTTCAAATGTCCCTTTCATGCTGTCTCAAATGGAGGGTGACGAGAGTTCGCGTCGGAACAGCGCGGCGAGCCAGCACAAAATTCAGGAGGAATTTGCTCGCAAGCACGTTGATTTGCAAGATTCTGGTTCTGAAAATGACGAAGAGGACTCGGTTGATTGGGGTGCATCATTTATCACTGTACACTTTGCCCAGCGGAACTGATGCTCTGCCGAATCGTTAAGACTTCTGGGGACAAGTCGTGTCTGGTGCGCTGCCTCCCCACCGGGATTATGTACTGCCATTCAAACACGTCAAAGTCGCTAGATTACCAGAAATTCGCCGCTGATCATCCTCAGGAGCTCGCGTCTGCAATTGGACGCGGCATCCCGAAGACGATACGGGGCATGATTTGGCAACTAATGTAGTGCGCCTTTCTCATCACTGCCATCGGGCTACAAGCGTTGTGGCTGATCCATGATCAGGACTGCGTCGAAAGACCCTGAGTTGGAGAGCACGTATTTACGTCTGTTGAAGGAGACAAGTCCACACGAGAAAGCTATTACCAGAGATCTCGGACGGTAAGGCCCTACATTACGCGCCGTATGTCGCCCTGACGGATAGTGTCGCATTAGGACATTCCCCCATCATGCTTTCTTCACAGACGGGCGTGGAATAGGCCAAGAGAACTTGTTTAATGTCTTGAAAGCGTATTCATTGTTCGTCGAGAATGTCTGATGTATTTACCCTCCTCCACTGACGCTTACCGCAAGGTACGACCCACAGGTTGGGTACTGTCAAGGGCTGCCATTCGTAGCCGCCGTGTTATTGCTGCATGTAAGCGCGCGGACTAAGTACATAGCAGCATGCTGATGGACTTGCAGATGCCCGACGAAGAAGCGTTTTGTCTCCTTGTCCGGCTCATGTACTCGTATGACTTGCGAGGTCATTTCTTGCCTGAGATGCCGAAGCTACAGCTACGATTAGTGAGTGTATCCTCCAAGATTTCCTTGTCCTAGCTGACCTAGATATACTTTGGCCCAGTTCCAGGTCAGAATACCAGTCAATAACCCGAATACATCCTAAGTGCCTCTTGCAGTTTGAACGCCTGATAGAGGAGCTTGCGCCTGTCATGCACGTCCACTTTCTCCGACAAGGCATCAAGTCGAGCATGTACTGCTCGCAATGGTTTCTGACAATGTTCAGCTATCGGTAAGCCGTCTCGCGTCCTCATATCAGCGTTTGATAACGTAGGGCAGATTCCCCATGGATGTAGTCTTCCGCATATTTGATAACTGCCTGGCGAGCGGCATCGAGGCGCTATTCTCATTCAGCCTTGTGCTACTTCTCAAGAACGAGCAGACGCTCCTCTCACTGAAGTTTGACCAGCTCGTATCGTTCCTCAACGTGCGAATATTCGATCTCTATCAGGTAACGACGTGCGTGCTTGCTCGCACATCATCCAATTTTGATCTTGGCCCCTTCAGGTGGACCCGCCATCAGGCGACTCGTCTTCTCAAGCGGAAGAGGGTGAGGCGCGAATAGGAGATATCAAATACAACGTCGACCAGTTTGTGCAAGACGCGTTTGCACTGGATGTCACGTCCTTCATGCTGGACTCATACGTACAGGAGTATGAGGAGATGGTCCGCACGCGGAACGCGCATGCGATCGAGATGGACGCCCTGCGTAATAGCAATCGCCAGCTATCGGCGCAGGTGTGCGTATAATTGCGACTAAGGTTTTGATGTCCATTTAGTATCTGACATTCATGCCCTCGCTTGCAGGAACAGGATGGAGTCTAGCTTATCTCAGCTGAATGTAGAACACTGCGAGCTACTAGTGCGTGTCCTGGCTTGGCTATATTTTGCCTGTCATGTGAGCTCATCTGGCGGTTGTACGACAGAACGAACTCGTGAAAGCCCGTCTCAAGCACGAAGAACTCGAGTCGGAGCTCGTGCGGTACAAACTACTGTATGAAATACCGTCCCTTTTCACTATTCGCCCTCCGCTCACTATGAACATCAGGTACGCCGAGGCGATGCATCAGAGCGAGGATGCCATGTCATCACACCGGATATCCATGGGAATGGCCAAGAGGGGCAGCTCTAGTACAGGGTGATCAAGTCATCAGCTCACTCCTGGTCGTTGTCGGAGGTTGCACTGTTCTGGCCGCTTTGATCTCGCATTGCTTCGTTCTGTCTCGCACATCGTGTAGCATCAATCAGACTTTGTATTCAGAGCGTCTTCTGTACAGGATGGAAGGATTCGTGGCAGCATACACAATTCAGTGATCGCTCAAGACATGTTTGTATAGTACTTGGACAATCCGTTTAGATACTATTTCGAAAGCTCAATGGTGGATAAATTCGTGATACGACCTATAAGGCACACAAGAGTGAGAAACGGCCTGAGATTGCAGCTGAAACCTACCTCAAGAAGAAGCTTGCACAGTGAGATTCCATGCCTCTACTATGCCTCGCACCTCATCATCGTGATTTTTTATGCGGTCTGGTGCTTGCGAAGTGAAGAACGCCTGCGTTCCTCGCATAAGTCCGACGCTTGTTGCTCCCCACCAACGCAGCACTGGGTTTGGGATGCTGAGCTCTGTGGCGCAGGTCACGGCGTCGCTCTGTCCCGCTGTGTATCTTCTTAGCGCCTCTTGACGAATATCACCGGCAAGCCAATGTTGGGCAAACTTGCGTGCGGTAGAGAATAAGACATTCTCCGTGTGCCACATGCAGTTTCGCGAGAAGACGTCGTAGCGGGGAGTTTTTGCGTACACTATTTCGAGCAGGGACGCGAATGAATCGAGGGATGGGCCCGCATGCGTGGGCTGACTTTCAGCACTCAATCTCCCCAGCCCTTTCGCACCACTGCGGAGAGTCTCGAAGTCGTCGTTGAGGAATGTGTACTGCCCTACGCCTGCGGGGGTATCACCTGCGAAGTCCATCCGGACATAGGTCCAGAATCCATTGGGATGCTGTTTGTTTTTGACGCGCACTGACGCGATCAGGAACTGGTGGCCGAAGAGCTGTAGCGTGCCTCGGACAAGCTCATTGTTAGGATCGATTATCTGGAAGCTCTCTAGGGCGACAAGGGGGGCAGAGCGGATGACGTCGTTGGCCTGGTGGACAGCGCGGGCGAAATCGGTTACGAAGCATGCGACCTCGGGGAGGCCTAGCTCTTCACGCAGTACTCAAGACATGCTCCTGGGGTGCAACCTGGGAAAATAGAAATTAGGGTATGTACTACCCTCTTATATGGAGGGAAAACTGAGATAAGGAACTTCTTTGTATTTGTCGCTGTGGGCGCATCTAAGTAGGGCTCGGTGATCAGATGCCAAATCCATCCCGATGTCAAGGGAAAATACCCAATCTGCCTCATAAGGAAGTGCCGCGTGTCAAGTCTTGCCTGTTATGAGTAATAGGTTCGTCGCGCCGAAAGTACCTCTAGGCGGACAACGGGAACGTTAAGTGATGCGCGTTTGCGAGGAGGCCGGACATCGAGCTGTCAAGAACGAGCGAACAAGAGCAAGGAGGCTGGCGAGAGTCACGAACAGAAAATGCTGATACTGGCGTTGATTCGACGAGGCCATAGGACGAGCATTGGACAGGCTTTGTACGCGAATAAGAACCGAGTATCTCCGAAATGCGGCTGTACATGTGCGAGATAGCGAACTTGGCAGGGACATCGAGCGATAAAGGGATGGTACCGTAGCGGGAAAGCCGGTGCGGCGAAACTGTCCGTTCATACCTACAATGGCCGGGTAGTGGTGTTAACCACTGCGACAGTCCAACCAATGGAAGATGCAGTCGTATCATCATCGTACGGAATGTTCGTACTAAGTTAGCAGGAAGTTGACGTAAAAAGGGCTCGTACACATAATGTAGTCCTCGTTCTCACATTTGGGGCCAGGGGCGCGAGTGTCGGATGTCCTGCAGTGCCAACCCCGGTGGCAGTTCTTAGTTGCGGTTGGAGATTGTACCACTTATGAGAAGTTGAGAATGAGGATCTGGGGTTATGCTATGCCAGCTGTGTGTAGTCTCTTGAGAACAGATGTCGACGCTTCCTTCACAATTCCACAGGCTAGCTGTGGGTTCATATGGGCGCGGAATGAGCTCACGAGCGCCTACCTCGCATGGGCGTCAGGATGTCACCGACTCCTTGCCACCGCCGCGCTCGACGTACGCCGTTTCTCTCGATGTCTGCTCATCTCGCTGCCAGTACCTGCTGGGAACTCTAATAAGCTAGATGTTTGGCCCTGGGAAACGCTTTCTGCACCGTCATGCACAACAGGTCTTTGGGTGGGAGAGAATGTATTTGAACGCCCGGGCACAAACGCGAAGTAGTCGCCTGCATACAACTCCTCCTCACGATGCGTCCTCAAAGACAGCCGTCAGGCGAAAGACATGGCTCATCCTTCCCACGACGCTAGTCCTACTGTGCGGTACTGGATATTTGACGTACCAGTATAACCAGCCTTTCCGCCATACCATGCTTGCGATCGTTCGGTGTTCTAGGGTCGCCGGTACGCTTCTATGAAGGCTAATGATGGTATTGTGGTTTTGACTGGCATTACAGAGGCGGCGATACTGGGCGCCATAGACTATAAAGTCACATTTGCAAAAAGCTACGAGTCAGACGAAGCCTTGCAGGACGCACATTCGAGATGTCATAAACGAAGTGCGGAGAGGGTTTTGACAGCTCTCTTGGCCAACGGAGGTACTGACGACTACATATCTGAGTTGTTCAGTGCTTTATCTATCTGCTCCCAGGAATATTCATCAAGATGGGCCAACATATAGCGTCTCTGTGAGTGCACATGTTCATGACATATTACAGATATTGTGACGAATGCATAGCGTAGTGCTTCCCATAGAATGGACGAGCACGATGCGTCCGTTGCAAGATAAATGCGAACCAACACTTTATGAAGATGTGGAAGATCTATTCGTGACGGACATGGCTAGACCACTCTCAGACTACTTCGACGATTTTGATCCTGTGCCCATCGGCGTAGCTAGTCTGGCGCAGGTACATGTCGCACGGTGGAAGGAAACGGGCGAAAAAGTAGCAGTGAAGGTATATAGTTTCGTTCACGTTAATACCAGAGTGACGAGTGCAGTCTGCAGCTTCAACACCCTCATCTTGCCGAGTTTTGCGAGATTGACATGGAGATGGTCGAAGTATCCCTTGGTGAGCCATCTATCACATCCTGAGCACAGCTGAATTGATCCATACTTGCAGGTTGGATAAAGCACTGGTTTCCTGAGTTTGAGTTCACTTGGCTAGGGGAAGAAATGCGGGAAAATCTGCCTAAGGAGATGGACTTCACCCATGAAGCCCGCAATGGGCAACGAGCAGCTGATGAATTCGACAATTTCCGGACTTCACTATACATCCGTGAGTTTTGCAGACTGAGATGGTATACTTATGTTCAAGCGTGATCTATAGCCAAGGTTTTGCACGCTGACAAGCGCGTGTTGGTCATGGAGTTTATACAAGGAGGCAGAGTCGACGATCGCGAGTACTTGTCGGAGCACAATATTGACAGGAACAAGGTCGCGATAGAGCTGGCACGGATCTTTGGACAAATGGTTCACTTGAATGGCTGGTTCCATGCAGTAAGGGTCTCACTTCCTCCGGATTCGGTTCCTCCAGCTCATTCATGCGTAGGACCCGCATCCAGGTATACCTAGTGTTCCACTCTGATGCTCACCTCTTGATCACTATCTGCAGGTAATTTACTGATTAGGCCCGCACCGGGGACCTCGAAGTCGCCATACAACTTTGAGATCGTCCTTCTGGACCATGGTCTTTACTTTGACCTTGACCAAGAACTGCGGATAAACTACAGCAAATTCTGGCTTGCCTTGATCGCTCCTGCAACTCCTGCGACTCTAGCCGACCGCAAGAAGTACGCGCGACTTGTGGGGAACATAGACGACGAACTCGTAAGATGCCATGTCCATTTTACTCCTCTGTGCCCCTAATATACAATTTTATACAGTACCCCGTCTTCGAGGCAGCTTTGACAGGAAGAGCTGTTCTAAAAGACTCACCAGTCGACCCTGATAAGGCGGAGAATACCACGTTCAGACGCGCTTCCAGCATGATAGACATCACTGCGCAGACAGAGCAAGAGATGGAGGCGATCCGAAAAGCTGTCGTCGAACAGGAGGGCCTTCTACTGTCCGTGTTTGATGTGTTGCGGAGAGTGCCACGGCGTGTCCTCATGGTACTAAAGCTGAATGACTTAACCAGGTTTGTGATTCCGCTGTGAACTCATGAATGTATTTGCTAACATACTACGTAAAGGAGTCTCGACCGTGCGCTTGCAACAACCCACTCAAACGTGAGTACGGTGGAGCTTTCTCGCAGACACAGGCTTAATCACATGCTGCATCTGGAAGGTCCGAGTATTCCTCGTTACAGCCAAGTACTGTACGCTAGCAGTCTGGGAAGATACACGACGACAGCTTATATCACAGATGCGCGAAAGAGGTCTCGTGTCTCTGGGTCTGCTATTCGATTACTTCTCAGCGTGGTGGTAGGTCTACACTGATGAATAATATGGCTGATACTCATGGTCGTACTTTCTCAGGCATTATCAGAAGATGTATAGATCTTTGGCTGCTGCAGAAACATGGATGGATCTGGAGGCGTATTTGGTCAAGACCAAGGCATGGGTCTGGGGGTTGTATGCAGTAGGTGGACTGCAGGGAGCTCACAAGGCTGCGGCTGGGCTGGCTTGATCGTCCAGTCGAACACAGATAGTTGTCTTCCTGCTAATATTACAATACAACATGAACATGATAGCTGGATATTCACATACTGTCCGAGAAGACGAAAGCAACGTTAACGCATGCAGATACCTTAAATCCATGCTCTTTACTTCTTCGTCTTCTTGAAGAGCGCATCAATTGCATCTTGGCCTTCTTTGAGTTTCTCCCACTACGCTATGTCAATTCGGCTGCAAAGAGGTCAACCGCGGGGAGGACTAACCTGTTCCTGATTAAGCGTGACACCCTTTTTGCCCGGCTTTTCATCCCCTTCTTGTCCGTAATACTCCCGGATATCGAGAAAGACGGTACCTGACGTCGCAAGCAGAAATATGTACCGGTACAAGACAGTTACAGTAAATACTCACCTTTGAAGGCCCGAACCGTTGCTCGACGCTTCTTGCCCAAGTCAATGTATTTGTCCCCTTCGTCGTTCGCTTTGACGGATATAATTTGTTGGTCTGCATCGTCAGCTGCGCCCTTTGACGTTGACTGGGCCCGCACCTGCATCATTATCGACCGCCCTCCAGTGGATGAACGTATCTGTGACATACCTTTGGCCTACTGACCCGTTTCTTTTTCGCACTTGGCTCCTCGCTTTCGCCCTCCTCATCGTCGTGTGCGGGTCGCTTGTTCTGTGAGCGTCGCGAAAGCATAAGTGGTGCATATTGAACAAGATTGTGTATTGCAACAGACCGACCTTCATTGACTTCACCGAGTTGGTCCGTTTAAGTGGTTGCTCGGACTGTTCGGAATCGGATTGCGCATGGTGTTCATCGGATTCTTCACTAGAGATCACTTTGGCTTTGGCTCTTGTGCCCATACTCGCAAGACGAAATGGCAGCGAAACGCGTTGTGGCGAGACGCGTCGCGCACGCGTTGGATTAAATATGATCGCGTATTCGGCGTGGGAACTTTCATCAGCTTACGCGGAGGGGGCGTAGGGCTGTCCCGATCTCACCTTGCCACTGCAGTTCGTTGCGCTCTTTCCAGTCACTCCATTCTTGCTGCCGACTGTGGTAGAGCAACCATTACGACATTGCGGACAAATATCATATTCTTCCCCGACGTTGTTGTCGCGGACCATGAGAATTTTACACAAGTCAAAGAAGCCTTTGGCTCCCGTGCGTAATCCTTCACCTCGAACCGCGTCGCTGAGATCGAGTGTGGACGCGCAGCTCCCACAGGTCACTGAGCTCATTGAAAAGCTCCTGGAGACTCCCGATGAAGACTTAGCCGAAGTATTAGGCCAGATTGATTCCTGGAAGTGGCCCAGGTCCGATCTCAATGCTTGGATCAAAATGTTGAACAAATTCGACGCCATCCTAGAGGAGGTCATCCGTGACTATGACATCGACAAGCTGCAGGTCAATGCGCTTACACCCACCACGAAAAAGACTGTCTGCGAGATTTTGCGCTTCGAGCGGCTGCTACTCGAGAACTCGACGAACAGAAAAACCTTCAATTCTTACGATGTCAGTGTTTTGTCGCTTTATACCGGACTTATGGATTGACCATCTTGCCTACTGCAGCGATTGAACAGCCTTATGTTCACGTCAGACCTGGATGTCCTGATTCTCGCCCTGAACCTGCTGTTGCGTCCAGCTCAACAATATTCTTCTCAACCCGCCGTGTTGCATGCGCTGAGTATCTCAACGCCACGTTTGACTTCTCTGGCGAAACGATGGCCCAATCTTCGCGATTACGACGTGAATCTCGCTGATCTTGTGTCGGAGAAGGGAAAGGCCCAGGTTGAGGCACTTCCGAACGAGGCGCGCGAAGTCAACTTTATCTTTTACAGACAGCCGACATCTGGCGCTTCAACTGTCAAAGCAGCTACAGCAACAGATGCTCATACACCTGATGCCGCGCCACAGACACCTGTTCGAGGACGGGTCATCTCATCATCCAATGTTGCGGCAACTCCAGGTACCTCGACCGGAGCCGTGACGATACACATCGACAGCAAGATTATCGAGTCTAGAGAACCTATGGACATACTTGCTGATACCATTGAGGCATACTCCGTGCCAGACAGCGAAAAGTTCGAGCTGCTAACCCGCATCCGCGCAGCGCGTGCTCTAACTTCTACCCATGCTGCTGATCGCGAAAAGCTGGTAACAGTCCGTCTCCTCGCCACTGCCATCTTTGGCCATACACACCAGGAGTCGCAGGCTCAGTCCCTGCTACTTCTCTATGAGCCAGACCTCATCACGCATGTTGCTGAGCTTCTGCAACTGGATCGCGGCGTGGATGTCCAGATCCAAACTGCGGCCATTGCTGCCCTGGATGCGCTTGGGCGATATCGGACCAAGATCCAGGACGTCTTGACCGCTGTCAACGCGGGAGTGAACCACGGTATTTTGATGGCTTTGCTACGCAAGACGGTGGCAGAGGTTGCACAGCCATCTTCGACGCTTCCACAATCCTTCGTGGAGGCGCTACTCTCATTTGTGACGTTCATCGCTACTCATGCATCGGGGGGCAACATGGTCGTTGGCGCAGGCCTGCTCCCCCTGCTCATTCAGGTGACCGAGAACAGGTTGTCCAATAGGCTGTACGTCGTCTCGAAGACGATGCAGCTGCTGGACAACGTGTTGTACGGCTTCAACAATGCATTTCAATTGTTCTGCAATGCCCGTGGCGTTGAGATTCTAGTAGAACGAATCAAGGTAGAGTCTTGTCGTTTACGCGATTGGTCGACTACATGCTCAATATAATGCTCCAGTATGAAGTCGATCTAGACCTCTTGGAGCATAGTGGAGATGAACCATCCCAAGAGATCATAGCGTCGTTCGGTAGGCCATAGACATTCACGGACTTAGACAGCGTGCTGACTGGTTGCTTCTGCATCAGGAAAGCTGCCGGTTGCTCGCACAGCAGTTTTGAAGCATACGCTTCGCTCGATACATAGGATGATGCAGTCTTCAGGGACGGCGGAGGGCCTCCGTGGTTTGCTTGACTCGTCACTGTTGAAATCTGTCAAGAAGATCATGGAGAATCGCAGCGTGTTCGGGCCCAGTATTCTCCCTATTGGTAAGACCGGTTGCACAACTGTAAGCATAATGTGGATCTAACCGAGCTCACGCAGCAATCAACATCATGGCAACATTCGTACACAACGAGCCGACATGTCTACCCGTTTTGCAAGAGGCGGGCCTTTCCGAGGTCTTCTACACGCTTGTTGAGTCGGGCCTGGAGCCTGTGATCGAGGTTTGAGTTTATTAATTCCGTTCGGATGCCACCGGAAATAACATATAACGACAGGTTATCCAAGCAGTTCCCAATGCCATTGGTGCGCTGTGCTTGAACCAAGCTGGTCAAGACCAGCTCACTGCTCGACCTAACATAATCCCGGGTCTATTCTCTATCTTCACGTCCGAGCGCCACCAGAGGGTCTTGCAGGAGAAAGAGAATTCGGTTCTGATTGGCACAGCTATCGAGGAACTCATTAGGCATCATCCAGCTCTGAAGCAATCTGTGTTTGACGCCATCAAGTCTACCATGGACAAGATAATCGAGCTGGGCAATAATTATATCCCTCCTAGTGATATCAAGCACTGGTACATGCTCGTTCCGTCCCATCCATCAGCCTCGTCATCTGGGGTACGTCCCGCTGATACAGACGTTTTGATGGCGCCTGCCGATATTGAAGGGGCTCAGCCTACTGCGACGAACGGCCCTGATATCGTTATCGAATCTACAACGTCTCAGCGTGACGACACTTTACATAGAGCCCACGATAACGTCATTGTTTCCTATATCGACGTTCTGGGGAAGGTGAGCTGGTATGCGACTTAGTCGAAATCTGGACTAACGATCTAGTAGTTCCTCGAAGGGTTCTTCCAGTGCATCCCTCATTGTAAGGACTTCATCGCTGACCAGGAGGCACTTTATCGCTTGGGACGCCTCACTGCTCTTCCCTGTCTGCCCTATGATTTCGCGAATAGCGTGGCGTCCGACTCTTTGGTACAAGTCATTCGCACTATGGCGGAGGCGTCGACGTTGGAGACGATAGCTTTCCTCGTCTCGCTCGTGCATCAGTCTCTCGAGGATACCAAGCAGTTCTGGGCCGAGATGGAAGAGCGCTCGCGACTGCTTCCCTTTGCAGATATAGCAGGCTCAGGTAGCGTGGATCAGCTGCACTATCTCGATTAATGTCTGACTAGTAACCACAGAAGCGGAGAATGAGCAGGCTAATGCGCAGGTTCGGCAGCTAGTGATCCTACACATCAGGACCTCCCTGCTTTCCGACATTTACGCAACGGCCGGGTATTCGCATGGTCGAGCGACTACCTCTCTGTTGCAGTCGCTGACTGGCTCGTCATCACATGATGTTCTTCCGAGATTAGGGGCCTTACATCGCGCTTGTGTATGGGAAAATATAGTCCTCAAAGCCGGTCTTGGGTCTCCAGGTACGGAATTGACTGCAGCCCGCGACATGATGTCTCCGGAATTGCAAACACCACCTACTGTCACGGCCTCCGGCACCCCCAACATGGGCCAGGCCGACACCAGCGCGGGTCCAAGTGGCGCTACCAATGGTATCCCAGGAGACTCATCTTCCATCAGCGCTCCGAAGCAAGAAGCGACGAGGAAGGAAGTCCCGAAAGAGCAGAATGTGAAGATACTCAAGCACTTGGCCAGTCAAATCCCTAGCGCTTTAGCACCTTTTTTCCAAGGTATGTGGAGAATCTGTCAATGACCCAGCTGAAGTCTGATTGATACCCTATCCATCTTAGCGGTTGTGCGGCTCTTCCAGAGTCGTCGGAACGCTGATCCCGGCCACAAGCAGAAAATTCGCGAGACATCATCCATTGTGGCTGACGTCATGGTGAAGCATCTTGCGCAGCTCTCATTCTGTAAGCGATATGTTTCTGCAAATTCTCACTCCAGTATTCATCGGACGGACAGCCGACAAGTTGTCTGTTTTTGCTTATTATACTGTAATGCTTGGCCTGACAACAATATTACTTGTGGACGGTGTGTTCCTCTCCAATCCTGTAATGTCATCTCATGGCAACTCATCCGTCGAATTCGCAGAACGCACTAGCCAGAAGACTGTATACACCGCGCTGTTGGTCGCCTTCAACCAGGCAAAGGGACTGGACACGATCCACCATGTCTCTCGCTCCTTCATTGTCACTATTCAGGCTGTCACTCTACTCGACGAAGAGGCTCGCTCGGCCGCAGCCAAGCAAGAACTGCTCCATGCTTACGGCGGCCTGAAGGTTGCTTTGCACCTGCTCCACCCTCTCATCTCCTCCAAACCTCTATTTGAGTCCGCACAGACCGCGCTTATCACGACGTCGGACAAGAAGGAGACCGAACCAGATTACTTCGAGCCCCACAATTTTTTCGTGAAGATGAGGGTAGCGGTCATACCATTGCTTCGTGACCTCTGGGAGGCTTCCTGGTTGGTAACGGCTCCTCTTGGTCTCATCAAGTCAATCGTCCTCGCAGCCATGGAGATTCTGAACGTTGAGGGCGAGGAAATAAAAGACGCGTCTCATGGAAGTTCATCTACCCTCATCTCAGGAGGTTTCACCATCAGTCGTGCGACTGGCCCAGACGAAACACGTATACGCCAATTAACAGATATGGGTTTCCCAAGGTCTGCAGCAGAGAGAGCCCTCGCTCGTACTCGCAACAACATCAATGCTGCGACAGAGTTGTTGCTGGCCCATCCGTTCCCGTATCCGCCTGACCCTGGACCTAACGAGCCTGCAGCACAAGATCCTCCGGCAGAAGACAGCGGAAACTCAGAGGTCTCGACAGGCGATTCGTCCACGCAAGCCAGTGATGATAACTCAGCGGCGTCTCCGTCCGAGGATGCGACCGACACTGTCAAGTCTGTTGAGGAGTGGCTGAAGGAACTGAACACGAGCCGGGAAGGTCTGAAGGTCGGTCTGGGCAAGCAAGCATTAAGACTAGTGGACGAACATCCTTCTCTTGTCTTCGACGTTCAGAAGATTTTCGTCGGATTCGCTGATGGGTACAGAGAGCAGGCAGTACATCAGCTCATCGACGATATCAAGGCCTTCTCGCCGTCTGCATATGATGTGCAGGAGCAACCTATGGGTGTCAGGTGTCGCCTTCTTGCCCTCGTGCTCAGTGATTCCTCGTCACCCCTATCACAAATGCCCGATGCTGAGGCTAAATCTCTCATGGACATCCTGCTTTCGTTGCTGCTCTCTAATCCGGCGGGCGCAGACGGCCATCCCAATATCCCAAAGTGGCTGGCTGCGCATCTCTTGGTTGCGGAAGCCCTTCTCGTTCTCGGAAATGATCCTCGGAGTATCAGCCTACCTAAAGAAACTGAAGCCATCCCCGATGAGCCTCTTACGACCGGTCGTCGATACCCTGAAGGCAGAGCCATTCTGTTCGATTTCTGTTTGCGACTGCTGGCATTGCCGAGCCTTCCCAAAGATGAACTGCTCTCTTCACTGAGATTGTTTGTCTTATTGACGGAGGACCACCAGATGGCCCAAGACTTCCTTCGTCGAGAGGGTGTCACCCTCTTGTTCCAATATCTGAAGATCTCTGCCGGGACCCCCAGTGCAGCAGGCATCCAGTCTCATATCGCAATCATCCTGCGGCATGTCGTAGAGGATGGTCCTACTATCCGGCATATCATGCATCAAGAGATCAGACGGTTCTTTGCCCACCCCCGTAACCGAGCAGTAGACGTTGGCAGCTACGTCGCTGGTTGTAACGCTTTAGCCCTTCGTGATCCTGCAGCCTTTGTTGAAACTACCCGCGAGATATGCCAGCTGTCGCAACCATTCTCCAGTGTCAAGAGTATCAGCCTCAGAGCGGTTTCGAAGCAAGAGGTCGCCGTGAAGCAAGACACTGATCGCTCTGGCGAAGTGGCGGGGAAAAACAATGACATGCAGATTGATGTCGACCCAATAGCTGCTCCTCGACAACTCTCCGTGGAGACAGCAGAATCTCTAATTCACTTCCTTATTGGCGAGTTGGTCAAATCCGTCAAGGAGAATGAGTTGTCTACGGCGCCATCGCCAGAAGTCTCCAAGGCGGCACCGTCAGGAGCCGCTGAACTAAGTCCTATCACATCGCTATCGGCTCCTGAGACGAGCACCCAGGGGACTGGTGCCTCAAATGATCGCGGCGAGAATATTTACGCTTGCTTCCTTATGCAGTGCTTGACCGAATTGCTGTTCTCCTATGACTCTTGCAAGTTGGCATTCCTTTCCTATTCCCCGAAAAAGCGTACACAGACGCCGTCGAAGGACACTAGCTTGAAGCATCGAACGGCTGCGATCAACTTTTTTCTCTCTGACGTTATGTCATTCGGCACAATCAACCCGCAAGCACCAGCAGAAGCCAAGAGACGCATCAGCCTGTGCAATTGGGCCATGTCGATCATTGTGGCACTCTGCGTGGATACTGCTTTTTCACAGGATATCAAGGATGTCGCACCCGAGCTTGTCTCCGTCCGCAAGTTCGTGCTCGAAGCAGTCAGCCGAGCTCTGAAGGATCTGCCGACGTCAGAGGATCCCGAAGCAAGATACAGTCGCTTACTCGCGCTGGCGGATCTTTGTCACCGCTTGCTGACGGTGCGGTTTAACACCACGGCTCGAAAACCGAGTGAGGATATGCCAACCCACATCGCGAAGGTGATGTTGGAGAAGAACTTCGTGGCTACGCTGACGAACGCTCTGGCCGATGTTGACCTCAACTATCCACACATCCGCGGTGTTGTTTCGGCAATCTTACGTCCTCTGGAGTATCTGTGCGTTCCTTTTATCTCATGTAGAGAAACGTCTACTGATTGAGGCATCTTAGGTCAAAGATCGCTATCAAGATGAGCCGCGTGTCCGACAAGGTCAAAGACTCATTTGATGAGAAAATCGAAGACAATGAAAGCATTCCGACAGACGAAGATGATACTGAGGAAGCCGAGAATGATGACACCCCTGATCTATATCGTAATTCTTCGCTTGGCCTGTGCGTACCATTTTGCGTTCTCATGTTCAATGATTGCATTGACACTTCGCATCGAATAGATTTGGCGGAGTAAGTTTTCCATCCCGTTTGATTACACGATGTTTCTGACGTACCATGAAGGAAATGGAGGATGTCAACTACGGGGCTGAAGATGGCATGGATGAGGACGAAGAGGATGAAGAAGACGATGTCGAGATGGACTTCGGTGATGAGACCGGGAGTGAAGACACCTCTGCAACCGAAGAGGATGTTGAAGATGACCTCGAAGATGACCTCGAAGATGACGGCACAGGAGAATCTGAAGAGGGGTGGCAAGATGAAGAGGAGGAAGATGAGGAAGACCTTGTAGAGAATCACGAAGTCAATGCTAATGAGGAAGGCGAAGAACAGGAAGGAGACGAAGATGAAGGAGAGGAAGTAATATGGCAGGTTTGTAGTTCCCGCATACTCTTTCGCACCTCACCACCTCACTGATGTCTTCAGGATATTGCTGCTGGCGAGGATATTGCTGAAGATGCAGCAGATGATGTGGACGAGGATGAGGAAGTTGGTGGTGAGTGTGCTCCCCTCTACGTGATGAATATATCTAAGTCGGTCATAGATTCTGTCCCTATCCTACACATGGATATGGACGAGGAAGCGGAAGTGGCGTCAGAGGAGGACGAGTGCGTATTAAATATTTCCTTGCCTGCAGATTCACTCATAATCTATATGTCTAGGTATGGGGATTCTATCGGCGTCGATGGTCAAGGTCCACCTGGTGGCAATATTTTCGACTTAGCATCTGGGTTCGCTAATGCAATAAGTGAAGGTTTCGTCAACACTGTTGGTCGGGGTGGTCATCCTATGCTGTGGGGTACGGTGCGCTCGGGCCGCCGCCGGGGTGTTGGTAAGTAGTATTGCTGTTAATGGCATAACACATCTCACGCGACGTTTCGTAGCCGACGATGACTTGGAAATATTTGGACGACCGCGTCATTCTAATGGGACATCTGGCGAAGCTGCTATCCACCCGCTCCTCATCGATCCTGCTTCTGCAACTACACGGGGATCGGCCAACACGCGAAATGTACGACGCTACCAGAGGGGCTTGACAGCACCCCGAGACCCACATGACTTGATTCAGACGATTGAGGATGCAATTGGCGAGAGTGCGATGCAATTTTTCCACCACATCATTTCTCATGGCCGCGAAGGTGGTGGGGAAACGATCCATATCGATGTCCCTTCAGGTGCTCTCGCCCCCCTCCAACGGAACGGTCGTGCGATTTCCGCCTCCATCCGACTTGAACGAGCCCCTCGATCAGGCGACGGTCGCACTGATGTGCGTGGCCTCGACCCTCTGTTGACTGTTCAACGTTGGCTTGAGGAAGTCAAGATGCTGCATGGTCGATTCGAGCAAGGTCGCCTGACCAAGCTGAGCAATCATGTCATACTCGCCCTGTTACCCGCCGCTGTAGAAGCCATCAAGCAAGCCAGGATAGCTCAGGAGCAGGAAGCGGCCCATAAACGAGAAGAAGAGGCGAAAGCAGAGGCAGAGAAGGCCGCAAAGGAGGAGGCGGACAAAGTCGCAAAGGAGAAGGAAGAGGCGGAGAGGCTCAAAATGGAAGCGGAAGAATCCCAGCAAGCCTCCAGCCTCACCGAGGGGTCTATGTCGGATGTACAGGTGACACAACCAGTATCAACCTCACCTGACGTCGACACGGAGATGGCAGACGTCTCCGAGGAAGGACCATCAGGGGAAATATCTGGTAGTGACGCAGAGCCTGCAACCGCGACGACCGCAGATGGCGAACAGCAGATGGCCTCTGGGAGCTCTGATGAGGCCGTCGAACGTGTCACCGTCATGATTCATGGAAGCCAAGTTGATATTACGGATACTGGAATCGACCCTACCTTTTTGGAGGCCCTGCCGGACGATATGCGAGAAGAGGTTTTGAATCAACATGTTCGCGACCAGCGCGCTGCGCGGGTGGAACGCCCAGCAGACTCACATATCAGCCCCGAGTTCCTTGACGCTCTTCCCCCAGAAATCCGCGCAGAAATTATTCAGCAAGAGAGTCTCGAGCGCACTCGGCAGCAAGTTGAGGCCAACCAAGGACAGGGCGGAGCCCCTGCAGAAATTGATCCCGCTAGCTTCATTGCCAGTCTCGATCCTCAGCTTCGTCAAGTTGTGCTCATGGATTCCGATGATGTTTTCATACAGAGCCTACCCTCCCACATGCTAGCGGAAGCCGGCATTCATCGCCGCGATGTACGACCACCCCGTGTTCCCCCGACAAGACCAGCTGATATTCGATCACCCTCTTCTGCGCCTCAACAAACACAGAAACCACCGACTCAGCGCGATGCTATTCAGCTTCTCGACAAGTCATCCATGGCTATCCTAGTCCGTCTACTTTTCTTCCCCCAGACGCTCAAGAAGACCCTGTTGTATAAGGTCCTTGTGAATCTTTGCGAGAACTCAAAGACACGCACGGACTTGTTCAATCTCCTTCTCAATATCTTGCAAGACGGATCCGGCGACCTTGCATCCATTGACAAGAGTTTCGCTCAGATGTCCGTCCGTCCGTCCAAGCAACCTAACCCGCAGACCCCTAAGTCTGTTGGAAAGCAACGAGCGACATCAGATTATTTCGGCTCGCTCGCACTTGCGCAGGGGCACACCGAAATTGTTCCCGAGTTGATCGTACAGCGGTGCTTGGAGGCACTGACATATATCGTCAGTTCAAACGAGCTCTCATCTCTGTTCTTCCTCACCGAGCACGAATTACCCGCTGGTCTCCGCCGACATGCCTCAAAGAAGGGTAAAGGGAAAGAGAAGCAGATACCGCAGACTCACTACCCTGTTGTCCTATTGCTGAGCTTGTTGGACCGGCCGTCTATTCTCAAGACACCCTCCATCGTCGAATCTGTGGTTACGCTACTCGCTACAGTGACTCGGCCTCTCGCAAGTCTCAAGGATTCTAGCAAATTCAAGGGCGAACAGCCTGTACCGACGTCTGCATCCACCTCCGCGGAAGTTGCTCCTCTAACGCCCGCAACACAGCCGGCACCAAGTGAGTAACGTAAACGCCGATTGATGGCCTTCGATGTCTGACTCTACATTATAGCTTCAAGCCGCACAGAGGAGTCAGATTCTAAGCCGGAGCCGTTGACGACTACAGCAAATGCCGAAGAGAAGGTCCTGCTGACTCGGCCGCCCGTGGTACCACACACTGTCATGCGCTTCATTGTGAACGTCTTGACGGCAGGCGAATGTTCAGGACGAACATTCTCACAGAGTTTGTCCCTCATCCAGCATCTGTCATTTGTCCCCGATGCTCGTGACATTATCGCAAACGAATTACGGTCTCGGGCACAAGATTTTGGCCATGCTTTGTACACTGCCCTAGACGAGCTGGCCGCCGCCCTTCGCGAATCACAAGGAGACGTCTTGACTAGCTCTATCGCCGCGAAATTCTCATCACCCTCGTCTGATCAAGCCAAGCTCCTCCGAGTCCTCAAGACTATTGACTACATGTATTCCCCCCGTTCAGCGACTTCATCTCCTGCCTCTCTTAGCGATGCCGAAGTCGAAAAGGTGCAGAGCATATATGAATCCTTCAAGTTTGCACCACTTTGGCAGCGTCTAGGCGACTGCTTGTCTATCATCGAAGAGAAACCAGAGCTGGAGCATGTAGCAACGGTCCTGCTACCTATGATCGAATCCCTCATGGTAGTCTGCAAATACGTTGGTGCCAAATCTGCCGCAGGGAACAGCACACGTCTCCTCCGTGCATCCGCCTCGCCACGGTCTCCCACAACAACCCGCGAGACAATGGAAGATCTATTCGTCACTTTCACCGATGCGCATCGCAAGGTTCTCAATTTGATGGTTCGCAACAATCCGTCATTGATGAGCGGCTCCTTCGCATTGCTAGTCCACAATGCTCGTGTGCTGGACTTCGACAATAAGAGGAACTACTTCAGTCAGCAACTGCATCGACGACCACATTCGCGAGAGCACCATACCACGTTACAGCTCAATGTCCGACGACCGCGCGTCTTCGAGGATAGTTTCCAGTATCTACAAAGGAAGACAGGAGAGCAGATCAAGTATGGGAAGCTCAGCGTCCGCTTCTACGACGAGGAAGGCGTTGATGCGGGTGGTGTCACTCGGGAATGGTTCCAGATCCTCGCTCGCCAGATGTTTGATCCCAATTACGCCCTATTCCAGCCCTGCGCTGCAGATCGACTCACATACCAGCCAAACAAGGCATCCTGGGTCAACCCGGAGCACCTGTCCTTCTTCAAGTTCGTTGGTCGCATCATCGGAAAAGCTATCTACGACGGCCGCCTCCTGGATGCATATTTCGCTCGCAGCCTGTACAGGCTGATCCTGGGCAAGCCAGTGGATTATCGAGATGTGGAATGGGTTGACCCGGAATACTACAACTCGCTTTGTTGGATTCTGGACAATGATCCTAGCGCACTTGAGCTTACCTTCAATGTGGAAGCTGACGAGGTGCGTACGACCTGTGACGTGACGGGCTCCTGCTGACCATACTCCGTTGTTTTAGTTTGGGGTGACCAAGATCGTTGATCTCAAGGAGAATGGTCGATCTATACCGGTAACGCAGGAGAGTAAGCGCGAATTCGTGCAGCTGTCCGCCCAATACCGCCTCTACTCTTCGATCAAGGATCAGATCGAGGCTCTACTGGCGGGTTTCTATGAGATCATACCTAAGGATCTCATCTCCATCGTAAGTCAATTGAACCTAACATGTTACACCGACGCTAATGGCTGTCAATAGTTCAACGAACAAGAGCTAGAACTATTGATTTCTGGCACCCCTGATATCGACGTTGATGAATGGCGTGCAGCAACTGAGTACAACGGTTACACGAGCTCAGATCCCGTCATTGTCTGGTTCTGGCGTGCCCTGAAGTCGTTCAACCGTGAGGAGCGAGCGAAGGTGTTGAGTTTTGCGACTGGCACCTCTCGAGTACCGCTTGGCGGGTTCACCGAACTCCAAGGCGTACAGGGCGTACAGAGGTTCTCTATTCATCGAGCATATGGGGACACGGACCGACTACCACAGGCGCATACATGTGAGTGATACATGAGTGCTTTTGCTTGACCGCATCTGAAAATGATTGTCATGCAGGCTTCAACCAGATCGATTTACCACAATACTCATCGTATGAAATGCTTCGGCAGCAACTCTTGCTCGCAATCAACGAGGGAGGAGAAGGGTTTGGCTTCGCGTAATGATATTTGCATACAAAGTAATCACAGTGGACACTTGTAGAAGCAACACATCTTGTACTCTATACATCTCGTTGTGCAGTTCGTCGTGCAATGCATCATTTATCAATTGTCAGATTTCTTGCAAGGGCCATAGTTATTATATCGCGGAGTTTTATATGTGGCTGGTGTCAGTTGACCAGTTGCATGACGAAGTCGCCGGTAACGCCGAGGGTTTGCTCAGCCTGTGATTCATAAATCATGTTCTTTGCACTACCTTAGGCAAATGCTCTACGGGCCGTAGTATCACAGTACGTATATGTACATGCTAGGACGCATGCGTGATGCTGACCCATCTGCCTGTTCTTCGGCTCTCAAGTCCTCGTCTAAGCTATGCGTGCTTTCCTTGTGAATGAGTATGCGCACCCAGCGCAGGTTTCACTGACCATCAACGCGCCTGAGCCTACACCAGCCAAGGACCAAGTACTGGTAGATGTATTCAGCGCTGGCCTAAACTTCTTTGACGTACGTAACGTTCCGACATTCTCAGTTCCCCTCAGTTCCCCAGGATTGAGATGTTTGCCTAGATTCTCCAATGCCAAGGAAAGTATCAAAACCAGCCACCATTTCCCTTCGTCCTAGGCACAGAGTTCGCTGGTAGGATCGCGAAAGACTCGCCTATTCCGGAGGGCTGTCCATTCAAACCAGGAGACAGAGTCTTTGGTGCTGCTCAAGGAGCGTTCGCCGAGAAGGTCCCCGCGCCATGGTCACAATTACTTCCGCTTCCGAACAACATGACATATGACCAAGGGGCAGGTATGCATCTCAGACAACTCGGCTATCAGCATCTGCTTTTGAGTTGCACCTCGCTGAACGCTGCACCTAGGGTTGTTCGTAACTTGGCCGACCAGCTACGAAGCCCTCGTTGGACGCGCAGAGCTCAAACCAGGTCTGATTCCTGCTGTTCTGGCACGTGCCTTGTTGTATTCATCATACCGAGCCATCTAGGTGAATGGGTCCTCGTAACTGCCGCTGCAGGTGGTGTAGGCATTGCCGCGGTGCAATTGGCGAAAGGTAGACATCACTTCAGTGCCGTGGTCACGCATAGCGCTCACGAGAAACTCAGCACTGGGTGCAACAGTTATAGCAGCGGCAGGCTCTCAGGAGAAGCTCGACGTAGCTACTCGTTATGGTGGAGCTGACCATGCTGTCAACTATACCAAACCCAACTGGCAGCAGGATGTCCTCAAGATTACTAACGGAAAGGGCGTCGACGTCGTGTACGACCCGGTGGGTCTCATAAGGGGTTAGAAGTTGCCTGCGTGGGGCGTCATACCGTCGCTCACGACTACATCGCTAGACTGCCTGAAGTGCATTGCTTGGAAGGGCCGTGCTCTTGTTGTTGGTTTCGCTGCGGGTCAGATCGAGAAGGTGCGCTGCCAGCTACACCACTACGTTAACGCTGAGACCGTTACCAAATAGCTACCTCTTAACCTGGTGCTGCTCAAGAACATATCTATCGTTGGTATCCATTGGGGAGCCTACTCGAGTACGTGTGGTATATACATTCCCAACTCAAATCGCTCATGCACTGCGCAGAGCTTGAACCGCAGCATCTTCCAGTAGTGCACACAGCGCTGCTCGAGTAAGAACTGATTCCGCATCTTTCAGCACGACGCCTTCTGACTGTTCCGATCCAGCCTGCTTGCGTCCGGTCGCGTAAAGCCTGTAGTGTATACTGACGTCTTCCCCCTCGAGCGGCTGGTCGACGGGCTCTTGGCTTTGGAGAAACGGAGGACATGGGGCAAAGCAATAGTGCGCATACGGGATGAACATGAGACTGAGAAGTCGAGGTTGTGATCTTAGGGTTGACCTTTTGTTCAGTCATGTTTCCCCATCAATTATTTGTTGGATGTAAGGGCTGATCGCGTGACCTGATCACCCATCATTTCCCATTTTATGGTACTCGTGATGATAACCTAGCTGTGAGCAACATGGCGCAGCTGGAAGCGCGCGGGGCTCATAACCCCGAGGTCACTCGATCGAAACGAGTTGTTGCTATGTATGCGTACTACCATTTCTTTTGCTCCCAGTAGCTCGGAACCTATGAGTAACTAGCTAATCAGGCCCACAAAACTACGTGCTACAGTAACGAAGCTTTTTGCAAATGCACACAGGAGCCTGATAAAGCCATTCGATTAAACAAGTAAATACAGAAGACACTCCGCATCAAAACCGCGGAATACCCTCGCGTAGCAGTCCCACACAAATGTTGACCCACCCGTCAGCGCCTGCCAGGCATGCACCTAACCACGCCATCTCTGCTTCTGGGGGCGCAAGGACACCTTGGATTAAGGCATATGCTAGGGGTGCCCTGTCTGCAGGGAAAAGGAGTGGCAGATGCGTGTCAAGGAAGCGGGAGAGCGTGTTGATGGAGCCTAAAATACACAGGTCAGTCGTTTGACCGCGAAGACGCCGGGAGTAGTAGTCCACAGCTTCAATACGAAACAAAGGAGAGGATACGCACCGTCCTCGAGGAGGGGCGGTACCAAATCCTGCATGACTGGTCCGTCAGGGAGGTATATCCGGACGGGCACACTGCGGACGCTATAGGCTCCGTCTCTGTCAGGCGCGCCGTTCGACCCAGGGTCGGCGGATGGCGGTCGTGTGTGCATAGACACTGAGGACGGCGGCGGCGGCGATTGCGACCGCGCCGGTGACGTGGTAGGGGTCACCTTGGACGCCACGCGCCAATATTCGTCGAAGTTGTCTGCAGGAGTACATAGGCGTTGCGTTACATTAGCGTACGTTGGGTGGACATGAGGGCCTCATTCCACTCACGTTCCTTGATGCCTTCCCATAGGCCGTCCTGCTCTGCCTTCCTGAGCCCGGTTATGCGTTTGGTGTTACCCCATCGGATGAAGTCTGCCTCCTTCAGCTGGCCCATGAATGCCTGCTTGCAGGCTTCAGAACCTGGAGAGAGCAGCAGCTTCTCGCTCGGTGGTGAGGCGAGGTGCAGGATGAGGCGCAGGGGGCCTGATGGTGCCGCTGATGTATTTGGGCGCGTCGACATTGTGATCGTGTGGTTGTCGTAAATGAGGCCTATGGGCCAGTGCCTGCAGGACGCACCAGTCAATTGACGGACGTGGCGCACAGGGAAGGGTTCCAGCACTCACCATCTGAACACGGCCCCGTCCTCGCTCTCGAACCACCAGTCTTCCTCCTTGATCCCCTGCGCCGCGGCCTCGTCAAAGACGACATCGCTCAGAAAGCGCTTGATCTCGGGCACGAGAAGAGGCAGGTAGCTAACACGCGCTGCTTGGATGTAGTAGCACTCTAGGCCGCGGTCACTGTTGGCAGGGAGCTCCGCAGAGGCGACGCGGATCTCGAGAGGCACGGTGCCCTCCCAGGTCAGACGGCGGAAGAGGGTCGTCGACGCGGGGGTAGAGAAGGCGGACGGGGCATGGCGGGGCGCGTAGGTGGACATTGTCGCGGGCAGCGAGCGGGCCTGCGCGCACTTGGGCTCCCACGTGAGCTGTGCGCTATGCCCCGCGTCGGCGGCAACTGGGAGCACGTCTGGGCGACGGATACTCCGCTTTTGGAAGTGCTGGGGCCGAATTTGAAACCTCCGCAATGACGAGCAGATCCTGTCACGCGATCCGCCTTTGACGTCACGCAGACTGCGCGCAGGCCCTGTCGCATGGCTCCCGGTACAAAAACTGGCCAGCACCGGGTGCCCCTCGTTCGCAGCTTTTTCTCCTGCACCCCCTCAACGTTGCCGCTATGCCCTCCAACAGCTCTTGGTCTGATGGTCTCTTCCTGAAGGTGAGCACTGTCGCAGTGAGATGCCGAAGACGTGTGCTTACAATGGAAGCAGATCACCAACGTCATCGTCTACTTCCTTTTCTTAGGCTCAAACATCTATACTATCGCCAGCCCTAGTGCCATATACTACGGTGGAAAGCTCACGTACATTACTCCCGCGCCATGGGCATTCCTCATCTGGTATGTGTGCGCGTGACTCGGTGACGTTATGCGCGTGCTCACAATCAGAAATTTGAAGGTCCCTCGTCCATCTCCTGCTTCTCGGAACCATCATCTATCAGTTCCTCGATGGAGGGAAGCAAGTGATCGTTGACGGCATCTCTTGGAGGCTCCCGCTCCTTGCTGTGTTGAACGCGGCATATGTCACGCTCTGGGCTCATCACTACTACATCGTCGGTATGTGGTATCACATGCTTCAATTAAATACTAGATGCTGATTATTCACTGACAGCCTTCGCCTTTGCGCTATTCGTGAGCTCTGCGGTTACGGTATGCACATCTCTAACGCTTGTATGATGCAAATTGGGTGTTGACGATCGTCCCCAGCACGTCTACTACGTCGTGAAGAAATATCACGAGCCCGCGAGCATCTCAGATGAGATCTTCGTTCATCTTCCGTTCTCACTCTGGCACGGTTGGACGACCGTCCTCGTCGTTCTGACCGCTTTTGAGGCGTTTGGTGTGGATGCTATTACCGAGCGCGCGGGCATCTGGACTGACGTCTTCGCATTCCTTGGAATGTAAGTAATGGATCGTGATGGTCTATCACCATATGTACTCAACGCCACTCGCACATAGGTTCTTCCTCGAGGCTACTGCCACAGCGTACGCATTCTCGAGCACGGAGGGTGACTTGCCGGCCGGCATAGCAATTGCCTGGTCTCTCTGGGCCATCTTCACACAACAACGCCACCCCGCATTCATTCACTGGAGTGCACTTGCGTTCTCCATCATCTCCAGTATCTGGGTTGTGAAGGCCATTGCCGGCGTATTCATCAAGCTCCGCCGGGGCCACCACGGGATTTCCCTTGACGAAGAGAGGGCGCCTTTGATTCAATAAATGGAGGCGGATTGAACGGTACCGGATCGACGTCTGTCATGAACTATCACGCGAAGGAAATCAATCCATTATTAACGGATTGAACAAAAACGACTTGTTTCGAGTAATAGTGTTACGTCGTACAATGATGATATAGGTCAATGCAATTCCACCATGTGTCCTCTCAATACACCATTTGTGCGCTTAATTTGCCACGAACCTATTGGTGTTTGATCACATCCCGCGAGCAGCTGCGAGCCTGAATGACAAGTCAATTGCGCTTCCACTTGTTTAATCGTTCGTACTAATTGCAGACCGACCTTGCTTCTATTGATGCATTTACTGCATCTATGTGGCTGTACGTCGTTCAATAGATACCCCTCGTGACACGGGATTGACAGGCTCATCAATCCTCATTCATGCAGATCCCACGCTCTCGCTGCAGCAGTCGCATCATGTCAGTATAGACATCCTCGACATCGGCTCGTCCACAATTGTGACGCCTGTCATCCCCATTCTGCTCGACTGAGGCCGGCAAGTACATCGGATAGTCAATCAAGACGTCGCCTTGCATGTTCAAAATAGTGTCACGGACTGGTCGACGGGGAGAAATGGCAAAGAAGGCCTATTCCCTCCCCCTCTCCCTACCTTTGCTTTCATTTATCATTATAGGCTGTCACGTATCCAAGTAAGACGGGTGTCATCTGCGACGTCGCTTGTTGATCGTGCCATGTTCTTGCGATGGCCATATCACAGATGAGTATCACACCCTACAGGCAATTGATCCTTGGTCTGGTTATGGGTCGCTGCCAGATCCAAGATGTCCGTTCAGTGCGCTTCGCGATGTCCGTGGTGGACATCGGTCGCCATAGGAATACACTGTGATGCCCGTGTTCCACATCCACAGGTCTTGTATGTCCTCAAATATGCCGTGATACGCTGGCTCAGCATCTTTTCGCTGTCACTTTCTCCTCACCAGTATTCGCACTGGCGGGTAATTTCCTCCTTTGTATTTGTCTGTTATGGATGCCTCGGACCTATGGGATGCAAACGCGACCCGATATCTCGAAGGTATGCCCCAAACACAACACCTTGGAATCAGGAGGTGACAAAGATATGTATGTTCACGCATTGCAGCGATCGGCCTGACCATCCTGCTCTATGACCATGTGCTGACGTTTGCAGGCGAAGTCCGTTTGATATGGTTTGCCCCAACATCTTTCGTCAAATACACCTTCCTGTTCAACCGATACCTCGTTCTGGCGACACTCATTACGGTTGCTGTCGGTAAGTTTCGCGAGTACAATTGTGTGCCATACCCATGCAAACGCACTTTATGGGTCAGAGATGTGTGGTTTTCTTGGCAAAATCTTCACTGACGATGTGAGTGCGGTTTCATGGATGAGAGCAATGTTTCGGCAATTAACACGATCACAATCAATCAACAATAGGGGTATGCCGCTTCCTGTTATCTCTGTACACCTGGTAGCATTCGTTCACCACGACAACAGCTGTAGAGCATTCTTGTTCACATGTTCCATGATCGCGGTGCTCTCGGTGGGCATCGCCAACATGCTGGTTCTATTACGTGTGGTGATTCTATGGGACCATCGAGCAGTCAGTCGTGTCTTCTCTGTCCTGCTTCGTTGGCTCACGCTTGAGACAGTTGATACTCAAGCTAATGACTTTTGCTTTCATCACGAGCCTGGCTGCTCAATTGGCCGCCATGATTTATGCGCTTGTTCATATAATACGTGAGTGTTGTCCCGTTCCCTGCAGCCCGCCTATCCGATGTTCAATTAAATATTTTCTTACAGCGAGCATAGCTTGGTCCCCGCATGCCGGCATGTGTATCGTAACTGAGAGGACGCGACTGTTGATAGCGGTGTGGGCGTCACCAGTATGTCACCTACCAAGTGTTACACAGGCTACGGACGGGTTAGCTTACATTTGGCAGATGCTCTTCGAGATATTCGTGCTGGGTTCAATTGCGCTGAATGCATTGGACAGGCCAACTGCAGCAAACACGCCATTAGTAAAGGCTTTAAACAGCGATGGCTTGGGATACTTCGTGGTACGTATCATGGTCAGACGTCGCCATTGCATGAGTACTGAAACATATGCGATTAGGCTGTGACCTGTCTTCGGATTTTGAACATCGCTCTTGCTTCTGTGGGTCGCCCGACATTCACAATCCTTGGCGTCTTGTGAGTGGCATTTATACGGTTATACGGTTTCGGCGCTTGTGCAGGTACTGATGCACATGCAGTTTCATTTGGGCGATGACGACGACAATACTCAGTCGGTCCCTACTACGCCTGCGTGCCGTGGAGATACAAGCACCAGCAGACGCGCCGTCGGCGGTGCGTTCTGCGTCTCCCTTCATGCTAGGCACCTCCCGCCAGCCGAACATGGGTATAAGAGAGAGCATGTATGACATGGAGGGCGCTGTAGAAGAGCTCGGTGAGTTCTGGGGCTCAGAGCAGAAATATGACTGTGATGATTTAGAGGCAAACATCGATGAGATTTGAGTCTAAATTCAATTACTTTCGGGAACCACAGCTACAGACGCGCGGATTGGTTCCCTCACCTTGGTATAACTACGCTGCAGTATATGTAACCGCAGTTCTTGTCAAAATCGGGTCCAATGATGACTTCGACAACGACACGGGAGCCTGAGAACCGGCTGCATGGGTATGGTTCAGCCGCTGCGGTCGGAATGATGAGTGTTTGAGTCTCCACACTCGGCATGGGCATGCATCGCCACAGGCGTTTAGCAGTCTCCGGATGGACGTTTAATATTCCACATAAGGGTGATAATATACTATATAAGGGAAGTCTCGTCACTGCCACGGAGGCGCTGCCGAATGCCGTAGCGACCAGGGACCGCCGCGAAGGCTGAAACTGCTTGAAGCTCCAACCGCTTGTCCGGATCAGCCCTGTCTGATGGTACATTTCTGTACAAAAGCAAGCTCATAGCAATATGTAGACCTTTCTTGGCGTCCTCGTCCCAGGTCTCCCATTTCGTTCTCCTTCACCTTTTCTTTTCTTTTCCTCTTTATAAGGGGCTGGCCCTCCTCTGCGTTCTTTCAGGTTTCAGGTTCACCTGAATTTACGGCTCTTCTTTTTCTGACTTTACTAAGCTCGTAATTCGCGTCGCCTTGAATTTTGATCGAACGTCATCAGGATGGCTGAAATTCAGGCGATTGCTGGTGGAATTGACTTCATGTTAGAGAAGGTTGACTATACGGGAGCAGATGCGACTGGCGTAACAGTGCGTGCCAGTGGTCTTGACTGTGAATGTGTACCTCACGTCATATACAGGTGTCGATCGTTGTGTCCTGGTTCTCAGGCACCGCGGTCTTCGGATTGTTGCTGGCTCTCGGTGTAAGCCTATTCAGTTCGGTGGGCCAACTTCCATTCATCCTTCGCAGATCTCCGCATGGAACACACGGAAATCGGTCAACCCTCACCTCTTCGTCCGGAGTCATGTCGCGGCTTATTTCATCTCACTCCTATGGTGTGACCTCATGCAAGGTGTGTTTGCACCATCAATACCTTGCGGGAAACTCCTCACCTCTTACCTAGCATTCGGTTCAATTTTGAACGTGCGATGGGTCACAATGAAGGCTGTTGAGTATGGTCACTATTGCACTTTCCAGGGTATGTGATATCGCGCTCGCACAGGGCAAATGGCTCACAGCTGCTGTAGCATTCATCAAACACAGCTCCGATGTGTCTATGGGCATCTGGTGAGCGCAAATGCATTGGACGGAGAAACAGCGTATCTGACAGGCATAATCTAGGTCATTGGTTTGTGACGTACTCTGAGTACCCACAAGTCATTATCTCACGTGTGTGAATATTAGCTCATAGCATTGCACACTTTTCTTGTCGTGTTCCTGCGCTGGAACATGCCAAAGCGCTCTCTTTATGCTTTCTTTGCGGCTGGATGGGGATTTGTACTCTTGATTATCATCATCGGTAACGCAGGTGCTCAGAAGGCTGAGGGGCCCTTCTGTAAGTATCCTCCCTCATTATTCAAGAGCTCAAATCTAAATCTGTTCCAGATGGCATTTCGGGGTATTATTGCTGGATCTCGCCCAATTACGGAGATCAACGCATAACGTGCGTTCCAGATGATTGTAGTGATGCAATCATACTGACAGTTTTGCCGTCCACAGCTTGGACTATCTTTGGGTAAGTGCGTCGTAATGGTTTTGCAACCAGCTTCCTAAACGTGTTACAGCTCTTTCTGTCTGCTGGCCTCAGTTTTGTCCTCTATACGCTCATATTCCTCAACTTGCGTGGCAACGTAACAACCAAGGGCATCCATCTGCATCGGGATTCCTCGATTAAGAAAGAAGTAGATAGCCAAAGTGTGGCAATTGCCAAACAGATGCTCATGTAAGTCTGAAACTATGCGCGTGTGACTTGATGTTGACCAAGTGCTGCAGCTATCCTGTAAGTAGTGCACTTCGCTCGTTGTTGTGGGCCGAGGCTCAAGCTTTGGTTGCAAGGTTGCATTCACTGTCCTTATTTTCCCGATGGCTGTCGTGCGATTCATTGAATGGTCTGGTCACGCCGTCCCTGAGGCTGCAAGTTCTTTCAGGTAAGTCATGTCGATGACTAAGAATTGACAATGCCTGATGTCTTGTGCTAGTGATGCTGTTTACGTATTTGCAGGTATGTATGAGATTTGGCTGCCAGGTTTACATACTAAGATGAATATTTGCAGGGCTAGTCGATGTCACGCTGTTTCTGCTGACACGTCGTGTTCTACCAGAGCACAGCGTGATTCCTAGGTCTATCAACCTAAAGATGTGCCTCCGCCGGAAGACTCCACCAAATGGTGCTGTTGTTGTCACGACAACCACAGCCTCCAGTGAGGGTGGGGATGACCTCGAGAAAGCTGACACGGAAAAGTTCGATCTAGAGGGCAACTCAATGCACGCTGAACTTGGCGAGGGTGTCTTCCAACGTGCCAGCAGCCCGGACTCGGAGCACGAGTCCGACAACCAGGTCACAATCCGCGTACAGTCCGTCGTCGTGGACCGTATCTACATGCAGCCCGATCATGCACAACAGTACCCCGCTTCCCCGCCTGGCTTGACTCCAAGCCGGCTGGACGATGTCTCGCTCAGTAGCACGAAAGGCATACGGGAGCCAGCCAGGGACAGCGATTACTACGCTCCTAAGGATCTGCCACCGGCTCCCATGTCCGCACGCAGCGCTACTGGAATTGGTCGCGGTCGCGGCAGCCCTCTGGACAGCAGCGGGAGCGGGAAAGGCTTCTATCCCCCGGAATCGGCACCACTCCCCAGCCCCAGTGCTGTCCGCAGTCCGCGCATGGACTACCAGGAGAATGTCGCTTCGGCACGAAGCGCTCGCAATGACTACTACCCTGCCAGTCCCGCACGGTCGGCGCGCGATGACTACGCTCCCGGATCCGGTGCCGTGCGCAGTGCTCGCGAAGACTCCTACCGTCCTGCTAGCCCCGCACGCAGCGCGCGTGACGACTACTACCGCACCGCCAGCCCCGCACGCAGTGTTCGTGAGGAGTACGTCCCCAGCCCAGCACGGAGCGCTCGCGAGGAGTATCGTGCACCTAGCCCAGCCCGCAGCGCACGCGACAACTACTATGCTCAGGAGGCTACGAGTCCCTTGCGCAGCGCTCGCGTAAACGACGTCATCCGCAGTCCGCGCAGGGACATGACGGAGCCTTCGTACAGAAACAGCTACTTCGAGGATGCTGACGAGGAGCCCCATGCCAGCGCTCTGCACGCCCTGCACATGGCCAACCGCGCGAGCCCTACGGAGAGCAGCCATTATACCGATGAGGGCGAGGAGCGTATCCCGAGCCCTGTGCATACGCCCCGCACGGCTCCCGTATCGACCTACCCGACCTATCTCAACACTCCCCAGAGTGCATCTTTCCCGTTCAACAGGCGTGTGCCTGCTACGGCACGCGATGCGACCTTCCCTCCCATGAGTGCCAGGCTGCCACAGGACCGCGGCCGTTGGAACTAAGCCTTTAGCTAGCATTAACTCCACGTGTTATGAGTTTCACGAATTTGACGAGCCGCATTTTGCCACCTTGATGGTGCACCACACTTTCGTTACGTTGTATCCTAAGGTCGACATGATTGTCGATGCACCTATAATAATGTTGTAATTACGCCTCATTTAATCTGAGATAATGAATGGGATATACCATGGGATGTTATCATGCCTCTATGCCTATTCCAATTGTTCAGGCTCTGTGCGCGTGCATTTTGAGGCAAACATGAGATAATATATGAACTGGAGACGGCGCATCAGTGAGGGGGCGCAACAATTGACGCGACTTGCCAAGCGGGGACAAACAATCCCAAATTGGTATGTTCGCGCTCACAAGACTGATTTGAAGGCCCTCTCAGAGAGCTGCAACTTCGCAACATATCACCCTCGGAAGATGTAAAACAATTCGAATAAAATTGAAACAATTCACACAAAAACAAGACGACGCCAGCAGGATTCGAACCTGCGCCCTCAAAGAGGAACAGATAGCGGCAGGCAAACACGCTTCAATTCTAATCTGTCGCCGTAACCACTTGGCTATAGCGCCTTCTCAAGAGCTAAGTTCACCATACTCCTGGAGTCCCTCAGAATCCAGAAGCCAACTGGCCAGCTCGCTACGTTCCAAGGAACATCCTTTTGTGTTTACCATCGGCTCAATATTGTAAATGAAAGCATCACAGGACCTTTGCTCGGGACAAATATTCCGCCGAGTCGCTGCCATATTGAATTTATCGCATGACTTCGTGAGCGTTATATATCCCGGGTTTTTTCTACCTAGCTGCTTTACATGATGTCTTCCAAGGAAAACGACACAATGAGGTAAATATTGGGTGTAGCGGGGAATGTAAAAGCACTGCAGCCCGCCTAGGATATGTTTTGATCAGATCGGGATCTCGATGATCGGAAGGAGAAGTCGACAGATTGTGGCTGTGCGTTGTACCTTCCTCTCCACGCGTGTCCTATGCTGCCCTTGCCCGTGTCTCTGTCAGGACGCCGTTCCATCTCCAGACATAGCCTACGACCATCACATAGGAGCACCAAGGATGTCCTTCTCAGTCGCGCGCGGGTCACCAACCTTGGGTTCTTGCTCCTCGCAGCTGTGACCGCACTCTCCTTACTAGCCAACTTGAGCCACTACTTTACGTCCTCCAGCAGCATTTCTCGATTCCTTGACTCTGAACAACCCTCAAGCATTCTAGCAACACTTCAGCGTGATCCGTCGCTCGCTGCAGTCAACCATCTCATCATCGTTCCTGGACATGCCGTATGGAAAGGAACAGACCCCAAACTTAGACTCTATGATGAGGAGTGGATTCTCGAACCATATCAAAGAGGTGGTGGTCGGACGTCTGCATTCTACAAGCACATAGCAACGGGGTACGCTCATTCTTTCTCAGTCAATGCAGAGTAACTTGACCGCGGTACTGCAGAGCAGATCTCGCTGAAGAAGATACGAAATCTCTCCTGGTATTCAGCGGGTAAGCCTTCTGCGCCCAAAAACGTAAGCTCTTTCCTTAGAAGTCTACGTCAGCGGGCAAACTCGCCAGACCTCCTCTACGACCGAGGCGGAGTCCTACATGCGATTAGCGCTCTCATCCGGTATTCTACCACCTGCGGCTCCGCCTGGAACACCACCCAGCCCTCCCCTTCGCGCGACGACAGAAGACCACGCGCTAGACTCATTCCAAAACCTTCTCTTCTCCATTGCCCGCTTCCATGAATACACGGGGCACTACCCAGAGCGCATCACTGTCGTCGGGTACGAGATGAAGCGACAGAGGTTCACTGAGCTACATCGAGCGGCCTTGCGCTGGCCACGCGACCGCTTCCACTATATCGGAATTGACGCAGCAGGGGAAGAATTGGCAAAGGCACAGGAAGGCGAGGTAAGCACGAAGTTACAATGTCCATTGGCCATAGCCTCATAGGCCCCAACAGAGGCTGAACGGCTACCTTCCGTACACCCTTGACGTCTACGGGTGCCATGACCTCCTTCTCTCAAAACGCCGTGCGCGGAATCCTTTCACCCGATACCATTCGTACTACACATCCGCACCAGAGCTTGTCCCGCTTTTTGAATGGTGTCCTGGCTCTGCTGACGGTGGGCAGACGATGATGTTCAAGGGTCCTCTCCCATGGGACCATTTACGGTGATCCGTTGCTATACGTACCCTATCGGACAAATGACATCACTACTACGTTGTATGAATGTCTTTCATACTCGCAGCATGAATACGTGTTGGTGGCCCTCGTGTTATATCCTATAAAGGGAGATACGTCTATCATCGCGACTTCCTCTTGAGCAAGGGGATCAAGTCCTCCAAGCCGTGGTGCAAAATGTGGCCACGCTCCCTTCGAACGTAGGCCAGATACGTCAGTGCGCCCGCAACAACGCTCACGAAAGACGCCAATGCAGCGATCTTGAACTGCGAGGGCCGCGACAAGATCATAGTCAGGACGTACTGTTGAAAGGTTCTAATTGAGTATAGGCATTCTTGCTTACGATAAACGTACTTTGAGCAGATCTGCAACGTTCTGCAGAGAATACTGGAGCGCCGAGCTAGTGCCACGGTCAGAACGGGGGGTCACCTGTCAAGGAGCTCGCCTTACATAGCGTTTCGGCGAGGATGAGTGGACAGGGCCAGTTGCAACTCCTTGAGCTGGCACAGGTCAAACGCCCAAAGACCTATTCTTGACAGCATCATTCCTAATGAAATGAGACAGACATTAGCAGCAGGGAAAAGGGTGACACGGCGATGGGAAGCACCTCCGAAGAGCAGAGCAGCATTCCAGGCAGGCGCCCGCTCGTTGATAGGAGGGGTACCAACGTAAAAAGAAATCACAACTGGAACCAGAAATATTGCCTCCCACCTGTAGCTGTATCAATCATGGTTTGATTAACGAAGAACGAAGGCTTCACACCAGATGCTCCAGTGGCCTGCGCGAATAAGACCCAGCTTGCGCTCCAAGACCGGCATGGTCAGCGTCCCAAGAAGCCCCGCGACAACATTCAGGCCACGCATGCCGGCGATGAAGGGGTCACTGTACGTTTCCGCCTTGAGGTAGCTGAGCATCGTACCGTCGAAGCTCAGGACAGTGAAGTAAAGACACGAGATAGCGAGCGACGAGAGGAAGATGGGATGGTGGAAAAATTCCTTCCAGTCTGAAAGGCTGTTCTTCATGTGGAGTTCGATTGTATTCATCAAAGCGGGTATTCTGTCTCCGCGACGAGGGGGACGATTCTCCTGTCTCGCTGCTGTCTTCGCGGCCTGCGCGGCCTTGAGCATTGGGAAGCGGCTATAGACGATGGAAATCCCTATGTCAACACATAAACGTCGACCTTAGCGTACTGAACGAAGTGTGAACCTACAGACTAGCTCAAATATCATACATACTATCTCTACTCCGCAAAGGAAGTATGCAGCGAACGTATAAGATGCAGCAGTTGTCAGAAGAGACACGAAGAGCGGTGCGAGTAGCTTGCACAGCAGATCGATACGTCGCATGTAGGTATTGATGGTCGTTAGGTGAGCAGACGAACCATCGGCAATGACAGTGACCCAGTCCCGCTCAATGGCCACGGAGATGGTCACCCCAGCCAGATTTTGTATGCAGCCACAGATAATCACGACAGCAAACATACCTGCTGCAAGCGGCGTGCGCAGATCATTCTCGAGCCCCCACCTCGGGTGATACAGCAAGACAAGCGACCCTGCGTACGCTCCACAAGCAGAGAGCTTAATGACAACGATGCATGTGCGCACTAGCTTCAAATTGTTCCTTGTGTCAACTTGGTGCCCTGCCCATCCCGAGAGAACGATAGCGGTCCCGGTCGTGAGGAATCCGAAGATGGAGGCGGGTAGCAATGTGTCGGGGAACAGGGTGACGAGGAAGAGATACAAGGCAAATTCAGCTGTCCGGGAGCCCCAGGAGCTTTGCAATTCGCACAAGGGGCGTCAACATAGGGTCTAGGAGACTGTCAAGGAGACTGATTACTTAGAGAAGTGCTGTACCAAAAGCAAATATAGCGCCTTTCTGTCAAGTGCCCCGACGACAGTGTTCGGCGCCGTGACATCCATTATTTCGGGAGGAGCGGACTGTCCGGAAAGTATCAAATGTTCTGTGACAACGGCCGCAGTTTCAGTTGCGGGCGTTGTGTCATTAGACATTTGAATATCCTGGGTGACGCTGTCCGGCACTAGGCTGGCGAACGGGGGCTCCTCCGTCTTGCATGATCCCGGATTCATCTACGCCTGCAAAAGAGCTCAGATATACGCAGACCGCGAAGCTATCTGGAAGATATCCGTCCGATGTGTGAGCAAGGCACAGGGAGAGAAGCATTCAAATGCTAGAACGGCACTGCGGGTCCCCGATCGTGATCGGGGGTGCGCATCAAACGATTCACGTACGATCCTCGATCACAGTGCAGGTCTCGGCTGAGTTTACAGACACATAGTACAGTGCATTAACAGTGCATCACCTCCAGCGGATACAAAACTGGATTTAAAAAACAAAATAAAAAACAGTGCATCAGGATTCTCAAGGGGGTGAACCTCAAGATACAATTTGTAGTTTTATATCTTAAGACGTGCAAGATATCGCAAGAGATATACAAGGCTAGTGGGATCGCGAAAATCGTACGATGAAGGCGGACCACACATAATGCAGTATATCGGCGGTTCATGAAGACGGTCAATATCTTTTGGACAATTCGCGCTCAATAGCCCACTTCACAGCTTCTTCAACGTCCCGAGCCTGGTGAGTAGGTTCATGAGCAGGAGGACCCTGTTGCGGGTCATAGACCCCGGTGTGAACTAGCACTGAGGACCATCCCGCTGCATTTGCTCCGGCTATATCTGTGGTGAGTGTCAGCAAAGAGTTGTACACTCAAGCATAAAGCCCCTCACCCGACTCAGGGTTATCTATGCTCGCGGTCATCAGCACACAAGGGACGACAAAAAGTCTTACAGAACTCCTACTTACCTCCCACCATGTATCTGAGGTAGACTCGTCAACCACCAGCCTTTACTACGCATATACCCACTCACATATTTGGCAGACGAACTGCGGCATCACCATAGAGATCCTTGAAACGGTCCTTTAACACTTGCTTCACAAATCGGTAAGTCGCTTCCGTCGGCTTGCCATATTGGACATCATAGTATTCGCTGCCCGTCAAGGTCTGGCCAACCCAGCGGTCAGATCTACCGTCAGCAGCTCAGGTTGAACATGGTCATCACGCCACGTCTACGAACCTTGTAAACGGCCTGGAAAGCAATGCGAAAGGCGCCCTGACCAAGCCTTGGTCGCGGGAAATCTGAACCCCATAGTACGTCTGGGTTGCAGAAGATCAAGTCCGGAGGTCGCCGACCGTAGTTAGATAGACGCGTCCCCTGAGGTGCTCCAATGATGCCTCGGGACAGAATCACATCGCAGATAATTTGAATATCGAGCGCCCAGTTACGAGGATCATGGAACACAAAGATGGCCGAGATCGGAGTTTTCGAGAAGTCTACCGTCTGTGGGAAAGCAGTGAACCTGTGCCAGCAGCAGCAACATAGGAGAGACGAGTACTTTCGTTGACTCGCGCTCTGAGGGCGTGAGATCGTGGAATGGCCAGACCCTGTGGTAAATCAGTGCCTGTCTATGATTTTTCTCAGTGGACGATAAGAAAACTCACGCCGGATTCCATGCCAGGACGTCGAGGGTAGTGTAAGCCTGTTTGAAGCCATATCTACGCATGGAATCAGGACCCCACAGCCCGTCAACTATGGAAGCAGCCACTACCCTTCCGCTACCTTGCGTACGTCGTCGTTCCTACCTCCTAGCACGAGCACCGGGGAGTCTGTGTACCTATGGACCACGGACTTCAGGATAGTGTGAGACTGCACGAATTGATGCAAGTCAATCTGACCGAAAAACATGACTTCTGGATCATCGGAACGAACGAGGTATACAGCGGCAAACCTTGAATCCTAGTTGGTCAGTGAGCTTCTGGCACCGAGCCTGTTCACTGGTGCCGCCGCCGTTGGTAAGCTGATGCACGAGCCATGTTTTGTATTATCATGAGTAATTGCGGGGGCGGACGCAGAACCTACCAGTATGTAAGGTATCTTTCTGCAACAGTGTGCTCTATCAGCATACCAAACGCTAGATAACTCCCATGGACCAGAGGCACACCTTCCTGTCGGATTAGCTCCTTCGAGCATTGCCAGCGCGCGCCTCGCCGCTGGTATCGTGTTCGGACCCCGAAGCAGGACTCCATCCTGTGATACGTGGCGGATGCTCCATCAACCTATAGTATAAGCAACTCCTGTGCGAGCTAGGGCGTACTATATCGAATGCGAACGCGAGAGGCGGTACATCTGCCCGTCCGTGTGTGCTTTCTGTTAATCTTTAATCAGAGACCCAGATGCCTGAGGGATCGATAGAGCTTGCTTTGGTAGCCTCGAGCTCGGAGTTCCAAGGGCGTGAAGTCTCGAGGAGAAAGTCTCGGCCCTGGGTACGCGTGGTACCGCACGGCAAATTGCCAGTTGCTCCAACTCCGAGTCGTGACTGCACGAAACATACGCTGAAAGCTTTCTGATTATTGCGAGAGAAGCGTCCAGCAGGATTTCCACTAGTTGGTACAATTAACGACCGATGTCCAGTGATAGACGCAAATGGGTCGAGACATCACGGTACGCGTCGCGCGAAGACGCGATCACGTGGAGAAATGTCACCCACTCAAATTCGAGCCTGGCGACTCCGCTTCTGTGAGTCGTGACAATAATAGATGGGCAATTGTCTCCCGAGCAAAGCGCATTTCGCCGGCCGAGCGGTACATACATTGGGCGCAACTATCTAGATATCTAGGTTATCATCAGAACCCCTTGCGGTTGGCCACGTTTGAGTGGACAGGATGAATGCACATGAACAACCGTGGGGCATGCGGAGCCATACCCGCTATGAATGGAAGGCTGTATTGGAATATCGCAGATAGCGCGGCCTGGCCAAGGCGGATTGCGGGCTACATGAGTGACTTCTTGACCATCAACGGCCAGGCTCTAAGCTAGGTATATACAGTACGTAAGTCGAGATGTCCTGTACTGCCTAGAGGGTTTACAGAGTTCACGAGACTCAAAGAGAGATCAAGATATGTGCTTTGAATAGGAGAGTTTGAACAATGTGCTCATCGTGAGAGAATATCAATGAAGAGCACAGCTTCTACTTCGGAAATACCTACTTTGATTCTTCGCATGCCGTCTGCATGCGTAGAAGAATCGCTAGGAGCAGCTATGAACCTTACGTGGTTGGACGGCGCTCGCGGAATAGGCTAGTTCCTCTTCCGTAAACGACGCCAAACTACTAACGACCTATAGTGGATCCAACGCCGAGAACACCGCCCGAGTGCACGATACGTATGGGTTTTATTGGACGCATCTTGATGCCAAGGTTGCAATCAGTCAGTGTATGTTTACCAGGGCCCTGCGCCGCGATCCAGGGGCGGGAACATGTTGCGTGGTCAACAACGTGCAGCAGCCCGGGCAGATGCGGGGCGAACGCAACGCCTTGCTGCATACTGATCGATTGTGAACTTACAGGAGGGTTGTGGATAAAAGGCCAAGGCGGTGCAAGGTGTGTGAACAGCATGTAGGCCATCGTCTGATGGTAGCTTCGCAACAAAAAGCGATGTATAGATGGAATCCGGAAAGGGGCATAGAGCGATGGCGTAGGATGCCCGCAGCAATAGCTCTGGTACAGTGTTGCGGACAAGAAATAGAACCCGGAGATGAGGCCCCTTTGCGAACATTGCTGTCGCGGTAATCCGAGGAATGGCGTGGTTGCGGAGGCAATGAATCTGATATATCTGCTATTTCTTAGCTGTTGCATGATGAGGGAGAAGAGTGACCAAAGACGCCAGCAGGCAGGGTCCGAGTCGGATTGGGGGACGAGCGCGAGAAGCTGGACTGTCTTTACAGACGGAAGCTTATGTCACCCGACAGCCGCCCGTCCTCCTCTGCCCGAGTGCCCCTCATCTCTTTCTCTCTCCCCAACCCCTGCGGCTCTCCCCGCCCCCGTCGTCCCGCACGACCCCCTTGCCCCTCTCCTGGCGGTGATCCCGCTCCTTCGCTCAGGAGTTCCTCACGTACCTCGCCCGATTGCCCTCAGCACCCGTTCCGCGCGCCTGGCATCCCGTTCCTCAAACGAGACAAATCATCCGACCCCGGTCTCATCGCATCTCCATCCTGGCGCTTGCCGGTTCAACACAATCGGTACATGTATCTGGCCCTCCACTGTGTCCCTCGTTGCCTCTCGATCCTTTGAACTATCATGCCCGTCACGACCAAGCGAGCAGAGGCCATCCAGGCCAAGTTCAATGTCACCGTTGATTGTAAGTCGAACCGGTCACATTACCAGCGTGAGACGAGACTGACCTCTCTTAGTCCCTCACCTCGGGCTGCACTCTGCCGCAGCTACAGGCAACCTGGGTCTCGTGAAGTACGCGCTTGAACACGGCCAACCTATCAACTCTGTTCTCGATGGCGTCCTACCATTACATGCGGCCTGTTCGGGCGGGAACGACCTTGTCGTGAAGTTGCTTATTGAGAAGGGAGCGGACGTGAATGCGCCGCGGTAAAGCATTCTGATTTTCCGCAAGTCAAACTTTCCCTAATTCTCATAATAGATTACCTCGGCGATACTTCAATGACAAGAATCGCGATACATCCTATCCTGTTGTTGGAAGTTCGGGATCAACGCCACTCCACTTCGCATGTGCCAATGGGCACACCGCGGTTGTTCTCACCCTACTCATGCATGGGGCGCATCCAGACCGTAGCGACAAGCATGGCACAACCCCTGAGATGCTCGCACGTCAGAACGGGTGGACGTCATGCGCAGATCTCATTCAGCAATGGTCTTTGAACAAGGACCGGGATCTGCGCGAAAAGGAGGAGCTGAGCTCTTCAGTATACACAGATGGTATTTCTGTCAAAGATGATCGACATGCGCCCTGTTCTGCTGTCGAATGTAAAATCTGCAACTTCGGCAAGAGAGTACGCGTCAAGCGGTCTATTGATCAGGCAATCAATATGCTGAGGCCCTCGCTATCCCAATCTCACATGTCATCGGCGCACTTCGACTTCTCCACATCTGGCTTGGAGACGATTGCCGCCTCGCCGTTACTGCCCTCAGACTCTATAGGTGGCGCAGTGCTACGATCCAGCCCGGATTCGACCGCAGATGGGAGTGGCCGTCGTCCCTCCCTTCCCGACATCTTCGATCAGCAGCAGACTATGCCAATACTGCGGCGATCACATGGTTCCACACATCGTTCTCGCAGACCTCGGTCAGCAGGCACAGATGCCGAACAGTCCCCTGGGATGCACAAGGTCAAAGCGAAGGTCTCATTGCTTAACATATTCAAGAAGGGCGACTCAACTGGGACGCTAGAGAGCCAGTCAGGCCATGCATCTCCAAAGTCTGTTGTCCCCTCACCAGCTCCGCATCATCGCACAGTCTCATCTGCTACGCTTCCTCCGAGTATCCCTTCCTCTCCATTGTTTACTCCTCTCGAATCCGCATCACACAGATTCCGTGGACGGTTGTTCAGCGAGAGCGAATCACGCGCCGTCCTGCATCGACCATCCGTCACGGATCTGCACCGTGCACAATCGGAGGAACGCGTCGTGTCACATCCCAAGCCTCATCATCATCTGCCTTTACCTACTGAAGGCAGTGGTGAGTCATCTCATGATGATAAGAGTATCAGACCAGGCATCCTCCGTCCTCATAATCGGTCCATCTCCTCAGGACAATCCCAATTGGATAGCTCCCCTGCAGACGGAGAAGGATCTGCGTCCCCGCGCGCCCTGCGTTTTGACTCTTCGTCTAGCTTTACGGCTCGGCGATCATCTAGTACGCACCGGAATGCAAACAACAGTCCGGCTAGGGGCGTCCCGCTCACAAAAAGTATGAGCTCACTCAGAAGTGCGGTCCTTCCCGAAGGCGCGCGATCGCCCCTGGGCAAGGCATTGGAGCTCGAACCAGAGGACGATATTCCGGTTACCGACGAGCCGGAGGACATCGCTGGCGACGAAGAGGAGGAGGAGTATGGCGAGCCGATCGCGCCGCGGTTAGGCGTGACGGAGCTGGACACGAGGTTGAGTACCCTGAAAGTGGAAGATGCTACGAAAAGACATTCGATGGTGTCATCACACACGTCCCTTTCACCCCTCCCATCTCCTGGTGTGGCCGTCGAGACGAGTGGTTTTGATTGCCCCTTCAGCATCAATGACCCGCCGTTAGATGATAGTGATTCTGCGACACGTACCGATCTCCTCGACGCACATGGCGTCGAGAACAGATTACGAGGCGATTCCATGAGCAGCATGAGCACTTCTGGGACGAGTGGGTATGTTGCTACGCCTGGCTTCACATCGTTGCAGTTGCCTTCCCCCCATATCACGTCGGCTGTGTCGACACCACCCGAATTCCCATCCATGGGCCACGGTCGGAGAACAGGGATTCAGCGCGCTCACTCGACATCTGCGGTGCCTGGAAACGAGGTTGAGATACCGATGGTTTCGAAAGCGCCTCGATCTGCTCTCGACATCGACATCCGCTCGATCTCGTCGCATGCGCAAGCCGAAGCGCTCGTACAGCGCGCGCAGCAGAGCATCCTCGATATGCAAGACCTAGAGATGGACAGGCAAGGGTCGAGCGACAGCAATGCATTTGGTCGGACACCGCTAAGTGCAAAGCTAGCCGCCTACGGGGAGAGCCTTGCGATCGAGCGGAAGTTCAAGCAGGAAGAACAGCGGCGGAATAGCTCGTCGACCACGCGGCAGTCCAGTCGGCGCACTACACCCAAGGGCTCACTAGACGAAACCGTAGGTCGCAATCCGAGTGCAAGCGCGCGAGCATTGGATAGGAAGTATAGCTTGGAAGAGAGGCCGTATCGCAACCGCACGGTGAGGCAGTCGAAGGCGCATAGACCCAATACCAGTAGTTCTTGTAAGTCCGCCTTATTTCATACGGTGGACACTCGCTTACGCTTCATCACGGAAAGCTTCGTCGGACATGTTTCAATCACCGCGACAGGACGACGGCTCCTCGTCCATCAGTCTCCATCACCATAGTGCGGCACCATCGCAGGTGATCGTGACATCTGCCTCCGCGGATGCAGAATTTCAGCACGAGCACCTGGAAATGTCGTTGACGCCGCCCCGCAACGCGCATCTGAAGGTCGGTTCGGAGACGTACGCGACAAAGCCGAGGCTACACCGATCGCGCACACCTGATCCCGAGTCGGACGCCATGTTATCCGGCAGCCCTTCCTTTGGCGTCCCGCTCTCGAGAGTTTCTACAGCACCCGCGCAGGAGTCGTACATCAAACGAAACCGAACCCTCGACCAGGAGCGGCAGGCTGCGCGGGCGACCAAACTTGTGAAGATGGGCTTCGCAGCGTCGCCCGAGCCATGGGCCAACAACACGCTACCCCCGTCGCGCAGTCAGCCAGGCGGGAAGCATCGCTTCGGTGGGTTCAAGGGGTTCGTGCAGAGCTTGCAGCTCAAGGGGAAGACGTGAGGAGTCGAACACAGGCACAGAGATGCCACATCTTGGTTTGGTTTGTATATGTGGCCGTGGATTGTGACTACCACTGTCACGCAAGTTGAGTGGGCATATCTGTTATCGTTCATTATTTTGCATCGCTTGTTTTTCGTTCTCTCTCCTTGTTGTTGTCCGACTACCACGAGTGTATGTACGACGATCGTCCGGCGCATTGTATGACTACCCACATTTGCTGTCTGTATGTTTCCATTATCGAGATTATTTGCACACATTTCCGATGTACATGCGTGTAGCAGGCTGCGCTCTACAGCCGTGTATATAAAATAACGCTTCTTGCGCCGTACACAACGCTTCGCCGATATATTGTGTAGGTCTCGATCACGTGACCATTGTGCATCCACTGGCATGACGCGTCGCGACCACCACCGTATGTCTACTGCAGCTTGATCACGAATCTACACAGTGTCTTCTTCGCCGAGGGCAATACATGCCGTTAAAGTGATAAATATTTCGCTACGAATATTCCACCGCTAACATGGCGGGTTGACGCCCTCTTTGGCGCGATTACTGCGGTGATCCTAAACGTCGAGTCCTCGGGTTGACAGCCCTTACGACATAAGGACTAGCATGCTAGTAGTCATCTCCTGGTGAGACTGTAACTGCGGCTCCGTTCTCAAGGGCTGCGCCTAAGAATCATGTTATATGGACTGCGCGCATGGAGACCCCCTGACCGACTGTGCGCAGTGGTAAGTCGCTGGGACTATGGAATTCAAATCGGAAGACATAAATATTCTCTTCGATACAGGTACCACAAAGACGCTAGTGTGGTATATAAAGGGTTTCAAGCTCAAAGGACTGCGGAATTCTGCGACTCCATTCTCACTGACACTCGGGCTGTAGAAATCAGTTACAACATGACATCTGTGATGCACTCCGCGGCCCAAGATCAACATCGTCTTCCCACGAACGTGAAGCCTGTGCACTATGACTTGACTGTGAAGACGGACTTGCTCAAGTGGTCATTCGAAGGGCTTGTCAGAGTACAGTATGTATTTGACGATCTGACCGCACATTCCAACAACTGATACTAATTCGTGTTCGATTGCAAGACTACAGGTCATACAGGAAACCTCACAAATTGTCCTGAACTCGCGTGAAATCCAGCTGGAGAATATAACCATAGTCTCAAGCACATCGGATACGGATACGGAGCAGAGACCGTCGTCAGTTGTTCTCGATGCAGCGTTGGAACGGGCTACCTTCGAGTTCCCCGTTCCCCTTCCTGCGAATTCAACCGCGGTACTATCTATCCACTTCTCAGCGCCACTAACCGATTCTTTGGCCGGTTATTACCGCTCGGCTGGTGATGAAAATACAGAGGTCTACGCCGTTACACAGTTTGAGGTGCATGCCACTCTTGTTGCATAATGTACCATTCACCCATATTTGACCCATCAGCCAACGGCAGCACGCAGAGCGTTCCCGTGCTGGGATGAGCCGCGGTTCAAGGCTACCTTTGCGGTAACGCTCATCTCGCGCATCGATACAATCAACATAAGCAATATGCCGGCTATATCGGAGACGGTCCTTGATCCTGACACCATCTCCGACACAAGTAGCATTTATTCATGGTTAACCAGTAAATTGGCGCATTTCTTCTCGCGGGACGCCGTGCGTACGGATCGGTGGAAGATCACTCGGTTTGAAACTAGTCCTCCCGTGAGTACAGGCCGTGCCAGACCTTCCTCTAGAGTCTCAAGTCTCTTTCTAGATGTCTACCTACGTTCTCGCTTACGCAAATGGGAATTTCCAATACTTGGAGAGCTCTTACACAAGCTCCCTGAGCGGCAAGACCCGTCCTCTTCGTGTTTATGGTATCAGCGAATTTCTTATGAACAGCTACCAGATTGCTCATATGAATGACCAGCTACATCTGATATTATACATCTGACGCAGTATGTACTTGACTGTACGCGATTGATGGTACCAAAGCTCGAAGAAGCATTTGGTGTCGAATTCCCCCTCCCTAAGATAGACACGCTTGTCGTGTACGACTTCGATGCCGGTGAGAAGTTTTCATGACTGTTGTATGCTCTCGGTCACGCTAAAGACGGTCTCCTCCGAGTGTAGGCGCAATGGAGAATTGGGCATGTACCAGCTGAGATATCATCTTCTCATGGATATTGATGACGTGTTACAGGGCCTTATTATTGGACGTACTTCAGCGTACCTGTGTGATCCAAAGTCGCCCGACATGCGACTCAAGAAGGACATCGCTAGCATGCAGTGCCATGAGCTAACACACCAATGGTCCTATATAAGACATCTCTCTTGCACCGCCATCCTGATACAAATTGCGCAGGTTCGGCGACATCACGACAATGGCCTGGTGGGATAACTTATACCTGAACGAAGGTCAGGCCGAGACAAGATCTTGTTGATTGCTGATTAATTCATGCATATTTACTAGGATTTGCCACCTTTGTGCGTTCCCATGCTCATCCTACGAATGCGTATCAGTTACTGAAGGTTTCCAGGTTGGAAGCATTATCTTGGGTCAGTCCTCATCCTCGTCAAGTTTCCTACTGACATTCATCGCTGTGTTCCGCAGACAAGTACGTGCTCATCACAACATGGCATGTGTCACTTACCCTCGTCTGGAATAGATTATACCCAGACTGGAACTGTGATGCACTCTTCTTGTCTAATTCCTTCGCTCGAGCTCTAGATTTAGATGCGATGCGGGCTTCTCACCCCATTGAAGTCGAGTGTCTGGATGCGAGTATGGCCTATCAGGTGCGTGAGGCTTGCACCCTAATCTTGGCGATTCACAAAGTTTCCTCAGGTTTTCGACGCACTCGCATACGAGAAAGCGGCCACAGGTAGGCTGTCGTACGCACGGACACAGATAGTGGGAAACTGAATAGACTAGTCCTACGCATGCTCTGCAGATTTGTAGGAGAAGAGGTGTTCTTCAAGGGTGTTTCTGTGTATCTCAAAAGACACTTGTATGGGAACACGGTGACGCGGGACCTCTGGGAAGGCCTAGAGTCTGCGAGTGGTATGTGTGTAGTAGCGTTAGACTCTGATGCTGAGAATATCCTCAGGCCTCAACATACCTTCAATGATGGACAACTGGGTAAAGAAGGTATTAATCACAACGTTCTTACTCGTAGATTTCAAATTGACAACTGATACGTATCGAGGTTGGATATCCGGTGCTCACGGTCACTGAGACTCAGGGGGCTATCCATATTCGTCAAGATCGGTTTCTGCAGACAGGGAAATTAGAGCCTGAGGACAACGAGACTATATGGTACGATGTATTGACCCCGCTCACACTGATATGATTGACTGGGAATAAAAGGACGGTTCCTCTCAAACTCCTTACCGTATCACAGCAAGGCGACGTGAATGTCAACGGGTCTATCCTCCTGACTGAGCGCGAAATAACCATTCCACTTGATGGTGCAATACAGTACAAGTTGAACGCAGGTAGTGCCAGCCTTTGTAAGTCACTTTAACTGGCGTTTATACGGTGCCAAATGACTAATGCCTCTAGGCCGAGTATCATATCCCCCAGAAAGACTAGCAAAATTAGCCGATGACGCAGCGAAGGCGCAATCTATCTTTTCTCTGCAAGACCGCATGGGTCTGGTGGACGATACGCTGGCATTGGCGAAAGCTGGGTATTGCACAGTCGGAGATGCTTTGTCCTTAATTGACGTGCTGAGAGACGAGAAGGACTGTAAGTCGTGTCTTGGACGCAACGCTTATTCTTCGACATATCTACTCCTTGTAGACGTTGTATGGCAAGCCATCGGCAACAATCTCTCTACCCTGCTTTCTGTCTGGTATGAAGATCCAGAAATTGTTAGCTCAGTATCACAGTTTTCTCGGGTCAGTCAGTCGTCTACTACATGCTCATGGAGACTTGCTTAATAATTACTTTTCACACAGGGTTTGTTCGTGCCCCTTGTCAAACGTCTCGGTTACGAGAATCAAAGTGATGATCCGGTCGATATTTGCGACTTGCGAACATTGGCCATTGAACAGACGGCTGTCTGCCAGGATCCGGAGTACGCTGGCTTTATGCCTCAGCACTGTTCGTATAGCTGATCGCGGTGTGCTAAGTGTGGTAAATGTACTGACCGGCCGATTCGCTCGCTACATGGAGACGGGTGACGAGTCCACAATACCTCCCGATCTGCGCTGGATTATCTACCACACCGTGCGTTCGCCATGTTCTGCCTGCGAATCGCGCTCAACTACATTTATAGGCTGTATATCATGGTGGGATTAATGAATGGGAAGCGGTCAAGAAAATAGCAGAAATATCGAAGGACCCTTCAGCCGGCCAAGCAGCCATAAGAGCCATGGGTGCTACGCAGGACCCAACGCTCATCGAAGCAACATTAAATTACGCGTTCACGGGGGCTCGTGATCCGGATGTACCTTGGTATATGGTGGGTTTGTCGCAGAATAGCAAGGCGAGGAAGCTTTTGGCGTCGGCGTTCAAAGACAATTTCGCCGCGGTACGTTTGCCATCTCGATAGGTGCCAACACACGTTTTCACAACTATTCAGCTGTACGAACGTTTTACAGACAACTTCACTTTGCAACGTATGATCAAGGTCAGTCATCCTGCGTGGACAAGCTACATGAGCAACCCTGATTGGCGATGATCCCAGCTTCCCTTTGAGCGATTGAGCAGCGAAGACGATTACGAGAAGACTACTCGGTTCTTCGAGGTCAGTATAATGTCCAATCAGGTCTTGAACCTCATGGATCAGATACCTCTGCAGGATAAGGACACTTCATCGTATGACCTCACCTTGAAACAAGTCTTGGAAGGTATAGCCTCCAGGGTCTCTTGGATTAAGGTATCCAACAGCTTCTTCCGATATGGCCCGGGAGTCTCTGACGCATTTACAGCGATCCACAGATGACATCAAGCTCTGGTTTGAAGACCGTAAGGGGGACTATTGTGCGTGATGTGACGTGTTTCTAAGGCCCCAGATATTCCCCTTTCTGGGCGCTGAGCAGTTGAAAAGAATTTGTACTACCGGGCTGCACTGCCTCCTGCTTCGCATAGTATATGCAGTTCTACAGCGCTCATAAGACTGTTCTGAGTCACGGTCAAATGTTTACCACCGACCGCCGTCCAGCTTGGATTATGAGGCCCGATGCTAATCCTGCTTTCGTCATCTCGCGCTGATATAAGAATTGGCTTGTGCACCAACGCATATCGCTCGTTGTCTACGACGCCGGCGATAATAATATCTCAGTACCAGTGTAAGCAACACCGCCGGGGACGGAGCGAAACTAAGTAGTAGCAACGGAAGCGCGGGATCAGCGCATCTTGGCAAGATCTCGGGCCGTCACCGAGGGATTCGTGCCGCTGCCGATGGCGACGCGCAAGCCGGAGCCGTGATCTGGCTTTCTGACGGTTCGCCCCGCAAACTGCAACATCAGCCCTATCTATATAACAGACACCTCACCTCATTCTATCATTGGTAGAACAGATCATGTCCAGTAGTTTCGCTCCTTCTCTCATTTCTGCCGGCGAGTCCTCGAGCAGCGTGAATCATTCCCAGGAGCCCCCCCTTGAGGTCAAGAAAGATGGAACAGCCTCGAAGATGCGCCTGCACAAGGGGAACATTCCCTCAGTCCCGCAAACAAAGCCTTGCCCTCTGTGCCCTGCCAAGTTCACCCGCACTACCCACCTCAGTCGACATTTGAGGACACGTAGGTGCAAATACCTTGGAGAGCTCCTTGTATGATAACACGATGTTGCAGATACCAGGGAAAAGCTACACGAGTGCGATGTGCGTCGAATGATCTATGAAGCGCATCGAGTCGATGCTGACGGATGGGCAACAGAAATGCCATTCGCAGTTTACTCGGAGCGATCTCCTGACCAGGCACAAACGCAGTTGCGGCGATCAGTGAGTCTTCTGTTTCTGTGCACGTCGATATGCTGTCCATTTCGAACTTTGCCGTCGATGACGGGGTACGGAAGTGGTACCTATCTCGAGACGGTGTTTAGGGGTGCATGGCAAAGCGACATGGTCACCATATTAGGGGCTGCCTTGTGGTGGGCGTCCGGTGTATGCATCGTTTCTGTTGTGCTATGCATAGATATGAGAAGCACATATTCCACAGCCATCGATTTTGTAGATTGTGTCCAGGTAGACTTTGTACTAATATGCGTACCGTATAGAGGAATGAGTCGTTCCCGACGCAAATCATGTCAAGCGTGCGCCGAGTCAAAAGTGAAATGCGATCTGCAGCATCCTTGCTCAAAGTGCCGGACACGTGGACGTGATTGCGTGTACATTGGCGGCCATAATGTCGCCTCCAGTTCAGCATCTGGCGACAACTCCTCAGCACGTCGATCGGAGGATCTAGAGGCAGAGCTGCTTGCTATGCTGGATACTGCTACAATCCCTGCAGAGGCACATGGCCCTATGGGGCCCGTTTCACTACCAGATAGCTACCTAGACATGATGCGCACCTCTGCCGTGCGCAGCGGCAGCCCCCACGTCACGGCTACATCGATATCATCGTTCTCGCCTTTTACGCCTGCCTCCGAAACGCCCGTGGCCTTCTCTATCGACAGCCTCGCAACGTTTGCCCGGATTGATCAGACCGCGCCGCCACCTGAAAGCCAGTTCGACGAAGTAATGCAGAACGGAATGTTTGGTGATTTCTTCGGCAGCATATTCACACCAGGCCGGCAGGCGCTCCCACCGACGTACAACTCCGCAGCTGCCTCCAGTAAAAAGTCGCCGATGGACGGTGGGGTGTTTGACAACGACGGCAGCATCTGGGATCCGGGCTTCCCCTTCAGTATCACGGCCCCCATGGACCTCCACAGAGACGCGCCCCTCCTGTCTCAGGATTCGCCGAGCCTGTCCTCTGCCACGAGTTTCAGCAGCCCTGCAGCTACCGATGCGGCTACAAGCACATCATCAGCGCCCGTGTCGCAAAACGCACCTTCGTCCCCTTCTCCTGCTGAACTTCAGACTTATGGTACGTCTTTGTCTTTTGAAGTACTAGTTTTGTCTGCTGACGTGACCTTTACGGAATTTATTAGTATCATTATTCTACTCTGCATTTTCGCCTAATATGCCTATTGTCCACGCTGCGACATTCGACCTGGAGGGCAAGTCTCCCCTCCTCGCTGCTGCCATGCAAGCATGCGGAGCGCTCTATGTCAAAACACGTACTGCTATGAACTTTATTGACAGCGTCCTCGCTCGTGCAAGGGACGAGCTGGTGGTTGAGCTAGTTAGTTTATCAGACACTCATCCTGGCTTCCGGTAATGCTAACAATTTTCAATAGGCGAAAGAATCAGTCAATTGGGAGCATCAAATTAACTTGGCGCTCGCTGTGTGTCTTTTCCAGACACTTGGTCTCTTTCATAGAAATCCTGAGCAGCGTGCGTTCTCAAACGTATATCATGGAATGCTTGCGATGGTATGTCATCATGTTCAAAAGCAGCCTGCATTCTTTCTCATGAGCCATGCAGATGTTTCGTCTGAACGGATTTTCACGGGCAACATTCGATTGGGTGCCTCCCACAGATATTGATCATGCATCTGCACCACGGCTCTGGCGCGAGTGGGCGCAACATGAGACTGCCAAACGGTACGAACAGCCATGTGTATCCAAGCAACGTGGTTGCTGACCATGACCCCCAGAGCACTTGCAGTGTCATATCTGCATGACTGTTGCCATTGTATTTACTTCAATCTCCGCCCCACATACGACACGACGGACTTCGATATGCGTTTGCCTTGTGAAGATGCGCTTTGGACGGCATCCACCGCGGATGAGTGGTTGCAATTACTACGGCAGCCCTCGCGTTACGGATCCATCCAAGAGCGGCTACGTGGTCCGATGTTGCGGGCAACCTACGACAAACTAGCCGAGCCCGAGAGTGTATCTGCGACACCTCTCGTGCTCAACCCATGGTCTCATAACATCTTAATCCACGTGGCCCTGCGGCAGTTCTTTGAAGAATTCCTGGAGGCCCGCCTACCTGAGATTGGGACCCCCCGCGCGTCCTCACCGAGCCGCCGCGATACCCAGTACATCAGCGACGAGCGAATCGCCGAGCTGCAGCTCATAATGCACAACTGGCTGCAGAGCTGGCTGCACTCACCGGAGTCGCCAACGTACAATGCGCGAGAGCCGCGATTCATGAACCAGGCGCTGCCGTACTACTGGTTCTCGCAGGTCGCCATCCTCGCATACCAGGAGCGCCTCCCGCCGTTCTGCACGAGCACGACGTTCGTGGTCTCCGGCGAGGCAAAGTTCCGCCTGATGAAGAAGTGGGAGCGGCACATCCGCAAATTCCTGCGTCGCGGTGGCACGGAGCCGACCGTGTTCCTCGACGACCTCATCAAGACGCGCATGCGCAAATGGGACAGCAGCGGGCTTGTGGAGGACGCGGAGGAGGATCCGGTGCATCTACTCGGGTTCTTCCCCGGCACTTGAGCTTGGGACGGCACAGTAGACCCGCTCCCTGTTGTTTGCGCCTTGTGTGCGCTGTTGGCCTGTCCCAGCACGTGGATGGTCACAGATACAGATACTTTGGCAGTGCCAGTGGCCTGCATCACAGCGCTACAGGACGGCAGGATGCGTCAGGCGGCTAGCACGATGCGACGAGTAGCATGTACACGGGCCATGGGGGGATCTGGAGACTTGTTACTCGGTGAATGACAGAAGAGGTGTGGATGTAATTGTAGACGAGCGTGGCGAACATGTGCTGATGCTGATACCAGCAATATCTTGACGTTATTCTTGCGACTGCGATCATGAACTAGAGGGATCAGTATCAAAGCACAAAGTTTTTCCATCCTTGTTCTCACGCACGTCCTTCGTCCTGGCGTCCACAGTGGGCTCTGAAGCAGGTGTGTTGCGTCTGTTATAAGTAGATCTGACCACTACTAGTCGAAGTCTAAGATGACATACAGTGTGGCAATGAAAACCACAAGCCGAACGTTGACACTTCCTCGCGGGATGCAACCCCCTGGGAATCTCATTATCTGCCAGGGCCACAGAACACGCTCAAGGCTCATCAGGTTTCCCGACTGCCCCGCAAGCTCTGGAATGAGATGCTGAGCTACCTCGAGAACGACCAGTCTGTACAGCACTTACTACATGCAGTCTGTATACAGTCTTCCGCCCTCGCGTCTTCCGACATCTCTGTCTCACCGGGCGTAACCTACCGCACATGCGACAACTCGTGCGATGTGGGTTTGACCGCCGAGGTGGCCAAGGTCTTGTCACAGCTAAGTGATGTGGCCGGTCCCCTCGGTCTGCAAGCGGTGGTCGTCGTGCCCTCCCTGTTATCTGCACTTTCTGTGCCGTCGCCGGACGTGCGCGATCTCACGCTGGGCACCGTGATAGCGGCGACATTCAGGGCATACGTCCGTCTCAGTCGCAACTTGTCTGGTCTGCGTAAAATGGTCACCGATGGACTATCGTGCATGTTTCCAGCACTCTGGGACATGTCCTTGACGCCTCTTGCCCAGCTGGTGTGCCGCCTCAGCTAGAGATGCTCTTGCAAGCAGACGTCATTTTACCGACTATGATAAAACGCTGCATGCTATCGTCCAGAAGGCCCCTGAGTCCCTGGAATGGATGTGCCTGGAATCGCGCCGCTCGTCTCTCTTTGACTCAGGCGGTCAGTAACACGGCCAGGATCAGCCGACACATTCGTCTTCTAACGACTTGTCATCAATAACCATCTTTGGGGTTCAGAGCCTCACATATAGGGGTCGAGGAGCAGCTACCTATGTTCCTTTCATTGGTATTAGGACTGCCTGGTGTGCGTGAGATCAGCTTCTCGACATTGAGGCTCGCGCGGCTACTGTCGCTTTCAGGATTTCCGCAGGTGCAAATAAGTATGTCTGTGATCGAGGCGACATCCTCAGAAGTGGTAGACCACATGGTGTACTTCGAGCTCGTCCGGGGCATCTTGCCCGCTCCTGATGTCCGGGGAGCTCTAAGAGTGTGTACATGACGCAGACTACAATTCCTACTGGGGAGGCGTATTCTTTTGCGGGAGGCGTATTTTTTGCAAGTAATCTGCAAGTAACGGCGAGATGGATGAGTGATACGATGGAAGCATGAGGAGGATTGTTGGCGGATGAATGTAAGTAGCGACTGTAATATAGAACCTGACCGCCTGCGCGCCTGTACTCAGCCACAATGCCGGATGTTTTGAGCTGTGCATGTACAGGGATCTTGCAACCGCGAGCGCATCCAGAAAACGCTTGCAATTGGAGAGTATTGCTATTACGATGGCTGAATGCGGTGGTTCAGATATCGCTTCCACGTGCAGCACCTAGAAGCTTGATAGACACGTCGGACAACACGGTGAAACACAGGTGCTTTGACTGGGCACTAGTCTGATTATGACAGATAGCATTACGACAATCGATGATGCGCCCGCAAGCAATGCGTTGTAACTTGTCAACAGCTTGCCACACGAAGGTCAATAATTGCCGTGGATGATTTGGACGGCACTGGTGTTAAATACAGTATCTCGATTTCTGTGAACTTATATGTCATAGCATGGTGGGGTTCTGATCCTGATATGGGAAGGGTGCATCCTACTTCTTGATTTCGGCCGCGAGCGGGGAAGTAGGTTATGTAGGGCAGATATACACCCTGGCCTACCTGAGACCGTCAGCGCTGTGCGAAGTCTGAAGAAATCTGGCGTCAGGTGTGCGGCCCCGATGATGACTGGATTGCCATCAAAACCGATGCCACGGTCATAGCCGTCAGAGAGCGCGCCTTGTTGCTCGAGAGCAGAGACCTAGGACAGATGTGGCGTTCGTATTCATTCCCAGACGCACGCCGTGCTCATCTGACCACGCCTGAGAAGTTCTAGTTCTAGACAAGTGCGCGATAGGAGGCAAACTCGGAGGATCCTGTGCGTTGAGGAGAGCGGGATTAGGAGCTGCGGACATGTTTGCGCGCGTCGGCAAACGAGGACCTCGTTACGGCGAGGAGAGCGAAGTGGAGCAGAGGAGGCGTCGCGGGCCAATGGCTGCCACAGACATCGAGACTCCGCCCGAAAACGGTGGCTGTCGTGCAAGGCCAAGAGATCGCATCTGCCAGACTAGCCGGCGCTCCGATCTCTAAACCTCGCGTCCTGTCGTACTTTAATGACCCCTTCCTGCACGCATTTTCTCCGTCTCCCATGCCATCCCCCTCGTCCCCCTCAGCCCTCTAGTCCTCGCCCATGGTAGCCATGCCGCGCCCCCGCGCTTTGCGCGATGCCGTCCTCATCCTCATCGGTGCGACCACCATGCACCTCGCGTCCGTATTCCTCCAGGAACCCGCCGGCTCCATCGTAGTCAACACCCAGGTCAGCTCTCATTTTATCGAGGACTACAACAACTCTGCGCCTGCCCCCCTTGATGTGGAGGAGGCTGTAAAGCCCAAAGAGCGAGAGGTGCAGCACCTGCTACAATCCGAGGTCTCATCCACCGTCGATCTCGCGTACGACTTTCCAGAAACGACCATCGTCGCCCATGCGCCTGGCTGGACCGTCTTCCGAAACCTCTACATGTCGAACGGCACTCTATACATCATCTCATCGCAGCACGCATCTTCCTTCCCCGACATACAGTACATCACCTCCACCGGCCTGTTCGCAGAGAACACGCCGGAGAACATCGCGGCACGCATGCCCACCTCCAAGGACATGGACTTCCTGACTCCCGCACAAGCCCGGCAACGGTGGGGCGGGAGCCCCGATAAGCGGGAGCGTAATCGCGTCTGGTCCGTCGCAGGGAACACCTTCCTCGTAAACGAGCCATCACAGTTCCTCGATCACTACTACCACTTCTGCGCGGAGCTCATGTTCGGTGCCTGGTCATTCTGGTCTGGCACATTCAACTCCATCGTGGATTCAAGGACAGCCGCGCTCACGACTGCGCCGTCAGTCGACCGGATGATCTTCGCACACGCGGACGCGTATGGCTGGCGCGACCGGCCAGGATTCAACTCATACTTCCTGCGTGCTGCCTTCCCCTCACTCACAGTCGAGGTGCAGGCTGACTGGGAGGACCGCATCGCGGCCACTGCATCGCGCAGCGCCCCTGCGCGGGCATGGCACCTCGACACGGTTCTGCTCACGGACCGCTCGGCGGCGTTCCGCGGGGAGGTGTGTGGTGCGCGCACGCAACGCATCGCGGGAGAGGCGCTCGAGCACATGCAGCGCGCCGGCACTCTCGCCCGCTGGTGGTGGGAGCCTCTGCGGCGCGCGACATTGCGCTTCGCGGGTGTTGACGAGCCGACGCTCGACATCGGGATACGCGCACAGGCACAGATACAGGCGCAGTCGATCGTGATCACATACATCAGCCGTCAGGGCGCGCGGCGGCACCTGATCGATGCGGACCACGAGCAGCTCGTCAGAGCCCTGACTGCGATGTGCACTTCGCATGGCTGGGAGCTGAACATCGTGCAGGCTGAGCGTCTGACGAAGGAGGAGCAGCTGGAGCTGGCGGCGCGCACGACGGTAGGGCGCGCATCGTCTGGCATACTACGTCATCCTGACATTGACTACGACTAGGTCATGATCGGCGTGCATGGCAATGGGCTGACGGTATGTGGACCTGCTCGATCCCCTTTGATTTCGACTGACTTCTGTTCGGTAGCACCTCATCATGATGCCCGTGACGCCACTCTCGACGGTCATCGAGATCTTCTATCCGGGCGGCTTCGCGCACGATTACGAGTGGACGACGCAGGCGCTGGGGATGCGCCATTTCGCGGTGTGGAACGATACGTGCGTGATAGAGACACCACTCGTGGCGGTGGTCTGACAGCTTCCATAGGTACCACACATACCCGGAACTCATGTCCCCGAACTACCCCGAGGGTTTCCAGGGCACACAGATTCCTGTGTACGCACCGACGGTCACCCAGATTGTCCAAGACCGCATCGCAGGACGTCTATCATGATTCACGACACGCCCATCAGCCATGTCGAAAACGCACAGGGCCTGCGCACTCCAGACAATTCACGTTCACTACCCTACCCTTTCATTTTCCGCTTCTATTCCTGTGTATACGGACTTGCTTTCTCCCGTACCGTATATGGGCACCCTCTTTTCGTGGGAGGTAACCGGTAATTTATACATTCCCTCCTCTGGCCCGGATTCTTTTCCTCGGTTCCGGTCCCATTCTCGTGGTGTACGATGGGGATTCGCCTTGTACCGATAGCTCGTACTTTCACTTTCTACGATTGCCGTTCCTTACGCACTTCTGGGGAGACATGGAACTCCGTGCCGTACGGTCTATTCGATATTCGATAGCAGAAGACAGAAGATCGGTCGGTGAGCACTGCCGAAATGAAATTAATGAGGCTGATCGATCGAGTTCGAGGTACAGAGAGCTTGTTAGGGTTGCGCTTAGCACTGGTAGCTCGGCCTCCTGTTTCCTCGGTCACCCCTCATCTTACATGCGTGACATAGGAGATAGGACGTGGGGCTTGACACTGTGCGATCAATCTGTATCTGTCTTTTCAGCACTCATTGGAGCGACTGTGGAGCGCGTCTACAACAGGCCCCGGCCTTCTTATGCTTGTGGTGGTACAGTATCCATTTCTTCGCATGTGACACACTAGATGAGAAGCCACCGTATGATATCACTATGAACGACATGGTGACTGAGACGTTGTGGCATTCGTGGATCCCCTCCAAGAGAGGAGTATAAGAGCTCTTGGACCTGGGTCGATCTAGAAAGCATATCTGACGTTCATCCTCTACTCCTGTCTATTTCACCAATTTCCACGACGCTGCACAATACCTATATCACGAACCAGCAAAGATCAACATCATGGTGCGCCTAGACCCCTCCCCTGCACTATGCGGAGCAATTATCTGACTGATACCCATCCCTTTGGCACGTCGTTGCGTTTCTAGGGCGTGCTTATCTCCATTCTCGTCGGCACCGTTAACGCCATTGTCGCCGCCATCGTCGGCATTTTCGAACTCATCTTTGGAGGGATTGCCTGGGTACGCCTGACCTCTCGATTGCTCGACCTGAACCCCGGCACTCAATCAGTTTGATGTGACGCCGTTTGCAGCTGATAACGGGCATCCTCTGCTGTGGCTTCTGCGAGCTCTGCTGCCGCCCGGGCGCGGGCGTGGGGACAGGGCCCGGAGTAGGCGCGGGCACCACGACGCGCACCACGACAGGAAGACGCGGGCTCTTTGGCCGCCGCAGAAGAGGACTGGGCGGCGGAGCCGGAACTGGCCTTGGAACTGGTGCTGGAGCCGGTGGGCTCGGCACTGGAGGCGGGCTTGGTACCGGAGGCGGACTGGGTACTGGCGGCGGGCTCGGCACTGGCGGCGGGCTCGGTACGGGGGGCGGCGGCATGGGCGGAGGTTATGGCACCGGAGGCGCAGGCGTCGGTACGACGGCTGGTGGTCTGGGTAGGGCCTACTGAACGCAGAAAAGGCCCGTTGAGACACTTATACCCTCATGATCTGCACCTGTGATACCTGGATCACTGCTACTTATGTACACTCCTCTACCGTTACCCTAACGAACATCGTAATTGTATACTTTAAACATACAAACATTTGCAGATGATTGTCTCTTGGAATCGCACGATATATATACTATCATGGCGTGTTAGGATTCTGGGTGTATTTACATCTGAGCAGGGAATGCGCGACGATAGGTAGAATGCACGACGGCACTGGGAGAAAGTGATGATTACCAAACTTCAAGCCTCAAGCACGAAACTTTGTACACGAAATAGTAACGACTTAGGCTTTATCTAAAAGTCGTCAGTAGCGGGTGCATCTACTGTAGGATAGGTCAACTGTGTCAGACTCTATCCGGTCACCAGCTCTCTTGAAACCACGTGCAAAGACTATGAAACCACGAGTCCAAGAACACCATATATATTTCACGGGTCAGGACAGGACGTCTGCAAGTCAGATTTCAGTAAGTCTGTGGGCGTACGGAGTGTTCGCTGCTTACCGCCAGATGCACACATTCCCCAAGTCCGATGCGCACCGGTACATTCCAATTTCGGCCGCATGGCTCGTCCAGAAGATTTATAATGGAGCTCCCGATTCGCGGGGACACACGCGCAAAACAAAAGACCCTGCGGCATGTAAATGAGGCGTGATCTCCCGGATGAGCTCGAGATCCGCCGTGTAGTCCTCAACACGGTCCGGCTGCGCAACCCCAATCACGAACACCACGGATTGCAGCTCCCAGAGTTCTGAAAGCGACAGCTTCGAGGACAGGACGCGGACCATCTGGTCGAACACCACCGGGGAGGAGAAGAGAAAGGTGATCTCGCGGATGCGGGTCACATTCAAGGCAAAGAGGAACACGGGCAGCCAGTGCTCGTTCATGAATGTCAGAACTTCGAGCTTTAACCTCTGAGAGACTGCATCCGCAGTGATCGATGACATGGTCAGACAACAAGCGAGTCGCTGATTACAGCAATTTATATTCACCTGGTGGATCCCAGAAAGACCAGGCCCGCGATGCCACGCACAGGGATCTTAAGGATCGAGGAATGTTTTGCAGTACGGCATACAGAGCCACGCGACGACCGCCGGCATTACTGCCACGGAGGCTATCTGTCGCTCTTTGCCAGCTGCGTGTGAGGCGCAGCTGGTGCATAAGCCGAGCGAGTGGTGTCGGAGACATGTACCAGCGGCCTGTGAACAGTGACAGGACCCCCTGGAGGGACAGTTTACGGAGATGAGGAAAGGCGCGAATGAACTGCGCATATGCCTCCAGTGATGGCGCTACTAGGCAACCGACTATTAGCTCCCGTACGCGGTGAGACAAGATAGAAAGTGCAGCGATCAGCGATGGTGTGACGGCCAGTGATAGTAGCTTGAGCCTGGTCACGTTAGGCAGGGTCGACAAGACCTTGGCTAGCACCGTGTGCTGTCGCAGCTGCGAGAGCATGGAAGGATCACCTTCGTAGTCGATGGTGACACGTGTTGTGTACTTCGCGAGATGTGCATTGGAGTGCAAGATCTGTTGAATGTGGGCTAGGCTACAGGCGGTGAGGCGAAGATGGTGGAAGAGGTGAGGGCGGAAGGCGGCAGCCCATGCGCGACAGGTAAGAGTACACGCAGAGAATGCAGCCTGATCATGGTCGATGTAGTCGATTATCTCGTCCCAGAGCTCCTGAGGCAGTCGGAAAATAGGATGTGAATCTGGAGGATCCTGAGCTTCTGCTACACATCGGGACTCCCGGTCAACCGTTTTGCTAGGAAGTGCCGGCGTTCCGGGTGTAGTTGAGGCTACGACTATGGTCATCTTGTATTTCTGCGATGAAACGTTATAATCTAGGCTGTGGATGCGGAAGAAACCGTCGAAGGATCCGTACCAGCAATACGAGAAAGATTGTGAAGGATAGATATGCTGAATGCTCAGGCGCCTCCATGTTCGTTACCATGTTGTACAACGTGATGGTACGAGATTACGTGATCATAATATATACTGTGCTCAGATGAGAAGAGCGGTCAACTTACAGACTTCGTAGGTTTATCCTAGCGAGAAACAGTGAGGTGGCTCCAGCGCGCATAGTATCAGGATATTCAATACTCGTTTGTTTTGTTCAGGAGGTATTCAGCTCAGGTTAAAGAGGTTGATGCATCCCGCCAAAAGGTATTGCGACAGAATGGGTATATTGGATTCTCATGCGCGCGCTGTGATACAAATGAAAGATGGGCTACAAGGGGTATGATACTACAAATCGAGACAATATGAAGCACTGCAGTCGATCGTCGCTGTTCGCCTTTTGCAGGCACCGCGTTCCCAAGCCCGATCGAAGAACTTGAGGCGCAGTTGTCGGTCGTAGCTCTTCGCCCGCACATTGCGGACACCGATTCCCCAAGCCGACCGACCAACTTGAAGAGTGGTTGTGTTCGCGGTCTCGCCTTTCGCCAGTGAAGTTTCCCCCATAGGCCCTCCAGTCCCGAGCGGCCACGAAAACCCGGAGTGAAGGTGTTGGCCGTCGCATAGAACCGCGCACCGAGGCGACCTCCCCGCCGCGCGGTGGTCTCGCTGTTTCGCCAGTGGAGTTTCCGCCATAGGCCCCGCAAGCCCGGACAACCACTCCGGACCGCAGGTGTTGGCCGTCGCATGTGACCACGTACCGAGCCGACCGACCCAGCACGCAGTAGTCTCGCTGTTTCGCCAAAGAGCTTTCGTTCAGAGGCCCCACAGCCCGGGCGACCAGTCCGGGGTGCAGGTGTTGGCCGTCGCATGTGACCGCGCAAAGAGGCGACCTCCCCATCGCGCGGTAGTCTCGCTGGTTTGCCTAGGAGCTTTCGTTCAAAGGCCCCGCGCACCCGGGCGACTNGTCCGAGCTGCAGGTGTTGGCCGTAGTGTTGTTGCCGGTGAGTCTTCTTTTGGCTCTCCAGCGCCGCCACCCTGAGGCGACCTCCAAAGGGCGCAGCTACCGACGGCCCATCTCTTGTCCCGTGGTGCCGTCGGTTTCTTGGGGTACTTGATTTTGCTTTCTACCATGCCCGGGGCTTGCGCGCCGGAGGTCCCCCCGGGGCTTGAAGCTTTGAGTCTTCTCCCCGAGTCCTTCCGCATACCGAAGTAGTCTCTTATCGAGGCATGCAACGGTGCGGGCACAAACGCAGGGCGCGGGTCACCTCGTCAGGATCGTCGCGCCCCCCACCCGTCCCATGCACCGCGAGGGAACAGATGTTGAAGCGCGCGGGATTACTGTCGCTGAAGACTGCGCTCCCGTGTCTTCATGGCTGCACGTCGTCGTCAGTCGGTGCGAGCCATTTTTTGATCGCCTGTCGCTGTTTTGTATCGACGGCGTACCGCTCGTTGAGAGTGTGAACCCGTGGTGCCACGGTCTTCGACGGAGTTGCCAGTTCCATCGGGGGGTTGAGGCGTCGTTCGTCGCGGTGTTGTAGTGGTGCGGCGAAGACGATGTGTCGACGAGTGTTGGATGTCGAACGGGTCGTGGAGTCACCTAATGATGCGGGTATCGGGCGGAGAGAAGGAGTGCATCAGGACCAGGGGAGGGGGTCCAGGTGAGTGAGTCGGAGGTAAAGAGGTAGAAGGGAGGAAAGGGAAGAAAGTTAGTGTTGCGCGGGGGAGACCAGCTAGCCCGCTACCCGGCCGGGGTGAGGAATTAGAGCGAGGAGGGCCCCCTTTTATAGGTTTGCCTTGGTGGCTGACCGCGTCGGGGGGCTTCCTTCTGGGCGCGTCTCGGTCATGTCGTCCTGTCAAGCCCTGTCACTGCATGTCATGTGCAAAAACAGCAGCGGCGGTCGCCCTCCCGCCTTCAGTGAGCGTACGGCGGCAACGCTGAGGACTTTGGCGCCCTCTGTGAATGGCCGCTGTACCATCGTGAGTTGGACAAGCTGTGAGGCGCAGCGCGCGGGGAAGACACACCAAACGACACAGGGACATGCGTCGGCGGAAATGGCACTCTCGATCACCCTTTCCAGAACATGTCTGTCATGCGCAAAAATAGCATCGTCAGCCTCGTCTCGGGACAGCCTACGGTTGAACTTGAACATGGACTCCCATGTTGGATGCGGCATCGAGGCCAAAGGCCGCTGCAGGGGGCATTATGGGTGGGGGGATGGGCGTGTGATCTCGAGCGTGCGCAAGCTTTCGACCGGAGATGGTTATAGAGAAGCACAACATCGCAGTGGCCCAGTTTGCAGCCCTGGTAGGGCCTAGCAGGGGTGCTGAACGGTGTCTGGAGAACAAAGCCCGTGAAGAACATCAGGCACGACCCACTTTCCAACCGCTCGTGATAGAAATTGTACACGAAATATTAAGACGTATGCTTTATCTAACAATCGTCAATGTCGAGTGCGTCTACTGTACCATAACGTCAACCATGTCAGACTCTATCCGGTCATTGAGCTCTTTTGAAACCGCGTGCAAGAGCTGTGTAGAAACACGAGTCCAAAAACACCATGTTGATTCACGAGACGGGACAGGACGTCTGCATCTCATATCTCAGTCAGTCTCTGGGAGTGTGTGATTGTACGAAGTGTTCGCTGCTTACCACCAGATACCGCCGTGCCCCCAAGTTCAATACGCACCGGTACATTCTAACTTCAGCTGCATGACTTTTCCGGAGGATCTAAAACAAAGCTCCCGATTCGTGGGGACACACACGCAAAACTAAAGACCCTGCGGCATGTAAATCAGGCAGGATTTCGCAGATGAGTTCGAGATTCGCCGTGTAGTCTTCAACACGGTCCGTCTGCGCAATCCAGATCACGAATGTCACAGTCTGCAGCTGCGGGAATATCAAAGGCGACAGCATCTGAGACAGGCTGCGGACCATCCCCTCGAAACTGACATCCACTGGGATGTAGAAGTGAAAGCTGATCTCGCGAATGCCGGTCATTGTGGTGTAACAGAAGAATGCGGACGACCAGTACACGCCCACGCGAGTCATAAATTTGAGCTCTAGTGAGCGCACGCTGGTGTGGTCCGTCCTGCGAGGTACTGCATTCGCGGTAATCAATGACATGGTCAGACAACAACGAAGTTGCTGATTGTAGCAATTTATATTCACCTGGTGGAGGGAAGATAGACCAGGTCCGCGATTCCACGCATAGATATTCTAGGGATGGAGGTATGTTTTGTATTATGGCATCCAGCGCCGTAGGATGATCGCCGTCGCCACGCGCACGAAGGCGATCTGTCGCTCTCTGCCAGCCGCATTTGAGGCGCCGCTGAAGCATAAGCCGGATGAGTAGTGTTGGATACACGTCCCAGTAGCCCCATAACACCGACGAGACCCCTTCGAGGGACAATGTACGGAGATGAGGAAAGGCGCGGATGAACTGTGCATACGCCTCAAGTGATGTCGCTACTAGGTGACCGAGTGTGAGCTCCCGTACGCGGGAGGACAACCCAGAGAGTGCAGATATCAGCGATGGTGTGACGGCTAATGATAGTAGCTTGAGCCTGATCACGTTAGGCAGGGTCGACAAGACTTTGGCTAGTACCGTGTGCTGTCGCAGCTGCGAGAGCACGGAAGGATCACCTTCGTAGTCGATGGTGACACGTGTTGTGTACTTCGCGAGATGTGCATTAGAGTGCAAGATCTGTTGAATGTGGGATAGGCTACGGGCGGTGATACGGAGATGGTGGAAGAGGTAAGGGCGGAAGGCAGTAGCCCATGCACGACAGGTAAGACTGCACGCAGAGAACGTGGCCCAGTCATGGTCAATGTAGCCGACTATCTCGTCCCAGAGCTCCTGCGGTAGTCGGAAAATAGGATGTGAATCTGACGGACCCTTAGACAGTGTCTTCCGCGTCCACAGCCTCGGCTTATACCTTTTCAGGATGGACGTAACCATAGCCTCAACTTACTCTGGCTCAACTTGAGGGGTCCCGACAGTAAGATGCGATTTCAGTTACGTAAGCTATTTCATCTCCGAAACGCGTCGTTAAGATCTTGCTCGACGCGACGCATCGCGCGGGCTCGCTACAATACACCTGTCCCGGGCGATATCTAAACTAGCAAATGCCATCGAATATCTTTATTTTCTTCTATATCTGTATCCAATCCCTCTGTCGCTCCTTTTCTCTCTAGCTCACCTGCCGGATACCAGTCATGCCGTGGGGACTTCGAGTTATGTAGTTCCAATTGCCGCGATCCAGATGGGGAGGTGTCACTGCCGGGACATGAAATTGGCATTGCTGTAGCAGATCGGGGTGTCAGAGAATCATGCATTACAGTGAGTGTGGATGAGACATATCAAGCTTCAATGAAAGGTGGTGGTTATCACAGGCAATGCCAGCGTGCCGCAGCTTGCAACCAACAGTATGACAAGCTCAGACGGCCGTCAGACGGCGGGGCTCAGCCATCAGTCAGCAAGTGCTAGCATGCTCGAAATGCTGCCTTGCGGTCCGTGAGGCCCATACTGAAGCAGGCCAAGGTTTAGAGTGACCATCCTCTGACCATCAAAAAGGGCGCTCTATTGTAGACTGCCTAGGGGAGTCTATCATGAGAGGTCGCACAGGCGTCGGCATTATCCATATGGCTCTTTCTGTCAGCCCCAGTCTCTCAGGTTGTTGTTAAATCATCATGTGCAGCACTCCTCTCGACCCCATATCTTTACCAAGCCATGTTCTCATAATCCCGATGCTAGTTCTTCCTGGACAAGCCGCATCAGTGAGCTGGAAAGACAGAGAGCACAGCATATGGCGTATGTGATGTAGGAAAATCGTTTATCATGAACCAAAACAATTAGACCAGCGGGCTGTATAATTGCATATGTACGCACTACAGAATTCCACGTTTGGCAAGCTTCGGTAAGCACACACTCAGGGCGTCCAGTACCCATTCTTTGTCCTGCAGGTAAATGCTGTTCACGGATATGGTGACTTTGGCCAGATTGTCAAAGACCGGCAGGGAGAGCACAGCATCGAGCTGTGGGAGTGATCTCTAGCCTCCACCCCTTGATGGATCTGTGCCAAAATCCACTGCAATTGTAGATATCTGTGTGGTTGTCACATGGGATAGGACCTCGATCACAGGAGTACATAGGCAAGATCTATTTCCGCGAGTGACGTCGACTGTGAGTGCTAGATATTTGAGACGCGTGCACTCCGAAAGATTGAGGTACGGGGCTTTACATGTGAATTGTAAATACTCGATCAGGACCATCGTATGAGACGCACCTGCACTCTTGTCTGCATGTAGCGACATATCCTTGCCATTTAGAGTGAGCCGAAGCATATCTGCATCGACAGACAGATGATGTAACGATCGCATAGCATGTTTCATGAGCCTGCAGAAAGAGTCGTAGCACTCGGTTGAAAGGGACGAGCATAGAGGAATGTCAAGGTGCCGAAGTCAATTGCTAAGGCCAGTAGTAAAGAAGAAGTCGACAAGATCAATCGCAGACCGAAAGTCGAGGTACGGAGGAGGGCCGAATGTCAACTCGACAGCCTCCAATCGTGATGGTAAACTCGAGTGCGCAGGGATGCTTCTGTGGTCGAAGCCGTGTTTCAAAGATGTACGTGACCAATCCAATTCGAGAGTTTCGAGGGAGGGAAGAGCGCACAGAAGGCGAGCCAAGGCCGCAACTGAGGGAAAGCCGTAAGTCCTGAGATTCAGTGCTCGAATGGCACTCCATACCGGACACGTCTGCGTAGGACCACGAGGAGGGACTAAGCATTGGCGGTTACCGATGGCGGCTATGACATCAACCAGTTCAACGTAGGAGGGAGTTGGCACGACAACATCCTCAGACCCGCCCAAGTACAGTCTCTTGAGCTGTGTGCGCGGCAGAAGCCGAGCATCGAAAGGTTGCCGAGTAAACCGTACATCACCAAGAATGATGTCATCGAGACGGGGGAGGGCACACACCAGCTGGCCAAGCGTCAATATTGTCGGGAACTTGACGTTAAAAAGCGTGAATTGAGTGATTGAGGGGAAGCGGGCGAGATCGTGAAACACGGTGTCCGCTTCGAGATCACGAGCCCGCCACACCGCGTCGCAGATATGCAGCGTTTTAACAGAAGTCCATCTCCCGCCAAGCCTCGACGCGAACGTTGCCAGATGTGGAATCGGCTGGTCCTCGCCAGGCGAGTCCTTGATGATCACCGTCGCCGGCCCACCCCAGCGCCGCATCTCTTCACCCGAAGTGTCCACCTTGATGCGCTCCACGTCTTCTGTACTTTCAAACGTCATGCTCTCCAATAGACACTCCTGAGCCATCGGTTGTAACCCTTTGCACACCACTCGGCATCGTTCCAGCGTGTCGTACTCGCCTTCCTTGGCCAGGCCATGGAAGATGTCCAGCCATAATTCCGCGGGGAAGGGTAGTACCATGGTATGCGGGCACTACAACGCGCCGCTCTTATCTGGTAAGAAATCTGTATGCCTAACGAGCGTACTGTCTGGTGAAGCTCGTCGGAAGGCTATCGCACAATGGGAGGCTTTCAGTGTGAGACGGTAGTGGCGGCGGATGGGACGCGCTCGAAATGCGTACATTACCGCCTTTGTACATGTACAGGCTGCTGGTATATATGTGCTGAGAGCCAGAAGCCTGCTTCTCCGAACCATATATGTGTCATCCGCCCTCGCTCACACCACGCCCTCTGTCATATATGAGCGCCTTCCGTTCATTATGAACACCAATCCCCGTTCTAGTCCTCGACCTCTCATCGGTGTCGGTGTCCTCAGCTGCCTCCGACGTCGCTGACGACTCCCAGAGTGGTCTTGGAACAACAATCTCGACCAGACGGCGACGGTCTCATGCGAGACATAAGCCGTCCTGTCTGCACTGGCAGCTCTGCGTGCCTTCCTGACCACCCGCAGTATACAGTATACTGCGGCTACATCATTGGAGCTCATCGACATACAAAGAGACAGCTATCGAGGCGCTCCCGTAACAGGCATTGCATCGATGCGCAATCTGGAACTTCGATGCACGATGCGGGATCATGCGCCTGCTTGCCCGAGGAGCGGCGGTGTATCGCGGCCCACTATTCCTCACCAGCACTCGACGTGTAGACTGCACCCGAGCAACAATTCTATCCTTCGTCCGCATTCCTGCTGAGTGATCATTGCGGACCTGAGTCTCTGAACAGCGTTGGCGGCGTTTGCTGTCTCATACATCTTGCAGCCCCGGTATTGGTATGCATTGAGGACAGTGTACCACATTGGAATAGCTCCGTGTATAGATGATGTGTATCAGGTGTCCTCGATCCTGTGCCCCGTGGCTTCTAGCAGTTTGGAGACAATGTTCATATGTTACGTGACGTCTTGCCCAAAAGATTATTGTACCCTCTTGGAATCATTCATTGGCATAGAAGTAAGGTCTCCGACGTGTAATCACGTCACAGCTAGAGAACTAAGATATGGAGCCACTCCATACCGTGCCAAGTCATCTTCGGAACATTGTTATGGCGGCGATACCACTCACCATCTTTCCTACAGGGTTATGTCAATCTATATCGTGCGCTAAATCCCTTATGAGTGACTCTTGCTACCGCTGTTGAGACGATCCCATGTCCAGCGGGGCCGCCACGGAGACAATCTGCATCGAAATTGTGGCCAAGACTCCGACCATACACGGCCTTGACCATACCACGACAAGTGAATATTCATTCGCTTGAGCCCCGCGCACAGAACACGCTCTTTCCGGCTTCGTATCGCTTGCACTATTATACATAGACATAAACATCCCAAAACGGGGCACAGCGTCCCGCCGTACAGAATCCCCACAAAGCAGCGGCTGCATGGGTACACCGACCCCCACTACTACATCATTTGACCCATTGCAAACTGAGAACCGTAGACACAAGACCTGGAGAAGAACACAAACGACAGCAATACTAGGAAACAACGATAGCACAACATTTGCAAAGAGAGCGAAAGCACAACTCAGACCTTAGTTTATCACGATACAAATACATACTCTCCAGAGGATCGACACACGCGTGCGCACGGCGTCGCACGGTGTGACAATCAAGAGGGGAGGTGGGAGGTGTTCACATGGTGGACCACTGCGTGAAAGGTCCTGCAAGCAATGCTGGATTGAAAGACTCAGCCATCCAGGGTGATGACCAGCCTCCCGGGGTTCCGTTCGTCGGGCCTATAGGCCGTGCCCCGCCTACACACACGCGCATATACTCAGCACGGCAGACGCGGCGCAACATGGGAACCTACGTCTGCAGCCACCCCTCGAGGGCAGGCTTGATCTTCGCCACGCCGTTTTCCGAGTGTTGACCTTGGCCTGCGAACACCAAGCAGACCATCACCCCGGGGATAAACGAAACGAGGGACAGTCCGAGACTCACCGACAATGAGGCTCAGCTTTGCCTGACCACTCTCGCGCGCTGCCCCGATGGCCCGTTGTGCATACTCGAGCGCCTCGGCCACATACAAGCCGTGCAGATCGACCGTGTTGCTCCTGCGCCGCTTGTTGTTCTCTATTCGAGCGCCCGTTAGCCTTCAGGACAACGGACACGGGACGGCCCGCCTCGCAGAAAAAAGAACCATGTTTATACGCACCGGCATACACCCACTTAGCCGCCCGCGCGTTGTAGCGCTTCACCTTGCGCGCGTGTGCCTTCGCAGCCTTGGTGAACTCCCTGGCCAGCCCGCGGTCCCGCCGCGCGCACGCCCGGCTTTGCTTCGCGTACACTCGCTGCTGGTCGCCCGAGGTGCGCGCAAGATCGCGCAGCGCTTGAGGATTCTCGTATTGCAGGCGAAGCTGGGTGACGGACTGCGCGGCAGCGGTGAGCGGTGCATGAGAATAGTATGCGGGAGTCATGAGGGAAAAAGGACGGGCGAGCGTACCTCTATGTCAGAGATGCTGCTGCCATCGCTGTCGTCGTCGTCGTCTTCCGAGTCTGCGTCCGCCGGCGCGCCCATGATGATATTTTGGAGGGCGGGACGTGCGGCGGGGACGCTGAACGAGGGCGGATCGCGGCGCTGGGGCTGCTGGATGACCATCTACATGTTCCGCATAGATGAGTACACACGTCATGGCCGGGCAACGTGAGTATGTATGTGGCAACGGGGTCCTAACCTGCGGTGCGTATGTCCGTTGCGTGGGCGCGTTAGCTGCAGACAACAAGGACGCTGATTCGTTCCGCCGCGGCGCCTGCTCAGCAGGTCTGGTCTGCGGAGTAGCCCATGGGCTCCGGGCAGGCTGAGGAGGCTGGGACGACCGGGGAGGCTGGACGGGGGAATGCGACTGATGTATGTACGTCGACGTCGAGGCAGACTGCGTCGCCTGAGGAGACTGCGTTGTCCGGTATGCCTGGGTCGACGGTGCCGCCTGGGATGGCTGATCTGATGGAGTTGGCGGCGCCGCTTGGCGCGGTGGAGGCGGGACCGTGGCCCGCGCCGCTGCATACGATGGAGTCGGCCGATTTGCCTGGTGCGGTTGAGGGGTTTGGTACGGCTCGCCGACTGGGGACTGGTATGAGGACTGCGATGGCTGAGGAGGGGTGCCTGGCTGCGCCGAGCGCGAAGTCTGCGTGTACTGGAACTGGGTATGCGGGTACTCAGTATGCTGATGGGCATTCGACGTTGCCCCGTACGAGGGGGGCCGGGGTCCGGGCTGCTGGTCCTCGTCAGAGTCATCTTTGCAAGCAGTGAAGAGGGCGTAGGCGACGGCGGCGGCCGCGACAACGCCGAGGGTGAAGAGGCCCATTGTTGCGGGGCCCGCCGAGGCGCAGGCAGAGGGAGAGGGAGGGGACGAGAGGCCAGTCGAGCGATCGCGATGGGCGCAGTAGATATAGAACGCATATCGCCAGGCGTGTATCACAGGCGGGCGTGTCTAGCGCCGTGTGCGCCTGCAAGGGCATGGTAGCGCAGGCCGCTGGGCCGCGGTTCCTGGGACGGGAAAGGCTGTGGCCACACACGAGGACGCGACCTGCCGTAGCATGACATCTCACAACGCAGGGCGACAGCAGAAACAGTCGGATGGAAGCACCGGTCCCGAGGCGACGCGAGATCCACAGCCATGGCGGCCATCTCGCGCCACGGCTGTCGAGGGGGCAGAGGGCGTGCACAAGACACGGCCAGCACAGTCGACGCCTAGTCGGTGTCTTGCCTTCAACATTGAGTCACGCTCGTAATCGTCCTCAGGCGCGCGATCGACTCTCAAGATCTCAACTCCGCGATATTCAAACTCGTAGAACACCGCCCATCTGGTCCCGAGGACTCAGCTTCAAATTTCAAACCAAGCACTGTGCGTGGACGTACGTCCAGTGCACACGGCACGTTTCGTACGCTTCTCGTATTCATGCCGCTCGTTCTAGCTAGTACACATAGACATGACACGCAAGAAACAAACATCCTCCGTGTGTGGAGACAGCCGTATTGCTACACCATCTGGCCGAATACAAAGCAAACGAGCGCAATACACAGGACCTGACAGCACTCGCCATGGGGCGTGATAGCATAAACCCAAACCTTACAATCCCAGACATCTCCCAGTGGGTCGGGATAATGTGTAAATCGACAGGCGGATGGCACTCCGGTAACAGGCAGCCATGCACGGCCCCTCATGACGCCATGCTCTCAAGATTCAGCGACCAGAGTCACAATCAGTAGTCCGGGATTCCCCGGTCCAGGAACATAGGCTATGTCCTGCCTGTGCATGTGCATGCACTCAGCACGACCGACGCGACGCGGGAGCGCGATATGGGAGACCTACTTTTGCAGCCACTCCTCGACGGCAGGCTTGATCCTTGCCACGCCATTCGCCGAGTGTTTGCCTTGGCCTGCAGATACCAGGTATGCCATAGGTCCCACGAGAAACGAGAGCAAGAGGATGTCCAGGACGCACCGACAATGAAGTTCAGTTGCGCCTTGCCGCTCTTACGCGCTGCAGCAATCGCCTGCTCCACGTGGTCGAGCGCCTCACGCACATGCAGTCCGTGCAGGTCGATCTCGTTGTCTGCTCGCCCCTGGTTGTTTTCTGCCCAGCCGCTCGTCAGGGTCACGGAACAGCGCGTTCATCACGATCCCCGACGCGACACGCACCGGAAAACACCCATCTGGCCGCCATCGCGTTGCAGCGCTCCACGCTGCGCGGGTTCCGCCTGTGGTGGTTATACATTTTCCGCGCGAGGGCGCGTAGCTCCTCGGGGCCCTTGTACCGCACGCGTAGCTGACGGATGGACTTGGGTAGACGCAAGTGTGTGTTTGAGAGGGGCGCGAGACGGGAGGGCCGGATAAGCTTACCTGGATGTCGGAGACACTCTGATCGTCCGCGCCGTCAGCATCCACCGCAAGAGGCTGCGAGACGGAAGAGGCAGACAAGCTTACCTCGATGTCGGAGTCACTCTGGTCATCCGCGTCGTCTGCGGCTACCACAGGGGGCCGCAAGACGGGAACACCAGTCAATAGCGGGTGGTGGGGCTGGGGCTGCCGGGTGATAAGCTATGACATTAGGCGTGGGTCAATGTATGAATTCAACGCATGCTCGAGAAATGAGGGTCTGCTCGAGAATGATGGGACGCGCTAACCTGTGGCGGGTACGTCGGTCTTGTGGAAACGGTATTCGCACTAGGAAATGATGGTGCAGGGGGACGGGGCGCGGCGGGCTCAGCAGGCCGGCCCGGCGGGGTGGTGCATGCGTAACGAGGGGGTTGAGCCGTCTGGGTTGGCAAAGCCGGGTACGGCTTGTACGTCGCCGACACACGCGGTGGAGTCGATTGGGCGGGCTGATACGGCTGAGAGGACTGGCGCGAGGGCTGCGGTGGACGAGTGGGGGCGTATGGGGCGTATGCCTGCGCCGGGCGCGAGACGTGCGCGTGCTGCTTCTCCGGATGGCGACCCGGCAAGCTCGCGGGCACCGTCGACGTCGAGCGGTACGACGGACGGTCGTGCTCGTGCAGTTCGGTCTCGTCCGCGTCTTCGATGCCGCAGCAGGCTTGCAAGTATGTGTAGACATCATGTATGAGCGAGGGGTAGCAAGGATGGGCGGACGGCGGGGACAGGTCGAGCCTGGACAGGCTTGCGGGCACCCTCGACGTCGACTCGTACGACGGGCGGTGGTGCTGGCGCAGCTCTGTCTCATCCTCCTCGATGCCGCAGCAGGCCCTCAAGTACACATTGACGTCGTGTAAGAAGCACATTATGGGAAGGACTGACGAGGGACAGCAAGGACGGGGCCAGTTGAGAGATCATGCACATGGCAGTAGATATCATGATTGAGATGGCGCTTCTGTACGGATCCCTATCGCAGGAAGTTGCAAGGCGTGCATGCCAGGTGGTCGTGCCTCCGAGACAAGCACGAGGCGCGCCCACAAACGAAGTCGCGTGCGGCGAAGGTCCGGCTTACGAGAACGTAGCGTGGCATCTGGTAGGCCTGCTAGCCTGCCGGGGCAAGGAGACAACAACAAGGAGAAGCAGCAAATGCACGGAAGGCGAGTATCATAGCCACCGCTCGGCTGAGGCAGACACTGCACCGCCCTAGATGTTGGCGCTCTCACACAGGTCGATGTTGCATGACACGGATCCTGCGCAGGCAGACGCGCTTGAGGAGGCTTGTGGGGAGGAGGCGGTCATAGCACGGCGTCGAGCAGCGAAATGCAAGGGGGTGTGCGCCGTGCAATCAGACGGACAGGATACAGTCAACGAATGTGCGATTAGTAGGATTGCGTGTGGAATAGACTCCGATGGTGATCTTGCCTGGATCAGCCGCGCGCGATCGACCCAACTCCGCCGACTCCGCGATATTCGAATTTAGCACCGACCTAGTTGATTCTCCCCCGACCGCCCACGCTCACACCAAGTGTTATCTGAGGCGGTGCGCAGTAAGACACCCATATCTGTGCATATGACAAGCTGTATGTACAGAAGTGCAGCCGTCATCGGCGCGTCCGCCGGCGCCCTGTCTAAGCTCCGGAGATGAGGCCGGGGTTGCGCCCGCTTCCATGGCTGCACTTGCGTGTGGTTCTGTGGGCGCATGCCATACCGCCATGTCAAGCCCAAGGCACTATCTTCCCATTGTCCCTAGCACCGCCTCATATATCCCTCATGCAGCGAACGCCCTGGTCTTCACTGCCCACCTCGCTCCTTGGTCCCTCCTGCTAGACCTTGGGCGGTCTCCCCTGCCACTGGTAGGTTAATCCCCCACTACCATGGCCCTATTCAATCTTGGTGTTCTCGCCGCCATCGGTATCGTTGTATGGTACTTTGGCAAAGACGATCCTCCACCTCCGCCCCCTCACACCAGTCGAGCGCCGAGCCATGGTCCCACCTCCACGACGCGCGCCCCCTCGTCCCCCGGCTCATCCGATCAGTACCACCGAGAGCGAGACCCCGTTGCAGAACTACCCGAATCCCACAATGCGCCCGCCCGCGCTCAAAAGTGGCATCGAGCCAGCGCGCCCTACAGGCCTGCAGAGAGAGACCGCAATGCAGGACTACGCGAAGCCTACTGGCGCACACCCATCCATGCTGACATTCCACAGGTCGCTAATCCACCGTCCCCTCCTGGCCGCAGCGTCCGAGCTGTCGACACCTGGGAACCGGATGGCCCGCCCTCTCCGCTGAACGACCAGCCGGACGCTGAGAGCGAGGAGGAATTCAGCGATTCGGACCTCCCGGTATGAACGCGTGCCCCGCTTACAACGCTTTGCTCTGACAGCGTCTGTCGTTTTTATCAGTCTGTGGACGAGCTACGCCGACACTACGACGGCCCCCAAGCGCTCCGCGACAAGGCAAAGTATGAAGGGAAGATGCGGCTGCGGTACCACAATGAAAGCCGCACGCACAAGCGGAACGGGCGTCACCTGAACGCCGAGCACGCCGCGAACATGGCGCAGATGCACGAGAGGGACCGGGCGCGGTACAATGCCATGGCGAGCAAGTGGTTCTTTGCTGGTGCGTCCGTTTTCGCGTCTTGCAAAATCGCCGGAATACCTTATATGGAGTGTTGCATCGTGCGTGCGGGGGATGCATGTCAGAGAACAACGAAGACAATGGCCACGATGTTGTTGACCTGCACGGGCAAAGTGTGCGCGAAGCCATCAAGCACACCGGACGGGCGACCGTGAACGCCGTCAGGTGGGGCGAGGAAACACTCACGATTATTGTCGGTGCGCCTCACTCCCCGTTTCTTCTGTTCTGTGAGGCGCTTGCTGACGGGGCGCCGTGTGATGGTAGGCAAGGGCCAGCACTCGGACAACGGCGTGGCGAGGCTCAAACCTGCCGTCAAGCAGTATCTAAGAACGTGCGTGTTCTGCTCCTTGTACGCATCCCGTCGTTCTGAGCATGATACGGCGCAATAGCCAGGGCTGGCTGCACCAGAATGACCCAACGAATGCTGGAAGGATCGTCGTCGACTTGAGTGCGGGCCGCGGTCAACCAATCCTGTCATGATTTGCTCTATGATCCGCTCTGGGCCCGATCCCGTTTCTGTGTTGCTATTGGAATGTTCTCGTGAAGAGAGATGTATGGGGTGTAAGATTGGTGACTGCTGCTTTTTGGGCGTGATACCTGTGATATGTACGTTTACATGACGACTCGCACTAGGCCTCGGTAGGATACGTGCAATCGATATTGACTGCGAATGAAGTGGGGTGCCAGGACGGAGATGAGAGCAGGGTGCGACAGTCGGCGAGTATCTGAGATCGCGGTGTTCAGCGAGCGTGATCCGGCGACAACTCCGCGTCGATCGAGCCTCTGCGCGTGGGACGACCTGCTGCCTGCCGTCCTCCACGCTCCCGTCCGCGCTCTGCCATGCTCAAGGCGTCCTCGTCAGCACCCGCGCAACAACTCTTCCGCCACTCCTGCCCACAACTCTTCGCCCGCTCATGCCCACACCCGTTCCCCCGCTCCTGCCCACACACCGCACCCGCTAGACGGCATGCCTCCAGCACCGCCAACCCGTATCCCTTCCCGAGCAGCGCCAACCCGTCCCCGCACCAGATCTTCCACCTCCCGCTGAGCGCGACCCGCGACGAGGTCAAGGCACGCTGTACGTCGCCCCCCGCATTCATATCCATCCCCGCACCATGGCAACTCACGTCCCCGCAGACTACGACCTCGTGCGCATCTACCACCCCGACTCGCCCGTCAGCCGCACCGTCCCGCCCGCGACCGCCCACGCGCGCTTCCAGGCGATCAGCGCCGCGTACGCCGCGCTCTCTGGCAAAGCCGCCCGCGCCGCTGCCGTCGCTGAGGGGGGCGCCGCGGACGGCGGCCTGCGCGCGGACTACCACAGCCTGAGCACGGCGATGTGGCGCGCGCGCCAGCGGCGCAGGGCGGAGCTCGACGTCGGGCTCGACGAGCGGTGGAAGGACGCGCTCATGCTGGGCGCGGTCGTCCTGGTGCGTTCCTCGTCTCCCCACCCGTTCCCCCAAGAAGCAGCAAGAAGCGTGGCTGACGCCCATGTGGTTTGTTTGCGTGCGCGCAGAGCCTCGGCGCGTTCGTGTGGCAGACGTACAGCGCCCGCCGCCAGGCCATGGCGGAGGCGGAGGCGGGTGGACGCCCGCTGTACCACCCCTCCCCGTCGCGGCCAAGTGCGCGCAAGCCTGCGCCCCGGCCTGCAAGCTCTGACGAAACGTCGTTAGCCGAGCCCTCAGCGGATGATGTCACTGCTGAGAAGCAATAGGATGTAGGCGTGAGTCGCTATGCTTTGTCGCTCGACGCTGAACGTGTTGGTGTTCGCAGCTCTGCTCTGCCATGGCCCGGCAAATCGCTACTGCTGTGGCTGCATGGCGGCAACAGGTATCCGTTGTCACCGGTTCCCCCCTCAACAAACTATATGCGGTATTTCAGTCGATCCCTCTAGCGGTACTGTTCCGGAACAACCCTAAGGTTTTAGACAGAGGCTTCTGACATGTTATCAACTATGTTTTTAACTGTGTCGAAAACTCAATGCAGTTCTTGTGCGTTGATAACATGCGACGACATCAAAAACTCCCTGGGCTTGTCCACGGCCTTTCGGGCCTTTACGATCTTTCAGGCCGCGGCGCCACTCTTCCATCTCACTAAGAAGTATCACAATAAGCTTAGACGTTATGTAGCAAGACATATTTGCGCTTGACGAGAACGGCAGTCACCACTGCCACGCTGATCACAAATTAGACGATTTGCTGATTTTGAAAATGGTTTCCGCTCGGTCCAAGGTGAGACAGATGTTGTGTATGAAGGTGATATCAGGATGTCGCGAGGCTTATTGGGTGATCTGGACAATCACAAGAATCTAGTGGTCTTTTGAAGACTCTGCGACCTACTGTCAGACATTCATGACATACGCCACGAAACCAGTATCTGCATCTCAGCCAGTGTCGTTTGTCCGTACGCCGGTGAAGTTCCGTGCGGTGCAGGGCTCGGATTGGATGGTGTAGCCGCTGTTCAAAGGCTTATATTGATCATGGCAAAACTGGTCAATGACTGTCAATGACTGTCAGTAACATACCCCTCCCCCGGTGCCTCATGTTAATAACCTGTGAAACCCTCTCGAGGAGTCTCTTCCAAAACAGTACCTAATGGGGACCCATGCGACGCACGGCCTGATGCACGCTGCATCCTAGGCCGCCTGGCATATAGTAGGCGTAATATAGCATTATAAACATGCGAAACAACAGTACATGCAAGCCAGTCTAACAGCGTCGTCAATACTTGACAGAATAACTCACACAATCCAAACCCCGCGGTGAGCCCACAGCCGACTCCCAAAACGGGACGGCCACACAGGCATACTCGGAATGCCAGCGGCTTGCGACGTGCTAGGGAGAAGTAGGATCAGCCCTTCGGCAATATACACAAAAGCTCCGAGACACGGTCTTGGTTGCCTGGATTAGGTGACTCACGCATCCTGCTATTCGCCATAATACCCGTATTGGGGTCTCTACACAAGCATACCTGCGATTCCAGCGGCTTGTAATGTGCTGCGGGCAGGTAAAATCAGTCCCCGACAATGGCGGGACACGAAGAGAAGACGCACGAAATGAAGCCGCAGATCATCGCGGACGTCGCCGAGCGCGCGATGACCTTCGCCTGCGTGGGCGCGAGCGCGCTGAGCACACCGACCTGGATGCCGAGCGAGCCGAGGTTCGCGAACCCACAGAGCGAGTACGACGCGATGGTGAACGCGCGCTGCGAGAGCGGGTTGTCGCTCTTCATGATCGCGCGCAGGTCTTGGAAGGGAAAAAAGTCAGCCGAGCTGTCGGGCAAGACGAACGCAGACGGCGGTGCATACCGGTGTATCCGACAAACTCGTTCGCGATGAGCTTGGTGGCGAGCAGCTGCGCGACGGGCAGGATCTCGTTGCGCGGCACGCCCATGAAGAACGTGATGGGGTAGAAAATGTACCGCAGGATGAGCTGCAGCGTGAGCGCGTGGAAGCCAAAGCCGCGGCCGATCCAGGTCAAGAGGCCGTTGACACAGGCGACGAGCGATACGACTGTCAGCACGTTCGCGCTGTGTCATACGCAGCAGAGCTTAGAATTCCGTGCAAACGACGTGAGGGTGAGGCACTTACAGAATCTGGCCGGCGACGATGAGACCGAAGAGCGCGCCCTGGCTGAACGCATGAAGCGCGTTCGCGGGCTTGTTCTTCTCATTGTCCGCGCCGCGGTCGATCGTAACGTGCCCACGCGTGATGGGCTCGTCAACCTCAGGCATGCGCATCTTGCTGATTGCAATAGACGCGGGAATGCTCATCACGGACGCGGTGATGAGGGTTTGCGGGGGCACGCCGAGGTTGATGTACGCAATAAACACAGAGCCGGATATGGTCGAGAACCCGGAGGTCATCGTCAGGTGCAGCTCGGAGGGCGTCATGAGGTCAACGTAGGGCTTGACGAGACACGCAGACTCGCCCTGGCCGATAAAGGGCGACGCGGAGGCGATGACGGCCTCTGCTCCAGAGACATTCATTAACTTGAAGAAGACCATTGCACTTCGGAAGTTAAAGTGAGCGACTTTTTGAAGCATGGGCAAGAATGAACTACACACAAGCCTTTGAGGAGCCATTGCATGACACCGAGATAGTACATCATCTGCACGAACGCGATGAAGAAAATGATGGCGGCCAACTGAGACACGTATGATTCAGCAACAATGACAATCTGCGCAACGGTATATGCGCACCGTGTTGACGAAAAAGTACTCTTCGGCAACGACTGCTGCGCTGAAGAAGAATTCAGCACCGGCGGTGGACTGGGACAGGAAGTCGGACGCCAGAAGCGCGACCCATTTGAAGATATGGAAACCAGCGCCCGATTTGAGCACAAACATGGCAATAGCCTGCTGAATGAACAAGCCAACAATGACCGTTGGCCTTGCAGAATAATTGTTAGACGTGGTCTCGGACTGCAGAGAGATTTACCCCACCATGGAACCGCAGAACGGTGCGCCGAGGTCGCCCAAAAGCAGAACTGGAAAACAAACAGGCCGAGCACTGAGATAGCACGGTCACCATATGTTGTGTTCTTTGTTGTTTCTGCATATCAGACTTGCGCCACACAACATTAGAGGAGAAAATGCGTACACCGGTAAGGGGGAAGCCGAACGCCGAGCCGAAGACTGTGCCCAGAAGACACACCCAACCAATAGTCAGGCGGAGTCGCCTTGGTAGCTTGTACCATGGTTCTTGCACGCAGGGGATCCAGAATGCGGCAACGGGATGAGTTACAAAACGGTTTGGGATGAATCGGAACGCGATGACACTACAGTGCCATTTTCCTTTAGATCACGGCGTATTTAGCGGCTCCGATCTACTCACACGATGAAAAACCATGCCCAAAACGTCTGCACGATCCTGACATTGGGCAGTAACTTGATTAAAAATGCATGAGCGTTATGTTGAGCGCAAGACACACCATCTATGGCGCGTTGCGGGAAGAATGGTTGACGTGATCCACCAGCCAAGAATAACGCCGGCGAGGGCAGTCAAGATCACTATTCGCAATCTCGCCAGCCACAGGCGTTTTGATGACCACACCTCTTCCTCCTCATTGACCGACTCTTTCGTCATCTGTACCTCTGGGTCGGACATTGGTTCCTTCTCCTTGGCCACCGAGGAGGCGCTGGAACGTGAGGTCTTCCGCTCTACCGCGACAGAAGGCTCCATTTCTGCCTGAATTTCCGAGCTAGGTAAGCGGTCCACTGAGAAGCGGGCGAGCTAGCTCGAGGAAACGTTGTCCGAGAGCGGGGGGCACACGAGCGCAAAAAGCAGAGGGCGCGCCGCCGAGTGGCTGATATACGAAGCCTTGGCTATGGCGCGGGACCAGGCACCATGCGGTACAGCAAAAAAGTTTGAGACAGCACCGTAATCAGCCTGATGGGCGTCACCTGGGTCCGTTATCTCGCCAACACCACTGGACGCTCTGGAGATTTTACCTATATAAACACATTTCCTTACTGCGAGAAATCATCACTATAACGGCGAGAACGCTTGTCAACAAGCGCACGAGGGGTTTGCAGTCAGCACGAAGATATTCCGTTTATAATGCGTCCGCGTCCCACAGAGAATTTCGTATCAGAAGAGATACGCTCCCGCAGCTACAGGTCGAGATGCGAGGGCAGAATCATGTGGTCCACGGAGCGAACGTATTTGATATGCAACTTATCAGACCAACGTCGGCGCCTCGCCGCAGCTGCCAGCGGGTGCACGTCCACTAAAACGCCTCCAGAAGCGAACTATCAATACATACATACAGCATATCCGACAAGCTCAAAGGTGCACGAAGCACCGTACATCGTAAGGCAAGGCACAGAAGCTACATACTAGTCCGCCGTCTATACCTTCAGTGCCTTGATCGACTTGCCCATGGCGACTGCAATCCATTCACCAGGAGCAGTCGAGTGTCCTGTGTTCATCGTCATGCCCGCAATTTGTGGTGACCACGCCAGGTTGGTGATCTCATGTGCGCCGGTGTACGCCATGACAGGATCTGCGATTATTCGCTTTTTGACGTCTGGCCGTGGTGAGCTCAAACCGGAACTTGCATTTCGTGGCGATGACTGCGGGGCTTGTGTATGTGGTGATAGGTCCCAAAGCAATAGTTGACAGTCATCGCCTGAATTCAAGTGAGCACGAGCCGCAAACCATCATTGTGTACAGCATATTGGGAACGCACCTGCTGTTGCCAAGAGAGGGTTTGTCGTTGAGCCCCAGCCAAGCGAGTTGACCTGCGCGCGATGTCCCCTGAGTTCCATCACGGGCATACCTGGGCTGCGCATATCAAGGATCTGCACGTCAGAGCCGTCCATGTGGAACGTCGACATGTAGTTTGAGTCTGCAGGATTGAAAGCTATTCGGAGCAGCGGAGATGTGGGCGGGCGAGCGGAGGCCGAAGGAGATGCAGGGGGCGGGGGCACGTTCTTCGGCGCCGGAGTCTCGTACAGGATTGTGGAATGCTCTAGACTCCGCAGGTCGAACGCGCGCAGGCTGCCGTCCGCGCCGACCGACACGAAGATGTCCGTCGACCCCGGCAGCCACGCGACATCGTATACTTCGCGGTCGTGTGCGATGAGCTGCGTGATGGCGGTTTGGGTGTCGATATTCCATACCGTGCACGTCGTGTCGATCGAGGACGTCACGACGAGGCTTGGAGACTTCTCGTTCCAGGAGAAATTCGTCAGCGGCGCGCCCGTGCCCTGGCTCTGCACCTTGCTTTGCTATAGCATGCCGCACCTGCGAGTGAGCACCCGTCCGGCGGCAGACAATGAGCAGCGGTACGCACGCCAGAGAGAGCCACTTTGAGCGCCAGCCGATGCCCGCTCGAAGTCGGCGGCCGTCCCACAAACGATGACAGGGTCTGTGGCGCGTCGCTGGAGTACTCCCACACCCGCAACGCATCGCCCGTCGTTGCCAGGAGCTCCGAGGCAGCAGCCTTCTGGCTCCACGCGTAGTTGGCCGCCGTCGCCGGCTGCCATTGCAAACTGGTCGCCGGATATCCGTGCTGAGCCTCCACCAGAGTGACGAAATCTGCGTATTCTGTGTAGTCATCCTCCACCAGGACGCGCTCGTCTTGCAGCCCGACGATGGCTATCCGATTCCGGTAGTCCTCTGTGAGCGACGCGATCCCAAGCCGGAACGCTGATCGGGGTCGTATTTGCTGTCCTGGCGCGGCGGTCTTGCACCAGTCAAGCGCATACACAGGCCCTGATGGACGTGAGCGTTTCGGATGTATGTATTCGGCTAGGCGACTCACATGGTGCTTCGTACTGAAGCAGGGTTGTTTGGGTCATCGCGGCCTGTCGACGCGATGGTCTGGGGAATAGGTGGGTGGAGTGCCGTCTCAGATACGTGCTGGGCTACTTGAAGTGCAGAAGGGAGAACACCGATATCGTCGAAGGCCTTTAATTGCAAGCTCGACTCCGCCGCACAATGCTGTTGCATTGATCGACAGTCACGTGTATAGAACCTACCGGCGCTCACTGGCACATACTTTCTGTCCGCACCATTGAACGTTGAATTTGTGCTATTCAAGACAAGACAAAAGTGTATATTCGATAGCAATCGAATGCACTGCTAGTTGCACGACTTCCAAGGTAGGCATCAACTAGTAGATACTTCCTTCCGACCTTTGCAGGCGTATCAGTACTTGAAGCACTTGGCTTCTAAGTGCTTTCAATACATGCTAAGACTTGGAGCGAATTTCACGTCTGCTAATGCGCACATCTATCTGTGATTCGTTCGTGGAATGGACATGACATAAAACTGAAGCTACTATATGATACAATAGGGGATACAACAAAAGCATGATGCGAGCGTCAGAATAATCATTAGTAGATCGTAATGCCGGCTACATTGGTGGTATACAACGGCAACCCCAGAGAGCAACGGGAAACACTTGGCTCTAGCTAGACTAGAGTGCATGCCTATGCATGGCCCGCGCCCCCTGGCGCGTAGTGTTTCTCGTCGACTGCACCCTCGTGCTGGTACAACGGTGGAAGGTCGCCCACGTCCATGCGGAGGAAGTATTTCTTGATGTTGTGCGGCAGCGCTTTAAGCTGATATGCTGCGTGCACGTGCGTAGGCACCGAGAAGACCTGATCGAGCTCTTCGAGCGATAGCGCCTTCGTCTCGGGGACAAACAAGAGGATGGCGACGAAGCCGAAGACGTTCCATGCCGCGTACCAGCCGAAAGCGCCTTGGGGCTTGAAGGCACCGAGCAAGCGCGGGAAGGTGATGGCGACGACAAAGTTGCTGCGAAGGAAGCGACCGACGTCAATAACAGCCGAAAGGAAAGAAGCACCGAGAACTCACAAGAACCAGAGCACCGCGGTAGAGAAGGACATGCCAATGTCACGCACGTAGAGGGGGTATGCCTCGGCAGAGTAAGTGAACGGCACAGGGCCCTCTCCGGGCGAGTACGCTATCGTGTACAGATAGATGCCGAGTGCGACCACAGCGAGCTGCGCTTTGCCTTCCGGAATGTAAAACGAGAACCCAGTCATGAGCAGGAAGATCGCCATAAGCGGGAACGTCGTGAGGAGTAGGTTCCGACGACCAAAGGTGTCGATGGTCCACACTGCAGGGAAGGCAAACAACCAGTTGAGCATGCCGAAACCCCAGGACGCAATAAGTGCCTGTAGATTGGTGGTGTGGGCGGCTGCAGAGAAAATGCTGGACGAATAGTACGCGATGACGTTAATCCCGCAGAATTGCTGCATGAACATCACAATGAAGGATGCAAGAGCAGCACGGCGGTTGCGGGGCACTTTGAAGAGCTCCAAGAAACGGTTGCGGCCAGTGAAGGTCTCCGCCTCTGCCTCTAACAAAACGTGGATATCTGCAGGAAAATTAGCAAATGAATTATCGATACTGTATGCGACGCTTACAATAGAGATCACGCGCAGCCTGGATTGGGCTGTTTCGGAGACGAATCAGGGAGTCGTATGCCTGGTCATACCGGCCTTTGCCCATCAGCCAACGAGGCGACTCCGGGCAAAGATAGACCTGGAAAACGATAAACAGGGCAGGAACGCCGGCCTGCAAAGAAAGATGTCATCGAACGGACATCAATAAAGTCATAGATATACGCACACTCGCAAGCATGAGACGCCAGTTGAGACCCGTAATGTGAGGCCTGTCCTTGACCGAGTAGAACGCAAGATCGCAAACGTAGCCAAACATGATACCAAAAGCCGTCCACATTTGCCTGACACCAGGAAAGTAAGATACGGGATTCATTAAAGTGGCCAAGACAAATCTGCTTACCACATCATCACAAGGGCGCCACGGATGACCGGCGGCGCGCATTCGGCGGCGTAAACAGGTACAGTTGCACTCTTCGGGCCAATACCAAATCCAAGGAAGAAACGGGCGATAAACAGGTGCCACCATGTGTTCGTTACACCTTGCCATACACAGGTAAGGAACGACACCAAGGCACTGATGAAGATTGTGCCGCGACGACCAAAGTACTTGTTCATGGGAGCTGAAACCCAGCATCCAAGGAAAGCGCAACAGAGCTACTCTTCTCATGAGGAAAAACTTCGGATCTAGGACGTAAAGCCACGTACGTAAGGCGCAGAGTTTACAAGACCAAGCAACCACTGATTGCGGCCCGTATCACCTTCTGTGGTAGAAATACCAAATTGGGGTGCGAAGAACAAGTTGGCGCCATTAATGACCGCTTCGTCCATCTAATAGCGGAGAAACTTTGATGAGTACCCACTGACGAGTAAAGCGCGATGGGGACTTACACCCTGGACGGCAGCGGCCATGGAACATAGAATTACAAGATAGTACAGTTGTGCAGGCTGTCGCCACTTATGAGTGACTTCGCGTCGCAAAACGTTCCTGTCCTCATCGTCGAGGAGCGGGAGCGACTCAAAAGCGGAGGGATCCTGGGCAACGAGGGCACCCTTTTGGAATACCTCCGTGAGGTGGCCGAGGCCATGGCTCTTCGCAAACGCCGCAGCATCAGCAATCAACTGATCATGAGGGATTCCCTCGAGCGGGTTGGCGAGCTTGGCATTCGGGTTGTTGGCCACATTGACCCTGTCGAGGTGTTTGACTTCTTGCTTTTGGAACTCCTCAGACACGGAGTCAGCCTTGATGCTGGTAGGTTTCTCGGAGATGGGAAACATTGTGGCAAGTCGTGAGAAGGGCGTAAGATGGGTGAAGGACAGGGGAACAGTCCAGGAGTGAGCCGCAGTCCAGGGAGTGTCGGAGGGGAGCGTTGGACGACACACGGACAGGCGCAACAAAAAACATTGTCAAAATGGGGGTTTATATATGCGGCGTCGCTGGTGTTTGTATCAGAAATTACTCCACACAATTAAGCGCCACGATTGGCAGGCCTGGCGCTAGAATTTCGGGGTTCGAATCACAGACACCAAGTGTGGAGTACCCCATATGCCCCACCTCCGGAGTCCTGTTCCTGGCTTCCACCCCGCGTCCTCCCCGCCTTCCCCCCCCCCCCCCCCGCCTCTTCGCGGCTCTTCCAGCCGCGGCCAACTCTTCGGCTCGACGGCCACACCCACTACCTCCTCCCAACCCTCGCTATCTTTAGAATGTGGGGAAGGACCTGATAATAGCACAAGTCCGATGTCGCGGCACTTCCAAGCTCTGCATAAAGGCCAAGCTCCGGTGCCGCCCCGGCACGGGGCGATAGAATATGCGATCGCGGGCAACGCAGTCGTCATCGTGCCCACCAGCGCCGAGAGATGTCATTTCTCCCCGCCCATTTGTTTCTGCATTGCGCTTGTCATTCGTCATTCCGGCCATGCTGGGTGGATCGGCCATCTCGCCGTTCATCGTGTCCTGCGGCCTCCTTTTCCTCAGTCCGATGCCGGCGCCATTCAGAGCCGTTCCGCGCCTCTCACGTCCCTGATGTGTCCATGCTGTTCCCCGGAATGCTTCTCAACGATCGAGATCGAGCTACTACGGCCGCGTTCGGGGCGGCGAGTTCGCTTAAGGTGCTCTGCCGTTGTTTAGTGCTTAGCGGTATGTTGCTGAGAATACTGCACGGTCAGTGGTCTGTTCCGTACGTTGTAATCACCACGTATCGAAAGATAACATCTTCCTCTCGTGCCCCAAATGTCGGGCGTTGCGGTCAGTTTCCGCATAAGGCATCAAAGACTTCCCGGACCGCCAGCCGGAACGCGGTGCAGTTCTGCCGCCCAATCCTGATAGGACGGTATCGTTCTTGCTATCCGCGCTCTCGGCGGTAACATGGCGGCTGACCGGCCTCCCACCTCGCCGAAACAATTGCCTCATAGGAGGACATCTCCTTGCCTTGTCTCATGTTGGAATGAAGAGATGTTAATGAGCAGGAGTTGATCATTGAATAGAACGCCGTGACACATCATGAAAGTATGAGGGCCATGATGCTAGTCATCTGAACGCCTGTTGCCGTACTGTATCGATCTACGCATCACCAGGCTACCCGACGCCCTCCCATTGCGCACTCAGCCGCAACCTGAAAGCGGACTAAGCCCCTAGACAACTCTCACCGCAATCGCGATCAGGCAACCTCCCCCGCGCGCCGTTCTGATGGGCGCGATAGCCCTGCACATCCGCCGCAGCGACAGCCGCCTGCCCTGACCGCTCGGATATCACCTACGAAGCTCCGACGGCCTCACCTCGTGCGGGCTAAGTTTGATCGTTGCCGCCTGACATCGTGAGACAGTGGACGTACGGTCAGCCTGTACGCGCGATAGTTCCCCTGCATTTTGGAATTGGTGCGGCGAATGCGTACTGAAGCCATCAAGCCCTGCAGGGTCGGGCTTCCGACGACCTGGATGTATGCATAATCGACAGGCATGGCACCGACATTGCTTTAGCACATTTCCAGAGCCTGACAGATACAGCCATTAGCGTGAACATCGGACGATGACAAGAGTAGTCCCCGCCTTGGCGCCGCACCATACGACTGCCTCTTTTCTCTTCCGGACGGGATATGTTACTCGAGAACTATATGTGGCCTTGGCGCTTGCCATGGCAGCGGTGTCCTGTCAAGTCGTCGGTGAACATCCCCAAGGATCAACAAACCGTCACCGGGAGCATCGTGCCAGAATTTCGGGGGCCTCGCGCACTTCCCCGGCACCTCCGAAGTCCTCGGGCTGGACCACGCTTGCTATTCTTGTATCTGCATTCCACCTGCGGAACATCGCCACTGACCCGCGCCGTCGCTTCGCGCGCTCGTGACGCACCTGTCTATCCAATTTGTCCTGGTCCCAAGATGGCCGCTGAGATTAGAGATCACGTTATCCCCGCACCCGGGCGGTTCCTACAACACACACCTAACGAGATCAGCACACCGTGAACACGGTGCAATAAGACAATCAACGATGCAATACAATTGCAGTGACACACCTGTGTACTTCACGCTGATCCTGTCGTTCAAGTTCGCTCAATTGGCCCACTTTGATGCCCGGCTGCATTGCGCCATCGACATCACAATGATAGCCAGCTCAAGTCAGGTGGTGTGTAACGTACATATGCCCGCTGCGGTTGGTAGAAGCCGCAGCCGCAATGATCGTGCTCATCCAACCTGGGATACGGAGCCTGCTCGAAATTCACGGTTCATACCGCGCAGTCCTTCGCATGAGAAGATCACACCGAGGTCGGTTTTATTTGAACGTCCCAGACGGTAGGCTTGGCGATTCTATCGCCTACGAGACTGTGTTTTTTTGTCTCTCCTAGGCAGTCTACAACTAAGAGCGCCTTTCTGAGACGGTCGCTCCAGTGCCTCTCGCAGTCTGATAATCTGGGGACGTGCGTGACTAGAATGTGTGCTAAATTCAGTGTACTTACTCATGTCTGGATCTTCATATTCGGCGGATTCGAAAGTCGTATATGAAGATAGCAATTGCGGAAATTGAAAGGTAGAATTCGCTCACAGCAGTAAGGGGTTTAGAGTGGTAACCGGCCAAAGGCCCAAGAATTGACGAGGTGTCTAGACGCCGGCCAAGAACGATACTTGCGCTTAGAGGACCTCGTCCCAGTGCTCTGGCATTACATGTTAATAGTAAAACAACTGAGATGAGGCCGAACCGTTGCGAAGGAGGCGGGCGTGGAGAGGTGAAACCACAGCCGCTTGCAATTGACAATAATTCAGCATTTAGAATCGATTCGACATGGCGAAGCTAGCGTTGAGGGTTTCATACAGGTGGACCACCCCATGTATCAGGGCAAATGTCTACGTAAACTCATCGCGTCTTCCGGTAACAGTATTGAGAAGATCCAACAGTATGTTACGATGACATGCGAGACAATGCATTGCATTACATACACACACACACACACCCCACACAACACCGACGGTATAGAAGCACATGTAATTACGCCGGCAAGTGGGAGCAAAGAAAACAGTCCGAACGCGACACAGATTTATCAGTAGGCGGGGCCGACGAAGACAACAGATAGGAAGCGGCGAAGCAATAAATAGAAGCAGGCGAACTGATGTAGTCGGAGGGCGGCGGGGAGGGAATTCAGGTCATCTTGAAGTGATGTCGGCAGCCGAATGTCGGATGCTGAGAATATTTTGAGCGTGTAACATGTTACCTTACCGTTTCCAGTTATCCTAGACGGGTAGTAGGAGGGGAAGAGGGAAGTGAAGAGTGTCGCCTATGAGCCGTGATACCAAGACATAACAGATTGATACTTTGCCAGTCTTGACGTTCGGCATGCGGGGGAGGCGAAGAGTCGATATGAGAGTAGAGGGAAGGTGACATGCAAATGTTCTGGCCGATGGTGGACGTGAAACAACGCCAGAGGTTAGTCATCTGACGGAAGAATGTTCGGATGCTTAGTCGGTTTGAACCATCTCGATTGCGCCGCATTGTTCACAGTGAGCCCACATAGTTCTTTGTCCGTTCAGTCCAGGCGAACACGCGACACGGAGTTTCGGAATCTGCGAACAGTTTTGACTAAATACAAAACCATCAGCACAATTCAAGGAAAAAGACAGCCCGGCTGCATACAGTCAGTCGAAACTTACCCATGGTGTGTGAAAGAGGCGCTCTTCGGCTGTATAAGGCCGACTGGTCGAGGTGCTTCGTCCATGGCGACATCAAATGGGTTTTGGGAGCCAAGGTAGCCCAGGTCTCCGTGGGGGTAGAGATCGAATCTCGGGTACATGGCTGCAATAAGATATTGATTTAGTGTGCCGACACGTCATGAGTGCGTAAATAACTGACGAGAGTTGCGAGCAGAGTCTGACGGACTCGATGATGATGAGCTGGCGTTAGAGGGGAAACGCGTATGGAATGGCTGGATAGGGATGAAGAGAGGCTCAAGGTGGTAGACTGAAGCGTCCGACATAGCTACGTCGGTGTCGAGCTCAGTATTAGGGAAGGGGACAAGCTTCGGCTGCTTCGCATTCTTTGTCATAAGGCAATGTCAATACAGAAGTTGCACGAGCGGACAATTCACTGACCATGCGCATGTCGATGGCCCCATCGTCAAAGTCCATTTTGCGCTTGACAGCCATGGTAGATGATGCACGGAGAAATGGAGGAAGGTTGGAAAGTGGGGAATGGACAAGTGGCGGGAGGGCTGGACAGCAGATGAGCGTTAGGGGGAGGGTGAGAGAGAGGATGTCTCGGTGGAGGGCCTGGTCATATAACCCGACTGTTTGGCCATGCTTGGCCGGTAGAAAAGTGGACACTAGACCTGCCATTTTGGGCGCGCAATATATCGGCGTCGTTCGGCGAGCAACAGGCCCGCCGCTGATTGGCTGATAGAGGGTTGCCACTGATGATGCATCTTCGCGGAGTTCCGCTTGCCGCCCGGTTTTACCTCTTCAATCAAGATGTGACGCGGCATGACATAGTATGTCACAAAGGCTGGGTATGCGCCACTTTGGAGGTCGGTTCGACCCGGGAGGCGAAGTGATTCGAATTGTGGCTGGAACAGGTTCCAGGAGGTCTGCCAAATCCACCGACACCAGCGTCTCACGGATTGGAGATAGGGACCAATATCTACTCCGTGCCCTTCAACGGAAGAGGTTCATCGGAAGAAGGGTGGTCGGTGGCAGAGCTGGCAGAACAACCGTTAAGGCAGCCACCGTAGATAACTGGCATGCTGGCATGGAGCCGAACAACCCGCCGCGATATGTTATTCTAATTCCACATACCTACTTATGAGTGCAGCCTGCAATGTCTAACGCTTGACGAAAAGGGTTATTCGGTACCCAGAACAATTGATGTACATTGGCTAGCCGGGACCGGCTAGTTTTAATCATTGCCAGGAAGCTGAATGAATTAACTTGTACCAGGCCTTGGGTGTGATGCTTCGGGAGCGGTCAAGTCAACGGGGCCATCGGCACGGTCAAGTTTGCCTTAACCTGGACGTGCAAAGAGCATGTCATTATGGCCACAGAAGGACAATGATACATATAAAAGCGCAATGGTGACTGCAAAAAAATCGTAAGTCGTCTGCCATAATTGGCATCGGTAAGTTATCAAAACGCTTCTGCATGAGCTGACCTGGATGCTATCTGGACCCTGCCTTCATTTTCGTCTGTATTTTCGCTCCTTGCTGTGGCTGCTTCCCATCTGAGACATCCTCCTTCACGTTGTCTCCCATGGCTTGGCTGAAACCGTCCACTGCGCCTTTGGCCGCTTCCCACCACCCAGCCTCACGTACTGCACCAAACACGTCTCCTAGGATTTTCTGCATACCATTCCCTGCATTGTCATCTTCGTTCTGTGCATTCTCGCTGTACTGCCATTCCCGATGGCGATCCCACGACTCCCACGCCTTCGGACGTGGCGCCTTCTGCTTTTGGGTGCGAGAGCTTCGCGATGAGCGTGCACCCCCGGCAGCGTTCTGGCCCTGGCCATTGATCATATCCAGTATCATGCCCCCGACGGTAGGCACGACGCCCCCGCCTGTGAACAGTCCTCCTATGCCGTTCTCCCCGTTTGCGTGTGCGTTCCCCATCATCCAGCCTGCGCCCGCTGCCAGTGCAGACAGGATGGCGCCCCACTTCATGAACCATATACCGGTCCGAATCATCCAGCTTGTTGTGCGATAGAAGCTGACTAGAGCTAGGTACGTAGCCAGGAGGGTGATGAGAGGAGGTAGAATGGCTTGTGCATCCCATGATGAAGGAGACGAAGAGGCCAGAGTCTTCACCAAGGAGATGAGGGAGAAGAATAGAGAGGTCGATTTTGATAACAGTTCGACCGCAATGTTATAGAGTGTCGGCGGGAGGGTTGAGGATAGGTAGTTCAGAAGAGGGTTGAGGAACTGTGGAACATCGACGTCGGGTGCATCCATGGCGGAAGGCTGCCTAATTGTGGCGGTAGTTTTCAACAAGAAGTTTATGAGCACAACGCGAGGAAGTGGGGTGTTGCACCAGACTACAAGCGGCACCGTTATGGCTGCGTGTAACGTCTGTACTGGCACGACACTTGAGGAACACGGCAATGGCATCGCGTATACAGTAGCGCGTCACGTGGCACGTGCCTCGCTCGTGCCGTGCCGCCCACTCGAGTCCGTCATTTCTCAGGCAAGCCTCTCTGACTAACTGCGACCCCATCCCGCTCCTTCCCCTTCCCCACATCCACCACCACCACCATGTCAGGAGCAGCAGCATCCGCCGGCGCGTCGAAATTCCAGGCGTTCATGAATCATCCTGCAGGTGCGCCGTTTCTGCCAGCGGCCGCGATCTGCGCTCACGGACCCCCCGGCGGCAATGGGCTCTCCCCTCAGGCCCGAAGACCGTGTTCTTCTGGGGCCCGATGATGAAATGGTGTCTCGTCGCCGCCGGCCTCAAAGACCTGTCGCGACCCGCTGAGAAGCTCAGCATCTCGCAGAACCTTGGTATGTCACGCGCCGTCCTAACGACTTCAAGCCGGACTCAATGGGCTGTCGTTTGTCCATGATGTATCTCGTTGTACCGCCTATGACTCGCCACCAGCCCTCACTGCCACTGGCTTCATCTGGGTGCGGTATTCCTTTGTGATCACGCCCGTGAACTACAGTCTTGCTGCTGTGAGTGAAAGTGGCATATATTCTCTTGCACGGTGTATCGAGTCTTGCGTGTAGGTCAACTTCTTCGTTGGCTCAACTGGGCTGGGCCAGCTGGCGCGAATTTGGTAGTATGTATCACTCTCCCTGATACCGAACTTGCACCAGACACTGACATGCTGGACAGCTTCCGCAAGACACAACTGGATCCGGTCGGGGACACCTTCGGGACAGCGTCAAAAGTCGACAAACTGAACGCGTAGGCGGCAAGTCCCGTCTCATCATCTGCATGAGATTACGCACCGTGAGGGAGTGATAGATCGTTTTTGTTGGTAAATTAGTATGTCTTCTGTTTATGGAGTCGGACCTGCCCGGCGAGCATCTCCTCATGGCGCGTTAGACGAGGATCACACCACCTTCGCAGCCGTGAGTACAATATTATGCGCATGGTATGTTTTCCCCCTGGTCAATTCATGCTGGGGTAGTTCACATGTGTCCACCGCATGGACAATCGTCTCATCTACAATTCTCTGCCGTACTTCACGTCTGATTTCAGACCCGCGGCAGCCTCCTTCATGGTACCCGCGGCACTCTTACCCAGCGGGGAGTATAGCGGTGGCTCGGTAAACGTGGTCAGTTTGTATAGCTTCTCTGCTGCTTCGTCCGCGCCTGTGGGCGATGCCAGGTTTGTTCCGAATCGCATTACCTGGGAAGGTATTCTTGTATGCTGGATGCGGGGTATGCGCATGGTTTTCAAGACGTTCGTGCAGAACGTGCAAGGCTCGACAAGAGTGACCTAGGTGCGGACGACGACAACGCGGCTTATTTGTTGGCAGCGTATGGACAACGAACCCTTAATATTCCATTCTGGCCCTACCTCTGCCCACAGTGCTTTACTGAATCCCTCCAGCACTAAGTTCGTGTAAGTCAAATTGCTTGAACATGGGGCCATGACGGACTCGCCATATTTGCTCGTCGCCATGGCGGGGTGCGGCACGATGCCCTGTTGAAGAGACTTGCAGGAGCTGCCCGCCCATAGGCTTGTTGAACACGCAGAATACTCGTGGCACGGCCTCCTTGAGACGTTCGCCGCGCCCCGACAGTTCACGTCGAACATGCTGTGCGCCGTTTCCTCTGACCGGGCCTTAGCCTCGCCGATCGCTACAGACCCAGCGTTGTTGAACACGATATCGATGCGTCCAAACTGCTTCACGGCAGTTGCGAAGGCGGTGGGGTGAGTGCACAGCTGTCCTTCGCATTATCGACCATCGATCAATACTCAGTAAGCCAAAGCCCACGTTAGACGACGACGATGCCGACCAGGGAACTGCTCGAAGGGTCGAGAATTCACATCGTTTAATAGACGGCACGTTACAAATGGTCACAAAGGCCTGAGTTCATTCATTCGACAACTATCAGAACAGGGATAACAGAAATCTGCTTTCAACAAGTACTCGAACCCGTTCGAAGGCCATCACAGCAGGACCGGAAGCATCATATGTGTCTGCGTGAGATGTAAGGAGTTTCTCCAAGAATTTGCTTCGTGCATCATGACTCACATCGATTTGCATTCAGGGGATGGGTGCGAAGAGGGCGACAGTCGCGCAGGTGGCGGAGCACGTCCCGAGGGCGGCATTGCATGCGAGAATGGTAGCTGGAGCGGCGGCGGCAGCGATCACGGTACCGAACTGGAAGCCTGCAGCCGCGTAGCAAGCGACAACGACCGCGTTGCAGCCTGGTACGTACGGGTCAACTCTCGTGACGGAGATACCCGCCGCATATACGCACCTGTCTGGCAGATTCCATAGGCAATAGGACCTCCATTGACGGGAGTGATTGCAATAGCCGCGAGGGCGGCGAGAACGGCGGTGCACTTCATGCTAGTTGAGGATGTGAGGTCAAGGAATTGGGAGGAGAGGACAAGTTTGGGTACCGACATACGGTAGCTCATTTATATATGCATCCTAGTGACATCATCGAGGCATGACTGCTCTTGAACTAGAGGAGAATTAACGGCCACGTCACAGAAGCACGTCCCATGAACGAACATCACACCGTCGGAGAAGAGGCAGCGATGCCGTCGAGCATGTACATGCGGCCTTTCGTGCTAGGTGGATCAGACTGAAAAGACAGACTACAGGTTCTATTATTTCGCGATGATGGCGGTGGACAGGATTAAGACCGCTGTGTCAGTGGCCGCTCAAGAGGGCATTATCTGTCAGGCTACGCATAGATGCCGACGACAGCTGATCAATTAAGATAGACTCAGGCCTCCCAAATGACAAAAACGATACTTTTCTGAGAGGCGGCATCGGCAACTTCTAGATGAGCGATGAATGTGCAGAATCTCCGAATCTCGATCCTGCCCAGAGACGCGACCGGCATCAATCCCGACGTCAGCCATCCGCCTGAATGTCTGAGGATAGTATGTATGATCACGTAATCGCGTAATGTTGTATATTACGGTAACATAATTGAAAGCGCCCGGGCAGTTGCTGTCAGCCAGTACTATATCCTTCACAGTTCTACTCGTATCGCTGGTATGGATACTTACACGGTTTCTTCCGCACCCACAGCCTAGGTCTATAACTTTCCATCGCAGAAATACAAGGTGAACGTAGTCGTAGCCTCAACTACACCCGGAACGCCGGCACTTCCTGGCAAAATGGTTGACCGGGGATCCCGATGTGGGGCAGAACCTCAGGACGCGCCAGATTCACATCATATTCTCCGACTACCACAGGAGCTCTGGGACGAGATAATCGACTACATCGACCATGACCAGGCTGCATTCTCTGCGTGCAGTCTTACCTGTCGCGCATGGGCTGCCGCCTTCCGCCCCCACCTCTTCCACCATCTTCGCCTCACCGCCCGTAGCCTACCGCATATTCAACAGATCTTGCACTCCAATGCACATCTCGCGAAGTACACAACGCGTGTCATCATCGACTACGAAGGCAATCCTTCTGTGCTCTCGCAGCTGCGACAGCACACGGTACTAGCCAAGGTCTTGTCGACACTGCCTAACGTGACCAGGCTCAAGCTACTAGCAATGGCCGTCACGCCATCACTAATTTCTGCGCTCTCTACTGTGTCTCCCCGCATACGGGAGCTCAGAGTCGGCTGCCTAGTAGCGACGTCACTTGAGGCATATGCGCAGTTCATTCGCGCCTTTCCTCATCTCCGTGCATTGTCTCTCAAGGGAGTCCTGTCACTGTTAACAGGCCGCTGGTACATGTCTCCGACGCCACTCGCCCGGGTTATGCACCAGCTGCGCCTCACACGCAGCTGGCAAAGAGCGACAGATAGCCTCCGTGGCAGTAATGCCGGCGGTCGTCGCGTGGCTCTGTATGCCATACTGCAAAACATTCCTCGATCCTTAAGATCCCTGTGCGTGGCATCGCGGGCCTGGTCTTTCTGGGATCCACCAGGTGAATATAAATTGCTGTTATCAGCGACTCGCCTGTTGTCTGACCATGTCATCGATCACTGCGGATGCAGTCTCTCAGTGGTTCAAGCTCGGAGTTCTGACATACATGAACGAGCACTGGCTTCCCGTGTTCCTTTTTGCCATAAATGTGACCCGCATCCGCGAGATCAGCTTTCTCTTCTCCCCGGTGTTGTTCGACCAGATGGTCCGCGTCCTGTCCTCGGAGCTGTCGCTTTCAGAACTCTGGGAGGTGCAATCCGTGACGTTCGTGACTGGGATTGCGCAGCCGGACCGTGTTGAGGACTACACGGCGGATCTCGAGATCCGGGAGATCATACCTCATTTACATGCCGCAGGGTCTTTGGTTTTGCGCGTATGTCCCCACTTATTGGCAGCTTTGAATTGAATCCTCTGGACGAGTCATGCGGCCGAAATTGGAATGTACCGGTGCGCATCGGGCTTGGGGAATGTGTGCATCTGGCGGTAAGCAACGAACACTCCGTACATCCTCACACGCCCACAGACTTACTGAAATCTGACCTGCAGACGTCCTGTCCCGACCCGTGAAATGTATATGGTGTTCTTGGACTCGTGGTTTTATAGTCTTTGCACGTGGTTTCAAGAGAGCTGGTGACCGGATAGAGTCTGACACAGTTGACCTATCCTACAGTAGATGCACCCGCTACTGACGACTTTTAGATAAAGCCTAAGTCGTTACTATTTCGTGTACAAAGTTTCGTGCTTGAGGCTTGAAGTTTGGTAATCATCACTTTCTCCCAGTGCCGTCGTGCATTCTACCTATCGTCGCGCATTCCCTGCTCAGATGTAAATACACCCAGAATCCTAACACGCCATGATAGTATATATATATCGTGCGATTCCAAGAGACAATCATCTGCAAATGTTTGTATGTTTAAAGTATACAATTACGATGTTTGTTAGGGTAACGGTAGAGGAGTGTACATAAGTGATCCAGGTATCACAGGTGCAGATCATGAGGGTATAAGTGTCTCAACGGGCCCTTTCTGCGTTCAGTAGGTCCTACCCAGACCACCAGCCGTCGTACCGACGCCTGCGCCTCCGGTGCCATAACCTCCGCCCATGCCGCCACCTCCCGTACCGAGCCCGCCCCCCGTGCCGAGTCCGCCTCCGGTAGCAAGCCCGCCTCCAGTGCCGAGCCCACCGGCTCCAGTTCCGGCCCCGCCGCCCAGTCCTCTTCTGCGGCGGCCAAAGAGCCCGCGTCTTCCTGTCGTGGTGCCCGTCGTGGTGCCCGCCCCCACTCCGGGCCCTGTCCCCACACCCGCCCCCGGCGGAACCCGCGCAACGTGGAGCGCTGCAACGCGATGGCGGCCAGATGGGCGTTTTCCGGTGCGTGTCGCGTCGGGGGTCGTGATGAGCGCGCTGTTCCGTAGACCTGACGAGCGGCTGGGCAGAGAACAACCAGGGGCGAGCAGACAACGAGATCGACCTGCACGGACTGCATGTGCGTAAGGCGCTCGACCACGTGGAGCAGGCGATTACTGCCGCGCGTGAGAGCGGCAAGGCGGAGCTGAACTTCATTGTCGGTGCGTCCTGGACCATCCTCTTGCTCTCGTTTCTCGTGGGACCTATGGCATACCTGGTGTTTGCAGGCCAGGGTAGACACTCGGTGAATGGCGTTGCGAAGATCAAGCTCGCCGTCGAGGATTGGCTGCGAAAGTAGGTACCCGTTCGGCAGGTTTGGTCCACGTTCAGGTTCGGTCCGAGGCCATCGTTGGAGGTTCAAGTTCAGGTTCAGAGCCTGAGGGGCCCGAACCTGGACCGAACTGAACTTCGGAGACGCTAAGGTATCCCATATTGCGCTCCCGCGTTGCGTCGGTGGTGCTGAGTGCATGCACATGCACAGGCAGGACATAGCCTATGTTCCTGGACCGGGGAACCCCGGACTCCTCATTGTCACTCTGGTGGCTGAAACTTGAGAACATGGCTGATCAAGGAGCCATGCATGGTGGTCTGTTACTGGAATGCCGTCCGCCTGTCGATTTACACGTTATATAGATCCGCTGGAAGATGTGTATGCTGGCCTGTGTCAAGCCTTTGCTCTGTGCGGATGTCGTTGACCTGGGATTGGAGGTTTGGGCTTATGCTGTCACGCCCCATGACGAATGCTGTCAGGTCCTGAGTATTGCGCTCGTTTGCTTTGTATTCGGTCAGATGATGTAGCAATGCGACTGTCTTTACACAGAGAATGTTTCTTGTGTGTCATGTCTAATAGCTAGAACGAATGGCATGAAGACGAGAAGCGTACGAAACGTGCCGTCGGTGGTCACTACTGTGTGCACTGGGCGTATGTCCACGTACAGGGTTCGAAATTGGAAGCGGAGGCTGAAGCCTGGAGAGTGCGTATATCGCGGAGTTGAGATCTTGAGAGTCGATCGCGCGCGGAGCTGATGCGAGGACAATGACCAGCGTGACTACGTTGAACGCAGAGCTCCGACTAGGTCTCGACTTTGCTGCTGGCCGTGTCCTGTCTGTGTCGTACTCATCCCACTATCTGCTTGGCGGTGTCTGCCTCTGAGCGCATGGCCGCAATGGCTGTGAATCTCGCGTCGCCTCGAAACCTGTGCTTCTGGTGCTTCCACCCGCCTGCTTCTGCTGGCGCCCTCCGTTGCGAGACCTTGTGCTACAACGGGACATGTCCTCGTGTGTGGCCACGGGAAACTACCATGCCCCTGCAGGTGCACACCGCGCTAGGCACGATCACCTGCTATACACGCCTTGCGCTATGAATTCTATATCTACTGCGCCCATCGCGATCGCTCGACTGGCCTCTCGTCCCCTCCCTCTCCCTCTGCCTGCGCCTCGGCGGTGCCCACAACAATGGACCTCCTTACCTTCTGCGTTGTCGCGGCCGCGGCCGCCCTCGTCTACGCCCTCTTCACTAGTGAATGTAACGGGGCTCAGCGGCCCGGACCCCAGCGCCCGTCGTACGGGGCGACATTGAGTGCGCCTCAGTATACTGACCCTCAGCCACACCAGGCGATTCGGTCGACTCCATCATATGTAGCGGCGCAGGCCACGGACCCGACTCCATCGCGCCCAGCGGTGCAGCCAACTGCGTCAGATCAGCCATACCAGGCGGCCCCGCCAATACAGGCATACCAGACAACGCAGTCTGCTTCGACGTCGACGTACCCATATCAGCCGTATTCGTCCATCCAGCCTCCTCAGCCAGCCCAGAGCCCATGGGCTAGTCCGCAGACCAGGCCTGGTGAGCAGGCGCCGTTGTTGTCTGCAGTTAATGCGCCTCCGCGACAGACATACGCGCAGGTCAGCACTCCATTGTCACATACATACTCACGTTGGCCGTCCATAACGCGTGTACTCATCTGTGCGAAACATGCAGGTGGTCAACCCCAAGCCCCAGCGCCGCGACCCGCCCTCGTTCAGCGTCCCCGCCGCACGTCCCGTTCTCCCGAATATCACCGTGTGCGCGTCCGCGGCCCCGGACTCGGACGACAATGCTGACGACAGCGATGGCAGCAGCATCTCGGACATAGAGGTACGCTCGCCCGTCCTTTTTCCCTCATGACTCCCGCATACTATTCTCATGCACCGCTCACCGCTGCCACGCAGTCCGTCACCCAGCTTCGCCTGCAATACGAGAATCCTCAAGCGCTGCGCGATCTTGCGCGCACCTCGGGCGACCAGCAGCGAGTGTACGCGAAGCGAAGCCGGGCGTGTGCGCGGCGGGACCGCGGGCTGGCTAAGGAGTTCACCAAGACTGCGAAGGCACATGCGCGCAAGGCGAAGCGCTACAACGCGAGGGCGGCTAAGTGGGTGTATGCTGGTGTGTATCGTCTCTCGATGCGTGGTCCTTTTATCCCAACGCGGGCTGTCCCGTGTCCGTTGTGCTGACTGGTGCTCGGATAGAGAACAACAAGCGGCGCAGGAGCAACACGGTCGATCTGCACGGCTTGTATGTGGCCGAGGCGCTCGAGTATGCACAACGGGCCATCGGGGCAGCGCGCGAGAGTGGTCAGGCAAAGCTGAGCCTCATTGTCGGTGAGTCTCGGACTATTCCTCGTTTCGTGTATCCCCGGGGTGATGGTTTGCTTGGTATTCACAGGCCAGGGTCAACATTCGGAGAACGGCGTGGCGAAGATCAAGCCTGCGCTCGAGGGGTGGCTGCAGAAGTAGGTTCTCCATGTTGCGCCGCATCCGCTTTGCTGAGTATGTGCGCCGTGTGCAGGCAGGGTACAGCCTATAAGCCCGACGAGCAAAACCCCGGGAGGCTCCTTATCACCCTGGATGCCTGAGTCTTTCCAGCATCGTTTGCAGGACCCCGCACATAGTGGTCCTTTTTGGGAAGACCTCCCACCTCTCCTTTCGATTGTCACACCGTGCGACGCTGTGCGCACGCGTGTGCCGGTCCTCTGGAGAGATGTAATTGTATTGTGACAAGCTGAGGTCTGAGTTGTGCTTTCGCTCTCTTTGCAAATGTTGTGCTATCGTTGTTTTTGGTATTGCTGTCGTCTGTGTTTTCGGGTCTTGTGTCTACGGTTTCCGAGATGCATTGGGTCAAAGGATGGAGTAGTAGGGATCGGTGTACTCCTAACAACCGCTGCTTTGTGAGGGATCTGTACGGTGGGACGCTGTGCTCCGTTTGGGGATGTAGAGCGAATATTTGCGCGTCATAGTGCGGTCAAGGCCGTGTCTGGTCGAGAGTCTTGGCCACAATTTCGATGTGGATTGCCTCTGTGGTAGCCCTACCGAAGATGCGATCATCTCGCGGGTCAGCGGTAGCCAGAATCACTAGAAAGAAGACACATCGATATAAATTAAGATAACCCCAAGCGCAGACATGAAAAGGCACCCGAGATCAAGACCAACAGCAGACACGTGCGCGTGTCGCCGTGCCAAGAACCAGCAAATGCTGCTGACCGTGCATGGATGGTTCCAAGAGGATACAATAATCTTTCTGGCAAGACGTCACGTAACATATGAACGTTGCTTTCTTACTAGTGGAAGCCACGAGGCACATGATCAAGGACACTTGATACACATCTTCTACACACGGGGCTATTCCAATATTCTACATCGCCCTGAATACATACCAGTACCGGGGACTGTACAGGGCATGACACAGCAGAAGAAATGACCTGAACATTACAGACCGTAGGTGAACGCCGCAACGCCGCAACGGCTTCTCAGAGGCTCAGATCCACAATGATCACGCCCGTGTTCCCCTTTGGGTGGCTATGGGGCAAGCTCAATCTATGCGGGTTCAGCAAAACATTAATTCATGCGCGGTGATACGAAGGCTTACTGCTGCAACCGCTGTTTGACAACCGGCTTGAGTTTCGCAACGCCGTCGAAGGATGTCCCTGTGCATGGGGCCGTAATCGTTCGACGTGCTATGGTCGGTACAAATAGGCTCAGGCAGACACACCGAGGATAACATGAAGAGTCGTTATGCCATGTTGGCGCGCTTGTGCGATGGCCATGTCGAGGTACCTCTGTGCTTCTTGCACGAAAAGGCCATGCAGGTCTACATGGTCGGCTGGAAGACCTTGGTTGTGATCTGGGAAATTTCAGAGAGAAACATGGGTCGCTGCATGCGAATACCTCACAAGTCAGAGATCATGGCGTACCAGTGAAGATCCATCTACACGCCCTCGCATTGAGCAGCTGTGCCTTTTGTGCATGTGCCCTCGCCTTATCCTCCAAGCGGGCGGCTCGAGACGGATTCTTGTGTTTACATGCTTCGCTTTGTTGCTCGCATTGAGTCTTCTTGGAGGCCTCGCGCTGCGCTTCGGCGCGCAGCGTGGAAGGGCCACGATACTTGCGACGCAGCTCGGATATGGACTGAACAGTTAAATAAACACTATCCAGTAAGGTCGATAGTGGAAATTGAAAACAGACCAGGTCCGGGGTGATTCCTTCGCCTTCGTGAACATGCCGGTATGCGTAATCTGCAGGGGCGGTCGTCGAGACAGATCCGTACGGCGGCGGCCTGTCACCGTGACCGGTGTACGGCTGCAAGCGTTCGGTATCATTGCTGTCTCTCTGTCTAGGGCGCAGACACAGATAGGCCAAGACCGCCAGGGCACAGACGATAACTATAGCTCCTAGGCCGAGAACGACGTCCCATCTTTCGGGCACCTCCATTGGTAGGGTATGAAGAGACATCGAGGAGCGTCGTCCAGGGACAACCAGGACACGCCATCATGAGCGCCGTCGAAAACGTAAATTGGCAAGCCTTCGGACGCTGGATCATGTGGTATTCCTTTAAACTCCTTTTCCGCGCATGCCGCTATTCGCTTTGGTCGTAGGAAAAGCAGACGATACCTGTAGTACTTAGCTTGAAGCAGTGGTGCATTGGGGCGCAATCGCTAATGGAATTTACTAGCAGCAAGCCTCGACTGATCTGGTTTCATAATCGCTGCCGCGCGCCACCCAGACCGTTGACATCAGTTTCTTCGCACGGTAGAACTTTGCCTGCGTTGAGACCGTGTAGGCTGCGTGCAAGTCCTGCTTATTGCTAGAGCCTCTCGGCCTATAATCCGACAGGGAGCGTACACAGGGACCGGTGGGGAGCCGTTGCAGTGGATACTGACAGAGTGTACTGTGCCGTCACAACGGAGTCGATCGTGCATATGAGATCGTATCTCGTTACGGCAGCCACACATGTACTTTCGCTGATGTGCGCGATGATGATGTTTGGAATCAAGTGCACACCTAGTCAACTTGACCCTCTTATTGGCGTGTTGGCATGCGAAGCACATCGAAGCTCGCCTTTGTATACGTGATTGGACAAACCCGTTCGCTCCGGTTGATGGCGCAAGCCGTATTTCTGACCACGATAGCATCTGCTTCCGTTGCACGCGGTTGATATTTGGTATGAAGACACATGCATCCTGAGACAACAACTTAAGTACACACACCCAGGAACGACATCTGCAAGATCTGGGTATCAGAAATCTCAGATGCTGATACATCAGTAACACAGTGCCAATTCATTCGCCCATATCCTGTTTCGTTGGCTCACTATAGCGTCCCGAGAACAGATGCCCACCGGTGATAATCCAGTTAATCCAGTTAGTCGCTCAATTTTACAATGAAGGCTCCTGTGTTGTACTTGGGGTGGCGGTAGACCAAACCAAGCCTGCGCGCGTCCCTGTGAGCAAGATCCACGGATAAGACCAGATAGCGGATCTCACTTTTCTAAATGCGCCTGAATGGCAGGCTTGACCTTCGCCACACCTCCTGCACTATGCTGGCCTTTACCTATGGAAGGCACGTCATTAAAAACGGATATATCGGTACATCAGGTGGCCGCACCGACGATGATCATCAGCTCCTGTACGCCACATTTCCGCGCCTTTGCCACTGCCTTGTCTGTGGACGCTACCGCTTCGCCCACGTGCAGCCAGTGGAGATCCAGTCGATCTACTGGAGAGCCTTCATTATGATCTGATTGCGACGGATACATGCGATGAGAAACAGACATCATCCAAGGCTGGAGAAACGACGCACCGGCGAAGATCCACCTCCTGGCCCGTGCATTTAGCCGCTTTTCTTGTCGTTCGTGAGCCCGCGCATTTTCTGCAAGTCGGTGGGCTTGAAGAGGATTCCGTGTGGCGCATGCAGCGCTATCTTTCTGGCATTTTATTTTCTTGGATCGTTCGCGCCTTGCCTCGGCGCGTATCTTCTCTGCGCTCTCGTACTCAAGGCGTAGTTGGCTGATCGACACCGTGGCGACAGACTACATGTATACAAAGAAGGGAATCTGAACATATCAGGCATGACGCCAACGTGATCGCATACCTCAGTATCTGAGATGCTTGCGACATCTGGAGACTTCTTGTTGGCATTCGAGAGCTGGAGATCATGGGTAGGCGAGTGAGCAACGCATCCTCCGTGCTGGCTCTGGTGGATGATGGCCTGGGAGGTATGATCAAAATTGATATGTCTGGCAGGGAGGGCCCAGCATACCTCCTGACGGGAGCTCTCGTCTACATCGTAAAGGCTACAGTGTGTTTTCTGCGCAGGTTGTGCCTGATGGATTTGGGAAGGGACTGAGGGCACACGAGAATGTGCGGTGGCATCCAATGGCCCTGTACGCTGGCCCCTAGCATCAGGGAATCGACGACTCTGCTCCAGCTGCGTCGCCCGCTGCGGTTGCACCGCGTTGTATCGATGTGTCCCTCCAGAAGACTGTGTGGTCTGGTCCGAAACCGTCGTCTGGGACACTCGCTGAGCCTGGTAAGGTGCTGCTACTTGGTACGGCTGTGCTGATTGAGAAGATGGCGATGTCAGATATGGTCGTGACCCCTGGTATGATTGTGTCCTCTCCGACGTCCGTGTCTTCTTGTACGGCTGTACTGTCTGGTTTGATGGCGCCGCCTGCAGGGATTGAGGTTGACCGCATGGCTGGTCTACACGCGTAGCAGCCCCTCCACTGTGAGTGATCGCTGTTGACCCATACTGCGGGTTGTGTCGGCCCTGCCTGAGTGAGCGCTGGCGTTCAACATCATCGCTTCTATGAGCAGCACGAGCATAGGTTTTCAGTAGCGTGTAAACGATAGTGCAAAATACAAGGTAGCCGCAGAATGCTATCAGCGCGAAATGCATGTCTGTATGACGGCGCGGAGGTCGGACAGGGACAAGGGGAATCTACCCAGTGAGCAGGTCTGAGGAAAGAGTGCAGCCTGCTGATAAGAAGTGAGCCTGCCCGCACTACTATAGTTCTGTTGGCAGCCTGGTGACGTTACCACGCACCCACAAAGCCCGTTTTGCTCATGCATGAACTCAATCTGGGTATATTGTTCTGAGAAGGCTCGGCAGCCCCGAGTCGAGTTGTGGCTGGTTGCTAGCTAGAAGGTTGTATCTGAGCAGAATAAGGAGGTTGGATACCGCTCTATTGCCAGTAGCAACCCGAGCTACGTCCGAACAGCAAACGGACTAGCTGATCAGAGAGGTACTACCTCCGCAGAGGCCGTGTTCCTCATGAACTGCGAAATGCATCGTACAACACTTGTCGGCCTCGCTAGAGGATCTTCAAGTTAGAGAGCGGTTCAAAGGTGCTTCAAAAGGAGTTCCGCAAATTCACCATCACTACCCCGCAATCTCCCCGCATCGAGATTGCCATGCTAGGTGAGCGTCACCGATCCAATGCCGGACACACTGTCAATCGGCATCCAGCCGCGATGTTCAATTGATTGATAACCAATTGAAGCACCATTTCCACTATCACGCTCGTCAATGCCAGTTACAGGTGAGGCTGCTCGTCGAATGCAACGTACGGTGCATACAGTTCAGGGTTGGACACCATCTGTTCATTGAAAAATTGCTACAGGTATCGGGGAAGGCTTTGAATAGAATACAGGAGGTTCGCCAATACGCATCTGGACAATACATACACCTCGCCATCTGGCGAGCGCGATGTAGCCATCTTTGGCGCCAAGCAGCGGTGCCGGTAAGACCTGGGAATGCGGTCGTTCGTACTTACCACGGTGACGAGGTCATTGGAAATGAAGGGAGAGGGGACAGAAGACGACGTCTTCACATGATGAGACATCCACCGTCCTTCTCCAACTGCCGCGTAATATCGTCTGGCTGCACGACACTGCCTGCGCCGCTCAGCTGGCCGTCGAGGCTGACAATCAGAACACCCGCGTTCTTCTCGTCTAGCTGGGCAACGAGACCCTGCCTAAGAGCGAGAGAGATGTTAGTGAAACCGCAGCAGTACATTGCATATATGCGTACTTCTGCATCAGTTCCTCAATCGCGGGTTTCAGCTTCGCGACGCCGCGTGGCGAATGGAGACCCTTGCCTGCATGCACCATTTTGCTAAGTGCGTGCCAACAGCACAGAAGCAGGATACACCCACCAACAATGAGATGGACCTTCGCGGTGCCCTGCGCGCGCGCTTCATTGATCGCGCGCTCCGTGAACGAAATCGCCTCCTTCACGTACAGCCCGTGCAGGTCGACCTCGTCCGGCCGCCGGTCCTTGTTGTTCTCTGCGCACGCACACGCACCCCGCCGTCAGCACGCGCCACACACGCGGACACGGCGCCGCGGCACGCACCCGAGAAGATCCACTCGCTCGCCTTGCCGTTCAGCCGGTCCATCTCGCGCTGGTGCGCGCGCCCCTGCTCGGAGAGCTCCTTCGCGCGCGCGCCCTCGTGCGCGGCGTACGCGGCGTGGCTCTCCTCGAAGCACTGCGCCATCTTCGCGCCCTCGTCGACGGCGCGCGCGCGCAGCGAGTCGTAGTAGTTGCGCTGGTGCAGCTGCTGCGCGACAGGCTGTTATGACGGACAGTCCAATGCCGAAGGTGGGGTAGATAGGGTTAAGAGGCCGGGAAGGGGGAAGAAGGGGGAGCGCATAATGCGTACCTCCTCGTGTTGGGGCGCGCCGGGCGACGCACGTCGCGGGGGCAGCGGCTTATACGCGGGCGCGGACGGAGCATGTTGGGCAGACGGAGCAGATGGCTTGTGCTCTTGCGCCTGTTGTGGGGCAGGCTGCGGCTGCTCAGGCCCGCAGAAGATACTGTAGAGCGAGCGCAGGACAGAGAAGAGACCCATGATTGTCGCGGAAGTGGTCAAGCACTGTTAATACAGGTTCGAGATTGAGATAGGCTGGTGCAATCGGAAAGGGCTACACGGGAACTAGTGATGAAATGAGGTGCAGGTGAAGTTGGTAGAAATGTATGAAGGCGGGACCGATGAGGGAAGCTTGGTATATAGCACTTTGGCGCGGCGGCTGACCAGATCGGTGTGCCTGTCAACCTCGTGCGGAACGTGCTGTCCAGCTACGGCGAGCCACTTCCACAGGCTGTTTGCGGGTACAGCATTCCCAATGCAGATCTTGCCGGTAGACTAGTAGACAATTAACAGCGAGCGCGTCGAGCATGGTTACTCATGCATGTCGAAGCATGAAAGACTCCAGCGTGTTGCGCGCTCACGAGACCCCAAGCCGAAGATGGAGTGCTTCCGAAACTCAACATACTGTAACCTATTCAGCTAATAGCCGCTACGCTGACCAGCATGTCTGTTCGAGCCTTCACGCTTGTATGCCATCGCACAGAATGACCAACGTATATCGCGTTGTAGCACAAGATGATACGTGCAACCGAAGGCCTGTGAGATGTACATACACCTCTTGTACATCTTATACTACACCTGATGAATGAAAACAAAAGCGGAGACGTCTACGACTCGCCAGAACCGATGTGGCACAATCGTCCAGTCTGTTGTGTCCATGCCTGACAGTGCAGACTCCGCGCGGTAGAGTTGTTACATCCGCCATTATGTCAACGCCACACGCGTCAAGGGAAGCCGTCAACCGGGTGCAAATGTGCGCATACTACGTGCTGGGCTGGAAAACTGTGCTTGAGTGGGGTAATAGCAAGTTGCAGTAGCTACACACTCACGTATCACATTGGATCATGGCGCTGCGTTACCGACACGCACACGACAGACCATGGAGACAGGGATCTTCTACGTCACGGTATATTCACTCCGGCCGCGCTCACTGCGGACCACTGCTTGATGGTGTGCGGCTTTTCTGCGTGTGCCATCTGCGACTCTGCACAGGGCCAGTATTAGAGCCAGAAAGACACCCTAGGCCGTCTAGCTCACCTGGGAGTCCTGCATGTACACCGGGGACGACGGTGGCGTGGACCTGAATGCCGGATGTGGCACGAAGTATGGCGGGGGCGAGCCCTGCGCATGCGCGACCGTGGAATGCGGGGACGAGGACATTCGGGGCAGCACAGGGGGGACGTAGACGTCTTCGTCGAACGAATTGAGCCGTGCCCTCGGCTCGTTGCCGTGTGGAGATTTAGAGAAACCGTCTCTACAAAGGCAGAAGAAGGCCAGCGCGCGACCGATAGAACCGAAGGCCATGTCCGAGAGAATGAGCGGGAGTCATACGCGTGCAGCGCGTCGTGCTCTCGGGTGACAATATATATACGCGCGAAAGCTCGAAGACGCGTGGGGCTAAGAAGCGTTGCGCGGGAGAAACAACCTGGCCGGCGTTCGGCGTCTGCATCCTGCGCTTCGGCTCGGGCGGACATGGGGAATCAGCCAATCAGCGCGTCCTGATCCAGCAGCCATGCGGCCATTGCGGAGCACCTCCAGCAATGGCTACTGCCGCGGGCTCTGGTTCTCCGCTCGACAACAGCAAGGTTTTAACTTCACCGAGCATTTTTGACGCAAGGGTCGTCGTTGGGGGTACTACATACCTAATCCAATTGTATCTGAACAGCTGCCACGCCTTCCTCGGACCCTGACAAGCGGCGGTACTTGTGACGATAATATAGAGAAGCCTCCTTGATCGCCTGTGAACCTCTGCATCGTGCCCCTATGTATCTTGTCTGCGGAACAAGGTGTGAATCCAATCAACAACGGACTGTGCAACCAGATTCACCTTGGCGGGCCCCTCAGCGTTCATGGATTCATGTCGCAGGGCCCGTCGGCGCAACACCAGACACCGGCGTCCGATGGTTCCCTGCGAACGTGTCTGACGATTCCATCTGCGATGAGGCTGTGGGATGCAGTCCCGGTCTGTGGGGAAGAACAGGAGGTATGTAGGTATTGTCCTCCAACAGCCGGCGCGGATCTGCGCCATCATCCTGCGGCCTATTGGCACGGCCGCCACTGCGGAACCAAGAGTAGATGCGATGGAAGCAGCCGAAGGCCATGGTAGAGGGTGCGAGTAGGGGTGAGCAGGCCGCCGGATCGTGTGCAAGGCAGGGAAGATATACGGTAAATTGTAGGCAGTGTGAATTTGTAGACTTCTGACTTCTTCTGACCTTGCCTTGGCACGTTAGTCAGGCAGCACGTACCCTCGGGATCGCTGGTGGCGGTCAAACACCGCGATGTCAGTCAAACTAGATCAGATGCTCGCAAGCAATACATAATAATCTGTACAGCTGTCCACTTACCGAGCGCTGTGGAGTGGTGGGAAGACAGATTCTACTGGAGCACCCTGCATGGCATTGAATGTCAATCAACTTTCGTGTAACCTCAGATAGGACCAAAGCGCCAGCGTTCTTCTGCATCGAACGAATGAGAAAGATCGACTCCATTGCTGAGCGTCCTTCGCGACAGCCACGGGAACATATGAGCAAAACGAGAACTACACCTCCCCAACACCATCTTATCTACGCCTTTTTCCACATCCAAATGAAGATAACCTATTAGATTTCCAACCCAACAAGAACGTAAGACTGATCGGCCTGGAAAGGCGGTTTAGTGACGACGGCGCCTCCAACGTACATGAGCGAGTGAAGGAGGTCGCCAAGGGAAGGCGACGAGCGTTCGAGAGCAATGACCAAGGCAGAGCATTGCAGACTCTCGTCTGCAAGATCAAGCAAGGCCACGATGCTGTGTGATATGGTCAGGCAACAGCTATACCAACACGGGAACACACAAACCTCTCTCTGAGGTTGACGCTGGCGGCGCTCTTGCCATCTACATACAACGTCTTCGGCTTTCCAGGCAATTCGAGCACAACACCGTCGAAGGTGCCGCCCAGATTGGGAGCAGAGATCGATACGCTCTTGGCGTACGGCAGCGCACCGAGTGCGTTCCGCGGGAACAATGCGGACAAGAAATCGAGCGCCGCGTCGTGCTGCTTCGCGCTGATGGCTGCGATGCTACCCTCGCCCTCCTCGGCATCGTCAGGCGTAAGCGGAGGCGTTGCGATATCGGGGAAGTGAGCGCGAGCGTTCTTACCGACGATGGCGCGCGGCGCACTGGGAAGCGGCGCGCCGGGCGTGTCGGAAGGAGTGATTGGGAGGCTAAGGGAATCATCGGGAGGGGGCGTGGGAGGGTAGACGATGGAGTTAGCGAGGCTATCGGTCCCGCAAGACGATAGCGTGGATACAGTGTCGGAAGATGGAGAGGAAGGGAAAGTTAGCGCCAGACTGTCTGTCACCCAGTCTGACGACCCTCTGTCGGGAGGGCATTTTGCTTTGGGGGTGTCAAAACCGCCACTAATTCCCAAGTTGTATTCTCAGTACCATACTTCATGATGGGTGTCGAGATGCTTACCCCGGGCCCGCCAGAGAACGTGGTAGAGTAATAGTACCGCGAGTTGTTGCCTTGCATGTGGCACACTGCAAGCACGCTAGGAGTCATGTCGGTGTAGAAAGCCCCATCTCCAACGGTTTGACGGCCGTTGCTGCGCAGCAAATAGTAGAATCGGGTTAGCGTAAACGAGACATGGCAGTCAGACTGATGAGACCTACGCGGGGCAAATACTAGATTCCTGATTCGAATGATTTATCATATTGGTCATCGACATGAGGTGCCAATTTGTTCGAGTAGCGGTTGAGGGGGTTGTGCAGCTGCGCGCAGAACCGTTAGTATGCGCTTCGTTCGGCTTGTGGGGGGACAGAGAGGAAAACGTACAGTGTGACTTCAAGCAGGATTGACGAGCGATGTGGTCAGGTCAGCAACGGAGTCAAGCCAGCCCTGGGTCTTATGGTCGTGCAGAGGTACGGCCCCCGAACACTAGGGCACGTGTGCCAGAAGGGGGCGCCAGTTTGGCATTGTTTGACGCCACCATGCCGCGATCGCTCATGCTGATCCGGCGGCAGCACTCTTGTGATTCCTTCAACACCGCCAACAAGGGTCGTCCTCACCCCTTCTGGTGACAGTGTATTCAAGAGCTCCCTAGAACAATATACCTGTTTATCATAATAGTGTATGGTGAACCTGGTAGCCCGACTCGCGAATTGTTTGTTGCAGGGTCCCGGCACAGGGTGGTACCCTTCTCCAATTCATTGGCGCGACGCGGTCCCATGAGCCTCTAGATTCCCAGGCGATGTTGCAGACGTTTGTCTTGACAAAGGAAGTGGTGCAGGGAATGCCAATGCAAAACGCCACGCCACTGCCGCGGGGCCTACAGTCCGATAGCTTCAGATTTCGTGATTCGTTCGTGGAATCTGTTATCTTCGTATTCGCAATTACAGCGGCGTCTTCTGTGCTTCTCGCTTTGAATTTCACCAAACGCGAGCTCACGCGCGACTCGACGCCACCGCACATCAAGAGTGGTCAGGGACAAAATACGTACAATAGTTGCGAAGCCCAGTCTCGCTCATTGCTATTGCGGGGCTAGAATGCTGAGACATCTTCCTAGCATACCACACGCGCAGACTGTGTTGTAAGCTATGGAGCTAGCATGACCTTACGATGGAGGAAGTACATGTATTGCGCCGTACCTATAGAGCGAGCTAATGTAGATCCATGAGCAGACAGTATTGAATATAATATGGTGGATCGACTTATCCTCAGTCCGTAACCTACGATGTAGTGGACTGAGGGAAAGCGAGACTCGGAGACTCGTCGATTGCTATATACGTAGCGCGACATTACCGCATTAGGGGATCGCTATAGTAAAGGAAGCGTCATACGGTCGGTTGTATGTATCTACATGAGTCCGTTATTAACTAAAATATATTGCTGTTCGTGAATATGGGTTGCTCATGCACAGGAATGAAATCTCACAGATTGACGTCTCGAATGAGGGATGCAATGACATAGTGACCAAAGGACAATCCACCTAAGGAAACGGAAACAACGATTCCCGTTGCAAGACATTGAGAATATCCTGTAAAACGTCCGAGCTACGAGAGTTTGGGAGCGAAGAACTAGTAGAACTAGCGCCACCGCGTGTCTTGAAGAAGTCAGAAGAATTGGGGTCAACATCAAGACCCTGGATAGAATGGTGAGGGTCGAGAATTTGTAATCGTCCGGTAGGCCTACTGGAAAGCATCCGCTGCATATCTAGAAATAGGTCGAAGCCCTGCGACGGGCCTATAGGGTCGAGAAACAAACCCGATCTGGAAGTAGGTGCGCGAGCGGCTGCCATTCGCGTTTCCCTCCGACGTTTGATGCCCTTTTCATTAGAGCGGTCGACCACACTTGCATATTGAGCCGGCTGTTCGGTGGTGCTCGCATTGTCAGTCGATGGTCATTGGCCATAAGGGTATCATACCTGCTGGCTTATCGTCACTTCCCGTGGGTTTTGGCCAGTAGGTGCTGATACAGATAGAGTCATGGTATTAAATTGACGCTGGCCAGGACGGCTGGCGTCTCGAGCGAGTACGGGCGGTCCAAGAGATGACGGCAGGTGATTTAGTGGAGCCTCCACACTCGTAGCAGATGCGGGAATGCCGTACACTTCCTCCATCGTAAGACCGACTGTCGAAGGTAGTCGCTGTACACGGACGGCGTTGAGGCAAAATGCGGGATCGAGGTGGTTTCCATGACGCCTTGATGTTGCCGCAGAGGAACAAGGCGAACTTTGCGGGAAAAGCAAGGGACTAGACGCGTGTTCATTAGTAGAACAACGCGATCTGTCGACGATTGCGGCGGTCGACGGGTCTTTCCCAGTATCAGATTCAGGATTTATACAGAGGATGGAAGTGGTCGGTAAGTCGGTGCCAAGACTTTCATCAATGTCCAAGTCGAAAGCTTCCACACTGACGTCAGACCCCACGCTAATAGGAAGGGCTTCAGATGCTCGGAACAGACTCTGCACGTCTTCGGAAGACGTTCGAGAATGAACCTGTCTGCCGGCGGATGATGATCTCAATGGCGAGTCGAGGCATACACGGCCTGCATTTGCGCCGTAATGTGCCTCTGTATCGTTATGAAGTAAGGCGGATTCCGACGAAGCGAATCGGCTGTCGCTGTCTGAAAGATCTGCGTACTGTACAATGCGAACGCTTCTAAGCCGACTCTGTACGGTCGTAGAGTCGGATATGGACCTACTTTCCACGGGCTATACATGGCGTGCTTCTGTTGTGGGTTCCAGGAGACCGGCATGGGGAACAGCTCTGGCGTATGTCCTTTATGTACTCGCAACCCGGGTCGCGCCGGAATTGCTAGGAACGCGTCGACAGAGACATCGGCATCGATGAGCGTGAGCATGGCTAGAAGCAAGTACGGGTTATCGTCTACTCCGTCGGAGCGACGGGTGCACGACGGTCAGTGCAGGATGGGGAAAGGAAACTAGCATGGTGATCGCAACATGAAGCTATATAACGTCTCTGAGACACTGACATGGGAGGACTCAACAACGAAGACAGTGGAGCGCGCTAGACCGCCGTAGAGTGGGCCAGCCTGATCGCCATGATGTCAGTCTGTCAGATGAGAGCCATTCCCGAGCCACTTTCAGATCCCTAATTGAGGAGTTTCTTTACCCTGTTACATTCGCCCCGCGTCGCAGGGCCCTTTTTAATTTGAGACATACTGCAGAGGCCGTACATATGCGCGCCATAATGCAGGCCACTGCGTTCAAAACGTAAAACGTTATAAGACATATCATTACTCAACCTCTGAGCAAGAAACTCAGGATAGGAAAGCGAGGCGTCTCAGTACACCTGCGGGCACAAAATTGCACATGATTATGTGTTCCAACATGTAACATGAGCATGAGAGAAACCCGAAAGAGTCGAGATTTGGAGAAACGAGGACCAACGCGACAGGCGTCGAGTGAACGTTCGTATAGCAACGTTGAACGTGCTGAGCAGGGCCAATTTGATCCAGCGCTTGAGGTGACCGGGGTCCCTCGTGACCCGGGATGTGCAAATCCCAGCCACCTCGGTCTGGTATCGACGAATCCCCACCGGCGAGCTCGATATCGACGTACCTCAAGACGTGAGTACCCTTATGCCGTTCTTGCGATCCTAATGCACGGAGGACTTCCTTGGGAGTGTCCTGGCCAATTTCTGTGCGATATGCACACCAGCAGCATGATGGATGGCCGGTGCCTTGACTGGATAACTTCGGGCGACCACTTTCACCCTTCTGGTGCACCCGCGACGATACTGGCTTGCTTACCTACCCTTCTTTGCAGCTCACTCTAGGCAACAATAATGGCTGACGCTGGACGCGGACGTGGTGGATTTGGGCGTGGACGTGGTGACAGAGGACGGGGCCGCCGAGGTCCCCGCCGCGGTGGTCGCAAGGACGAGGAGAAGGAGTGGTGAGTCTCGAATCCCAACATTACCAACAAGCAGTCGCAAATCGATGCATCATGCAGGGTTCCCGTCACTAAGCTCGGTCGTCTTGTGAAGGACGGCAAGATCAAGTCCATGGAGGAGATCTATCTCTTCTCTCTGCCTGTCAAGGAGTTCCAGATTGTCGACTTCTTCCTGCCCAAGCTGAAGGATGAGGTCATGAAGATCATGCCCGTCCAGAAGCAGACCCGTGCCGGTCAGCGCACGCGCTTCAAGGCGTTCGTTGCGATCGGTGACTTCGAAGGCCACGTTGGCCTTGGGGTCAAGTGCGCGAAGGAAGTTGCCACTGCTATCCGCGGCGCCATCATCCTCGCCAAGCTGTCCGTTGTCCCCGTCCGACGTGGGTACTGGGGTGCTGCGCTCGGTGAGCCGCACACCGTGCCCTCGAAGGTCAGCGGGAAAGTCGGCTCTGTCATGTGCCGACTCATTCCCGCGCCAAGAGGTACCGGTCTCGTTGCTGCTCCCGCATCAAAGCGATTGCTGCAGCTCGCTGGTGTTGAGGATTGCTACACGCAGTCGAAGGGTTCGACAGCGACAATGGGTAACTTCTTGAAGGCGACGTTTGCTGCTGTATGTGCCATCTCTGATCTTGTTGTGCAATCTATTTAACGAGATGTCTAGATCACAAAAACATACGCTTTCCTCACCCCCGACCTCTGGCGCGAGATCCCCGTCTCGAAGTATCCCTACGACGAGCACAGCGCACACCTTCAGCTCCAGAGCAAGAAGGCGTACTAGATTATTTCTGCATCATTTTGTCGTTTCGCATGTCCTCAAAACTACGGGATGTATGCCTATCACACTTGACATGCTTATACGATCTCGACCATTGTATATCTATTGTGTGATGTGTGTGTGATGAAATCTCATCGCAAGCCGTGCTCGTTGCTTGCGTGTTCTTTATCGTCCACGCCGTGCGTATCTCTGAACTTGAACGTGAGACTGCGGAGGGGGGAGGGGCGGGGCTACATACACACATTTGCCGCCTGCATGAAGTAGCCAATCACGATCGAGATCTGAGCCTCCGATGAGTCGGACATCAATCGGGACCAACTTCAAATCACTGCTCCTGAACGTTTGAACTTTGATCAAGCTTAATACTTACTCTTCTCGTGTCGCCCGCAACTCCTCTGCGCCTCCGTCAGGAAGACTGCGCTGCTTCATAGAACTGAACAAGTGTAGGAAGCATGGCGCTTCACCTGCTGGAAGTCCGTGTTTCATCGAGTTGCACCTCCAGTTCACAAACTTGCCCAGCAGGTTTCAGATCCCAGTCTGGCGTATATTGTCCTGGGAGGGTTCGTTGTTGTGGTAAGCATGATCTTCCGAAGGCGCCGTATGTCTCGACCGGGTCATTGGAATGGAGCTGTTAGTCTAAAAGAGCGGTCCGTTTGGCTCTACGACGTCAACCTCTGGCGAAATTCGCGCTGTCAAAATTAACGTCACGTCCACCATGTGCTTACCGTCTCTTTAGTTCAGTATGGTCTCCTTGCTGGTGAAAGAAAAGGCATGTATCTCTGTTTCTCCAGTTCACTGAAAAGCACTACTGACTTGTGGATCCGTCGTTGCAGTTGTATATCAACGAAGTGGTACTGGGAACGGCCTTTGGCGTGATAATCGGTCCGCATTGCGCGGGTGCGTTCGACCCCAGGTCGTGGGGAAGTCAAACGGAGAGGATCACGCTTGAAGTCATGCGGATTGTGCTCGCTACCGGACTATTCGCTATCGGGGTTGAACTGCCGCAATCATACATGGCAAAACATGCAAAGGGCTTGCTCTTTATGGTCGTCCCTACGATGGCATTCGGCTGGGTGGTTGTTGCAGGTCGGTCTGTCCAGTCAAAGATCCGCCTGTGTCGCTCACGCTGTGGCCTTGCTAGCCATTATATATGGTTTGTTTCCCGGCTATAATTACATTTCTGCCCTCGTCGTGGCTGCTTGTTTGACGCCGACCGATCCTATCATCAGCGCAGCCATCGTCGGTGGGTGTAGGCTGCCAATATTGCTTGCGTCGGATCTCAATAAGAGACAATCAGGTGGCAAGTTTGCTCTCAAGCATGTTCCCACCAACTTGCGCCGAATCCTGTCCGCCGAGTCGGCGGCTAATGACGGCCTTGCATACCCCTTCTTGAGCATATCAATCTATCTCACCGTCGATAGCTCTCGTCGGGAGGCCATTGGTGACTGGTTCCTCGTGGGCTGGTTATGTATGTCCTCATCGAACGCTGCTCCATAAATCTGACACATCTACAGATCAAGTGATTCTGGGCACGGTACTGGGGGCGGTACTAGGTGAGCCACGAACCTCTGCCACTATGCATAGACTGATTATGGCACGACTGCGCGACTGCAGGTCTCTTGTTCTGTCACCTCATGAAGTTCTCATATCGCAAAGGCTTCATAGACCGCGAGTCATATGTGGCTCAGTACCTTGCTTTGGCGATGTTTACAATCGGGATCTGCAGTACCATCGGCAGTGATGATCTCCTTGGTGCATTCGCAGCTGGTATGCGTTTGTGTGCATCAGGTGTGTCTTCGACACTAACCTGTCTTGTAGGTACTGCAATCAGTTGGGATGGCCATTTTAATGATCAGACTGAGAACGAAGTGTTCTCGTCTGTGATTGACTTGCTGCTTAACTGTGGTTGTTTCGTCTATATTGGCGCATGGTTGCCATTTGACCAGTTCAATTCCCCGGAATTAGGTATCACGCCTTGGCGCCTCGTTGTGCTGCTCATCGCCATTCTCGCCCTTCGTCGCATTCCTCCATTGCTATTGTTATACAAATCGGTACCAGAGATTGCTAACTGGCGTGAAGCTCTCTTTTCGGGACATTTCGGTGAGCATTTCTCGTGTACAGCAGGCTATGTTGACCGACCTTCCCTGTAGGACCCGTGAGTAGATGATAGGGCTTATAATATCTTGTGCTGAAAGTATTTTAGATGGGTGTTGGAGCGATCTTTGTGTCCACTCTCGCTTTGACTAGACTCCCCACACCGCAGTCTCCGCCGCAAAATCAAGCTGAGCACCTTGCCGCAACGTTGCAGACTATCGTGTCTTTTGTTGTTTTGGGATCCATCATCATTCGTTAGTATTGCGCTGCATTCCACGATTGCGACTAAGTTTCTGTTATAGATGGTCTCTCCATACCGTTCTTCTCTCTCGGGAAGAACGTCAGAACGCGCACGGTATCTATCACGCGCACCTGGACATCTCGTGGAACCATTGCTCCCGACTGGCTGCTAGGAGTTCGTCGTTTACCCATGACCAAAGACACGCAGGCTGGCATGCCCATGACAGCCGAAAGTAGGCAAGCGAAAACGGCAGACCATGCAACGAGAAATGTTACCGAAGTGCAGGATGACGATGGACCACACATATTATTCCGTAGCGTCAGTGTACATTCGTTCAGATCCTTGTCAGGAGATCTGGGGACCTATGGGAGCCCGCACGGGATGATCGGCAGCCTGGTATCTTCTAGCAACAACAGCCGCGTATGTACTTCCTTCCGCAGTCACGTTGTTCTCACTCATCGCCTCTCAGGTCAGGATCGCCGACGAACAGGCAGCCAACACGGTGATTCAGGGAGAGCAACTCGCTGAAAGCGGTCTCCGCACTCCGAAGAGCGTCCACTTCCCGCGCGACAGGCAGGACTTGAATCGTATGACGGAAACACCTGAAGAGGGGGTTGTCGGTCTTGCCTCTGGAATCATAATACCGAACAGGTCGATTCGCTTCTCTGCCTATCCTGAGGTCTCTCAGGGTGGGACATCCGTAGACGTCGCAAGTGCTCATAGCCCGGAAGGAGCGAGCGAACCACCTGTCGAGGTTCAGCAGAAGGTCGGTCGCTCCCCTGCAGCGCAATAACATTGGCTAGTGGCTCCATCGGGGTCACGTTTGATTGGTCAATGGTCTGGGTATAAGTCAGTTCGGAATCGTCGTTACTTCCACGTATTTGTACAACAACCTACGGTTGGAATAGAGTTTGTTTTGGTCCTACTCGCCATGCTTGTAGTAGGATTCGTAGACGATGGTTTTCTCACGAATGTTTCGAGTACACGCCTACTCTGTACGATGTTTCGGTTATGCCGGCCCTGTGACTGCGTCGGTCGACGTCGTGGCTATTGGATATCGAGCGACTGAGATGGCCTGCGGTCTACTCTTAGTCGACCAACCCCGCGAAAGGGGACTTCCTGGCGTCATTACCGCTACCCCGGGCCCTTAAATAGTATGGTGTTCACATTGTGGATGTTCACCTCTCAGGCTCAGCCGAGGACATCTCCGCTTTGCTCAGCTACCAAGTCGAGTCTTCTAACCAGGCAGGCCATGTTCCGTCACTTTGTGGATCAACCTGACTCGCTAAACAGAGAAAGGTCAAGACGGTCTATGCGGCACATGTCAGTATAAGTCATGACTCGCTTTCAAGTCTGGACAAACTGCCAGAACGGGTATGTCACTTGTGGATCCTCATGTGGCAGCTCAGTAGGCTCCGATGATGTCAGTATAAGCAGGTCGACGTCAGTGGCCGCCGCGATGGCGACCTCCCCGACGCATCCAGAGCTCTTAGTGACGCACTACTATGTCCGTCGCCTATATATTACGCTGCAAGAGACCTGGAGCGTATCCCTCCTCTTTTCTCCACACATCCTTGCGTTTTCATCAACATCCTCGACTAGCGCATACAGACACCATGTCCAACAAGGAACTCGACCCCTACACCGCTAAGGCGCAGAACAACAACGCAACGCCTCAAGAGAAGATCGAAGGCCTCCATACCATCTTGAAGAGCGTCAAGACGGGCATGCTCACGTCGCGGACCGCCAGTGGACAGCTGCACTCCCGCGCCATGGCGCCGGCAGGTCGTGAGTAATATAACGAGTTATAGTGTAGAGACACAGAGTTCACAGCCGATTCTAACGCATATAGCGTTCTCACCGACACAGGCAACGCTGGTGTTCCTCGCCAACCACGCGTCGGCCAAGTTCGACGAGATTGAAAACGACGCACATGTGAACGTCTCATTCTACGATGAGAAGTCGACGAACTGGGCGTCGTACAGCGGCGTTGCGAAAATCAGCCAGGATCGTGAGAAGATTGCGAAGCACTGGAGTAGCGCGTAAGTCAAGACCTGTTGTATGCGACAGCTGGAGGAGTGGCTGATGCTGCCCTGCGCTTATAGTACGGGGGCATGGTTTGGCAACCTCAAAGACGGCGTTCATAAGGGCGATCAGAACGATCCGCGCGTAGCAGTCATCGAAGTCATCCCTCAGGAGATCCGGTACTGGATTGCGACGCAGGGCGTCGTCGGGCGTACGGTCGACGTTGCCGTGAGCGCTGTGTCTGGCAAAACCGCCGCGCCGGGAGAGCTGAGGACCATAACGAAGCACGAGGTGAGTCTTCCATGATATATGCTGTCTTACCCTCTGACGAGGCTCGGTCGTGCAGATTGAGCTCTTGCAAGGTCTTCAATCAAATTAGGCGAAAGTAGGAGAGGTGAAAGACGATGTAGCTGACCCCTGTGTACGATGATAGTCCTTGTAGCATCAGCAAAACACCACTTGTGCTGAAGCACGATGAATGAACTGTTTACCTGAGGTCCACCTAGTTTCAGGCCATTTCGGCCAAAACTCACCCATTTGATGCCACCTGAATGCTTCATGGGCTGCCTGAATTGTTTGATTTCAGCGGATTCAGTCATTCAGACCTGTTCATGAAAAGTAGGATTTTGCTGATGTAGCGTGTCCAAGCAACCGGGCATGGACTCATCTGAAAACGACCGCGAATGGCACAGCTGCCAGCGTGAGCATGACGCGGACAACTCGAGACGCGGAGAGGTCGAAAGCGCGCGGAATTGACCGAGACGATTGATGGGGCACAGATTCAGGGCGCGCTTGAATGACGTCACGCGTCTTGCTGGAGTGTTCTACAACAAGCTCGGTCAACACGATGCCCCCTGTGCGCATGCACAAAGCTGCGCGCGTTCGACACGCGTTTGCGCACTTGCCCGTCCTTCGCAGGCAGACACACAAAGTCGACTGTTTCTCTTCCATCACGACCTACTACGACTTTCCCCAGCACTACACTACCCACATAGACTCTTTTTGAGGCTCTCGCCACAGACCGGCGTGCAATGGCGAACACCTACCAGCCAGTCTACCAACCCGGACCTACCCCAAACTACGCCAGCCCATATGCACCTCCTTCTGCCCCTCCTCCCAATGAAAATGGCCACTACGACCAGAAGTCTCCCTATGAGGGCGAGCGGTTCAAGCCGAGAAAGAGGCTCAACGACCCTTTCTTTTTCGTCTTCTTCCTCTTGCAGGTACGCTTAGCTATATCCCACGCGTAGGTGCCAGGAGACTGAGGCTAGCGAAGCTTGCTGGATTCATCGTCGTGTCTGGCATCGCCGTAAACCAATGGGTCAAGTCTGGCGGACTCGGCGGTGGCGTTGGCAGCGGCCACACGGGTACCGACGTTACCCTGAACTAGTATGTTCGTCGACTTTGCGTATTTGTTTCAGTATTTACTCCGTCGTGAAAAGCCATACCGTATATCTGCTCCTTTTCATTACGGCGGCAGCACTATTACTCTCAACAATATACCTCATTCTCACGCGCATATTCACGCGTCTCATAATGCACTTTACTCTACTCCTATCAATTACACTCAATATGTATGTGGTGAATCTGTACATCTCTATCCTCCGCAGTACTCATCACACACCGCATGCAGCGGCATATGCGTCTATTACTGGACGACAAGGTATTGGTGTACGTTGTACGCCCTCTGCTTCTTCAGTGCACTCCTTAACGGATACCTCTTAGCCGGCGCCATCATTTTCACCATAATTGCCCTGCTGTCGATCTTTGCGTACTTCGGATATCGTGCTCGTATCCCGCTAGCGTCCCTGCTCCTGCAGGTTGTCATGGATGTAGCGAAGCACCATTGGAGCGTGTACACCGTCGCCTTCCTCGCTCTGTTCGTGCAAGCAGCTTGGAGCGTGTGAGTACGCCGGTCTCAGTTTCCACACCGCGATGCTGCTTGTGACTGACGCACGTCAAGATTGTACACCTTCACAGTCATTGCGATGTGAGTTGCTATTAAGCAGACTCCGAAGTGATTCGAATATATGACGCCGGATACTAGATACGCCAAATGGACACCTGGAAATCCTTGTAAGCGTGGCTTTCGTGCACTATGAAGGACATACTCATATATGCCGTATAGCATGTGGCAACGGCTCCTCGTGCTCTTCGGGAAAAGTCGCAGGCCTCATATTCTACGCGACTTTCTCCTATTTGTGGACGTCGCAAACCATTGGCAACGTCGCTTTGGCGACGCTTGCCGGTGGGCCATTTGGCTGTGAGTCTAGACAAGTACATTCTTCTGCCAATGTATGGTGACAGACGACACTAGGTTGGTACTATTTCGGCCCACGCGACCAGGGGAAGATGGTGAGCAACACGGTCTTGCCCAGGTAAAGCAATAAGTAAATTTCGTATTGCAGCCTCGTCGCCCAACCCTGTCCTCCTTCGGTCGTGCTTCCAGCCTTTCCCTTGGGTCAATAGCGTTCGGCTCGCTGATTGTGACACTACTGGATATTTTGCGTCTACTATTAGACATGATCAGGAACAATGCTAACGCAGACGGCAGCTGTGAGTGGTGACCCCCCTTGCTTGAAGCGGTAATCCGTTGCTGACACCATACAGTCGTGGAGGCGTGTCTCGCCATGTGCGCTGAATGCTTCGTTGGCTGCATTGAGGGGCTTGTGCAGTACTTCAACAGGTACGTAAGCGTCCCTTGCCAAGTGCTGTTTTCTCACGAGTCCGTCATGTAGATACGCATACATCGAGATAGGTGAATGGACATACGAGCACTATCGAAGACACCAAAGTTGACGCGCTCCTCATTACCAGCGCTCTATGGCAAGCCTTACCTGCAGGCCGCGCGGGATACCTGGCGAATGATTAAGGATCGCGGAATCGACGCACTGATCAATGATTCGCTTGTCGGGATGAGTATGCTGCACCGCGTTATTCTCATTCGCGCGCTCACGCATTGCCGTCAGCCTTGACATGGGGCGCATACGCAATCGGCCTGATGTGCGCGCTGTTCGCCTATCTGTATCTCCGCTGTGAGTGCGGCCTTGATCGCCTTGCAATGAGCTAAGGTAGGGCGCCTGTGGCTGACATCGAATTGCAGACACACACCCATCGTATAACTCGGACGGGCAGTATACGGCTCCGGTATTGCTATTTGCATTTCTAATTGGCCTGCAATGCAGTGCGTATCAGCTTTTTATAGGTAGTTTCCTCGGCGACTGACCTCATTTTTTTCCAGTGATGACGCTGTCCTCCGTCATCGAAGCGGGGGTGTCCACCATGTAAGGGGGTCTAACCTTTCACCACAACGTTGACATATTAATCACCCCGATGCACCGTGTAGCTTCGTTGGCCTTGGAGAAGATCCGCAAGTTTTAGCGGTTCGTGCGCCTGCGTTATTTGGCGTGAGTCACAGATAATAGGACCAGAAAGGCCTGACGCTGATACATTTACCTTGTGGTAGGTCATTGCATCGACGTACCCGCAAGTAGTTCAAGGTGTGCCTCGAGTATGATGGGAAAATCGCGCTGGATGATGAGTGCGCCGATACGTACAACGATAGATAATTCAGTATGTATCTGATACAAGAATATGTCCGTGGAATTTGTATCAGTGTGGGACCGAGCATCAGCAAAAATACATATTGTTCTAAGCATTTATGGGGAAGCCCGAAGGGTGTCAAAAATGACAGAGACGGTTGAGTGTCCTAGGGAGGATTCGAACTTCCGGCTTCACGGTTTAAGACCACAGCGACCACAACGTGATGATTTAACCCCTAATCGACAAGGACGATAATGCAACAGGAGGTCTGGTCTTACATAACTCATTTCCATAAGCAGCCAATTCGCGGTTGGACAGAGATCCACCTTGGATCCACCCGTCTTCAATCGCGCAGTCGGCAGCTTCGAGCCTTCAGCCGCGTTCCCCTTTCTCCTCTTCACGATTCATCATGAGGAAGACTTCATATGTTGTCGCTTTCTTTGCGGTCGTCACGACCCTTGCTTTGGTATGTCGCGTTTCGGTCCCGGTCCAGTCTCCAGACTCAATTCATCGAATGTGAACTATAACAGAACATTCTGTCTGCTCGCCGCCCAGATTGGTTCGCCGACTCGTCCTGCTTCATCTGCTGCACCTGACGCCCGTTTGCATCTGTTGAAGGCTCATCGTCAATAACCCTGAGGTGTTGCACTCCAGGGTTACCGTACAGTATGGTCTTACCCAGCGGTGCGATCGGCAAGTAATTGTCATCCCCGGCCTCCCGGAGGGCAGCCGCCTGGCGTACACCGACTACAAATGCCGCCCGTTCCCCAACCGCGCCACCGATAGCTGCGAGAAGACGAACAAGACGTTCTGCATGGTCTGGAGCACCGCCGGCTACTTCACTGAGCTGGGCGTCGGCTTCGGCGTAGTAGCGTGCTTGGCGCTCCTGTTTGGCGTCAGTACGCACTCCCGCCGCAGGAGGATCTGGAGGGCAGTGGCAGGATTGACCGCTTTGCATGGTATGCCATGACTTTGATCTTCGGTTCTGATGGCAATGTTAAGGGCCCTTCTACAGTGCTGTTCCAGCTCCTAGCATTTGCGGTCGTCACCCATCTCTATCGATTGTCTATGTTCCCGTCGTTCGACCGTGCTCGTCCTGGTGTGTGCTCCAAGTTAGATCATACGTGTCTAGCGTTGATTCTGTTTTAGGAACCGCATACGTTCTTAACACCCTCTCATGGTTGTTGGGCGTTCTGGTCACGGCTGGTATTGTTACCACTGGTATCTCCGCCAATAAGGGCCATCGGTGGGCAGCTGGTAACAGGGCGTACCGTCCCATCGAAGGATAAACTTCCCTGTCATCGCATTCAACACCCCTAACACCTCCATTAGATACGCGTATTTCTCTGTCATATCTTCTCACATTGCATACTTGAGCGGTTCCAGGACATTTTACTCCTCTCTACTCCACTTGCTGTATACCTAGCCTCTGGATGTCACACATATTTTGTTAAGCATGTTACGAAGCTACGATTAGTACTTGATGAATATATAACGACATTAAATGTTTGTGCCACGAATAAGATAATTAGTCAAGATTCAATCCTCGTCCTCGGGATAGTCCACTTGGTCGTAAAGTCTGAGCGTTTCATTCCAGTCCCGCTTTCTCCTTCGGCGCACGGAGAAGTACTTCGCCTTGCTTGCCCAGCGGCCCCTGACCCTTCCCTTCTCCTTGCCCCCGCTCTGCGCGAAGTAATGCTCCGGGTCTGGAGGGAGTCCCAGGGTGTTCACCGCCAGATCCATTACGCGCTCATGCAGCCGTGCGCGCAGCGCGTGCAGCTCCCATAGGCGTGCCTGCCCCATTCGCAGCAGCCGCGTGAGCACCGCAACGGCACGGAATGCGGAGATCGCGTCCTCAAGCCAGCGCAGAGACATCCACATCGCCGCAGGAACGAACACGGCGGTGAGCGGCGCGATCGGCAGCGTGAGCAGCATTGAGCCGCTCCAGACGCCGAGGCCGGACATGAGGCCGTATATGAGCTTGTACTGCGCGATTTCGTCCCAGGTGTCCCAGATGGGGCCGGTGCGCTTGAAGCGCGAGACAGCGACGAATGTGGTGAGGAAGACGGGGAGCCAGAGGAGCAGCCCGGGAATGGAAATCGTTAGCAGGAACACGGACCAGCTGAGCCGCACGATGAGGCGGTAGATGATGATGTGGGTGGGGAGCGGCCTGCGAATGCGGTCGTCCTTGATGCCCCAGTACGCAAGCTGGTCTTGGTATTCCTGGTAGAGTGCATAAAAGGTCAGCGTTGTGTGCTTCACAGCACAGGGGCATCGCACCTTCAGGTCATTACCGAGCTGCTGGATCCTGACATCTTCTCTGGCTACTCCCTCCTTGTTTACGATCTCACCCTCACTGCCGCTTTCATTGACGGGTCGCTCGGCGAGCTTGAATGCCTCGAGAAAAGTGCGCACTGCACGCACGTATTCGCCCAGGCTCATGGTCGTGCCTAGAGGCGCATATATGCGTGCAGCGAGCTTGGCGTTGCGAATCGTGCGCCATGAAGGCGCGTCGAGCGTCCCCGAGCTGATCTCCTGGTGCATCCGTGCCGTGAGCGCGCGAATCCGGTCGTAGTCGATGGGCGCAAGTAGCTCGGGGTTGTCCTGTGGAATCGCTTAGGAGGTGTAACAATTGATAGTAAAAATCCTGCGACCTTGGGCGTGAATCTCATAGGTGAGTGGAATGTGACCAGAACGTCTGAGCGAAAATGTTGCCTGTGCCTGTTGGAGTAGCACTTCTTAACATGACAGGTAACTACCGGACAAACACTGCGCTTACATATACGTGATCGAACATGTCTGCACGAAGATCTCGAAGTCCGGGTTATGTCGATTTCGGGTGAGGACATCCGACACCAAACGAGCCACTGACCGCGGAGTCAGCGAAATGCGTAGACAAGGGGCAGCTTTCCTACCGCCTGTCTTCAACGGTGCTATGGTCGGGTGGTATCGGCTCATTCCCTCTGGGAACAGACAGACAGCGTCTCCATTTTCGAGAGCCTAGAGAAAGTTTACAAATGAAGGCGACGCTTCAGACTTCAAGGCTCGCATTGCAGTACCTCCATCAGCTTAAGCATGACCGGAGTGTTGTCAGCTTCTCCATCTGGGAAGTCCTTGCGTCGCTTGATGGGCACCGTGCCGGCTGATTCGATTAGCCAGCTCGTGAAGGTCTTCTTGCCAAACTGCGTGGATTTGGCGGTGAGTCGGAGGAGGTTTCTTGCCTAACGGAGAGTCAGGTGCTGCGACAATTTAGGACAGAGAGGCTATACCCTAGAAGGGATTGCAGTAACGAGGAGTCTGAGACATGCTATTTCAATGGCTGGACATATTGATGTCGCATAGAACTCACAGTGCATCCGTGAGCGAGTTGCTATGATTCGCGCAAACAATGCTGTGCTGAATGTGAACAGACCGAACTGTGCAATAAAGTGAAGGTCATGCTACCAGGGTTTGCCTTTGGGTGGTATTACGTGGGCATTTTCCACCACGATGGTTCCGTAGAAGATCTTGAGGACAAACCTGAACAGGAGCCTGGACACCCAATCACCATACGTCAAGACTCTGCCAGTGCACGAGTACCCAAACGCCGGTATACCTGACGAAGAAGTACGACCAAGGCGTCGGGGAACCGTTGGGCATACCAAAGCGAAGGATCTTCTTGAGGAAAATGCAGCTGACACAATTAACTGATTGCTTTGGTACAATGTGGGAGAAGAGTTGAAAGCAGGCTGGAGTCCTGCAAGTGGCGCGGCCGCTGCATCGCGTCACGGTCGCCAGGACGTGCAAGTCACGTGTGCAGCGCGAGTGATCGAGAGCACGATCGCCGCATTTTGTCGGCTAAGTAGACAGTGTCTCTCCCTTACACCCTTCCCTTACCCTGGAAGGTGAAAAACATGGCGGAAAGCCTTGAGCAAGCCCTTGCAAAAATACGTCCTCACACTTCCTCGACTCTTCCTCACCAGAAAACACCGGCGACCCTCCTGCGCGCCCTTGAGGCTACTTTCCGCGAACAGAAGACCGAGCCGACCCCTACCGCATATTTTGCTGCACTTGTAACCACGCTTGATGGTGCTTTGCAGGCAGCACCCACCTCAGGTCCTCCTCTAGGCGACGGCGACATCCTGCCCGCAGTGCTCTATCTCCTCGCCTTGATTGCACCTCATGTTCCCCATCCTGTTGTGCAATCACACCTGAATACAGTGATCAGTCTCACATCACCGCTCTTTCCTGCCTTACTTCCTCATGCTCCTCCGCTGAGGTCCCAACTCGGCCTTTATAGCGCCATACTCCAGTCTCTGGAGAAGCAACAGCTGGATGCTCAGGGTCTCCGGCAGTCTTTCTCGTCCATTCTTCAGCTCACCCTTGATCCACGGCCAAAAGTTCGAAAGAAGGCTGCAGAGCTTGTCAGGGATGTCTTGGCCAAACCACCTTTGCCCCTACTGCGGCATCCTTACGCACCACGCGTTGCCGACTGGGTTAACGCTGCTCTTGTGGAGGTTAACGGAGACGGCATGTACAAATTCAAGGGCAAAAAGGCAGATACCGAAGGATCCGACACTGCCATCCACCTATTGGCTTTTTTGCGTCCGGTCCTGCCTTATCTCCCACCCACAGTAAGTAAAACTGTATCCTTGTATACTCACAGAAAATCTTGACGTAAATATATAGTCCCTTCCTTCAATTGCGTCTTCCCTCCTTCTTTTTCCACGTCTTGGTAACCCATACTTGTCACAATCTGCATATTCCATCCTCGCTGAGCTCCTCGCCGCCTCCGTGGACGATCCCTCGAGTGACATCCAGGCGCAGCTCCCCGAAGTCTTAAACGCTATTTTGCAGACATCACCGGGCAAGGCAGATGTAACCCTAGCCCCAGCATGGGCGAATGTCCTCGGAAATGCCATGTTAGCTCTGCATACCACCGACGCCGAGGCTTGTGCCGAAGAGCTCAACAAGGTCTGGAAGATGCTCTGGCCGTACTTGGAATCAACGGAGAGTTCTATCAGAAAGACGACAGCGCAGTCGCTAGAGATGCTCACTCAGTGCTTCACACCTGCTCTCATCGCCTCTGCTATCAAAGAGAAGGACAGGACCGAGCACAAAAGTGTGATCGGTAAAATAATATCGCAGATCACGAAGGCCTTCGACTCGTTGGCCTTTGCTCGCTCCATCCCAGATCTGCTCTCTGTTGTATCATCCTTGATAACCAACCTACGGCATCGCAGCGGGCCCCGCACGTCGCCGACTGCTGCCGAGTCGCTCCTACTGTCTCTCGTTATGAAAGTAGGTGATCTACGGATACAGAAGAGCTTCGAGTACAAGGAAGCGGCCGATGCGGTGCTCAGTACCGCGATGCGGGTGCTTGGCCCTGAGGTAGTGCTTCGCGCTCTGCCGCTCAATCTGGAACCCGATGATCGGTGAGTAGTCATTAACGTCAGTCTTCCCTCCGTGCTCACTCCTGTCACAGTCAGGCCGGGCGCGAGCCTCGCGCTTTCCTATTACCCCTGCTCGCTCAGCCGCACCCGTCGCCGCTTGGGCATTTCGTCTCGTACTTCGTCCCTCTCACCGAGCGTATGTTCGACCTTCAGCAGAAGGCCGACATGGAAGGCCGACAGTCGGAGGCCAAAGTCTGGAGCGTGCTCATGGAGCAGATTTGGGCAGGGCTTCCGGGATACTGCTGGGGCACGGTTGACCTAAAACAGGTCCGTTTTCGCGCGTTATGCAGATTATGAGGCAGCACACTGACGCTACGCACAGGCTCTGAATCCCGAGTTCTCGCAACTTATTTCGCAGCTGCTGTACAACCAGACTGAGCTACGCCCTGCTGTGCTCCGCGCGCTGAAGGTAATGGTGGACTCTAATGTCGCTCTGGCCTCCGGCGAGACTGCCAAGCTGCCCGAGATTGTGCGAGCTGGCGCAATCACGGCTGAGGAAGCCGCTGGTAATGTGGAGTTCCTGCGCTCACAAGCGGAGAGCTGGTTGGCGGTGCTATTCAACGTGTTCAGCAGTGTGGGGCGGGATAGTCAGGGGATGGTGGGTGACGTTGTTAGCGCGTGGGCCGCTATTGCTGGTGAACAGGTGCGCCCATGTGTTGAGGTTGCAGTCGAAGGTAGATCTGAAGTGCTATGTTCATGTAGGAAATCACGAAGGCTTATGTCAAGCTCGTCGAGCTATTCAAGCAGAATCTCAGCAAGCTTTCTGCACAAAAAGCCTCGTATGGCGCGAAGAATGCTGAGAACATCACTGCCGTCACGCAAGATCTGCTTATCCTCGTTCTCCCGCACCTGTCATCTGTGGATGCGACCGGGTTGTTCGACCTTTGTCTCTCTAGCGAGGTGTTGGAGAGCAAAGACAACGGCGTGCAGAAACGCGGGTACAAGATTCTTGCGAAGCTGGTGGAGGGACAGAAAGCGACCGTCGATGCTGAGGTCGTATTGCAGCGTCTGGAGAAGAACGCCGACGGTCTAGCTGCTGCTGCGAAGAAGGTAAGCGGGACCATCGCCTCTACCATAGCCGGTGTCCTCAGCTGTTTGCATTCAGGACCGCTTCCACTTGCTCACTCGCCTTGTACCGCTGATTCCTTCGACGCGCTTGCATCTCCTGCTATCAATCATACCAGAAGCTGTCCTTGGTACGAAAGAGCCATCAGAAAAAGCCAGAAATGTTGCGTTCGATCTCATTGTTACGATGGGCAAAAAGATGGCGGAGGGTGGCGTCGTCAAGCGTACTCTTGTCGATGGGATGGACCAAGACAACACGCCGGAGGGTAAGAGTGCCTGCTGATTCTTATACAGTCTGCTGATGATCCATAATAGCCACGGCTAGTGTGGAGGAATACATGACAATGGTTGCTGGTGGACTTGCCGGCGCTACCCCTCATATGATCAGTGCGACGGTGACCGCCATCTCGCGATTATTGTTCGAATTCAGGGGTAGGATGCGTTATCATAGTACATACTCTCTCGCTCACTCTGTTTGCAGATTCCATATCGTCGCAGATGCAGTCGGATATCTTCACTACCATGCTCGTTTTTGTGTCCTCAGCGAATCGTGAGATCGTGAAGTCCGTCCTTGGTTTCATCAAACTCGCAATCCACACTATGCATGTCGACCTTCTACGTCCACACCTGAAGGATCTCGTGCCGGCGCTCCTGAGATGGTCTCATGATCACAAGAACCACTTCAAGGCCAAAGTACGACACATCTTCGAGCGTATGTTACGACGCTTCGGTTGGGAGGACGTGTATTCCCACGGTGGTGAGGAAGAAGCGCGGAAGGTGCTTGTTAACATCAAGAAACGCAAAGACAGGGCAAAAAGGAAGAAGGCTACGACTGCGGAGAATGAAGAAGAGGAGGTATAGTGCTTCCTTTCGTCTTTTCGTTATTTGCGTTGACAGGTCCTGTGTAGGAGCCAGCCGCAAAGCCCGCGACCGGCGGTGATGCCTTCGAGGACGTGCTGTACGGCAGCGAAAGCGAGCTTGACGACAGCGACGACGAGGTCGCTGCAGATCGCAATCCTCGCAAGGGTAAGGCCAAAGGCAACGATGGTGGTGCTCGGCTACGACTTGACGACGACGAACCGATGGATCTTCTTCAGGGGGCTGCATCGCGTGTTACGAGTAGGTGTCCTCCCTGCCTTACTGGTCTCTCGCTAATCGTAGCCCTACCTTAGACGCAAATGCAGGCAAACGTCGGAAGCCTGGGCAGGATGCGGCGCGGTTCAAAACAGATGAAGACACAGGCAAGATGGTTATAGACAAGGATGATTCTGACGCGGATGGTGGAGAAGCCGTTGCTGATGATGCCTACCGGGAAAGCATCACATCCGCTGATGGTTTCAAGCGCGGACAGAACGGACGCATCAAGTTCAACAAGGATACTAAGAAGCGAAGACGAGAGAACGAGGCTGATGAGGATGTTGAAATGGCGGACGCGGATGCTATATCACCTGGGAAGAAGAGCAAACGGAAGATAGAGCCGAAATTGGGACACGAGTTTAGGGCGAAGGCTAGTCAGCACTGTTTCCATGATTACATATTGCTGACATCCATGGACTACAGAAAGCAGGAGGCGATATCAAAAAGGGCGGCGTGGAGCCGTATGCATACCTGTCACTTGCTCAAGCTGCAAAACGACACGGGCGTGGTTCCAAAGTCGGTATTGCCGGCAAACGCTGAATTGGATCTAGAGCTATATAGCACTTGTGTATGTCCGTGCGTTGATTTAGCATTTTCATTCTGGATTGTGATCGGGAGAATTTGCCTTCTTCGGCCCTTAAAGTGTTGCGTGCATTTGAACCCGAAATCATTCAGCCCGAAGAGTCCATGCACTTTGCTACACGTCTATCGCACTTTGCGACTTCCAACAGTCGTCGGGCGCGATTCGCTCGCGTCATAACGGGTAATCTTTGCCTATCCGACCTTTTTAGACTTATGTACACATGACGGACTGCAACTTCGTTCCGCTTGATGGGGCTTTGGCCTCATTCTGTATCTCAGAGCATCTGGACTTGTGACGTACCACACAACTTATCTACCATCCGCGCACTCGCCACTCTCACGGGACCCATCTGCATTTGCACCATGCCTACTTCTCGATAACGGCTGTTGCCTTATAACAATCGACGTTCTTTCTTATCGGCAAGTTCTTCTCGCGGACTCTATGGTTATGTCTAAGTTTCGAGTGGCAATATGGTGAGCGCATTTTGCATAATCTGTGAACGCTGATACCGATGTTGAGTCTTCACAGCGGTGGCGGCATTGGTGGGCTTTGCCTAGCTGTCGCGTTATCCAGGTATCCAGATATACAAGTGGACGTATATGAAGCAGCAGAGCGATTCAAGGAGATCGGAGCCGGCGTGATGATATGGTCCCGCACCTGGGAGATATTAACACTGCTTGGAATGGCATCAGACTTCTCTCAAATTGCGCACGCAACCCCGGATGGATCACTCGGTATGCTACGAGATGCGCGACCACTGTATGACCGTTGCAGGCTACTCAGATTTTGCCAGGTGTTGGATTCGATTACCGCAAGTCTGATCAGCCAGAGGGGTCTCAGTTTTACCTATTCGAGCTACCTTGTATGTATCTCGTTCCAACGGGGCACTATATCCTGTAATGATGTCTATATGTTATATAGATGGCTGCATTAGGTTCCACAGGGCTCAGTTCCTTGATGTTCTCGTGAAGCATCTTCCAAAAGATGTGGCCCATTTTCGGAAACGACTGTTGTCGTATTCGCAAGAGGCTTCAGACGGTCATCTCGATCTCCAATTTCAGGACGGTTCGACGGTAACGTGCGATCTCCTCGTCGGGTGTGACGGAATCAAGTCCGGCGTCCGGAGACAGATGCTGAAAGAGAAAGCCCAAGCAGGACAAGCAGATTTACTTCGTCTGATCGAGCCAGTTTGGACCGGCACCATCGCATATCGTGGACTCATTCCCGTACACCGTCTCATACGAGCGGATGGGCAGGAACATAGGACAATCCAGACGCCCATGATGGTCGGTTAATGTACCAGTCACGTTTTTATCCACACTCATATTACCCCTCACAGTATTGTGGTAAGAGCAAGGTACGTGCTACCATCAGCAAGATCGCTGCATATGCCGAAGTCTTCTGCGCAGCATGTCGTGAGTTACTCGATCTCGAGGGGCAGTGTAGTAAATGTTGTCGCGCTCGTCTCTCGCCCTGAGCAAGAGGGTGCTCCATATGAGGGACCCTGGGTGACAGATTGTTCTGCGCAAGAGCTTCACGAATGTTACGCTGGATGGGAGCCAGAGGTTGTAGATTTGATCAAGGTCAGCTTGCATGCAGTGATTGGAAGTAACAAATGCATAGCCAAATGGACTGCCTTGCAGTGCATCGAAAACCCTACGCGCTGGGCCATCCATCACCTTCGGCCATTGCCGTTCTATACTACGGATAGAGTCGTCCTTCTTGGCGACGCGGTATGTTCTTTTACACTAGAAATAATCTGGCATTGAAATCTGACAATAGGCACACGCAATGAGCCCGCATCAAGGAGCCGGTGCGGGACAAGCCATCGAGGCAAGTACTACCCTTCTGAGAGCATAAACATGGAATGATTCCATGAGATCCCTGTCATCAGGACGCATTCGTCTTAGCGCGTGTCCTCGGAGACCCTGTTACTACGATGTCGACTCTACGACATGCGATCTCGGCCTACGAATACGTTCGATTACCGCAGGCGAACCGGGTCCTCCTTGGTTCACACATATCGGGGATGATGTATGAATTTGATGGCCCGGCCCAGGTTGACCTCCAACGATTAGGACCAATGATTGGGGCTCAGTGGGACTGGTTGAACGAGACCACACCTGAAGAAGAGGGGCGTAGAGCACTGTCGTGGATGCAAGACCGTATAGAAAGCTTGTAGACCCCTGTTAAGCTCGAATCGAACGACAACTGAGTGAACCGGGAGGATCGTGAGGTACTCTGCTTGTCAAATGTTTCACTCCAGCCAGTGGTGGAGACGATAGCATGCATCGTGGCGGATAGCAGACTCCTCCAGGAGACACTATGAGGAGGAATCGACTTACCCAAGTAGCTGGATTCAATACTACGCACATGCCTATCAGTTGCATTTCAGTGCTCGTACTTTCTGCTCGTTCTATATCCCCGTCGCCCCAGTCAGTGTGAGAAGGAACAGCTACTACGAGCTCCATATAAATACCTAAGATGTCACAAGAAGGTCCCTGGTAGTATATCGGTTAGTACACGCGCTTGTCACGACGCCTTTGCGCGCGAAAGCGGGGTTCGACTCCCCGCCAGGGAGTACTTTTTCCTTCACCTAAGGACATCCATGTCATATATGGCAGACATCGAGACAATATATGTACACGAGTTTCAAGGTTGCACAGAAAGATGCGTTCCGGGTCAAGCTCTGGATTATTCGCCTGGTTAATACACGATCACTGCGTCTGCTTCAACTTCTGAACCAGCTCCGGAACTGCTTCATATAGGTCTGCGACAAGGCCTACATCTGCAATTTGGAATATCGGAGCATCCGGGTCCTGTAAATGCGGTTCTTTAGCTTGAAAGCACAACTATATAGCAGTGGGATGCACTTTGTTAATTGCCGCGATGAGCTTGGAGTCCTTCATGCCTGCAAGGTGCTGAATAGCTCCGGAGATACCAATCGCCATGTACATCTCAGGGGCTACGACCTTGCCCGTCTGTCCAACCTGCAATGAGTTATCCGCATAGCCCGCATCCACCGCTGCGCGCGACGCGCCAATGGCAGCCCCAAGCACATCCGCCAGGGGTTCCAACGTCGCATTGAACGTCTCCGCATTCTTGAGCGCACGACCACCGGAAATCACTCGGCTGGCAGCACCGAGTTCAGGGCGATCAGACTTGGTCAAGTCGGTCTTGATGTGTAGCACAGTAGGGTCTGCGACTTCAACGGGTTCAAGAGCCTTATCCTCGGCCTCTGACCCTTCCTCCGTCGGGGCGGCAGAGAAGGCGGTGGAGCGAACCGTGAAGAACTTCAGAGGGATGGAAGGGGGTGCACGCACGGTTGCAATTGCATTCCCGGCGTAGATTGGACGTGTGAAAGTCGTCGCGTTGGACGCGCTATCGTGCTCGAGCGACGTGATGTCTGAGACAGCGGGAGCATCGAGCTTCGCAGCAACGCGGGGAAGGAGGGATTTGGCTGATGACGAATGGGCGGAGACGACGTGCGTGAACGGCGAGCCGGACGCAAGCAGTTTCTCCAGCAGCGGAGAGACGTTTTCGACCACAGGCACAGTATACTGTGAAGATGAGCTGTGCAGCACGGCGTTAATGCCCTTCAACCTGTCCCGGACGCGTGAAATCAGCAACTCCATAACCTCCATACCTTGACTCACTTCTTAGCTTTCTGCACCACGTCCTTCACCTGCTCCGGCCCTCCCACAACGAGGCCAGTGACCTGGCCACCTAGCTGTTGTGCCGCCGTAACAGCTGAGAGCGAGCCATTGTCTATGACTCCCTCGCGATGCTCGAGGAACACAAGTGCATGAGGCCCTGGAGCCGAAGCATAGTATCTGACTAGAGGTCTGCAGAATACGATGCACCTTGCTCTTAGCATGTTGCGTACGCCGTGGAAGTCCGCTCAAACAGTCCCTGATAATCCGCGCCGCCGGTAACGGCATTCATCGCGCCTATACTAATTGATCCTTCGGCATCTCTGCGGCGATCATTCATCAATGATCATCAATCTCGGTGGCTGCAAATTGGAAGTAGCCGCATTGAGCCACAATCGCGTGTTCCGAGTCAACGTCGCTCTATTCATTTCGAAACCCGAGCAAGGTTGTTTGAACGGTTAGCTAAGCGCTGTGGCGCTCGTTACTCACGCGCAGCCCTTTGATCTACATATGCACGTGGTAGAAGCTCTATACTCAATTCGCAGGTTAAATCGTGAGCCCGCGCACCAAATCATCACCAGTCAAGCGTATGTAAACATCCACCCAGGCTCCTTCCCGCCGCTGTGGGAGTTATAGGGGACTTCATCCGAATAGCGTACTCGATGCTTAATCTTGTGTATCCTCAGATAGATCATGTGATATCACATCACGTGCATATCATGTGACATCCTATTTGAACCTTAATCCCCTATAACTCCCTACAGCGGCTGGCACAAAACATACACAAACAGCGGAGGACCGGCGCCGCACCTCCCATACAAGGCAGGATCGACGCCCGGAAATGATAATTACCATCGAAATGTCTCAATTTTGTCAATTGAGGTCATTGCAATCCCCCCTGAGCGAGTGTAGCAACAACGCGCAGAAAGCCCATTGCTCGCAACATCCCCTATGGCTGTAACAGCATGTCACTACCCTCAATCGAAGACATTCGGAAGAAGACCTTCGCCAAGCTAGGACGAGACCCATGCAAGTAGGTTCTCCATCGACTTCTCGATGGTAGGTGTCATTGTATTTAGAAGGATGTCGAAGTTGTCGTATGCGAGACCGGCCAGGAGCGACTGACCCAGAGATCGAATGCCCTACCGAGAGGGAGTGGACCATATAGTTGATTGCAGAGGGCAAGATCGAGAGGCCCATATGTGCAAGACACTTGATGACTCTGTCCGGAGTATTGCAGGAATAAAATAGAATTCCATTGACAGCAGCGAGGGCGTTACATCTCTGACTCAAGTACTGCATTACTATAGACAATATCACGACTGCTTTCTACAGATATAACGTCAGGCGAGTGCATCTAGATTCGGAATGCAGTCAAGAACATATCACCCGCGTGAGAGCGTTACGTCGCTGTGCTACTATTATGCGCCCGCTTGTTTGCTTCACCTCCTGAAACTTCACTACTCCACACCGGGGGATCATCGCCCAGTTGACTCCGGTACTCAATTTCATCGGCGTCGAGTAAAGCGCCTTCTTCGTCCTCATCTGAGGTGCTCCATTTGAGACCGCGTGACTCGCCACCCACAAGGAGTGCAACTATGAGGTCGCATAGCTCAGGCGCCATGCTTTGCATCTTCGAAGCCATATCCTCGATGCGAAAGTCGAGAACCTGTGTCGCAGACACATGGAGAGCGCTGAAGTGCCAGCCATTATCTGTATCGACCAGATCCCGGGTTGCCTGGCAGTATCGAGCCTTCATAGTAGAGTGCGCCCAAGAATATGTTGTCGCAGAAGTACGTGGATGATGGGCAAACGCCGCGAGAATCTTGGGTAGGGCGAGGACAAGTTCTTCAACAAAGGGGTGTCAGATGAGGCCTTCATCAGTCAGAAGGACGAGTATCAAGCTCGACAGGGACGCGCGCCTTTGCGTGAAAGCCAGGTATAGAAAGTCTATCAGTGGAGTGAAAGCCATGGCCGCAAGCTTGCGCCGAGGACGACGCGACGCGACTTAGGACACGCGAAACGCTACTGTACACAGGACCGTGATAATTATGTAATGAGGGGCCAATATCCTGCCTTCCTAATCGAGGTGACGTGCGCCGCTGCTCCGCTGTTTGTAGATGTTTTGTGCCAGCCGCTGTAGGGAGTTATGGGGGTTTAAGGTTGGGATTCGGAGTTTGATTACTCCTCGGATGTAGCCGGATTGTGGCGCAAGTGTGGCAGATGGGCTTGCAGGACTTAGCTTGCGTCAAGTTGTCGGATTGAGCCCCTATAACTCCCACAGCGGCGGGAAGGAGCCTGACATCCACCCTGAACAGGAGCTACGGGCTGAACGTACGAACGTCTTACGGGTACAGATGATAACGATCACATGACATCTCAACCAAAGCTCGCAGCCGCGCGGCCAGACAAATAATGATAATCAGAGTCAAGTCAATATTGTCACGGAAAGATGTAAGCAAGCAAATCACGCTTTCTCTAAATCATGACATGCCCAGCGCCGTGTTAGCGCTCTCCACCTCCCGCTGAACCTGCGCAGCTTGTGCGGCTAAGGACCCTTCAGCCGAACGCGTGAAATCGCTCGCTATTGGCACGCACCCATTAACGGGGACATGACGGCGAAGACGTTTATCGCCGCAAGGACCTTCCTGACAGCATCGCGTAGCCTAGAATACCCCATGCGGTCCAACTCATGTTCGACGGCAGCTTGGTCCGCGGATGACAAGATGGGACTCCGCGTCAGACGTATCTTGTCCATCTCCATAAACAATACGCGGCAAGCATTGGACCATAAAATCTGACGGACGAGTATTAATGCACAACCCGTTCAGACGAATAAAGGTGCACATACCGCACATATTGGATCTATGTACATCATCTTAGCGATGGGCGCGTTTTCGATTTCTCTGGCGACTGCCTGTGCAGCTATTAGAGCTCTACCATTGTCTGTCCCTGCAACCTGCTTCAAAATCTCCTGTGTCTTGATTGTGGCGCTGTGAGCGAGCGTGTAGATTACTAAGAGCTTGCGGGAAACGTCGATTTCTTGATGCAACCGGAAAGATGCCAACGAGGTCTTAAAAATATCGATGACGTTGCCGAGCAGGAGGAGTTCGGTGGTCAGCTGCTCCGCGCAGGACGGATCTGGGAATGTCAAGCGATATATCAGCGCAGATACTATGGTCAAAGGAGTGCTACCCAGACTAGCTTTCCACTGAGACGCAAGACGTGATACTCGCTCAAACAGTGCGGCTGCTTTAGCGTGAAGGATGAAGACGGCGTCAGCAGACGTGTTCATCCCTTTGCCGATGGACAAGACTTTCGCGGCCCTTACGCCCCAGCAGGCAGACGTGACACCGCTCTGGACGAAGATATGTCAATTATCATACGACTGGGTTGGACACGCTCACCGTGCTATAATTGGTGATTTCCAAGGGCCACGGGATGCCGACTTGACTGGGTTGAGCACCGTTCAAATGCGATTCTAAACCAGCAACTGCTCCCCACACTTTGTCCAAGGTGAAGACAACCCAGAAGGCATCATTCCACTCCTCGCTTGTGAAGACATCATTCGGTAGGAGCAAATCACGGCCAAGTTGTGGCTGAGCCGCGCTTATATCGTTCAAGCGATGGCAAAGCGTAAGCGTGATAGCCGCGTTGCAATGATACCGGCCCTCTAAAAAGCGATTTGATGAGTAAAAGTATACTGCTAAGAGGACTTCGGCTTGAATGAGGTCGATGAGATTGTGACGAGGCTCTTCAACGATTGCCGAAGATATTGATTGCACAGCGCGTGACAAGAGTATCGACTCATGAGACTGAAGTGACACGTCCGTTGAGCAGCGGGCGCCCCATATGCAGACACAGTCGGCGAGAACGGGCGAAAGCAGTGCCAGGGTGGGATGTCTTGTTGGGAAGCGTGTGCGACGTAAGAAGAATCCGACCTCAGATGAGATGGAGAGAAAACGTTCAAGCCTGGCCAATGCGCATGTCGTTCTTCAGTCGTCACGAGAGAGTCAGGAATGAACGCACAGCATCTGTGATAATTTGGCTGGGCGTTCAAAGGGACTTGTGGAGGATAACGAAGATGCACCAGAGGATGATGAGGGATGTCCTATCGAGAAGTCGAAATCTCCGGTATGATATTCGGCTAAAGATGCAGGGGACGAATCTGTGCCTATAAGCTTGATAAAAGTAGAGTGACTTTAGGCGATTGGTACACACCTGTCGATCCAGGTTCTGAAAATGATATGCGTGGTTGATGGAGTAGGACCGATGGTGCCGTTTCTTCGGGGTGCTCTAAATCGTAGATTTGTGACTCTAATTGAGCAATCTTGTCCTCAAGCAGCTGAGTCGGGCTACGCATAGGCCCATCCGTATATTCGCAGTCCCCTTCCCTGTCCGTGCATATGCACTGCCCACATATGGGCCGAGTGCCGTCGCATTTCTAATGTCGAATAGAGGATTTTATCAAAACGGTTCAGTCAGCCGGTTAAGACCACATGACTCAAAACTCACCATCTTGCGTCGCCGACAATTAAGACAGGCAGAACCCCGAGGTGCACGACTCGGACCTAAGGAGTAATGCTTCACGCGCGTTGGCTGAGTTGGCATGACTAGTAGAGTACAATACAGCCAGAAAGAACTCAGAACAGTTTCTGAAACTTGCGTATGCAGGCCAACACGTATGCCAGTATATGACCTTTTTATACAGACCCGATTGGCTGAACACATGGCTTGCGGGCCTGTAGATACAAACCCTTGGCACGAGCGCACCGTGGACGGATCTGCGGCTCTCGCGAAACATATGGAGGTGCAAACATGGTAGCCTGCAACAGATAACTCCTACAACGAGACCCTTAGGGTCTGTCGATCGCCCGCACGGTGGTGCTGGTCTCACTCGGGTATGGAGTGAAATTCGAAGATTCTGATGGCACACGCCACATGGGATGCCTTGTAAGGCAAGTTCGCCGCTCATCTTCATAGCATTAAATTTAAACTTAATTTAATATCAATATTGAGGTGTGCTATCGGAATGACGAAACACTCGCCTGCTATCAGACTCTCCTGCATCAATAAAAAAGAAGAGGAATTAGGTGTCTGTGTTAGCTAGGTACATGAATATGTATATGCAATAGCGGGCCACGGGCAAAGAGATCCTAAGGTCCGCAGTTCAGCAATGATGGCCCGAGAGCGGCAGTGTGGAGACGAAGGATATCAGGAATCCAAGATCGGAGTCTCCGGGCGGCACATCGGTGTCTTGTAATCTGACTCGGGATCATATCACCACGACCATGTTTGGGTTCTCATCGTCTGCTCCGCGGCGGCGTTCGAGCGTTCGCATGGTGCTCTAATAGTTACGTTAAGAACAATAGCTCAGGGAACAGCACGGTACGTAACAACTCGTATAGTACACAACACTGTATGTCCTGATGTAAGAGAAGTAGGTTCACTCTGTCTTATTGTGCAAATGCGAATTTCGGAAACCAACCTGGAAATGAGCATATATGCATAAAACGCTCTCAGTGAACGAGCCTTTCTCATTGCATCGTCTTATTAACCCATTACTCCTTCGCACCCTCTATGTCAGAATCTATGACGGTGTACAAGGAAACGCAGCTCGCCAATCATCCTTAGTGATGTGCACGGCCGGGCCTTAGTACACAGCTCAAGCCCGGCTACGACTCGGTTCAAGCTCAGGCCGAGGCCGCGACTCACCCGGTACAGAGGTTAATTAAGAAAGTTCATCTAACGAACAAAATAGTGGTGCTAGTGGCTGACGTACTGTTTCCTACACTTCTGCAAGGTCATTTTCCGCTTCAAGGGCCGTTGGCCATTCAGGGCGATCTGTCGTCCATTAGGAATGTCATCCCTTTTCTAGATATAGAGTACTCTGCTGGTGAGTGTTCACCTTCGGGAATACACGAGCCTACTTACATTTGGAATGAATAGCAAGTATATTGTGCCGTTCGGTGCTTCTTTGAGGTGCATGTCTCCGTTGTATCGCGCGCCCCTCAGAGCGGCCCGTCCACGGCTCGGCCGCGGCCTACCAGATTGGTGAGTCTGTCTTGCAGTCTACTGCATTTGCATTCTGCATACCCAGGCCTTTGGAACTCGAGGCCGACCAAGTGTTCCGATTTGAAAATGTTGACGGGGTCCTTCGCTTACCAATCTGCGATCGGACCTCAACTGGTCCTCAAGTAGTGTTGTTGGCGAAACTGCGTCTAATCCTGTCCAATCGCCGCGCCAGGCGCAGCGATTGGCGCAGCTCGGAAAGGTCAGGTCTGTTTCAGCCTCTAAGCACAGTATGTGAGGTAGAATCGTTCACGCAACCTAAAATTTGTCATCCCCCCCTAGTACGCAGGTGAACATAACCTGCATTCTCTGATCGACGAAAATACAGGTCTATGATATGAAGTAACTTAATAATATTCGGAAGGGCCTTGTACCCTCAGCGGGGCATAGGAAGCTGGGATACACAAAGACAAGGAGACATTTCCGGGGAAGGAGGATCTGGGGTCACTGCTGTCGTCTATCGATCTGTTGTTGCATTGTGTAATTTCTTTTTGCCTCCGAGCGCGAAGAAATACTATTCGCCAGTTGCGCTATCCTTGCCAGCAATCGCCATGGGCCTCTGCCAGACCCCGCGCCGGGCCGGAGATTGGCGAATGCGTGAGCGAGTTTTGCCCACGACACTATCCTCAAGAGCTCAATGGCTCAAGCGCCCACTAGCACGACTCATGTTTCGATCTGGTTTGTTCCAAGCGCGCGGGTGGTAGATTATGCTGTAAGTTTGCAACCATGCCGTGACCACAGATTGAGCTTACGGGGCCACAACACAGGTCTAGGTCTCCTTCGAGATCATTCGAGGATATAATACCGAAAGTTTATCTCACGAAGATTGATCCCCGGCTTAGCCATGAATAGGGCATTGTCAGTTCGGTGGTAGATAGCCATAGTCAAGAGATATGAGCATGAATCGCAGTGTAAGGTGAGTAGTGAGACCTATACGCAACGCGTCACAATTCTCACTTGAGGGGTCACGGCGTGTGCATTGATTACGGTACTTGTGAGCGTCAAACTGTCAATCAACCACAGCTCTATAATTGATGACTACAACACCCGCAGAGGTTACAGTTCGACAGATTGCTCCTCCCGTGATCTTGATCTGTCAAGCTCCCAGCATAGGATGCGGTGCGAACAACCACATGCAATGACAGATTCGTCCGTTAGTTACCTCCTTTCTCTTCCCACTTCTACGCCGTCCCCGTAATGGCTTTGGGTCTGGTCATACTCGCATTCATCTTTCTGTTTCATTTTCAGAGCGTTTTCTGTCAGACTTTCCGGCCTGCTGCTGTTCCACTCGCCGTGAGATCACCATACTTCAGTGCATGGCAGAACACCACGATAGGGACCAACGTCGCTGACGAATGGCCACAGTTCTGGAACGACAATGAGGTCCGTGATCCATCATACTGAAGCAGGTAGCAGGCATGCTCACGAAACCTCAGAATAATCCTAATCCTATCCTCGGCTGGGCAGGTATTATTCAGGTCGATAATGTCGCCTACAAATGGCTAGGCGCAGACACTGTCTCGAAGACAGCCAATCTCTCCGGCATACAAGTCACGCCCACCCGCACAATCTACACAATTCAGGCTGGTCCGATGGATGTCATTGTCACCTTTCTCACACCAATCGAGGTGCGCTGCAGGGTCCACCGTGATGCATTGTCACTTACGATCCTGACAAGCCGTCAGATTGGGTCCGACAATCAATACCCTTTTCCTATGTCGCAGTCAACGCTAGCTCCAACGACGGGCAGCCGCATCATGTACAGCTCTATTCTGATATCAGTGCAGGTGAGTCGTGAAAGATGCTTAGCTCATGTCCGATAATCCTCAGTTCACCTCATCCAGAATGGCTGTCCAGCAACCGAAGTGCCTTGGCCCAGTGGAGCACAAACTCGACAAGCTCGTTGCTTTATCATCAAATTGAACTTCAGACGTCTTTTCCATTTGTTGAGACCCAAGGCCAAGCCGAAGACGGTACCCTATATTACACCATGCTTTCTGTGCGTACACCACGATGTCCTGCGATTGGGTTCTGAAGTGTAGTATTCTAGGCCAATAGCATCACTTATCAAACCGGTCAGGATGCGATCGTGCGTGGTAATTTTGTCAACAACGGCATCCTCCCGAACACGAAAGATACTGACTACCGCGCAATCAGCAAGTGAGTGTATGCAATCTGTCCTTGTTGTTCAGAGACTCACTACTGTACTTCAGTGATTATCCTGTCTTTGCAATCGCCGTAAACCTCGGCAGCATTATGACTATCGAGAATCCGCCGGTATGGGCTGTTGGATACGTGCGCAATCCTTCAATCAAGTACACAACGTCGACGGGAGATGTACAGCTGCGAGCCCCGTACTATGTCACCCAATACGACTCCATCCAGGATGTTGTTCGTCATGTCTTCAATGCTTTATGCGGTTCACAAACTCATGAGCTCACAGATACTTGCATTTTTGTCCGACTACAACGATGCGTTATCCAGGTCCGAGGCACTAGACAATCAACTCACTTCAGCTGCATCGGGCATCTCGAGCGAGTATAGCGATCTGATTGCTCTGGCTTCCCGACAAGCATTCGGAGGCATCGATATCACAGTCTCTAATGCAACAGGCGGTGGCTGGAACACATCAGACGTCATGATTTTCATGAAAAATATTGGCATTGATAGGTAAGCACAAACCACGATTTTTCAAGGCCTGATGTTTACTTTGTAACAGTCGTGTCAATCCTGTTGAAACGCTCTACGCTGCATTCCCCATTTTTCTGTACCTCAATGCGTCGTACGGCAAACCACTTTTGGCACCCCTCCTTGACTACCAAGACTCATCATTGTACACTCTTCCGTATGCTGCGTCAGATCTGGGTGCGTTCAAGGTGGCTTCAACGACCATTGACCCACTTAAAGGCGTTGTGTAGGCACCCAGTATCCTGTCGCCTCGGGGGATAGCTCTACATCTACTATGGGCATCGAACGTGCGTGTGAGCATGTTAAATGTAATAACCCCTCCTAAATGTCAATCTAGAATCCGGAAACATGCTCATCATGGTTCTGGCACACGCGAGAGCCTCCGGCGATGGCTCATTAATCGAGCAACATGTTGGTTTCCTGTTTCACTGGCGAATAACTATTGACTGACCTGCGATTCCAGTACAATCTGCTGAAGTCCTGGACTAACTATTTGGTCGCGAATACGAAGACACCTAACGGACAGTAGGTCTCCATGGTCCTATGACCCTTTCTCTGGTCTCACTACCCTGACCTAGGGAATCTGCCGATGACCAGAACACGGCGAACATGACCAATCTTGCCATCAAGGGTATCATTGCCATCAAAGCAATGTCAGAGATTAGCCAGGCTTTCAGTCAAGCTAATGATAGCCAGCAATTTGCGGTGGGTTGGACTGTCTGGGCCGCTATCCAGTTAATCTTGCTCACTTGTGGTGCAGAGTACGGCAGCGGCGTATGCCAATACATGGCAGTCACTTGCAGTAACCTCTGCGAATGGACAGTTTGAGCACATAGCCTTTAGCTATGGAGACACTAGCTCATGGGCGCTGATGTACAACCTGTATGCCGATCGTCTCCTTCAAACAGGCTTGATTGCGGAGTCCGTGAGTGATAACTATTTCTTTCATTGCCAAAGCCAACCCTTATCCCCTATTAGCTCTACGATGCGCAAGCTACATACTACCAAGATCTTATAACTTCCAACGGCGGTATGTTTTTGGTCAGTTTTTCGACGTAATCGTTGATGGCTGATATATTTTCGAAAGCTGGCAGATTTGGTCTCCCAATCGACAGCACCACTACGCAAGGAGACTCAGGTGACTTTGTTATCGTTCGTTCCTTCGTCAGCATTGCTGAAGATATCGTACAGCATGGATGGCATTTGCGGCTGCAACTGTATCCAATACGACCATCCGCAACAACATGATATCCATGGCATGGGCGCACGCGGCGTCCAACTTGACACCTGGTGTCTTCCCGACCATGTATGACGTGATTACTGGAGATGTAACGGAGAGCTACGCAAAGTGCGTGTGACGCTTAACATGCGGCGCATTTAATCCTAACCCGGTCTTTATAGCCCTGGTCAGGGAGCAATGTTTGCCCCGTTGGCATTGAGGTGAGCCCGCGAGATACCAGATTTAACAGAGGTCTCACTGCGTATAGTGTCTCGAACAAGTCTATCGTATTCCCCCCGTCGACTGTTGGCCATGTTTCGAACAAGACGCATGTCAATGTGGGTGCTATTGCTGGTGGCGTCGTGGGCGGCGTCTTCGCTTTAGGCCTTATCTTAGTGGCAATTTTACTCTGGAGGAGGAGAACGCGTGTCGTTTCACGCAGGGATAAAGACTACGTGATCGAGAATCCTGAGCCACTGGCATTCCCCTACGAATCTGCGCCCTTCGTGCCGTCACGCGAAGCAGAGCCTCGGGGACCAACGCCGCCTGTCATGATGTCGTCCAAGCTGCGCGAACACTTGCGTGGCCAGCAACATCAGTCAACGCCGTCATCTTCCGCTTATTCCATCACAGCGCCGGGATCCAGTAGAGAGCCACCATCTACTCTGGGGACCGGATCGGACGTTGCTTCGTTGTCACCAAACGAGATCATTGGCCTAAGGACAGAAGTGGAGAACCTGCGGAGGGTCATGCAAGAGCTGCACGCAGACAGATTGGAGGCGCCGCCGGAATACGAAGGGTAGTCCATTGCAGTTCGACTCTTTCTATCTGCCTTGCTGCTATTTCTTTGAGTTATTCGGACGCAGGACTTGTTGGCAGGCTACGAGCTTTCATGCCTGTTGTATTCATCAAATGTATCAATCACTACGTACTGCGGCTCACATCTCATCGAGCATCTTGTCACAATATCCCTCCTTAGCCTATGATCGTAACTTTCCACAATACATATTTTGCTAGTTTCCTACATAGTACAGCGAGACAGCAGTCCGGGCAGTCCAATGTCTGTAGTAGCAGAGTCCGATGTATAAATTCAAGAAACAGATGCCAGTCCGTGACACTCATAATATTCCTGTGTTGTACACCTGGAAGACAATCCCGAAAGAGACTCTTGAATATCTGTCGGGCTTCCCCTTGGGGTGGCACGTGAAAACGCACTAGTGGGCGCTTTTCGTAATTACACTCTGCCGAGCAGCCGACCAAGGCAACTGCTTCGGGCTCCTTGTTCTGTCTGAGTACTCCAGCAACTCGTTCAGGTGAACCCCAATAAAGCCTCACTTGCTTGGGTGCCTTTCATCTTGTCGTCTCCTTCGACTCGTTCATATCCGCACTCATCCCCGCCATGTCTCTTCAAGGACTCATCTCTGGCTCAGAATGCGCCGTCCCATTCAATCCTCTTTCTCAGGTACTGAAGCATACCGAAGGCGATCGCAGTCTCCAGCAGGTGAGCTCATCAAGTTCCGTGCGGCGTGCGACGGTGCTCACTCTCGTACAGGACCGCATTGCAGGGCCATCCTCGTCTCGGGTGCGTAATGCACAGACCATGTCTTTGTGCTATGGCTTAAGCGTACTGAACAGCTGCATCATCTTCCGAGTACATCCAATACTCCTGGAACAGAGCGTGATGTCGCACTCGCACGCCAGTTCTTTGATGGGCATGATGGGCACACGCAAATGCCTAGTCTCGGGCCCGCCTTCGTCGCCAATCATCTACCTCCGCAACTCATGCGTCCCGCAGACATTGCCGCGCGGTCGGCACCCGATCTCAGCGGTGCCTGGGCAGAAGCCAACGACAGAGCGATGTTTCACCGGCAGCTGGGTCGCAGTGATACTGCGTCCTCTCCCGCCGCAGGTTGGACGGCAGAATTTAGCAGGATTCCCCAGACGACGGTCTCAGGAAGCGCACAAGAGACCAGTATTCAGCGACTTGACAGTGCGTATACATAGTACACTCTGTGCGTCTTCCTCATTGTACATGCAGATTTCTCTACTGGCGCCTACAATGGGATGGGATATGGGCCAATGATGCACGGCTCTGGTTTCAGCGCCATGTCGGTGCCTATGCTCAGCGTGGACAAAGGCAAGGGAAAGGGCAAAGAGATCGACTTTGATGCAGCCTTCGCCGAAGCTTTCGCATCGTTGACCGCTGAGAAAGCAGAAAGCGGACGCATAGTCGATGTAACCGACGAGGTGCCAGGTCTCGCCGAGAGCCTCCAAGACACTCGCTTGGATGAGCAGGTGGAGGGAAGCGCCGACACAGTCGAATATGGTACTGACTTTCAAATGTCAGTGTACATGCTTCATGTAGGATCTTCCTGTTCCCTGACTGTACTGCAGGGTTTGGGATAAACTTCAGAAGTCGGGCTTGCCTCCGCCGCAGGAGGATGTGGCCAAATGGGAGTCCCAGTTCAATCAGTTGATGTCTTCACATCGGGAAGAGGATATACTCGACTACGGCGGCAGCATGCAACGCAGCTGGGAAGATGGTATGGGACTTTATGACTCTCAGCGTAATGAAAGACAAGTGGGCTTCACCGAGGACGGGTTGCCGCTGTTAGGCCCGTATGAATTCGGTGTGTTAATTGCGCATACTCAGGAATTAATTCAAAGCTGACTATATTTATCGCGTGCAGAGAAAGAGAACAGACACATGGATCCCTCAACATCGAGTCAGTCTCATCTGCGCGCAGCGAAGGAGTTGCTTGAGCAGAACGGATCGCTCTCTGAGGCAGCGCTGCTGCTCGAAGCCGCTATACAACAGGGTGATCTGGGCACAGGCGGCTATGAGGCGTGGATCCTGCTGGGTGAGACGAGAAGTATGGATGAACGTGAAGAGGCAGCGATGCGCGCGCTAACCGAGGGGATCAAACGGGCAGAGGATGCTGGTGCCGCGGGTGAAGGCATGCTAGTAAGCGCTACGTCTGCGATCCTGTATGTTGTGCTGATTGTTCTGGCGGTACAGTCCCTGGCCGTAGCATACACCAACGAGACCTACGAGCGGGCGTCACACACGATGCTTTTGCGCTGGCTGAGTGCTCGCTTCCCGACATTCGATATACCCAGAGAGGCATGGGAATCGCTCTCGCAGTCTGGCTGGCATTCTCACGAGCGTGTCACCGAGGTGTTCTTGAACCTCGCTCGCGAGCAATATAGCCGGGGCGAGATGGATCCTGACGTACAGATTGCCCTGGGTGTGCTGTTCTACACGAACAGCGAATATGATAGAGCTAAAGACTGCTTCGAAGCCTCACTTGCGGTCCGACCTAAGGTGGGTACATTCACTATTATTCGATGGACGATCCTTCATGCGCGTTTACAGGACTACTTGCTATGGAATAGAATGGGCTCCTGCCTCTCGAATGGCAACAAACCGGAAGAGGCACTGGGTGCCTACCGGGAAGCATTGCAGTTGCGACCTACGTACACTCGGGCGATCTATAACGTGGCTGTCGCTTGTACGTGCTGTTGTCCCTCTGATATCTCGGAAGGCCGAAAACGGCTCACCGTGCTCCCTTGATCCGTTAGGCCTTAATATAGGAGCACACAAGGAAGCCGCGGAACATCTGCTGAGCGCTCTGGCGATGCAGGACCTGTCAGGAGGTGCAAAGAGCGACCAGCTATGGCAGACGCTTCGGCGAGTGTTGTTGGCCATGGTGGGTTCTTGCGTGTCTAGACATTTCGCAACGTCATCTGATAGATAGTGATACAGAATCGGAGTGACCTGGCCGAGATGGCGAAGTCCACGACGAACGTGGAGGTGTTCCGGAAGGAGAATTTTGATTTTTAGCTGTGACGCTGTACACTACTTTTTTGCTTTCATCTCAGTGTTGACTCTACCAGAGCATCGATGAGTGATTGCGGCCTGCTCACGAATTCAGGGGGTAGAATGGTGAGTTATTGCGTGCCTTGCGCAGGCGGCCTATGAGGACGCAGCGGCAGCGTGACAGAGGACGCGATCGCGTGATCGTAATCGATGTGACGCGACCTCCGCGAGTGTGACTGCATCGAGAACCCGGTCCGCCCAACGATAATGCGAGGGCATAGGTCATGAGTTACGCATTGCTATATAGCAGCCAGTCCTCGGCCATGCGCGAACCCGACACCCCGCAACCCCAAATTTTCACGTCGTCCCTCCTTTTTAGTGAACTGCCATGTCTTCAGGAGACGTTGAGATGTGAGTGCTGTTGAGCTGACGGACACAACTCCTACTGATGGTCTGTGTTCACTCACTAGCCACACGGTGCCCAAGGCATCGGCGCCGACCGATGTCAAGCTCAACAAGTTCTCAAGTATCATCACGCAGGACAAGGTATGTCTTCGCCGACCGAGTGATTCCAACGCCAGACTTATTCGCGTTGTAGCGGCGCGGAGGTGCCCAGGCTATGTGTATGTGGTCCATGCATGCCTTCAGACGAGTAACTTGACTCGTTTCTACAGTGTATGCGGTCGGTCTCTCAGAAGAGGACATGAACAAACCGCAGGTATGCTATCGGCTGCTCGCGCGCGTTGATCGCTCGGATTAACGATCACACAGATCGGTATCTCTCCGATCTGGTGGGAGGGTATGTCATAGAACCATTGTTTCAATACTGTTGACCAACAACAAGCAGGCAACCCATGTAACGTCCACCTGGTGAGCCCATCCCCAAATTGAACGCTGAACCGTCGTCTGACACATCCAATGTAGCTCGACCTGGCCATGAAGGTCAAGGAGGGTTGCAAGCAGGAGGGGCTTGTTGGCCTCACATTCAACACGATTGGTGTTAGGTATGATGGCCCCGAGCCCCCTTTGCACTAGTAGCTAAGAGATACACTTTAGCGATGCCATCACTATGGGTACCGAGGGTGAGTGCTAGCATGTCGCATAAGGATCCAATACTGAGATGGTATTGACTTTTAGGCATGAGATACTCGTACGTAATCCCTTCGTGTAGAAGGCACTCAATTGAAAATACCATCTAGGCTCCCGAGTCGCGACCTCATTGCAGATTCTATCGAAGCGGTACGGTCGGGTTTTCCTGCATAGGAATGTCATGCTCATATAAGGATTAGGTTACATTGGTAGATAGGTTCAATCACATGCCTCCTACCCATCATTCATTGCGCTTGTAGGCCCAATACTATGATGGAAATATTTCCATCCCGGGGTGATGACCACGTTCTTCGTAGCCTCCTGTCAATGTTAACACCAGTGATGCAGATGCGACAAGAACATGCCCGCCACGGTCATGGCAGCCCTTCGCCACAACCGCCCGACTATCTGTGTCTACGGGGGAACCATCCAGCATGGTGTCCGCAAGGTTGATTGCCCCGCACTCGGCCACAAACAGGGTGATGACATGAACATCGCTGATGCGTTCGAGTCGTATGGTGCGCGAATGCATACATCCCCGTCCACATGCAAGCCTCTCATGGATGTCTTCCGTAGGTGCCTTTGCGGTCGGCAAGATCAGCGAAGAGGAACGCTTCGACGTCGTCCGTAATTCGTGCCCGGGCGCTGGTGCGTGCGGAGGCATGTTCACGTACGTGACACCCGTATCTCTGTCACGTACACATCCCTGACAGGTATCTCAGTGCCAACACCATGTCGAGCGCCCTAGAAGTCCTGGGCATGTCCCTGCCGTACTCTGCGAGTACGCCGGCCACTTATCCGGGTAAATCTTATCTATAAATAATGGCTTGAACGGGCGCTGAATGTTTACCGCAGAGAAGATCCAGGAGTGTATCAAGGCCGCGGCGTACATGAAGCGTCTGCTTGAGCTGGATCTGAAGCCCAGGTGTGGTCATCGCTTTCTCCCGTAACGGCCCCATCTGAACAGAAGTCTAATAGAGATATCATCACTCGGGGATCCCTCTTGAACGCGATCACGGTCGTTAACATCCTTGGAGGGTCGACAAACTCCGTAGGTACATGATTTTCGGCATCTGGACATATGCTGACTCTAAGGCGTGGCAGGTGCTGCACCTCCTCGCCATTGCACGTGCCGCCGACGTTGACTTGACCATCGACGATTTCCAGACGGTTGCTGACAAGACCCCGTACCTCTGCGATCTGAAGTACGTGACCTTTCTTGGTTCCACTCATCGGTATAACCGACATTCTGTATCTATAGGCCCTCAGGAAAGTACTTGATGGAGAACCTGCACGAAGTGGGCGGTATCCCCGCGCTGCTCAAGTACCTCCTGAACCACACGGACCTCATCGATGGCAGCCAGTTGACCGTCACCGGCAAGACCATCGCGGAGAACCTGGAAGGCGTCGCAGAGCTCGACATCGCCAACCAGGACGTTGTGAAGCCGCTGGAAAACCCGATCAAGAAGGTACGCTGAGTAGCAGGGCTCTCGAAGCTTATAGTGGCTCACGTCATTGGCGCTGGTAGACGGGCCATATCACCATTCTCCGTGGCAACCTCGCACCTGGAACGGCTGTCGCAAAGCTTACGGGCAAGGAGGGTCTCCGCTTCGAGGTCAGCCCTCTCCTCAGCACTCCTCATAGCTCTCGTACTGATCGTTTATCTTCGATCAGGGCACCGCGAAATGCTTCGATGAGTAAGTGATTTCCTCACAAGCCGCGACTTCTGTCTCACCGCGACGTGCACCCAGGCTGCCTAGCTTCTATGACGCGCTCGAGGCAGGTCAGATCACGGCAGGCACAGTCCTCATTTTCCGCTACCAGGGCCCTAAGGGTGCGCCCGGCATGCCCGAGGCGAGTTCACTTGACACGCTAGATCCTGCCCGCTGAAGCTGATACCCTGTCTCTCAGATGCTGGGGCCGACCGGTGCACTCATGGGTGCGGGCCTGGGCGGCAAGACCGCGCTGATCACGGACGGGCGGTTCTCCGGCGCGTCGCGCGGGTTCATCATCGGGCACGTCGTGCCGGAGGCGCAGGTCGGCGGACCGATCGCGCTCGTGCAGGACGGCGACCGCATCGTGATCGACGCGGCGACACGCTCAATCAACTGGCTGGTCGACGAGGCGGAGCAGGCGCGCCGCCAAGCCGCGTTGGACGCCGCGGGCCCGCGCGAGTTCCGCGTGAAGCGCGGTATCCTGCTGCGCTATGCACGCGATGTCGCGCCGGCGTCGGTGGGCGCATACTGTGATTGAGGCGCCGATGGCACCATGGGCGGTACCGAGCGAAATTGTGTAACAGTTACTGCAATGTATAGATATGTAATCGTGTATGCCCATGAAATCACCTGTAGACGTCTCCTCAGCATCACTCCCCCAGGGTATGTTGTAAGCTAGATCTGTGATAATGTCAACAACAGCAAGCAAACATTTATGAGCTTGCCGTACCTGGTATTGTATTATGGTAACATTGCAGGCGATCATCATCGTCCATAATATGATGAAATGCTACAATCAGGTACGCGACGAAGAACCGACCTCATAAGACGAGATGAGACGAGCCGCCAATGTCTCACGATCTGGTGGCGGGCTCAAGGTCGTTGGCAATTGTGGTGCGGATACGACTCGACCCGTGTCCAACGGCCGCAGGTGCTCTCTTCGCTTGCCTGCCTTCTCCGTCTCCCCTAGCGGCACGGTCTTCGCATGCTTCGTCTGATCTCGCTTCTTGGGCTCGTCATCGAAGACGACGCGCTCTCCGGGAGCGTGCACGCCCAGGATCACGGCGGGGTCGGGCGGGATGATGAAGGCCTCGGGCTTGGGTGGAGGCACGTCGAGCTCGCGGTGGCTGCGGAGGCCGGCGGCACGCACCGCTCTGTGGCCTCGCCAGCGCCGGTAGACATAGATGAGCAGGCCGACGACCCACGCGATGCCGATTGCGCCGCCGGAAACGGCGCCAGAGATTAGCGGTGTGAGGGCGCGATGTCTGCACCAAGGTCAGTGGGAGGGCAAGAGGAGCAGAGGGGAGACGCGCACCCGTTTAAAGCTGCTTGCTCGGACTGATGAGGCGTCTGTGCGTCGACGACGAGGGACACGGGGGGCATGCTAGAGCGTGTATATGGCTTGAAGGTGGTGGCTGTAAAAGACTTGGGTACTTGCTCACTCGCGGCGACAGTTGAGGATTTCGTTTGCGATTTGCAGGCTAGGGCGCCTGGGTGGTGGTTGACGTTACAAAGGAAGGGAGCGTAAGGAGCTGGAGGATGGCTGGGCAATGCATTTGAGGAACGGTGGAGTGCAGGACCAATGTGTTCATAGTCGTGGAGTAAGTATGCCAAGCAGCGCCCCTGCGCACTCGGTGCGTCTCCTTCCCACCAGTCGCGTTCCGTCTTCGGAGTCGTCCACTTCCTCGGTTCTTATTACCAGTGATCCTGCAGACCAACCGGCTGCTGCAGCAAGTGCAGTCTGAATCCATCCGTTGGCTATGTCTCTACTTCCCGCTCGACATCGCCACCTGGTTTTTGATTCAGTGCATCGATAGCAAGTCGGTACAAATGGCCTCCGCAATAGAAGCTGCTAATACACAAAAGGGTCTTGAAGAGACAATCGGCAAACACGGGTCCACGCTTGACCGCTCAAGCCGGACTATTGAGTTCCCTTCGCGTCTGTTCGTTACTGGATGCAGGCGACTCCCTGGCTTCTGGCCGCAGCTGTGCTTGATCAAACTGTCATGAGTATCATGGAGTGTAACCATCCGCTACCGTTACTCGACGATTCTGTCATCACAGTTCCGTGATACTCCCCGTCACGGTGTGCTTTCGACCGTTGGCAGTCATCGCGCCCAAGTCACTCGCCGGCACCCTGATTCTCATGGCGTGCTGAACGTACGTACTCATGTCTATTGCCATGGCCGATCATCCTATCTCCCGGTTCTGCATTTCGTCGCCTACTGGCGATGCCGGCGATGTCGGTGGCACAGGCTCGCTCAAACCCCTATGTTCTTGTTCTGCCTCGCGTTCGGCGAAGTGCTAGTTCTGCCGTCGACGCTGCAAGCGACGTATCAGCAAGTGGGGCCTGTTCTAGAGTCTGATGCGCCGGTACGTTATACAGTGCAGCTACCATCAGACCAGCAAATGCACGACCTCGACACAGGTTTGCACAATCATTTACCTTAACTCATCTGTGATCATCCGATCAGTAATCAATGCACAGGTTCCAGGTGGCGCTCAACCATCGTACATATAGTATGGTCTCATGTTTTCTGTCTGCAACACCGAGGGTTCCCCCACATTTTCGACGATACGCACTTTGAGAGCTCGCTCCAGAGCCCCCTGACGAACCCCCTACCTCTCCACCAGAACTCATATTATGTCTTACGCACCAGGATATCCCCAGCCGCAGGGCTCCTTCCCACCTCCTCAGGGTCCACCACCGCAGGGTCCGCCACGGAGCCCTCCCAATGATGCGGGCACCGGCGCACAGCGAATCACCGGTGCTTACGACGGTGTCCAATTCAAGATCGACCACCGCGACAGCAACACGATGCTCTACATGCGTCTGCAGCCGGGCTACGAGGTGCTCGCAAAACCCGGCACGATGGTCTCGATGGACGCGACCGTGCAGATCAAGGGAAAGGTGTGTTTGCTCGCTCGCTCGAGATGTGCCGCGCTGACGCGCACACGCAACCCACGGAGATGAACTTCAGCTTCAAGAAGCTCCTGACGGGCGGCGAGGTGCGTTCCCGTGATGGCCGGTGCGCTGCTCAGCGGTGCTGATGCTGACGACGGATCGCGCCCGCGCCCTAGCTCTCCTTCGCGCACTTCTTCGGCCCGGGCGAGGTCGTCCTGGCCCCCGAGACGTGGGGCGACGTCGCCGCGATCCAGCTGGACGGCCGCGCGCCGTGGTTCTTCGGGAAGCACGCGTTCCTCGCGGCGACGACGGGCATCCAGATGACGACGAAGTCGCAGAGCTTCGGCAAGGCACTGTGTCAGTCGCCTCCGTGATCCACGCTGCCGCAGACGGGCTGACCCAGGTTCATCGCTTCCCCTTTCCGCTGTCTGCTGTCCGCTGTCCGCTGTCCGCTTCGCGCAGTCTCCGGGCACGGCCTGTTCACGGCGCAGGCGGTGGGCGTCGGCATGCTGTTCGTGCACGGCATGGGCGCGATTATCTGCCGCTCGCTGCAGCCGGGCGAGCAGTGGATCGGTGAGTATTGCTGCTACTTTTACTTTTCTCGCGCCGCTCTGGGCTGCCCGCTGACGCTCCGTGCCCGCGACGCGCCCTAGTGAACAACGACCATCTCGTCGCGTGGAACTGCCAGTACAATGTGGAGAGGATCCAGGCTGGCGGCCTCCTCTCCACGCTGCAAACAGACGAGGGTGCGGTCTGCAGGTGCGTGCCCCCGTCCCCGCCCCCGTCCCTGCCGGTAGCTCGAGCTGTGAGAGACAAGGACTGACGCGACTGGTCGGCAGATTCACCGGGCCCGGGCAGGTCTACATCCAGTCGAGGAGCACCGACCAGCTGATCAGCTTCATCGCCGAGAGGCTTCCCGAACGGTCATCCTGATCGCCCAATTGTATTATGTCTGTGTGTAGCCTAGGGATTGAATGTATTTATGCAGTCGAGTTCGATGGGGATGTCGGGATGCATCCTCACAAGTGCAATCAATAACACGCGTAGTGTCGAGTGATAGGCTCGTAGTCAGCCTGAAGACCTTGTGGGCCGATACTAGCGAGAAACAAGAGCAGTAAGATGGCTGTAGCGCACTTTCTATTACAGTATTCAATACTTGCTTGTTTTGTTCGGAAGGAATTCAGTTTATGGTTGAAGACGTTGATGCACACCGCCAAAAGTTATTGCGACAGAATGGGTATATTGGATTCTCATGCGCGCGCTGTGATACAGATGAAAGATGGGCTACAAGGGGTATGGTACTACAAATCGAGACAATATGAAGCACTGCAGTCGATCGTCGCTGTTCGCCTTTTGCAGGCACCGCGATCCCAAGCCCGATCGAAGAACTTGAGGCGCAGTTGTCGGTCGTAGCTCTTCGCCCGCACAATGCGGACTCCGCTTCCCCAAGCCGGCCGACCAACTTGAAGAGTGGTTGTGTTCGCGGTCTCGCCTTTCGCCAGTGAAGTTTCCCCCATAGGCCCTTCAGTCCCGAGCGACCACGAAACCCGGAGTGAAGGTGTTGGCCGTCGCATAGAACCGCGCACCGAGGCGACCTCCCCGCCGCGCGGTGGTCTCGCTGTTTCGCCAGTGGAGTTTCCGCCATAGGCCCCGCAAGCCCGGACAACCACTCCGAACCGCAGGTGTTGGCCGTCGCATGTGACTACGCACCGAGCCGACCGACCCAGCACGCAGTAGTCTCGCCGTTTCGCCAAAGAGCTTTCGTTCAGAGGCCCCACAGACCCGGGCGACCAGTCCGGGGTGCAGGTGTTGGCCGTCGCATGTGACCGCGCAAAGAGGCGACCTCCCCATCGCGCGGTAGTCTCGCTGGTTTGCCTAGGAGCTTTCGTTCAAAGGCCCCGCGCACCCGGGCGACTTGTCCGAGCTGCAGGTGTTGGCCGTAGTGTTGTTGCCGGTGAGTCTTCTTTTGGCTCTCCAGCGCCGCCACCCTGAGGCGACCTCCAAAGGGCGCAGCTACCGACGGCCCATCTCTTGTCCCGTGGTCGCCGTCGGTTTCTTGGGGTACTTGATTTTGCTTTCTACCATGCCCGGGGCTTGCGCGCCGGAGGTCCCCCCGGGGCTTGAAGCTTTGAGTCTTCTCCCCGAGTCCTTCCGCATACCGAAGTAGTCTCTTATCGAGGCATGCAACGGTGCGGGCACAAACGCAGGGCGCGGGTCACCTCGTCAGGATCGTCGCGCCCCCCACCCGTCCCATGCACCGCGAGGGAACAGATGTTGAAGCGCGCGGGATTACTGTCGCTGAAGACTGCGCTCCCGTGTCTTCATGGCTGCACGTCGTCGTCAGTCGGTGCGAGCCATTTTTTGATCGCCTGTCGCTGTTTTGTATCGACGGCGTACCGCTCGTTGAGAGTGTGAACCCGTGGTGCCGCGGTCTTCGACGGAGTTGCCAGTTCCATCGGGGGGTTGAAGCGTCGTTCGTCGCGGTGTTGTAGTGATGCGGCGAAGACGATGTGTCGACGAGTGTTGGATGTCGAACGGGTCGTGGAGAGTCACCTAATGATGCGGGTATCGGGCGGAGAGAAGGAGTGCATCAGGACCAGGGGAGGGGGTCCAGGCGAGTGAGTCGGAGGTAAAGAGGTAGGAAGGGAAAGGGAGGTTAGTGTTGCGCGGGGGAGACCAGCTAGCCCGCTACCCGGCCGGGGTGAGGAATTAGAGCGAGGATGTCCCCCCTTTTATAGGTTTGCCTTGGTGGCTGACCGCGTCGGGGGGCTTCCTTCTGGGCGCGTCTCGGTCACGTCTTACTGTCAAGCTCTGTCACTGCGTGTCATGTGCAAAAATAGCAGTGGCGGTCGCTCTCCCGCCTTCAGTGAGCGTACGGCGGCAACGCTAAGGACTTTGGCGCGGAATTTGGCGCCCTCTGTGAATGGCCGCTGTACCATCGTGAGTTGAACAAGCTGTGAGGCGCAGCGCGCGGGGAAGACACACCAAACGACACAGGGACATGCGTCGGCGGAAATGGCACTCTCGATCACCCTTTCCAGAACATGTCTGTCATGCGCAAAAATAGCATCGTCAGCCTCGTCTCGGGACAGCCTACGGTTGAACTTGAACATGGACTCCCATGTTGGATGCGGCATCGAGGCCAAAGGCCGCTGCAGGGGGCATTATGGGTGGGGGGATGGGCGTGTGATCTCGAGCGTGCGCAAGCTTTCGACCGGAGATGGTTATAGAGAAGCACAACATCGCAGTGGCCCAGTTTGCAGCCCTGGTAGGACCTAGCAGGGGGGCTGAACGGTGTCCGCAGAACAAAGCCCACCAGGCACGACCCACCTTCTGTCCGCCTGCAATAGATGCACTGGTTCGCAGACGTGGAAGCCAGGAGATGCTCGCCACTGACACGTACCACAAAGCGTGCTGTGTCATGTTCAGCGAAGCCGCCAGTTTCATATCCATAGCAAAGACACCCTTGATTACTCAAGTCATAGGACAGAACATAATAATAATTACACATCTTTCAATGTTTGAGACGGTGTCAGTCCCGAATCGATGTACACGGCAAAGCGGCACCGTGTCGACCCACATCACAGCATGAAGCGCGTTCACCGACCTCCTCAAAGCAAGCGCATGCAGAAGGTAACCCTAAAATAAAGACAGAATCAAAGATAAATTTGCAGAATATGGAAAACGTTCGGCGCATGTTAGTTTCCTCTTCCGAGAGTGTATCAACAACCTATACAGGTTGCTGATAGCCTCGCTTGGGTCGGAGAGTACTTATCCCGAGGACCACGTAAAGGTCTGCGCCAGGACGAACACACGTGTTCGCCCTCACCTCGAGACACGCACCTTCGGTATTAAGGTATCGGACGTAAGCTAAGGAGAGCCGGAGAGCGATCAAGGCAGCGCAGAGCGGCAGGAGCATGAACACATACGACAGCGAAAAGGCGGAGCAGAGGTTCTGACCAGCGGGCAGCCAAGTCTTAGTGGTGCGGTGGACAGTAGGACCACAGCCAGCGGACCTTAGAGCTTAGTGGATTCACTAGATGGGTTAGTGGGGCACACCACAGACCGGGCAGCAGCCCGAGCCCAGAGCCGGAGTAAATGTCGACAGCAGACGCAAGACAGCTGAAAGATATCACGCACGAGGGAAGCAGGAGAAGCAAGCGACAGACAATTGTGCGAAACATACCGGTGTGGCCTGGCTGACGAATGTTAGACTACTACGGCAACTGTGAAAAGAGAACAAGACACTCACAGAAATGCTAATGCCCGTCCATCGTTCAATGGTCAAGACAGCAGACGACGAGCAGTCATCTCGCAGAGACAAGCACTAGAGAGACCCACAGAGAGCACGATGTCGCGTGAAAGGCCGCCGCAATGAACGTCAGTATATCGGCAGCAGTCACACAAAAGAAATAAGGCGCATGTTGGTTTCCTCCGCCGACAGCGTGCCAGAGACCAATCGGCATCGAAGAGGTCTTCCAATATACTCGCGGTGACCAGAAAGCCCCATCTCCATCTCTCAGTCGCCACCTGGGACCCATAGCCAATCGTGGCGCAGGGTCCGACTGAAAAGACGCCAACTGAGGAAGGGAGCGGGCTCTCAGGTCTCCGACAGTACATCGGTGGCTGACACGCCCTGTTGAATCGGAGAGTACTTATCCCGAGGACCACGGAAAGGTCTGCGCCAGGACGAACCCACACGTTCGCCCTCCCTCGGGATACGCACCTTGTGTCTCGATATGGCTCGAGGTGTCAAGAAGGGGAGCAGAAGAGCTGGAGGGCGATCAAGAGAGCGTATGGAGACAGAAACCAGAAGAACACACAAAGGCAGCAGACGGTCGACATTTGGGGAGGCAGCGAGCTTTAACGGTTGAAGAAGTGCTTGACGGATCGCTGTGATCCCGGCATCGCGCTTAAGATGGAGAAGCTTCGCGCAGAGTAATCAGCGAGACAGCCAGAGCATCCCAGATCACCTGAAGTTGTATTCATGACTTGATGGAGGCCTGCATTCTAACATCAGCGAAAATGTTGCAGCAGGTTCGTGTTGCCGTTGGCGATAGTACTTGTTTGCTATGGGCCGATCACACTGGACGACAGAGCGTTTAAAACGTAAGTTGTGGGCTGATCGACGACAAGTGGGAGACTCACCGTCACACACAGGTACCAAACATTCTTAGATGCGTCAGCCAAGTGGATATACGCTTCTCAGAACCAAAAGCATCGCTGAAGAGGAGCCCAGTAACGAAGTGTCCACGAAAAAAAGGGCAAAGCAGAAAGTGAGAAGAGGGGGAAGCAGGGCGTGAACATCACCGGCAAGAAGTTGTCAGCAGCAACAGGCTATCAACTTGAGGAGTCGGCGAGGTGGCCACTAGAGCAGACGCTAGCCCAAGCCCATAGCCATGGTGAATGTCGACAGCAAGACAGCCCAGAGCAGCTAAACGTAGACGAACCAAGTGAAGCAGACAATTCCGCAAGCAGGAAGCAGACGACAGTCTGGAGAAGTGGCCGAGCTAATGAATGTCAGGTGCGTATGGCGACGATGCATATTGTATACTCACTGAAGGTCAAGAGTTCTAATGCGTCCCTATGGTCATACAGTAGCTGTTGCATAGAGCACAGACATCTCCCTGGAGCTGAAGCAGATCAAGCGTAGGGAAAGCGGAAGAAGCAAGCGACGAACGATCGAGATAGCCACAGACAGCAGTTAGCCCAAGCAGGCAGCAGTTTGTTCGAGCGGACAGTAGTAGGTTCAAGCTCAGACAGACAGCACTCACGGACGGTCGCCTAGGCTCCGAATGTCAGCCGGCTGCGGCAACTAGAAGACGAAATTAGGGCACTCACCCAAGTCTCAGCAATTGCAGTGCCACTCCGACAATCAAATAACAGCGAGTGCCCAGAGGTAGATTTCTTACCGGTCGAGGCTGAATTGTGGCGTCGTTAGAGCTATGCACTGTAGCCGTCAGCGAAACCGAGACTTGACGAATGGACTGGAACCTTTCGCGCAGTAGATTTTGGACTCGGCAGGTGTCCAGTCTTGAGGATGGCGAGTATAGAGGAGACATGCCAGACGAACACAGCAGCTAGAGGACAGACAAATCATCGAGCGGGCCACAAGCCACAGAGAGTCAGGAGGACCAGACATGCCCCAGAAAACGTCGCCCAAAGACAGAAGTGGCCGGAGACAGCCCACTGACTTTGCGCCACATTGCCGTACTTGCCGCACAAAGAGAAAAGAGAAAACAAAAGGGAAACAGAGAACACAAGCAACAGGGTGAGCACGACGACATATGGAAGAGGCTCAGCCACAAGGGCGACAGCACACAAAAAGGCAACAACAGAGAAACCACATGAGGAGCAGACAACAAATGACTTAGCAATGAGTTGGATAATTTGAGGCGTTGAAGGTTTGGGTATACGATGCGATGGTCCCGCTGGGGGAGAGGGAAGGGGTGGAAGGTGAGGAAGGCGACAGAAAGACGGGGCCTTTTATATTGAGCGAGGGACGTCTGTGGCGAAATCGCTCGGCAAAGCGCAGGACAAAGCCCTGCAGTCCACGTGAAAGAACCGTTGATCGAGCCACTCGAGGCCAGAAGCGGAACAAGTGAATGAGTGTCGCGGAGTGTGAAACCCGAGGACAATGAAGGAGGGTCATGGCCAGAAGCAAGATTTGGAAAGTATACTTACCATAGCGACGATTGTACCACTGCACACCATTACACGTTGCTAGCCAGGTGTGATGGCACACTGCAACAGAGCCACGGGTCTTGGCGCAGGCCCGTGCAATATAGCAGTGCGATATCGAGTCCGCTTTACGGAGCTTCCGATAACCTGTAGAGTAAGATAACGTGGCCATTATCATCAGAAAAATATCTACTATCCCGGTTGCTTCTCGAGGGACCCACCATGAGCTCGAAAAATGCGCGTGGTGGCCGTGACGAGCCTGACTACCGTCTAACATGCGTGCCTGCCGCGCATCAGAAGGACTTATGCCAATGGTTCAGGAGAGACGTTCAAATGCGCGTGAACAGCGAGAGCGATGATATGAGGTTTTCTCAGCGTAAATACCTAATAACCTGACCCAGCTTCATGTCAAGGGGTCACGACTAGCATCTAAATTCGCCGTCACGATTTAGTTATGAGATGAGCCATGTTAGAGGCAGATCGATAGTCAAGAGGGCACAGCGGGATGTTTTCAAGTGCGAAGAGCTATTGATGAATACATTCATTGATCATCGTTACGTGTGCGAGGACGCGAGATGAATTAAGAACGCATAGTGCAGCTGCTCGATGCTCGCTCACCGTGATCAGCCGTGCAATGACATGTGCGCCGGCTTTGAATAGGGACACTCAAATACTCACCACGTTCTCTACCCGCGATCCTTGGTGTCCATGAACTGACTTAGTGGGATGCCCTGTGAGTCATGATGCCCCAGTACTAGATGTCTTCGTACAGCTTGACTAATGGGGATAACTAGATACTCGTGTAGGCAGACCTGGTTTCAGCAGTGCCCTACATAGATAATTTCGGATGGTATGGCCGTTCGTCGAAGTGCGTCATACAGAGATATAGATCTGAGCTAATCTGAGTCACTGCTGGTGGGGAGAAGCGCCCGTTGCCCATTCCGACTTTGAATCAAGTACGAGTGCTTAGCGCTCAGCGCTCGCGGCAAGAGAGCTCGAATAAAGCCTGCATACACACGGAAACTTCTGCGTCAAACCTGCCACTGTAATATCGCAATGGCAGAGTCAAAAAGAGAGATAGATTACTCTGTCTATTTGGTGACAGGACGAGATCTTCTCCCGCCTGGTAAGGTATGTGCTGCATCCTCAATCTCCCTTCACACCGCTGACGGAGTAGCCTTCAGGACTATCTGGAATCCCTTGAAGAAGTAAATATGCCTCGTCTCTCGCCTGTTGACCCTAGGTGAACTCTTGTGGCACAGTCCCTGCGTGGAGGCGTAACCATCGTCCAGATCCGTGAAAAGACCACGGAGACCGGGGAGGTAATCCGCTGCACTATACAACGTTCCCGTCCGTACTGAACGTGCGCCCCAGTTCCTAGAAGTCGCACGCCGGTCCCAGGCGCTCTGCCGCAAATTCAACGTTCCTATCCTCATCAATGACCGCCTCGACATCGCCCTCGCGATCGGCGCCGACGGCGTGCATATCGGGCAGACAGACATGCCTATCGCCGTTGCCAAAGCTCTCCTCCCGCCTGGGGCAATCATCGGCATGACGTGCAACACGCCCGCGCATGTCGCGCAAGCGGTGAAGGACGGCGCAGACTACGTCGGCGTCGGCCCCGTGTTCGCGACGCAGACGAAGAACGTGGCGAGCCCCATGTTGGGCGTACGCGGCTTACAGGACATACTCGCCCCCCTCGAGGGCACGAACGTGAAGGCCGTTGCGATCGGTGAGGTTTGCTGATGTGCAGCCATAGCGTTCGACTCACTGAATTGCACAGCGGGAATCAAATATACGAACGCATTGCAGTGCCTGTACGGTGCCGTGAGGCCCTCTGGGCTCGGCCTCGACGGCCTCGCTGTTGTGAGCGACATTGTCGCGTCGCACGAGCCCGAGGCTGCCGCGAGAAAGCTTGCGACGGTCGTACACGCGTTCAAGTCGACTATCCCGCATATTTTCTCTCTCAGCCAACATCCATACACTTCCCAGTACATTAAAGAGAACGCTGCGCAACTCTTCCCGGCCATCAGGCGCCACGGTCCTCTGGTGCAGCAGGTCGGTTTGAAGGGCCTGTCATATGCTTCGATTTCGATGGGCTTGACCACAGTATACTCTTAGATCACTAACACAGTCGTCACAACGCAGTCTGCCAACGCGACACTCGCTCTCGGCGCGTCACCCATAATGGCCAACGCCCCACAAGAGATGGCGGACATCAGCAAAGCCATCGGCGGCCTTCTGATCAATTTCGGGACTATCCAGAGCCTGGACGGGATGATTGAAGCAGGTAACGAAACATGACCCTATCCCTGTCGGGGGCGTCGATGACTCATCCACACTGGTCCCCAGGCAAGCATGCGAATATCAACCGCAAGCCGGTCGTATTCGATCCCGTCGGCGTCGGCGCGTCGCAGTACCGTCGCAGCTCTGCAAACTGTGCGCACAGAACCATGGATTCCTTGAGCACGTCCGCTGACAGCCAAGCATAGCGCTGCTGAACACATGGCAGGCGACGGTGATCAAGGGAAACGCGGGTGAGTTGGCAGCAATTGCGAACTCGCAGGAGGTGAGCATTGTTTAAATGAACAAATCATTGGTGGTGATCGAGAGGTGCAACCACAGGTTCGGGCCAAGGGCGTCGACAGTGTCGGACAAGGCTTCAAGAACCCCGCTCTATTCGTCCGCGACCTCGCGCGAAGAGAAAGTACGTTCCCGCTCGTATGTGTGTCCTCGACGCTGATCCATAGCTTTTTGGACGTAGGATGCATCGTTGTTCTATCGGGAAAGACAGATTATGTGTCGGATGGCACGACAGTTGTCAGCCTCAACAATGGGCATCCATTACTCGGCGATATCACCGGTTCAGGCTGCATGCTTGGCACATGCATCGCGATCTTCTGTGCGGCAGCAAGCATGGAGGCCACGCCGGAGGATGGCAAGTTGGTCTCCGGGGACATGTTCATCGCGGCTATCGGGGGGTGCGTTCCGTTCACCCGCATCCTGTCCGTGCATTTGTCCTCATTAGCTTGTAGTGTTCTCGCACTCACATTAGCATCTGAGAAGGCTGCGGCAAGGGATGACGTCAAAGGAAGCGGGACGTTCCTCCCCGCGCTGATAGACGAATTGGGGAAGCTTTCGCCAGAAGAGGTGGTGGCGTTGGCAAACGTCGAAGTAGTGAGCGTATGAGCGAAGCAAGGTGACTGAATCACACAGATGTATCCGTACAATGTCATGATCCACTATATCAGTAGTTCATAGAATTACAATACGTTGCTTCCAGTTTCTACATATTACAGCGCAGAGGTTGTCATTCTTAATCACGCCTTGGCTGCGCCCGCACCGCACGGAACGACAGTAGAGTTGGGGACATCCAAGATGCGCGAGAACGGCATCTCAGCAGTAGGCTGTAGCCAGTTCTTCGTATCGTACTGTGCGTACGGCGGAGACTCAATCATGTGGAATGTGTAGGCAAATCGCGTGTGCGGGCTGTGATTCTTCTCCGACTTGTGGAGAACGTTGCCGTGAATGAGTACCATGTCACCTGCGGTTCAAGGTTATCACCCAGCTCAAGACAATAGAGGGAAAAGGGCGTACCAGGCATGCACGCTTCAAGAATGTACTTCCCTTCAGGCTTGGACGGAGCCTGCTCGGGAGACACGAGGTCCTCGAACATCGTCCCAGTGTTACCGGGCTTGCGCACCAAGCGTTTCGTGATGGGCGTTGTAAGGTGGGATCCTGGCAGGAAAGAGAGTGCACCGTTCTCCGGAGTGCACTTCTCGAGAGCAATCCAGAAGCCGAGTGCCGATGGAGGATCCGTGTACTGGGAATGCGCAGTCAAAAAGAGAGAAAGGAATGTCGCTGCATGGTCTTACCAAGAATGTGCTATATCGGATCCAAGAGTTAGGACTTAGTCCTCAGGATTATGAAGAGAGCCAACGCACGAGTCATTATGTTCATTCACTAGCTTATGAGCTCAGATGCTGTCCTGGCGGTCTTAATTGTGACAGCCTACCTTCGCCGCCGATGTACGGCTGCTTGCAGATTACCATGGACTGCAGTGCTGCAGCAGGTATTAGGGCTACAGCTCAAGAGTGCTTCGCAGGAAATATGCTCACCGACAGGATCATGGTGGAATTGAAGATCACGAACGATGGACTTCATACTGTCATTCTCCAATGTGACCTTGCGGAAGACGGGATCGAGCTCATGCAGAGCTTTGACCAGACGTTTGCAAGAAAGTCGTCATACAGCCACCATAGGGTGCTCACCGTGGCCGATCTTGTTCACTGACTTCTCCTTGGGGCGGTTCAGCTGTCCGTCTTTCTCTACTGCCTCCTCCTCGAAGAAATAACGGATCTTGTCTCCCGAGGTTAAGAAGTAATCATCGCCAACATGTTCATCATCACGGGTGGTAAACTTTGTCTGCGCAGCGTATGTCAGCCACCCTAGCCTGATATTGTATAACGCGAACGGAATACATACCCGAGGATGCGTATCTAGGTCGAACTCGCTTAGGAGTTGCTTGGACCGAGCCAAGAGCGCCTCAGTCCCGTCCGGAGTCAAGAACAAGGGAAGACGTAGGTATCTGGGACGTCCTCAGAACCTCCTATATGCGTGCCACATGAGAACACTCACCCATCTCTGCGGAACTTAATTCATGTATGCCAATTCAGCTATGATCTCAAACGGTTAAGCAGTAGTATGCACGCGTGCTAACCTGGTCAATTTGCTCGCGCGTGAGGTACTCCAGTTGCCTGACACTGGTAGGCATTGTGATAATAGATGGGAGCTCAGTTGTGACCACTATCAGGCCTGTTTGTATGCAATAGGCATCTAGGCACCACAGTTCCCGTGCCCTCAGTTGGTGTCTCACGATTGCACAGTCCTGCTCCGTCATATGATGTACAGTATGCGGCTTGAGATTACAATCACATGCAAATAAATGTATTCATGAATAAAAACCAGTCAAAGGTAGTCATAAGTTGTGAGACCCTTGTCCAATGATATATGACAGAAACATCGGATCCAGAGGGACTACTCCTGCTGCTCGTCGATGCTTTCCCCATTGCCAAGGCGCTGAATGAGATGGTCAATCTTCGCTTTGTGGATACGATGATGTTCCTGCCATCCTTTCCACGGGTGATGAGAATGCTGCAAAACAACATTGTCAGCGGTAATCTACGTGGGTCCAACGCGCACTACACACCGTCCTAGCAAACTCCTGGAAAATACGGTCTGAAGTGCCCTCCGGCTTCTTGAAGAAATACTTGGCCAACAGGACGTCGTCACCCTTGCTGTATCGCATTTTCTTTTCTGGAGGGGGAGGTAGAGGTGCATCGGTTTCTGTATGATGAAGCTCGTGCTTGTGCCTGCGATAAAACTTCATCCATGAAGCACGAGAGTGGTGGGGAGCCTGAAAGGAGCACTATAAGACACAGTAATATAGTTGAATGCAGCATCGCGGCATACCTTCTGGGCGACATCTTTCCAGAAAGCGACCATGTCAACCTTACCGCCCTGCATCCTGGACCGATACTCCAGGAATCGCACAAGGAACGTGACATCCTCCTCTGTGAATGCCACACCCTTGCCAGTGGTACTCCTGAACAGGGCTCGTGGAGGCGTGGGCGAACGCGTGCGGCCAATGTCCGCCGCTGCAGCGCGCCGCGCCACAGCAATTGTCCCAGGGCCAGCACCGACAATTGGCATCGGTGCCTCGATCTCCGATGAGCCTTCCGTTGGCTGACCTGGATCTTCTTGCACAAGTTCCTCGTCTCCAACGTTTCCATCGCCTTCGGTGATGTCCATAGCATAACCGCCAAGTCGTATTTGATGTTTGTTGCAATAACGACGCCATGAATAAAATCTGTTATGAGATTGAGATAAAGGCATTGCCATTGTCACGTTGCTGTACTCACGTGTGATGGGGAGCCTATAATACCAACTTGTCAGCTTGTAGCCGATGATATGATGCGAGAAAACTCACCTTAACAGCGATACGTTCACAAATCTCACGTAGACTGTCGACGATGATGTCAGCGCCTTACACAGCAGTAGCAAATAATCATATTACCTCAAGACCAAGCCCTGCTCCTGGCAGTACTCGATGTATCTCTTCAAATACATGACGTCATCGGCAGTGAACAGGTTACCGCCGTATGTGCTCTTGATAACTCTTGTTGGTGGCGTGGGAGAGCGAGTAGGAGGGTTCCTGCGATTCATAACAAGCGTTGATGCTGGAGGTGCTGGCTGTGGCTGCGCTATGCGATCAGTCACGCATGGCAATGTCCAGCGCAAGCTCCTTACCTGTGCTCTGGCACGCTTTCGGCCCCTCTTATCTATTTGAGCAGCTGGTGTAGACGGCTCTTGGTTAGATGGTCCTGCTTGTGGTGCCTCCTCCATATAAGCATCAGGCTCCGTATACGGCGGTTCGTACTGCGCCGAAGATTAAATATCGTAATAAGAGCAAAATTTCTGGACGCACCGCCTGCTGATAGTATTCTGGGGGCGCAGTGACCCAACCGCGCTGGTCTTCCCTGTACCTGTAGTCATATTCTGGTCCCGGAGGCGCGACCATCGCGCCCGGATGAGGCGGCGGCGGTTGATGATATGCGGGGTTCCATCCTTGGTCGTCGCGGTATGCTATCATATGTGGCGCAGGCGGTGGTGGGGGCTGCATATGTGTCTGCTGAGGAGCGATACCATTCGCAGCCTGCCATGACTGGGGTGGAGCAGCGGTCGGCGGGTGCATTGCGCCTGCGGCAACCTCCATGGGAGTAGCATATACTGGGTAGGGATAGGCATGCTGGGCCTGGTGCATGAGCTGATCGGCGGGAGTAGCAGAGATTGGTGGAGGTGGCATCGCCTGGGCTTGCTGCTGGAGGACTTGGGGCGATGGCGGTTGCATCGGGTGAGCAAGCTCCGTGGGCATGACCTGGGGGATCTCGCCGGTTGAGGGACCAGGTACAACAGCTGGAGGATGGATAGGCTCTCTGATCCTGCCAGGGCCAGTAATCAGCGACGTGACCCGTATAGTAAATGAAGTTCACGCACTGCTCTTGGCCGGTGACTTTGCAGTTTCCCCAGTTGGTCTGATATGTCAGCAACTGCCCTCTGTTGACGCACTCCTCAACCCATCTAGCATCGAGGACGACCTTGACCTTCTTGCCCGCATATTGTCGATATAAGCTTTGTCCAGACTCCTTGTATGGGTCCACTGAAAAAATGAAATCAGCGACGGCCGAAGTACGACGACGTTGCGCATAGGTGCACTTATGTCGAAGTGCGACGGGCAACAATGATAGCATACGCACCACAGATCCATTGGACGCTACTGTATCCTGGGGATACTACACCGCCATGTTGCTGGAGGCGAACGCATAGTCAGCTCCAGAACGCGAAATGACGTGACAACAATGGGATGCGCGCGCAGCAACATAGCCACAGACGACGAGTCCTCGATTAGACGTCTTATGTGGGCACATGTTTCGGTCCTCGCGCCTTTGAAGTCGTTCATGTACGCACCGCGACGAGTTCGATAAAGTGCTCTCGGTTTTCAACGTCCTTGTCGACGTATATCTGAAGAGGCAGGCCTAACATTGGGTCCGTAAAGAGGCCCGGCTCACCGCCGGCGGCAGGGTCGGGTTGGACATTGCTCGCCACTTCATGCTGATCACGGTGTGCGCGACGGTTGGAGGTGCGTGCTGGTGCCATGGGTCTCGCCCGCAGGAGTACAGATCGTGGTGGGAGTCCTCAGGGGGCCCCCGGCCAGGGACACACCCATCCTCGCCTCCTGGCGGAGTTTGAAATCCTTCAATTATGCTTTCTCTTCACTGGCCGCTCGTTCTGCTTGACGTGCTCTCCTATACATCCTCAAAAACCAGAAATAGACCTGCTTTCTGCATGCTCTGAACTCCTTGATAGGTAATAGCTTCAACGAACATTATATCCTGTGTGAATTAACGGAAGTTCGCACAAGCCGCCCAGTTTCACTCTTTTAGTCACCAACTGCTCATGACCGTGGCGGGTAGTTCATGGGCTCAGCTTATGAAGGCGTTGCCGTTGTCATGCTGCGGACTAAAGTTCTCGTCGAGGTCTTCAGCACGTCATCAATGATAGATACTGACTGTATGATCAATTCAATGGCTGGCTTAAGGTATGTGTTCGCGGTGCTTGGTTGACTGCTGTCGGTGATTACGGTACCGAAGGATCGACTCGGGCGTACATGATACTCCAAAGGGATCGACGAGCCCATCTCTCCGGTAACATATACCGCGTGCCTGTACTTGACTAGAGAGGTGAGCGTAAGAGATAGTTGTCGATCTAACTGTTTGCAGCGATAAGGTGGGTTGCACTATCATCGTGCGAATGAGGTTGCATCGAACAATCTTGTTGGCGTAGTACACTGATAGGGACAACCGCTGCGGGTTGCATGACCAGATGACGGACGAAGCTTCGCTCAGTTCGGCAGATGAGAAAGCTGACACATCTGACCTTCCATGTGTTAAGATCGCATCGCTCTGTGAGTACTACTGCTCTGCCCAAGCATGCTAGACACGAACCCTCCGCGCAACGATCGGCTTATGGCAGGGTGGTTCTCACCTACTTGAAAAGCTTGTATTTGGAAAGGAGAATGGGTATGTTCTTTCGTTATGGCAATGTTCAGCTTCTTGTACTGCCGGCGATCAGATGTCAGTATGAAATCGGTGCGCTCACACCGGTCTACTGGAGCGCACCGCCGCATCTGGTCTACCGTGAGTGGTATTCCGTCCCCTCCGATTGGGTAAACAAAGTTCTTGTAAGAACTGTACACGGTTGGGCGCATCCTGTGCTGGCAGGACCGCTTGGGCAGTGCGATAAGTACTGATTGTTCTTTTCTGACGCAGGCACCAGCGCCCCAATTTATGTCCTTGCTGCATTTCATCTCGGTTATGCTCGCTCCAGATGGATGGGCTTTTGTTATTTTTTATTGTTTTGTGTGCTAGTCGCTTTCGGCAGGCTGCTCTCCGTAGAATGTGCTCGAGGACGGCGTGCAAGTCATGCGCCTTGAGTGGATCGGATGTGCAATGCGATTAAGTAGCGATAGGCTCCTGTGAGCTTCGTGTCGTCCGTAAAGAGGTTGATGAGATGCCGTTACTTATACAGCCCTTCGATGCCAGAAAGTGGTCGTCTTCCATCAATACTTCTATTATAGAACAAATAGAACTGGATACAGTTCAGCTTGAGGCGCTGTGCGCACTAGACCATACTGCGACGCATAAAATGGAGAGCGACGGAAAGAATCGTCCACGGCTCTCCTTCGACGCTGAATCTCCGGTGAACGTCGGGTGCAAATCGGGCGAGAGTCGGGGAATACTCCACTAGGCGAGACTGCTGCGCGGCCGCATGCTACGACGCTGATGCGACTCCAAGCGTCCTGATGGTGAGCAAAGGATCTATCACAATTGTGATGGCAGGGCAAAAAAACAGCGCGATTAAGACGGGTCACGTTCATATGTATGTAGACACTTGACAGTCGGACAGTAAGACTAGCAAATTTGAACTGACCATGGCAGATCGCGTGCTGTTACACCTTGCGGCGTGGAAATAACGGAGCATACGCGATCAAACAGGGGAACATGACAGTCTCACATTGCGCAAACTATTCAGGTTGGGCATCACCGAGGCCTGGCATAAAAGCCGCTGGCTATTTATAGAGCGAGCGGCAGTCAAATTACCGAGGCTGACGTAGTCCGACGCACTAAACAGGTACAATTGTACAGGGGCTACACTGGACGCTCAAGAGCGGCGTACGAGGCGTTGCGCAGTCTGCGCACGAAGCCGCTCTGTGTCCGACCGTGTGGAATGGAGAAGATTGCGACCGCCGTTCTAGCGCTGCAACTGGCTTCTCGTGCGAGCGCTACAGGACATTGTGCTGGAGGAGCAATCGTCTTGGCCAGGTGGATGATACCTTCACGCGGGGCCATCTGGACTGCGAGGGGGCGGGGAGGGCAGGGGCAAAGCGGAGGACATAATTAGCAACACAGATTGGTAGAGACGGGTGATGATATCTGCGTCGAGAGGGTGGTCGAGGCAATGTGCGACAAGTGAGGCGATATGGGGAGTGCAGACAGATGGTGCAGGTGGGAAAAGACGGGGACCATAAGCAGGCCAATGCTGATTATGCGAGCTGAGCGTTCTGGATGGGAGCCAAACAGAGCCAAACATGCGGCGGAGTTGCTTTCCCATCGGCTGTACCAACCAAGCAGCCCCCGACTTCTATCTTCCCAAGCAATCCGTTACTATACGACTCTCCCTCCTCCCTCACCCCGCCGTTCTCTCCTCGCGACGACGCCGGCCCCCCCGCTCGTCATGGCCTCCGCCGCAGGGCGCAAAAAGTCTGTCATCTCCGCCACCACGCCCACTATTGAATCTCCCATCGCGAATAACACCCTCCTCAACAAGGCCGCGTCCCAGTCGACCTCTCTCTACCAGCAATGCTCAGCTCTTCGCACTCGTTTGCTCCAGGTTCAGGATTTCCCTGAATGGTTCACCGTCTCCTCACCCCCAGATTCCTCCCGCCGCTCAACCGATCCCGTAACCCAATTATGGGACTGCTTTGCGTTAGGAGTACCTCTCTGCTATCTCTTCAACCTTCTGCCCGCTCCCTTCAGTCCTATTAACATCGACACCGACCCCAAATCCTTCGACGCAACAAACGAGAAGACGAAGAAACGTTCAATCGCGCTGTTCTCGATGCAAATCAAGCAACTGGAGGGTTGCGAGCAGTTCACGGTCACCGAGTTATGGGACCGTAATTCTACGGACGGCTTCGTAAAGGTACGCTGTTCCAGAGGTTGAAATTCCTGCCATCAGCTGATTGTGATTGCAGGTCGTGAACAACGTAATCAATCTCGTCAGATGCCTCCCAGACGAGGTCTTCGTCGAGCCGCAGCTGTCTTCTCCGCATCTCGCCTCCGCTCAACAATCTACCGACTCCCTAGATGCAGACGGTGCGGCGCCTCCCCCGGAGAGAGACGGGGGTGCCCGATACAACATTGTCAGGGAACTTGTTGAGACGGAAAGGAAATATGTACAGGATTTGGAGGTTATGCAGGTGAGTCTGCCGTTGTGCTTACGTCTGATTCTTGTGCTAACACATGCTGTGCCAGAAATATTCCATTGCGGCGTCGCAAATGAATGTGATGGATCAAGAGACCCTCCAGCGTCTGTTCCCGGGCTTGAACAAGCTTCTTAACTTCCAGCGCAAGTTTCTCATCAAACTGGAGAGTATCGCGGAGTTATCTCCCAACGACCAGTCATGGGGAGTGCCATTCATGGAGAATGTACGTGCAAACATGCATACTTGTGCCCCTTTTGGCAGCCCCATTGTCCTTTTATTGTTTGCGTCCACAAACTCATTCACTAATATGGAACAATAGGAGGAAGAGTTCGCGGTATACGAACCGTATTGCGCTCTGTATACGTCTGCATCGGACATCATGCTGCAAGAGATGCAGAACCTCACCGTACGTCGGTTTCAGACATCGTGAGAATTTACTCAATTTGTATCGATAGGCTCTGGACAATGTTCTTTCCAAGTCGGAACTGCCTGCTTTCCTTATCAAACCTGTGCAGCGGATCTGCAAGTACCCCTTGCTGTTAGAGGTGCGTTTCACGTGAACACATGTATCACCTGCAAGGGCCTGATGCGATGATACGCCTCAGTCACTCCTCAAAGCTGTAAAAACAACCGACTATCCCTTCATCGAAGAGTTGAAACTCGGGGTAGCGGCGGCAAAGCGTGTGACGGATAAGATCAACGAAGCGCAGCGTCGGGCTGAGAACCTCGCGACCGTGGAGGCCTTGAAAGGCCGTGTTGAGGACTGGAAAGGTCATCACATAAGCCAGTTCGGCAGCCTCTTGCTCGACGACATCTTCACCGTCACGAAGTCTGAAGTTGACAGGGAGTACCATGTCTTCCTTTTTGAGAAGATCATCCTGTGCTGCAAGGAGTATCTTGTGCCGTCAGCCAATGGAAGGAAGGTTGGCAAGAGCAACTCGATTTTGAAGAAACCACCGGTTCCTCCGCCGTTGATGCTTCCAGGGGCTGGCCCCTCGAAGAAAAGAAACACACCCTTGTTGTTGAAGGGTCGTATTTTCCTCGCTAATGTGCACCTCGCTGAGCCCAAGATTTCCGCAGGTAGGTCCTCAGAACTTTGGTGTATCTGTCGCGCTGACCTATGTGCATCTCTTAGGTCAATATTCGCTGGCAGTGTACTGGCGCGGCGATGATGATACGGAATTTTTCACGCTCCGCTGCCGGAATGAGGAACAGCTGAAGATGTGGGAAACGCAGCTGAACCGCCTCATACAGGAGAACATCAACAGGCGTATGTCAGACAGGAATCCCCAGCGGCTTACCCAGATGACTCCATCTAGCGCCGCGGCAATGCAGCAGCGACCCCCGCCGATCGCATACAACCAGGAGAAAACGTACTCCACCTTCTCTCAGTCTACCGTGTACAGTGCATACGGTGCCACATCTCCGTACGGCGCCCCTGGTCGCATGGGTCGACATCCGTACGCTGCTGCAGGCGACGAGCCGCCCGCGTCAGCGAACGGCTCGTACAGCAACGGCTTCGGCCACGGTCCTCAGGGCTATCCTCCACACGACGGATTTGATGTCGACCTGGATGAAGACTACGAAGAATATCCTCTGCCGAATTATCCCCCGTCTGGACGGGCGACTCCTGCTGGCAGCCGCCGCTCAGACATGATTGGTTTCTCGCAAAGCGCGCGGACGAGCTCACATTCCTCGATTCCGTCAGCCATGAGCAGTCATACGTCGCTGTACCCTGGTCGCCCCTCAATCTCACGGAGCGCCATGAGTTATAACGTCGAGACAGACAGTGCTTCATCGTCGACTACCACTCGAAGTGCCCTGCGCAGCCAGTTCAGTTCAACGCGACTCAAGGGTGCGTATGATCAGGCTGAATCGCGCCCCAATGCTAGCTCGCGGCAGAGTGCACCGGCGGCACCGTCGCGGTCGCGCAGCGCTAGCCAACCGACTGCATACATCCCACCTACTGTGCCACCTCCGCTGCCCACGTCTATTCCCTCTTCAGTACAGTGGTCAACTCGTGCGCAGAGTACTGTGGGTAACGGCCACAACAAGCGAGGGAGTGGTTCGAGTGAGTCGACGGGCGAGAGCTCTGACTACTCTCCACATAGCAGTGGCTCGCCCATCACGCCATTCGGCTCGAGCGATACATCATTGGCAGGAATGTCTGCATCACGCCACTCGCGATCGCAGCAGCATGTCGATCAAGTAGTCACATCCGCTGCGAATGAGCTATCGAGGCCGGTGAAGGTGAAGGTGCACTTCCATGAGGACATCTTTGTCATTCAGGTGCCTCGGTCGACGGAGTTCGACCAGTTAGTGGAGAAGGTCGGCAAGAAGATCAGACTGTGCGGACCTAACCGGAGGGATGACGGCCCTCTGCGCGTGAAGTACAAGGATGAAGATGGCGATCTTGTGTCACTAGGGTCAACGGAGGACGTCCAGATGGCGTTCGAGTCCTTCCGGCCTGGCAATCTAGTGACGCTCTATGTGCAATGAGCTGTGCCATTGCGATTTTTGTCTTCTGCTTTCGTCCATCTGCCGATACCTTGCCATGCATACTGTACTTGCACGCCCGTTGCACATCCACGATCTTCTCATTACTCATATCTTCACGCATCAAACGCACGCCACTGATTCCTGACTCCGGCATTATCCTTATACTTGGGGACCCCACGCCAACATTCCTTGGTTATACCGTGTATTACGACCTCTCATGATCCGCCTTACCTGGTCTACCTCCCTGGTTCTAATCTGTCCGTACTCTATCGCATTGGTGCATATACATCATATTCTTTACGGTCAATCATGCTTCGTGCGTCGCCCCAGGCCGCCCCCCTAGTCCGCTCCTTCGCTTTCTGTCAGCTCGCTCGTTCCTATCCCCGTCTCACATTGGTACTTGTTTCACCTACTACTCGCGGCCTCGGCTCAATCACTGTCGGATACCCGACTGTCGTTCGTTCAAAGCATGTGTAGCGCGTGTAGCTTCGCTCGGCTGAATCGTGTATCATTTACAAGTAGATTGCTGCTGAGGCAGGCCGCTCCCCGGAATGTTATATTATTCACATATTCACAATCACAATCACAGTTATGCCGTGAAGTATATGCATCTTCTAGAGGGGCTCAGACGAGAGCCTGCGCAAGTGTCAGACCTCCCATCGACATATAGCTGTATCAAAAACGGCATAAAGGCTTCAGCTAGGTGTCAGAGCGACGTGGTTCAAGACGTCAACTTTGTTGATAGATCCGATGCGGCTTGGCTCTGACGTAGTCTATACTAATGTATCAACAAGGGAAGGATCATAATGTGACTGAAAGAGAACACGGACCTTGTCCTGCGGCGCACTCCGCTCAACTTCGAAGAACTGCTCAGCCAGCGCGCCCACCTCGCCACCCAAGGCTTTCGCTTTCGTAAGAATCTCTCCCAGCAGCGCGGTGGGAAGCCCGCTGGGAGCACGGGAGTAGATGTCGAGGCCCGCAGGAGTGAAGAGGGTCTTCTCGAAGTATGTAAGAGCCCATTCAGGGTCGTTCGATGTGTCGTCTGCGGTTCCTCCTGAATGAAGGTGACAACCTAGGATCTGCCACCGAGAGGTAGCGATCATAAGCCAGCCCTTGCCCCGCCAATTCCACCGGGTCTTCGGGGCATTGGAGGGCGCATCCTCAGATGTCCCAGATGGGGAGACAAGAGTATCTACACCGACGACGCTGCTGCGCTTCGAGATTGGCGAGTCGCTCTTCGAGCGATATTCGACAAGGTCATCTATTTGTGTGGGATCGTGTTCCGACGGCTTCAGAGTATATGTAATCGTGACATCCTTTCTTGACTGTATGGGTATGTGCGTCAGCCACAGATACCAGTATATCTAGACATATGTCTCGCCTTCCAAAGTGGGAGAGTAGACTGTATGACATGCCTGGAGCCCATGGAGCATGAGACTTCTGAGGACAAGACCGCGATATCCACTTACCATGTACCCATGAACCGCTCCAGATCAATGTCAATCTGGGGATCCTCCGCATTGGGAGGGAACACGACGACGTTGAAGGCCATGGTTTGTATATTTCGTACCGTATGCGTAATCGACTTTGATTCCTTTACCACACGCTATATGTACTCACTGTTAGTGTAGGGTAAATAATTCATCGGCATGTAAATTACCGTTTTTTACACCCCAGGTTTCGGGACCCCGTTTTTTACACGGTCAAAAATGTAAATTACAGTAAATCACGGGACTTTTGCTCCTCGGCACGTGACGCCCCTCCGGCGTGTAAAACACAGTAAAAAACAGTAAAAAAAGTAAAAAAGTGTAAACATATGTAAAAAAAGCCTCAGGGAGCGTCCGAATTACACGCAAGGGCATACAGAGTTTCTAGTACACGCTGTAAAGTACCTACACATCCCAATTAAATTGCCACAATGTCTTACCATCTTCTGCCGGCTCGTTCACATTTACTAGCTCCGAGTCCTCCTGAACATCCGTGCGCGGCCGTTGTGAATTTCCAGCCCTAGACGACGGCGGCGATGTCGCGAGCATCTCTAGAAGGTCCGGGTCATTAAGGTTCACCTTGTTTG